AGACACATGTGGTCATTCTCAACGATATCCATGCCGACATCATGGACTACATCCAGCCTGCCCACTGCACTGAAACTCAGTTCCGTACCATGTGGACTGAATTCGAGTGGGAGAACAAGGTCAACATCAATTCTAAGGCCAAAACTCTGCGTGACTTCCTCAAGCAGCTGATGGAGAGCACCAATATGGCCTGCTTGACGCCCGATGCTTCGCTCAAGGGAGATTGCAGTTTCTTGAGCGCGAACCTGTATGCGCGCAGTGTGTTCGGTATGTTTTCAGTTCTCTGACAACCCACCCCCTTTCTTCTTGACATGATGACTGACTATATAACTAGGCGAGGATGCACTAGCAAACCTGAGCATCGAAAAAGAGGGAGATGATGGGCCAATTACAGGATTTGTGCGGATAAGAAGTCGCTCCCAGGGTCTAGCACTGAGCCTAGGCTCTTTGAAGGGTCTTAAGGCAGCGACTGCATAAGTTGATGTTTTTCCAGCGATTTGCGGTCTATATGCTTTTTTATCCTTTTCCCCCTGCCTTATTGTGTTTTTGCTTTTATTTGAGACGAATTCGTTTACTTATATGTCTCTTTATTGTGTAGATGAGATGAATATCTCATCGGGAGTAGTGGATAGAGAACAATGTCTTTGATACTTCTAGGGCATTATAGTAAGCTCTAAAACAATTAACAGTTTATACGCATGAATATCTTAGTATAGGAAACATATTTACTCTGTATATACTCTGTATAGAGAAGTCTTGATATGTTCCAATGTCACATTCCCAATGCAGGGACCACATACCCGGGCCCACCGGAACTCCGCGGCATATGGGCACTTTCATTGTTAACTTCCTCCCCTAGATTTTTCTATTCTTTCTCTATAATGACCTGAATTTTCATCCTTATCCAACATGTCATACCCAGATGATTCTTCACAAGAGCCGCAGTTACGGCAGGACACGCTGATTGTCGACCAGTCTGTCTCTTTGACCATCGGCGCCGACTCGCTCCTCATACTTGGTAGGGACTGCTCCACTCCCGGCGCGTGGGCATATGCTCACTCATGCAGATGACCGTCCGGCCAAAAAAGATCGTCGCTGTTGCGGATTACTCCAGTCCAGTAAGTTCGTCCTGCACCTTTGGCGATCGCCGCGTTATTGCGGACGCCACTGTTGGTGGAAATGGTCTGACCGAGCTGTGCGTGCATTCTAGATTCGGAAAGCAACCATTCCATCTCGTTGTACAACATCCTAGGTGCTGAGGTCACCGCTTCCAATCTAGTTATTGCCTATGCACAGGCTGCTGGCAAGGATGATGTTTCCGTGACGACCGCCCAATACCCAATTTCCGAAAAAGAAAAAACGGCTGTTGAAACATGGGTACGCAAACTACTTGATGTGGCATATGCAAAGGCCCTGCGCGGTAAACGACTGAAGATATTGGTCAATCCTTTTGGTGGGAAGGGGACGGCTGCGAGTTTGTACCAGCGATACGCGGCGCCAGTCTTCGCCGCGGCCAAGTGTCAGGTGGACGTACAAAACACCGAACATAGGGGTCATGCCATTGAAATTGCGGAAAAGCTCGATATCGACGCCTACGATGCGGTGGTTTGCTGTTCTGGCGACGGTTTGCCCTACGAGGTGTTTAATGGATTGGGCAAGCGACCGGATGCTCGAAAAGCGCTAGCGCAAACCGCCGTCGCGCTACTCCCATGTGGCTCTGGAAATGGGCTGACATGGAATGCTTTTGGAACTGGTAGCGTTTCGATTGCGGCGCTGGCAATCGTCAAGGGGCTGAGAACCCCGTTGGACCTAGTCTCGATCTCCCAGAAAGATTCGCGCACGCTTTCTTTCCTCTCGCAATCTTTTGGGATCGTCGCCGAGTGTGATTTGGGTACTGAGAATATCCGTTGGATGGGTGCTCAGCGATTTACATACGGTTTCCTGGTCCGTTTGATGCGGCAGACAATCTGGCCTTGTGATATAGCAATCAAGGTGGAAATTGGCGACAAGGAGGAGATCAAGGAACACTATGCTGCGTGGCGTGCACGTCCACAGGACTTGCATGCTGACAGCAAACGCCTCGAAATTGCTGCAGAGTCCCCAGGCCTACCAGAGCTCAAGTACGGCACAGTGACAGATGAGCTGCCCGAGGGGTGGGAGACAATTCCAGGAGAGACTATGGGCAATTTCTACGCGGGAAATATGGCCATCATGTCGAAAGACACAAATATGTTCCCTGCGACGTTGCCGGACGACGGCTTGATAGACGTGGTCACTATCGACGGAACAGTCAGTCGTGGTACAGCGCTTAGTATGATGACTGAAGTCTCCAGTGGTCGCTTTTTCGACATGCCAGACCTTCATCTCCGCAAGGCGTCCGCATTCCGTCTAATCCCTCACCAGAACGAAGGCTACATCAGTATTGACGGCGAACGCGTGCCTTTCGAGGCATTCCAAGCAGAGGCCCACCAGGGCTTGGGCACGATACTCACCAAATCGGGTCGTTTCTACGAGGCAGAGGGTCCTCGCTAAATTGTGCCTTTAATCAGCCTCTCGGACATAAGTCGCCATTGGCTATCGTCCATCCTGTCATTTTTGGGAGCCCGCTTTCTATATACCCACTGCTTGCCGAGTCTTTGGATCCACTCATGATACCCTAGCACAGAAGAATTGGTGTTTTGTCAACAAGTCGCATTAGAGATTTGGTACTCTGTGATCAGCTTGTACACTAAAACCAAAATGAGGAGACATGCGAATACATTTTCTAGTTCTTTGCACCTGTAGGCCTGGCACCAGCTAGATCCTTATAGAATCCATGATGGACTGATGGATATAATCGCTAGCACGCTGTGCAATGAATTCAATCTGTTTATACAAATCCTTTTCACATACTAAAAACTAGAATATTCAGTCGAAGCCACCCCATTCCTCATCACTGTCATCTTCATCTTCAACCTCTCTTGTTCGAACACCCCACTCGAACAACCGCTCATCCTCCAAGGCCTCAGCTGCCCTCGTCCGAACAGGCTTGTAGGCACTTTCGGCACGCAGCTTCTCCAGCGGTCTCAAGATAAGCTCCATGGGCACATCGCCCTTGATCTTCCGCTTCGGGGTCTTCTCTTCATCATCACCAGCAACCTCCTCAAACTCAAGAACCTTCTCCAACTCATCAATCCAGATATCAATAAGATGGTAGCGCAGCCCGTCAGGACCATGCGGCATAGGCACGTAATTTGGGTCTCCCTCATCCCTGTCTTGATCCTCATCATAGTTCAACGGACACAAAGGACCCTCCTCGATAATGGAGATATAAGCCGCGAGATCGGGGAACTTGGCCTCCTCGTCTTCGGCACTGTCTTTCTCCTCGTCTTCAGCGACGGTCTCGGCCTCAGCCTGCTTCTTCTGCTTCTTGCCACGACCTTGCTTGGCTGCGTCTTCGCGCTTGCGCTTTTTCCCGTCGTCCTTCTTTGAGCTCTTGTTCTTCACGAAAACTTCGAATGCCACGCCGACGTAGAAACGGATCAGCATCAGGTACTTGTCGAGACGGATGCGGTCTAGTGAGTGGTAGTCGCGGCCGATGGTGATCCAGAAGGCGCGCAGAAAGCGGTGGAGAGTTGCTTGAGGGAGGGAGGGGACGAGAGTATAGGAGAGTGCGCGGGCGAGAGCTTGTTGTGTGAGAGGTCGGTCGGAGTGGTAGAAACCTAGGTAAAGGTCAGTACTGTTGTGATATATCTTTCGGCGAATATAGCAGTGGTGCATACAGTAGAACAAGCCCTTCCACAGTTTGAGGAGATCCACGAGAGTCAGATCAGTGCGAGACTGCACGAATTTGGTTAAAGACTCAAGAGCCTTGTCGCGGACTTTGCGGTCTGAAGAGATCAATTAGTATTAGATATTTTCAATTGAAGAGAATGTTCATACCACTCGAGCCGAGCTCCCTCACGAAGGGAGTTTTTTGGCCGTCCATTGGTACAGTTTTATCTCAAAGGATTGACAAGACTAGCGATTGAAAGTATTTGGATATTAAAGTGGAGGTGGTTGTTGATCTCAGTGGCGGTATACAGCGAATACCAATGATAGGTATGCAATGGAGATAATTCAATCAAAAGTTCGAGACTATCGAACTGTCTTGATTCAAAATCCAGATCGAAGATTGCGATAAATTATTTTTTTTTCCTTTGCGATAGAGATGTTTGCTTTGTTTGTCTGGGAGCTCCGGATTGGTGATTAGGTAATATCGACAGCCTGATAGATAAGGCAGAACATCGTTGTCAAAGCAGTATAAGCCGACTAGGCTATAAATGAGAACCTTAGTTTTTGTTGTGGTCTAGTAAAATAATTGTATTTTACTCCGACAATCGTCCAAAGTGGGCAACTTATGCAAAGTGTGTTGGAGTCTCATCTTTCCTTGATTATAGATGTGCTGCATGTTTTTTAAAGCAGAAAAATGCTCCATTGATCCAGAATTTTGTCTCTGGTGAGGTTGAAGCATATTGAAGTCGTCGATTAGGGGTTAGTAGTCTACATATCTGCTTTGTACGGCCCTTCATATTTCCAAGGTAGAAAGATATGGGTGACTACTTACCAAGATCAGAGAGCTACGTTTATACTCTCCCCAAGACTACTGACCAAGACGCGTCGTCCAGTTAGCAGCGCCTAGTAGATGCCTGATAAAAGTCAGTCCGGATAATAGGACCCCAGTACTCAACTGTTCTAGTAAAAAGAATGCTGAGAATGGCAACAAGAGTAGCCATTTTCGGCGTCCAATTTACCGCCAATGAGCGTTGTGCATAGATGCAATGGCCCTTAAGCTTTAGAGGCGCAGTACAAATGCTAGATGATGAATCTAATCTCGCCATTATCCATGCATGATATGCCAAAGAGCAGCAAGGGCATGGAAAAGGAAACCGCAAACGCCAATGCAAGAAATCATGATCATAAAAGTGCTCTTCCACATCTTGGTGGAAAGCCTGTATCAAGTAAGACTGTGGTCCCCATATCTATTTCCGCGTTTTAGCTTCCCATTCATCAACGAGCCTTGATACTTCCTTGAAAGAAACAGGCTTCATAAGGAAAAGGTCCACCCCTGAGTTCAAGGCTCTGCGCTCATCGAATGAACTGCTGAGTCCTGTCAAAGCAATGATTGTTGCCGGAACACAGCCATCTCTTTCTTTCTCAACCGCACGAATGGCACGTGTCGCCTCAAATCCGTCCATGACCGGCATAGACATGTCCATGAAAATAAGGTCGTATCCCTGTGGCATCCTTTCAAACGCATCAACGGCCGTCCTGCCATTCCCGGCCCTATCTAGAACCATCACTTTTCGTTTTTGCATGAAAGTCACCATGAGATGAAGGTTGATGTTGTTGTCATCTACCACTAAGACACGGGGTCTGCTTTTGCTCCCAGCTGAGGTGCTAGCTTGACCTGAATCACCAAAGGAAGGTCGTGTAGACGAAGAAGACGTGGGATTGGTGGAATCAGTACTCCCGGACAATGTCCGAGCAGAGTTGTCGGTATACGATGTCAACGCAGAATCACTACGCTCCGTGGGATCGATGGTGTCGTTTCTGGACTCCGTGGTGAGAAAACACGAATCAGGAGCTGGTGATCGTACATTTCCTGATGATGAGGGGCTTGAATCTTCAGCTGATGAAGGCAAAACTGCAAGAGCGGGTCGCTCGGGGAATACCAAGCCTTGTTGGAAATTCTGCGGCCTCGGCGTAGATATTGTTGGCTTTGCATGAAGACAGCTCAAAATACCGCGGTATAGTTTTCGTGGACCACAAGGTCCATGGAGAATCACCACATAGTCAGCAAGATGCGACCACTGTGCCCTAGCATCACCATGGTTGCTTGTCTCACTACAAAAAATAAGCAAGCTTGGCAATGCTGCTGGGAAATTCTGCATTTCTTTCGCAGACAAATCCATTTCATTCACAAACATGATATCAACAGGCTCTTCGGCAAACACAGGAACAAGCTGCAGACCATACCAATCTGTGATATACCGGGCTATGGAAGCCCAAAACGGGTGCTCTTCAACATCAGACGGATCGACTCCCCAGATAGCTGCACGTTTCCCATTACAGTCAAGACGTCGGAGTTGAGGATATGGTGCAAGTCTATTATGGTCTGCATTTTCCACAGCAGACGTGGGTTGTGGGCTATCATCTCCCACTAGACGTTCTAGGGGAAGCGACACCTTAACGGTAGTGCCTTCACCCTGTCGGCTTCGAATATTGATTTTCCCGTTGAGAGTTTTCACAATGCCGCGAACAATTGATAGACCGAGACCAGTGCCTACTGATAGCGGATCCTCTTGTGAGAACGGAGTAAACAGGTGTTTCTGAAGATAACCCTTCGAGATGCCCTTGCCCGTATCTGATATGGTCAATGTCACCATGTCTTCGAGGCCTTGGCGTCGAGAGCGCCCTTTGGAACGCTCACTGGCCTCCATACGGACGGATATCCGACCTTTTTTGGTATACTTCAGTGCATTGCCAAGGATATTCATGATTAGGCGTCTCAGCGATCCTGGCTGGACTTTGTACATCCAGTCATTATCAGGGATGTCAACGATGACAGCCACTTGTGAGATGGGATCGACTAGGATGTCATCTTTTGGTGAAAGGGAAGAAGATGTCGAAGAGGCGTCTGTGTGGTGATTGGTGGATATGGCTGACCTCTGTATGTGGGAATGGCCCAAGCACACGCTATCTATAACATCCTCTGTCAAAAGAGCGACGTCTGTCAAGACCAATGTATCCAGGCGCTCCACAGTTTCCTCCCGGTGCTTGGGTTTCAACGTATCTTTTCCATGCTTCAAGGCTTTCTTGTGTCTTTCCAATGACATGATTTTGCTGAAGTCTAAAACTTGGTTCATTGTATCCAAGAGAGTTCGGCCACATGCATTTATCGTATCAAGGAGAGTTTCCTGAAATTGATCCAAGCTCGTGCTTCCAAAAAACTCGGCCGCAGCCAAGACACCATGCAACGGGCTGCGTAGTTCGTGGGAGATGCTGCTTATGAAGTCTCCCTTTTGGCGGTCTGCAATAACTGATTCAACACGGCTATATTCAGTCATGATAGAGGATCCGAACGCAAATACTGAGCTCAGATCAACGATAGGACTGAAAACTCGCGTCGGTTGAGGAGTCCAACAAAAACATCCGGCGAACCACTGGGAATCTGTGGCATTCCAAAGTGGGACAAACATAACTTGAGATGCGTCAGGGAAGAACTTATTGAGTTTGCTGGTTTCTGAAACCCTGGACTTTTTCCTTTGTTTCCGAGACTCGTCGATTAATTGATCCTCCGAAGTTGAAAAGGTCCCATCGTGATGGAATGACCAGAGTTTCCCTTTGGGATATCGATGGGTCAACTGCTTGAGGAAGACATTATCAAGGCTGACAGCTGGATCTGACGATTCCGAGCTTGTCTGGTAGAAAAATGGATCATCTCTGGTTGACAGCGCAAGAATAGGGGCTGGACTTGTAGACTCAGTGGAGTCACAATGACCGGCTGCAACATATTCGGAGGAGTTGTCACAAGCCTCCATGAACATAACACCACCAGCACCGTGCAAGTCCAGACTTTGTCGTAAGAGGTTCGCAGCACGTTGGAAAAGCCAGCGGTTGCTGCTCGAGGAGTCCTCCGAGCCATTGTCGCCATATCGCGAGCTTTGCAATGATCCTGCTGGACTAGGGGGGACAGACGGGTCATTCTGGTTCGAGACCGGGCTCAGTGCTCGTGAGTCGGCGTTTTGAGATGCATTGCCTGACCTAGACCGTGCTGAGGGAAATTCCCTTTCATTGGTTTGGAAGCTTATAGATCGACTGGCTCTTGAGTGAGGTGATACCCGCGGGGACAAACTCTGAGCTGAGTGAGCCGAGCTGTTCGACTGAGATGACATGCGAGCATTGCTGGGAAAACTGGAGTTGCCGTCGACAAAAAGATGGAGACCACGCGATAGCCGCGAGGCGCGCCGCCCCTCTGCAGCCTGACGACTAACCAATAAATAGTCCATTACCAACTCTGCCACTTTCCCTAATGTATCCTTCTCGATATCAGATAGCCCCTGGCGAGGTTCAGAGTCCAATACAAACAGACATCCTAGATTGATACCGCTCTCACTGGTTAGAGGCGTTCCGGCATAAAAATGAGAGTGTGGCTCCTGTGTCACAAAAGGCAATTCTCTGAACCGTTCTTCCTGGTGAAGATCGTTGACAATCATAAACGAATACAATCCATCTTCGTTCTCCGAGCCCATTGCAACTGTTTCCTGTTCAAAGGAATATATGTCAATATATAAAAATCCGAAATATCTCAGAAATCGGCTTACCTGGCATATATTCCAAGCATTCGACAATGTTGATGTTCCAGCGAAGAGTATATCTCCTTCTCCTTCGGATGACTTGGAGCTTTTTAGATTAGTGTTTCTTGTGGCCTCGGCCAATATAAATTGAGCGTCGGCGTTCAATACACTTTATGATGTCAGGTCATGGTCTATACTAGAGCAGGAGAAAACTGTACGTAACAAACGCACGCTGTGCGTTCAGCCGCAGAGCGGCCAGTTGTGCAAAAGAAGTCAAAGTTGTATTTGGACTTGATGGAAAGTTGCCTTCAACATAATTTGTCCTTGGATCAGAGGTATCGGGTAGAAAAGGGGTTGTCACTCTTGAAAAGTCTGCTATTGAGCCCACATGTTCATCGAACTGATGAAGTGTGGCATTAAGCGCCGCTGGATTTTCAGGCTGGAAATACCGGTATACCTCTCGCGTCTGACGGTCTGCTTTGTAGTCCATAGTCTGGCTATATTGTCAAGAGCCCCGAGGCTAAAGAAGAGGGTATGAATACAGAGGGCGCCCAGACACCAAAGAAATCTGGGGTTATGATAGGGTTCTCCACGTACGTCACTACACCGTCTACACGTGACGATCTGCATCAGACTGATCGCAAGTGGTCCATTGGTAGAAAGGGCTCGCTAAAATAACCGTGAATTTGATATAGATAGCGGACAACAGCTGGTTTGATCAGCGTGACTGTGTAACGACGTTTTGGATACTGAGCAAGCATCTCGGGTATATTGGTAGGGAACCATCGATGTTCATCTGCATACCAATTTGCCTACCAATTTACCTACCTATCTAGTATTCTTAATTAAGATTATGAGACAGCATTAGAAGAATGGAGGCATTACAAGCTCATAGCTAGATGAAGTAATTAGATGCACAGAAGTTGCCAACCAAAGGGCGATGATATCGTTTGAGAGCTAATTTGCGCTCATCGAGTGCGAAGAACTCCACGGGAGAGACTAGGGCAATCTCAAGAGGAGATGGGCCCAGGAAGAGTAGATGTCAGGTTGTAATTGGATCAGATGTAAAAGAACAGACTCGGGGTATTATGCAAAAAGAGATCATATGACAGAAACGCCAAAACGCTTGAGGTCCAAATGAAAGAGAGAGAGAGAAAGAGTGGTACCGGTGGCGAGCAATCGGCGATGCTTAGAAAGCTCTGTCACAAGCCCTCCTAGGATTGGTGTTCACGGCCTGGATCATGAACGGGGGAAACGACCAAAGCATTGACAACATGGCCAGTCTTCCACCCCTGATCAACGAGCGATGCACGCTCATTCAGTAAGTGGCCCAGATAAGCGATTCGGACACGCCTATCATCCTCGAGCTTGAAAACAAATTAGCAATAATCCACAAAACGAAGCGAATATATTAACAAGAACAAAAAACCAACCTTAGCCTCCTGATGCACCTTCTTCGCTAAAAGCCCCACAGTCTGACCCTTGCCAATAGAAACCACAATATCAGGACCTCCACGATCACTCAAACGAGCAAGCACACGGATCAAATCCCGCTCACTTGTCTTCCCTTTCTCATCACGGCGACGTTCAACATCCTGAGAAATCAACTCGTCCCCGGAAGCATCATCCGTAGCAAGCTTGCCATCCGAGAGCGTCCCAGTTTCCGGCTCCTCCTCATATCCGGCAGGACCGCCATCCTCACTAGCCGTCCGCGAAGATGAAGGAACCATGTTCTCTGGATCGCTAACAACACATTGCGGAACCCTATAAAGTACGCCCTGCTCATCATAGCAACCCTCACAAAGATCGCCAGTGGGAATGGTAATTCCCGCAGCATCGATTATACTCTGCGCAGTAGTCAAGTCCCCACTGCGAATCAGCGATATCACCGTCGAAACAGCAGCCCAGATCTCCGGCCTGCCGGTAACGCGCGTTTCGAAGAACTCGGTGCGCTCGCGGTCCAGCTGCCCGCGCGTCCATGTTCGTCGCTTGCTGCACCATACATGGTTGCGCACTGGCTGGTTGTAGTGCACGCTTAGGGGGACGTTTGGGGGGTGCCGACTTCGGTGCCCTGGTTGTGTGGAGCGATCGGTATCCCTGGCCGTTGTATGTGAGATGCCTTCTTGGGGTTGACTGTCGGCGCGCGACAGCACAGATGCACAGCAGCCCTGTATTCAAAAGGGGATTGTTAGTTGTGGTTGTGGGGCCATTGCGAGTTTGGATAGTATGGGAGATGAGAGCCGGGAGTGTTAAGTCGTGTGACGCTAGACAGTGCCAAGCAATGTGACCAGTCTTAATGGTGATAATATATATGTATAGCTTCTGGAAGATCGGGGTGCAGGTTCTTACCATCTTTCTAACAATCAAGGAGCTCCATATGAGGAGGGAAAATAATTTGAGAGGGGCCCCGGGAGTTGCGTGGAGTAGTGGCGATCTCAACGCTCGGTGACTAGATGCTTAAGGCTGAGCACAGACCTAAGAAACGAGGCGAAAGGCCAAAGAAAAAGAAATAAAAGTGAAACAGAAACAGAAACAGAAACAAAATCCAGAAAACAGACACAAACAGAAACAAGGGTAACATTCCACACTTTTTCCCATTCGATCTGATGTCAATTACGATGACTCCATCAGTCACACAATAATCTACAGGGCACACTTGCTTAATTTGTACAGAGTACAGGACTATGGGTTGAAAAAAAAAATACATGATATTTTATTGGATTATACAAACAGGCTTAATTCTAATCATCTTCGTCGTCACTCCCAAAGATAGCTTTGAAAACAGCATCGCCGGGCCGTTCTGCCTCCAGGGCATCATTGCGCTCAGGTTCAACAACTACCGGTGGTGACGCCGCGTTAGCAGACTGACCACTTGCAGATGGATCAAGGCCCTCTGCTGTAGGTAAATAGCCCAAAGAGTCGATGAGAAGTTGGTTCATGATATCCTGCGACACCAATTGCTTGGGACCTGTGTCAGCTTGGAATCCAGCGGACTGGAAACGCGTGCCAGACCCAGAACTGGTAGCTCCGGGCCTTTCGCCGGGGTCAAGCTGCACATTCTCTGGGGGTTTGATATTGAATCGCTTGCATAGAAGACGAGTTGGGTAAAAGGGGATGGTACTTCGGGTCATTGGGCCGAACATGCCAATTTTAGCGGCTGCCACTGCGGGATCATCTGGCTTTTCAGCGGGTCTGCTGAGTCCAGATTCTGCAGAGTCAGGGGCATCTGAGACAACCTTGGGCGCGGTAGACGAGGAGGTGAATCGGGATGCCATAACTCCGGACATGGGTTTGAAGACCTCCGCAGCTCGGCTAAATTCTTGCATCTCTATGACCCAGTCATCAGTGCTGGACCCTTCCACCCGTTCTGGGAGGGTAGAGCGAGTCCCAGCACTAACTTCGAGAAATATTTGGTAGCGTGCACGCTTTTTCTCGTCTTCTTGGTAAGGCATCCACCCACTAACGGCCCGAGCTAAAGCTTGGGCGGCAATCTGTTTGTCGAGTTTTGGTACAAGGTCCCAAAGATCCTTGCGTTTTTGTGATTCGGGGAGTTTGTATCCTTCGGGTGCCTTTTCTCCCAAAGCCGGGGGTAAATTGGTGTTGCCGGTAAGTTTGGCAATCTTCGCTCGGCCCTCGGGGGTCATATAATCAAAGATAGACTTCCCAGGTAGTTGAGCCTCGCCTAGAAGTGCTGCTCTGGCGGTGGGATTCAGGGATGAGGCTTTTGCGGCGTCGGCTGTAGAGACATACTTCGATTGGTCCCGTTTTTCTGACGAGATTGCTTTGGCCGATTTCCAGTCGTCGGGTATCACAGGAGGATCGTATTTCTTCTCCGAAATCGACAGTCCCGAGATACCATCGGCAAGAATGAATCCATCTAATGGTAGGCGTCCATCACGGCACTTTCTGAAGCCCCCAGGGCCGCGTGATGCGGCCACCTTCTTCGATATGAACACAGGTTTTAAATTCAAGAGTGGATTAGACGACGCAATTGTTGGTTCCGACTTGACCTTCTTCTTTTTCTTCTTATCTCCTCCAATGGTCTTGTTATATGAGATTTGCGGGCCCAAGGAATAAGGATCCTCGTCGTCCGACCCAGTGTCATTGAGAGGGCCAACGCCAAGTCCTCCCCGCCGTGACCCATTCGGCTTTGGGGGCTGAGATTTCCCTTGGATGGCCAATCGCCCCCCAAAGAACGAATCTGATTCCTCGCTATCCGGGAGGGGCTTCAAAGCATTGTGAGACTCTAGGCGCGACTCGCCCCCAAACCCAAGACCTTTGCGGTCGGTCTTGCGAATGAAAGCAACCATGGGTGGGTTTTCAGGCGCAAAAAGGTATGTTTCCTCCGCATCGCCACCTGGAACAGAGCTTTCATCCAGGTTAGCTTTGCGTCGCACCTTAGGCCCGATCCCTTGACCTTCGCGCCAACCCATCTTTTTCAAGAGCTTGACTCCCATGGTTTCTCCACCGGTTTTCAATAGGTCCATGAGTCCTGCTCTGCGTGTAGCATCTAGCTCGGTCGAGCCGAAACCGGCGAATTCATCGGCAGTCTGTAATTGTCTGGATTCTTCCTGTTCTCGCAAATCATCCGCGTCCATAAAGTCTTCGGGCCGTTTCTGTTCGGTCTTCTGGGCACGGTTCTGTCGCGATGAGACAAATGTCGCAGGAGTCCATCCTTCTTTCGATCCGACGGAGTTAAAGTATCTAGAAGACGTCAGTTATCATCCTTTCTAAGGTCATTGTTCTCGAGACTACTCACCCCGCGCTGAATCCACCGGTGAAGGCGCCGTGAAGACGTTTGCTCCCATGTTCATCTCTCACCTCCTGTTTCCATATAGGAACAAATGAGCCATCATCGCGAACCCCCTCTTCGAGTGGTGGTAATGGGGTTCCATAGAAGGCGTATGGGGATTGCTCTGCTTGAAGATCGGCTTCAAGTGCGGCACGAGTACGTTTTAGAGCCATAATTTTCGGATGGGACAGTCACCCATGAGGAGTTATTGATCACGTCATCTGCATGAGATAAATTGCGAAAGAAGTTGTAATAGAAGATCTGTGAGGGTCGCGCTTGACAGCTCTTAGCTAGAGGTGCCTGAGGCCATCATAGTCTCTGGCTTATATAAGATCTTAGTCATGCCATGGGGATCCGCGGGCATGCCCAGATGGATGTCGCACCGTCCCGTGAAGACAATAACCCTAATGTGGTCCATCTACTCTGTGCTCTGTAGTCTTTTATAGAGTGAGATGCTCTATTCTTGATTTTGTCAGTTCAGAGGGGGAAAAAGGAAATATCACATACATACCTAGATCCAAGACTGGTAATTTATTAATTTCTTGTAACGCCTGATACGAAAAAGAGCGGACCGTGTCCGAATCAAATTGGGACTCAACTGCTCGGCCGTCTGCGCCGAGAGTTCCTGATTGGGCACCTCGCCCACGTTCTTTTGATCTTTGATCTCCAACCCCTTTAGGATGATCTACATATTCTATACAATATTACCGACAGAGTATATATTGATCTGATAGGTCCCTTATCTTCTACTAAAATGATACCCTGTAATTTTTAAATGAAAGACCAGCTAAGAAGTTGATTAGTAGGCTGCGTGGTGTGTAAACCCTTGGCGTTGGAACAGGCTTTGGACATTAGGAGGCTAAGGGCATTATAGCGACTTTTTTTCTTTCCTTTTTTTTTCTTTACCTCTTTAGCACTCAGGTCTTTATTACAAGCATGCCCTATTCCATGTCCCTCTCATAGCCTCTGTGCTTTGGCTTTTCAACCCCGGCAAGATTGTTCCAAATTTCGTGTGCGGCTGGATCCTCCCGGTCGTGGGAACCGTTTCAATGCTCGGTCCATTCCCCCGGAATCGCAGGGCATTCTACCTGGTACTGGTATGCGCAGTAACTTCGATATGCTTCATCAACCTCCTAGTCCTCACACATACGGTCGACGACTCCGTGATCCGCCTCCCTAATCTGAGTCTCTTCACCGCAACAACAAACCCCGTGATCGGAGAATATGCGCACGACGAACACCCTATCGGCGATCTGATGAAGGAAGCAAATCGAGAATGGCTTGTGTATGATAATAGTCGCTCAACGAACTTCCGCCGAACAGTCGCCAAATACCGTGAGAAATATGGACGACACCCACCTCCAGGTTTCAAGGAATGGTACATGTTCGCCCGCAAAAAGAAGGCGCATAATGTGGACGATTTCCAGCAGATAACAGGCGATCTGCGACCTTTCTGGGCGGTTCCTCCGGCGGAAATCCGACAGATGGCGGCCGGGCTACAAGCAAGTGACGGTATTGCAGGTGTGCAAATTCGCAATAAGAAGGTCGTTCACTCCCCTGTTGAAGGGTGGAGAGTTGAAACACTGAGAGAATCGATTAATCGCATTGTTCAGTACCTCCCGGACATGGATATTGCGCTCAATATCATGGATCAGCCACGAGTCATGGTTTCATTTGAGGAAACGCAGGAGTTCCTCCGCACCGAAGCTCTCACCAGAAGCTTACCCAACGATGCGCAAGATAGGTTCACGCCAGACATGAACTATCTATATAAGAAAGACTCCAATATCGAGGAACGTGCTGACCCATCCTGGACCTCGATCGCTGGAAAGCTATACATGGACTTCGCTAAAGAGTCCTGTGACCCTCACTCTCCCGCTCGGAATGAAAATTTCACTCTACAGGATGCCGATAAGCTATACAAATCCTCCTCGGGTGGGTTTGTCACTAACTTTACTGCCTCTTCTGATCTTTGCACCGTTGGTCCTGTTCTTGGGAAGAACCACGGATTTCTATTCTCGGCATCCAGCAACCTGATCACCAGGAAGCTGATGCCAGTCTTCAGCGAGTGCAAGGTTAGCGTGAATAATGACATCCTTTTCCCTGCAAACATGTATTTCTTGGACGACAAGCGGTACGTATACAATTCGCGACATGACTATGAGTGGCAGGACAAAGCGGATACCCTCATCTGGCGTGGCGTCACTTCCGGGGGTGTTCAACTTGCGGATAACTGGCAGCACATGCACCGCCAACGCTTTGTGCACATTACCAACGGCACTGAGATGAGTTCAGAGACGGTCTCGATACTTTCCGAGACAAAGCCGGGGCAGTATCGTCCCTATCCCAGTTTCAACCCAAGCAACTTTTCATTGGACCACTTCGATGTCGGCTTCACTGAGGCCTGGGGCTGCATCCCGAACTGCTCCTTCTACGACGATGTTTGGACTTATAAAGATCCCAAGGACTTCAGCGAGCAATTCAAGGCAAAATACCTCGTCGACATCGACGGTCACAGTTTCTCTGGTCGGTGGCGCGCATTTCAGCTCAGCAAATCCCTGGGGATCAAGGCAACTATTTTCCGAGAATGGCATGACTCCCGGCTCTTCCCGTGGCGTCATTTCGTCCCCATGGACAATCGCTATGATGACCTGTACGGGTTGATGACCTACTTTCTCGGTTTGGACTCGCCAGCATCCCCCGTCGATGCACTCTCAGCCAGCGAGCCTCACATGAAGAGTCATGACTTCGAGGCCGAGGTGATCGCATCTCAAAGTCGGGAATGGGCGCAGCATGCCCTGCGCAACGAAGATCTGGACATCTATCTCTATCTTCTTCTCCTCGAGTACGGACGCATCATTGATGACAATCGTGATAGCATTGGGTACAGTGGCGACGGAAGTGAGCTGGACGACTTTGACGATCAATATCCTTTTTCTCCGGCGATACGTGATATCGTCACCCCTCCTCTTTCGTTCACTGATGAACAATGATTTCTTTCTATATACCATTTATGTTGCATTTATGTTGCATATTTTTGCCATTCTTTACTGAAAGTGGCTGATTTTACATTTCGAAGTACTTATCCATTCATGTTTTAACGACCAACTACATATTTATCCCATCGATTTCGTTTCGGTGATCTATTTATTACTCACGGGGACGAATATCATTGTACGTATTGGTTCACAAGATAAATGAAGAATGACCGAAATTTATCAGGGATATATATCTTCGTGTAAGGTACTCTTGGATAAAACAACAAATATACCAAAAGCCCGAAATAACTTGTTGCATTACATATGAAGAATACGACTATTTCCAGAGTCCAAACAATCAGTCCGTTATAGATCTATCAAAAGACCAACAGATCATTTGACAGTCCAACGCATGAAGCAAAACCTGAGGTAGCTTGATTTACTTATATAGTCAACACCCGAGTCTCCACACATCAACTAGCATCATTGGTCTAGTGGTAGAATTCGTCGTTGCCATCGACGAGGCCCGTGTTCGATTCACGGATGATGCACAAGAATTTCTTTTTTGCTTTTGGCTATGTTGGTGCTCAATTGAATTCTCTTCTTTTCTTTGGGTCTTTTTTTTTTTGGTCAATGGAGGTATTTGGACGAATGCGGGCATTATTCATGGATGTACAAAAACCGTGGTCAGATATCTCAATGTCTACACCTCAATTGAGATGTCAAGCCAGCTGGCATTGAAATATGTATTCAATGCTGAGAGATAGACGGAGATAATCGGTAGAAATACGTTGAGTAGAGATTGTTCTACCAAGCAGTCCAAATATCATACAAAGAACATCAATTTTTCAACCACGGGTCCTCGAGAAGATCTTTAGCAGTCGCTCTCTCATTCGGCATCCAGGTCAAAGTTCTGCGCATGAAATTCACAAACGCAAGTGGTAGGTCCATTTGACCTTCTAGCGATCCAAGCGTGCCTATCTCAGGGATAGGAACAACTTCTCTCCATCTCCCTTAATAACCTAGTTAGCAATAGATCCTGTCGAACACAACAAAGTATCAAGCAATCCAACACATACCCTCTTCATCCCAGAACTGAGCCGCCTTCTCAGGATTAAGCGCCAGAAACGCAGCAGGCGGCGGGCCCAGTACAGCAATCAACTCTGCAAAGTGGGCTGCTTCATACAGATCGCCGGCCTCGTGGTCGGCTCTGAAAGGCCTACGCAGCCCAAGAAGATCACACGCCTTGAAAAAAAGAGATAAGCACTCGTGCCAGGAAGAAGCTATCGGAAGTAAAACATAGATAAACGCACCGCAAGCCCAACACTCCAAATATCAATCGGATAGCTCCACGGTACCTCGAGCGTTATCTCAGGTGCGCGATATGGCATAGGCATAGCAGGATAGTCATATGGCCCAGGCCCGATTCTAGCTTCACCGAAATCGGAAAGACGCAGCGGTCCCTCCTTTGGCAAGATGGCTCGCGAGGAGTAAATGGTTCGATCATGCGATACCTGCTTGCGTGCTGATGGATTGGTCATTTCGGATTCCTCAATACCTTTGAATGTGGCGTTCTCGTCATCATCCACGCATGCTAACAAATTACCGATATGGATATCTATCGAGAGTTAAGGAAGTGAACCAGCGCCAAAAACTTGAACATAGGATAATAACTGACCAGTATGTACAGCCTTGCATTCGGTATGCAAAAAGTCCAGTGCCTGGAGTAATTCGGTTAGGGTCTCTTTGACCAGCCCCACTGGGAACCTGTTCTCGGGCATGTTATCTTTGAGATCGTATAGACTGATACATGCAGGTTCTTGGACTAGCACAATATGCTTTCCATCCGGGCCAGTGACAGTGAAAGAACCGAAGAATCGCCGGATATTCTCTCTCCCTGGGTGATCACTTGACATGAAGGGAGCGATATGTTTGTAAAATGGGAGCTCACGGTGAAATACCGAGTTGTGGATATAGATCTTCAATGCGACGTATTTCTTGTCTCTGCGACAATACACAATCAGTTATGAAACAACTAGAAAATGCTTGGTCTCGACAAACATCAGGTCCCTGGCTAACCATGTAGTCGAACAACTACCCCAGCCTAGCTTTGAACATACTTGATAGCGATCCTCGAAGACTTCGCCGATATATGCTGGGTAGTATCGATAGGCGCTGTAGTCGAACAATTGTTCTTCTTCGGCTGGCTGGTCTGCTTCGATGATTGGGAATCCCTCTGTTGGAAAAGACCGGGGATTCTCTCTGGTGGAGAAAGGGTTCAATATTGACGATTGTCTCGATTGAAATGTTGTTGATGAGGCTCCTCCCCTAGGGATGCGATAGGCGGGATTTATTCCTGGCTGTGTCCTGATTATTCTCGCACGCAGACGAGGATTCAGACTTCTTCTTACTATGGATCTCATTTTATCCGTGAGTAAACCTCCAGTGTTGTGAAGTTGATTTAGGTGTGACACACGGTTGGTGTGTGGGCGCTGACGCGTTGACACTGCTACTACCCCTGCATTATCCTTGTCCATGAATCCGCCCCTGCCAATCTGAGTACAGCAGGTTTTAACCACCAGTGGGCCATAACATATTTTTTTCTGAGGTAAACTTCGTAATATGAATATTCAATATGTTTGTACACACCAATCTCTCTATTGGTTTAAAATCCAAGTCTAATCTACTCATATCTGCATTCCCTTTATCCCCAAATCCCGAGTGCCCAATTCTTCGATTTCTGCTGGAACTACATTCGCAGGTGTAATGTGGACAATACAACACAGAAAGGAACGATCAGAGAACAAGGATATTTATACATCTACAACTAGGCCTCACCGGCAAACCACTCAGATCTATAACATGAAGAACGCATACACCTAAAGATTAACCAAGCCAGCAATGATAGAGACCAGAGAAATGACAAAGACTGAAGTATAGGAGGAAACCGGAGCAGCAGAGACAAAACTACTAGAAGAAGCCGCCACCGACGCCGACGCCGACGCCGACGAGGAACCAACCAAAGACGAACTAGCCCTCGCCAAAGCAGAAGTCCTACTCGAAGCAATAATCGAGCTAGAGTTTGTCGAATTCAAGTTAGTCGAGGTAGTGGCGTTCGTAGCTTTGATACTCGTATAATCCCCGGTCTTATCGGTGTACTTGTACGCTGAAGCCGGGTTGTAGTTGACGATGTCAACTGACTCCACATACATGGTAAAAGGACCTTGTGTGTAATCAGTCTCGCCGCCGGCCCACTCAATCGTGCCCTCAGAGTTATCTGGGTCACCACCGGCCCAGATACCGATGCGGATGCGCATGGGTGTTTGGGGGTAGTTAGTGCCGTCGACGGCGTCGGCATATTGGAGTGTGCGCACAACTTCACCGTCGAGGAGCCACTCGATGCGCTCTGAGGTCCAGTCAATTGAGTAGGTGTGGAATGTTTTTTCTGGGGTTGAGACGGTCACGGTGGTGCCGCGGTCGTATGAGGTTGTGTTGCCTTTGCCGAAGTAGTCGGTTTGGACTTCTGTGTCCCAGGTGCTGATTTGTTCCTGTTTTTCATGTTAGCGGTTGTGGGCTTTTTGATGATTTGAGGTCGATAGACTCACCCAGTCTATCTCGTCTAGGTCGTCCGACTCTAGTATCCAGGTGCTGACGATACCGGTGCCGTTTGCGGCTCTCATCTTGACGTCGATGTGGCCGAAGAAGATGTAGAATTCACTTTCGATTGTGGGGGCGTCACCCTGCTCCGAGATGGTGAACTTGGCGCCGAGGTCGGTGCTGGTTACGGTGCCGGCGGTGGTGTTCCAGCGACCTAGAGATCCAGAGGTGAAGTCGGTGTTTAGACGGTACTTATTCAGACCGGTGTCTGCTGGGCAAGTTTCTGGAAGGAATTATCAGCGTGGGCTCGCGGCAAATCGCATGGGACAGTTCATACTATTCATAGGGTTGCAGCTAGTGGTGGTTTGAGCAGCAGCGACTGCAGCCAGGGCGAGAGTAGCCCATTGATAGTAAGACTTGAGACCCATATTGAAGTCGGGAGAACGGTTGAGTGAAAGAATGAAGTAACAGGAGGACAAAACTATCAACCAGAATTGAGGGCGACGGGCGAATCCCCAGGAGTTATAGGCAGTAGGATTTAGCCTCGGCAAGCAAGCGAGAGTAACAGATACACGAGAATAGTTCTGTTATATTATTCTTAGATGTCGATCTGAGCAACCTTGGAACACCACATCAGCCACGCATCCAGCCACCATACCGGGGGATAACGATTGGCTCTGTTGATAGGAAACATAGTAAAGTAGGCTTAGAAGACATGTAGAATTTTGGTATCAGTCGTGGCCTCAAAATTTATTGGAGATCCACCTGAAAAAGCTTGGATGGAGGATGACGGGGCTGCTTGCGTGGTTGGCCCCCGATTGGGAGTTAGCGGGCTACGTAGGCCTGAGAATATTTCCCCCAACTTTGTATCGTGGGAATTCTAGTCGATAATCTTTCTGTACTAAATCATTTATTGCCTAGAATATGATACATATTGTTTGGTACGTTCAGATCCTGTCCCGATTAGATTAAAGTGACCAACGACCTACGCACATTGAATTGGTCTGAATTAAAAGAGACTACCCTTTGGATAAATTCTGCAGGTCCAAGTGTTCATTTGTTCTGTGGGGCATTAGAAGTGAGCTAATGTGCTGTGTCTGAGTTGTGTCTTCAAATTATTCTCAGACATGACCTATCAAACATGTCAAGATGGTTGCTACTCATACGATTGAGGACAATGTCCGAAGTGACCGGAGAAAGACAATCCCACTCTTCTTTTTCTCTTTCTCCTACCGCGAAATACCCCTGAAAACTGACTCGTAAGCAGATTAGAACGATTAGCTAGTGAAGGTATAAGTAGAAATGGCAAATTCAGAGCAGATGGGGCATCCTAAGTTCGTAAAGCTATAAAACACACAGATTATTGCAAAGGTTGTACATATACATTGAATGTGAACAGAAATGAACATAGAATGATAATGAGTAGCAGGCACATCGTCAACTCGAAGGTCCATCACGAAGCAGCAGGAATGCCTCGTATTTCTTCCGTGTCATCTGCCGACACTTCTTACCCCAGTACATCATGGGGACCGTGGTCATAATAGAACAGAAGCTCAAGACGCCAATGGCAATGAAGACCTGCGCAAGGGTCTGTGCATCCAACCAACTCTGAGCAGTGAAAGTGAAGATACAACCGATAGTGTTGTTGATAACAGCGACACCGACCATGCCCTCCAGAACCATATCCGGGTACGCATCCATGAGATACGCCATGCTAAGATCGCCTGCACAACCCCAGCCGAAACCAATAAATCCCAGTCCAAGATACGGCAGATGCCAGTCCCAGCCTTTATCAGAGCCGATTCCGAAGAGCATGAGCCCAGCAGGGCCGATGAATGCAACAGGCAATAGGAGCCAGAGACGCTGCTCAGCTTCAAAGATGCCCTTATTTCGCTTGGCCATCCACATGACGAAGAAGTCAGAGAACCATCCACCGTAAATGCAACCAAGGACCGATCCGATCAGGGTAGGTACGTTCATGATGCCCACTGCGGCGTCGGTGTAGTTCCAAGGCGGTCCGTACCAATTATCCGCTTCAACGGTGAGGTAGAAGGTCAGCCAGGCGTCTTGGGCGCCCCACTGAAGGCCCGAGTAGATGACGGCTGGGAAGGTGAAGACGCGCAATGTGTGGAACAGGCGACGGCAATACTGTTTGAAGCCTGTCCCGACCAGGGTTGGCGATGGGGTGATCAAGGCGATACGCTGGAAATACGTTTTTCCTTTTTCTTGCCCACATTCTTCGTCGAGTTGGCCGTCGGAGGATGTTCGCTGCACGCTCGCGATCGGTTTGTCTTTTTTATCCGCGTCATCCGAGGTGCCCTCAGTCCTGCCAGCAGGCGCATCATGTCCGTGGATAGGGTTGTTCCGATCAAAGAATGTTTCCTCCAATCCGAAGTAAAAGACAAAAAGTAAGCCTCCGGATATGATGGCAGCAAGCCATCCTACCCATCTCCATCCCAGGGGGAGTTGGTGATAAAGCTAGACACCATAGGCCCCATGAATGTACCGATACTGGTGGCCAGAATGTATAATCCTAGTACCAGACCTCTTTGATGCTGGAAGAACAGATCGGATAGAGACAGCTGGGCAAGTGCCTCGGCGCAGGATTCGGAGGCGCCCACGAAAAGTTGGCTCCAGATATTGTCGCCGACATATTGGGTGCGGGCTAGCCCGATGGAGCCGATGATGGAAAACAACAAACAGATCAGATAGGAGATACGTCTTCCATATAAGAAGGGTGCTGGGCCGAGGAGCAATGTTGTATATCCAATGCCGACAAACAAGACGCCGGCAGCCGTATTGATCTGGTTCCACGTGATACCCAGCTCAGCGTTCATGCCGTTACCAGCGTTGCCGGCATCATTGGCAGTTGCCGCGGTCAGGGCGACAAACACAAGGACCAAAAAAGAATGCCAATACCGTCTCCCGGTGCTCCAATTCATTGGATCATTTGGCGATTGGGTGGGTGTGGGAATCAACTTGACCTCCCCATCAACGCAGATGCGCTCGGTGCCATTGAGCTGCAGGTCCATTTCTTAATTCAAAATCGGAATCTGATTCAAATCCGATCTGATAAGCCAGTCATGGAGACATATTTGCAAACAAATGCGTGTCAGTTTTCTCTATGGAAATGGAGGAAAAAGAAAGAGAAAAATCGTGAAGAATTTTCGATTTCCATGTGGGGCAGATCAGGAGAGGCTAAGCATTTGCCCACGGACTACGCCAAAACTTAGTCCTTTTCATCTTCTCTCTTACACATTGATGTCAACTTGGTTTGGAAATGGGAATATCGACTTGGAGACTCATCTCGAAATCCCGAGGAGCTGCCATGTACCCGGCTTATTATACTACCAAATCCCCTTTCGGATCCTGTGATACTCTTCCAAGGATGTTTACTTCAAACTCAACTTCTCAGTTTATAACTTCCAATATCTCCAGCTTTCTCCTTTATAACATGTTTAGGTCTTGTGGGATGTGTTTGGAAACAAGATCTCTAGGGCTTCCTGGAGATCACTCGGCAACATCGGAACAACACGGATCCTGTTGGTTCAACATCCTCGCACAGCGCGACTAAGTTGGCCACACTTCCAGAAGGAGCCAACCCATCATCTCTATTTATTCCAGTATTGATTAGAGCAAAGACGGCCAAGGCCCTGCGGAAAAAAAAACATTATCTTAAATGGCCAATGTCCCGAGGGTTTGATCTATGCTGTGCTTTTTACAACTTTTATTTCTTTGATCTTATGTCTGCTATGAGAATATCTCATCATGAACCTCGGTCTGGAAACCCCTTTGAGGCGTTATGCTACACAAGGCCGGGAAATTTCTCTTTGGAAGACGTCGTGGTTGATTATGGGTTGCCCTTACGCCAACGTCGACCAATGGGCTGAATGACCAGATGGATTGATCTACGTCCAAATGACCAAGGAACCTTGGTGGAGAATGCCAATCTATCAAGGGGGACTGCCGTATAGGGTTTTTGGCAGGCCATGAACTTGTGAAAAATTCTTGCCGAGAACTTGGAAGAGACTTTATCCAAGCTATAGATTTGCTGATCTATTGATAGGCTAGATGCTGTTTTCCGCATCTCGTCTTTGTAAGGCAGGAATATCAAACTGATGATTCGCTTTGGGGTTTCAAAGTACCTTCTCTATGAAAGATCCAAGAAACATCCACAAAGGTACGTGTCCCAGTTTTGTGTAATGGAAAATCCGTTGAAGTACGATGAATTCGTACAGATGTAAGTGCTTGGCAACTTCAAGTCACACGCCCCGCCCACCCACATTGGAATGTTGTTTGCCTTTTGCCTTTCTCCCTGTCTATCTTCTTCCGACATTCTTCATATCGTCTAAACCACTGAACAATATATTTGCTTTTGTCGTTCCTATTCTCAAAATGTGTAACCAGCAAGCTGCAACGTTAAACCGGGATCCCGGAAACCGGTCATTGGTAAACCCATCAGTGAATCCACGAGATTGGGACATTTCAAGGCTATCTCTAAAGTTGATCTGATTGGACATCATTCGGAGACTCACCTGACCTGGACAATCCCATCCAACCGCGCCAAATCTCACCGATTTGCAGGTCGATGCGGGTACATGCGGCCAAGGATGCGGGTCCAGTCCCGTTTGGGACAACAAACTGCGTCAGAGGATATACTCTCCCTAGACCCAAACAGATAACTCGACTTTTGCTATGATTGAGTGGTAGAATGATGTATTTATTTCAGGAAAGTGGATCAAATCAAATGTCCAAGAAGCTGACGATGAGAGAGGCAGTTTTCCCCTCACAGCCTATCGCAGTGCATAGCGACCATGGAGGACTTTGGTCCTATTGACTGAGAATCCACCGCTTGATACTCCGCCTTGAAAAGTATGTACCTAGGTAGTTTCTACTCCGTATACATACTTTGAATGGTTATATCCGGTAAGTAGTCTCTATACAGCATTAGATCGGTAGTGGCTGGCTATTAATATAAAACCATATCAGCCCACTCATACACCCTTTGTATTGAACAATAGGAGAATCCGATATGTGAGTACCAAGGTGATTCAAGATGATATAGATTTTATAATTCCAATTCGCTACGTTGGTCTTCTCATAAACTTGGATTATAATCCAAGATATATTTGGGATCTCTATAAATCCGCAAATCAATTCAAAATTTCCACAAAAATACCATATCATATATGAAATGAGTATATCCCTGTGACAAGAAATGCATAGTTTCTCTTGCCCTGTAATATCCTAGAAAGTCACCCTGTGGACATAGATAGCCAAATTTCTGCTGGCAATAAAAGCCAATAGGACCAAAGTCCCTAGTGGTCACTATGCACCGCGATAACACAACCTCAACCCCCTCAACTTCCGTTCAACGTAATCCTTGTTTACTCCAATATTCCAAATTTTCAAACTCGAATGTCAACTTGTCAACTCAGAATGGCTCAGTCTTTCCACATCTCTTCTCCCATCACGGGCGTTAATCCCATAAAACCTAGTAATTGTTGCTCCGACCTGGCTGCGCTCGAGGCTCCAAAGGAGTGGATCGAGGGAAAATACGCAGCGAGGTCGGAGCGCAAGAAGGTGATTGTGGTGGGTGCTGGCGTTTCGGGCCTACATGCTGCGGCTGTCCTGCACCGCCACGGTTGTGAAGTGGTGGTATTAGAAGCACGCGATCGCATTGGTGGAAGAATCCTAACCACTCGAAAGGGGGATCATGTCCGAGATATTGGTAAGATAAAGATAGGATTCTGACACAGAGACTTAAACAGGAGAGAGAGAGTAAAGAAGATGTGCTGATAGTCAATAGGTGCCGCTTGGATGCATGAAACTTCCCAGAACGGCCTAGTCAGACTTATTCCCCAGTTATCTATCCCATATTATTATGACGATGGTGTCCCTCTGTACTTCACCAGAGAAGGTCGAACTGGATCCCAGTTCAAAGCCAAGAAAGTCGCAGACGAGTTTGCTGATTACTGCGAGTGGTTTTACGAAACTAACCCGGACGCCGAGGACCGTCCTGTCCAAGAATTCGCGAAAGAGTTCGTCCTCCAACACCAGCTCATCACCGAAGATGAACGTGATTGGGCTCCACAGGCTGTCCGCGAGGTAGAACTGTGGATCGGAACTAGTACGGATCAAGCATCGTCCAAACATCTCTCTTATTTCATCACCGAGCGCAATCTCTATATGAAGGGTGGTTATGATCGGATTGTGAATTGGATTGCAGAGAGTCTCCGAAGTGATCCAAGCATTATCAGACTCAACCACCATGTCGAGGAGGTAGAGTGGAACGAAGACGGGAACACGCCAGCTCGAATCCGGTACAAGGATGCTGCTGGAGAAATCGGGTTTATTGGCGGAGATGCAGTTATCATGACTAGCCCACTGGGGGTCTACCACCACAACCTCATCTCATTCATCCCGCCCTTGCCGAGTGATATCCAAGAGGGCATGTCCAGGTTCAGCTACGGCGCCTTGGGCAAAGTGTTTTTCGAGTTCGACGAAGTCTTCTGGTCAAAGGAAAACGACCAGTTCGTCTTCTACCCATCTCCGACAGAGGAAACGGATACTTCATCCGGGTCATCTGTGCAGTCTACTCCCAGTATAAACTCCATCGGAGAGAAGGATAATATCCTCAACTACGCCACCGTGACAATCAATCTATGGATCATGACGGGCAGCAAAGAGCTGTGCGTACAGATCGCCGAGCCCTTGACGCAACGCATCGAGAACATGCAAGATCCAAAAGAGATATACCTATTTTTTGAACCGCTTTTCAAACTATTCCGTACAGAACCGTACAAGGCTTTGCCTGGTCTGGTAAATGTTGAAACTACACATTGGACCCAGGACCCGCTAGCTGGGTATGGAACCTACTCCGCCGACAAGGTTGGAGATGACCCGCAGCTGCTGGTTGATGCGTTGGAAAACCACAAATCCAGTCGCTTGCAGTTCGCCGGTGAGCATTGTACTATTTATGGTAATGGCTGCGTGCATGGTGCTTTCAAGACGGGTGAAACCGCTGCAACTAATCTGCTCGAGGAATTTGGCATACTGTATGATGGTGTTGATATCATCGGTTCAAAATGAACTGCTTTCTTTGGACTCTAGTGGACTTGAAATGGAGGATCTACTTGGTCGTATTTCGGTTATTTATGTGATATAGGGCTACCCGGATGGTTGCACTTGGAAATCTTGTGTATTATCTTGATTAATGTCAAATAAATGTATCAAATTCAGTTTTGATACAATATCACTTCATGCTTACAGATATAGTGTGTGAGCCTTTGATTAATCACGCTCAGCTATTGTCGGATAAGATTGGAAGTGTTTAGACAGAATGCCATATCCCAACTTCTGGAGACTGAAGTACTAACTGAGACAGTTATTCTGGGGGAAGTGTTGAGAATCAAAGGAATGGATAGCAAGGAAGCTCTAAACAGATTATATTATGAACAGATTTCTTTGTCGGCCGTTGAAAATTCTGTACTGAGTATATACACAATACTAGATCACACGCTAGGTTGCACTTTTGAGAATAGATAGTTCTGATTATAGGTTATTTTTATTCTGCTTCTATATTCACATTAACACATCCTTCCCAACCCATATCAAAAGTCACGAGTGAACACAGAATTCTATCAAATAAACTAGGGTATCATTTCGAACACGTAGAACAAAGGTCTCCTGAGATCTGAAATCCCTATCACCCGCGACCATTTCTAGACTATAATGTAGCGAAATTAGCAGCTAGTCAATTGAGTAGTACATCAAAAGCAGAACCTTACCTGTCTAGAAGCCATTTTTCCCCTCGAGGCTCGTCTCTTCCACCCTTTCATACCAATAGTTATGAAAATAACACCATTCCAAAACCCACGCAGGGACCCCAACGTACTCACCGACAGAAGAAGGGAGTAGTTTCCATGTCTATGATGCACAAATTCGGCGATACGGTTAATAGTAGGTGCAATCCATGTTGCTAACATCGCGAGGAAGAAAAGCGATGGCATGATCACGTATTGCCTGAGCGACACACGCCTTTGAGTCGGCGTCCGAATAACCGCCTGAAATTGCGTGGATGGTGTCGGACGCTGGGACGTGTTTTGCTTCGTGCTATCGTTTGTTGTAGTAGATTCTGGGGCGAACTCGGTCCGATAATTCGCTTCCATAGTTGTGGTCGTGACGCTGTTGGTCGAGTTGTCGGAGGTCAGGGCGATACGATCGTCATCACTCAATTTGAACTCATCGCGGACTCTAGTTATCTCGATACCGATGAGACAATATAGTATTAGAACGATGACTATTATCAGCCTGTTGCATGACCATTAGAAGAGTCCAGTAGTCAAGTAGGCGAATAGAAGCGAACTCACCATACGGGTGCATAGTAAAATATTATGCGCAAGATCATCCAACTGCGAGATATTGAGCACCAAATCTATGGAAGTTCGGTTAATTCCAAGGCATTTTCAATTTCAAGTCGATTGAAAAATACTCACAGTTTCGTCACCATATATAGAACCTTTTTCATGGCTGTGGATAAAGAGGAAGACAAAGGCAGGTATAAACGAGAGAGTCGTAATAAAACCGATGTATTTGACTTCGAGCTTGCGCAAAGATTGAGTATCAAAATGATAGAAGACAACCAAGTATGTATCCAAGGCCATTGCAAATGTCCAGAGCACGTCAGCTACTGGGAACCTTTTCTCTCTTTTGGTCAGCATTGCCCCAAAAAATATCTGCAAATGCCCACGACATACATCTGAAGAGCAAAGCCTTGGAATTGACATAGCGACGAAGTGTCTCCAGCTGCTGGTCCACTAGTGGATATCATCGTAGCGACAGAGTCGAGCAGGTTATAGAAGGCATTGAAAAATATTATACGATGAATAGGACTCCGGAAGTGTCGCGAAAGGGAAAAGGCACCGATGATTGTGAATGAACCTAAAATAGAGAGATCTGAAGAGACTCGCCCTGCAATGGCGATCCCCTTAAGCTCCTCAGGAGAGTGTGACATGGCAATAGACCATCACGAAGGAGATAATTACAAGAACTGTCAAGTCGCACCCTTTTTGAGTCGAAGATTAAGTTTGCGTCGTTGCGATGAGTATTCTTTGACCTGAATGACGTGATTTTACTTCTAGAGACTCGATGAATTCAATTTGATGCCAAAAGGTTGACAATTACATTATAAGAGCTATGCAGCAGAAAATGCTATCTCCGGGGCCTTTGGTCCCCAATAGCCTCATCGTGCTTGATAATGGGGATGGAGCGGTGCTCCCAGAACAATGTGATAGCCCAGACCCTAATTTTCAGCCAATGACCAATTTTTCGAGGATTAAGCACGTTATGCGCCATATAATTAAACAAATTGCGAGCTAGAAAAGTCCGGGATTTAAACAAACAACGCCCTTACCGCGAGTCTGGATGATCTCCCTTCAGATCTCCCTTCACCTTTGGAAGTAGTACACCGCAGTTCGCACAATAGAGGCTGCCCGGAGAATTTATTCACTCAGATCATCACATCTTCTAGACCGAATAAGCTGAGACAGTCTACAATTCGGATATAACACATATCTATATTGAACCTAGTTCCATTCACTATGGGAATTCTGTCGACGGTTGATGCCGAAACGTGTGGCTGCTTCCCCTTTTGATCCGATCGGGATTCTCCGATATTGGACCCACAAAGATCTTGACCAAACTGTTTTCGATCGAATCCAATTTTAGCCTACTTGCATTTTATTGTTCGTTTCATATTATGTCCTATATCGCTCAGGTTTCAGCCCCTTACAGAGTGTCTGTAGTGAATTCACGCGTCGTCTTTGCTCCTAGATATCTGGATTCATCTCATAAAATAATATATAGCCGCTGGTGCGGCTTTGTGATTCTTCTGAGTGGTCTTGATCTTCCCATGTGGTCTTCTAGCATAGCATGTCAAGACGCATATTTTAAGACATCCATCCTATGATCGACAGCAGAAAGAAAGTAGGCAGAGACTTGATTGGGAAAATGACTTTTCCGTGTATGATCGCAATGCAGACCACAGTTTGATTCAGGGAACAATTTCGTTGGAAGAGGCGTAGAAACGATTCGGAAACCCCGGTCTCAAGCACAAGGCTTAGCTAGCCGGAGCTCGCAATCGAGATAGTGCAGCGAGAGTGTGTAACAGAGGCATGATTTCATTGCTGTCCATTTCTCTTTTCCCTATCCGACAACTGGCTTGTAGATATTCGACTCGGCCCACAACAATTCCTTGCCCATCACGCCAAGATTCACTAGATGTTGACGAACCAACTGGTGGCCGCATCATGGCTGCCGGAGGAAATGAAATGATCAGCCTTGCTGATCCCTCATGGAATTGGTATGTGACCACTCTATAGCTATTGGGGGATAATCTAATAATCCATTCTGGCCTAACTCTTAGCATCCGGGCAAGGGTAACGACATATCTTTATAAAAGAGTGAGGTAACCTTTGTCCGTCCCATTGGTATAGTCAGTATATCTTCGGCCTCTGATTTTAATTTCCTAATTTTCAGCCCCCAGTGGACCCCTTAAAATGATATGTTATTGCTGAAAGGGGGAAAGGTATGTTTCGAGAATGATGCAACAAGCTACCTAGCGCTTTCTAACGCCTGATATGAGCCAACACAACGATGATACTAGGGTTGCTAGTCAATTTTCTGCCTTGGTGAATGACTCACCCTCTCTCGATGATGATATTACTTAATAGCCTTTAAGTACCTTATCAATGGCAGATTCTCTCAGTACCCCCATCACCAGCATTTGGGACCGAGATTGCATATTATCAATCAACAACCGGCCGACCATCTCGGTTTACTTCCAGTAGACGAGCAGGAATATGAAAGAACATGGGATACACAAGTTCCGAGCCGCATTCATTACCAAATTGGAGTTACTTTGAATAGCCAGGCTGTAACAAAGAACATGGAGCAAGACCTCTCGGTAGCAATTCAAACAAGAAAGCTGAACACCTTTTCTCCCCCAGCGGCAAAATTATTTGCACGTTTCACACTCTCAGTCAATTATCTGATATTTACCTTTCTTCTGAACAAATATGTGACCAACTTGTCATAATGACATTTTATGTCCGCATATTCCTATTTCTAGGTCCACCCGAGCTGAACGGTCATCATTGACATACGTCGGCCGGCTAACATTCTCGTAGCTAACATTCCAGCCTGCTGATCCAATAGTTTCTAGCGTACGGAGTACTCGGCTGCCTGCCATCCATCAAAATATGCATCGCATGAAAAAGCCATATGGCTCTTCTAACTTTTCAGCCGCATTAAAAATTGATGTAGTAGTATAAATCCCAATGTATGATTCATAGTTAGTAGAAAATCATCTATTTCTTTTCACACTATAATGGAACGGTGCATCACCGTGACACCTGGTTCCATGGTGCATTGTTTGCCTCCTTACAGTAGAAGGCAGTTGGTTGTTTGAATCCCCCTTCTGGCCTGCAGAAATTCCTGGTCGATCCCCAAAACGAGTTTTTTCAGGCGGGCAATATGCGAAACTGATTGAGGTAGCATGACCGCATGATTGCGATTGAATTCTTGCTATGGACTAGTCAACTAAGGGCGCGTTGGCCCAAGACGGAAGGGCCCAAGACGGAAGTATGTATTCTGTCTCACAGCCCTACTCCCATTTCCTTTGCCTGTACGCTCGACTACGAGGGCACTCTGTGACGAATGAAGAGTCAGGTTTGGCGGTGTACATCGTCATCCATCGTGTTCAAGCGGGGTATGCATAGATGACTTGGATAATGGAGGTAGAGAGCCTGATCGAAGGTTTGATAAACGGGCAAATTCCTTCATTCTGGGAGGTCCTGTACACCGGTAAAATCATTTTTTACTCCGTAGAGAGGATTATCACCAAAAGCTCCTTTGTTGAGAAATTCGCGTGGTCACGGGTGCTGAGGGAGGTCATCCGAGAGGACTCGGACGATATTATGCAAGGCGCCTTGCGCTGGTTATATATATAATGTAGCATGTCAGTGTCTTGTAAGGCATACTCAATAATTGCTCTAATGATAATCACCCTCCGCTCCACACATGTATATTTCCCCTACATATTCGATTACAATTAGATTACATAAGCTCCACAACGGTTGGGGGGTGGATACAGCGCCACCTGGTGCGAGGTCTTTTGATGCAAAGGACATGCAGCGACGGTGATCTGTCACTTGTGCTGATTGGACACAAGAGAAACCTGCGGGTGGCGGCCTGACAATCCAAGACATGGAATGGGTGCAATGTCTTAGGTTATTAGGCCTCCCGGATGTACTCCATAGATGCATCATCAGTACTACCTGTGACCTAAGTAGCAGACCTATATAAATACCCCCCAATTTGTTTCCATCCTAGTGGGAGATAAGACTAGTGAAGTTGTTCTTACAAAGCAAAAAGTGAAATATCAACCATGAAGACCTCCCTAGTTGCAGTTACTGCCCTCCTCGGCCTGGTATCGGCCCAGAATGCCATTGTGCACAACAACTGTGGCACCACCGTGTATGTGCAGTCGTTCCCTTACGATGGTAGCGACCCCGGCCCCCTCACCACCCTTCCTACCGGGGAGACCTTTTCCGAGGAATTCAGAGGATCTGGCTCGGTACGTTACTCTGTCCTATCTGCGTGGCATTTGATACAGCAAGGGAAACTAACTACAGATGCAATATACAGACCGTCAAGATTGATAAGGGGAGGGCGCTAGAACACCCTCTCTTCTTTGGCTATTCGGTTTCGTCTAGCCCGGACTACGTCCACTGTGAGTGCACCTAATCTATCTTCTAGCTAGAATCATTTTACTAACCATGTTTTTTTTTTTTTTTTTCAAAGATGAGCTGAGCACGGAGTGGGGCAACCCATTCGCAGCGGATCATAATTCGCTTAGTCCCGGGGATGGTTGTCAGGCCTTTGACTGTGCCGCTGATGATGCTGCTTGCTATAGTACCCCAGACCAAAAGAAGGTCTATGAGTGCCCCCAGCCAGTCACGCTGACCGCGAGCCTGTGTCTGTAATTTTGTCACCTACACTGTGTACCGTTGCACTGCGGATTGTGTTGGGGTCGTAGGAAAATATCTTTATTTTCTGTACTTATTTAAAGCTGTCATAACCCGTCTCGAAGCTACATAGTGATAATAAGACAGGCATTTGTCGTGACATTTGTACTACGTGGGAGACCATAAATCATAATTCTAGAGATTAAAACCCCATAGCCACAACGATAGTAGCAAGATAAATATCTAGTCCGCGGCTGAGGTATGTTATTTGGAGCTGGTTCATGATCTCCCTGGACATGAACCAATATCACTAGTTGAAATAGGTATTTTGAAATCTTTTATTTTGTTGCTTTACTACCTAGATAAAATCGCTCTCAACTATATGTTGCTTTACTACCTAGATGAAATTGCTCTCAACTATATGTGTCACATATGTCCGCTACCAATATGACAGCACCTAGCCTGAGACTAGCAAAACGCCGCGTCAGAAGGAATTTAAAAGGACCGTTCTAGATATCGACGGACCTAAACTTTTTCACCATTAAATCAAATATACAGATTTGGCTGATGAGCAGTCTACTGACGACTGTATAAGAAAGGAAAATTCTAGTGAGTGCTATTTGTATTCATCTCAGGTGTAGTTCATAGTCGTCACTAGCTTAGGATGTTCTTTTCCAGCTCTAACCAGAATTATGAAGGCATTTGAGCAATCAATCATCTCCGCTTAGCTTGAGCAGACGCTGCACACAAAATCCCGATAGCCCTGGATCAATCCAAATTTGACAAAGCGCGGCCCACCCTCAAGGGCTCGGATGAGCCTGATCCACAGCTGGGCAGCAGACGAGGACCCGGGGAGTAAAATAGCTGCCCTATCAAACTCTGAGTCTTTTTTTCCTCTCTTTTTTGAATTAAGCGAAAAGCCTCATTGTGGAAAACGCTAGTTTATTAGCCAACGACAAGATGTGGATTGTAAATTAACCTTTTTTAAGTAGCTGCTTGTTTGATATGCCTAGGATCTGCGCGACTCAGAGAAGAATGAGTTATGCACAAAGTACAAGCAAGAATAGATTGTTCTTCCTAGATTCAAATATTTCCATTTTCAAAGATTTCACGTTGCGCCACGAAGTTTCCAATGTCACATTTTTCAGTGAATAATATTTCATATGACAGCAATGGCATTGATACCCCCATTGTATCCGACCCCAAAGTGCCAATTTACGACAATAGAGAGATAGGGAAAACGAGCGATATAGAGAATGCTGTGGGCCAACTCGATGAGATTCACGAATTCAAACAGGGCCTCCATCAGCGACACATCCAAATGATTGCTCTCGCCGGCACTGTGGGGACGGGTATTTTTCTCAGTTCGGGCCGAGCCATTGTGGAAGCTGGACCATTGGGTGCTTTCTTGGCATATACAATTATTGGTGCGACTGTTTCAAGTGTCGTCTTTGGAGTTGGTGAGATGGGAGCCCTAGTGCCTCTCAATGGTGGTGTTATTCGATATGCAGAGATCTTCTGTGATCCCGCGCTAGCGTTCGCTAACGGATGGAATCAAGTATATTCCTACATTGTGTCGATTCCGTCTGAAATTGTCGCTGCGGCAGTTATCATTGAATTCTGGGTTACGGTAAACAATGCGATATGGATCACCGTGCTTGGTTTCCTCATGCTTTCAACTGCATTTGTCTTTGTTCGCGTATATGGAGAGCTTGAGTTTGGATTTTCTATCCTCAAGATCATGCTCATTATAGGCATCAATGTAATGGCTCTGGTGATTCCGCCCTCCAGGAATGTGTATACTTTCTGTGCTAATTTATTTTGATAGGTGATTACTTGTGGCGGAGCCCCGAATAAATCGGCCATCGGATTCGCCTACTGGAAAGCTCCTTATGGGCCTTTTGTCCAGTACTTGGGGGTGAGCGGCTCTCTTGGTCGGTTTTTAGGATTTTGGAAAACTTTCGATAACGCTCTCTTCGCTTACTCTGGCATTGAAAACTTCACTCTCGCTGCAGCCGAGACTCGAAACCCTCGTCATGCTATCCCCATGGCCGCCAGACGTATCTTCATCCGCATTTTGCTCTTCTACGTAATCACAATCTTCATGGTCGGTCTAATTGTCTCATCTGCGGATTCAAATCTTCTGGGCTCGTCGGGAACAGCCTCACAGTCCCCTTTTGTTATCGCAGCCCACCATGCTGGCATCAAGGTGGTTCCATCGATTATCAATGCTGTTGTTCTCACCTCAGCATGGTCCTCTGGAAACAGCAATATCTTGGGTGGTTCTCGAATCCTGTACGGTATGGCAACCCAGGGTCATGCACCTGCTGTTTTCAAACGTATCAACCGCTTCGGTATCCCTTATGTCGCTGTCGCGCTCTATGGCATTTTTATGGCTCTTGGATACATGACTATCTCCAGCTCAGCCAGTACGGCATTTACATGGCTACAAAACCTCGTCTCCATCTCGACTCTAGTGAACTTGATCTGCATCTGTATTGTCTATCTTAGATTCTATTATGGATGCAAGACGCAGGGAATTGACCGCCACAAGGAGCTCCCGTGGGCATCACCTTTCCAGCCATACATAACTTGGATCTCGTTGTTCGTGTATATTGTTCTTTTCTTCACCGGTGGGTTTACGACATTTATGCGTGGTCATTGGAGTACTGAAACCTTCGTGTCGACATATTTCAACCTGCCCTTTATCGTGATTGTGTATCTTGCCTACAAATTCTGTGCAGGGACGAGGATCATCCCGCTGGCCGAACTTCCAATTCGGCCTTTCATCGAAAGCTGGTACAAGAATCCCGAGCCGGAGCCCAGGCCGAAGCGCGGCCTTAGGAAGCTCAATATTTTGTGGTCATAATTTGCACTATATTGGAGAATTAGATAATGTGATATGTTCTTATGTTAGAACCATAACATTTCGCGATGAAAATGAAGCTCAAAGGGGCCGTGGGGGTTTGGTCAACGAGAGCGCCTGAGAGCCGAACGCCGGCGCGCCTGACTTTAGGGCTTTCGCCGCTGGTGTGGGACCCGACTTCACGCATCAAAAACAACATTTGTATTGTCGTGTTACTCTAGTTGTTATTATCGGGAATTTCGGATAGACAAAGCATGAAAGTAGAAGTGTATAGAGATCTCGCATTGACTCATGCGGTATTCGGGATGCCGATACAAAATAGGTGAGTCAATCGGGCTCCAGGACTGGCTTAGCGCTGCCGACAATTTTGCTTTATATTGTGTTCACGATATCCTCAACACTGAAAAACAAAACACCAGAGAATAAGACACGTGCAGAATGACTCTACCCCAACAACCAGTCTACGTGATCGTCCCATCAACGGGGCCCTCAACTGAAAGCGACCGACTCCTCCTTCGCCCAATTACCGACGCCGATGCCGCAGCACTTTTTGCCATTCGTTCCCGGCCCGAAGTGACAGAAATGAAGTCAGTACACACAAGTATCACCTATGGATGAGGACCATTCACTTACTAACTATATATCAGCTCTCCAAATACACCATTCAAATCAATCGAAGAAACCCGTGATTGGATGGCAACCAAAGTATTCACAAGTGGTCCATCCGATATCATCGGCCGTTCATTTAATTATGCCATTGTGGACAAATCAATTTCGAAAACAGAGGAGCAAGTCATTGGATCCCTCAGTTTCAACCAGGTAGACCCTTTCCCTGAGATTGGATACGCAGTGCATCCATCTTGTTGGGGGAAAGGGTATGCAACCGAAGCCTTGCAATTGATGTTGAAGATGTGGTGGAATCTTGCGCGTCGAACAATTGACGGTGAAGATGCTTGTGCAGCAGAGGCTGAGAAGGCCTTTGCTCTTTGCGAAAAGAGGAACACTGGGAGCCGCCGTGTACTAGAAAAGTGTGGCTTCAATATCGTGGGGGATTTCCAAGAGGAGGGAGATGACCTTTTTATATTTGCGTTAAAGCGGCCATGAATTCAGAGAGAGAACTAAACCTGGCAAGTCTATTGAAAAAACTACATGTACATTTCCAGGGAGACGTCTGAGTGAATGTATTATATTGAGAATAAATTGATCGGTCAAATATGTATGAATGGCAGGTCAAAGAATCGGATTCCGCTCTCACGCTGATTATGATATTATGTAGTTAATAAATAATCTCACTGACTCGCTTTCGCTGCTTCCAAAATCACATCAGCTGCCTTCTCGCCCACTAAGAAAGTGGAAACAGCAGTGAACGTTCCGGGGATACGGGGGTACACAGATGCATCCACAACACGAAGTCCCGAGACGCCACGAACTTGGAATTTAGAATTCAAAACAGCCATGGGATCGTCATCAGTTCCAATGGGGCATGTGCAGGAAGCGTGGTGACCCCAAGCCGTATTCTTGATGTAATCATGCACCTGCTCATCAGTCTGGACATCATCGCCAGGGAGGATCTCAGACACATCAACCAATTGACGATCAAAGGCGCCGCGCGCAAGACGAATAGCCTCAGTGATGGCTTGCAAATCCTTTCCATAGTCACCAGAGCCAGTGTCAAAGTAGTTGAAAACAATCTCGGGCATATCGAGCGGATCGGCAGAGCGGAGCATCACAGATCCAGCGGTGTTACGAGGGTGGGCTTTCAAAACCGCCCAAGTGAACCAGTCATGGTGGGCGGTGATATTGATACTGTATTGTGGGAAATATCCGCGGAAGTTGAGAGGCCCGCCGAACACGAACACGTCGAAGCTGTCATCCGCAGTGACGGTACTCTTGTAGTACATCGCAGCTGCGAATCCATTTGACGAATAGACACCGTGGTCGCCGAGGACTGGCTTCTTCCAGCGATCAAGACAAGGATCGCTATCACCATTATCAAAGGTGCATCCCTTGAGAGCGGCGAGGTCCTTAGGGACTTGACCTTGTACTGCAATCTCGTAGTGATCTTGCAGGTTCGTGCCCACACCGGGAAGGTTAGAGATAACCTTGATTCCAAACTTTTGGAGCTCCTCTCCTGGCCCAATACCGCTGAGCTTCAGGATCTGAGGGGAGTTATACACGCCACCAGCGACGATAACTTCACGAGAAGCCGCTGCTGAGCCAGGCGTTCCCTTGCCCGCGGTCTTGGAGCGGGGACTGGCGCTGTATAGATATTTGCCGTCTAGGAACTCGACGCCTGTAGCGCGGGGAGGTGTGACAGTCTCGTCAAAGGTGACTTTGGTCACATGGCAATTCATACGGATGTCAAGTGGGAACTTCTTAGACCCGTCGGCGTTCTTTGCATCCCTAACGGCCGTCAAGAACTCGCGGGGGCCGTTACGAGAGCTTTCATCGGACGCCACAGGGACTTGATAGTATCCAGGTTTGGTGTCGCGGCTGCTTGCGGCCGAGTTTGCGTCTCCTGCGAGGAGGGTGCCGAGATTGAAAATTGACTTGGTCGTATTACCCAGAGAAAATGCCCCACCAAGTAGCAGGCTTAGAAGTTGTGGATCTTTCAAAACAATGCTTAGTGGTGCGGTCTCGGTGCTCAACCAACCGTCGTAGCCGTGGCCCTTGAGCAATGGAAGTAGGTAGCGGTTGTTCTCCATACGCTTAAAGTACTTGCGCATATTTTCGGGTGACCATGAGCCATCTCCGGTGAGTGTGGCGAGGTATTCGAAGTCAGACTCATGAGGATAGATGGTAACCAGAGCATTGTGTGCCGTGCAGCCACCAAGTGTTCCAGTACGGGGGTAAAGAGTGCCTTTCATTGTGGAACCCGCGGGTGGGTTCAATCCCGTGTACTCTTTGCCATCGGGAGTTTCATATGTCGTCTTGAAGTCGAGCTTTTGCCGAGCTTCATCGGCGTAGTGCTTGACGTAAAAGTTCCATGCCATAGTTTCATCCTCAGAAGCTTTGGCGGAGAAAGCTGGGACGGTGTAGTTCAAATTCGCTCCCTGGTCATCTCCAGCTTCAATTAGAAGCGTGCTATGACCTGCTAATGCGAGTCGCGCCGCTAAGGGACCACCTCCTGCCCCAGAACCAACCACGATGTATTCATAGCCCGATAATTCAACGGCCTTGACGATGGCAGAAAGTGCGGCCACGCCGAAAAGGCGACCAAAAAGCATTATGAATATAGCGCTATGAGACCAAGTCAAATGAGCGTAACCTGTTTACTCTGGGTGCTAGGCCTCATTATCTTTATATCCCGCCCCCCTTGTTGGTGCTGGGTAAATCCTTAGCTCAATGTCATGCTAAAAGTGGAATCAATAGTCAGGCGAGATCAAGTTCTTGACGATCGCTGATCTCAAGTATTGCATTTGTATCTCATTGGTAGTGGCTGGCTGACTCCACTAAAAAAGCACCCCACGCAGGGGTCTGTGTTCACGCTATGCATCCCCGCGACGATGATCACACTTTGTTCATTGATTTTAAAGCAATGGTACATGTCAATGGCTGTCATCAAACGGTTGTCGCGGGATGACTCCATATCGGGATTGACATGATTACCGAGTATGGGGCCTACACATATTTCGAGATAAAGTGAAGTCACACGACAGGATCCTAGGCATTCTTCCATAGCACTTTAAACCAATCACCTGGTGCATATGCAGCTGATATGAACAATGCACATGGGTGTACGGCGTAGAATTGTGCTTAAACAAAACCTATTCCTATTGATTTTGAAGTTGAAAGCTTGCGTTGATATATCTCTAAGATGGCGCAGACAGTGACGCGAGGTTCCACTATAGGGGCTTGTAGTCTAATAGGACATGGAGATCATGAGGAATATACGGAGTACAACATACATACCTCGGCTATATTTTTTTCCTTCACATTTGCTGCATCTGGCTATGATCCAAGCCACTACAGAAGCCACTGCCATGCTCTAAATTCTCCGTCGTGCAGCTGCATATTTGTGGTCCAATCGAAAATTCGACAGGTCGCGCGGTATTGCCTTTGAAGTGCTCATATATTAATCACTCTGATAAATACTCCGTACATGCTTGCACTAGTAACTAAATCGCGCCACCACAAGTTCCCCATGAAGCCGGGGTCCTACGGAAATTAGGATCGACAAATGCGCAACCCCTTTCTTGTCACAAAATAAGCACTTGTCTGTCCCTACTCCGTACTTGAACAGTACATGTAGAACATATTGCATCGGGTCGAGATGGGAGTCTGAAAAAGGGAGTCGGCGCAGTTTTGTCGAACCTTTCAGGATTCCAGAATTATTCTTGGAGCAGTTCTTCCATGCTTGACCCACTTCGCCTTGGAATTGACCCTTGGCGCTGCAGAACAGGATTTTGTGTCAGAATCATTCATATCCGAAGCAGTATCATTGGACAAATAGCACATTGTGCATTAAGAGCATCAGCTCAAGCGGGGCCACAATCGGCACAGCCAGTACTAGAACAGCTCGCCTTGCTTCATTTATTATCAACCGGACGAGCCCGCTTCACAAAGCCTATTGTAGTGAACCAGTCCGGAGGGCAGTCTGTCGCTGCAGTCCCAATACGAAATAAATACATCAATCGAGACTTGCACCGACTATATCAAAAGCAGTCGCGTATACTCTGTACTCCGCGCTCAGTATCTCTATGCCGTCATCCGTGCGGGTTCGTAATGGTGCCCTAGTCGCAAGGCCGATATACACAATGTGAGATGGTTCCAGTCACAATTATTGCTTAATCGCATGAAGGTAAGCGACAACCTTGTCGCTAAAAATGTTGTCACGGCGAAGTTGATTGGCAGATTCGACAATCCATGTCTGGCAATCTCTCTGAATCACTTTTCTACCTGGTTTGGACTAAAACATCCCGAATTAGCCTACATTGAGGCAACAAAGCGCCACGTATAGTTCCTCGTAAGTTTGGCTTTGAGGAAAACTTCATGGCATGCATTCTAGGAGTCGGGTTAGAAATGCAGCTGCATTAGACTCACCCCGTCACTGACTGTGCTCAGACTTTTTCCTGGAGCTTGAATCTCATTGACACTCTTCTCGAACCGACAGACAGGCGTATTATCGATTTTGTATTCCCCGTCATTGAGCATTGCATTCTCATCAAAGTACTCTTCGTCGACCCATTGCAGTGAAACCCTGGTTGAAGGAACGTCGTCGGTTGTTTGCAGGTTTTCACTCCGCTTAATCTCGAACTCAAAGCCATTTCTCACATTGCCGGTCGCGTGTATCTTTACGCCTATGTCAGGGTCGGCGTGCGACCGAACAAAGTATGCCCAATGATCTTTGAAGGGCGACCCGTTCCAAATTAGTAACTCGACCATGAAAGCCCCAGTGGGACCTATCAGGGGCACCGCAGGCTTGGAATCCGGGGATGTGGGACTGTTCATAGCCGGTGAAGAAGCGGAGTAATAACCCCGGACACAAGAAAAGAAAGCGAAAACTGGAGTCTTTAATTTCTGTTTGATTTTTTGCGGTGAAAGACGATGGTTCAAAGTGGCCACGGATGTTGTTTTGCGGCTGCCTGTGACCTGTGGATGCCTGTCGCTTGCCTTGGGTACCAGGCCTCAACTTTGATGCAGCTGGACATCGCCCCTTGGACATCGCATGGGACTACGAAAACTCCCAATAACTAAGCATTTTCTGTTAGCTCTTCCGCCTCGCTCATCACAAGGCACATCCAAAATGCCTTGACCAATTCTAACAACCTACATTTGCCGTGTCCAGCTTATTCAAAAGAGGCCACTAGCCTCTACATTGCCCAAACGAACCGAGCTTCGATCAATGGGGCCTCTAGCTAAATCCACACCCTCTTCCATTGCCCACAACTATCTCCAGGCTGAAATTCTAGGGTCGATGACGAAGCACGAACCAAACGTCGCAAATTGTGGCTCGAATCACACTTGTGCATACGCTCATAATGCCGAACTTCAGCGTGGCGAACTTATATCTCCATGGAGGCTTATTCTTTCATTGGGCACCTCACTCAATGGAGCCACAGACATGCACAATGCGAGCAGGAGTTAGTGCATGGCTTCGGATTTACTTGCTATAACTCCGGTGTTAAGGTCCAATCTCCGTCTATGCCCCGGCCATCTCCATTTGGTTCCAGAGCTGTCGTGAATTATTATAAAATAGCACCAGCGCAACCTGTCATACAGAATCTCGGATCCATTCTATAAACCATTTCTTTCGGCATGTCCACGAAACCCATAACACGAGTCGCCATTGTTGGAGTAGGTCTACCGCATCATAGCCTGCCGTTTGTCCGGCCACCTTCGAGACGTAACTGCTGACTGTAAATAGGCCACCGGTCGCATCGGCGGAGCCTTTGCCCAGTCGCTCTTGCAAACTGGCCAGCATACAGTTACAGCCCTCACCCGTGAAGGCAGTCAGGGAAAACTTCCCGATGGAGTTCAAGCCGTCCGAGTTAATTACGATGATGAGCACTCACTTATCAAAGCTCTGAATGGCCAACATCTTCTTGTCATTACTCTGAGCGTCCGAGCGCCTGAAGACCTTCATGGTAGGATTACAGCAGCCGCCGGAAAAGCCGGGGTCCCCTACATCATGCCCAATGCGTACGGGTACCCCATTAGTCCCGATAGCGGGAAGGATGAGGATCCAGTTCGAACGAGCGCTCTAAGTCGAATAAACGAGGCCCAAAATGGTGTCTCGTCCTCGTTGATCCTGCCGTGCGGTTTCTGGTATGAATGGAGCCTGGCATGCGGCGAACAATGGTTTGGTTTTACGATTAAAGATCGAAAAGTGACCTTTTTTGACGACGGCGCTCGAATCCTTAGCGTCAGCACATGGGACCAATGTGGTCGCGCGCTGGCCGCTCTCGTTAGCCTGCCAGAGTCAGGATCAACCCCTGCGCTTGCAGATTTTAAGAACAAGGAAGTCCGGATCAATAGCTTCCGCGTCTCGCAACGCGATATGCTTGACAGTCTGCATCGTGTTCTAGGAACCACAGACTCTGATTGGGAGATCAGTCATGAGAGTGTCGCTAAGCGTCTTGCGGATGGGGCTGAGGAGTTGGCGAAGGGTGATTTTAGAGGCTTTGCCAAAATGCTATATGGAAGGGTATTCTCACCGACTAACGAGATGGGCGATTTCGCAGGGACGATGGAATTGGCAAATGATATATTAGGACTGCCTAAAGAGGAATTGGATGAAGCGACTCAGAGGGTAGTTGATATGGTAGCTGGAGGGTGGACCCCGTTTCCTGGGATGTAATTGTCATCTAATTTCTAACGCTGATCTAAGTACGGAGTAGAGAGTACTATAGATCAGTTGCAAGAATGTGTCGACGTTTTGCAAATGACTCAGACTCTGTACTTATCTACTGAATTCAACATTGTCGTAAACCTGATACTTATTACTAGCAAAGAAAAAATACATTTCTTGGTAAATATTTATGTACACTTCTATTTTAATGTAACGTTCAAAGGAATGCAGCCTTGCTATAGCGCTATATGCGAGAGTGCCCCCCACCTCCTACCCCGAATGGCATGAGAAACATCATGAAGTAATCGCAACGGCCATGTCGAGCGAACGGTTAACATTTTTTTTTGGCCAGATTGCTGTTTTCTCTGTTCTATTCTGCACTTCTCAGATTAGAAGTCTTTGTAATCGACGTCTCGGTCATCTGGATGAGGAGGATATTACAACAAAAGAATGCCATGTAGATCTCCATGGCACTGTTCTGAACAGCTGGTATTCATCTGATTTCGCTCTCTGGCTTCTTGAATATCAAGCTCCTGTCAATGACGTCATCGGGCTGTCCCTCTTATCGATATTCCAATCTTCACCTCTCCACAGTTTCCAAACCCATTCTTTTCCACTCTGCTACTAACTTGTAGACTACGCTATGTCCGAAAAGATCAAAGAGGCAGTCCTCGCCGAGGCCAAAAACACCCAAGCCGTTGCTTATGATGTGATCACGTCTGGCGCATACTTGTACCCATTCAAGGTAAGTAGCTATGCCCTTCAAAGGGCTTGCTTTCTGACCCTCTCTAACTACAAATATGGCTTTTCTCAGGGAATTGTCTACTTTGCCACCCACAAAGACCTCTGGCGTCCCTTTATCTCTCGTGCCGGTCGAACCATTACGTTAGGGCTGGGCGTGACGACCATCATGTTCTTCTTCACTTATGTGCCACAGATGGCCATCATGGCCTTCACCAGTGGCCCATTGGCTGCTATTTCCGCCGCAATTCTCGTTCTTGGCGAAAGTTCTACCATCACAAATGTCCTCTCACGCTCATTCTTCGTCGAGGATGCCCTGATTGACACTTTCGATGGCACCCTGGTCGCGCGTGACCAAGAGCCACTTGTATCACAAGGCCGCCAGATCAAACCCCGATCGGGAGGAAAAGATGCGATGGCTAGACTGGGTAAGATTGTCACTCGGCCTCTCGCGAAGCTGAATCCAAAGGCACTGCTGCGATCGTTGCTTTATCTCCCTCTGAACCTCATTCCTGTGGTCGGGACGGTGCTGTATATCTTTATGCAAGGGAAAAGAACAGGACCAGTTCTTCATGCAAGATATTTCCAGCTCAAAGGCTGGGACTCTACGACGCGCGACCAGTGGGTGAAGGACAACCAGGGCGCGTACACTGGGTATGTAAACTCCATCTCGCTTTCTTTTTCTTCCTGGGTGCCGCCAGTCAAATGCTGACTGAAAGAGTATCTTCAGACTTGGAATCGCAGCGTTTGTCTTGGAAATGGTACCATTTGCTTCGATTGCGTTTTCCTTTACGAACACTGTTGGCGCGGCTCTCTGGGCTGCGGATTTGGAGAAGGCAAACAAGTAGCTAGTTGACTATATGCAGCAATATCAACTCACCGTGAAACGTCTCAAGCCCAGAGTTTGGATTCAGTCGTGGCGCTGCTTATTTAAACCGGTTTTTTTAAAAAATGAAAGCAAGCTATCGTCCTGGTTTTATTTTACTTCCTTGATTTAGGGCTGTGGATCGCAAAGTCATACATACATCTTGGTATCGTCTACTCGTTGTCAATGATTGGTTCCGAGACGGCGCACCCATGGTCGTCCAAAGCTTGGCAAAGCTTCGTCTCGAGAGCATTTTCCTTGCTGTGATTTGAGTATGCCACCAAATGCATTACCGGTATGTTCATGTTAAGAATGATGGAAAATTGATTAACATGAACTACCCATCCCGGCACAAGGCATGGGAACCTGCCGATTGAGACAAAGAGTACCTAATTTATCACTTTCTGGAGGAGCATGTTGAGCCAACCACAGACACAGACAGGGAATCGATTCGATACGGAATGCTGGACTGAATGTCTATTTGACAGAGTAACTCCGTGAGAGTGCCTAGCAGAGCCAAATACCGAGCTCAATACTCTCCATAGTCCTCCCAATCCTCCTCACGGTCTTCAATGTTCAAAACGTCTTCAATAAACCGGGTCAAAGAGTCCAAGAAGACTCCATCTCGCGGGACATGATGAGCTCCTTCAAAAAAGTACAAAGTAGTATTTGTACTCGAATCACGCAGTCTCAGTGACTCGGATTCAGCGACCATCACGTCAATACTGGCAATAGCAAGGAAGATTGGGGTCTCAATCTTCGGATTGTATATGTTCTGATAGAAAGGGTGCCCCAGGGCAAAACCGCAGACGGCAACCACAAACTTTAGAGGGGGTGGTTGGTCTACGAGGGAGTAAAGGTCAGTCACCGGGATACAAATTGAGCCTCTTCAATGCCAATGATGTTTTCCCAACTTACGTTGAATTGGAAAGTTGCGATCGAGTGTCTTTTCTCCAAAAGAGAAGCGACTACAGCAGCCATAGCCGCACCCATCGAAAATCCCATGATCCCGAGGAATGGCCCATTTTCATCAAGATAACGGAGGATATCATGGACGGATTTGTCCAAACCCAGGACAAGATCGTCCGTAGTACTTCCATGTGCCCACGTCCACATGAGATTGATTTCTTCCGGGTGCTGATCAAGTTTTGTCGGCAACTTACTCGAAGGATAATGGAACTCAACCTTTTCAATGGGCGGTGTAGTTGGATCCTGCTGTAGAGCTTTGATCACAGTGTCTCTTACTTGTGGCATCAGAAATTCGGTCTTGCATTGGAGCATCTGTCCGGACTGGCCATTTCCTACAGGCAGGAGGTCACCGAGTCAGATCAACACATAACATCTGTAGAAACCAGGGGTACGTACCATGTAGCATCAAAATCTTTGGTTCTGATGATCCGGCCGGTTGGTATGTTGTACTCGAGGGCATGTTGAAATCTTGGCTGATAGAGTGACTTTGAAATCTAGGAACTGAGAGATTTGCTTTGTATCTATCTCGGCCTTTTGATATCTGAGCAGCCCTTCAGCTTATAAACCCATGCTTGAAACACTAGTCGATGGCTATGGGATATTGGACGATCAGGGCTGGGTTGCTCAACATTACTATGCAAGCCGGCGCCAGATTTACTGCAAGATGCATAAACAAAGGCTGCATCAGGCTACACAAAAGAACCGGATTAAGAATTCCTCAATATGTCAACAATCAGTGTTGGCTCTACTCACTTAATAGCAGGGCCACTCGTGTTACCCAAGTGTATACAATGGCCAATAAGGAATCAACTAATTCTATGTAGCCAGTACATTTGCACCCTCTAGGAGAATTGCACTTGACTTCCAACCTTGAGCATAAACGCACTAACAGCACATACTATGTCGGAGATGACCAAAGAAAATAAGGCCTGACGTAGCAATTATTTTGCCTTGGACGGCGTAATAGTGCAATGTACGTGCAGCGAATGACTTTAAATCATTCTCTCGCAAGGTGAGGTCTTGCTCCTATCGTGATAATCCCTCAATTCAATCCTTGCGTTCGATTGGAGTAACACTCAAGAAAATTGCGAGTGGCCTGCTTGAGTGTGTGCAATGCTCAACCGAGTTACATGTGTGGCTGATACGCCATATCTGGAGTTGTATAGGAGGCATTTTCTGCTTATTATCTGCCCGGTATAAGAGCCGGAGTTACACTCAGAATTGCATGGTAACACAGTTTAACTCGCAACAGGCGAAGTTGGTCCTCGTGGCGAATTAAATCCGAAGATACCGATTTCCCGATCTGACTCGATGCGAGTAGAATTAGGCTGTCTAGCTCAATCACGCTTGAACGAGGGGTTTCAAACCATCGGATGGAATCAATTCGTCCTTGAGGCTTTCCGGTATCGGAGAGAGCCACATTGGGACCGGGCACGATGAAGAACGAGGGAATAAATAGCGTAGTACAATGCTTGATATACTAATCCCTACACCCTATATGTACATGAACGGAGAAGTCCGGTGGTCCACAATGCTTAAGTCCGTATATCTCCGTTGTTTTTGAGCCGCGAGCTCGCCGGCTACCGACGCCGGAACGCGCAGTTGGTGAAAACCGGAAGGCTCGGCCGGGATCTTCGAAAGTGCATTGTACCCAAGAAAGAAAGTCGATTTGTATTGTTCAATATGCCCACATGCGCATGTGACCGATTCATGCAGCTTGTTCAGCAGATGTCTTCCCTAGAACCTTCTCAAATTCAACAAAGCAGAGATCATCTGGCAACACCAGATCTGCGAACTTCTCACGAGGAAAGGGTGTCGTTTCGCCCGTCTTTTTATATCCGCAACGCGAATACCACTGGAGAAGTGACTGGCGACACGAAAGGGCATCTAACCCTGCTATTGTAACACCCCAAGTCCGTTGACAATAGTCTTCAGCGTATTCCAAAAGCTGCCGCCCAATGCCGCCGCGCTGTTGGCTCGTATCGACGGCGAGTCTGAAGAGACGAGCGTAATTTGCGTCGCGCTTGGAAGTTCCGATTGCGCCGACAAGGGTGTTTTGAGTGTCCATTGCCATTAGCATGACACTGTCCGGTTTGTTGATTACATCGACAATTTCTTGGATATGCGGGCGAAAGCCAGACACCAGACCTAGATTATCCGTCCAGTCCTTTCTGCTGTCTGTGGTGCGGAATGCAGTTTCAACCAACTGGTGAAGTTGGGCGGCGTCCTCTTCGGTCGCGACGCGAAAACTGAGCGCGTTCATTTTTGGCCAGAGAGATGTTCGGATTGTTGGATATCAAATTTTGTGAACCGTGTAGTCTAACAGGAAGATATTGGCAATTAAATATCTTTCACCTGACCCGCAGATGGAGATACAAGTCATGTCGTAGGAAGGGCGCGATGTTGGCAGAAAATCCCGCATAGGGCGTGAGATTTGCGAGGTGTCGCGCTTCTCTTCCAAAAGGCCATTCACGAAAATAAGATCAAGTCATCTCAGATGGATGAAATGGTGAAAAATTCACCAAGAAAGCTATTGTCTCAAAACAAACAAAAATCTGTGTCAGCAACGCATGGTACCTAGGTTAACTCAATGGGAACGTCTGAGCCCGATCAAGCCCAGTGTTCTATAGAGAGTCAAAGATAGTGTAATGACAAGGAAAACACATTAGTATTGATGGGACACGAGGGCCAAGAGAATCATTGAACTGCATCGAGGGAGAAGGATGCCGACCGTGGGATCCATGAAAAAGCGCCCATATCAGACGCTTGGACCACACTCCCTAGTTGTGGCTCTCTTTTCCTCACATCGCCAACATCTCAACCTCTACCATGACGACAGCAGCAATATTCGGCTGCACGGGAGCAGTCGGCTCTCAGATTCTGGCTACACTCCTCGCCACAGACGCATTCTCAACGGTGAAGACTATCTCTAGAAGACTCCCAAATGTACAGTCAGCTAAGCTGCAAACACTCGAGGAAAGCGACACCTCAAAATGGGGTGGCATGATCTCATCTCTTGCTCCCAAGGCGTCGGTGGTTTTCAATGCGGTCGGTACTACCACGGCGACAGCAGGAAGCATCAAGAATCAGTGGAAGATCGATCATGATTTATGTATTGAGAATGCGCGAGCTGCCAAGGCGGCGGGGGTGAAGACGTATGTTTTCATTTCCAGTGGAGGGACCAGAAGTCTTCTCTGGGGATGGGTTCCATATTCGAAGATGAAGGTTGGCGTCGAGGATGCTATCAAGGAGCTTGGTTTTGATAATGCTGTCATTCTGAGACCGGGGATGATTATTGGGAGGGAGGAATCCAAGTCTTTTCTTCTAGAAAAGTTTGTGGAAGGTCTTCAGAAACTGGGACAGGGCGTACAGGATAAAGTTGGTATGGATGTCCTAATTAATACTTGAATGTTTTCGAGGATTTAGGGCTAATTCAGGGTGAGCAGGTCAAAATCAAACAACTATTGGTAGAGCAGCTGTAGCAGCTGCTCGTATGGCTGAAGAGGGCAAAGCCCCGTCAAACTATTGGGTTCTGGAGCAGGCTGATGTTGTTAGACTTGGTAGAGACGACTGGAAGGAGTAAGACGCGTTAGAGATTCTGAAGATATGGTGCGTTTTTCTTTAATATAGGAATCCTGTAACTGTATAGAACGATGTGATAAGATAGATAAAAAATCGTAAATGGCAAAATCATCTGTTTATGTACATTGTCCACTAGCCAAGAAAAGACATGTCATTTCGCATGGTATCAGTAATCATCAAGTAAAAGTAAACATGACATGACGACTCGTTAATTAGTATATTAGAGGATAAAAAGGTAGAAAGAGAAAGACCGAGGTGTGAAAGAGCCAAGGACGCCCGGGGGAGACGTCGAGGCCTGGGCAATGCGGCCGTGCCAAGAGGGCGAACATGAGAAACCCCGAGGAGCCAAATGAAGACTTGGCGAGGAAACCTATCTTTCATTGTGAAAAAAGAGTTTGATCACACCCAGCGATCCAACCCTGCCAGGGGTTGTGACTGGAGGGTTGACCGCAAGCGGCGATTTGCACGCATGCGTACCAAGACCGATTCCGCATTTGATCACACTCAGGACGTTGCAAAATCATCAACATATCCAAGCAATTCCCTCTGGTCATCACAAATGCGGGCGTATTCCAGCAGAAGTCGATAGGTGTAGATTTCCATGTCCTCCCGTCGGAGGACCTTCTCACCCCAATTTTTTCCAGCGAGGGCAATCTTGCGAGCTGCCTTGTCACGGCCGCCAAGGAAATAAGCCAAAATTCCATAGATATCCATGTAGGTGGTATCCATGGGAACGAAGTGTACCCAAGGGATCAGTCGGGAGTCGTGCCACTCATTGTAGATAGTGGCTTTGATGGGGAGAGAAGTGGACAACATGAATCCGCGATATCGGCCACTGAAGGAGTTCCCGTCAAGATCGGGCAGGTATTTGTAGTTGTACATCTCCTTCATTGGCATACCAGGTGCGATCTCAAAGTATGGATCGAGATACGGACAAGTCGGGTCCGTTTCATTATAAGGCGTGCAAACCAGGTGGTTGAAGCCCGTGTCGGTATGCTCTGACAGAAGTTGCGGAATAAATCCATTGTCGCTCAACTTATAGTTGGCATAGTTTGGGAGTCTGAAGTTGATACCGTGGCTTTGGTTCTTCTCCGCCTGAGTGACTGATGTCGCGTTCATCATCGACATGAATCGGTGTCGCTGGAAACCGGTCCAGTTGGGCTCTCGAGCCCGGCCTCCAGTAGCAGCGCCTCGCCAAATAGCTTTGTTTTCTTTCGATTCCCAGCGACCGCCGTGCTCTGTCTCCCCACCAGAATAATGGTCGTTCTGTGCCCAGTACATCGCTGGAGGAAAGAGAATCTCGTTGTTCATGGGAAGCTTGGACCCGCCAAACAATGGCATTAGATTGTGCGATGTTGAAACAGAGATTGGCTCAAGAAAGGTTCCGTGCAAGACTTGCATCTCTGGGCGCACACAGGGGTCCTTGGCCAGCGTATAGTTTGACACATAGCCGTGGTAGGACATTCTTTCGAAGTTGTCATATTCCCACGGAGGACTGCTGAAGTTTACCATGGGAAGGTTGCTGCTGCGTGCAGGACTTCCCGGTGGACAGCCAACCTGAGCCATCTCCCAGTAACCTCCCTCGCCGGGAACTGCGAACTGGGGATCATAAGGTTCCAAGTTGTCTCGATCTGAGTCGGTCAAGGACATGTATTCGGAAATAACATAGCTCGGCTCCGTCATAACACGATCTGTCTGCTCCTTTTGCACGTACTCGTTGATTGTCTCCCAGGGAACAACGAGCCGGGTCTCATCCATGACATTGATTGGCATATCCAGATCTGGAAGGACACCCTCTAATTTCGCGACCAGGTCGTACCATGAGTCCATCCAATTTCTTGGTTCATCGGTTTTCAAAATTGCGGTTTTATTGCGAACCGTGATACGGGTCGGGATGCTTTTCGCTTGTCGACGCAATTGCTTCGGCTCGAGAGCCCAGTATGGAGTGAGATCATGATAGATCTGATCGAAGAATTCTTCAATGATCAATGAGTCTTTTGACTTTGCGAATTCGTACCATTCTCCAAATCCAGGAGGTGGATGTCTTCCGCGCCGTGCTCGGTATTGTTCTGCAGCGGTCTGAAGGTCGTGGGCTTGTGTTTCCAAGAGTTCATGTAAATCAGTCTGTGCGGTATCGATCAGAGCATCGATAGGGTGGCTGCCGTTGTAGCCATTGCCTGCATAGAATCTCGGCACCGAGAGGTCCTCATGGCTGGGCAAGATCCAGATCAGGCACAGGATGAAGAAGACTGCGAGTACCGCGACTCGGCCTGCGCGTGAATTGAATGTCGTCATCATAAATGGCATCCTGAAGACGGGCATCTTCCCGGTAGTCGAGTTTGTATTCTGGTGATCGCAAGCTAGAATTCCGGTGCGATCATACCTTTTAGGTTTCCAGTGGGGTATGGGATGGTCAGGGTCGGTATCAGGGCATAGGGACTTCGCTCAATCATATTCAAAGGGTGGAAAGAAAGGAGAAAGACCCCGGAAGAAAGTTCAAGCTTATCGACCTGGATACTCACTAGACTCAAATAGGACATCAGGTCTACGTGGGTCCAGAGTCTCGGTTGCTTTGATAGAGATCGTCCTACCAGTGGAGACCCTGTTCGCTCCCTTATTTTTTTCATTGATCTTATTTCATCCTTTCGACATGTTTTACAATACAGGGTGCCATTAACAGAAAAATCTAGAGGAATAGGATGATAACACCAGTATATATCAGTATACTGACTTACCGTGCTAACACCATTGGGCCCGATTTCCTTTGCCAGGTGTGGTTGGGCCTACGGTTAGATGACCTCATCACCTTGGGACCAAATTTCATCGTCACTTTCCCGGTTTTGCTTTTTTTTTTTCCCACAAATTTTCATTCTCATTTGGGCGTGGTACCTGGCCTTTTGGTTCCTTGGAGGTTTTAATTGATTTCCGCCCACATGTGGAAAGTTGTGTGAAAGTCAATGGAAGAAAGTTGGACCCTTGGAACCGTTGGAAAATCTTGCCGCAGCCACTATATATGGCCTAAGGCAGTGTCTATCTCTCCAACCAATCTATAGAGTTAGAGTGAAGTGTTGTCCAATACGATCAACGGTTGCAATCTTATCATTTCTTTCAGAGCCAGCCTTGCTGCCAACAGCTAATGCAACTCGCCTGCCGTCTGAGTCTTGGATCCATTTTAAGGGACCGGGAGGCAGAGATCTCGATGAATTTGAATTCAGAAGCTGCTGGATACTGTTGTCGAGATCTGGCAGCATTCCATGGGCAAAGGAAAATTCACCACCGAACTTGGTTGGGATATTGGAATCGTCGATGTACTCTCTGAGGGTAGGCAGAACCTCCGATTTCAGAAGCACTTCAATCTTTTCTGCAGTATAAGGGTCGACCCAGCCCTTGAGATACTTCCAGACCGTGCTATAATACGAGGGCGCATTACATACCTGTTGTGATCGTTAGCAGTCTTCAACGGGTGCAATCCCATCAGGCCAAGTAAATCAGTAACCTACAAAAACACGTTGGATAGTCTCTGGGTAACAAGTGGACAACAACCAACTGATCTCCTGGGCGAAGAATCGCAATTTCCATGCTTGCTTTAAGCTCAGATTCGATGCGTCCACAACATAGATCGCATTGGTGACTGGGAGCAAAGGATTTGGCCTGTCCGTCATCATCGAGCAAAGAGGAAGAATGAACCGAATGAGATTGTCATGGTACACAGAAGCCAATTGCAACATGTCCGGATTTGGCGGTTCAATTTTCCCTGACTGGGAATACACCCAGCGACTAGTCTTGCGCGTTGTGTCCCAGCGTGCAAGGGCATCTTTGTCAAGTCGATCCAGGTCGAACATGCAAATGGGTCGCCCTTGTTTGTCTCTACGGCCAGTCCAGTGGGGGTACTAGCATGGATATGTCAGTGTATACCTAGACTCTTGAAACCAGCTAGCACTCACAATTTGACGAGCTTGCTCGAAATCAGCAATGTCGACTAGATCGTACAGCCTGAGAATATCCTTCTCTTCGCGAAATTCACATGCCTCCTGGAACTGCTTGAGAGCCTTATCCGGGTCAAATTGACGGGCCACTAGAAATCGTCTGATGGGGTCAGCACCTTTAGCAAAGAACTGATTTCGTATACCACGCACAAAAGGGTTGGCGGATCTGATAGCCCGTCGCACAGGTCCCGGCTTTCTAGACTATCGGGCCGAGACAAAAGCCCCTTTTCTTGACAAGATTGAATGAATAGTTTGAATGAAGCATCATGCTCAGGCGAAATGCCAATAATGGGGTGACTAACGCTCATTGGGAAGGTAATCCAAAGAGATCAGGATTTGAACAAGATGTATAAATGGAGTTGGAGGGCTATTAACGACCCAGGCGACAATATAAAGTTGATGCGAACCTGTTACGCGACTACGATGATCTGCATGCTGACGGAATACCCCGCGGAGGATATCCAACCCGACTGGGTCAATTGGGCATCGGCTCCTAGCAGGGCGGTAGTCTCCCACATCGCTTTTCAGTCATACGAATTGCCTGCCAGTTGAGTTGAGAATTGGCCCGAAAACTCGAACAATTTGGCGTAAATATCAACATATCCACTCAATTCGGCTATCGTCAGGCCATGTGCCACCAGTGCCCCCCCCGTAGAAGCCGGCAGTTTGTATTCGCAATGTCACTGCTTGAATTCATTCAGATCACTAGGGGCCACGAATCTATGGATACTCTCTATAGGTGACGACTATACCTCGTTTCATTCTTCATGTCTGTCAAATCGATCGTTGGATTCTTGCTTCAGGTCACTGGGCTGTCTGACCTTAGCTTCTTTGACACAAGGAGCCTTTCCCACCCACTCACTCCTCCTCCATTTTCCCACTCGCCTCTTCAATTGACTGATATCATCTATTCTATCACATCTTCACCTATTCCAACTCAAGCCACGTTTTGGTCCAAACCAAGCCTCTCGTATCAAAAGGTTCAAAGGAGACCCTTGACACACCATGCAGTCTTCCGAGTACTCCCCACGGGGTAAAAATGCATTCGAAACCGTCGCTTCAGCTTCTCTCATTCTCTTGCCATTCGAACCAACACCAGAAGAACACAAACACAGGCTGATTGGTCCCAATCCCAACCTCAACGCCCCGCTAGAAAACCTACCCCCTGAGATTAGACGACATTTGCTCTCCATGATGGAACTTCAGGCACTGAAGTCTTTGGTTCATGCATCTCCAGTAATTTATCAACAATACCTGGTCGACCAAAAATGGGTTCTATGTCGATCTCTTGCGGCAACATTCCGTAGCAATGGCCTTATATATGAGGTCGGCGCTGTCTACCAGTCCAGCCGAGAGAGCTTCTGGGAGACACGCACTGCAATCACTGTGACACGGTTCGTTCAAGCGCATCGTGATGGCCGTTCCTCCTCCCACAACTCCCCTTTCAGCCAGTCGGTGGCTTTCAACAGAGATCTCACGCTGGATGAAGTCATCAGTATGATGAAATTCTACCTTTCAATCATCCAGCCTCTCAAAAGGGAGTATGCTAAGTCGACACTACACTATCTTACAGGTGGACTACGAACTCCCTATGATCAAACCAGCGATATCTTAAGTGAAACCGAAGAGATACGCGTGGTACGTGCGCTTTACCGATTTCAGCTCTGCTGCAACCTATTTGCTCATGGCCACAACGGGCCGATATTGAAGCGCGCCCCTGAATTTGAGGCTAGGAATGTCTGGGAGCTACTCCAGTTGCTCTTTGACCCCTGGGAGATTGAGGAAATTGTCTGCATTCATGATTTTGCGATGAACACGTACCGGAACCTTTCACCTTTTGACTGGAATCGGCATAGGCTTCTCCCGCGAAAGTATCACCAACAACCTGTGGACTGGAGTCAACGTCTAACAGATGAAAGTAAGGCTAATCCTACGTATGAAATCTCATTATAAACCGTCGTGTTGCTAATATTCCTCTAAAATAGCCCGCGGAATTAGATTTGGAACAATCGCACGTGGCCTTGAGCTGCTCCGTGATATCGTATCACCGACGTATGAGAACTCTAACCTAATCCGGACCGGTCTTGAAAATGATATTGACACAATGGAGCAAGCCTTTGCGCTGGGGGATGCGTTCAGTGACTTTATAAAGGAAAGGCGCTACCCCGAAGCACCGTTGTATCAGACGTCAATGGATGCAGGGTGTGACCGGATAACGTTCCAGGGTGATGTTGTGGATGACTCAGAATGGAAGTATCCACCCCTAGGTTGGACACTGACCTGGGATGGAGCGCATATCGCCGGCTTTCACTGTTGGCTCAAGCACCAAATGGTAGCCTGGGGGTACGTCATGTGGGATGCAACACGTCTCATTTCGATGGGAGTGAAAGATTTGCTAGAATCAGAGCGGTGATTACTCTCACTTTCACCTCAATGTACGTTTTGAAGCGAAATCTGACTCAGATCAGGCCGATAGGACCACTAGGTAGTGGATGAGGAGGTATTCCATCTGAGACGACCCACTGAATATGAGTACTGCGATTGTGAAGGCGCCGCCAATGACTGGGTTTGTCTGCTCAATCAGGCGCTTTTTGGTCTACGTGACTCTGTCTATCTCTGAAATGAAGATATGAAACTGAAGCTTCGTCAAATCAAATTCTATTCCTTGGAATATGACCCCTTTGTCTATGTCAATTTCAATTGTAAGAGGCCCGTTATCGCTGCGGATAAGATTGACAAAGCTAGGTATCTCCCAGTTCCAGCAGTTCTATGATATGAAGGACCTTAAAGGGCCTAACACCTTAGCTAGGGATGTAGTGAGTTGATTGGCCACATTTATTCAATTGTTTGCCTGACAAATCAGGCCAAACTCTCCCATCAGAGTGGATCCAATCACAGCTGATTGGCTCGGGATAGCCCGTTTGTCTCGCGACGCACCGAATTTTGGAACACAAGTCCTCCCAAGGTCGTGTTCAGCTACAAAATAATGGAGCAAATCATTTGAAGTTCGCTTCACCCACTTCTGTCCTTTCTAAACGAGTCTTCTTACGGCGCTCTAGGTTTATGGAGTCCATTGCTTACAGCATATACGGTTGGTGGATGGCTTCAGGTCCTGCATGAGGCCAATTCAGGGGTAGCGTCGACAGCAAAGTAGAAATTTCAACGGCTCTGGACAGCTTATCCGGGGCCTACTTTTAGATTATGGAAAGCGGTATCCTGCTATTGTCCGCATACGCGTTCACATCTATGTGCGGGCCCTAGGTTCTAATTGCTGTCGGAGCTTCTCATCATAGAACTTCTGCATGCGCTAAAAGCCATCATGCTTTAGTAGTAGACTGGTAATACCGTATGAAGTACTCCGTACCTCGCACGGTTGCTAGTTACCCCACTCGATGCGTGGCTTGCCAAGTGAGACTGGATATCGGCGCTGTAATATCGCCATTGGCTTGTAAAGGACAGACCCCTCCTCAAGCCCGTACTCCGGCCGCTTTTCGCTTCGCCGAGCCTTCAGCCGCACCAGTGGGAAATTTAACATTGGGCCACTAGAAATCTTGTCTCCTCTGGCTTACCATCGACAAAGGGAACAATCAGTACGGTAGAACCAGGCAACCGATATTTCATGCTTAGTTCAGACCAAGCCGAACCCGAAATATCATCCAATGGGTAGAGATCAAGACGATAGCGAGTATAACCTGCAAGAGGCATGGGAAAAGGCGTGCACTTCCTTTGCGAAGACAGCCAAAATCGACCTCACTACAGCGCCGAAGTTCTCTGTCGATGAAGTCCTCGATCAAATTCGCGCGAAGCAGGATGATGATGAGGAGAAGAACAGCAAGTATGCCGCTGCAAGAGATGCCATTAGCAAGACGTTGACCTTTGTCACACTGTTGGGTGGGATCGCTGCCCAGGGTGCGAGCATGGTAAGTGACTATGACCTCTAATGGTGACGTCCCTAATATTCATGACTTAGGTATTTGCGCCTGCCGACCTCTGTTTCAATGCGATTACATACCTCATTGACACTGGAGCAAGATTCAAACGCATTTTCAGCAGCCTGGCCGACCTGTTCCGCCGCATCTCTGATGTGCTAGAACGCTGTAAGATTTATATGCGCTTGCCCGCAGACGCAGTTGATGTCGCCCTCCGCAAGATCATAAACGAGGAGCTGGTATGTTTTGTCGACATTTGCGCGTTGTCAATCAAGGTTCTCAGGGGTCACAAAGTCCTCATAGCGCTCAAGGTGTTTGCCTTCGATGGCGACGAAGGCGTGAGCGGCCAGCTGGCTCGTCTGACCACGCTAGTTGAGCGCGAGTCTCAGATGCGGGCAACACTAGGGTTTGAGTCGCAGAAGATGAGCGAGAGAAACATTATTGAGAACCGGGATGGCACAAGAAAAATCAACGTAACAGTCGATAAGTTGCTCAGCTTTGAAAAAAGAGAGACGCAGACACTGCCTCAAAAAAGCTTCTGGAGAGCATCGATCTCAGTCTGGACAACGCGGGCGAGGCTTTCAAAACCATTCAAACGAACCTGCGACGCCTGCTGAGTGACCAGGTTCAGGGGAGTGGAGAGTGGCTTCGAAATGATCCACTATATACCAAGTGGGTGTCTCATGAAACGTCGCCGTTCTCAGTCTTTGGTATCTCCGGAGGCGAGGGATATGGCAAATCGTTCCTCTTTGCGAGCATTGTCAAACACCTGCAGGAAGCACAACCTCAATCTGGAAACGATATGAGATGTATTTCCACTGCCTATCATATCTTTGACGAAGATAAAGAACAAACTTCTTTGGTGAAGGCTCTGAAGGTTCTTGCATGGCAGATCGCCGGCCAAGATATTGTTTACCGCAAAGATATAAGCTCTGTGAAAACGATTGGTATCAACCAGATAGGGGATCTTTGGGAAATTCTCTTCTCCAAATCATATAAGAGCGACTCAACATTCTTTCTACTCCTCGATGGCATTGATCAGATAGAGAAGAGTGACCTCAAGGAGTTCATCCGAGTTTTAGAGGAATTACAGGTCACCTCTGAGACCTGGTTACAGTTCAAGCTCCGCATTTTCATTACTGGACGAGATGATACAATGAGGAAAATCGAAAGTCAGCTTGGGGGAGGGATGTCGACAATTGAGATGGCGTCCGAAAACAACGATGATATAGAGAAGTTCATTATTGACCGCATGAACAAGATGGAGATCCTGAGCGGCTCGTCAGATCAGGTACTCTCACTACGGCGCGAGATCTTACAAAACCTGAGGACTCAGACCCATGGCGACTTCGTCAATATCGGCCTCTTGCTGCATGAGATCAGCGGGAAGCAACGTCCTGGTGAGATCCGGGATATCTTGTCCCGGTCGGGAGGTAATCGATCCGACACTATCGCGAGAAAGATCGAACGCCTCAACGAGACACTCAACGAAGAAGATATTTCGGACTTGAATGTCATCCTCACATGGGTTGTCTTTGCTTGCTGGCCGCCATCTCTGGGAGAACTAGAGGCGGTCGTCTTCCTGAAGGCCGGAGAGTCTTCTCTTCGGCCTCTGGCAGAGAAAATAATTGATCAATATTCCTCAATTCTCCGGATAATGCCAGAGCCATATCCCGTCGATAAGGCCATTCCAGCTACTTTCGGTTTGTTATCGACTGTGGTACTGGTTTCCGACTCAATAGAAGACTTTTTCCTGAAGCAAGATGATACCGACAGCAACGGAGATGCCTCGGACATAGATGACACTGGGGATGTAAGCGAAGCCGAAGTCAGGATTGTCCGCCGGTTCCTGGAATCAATATGTGATCCCAAGCTGTTCTCCAAGTTTGGCTTTGAAGATTTCTTCCAGCGGAAACTCAAGGGGAAAAAGGCCCTGGTCGGAGTTGACATGTATAACGCTCATTTGAGTATGCTGTCAACGTGCCTGGAGGTTATCAACCGCCAAGAATCTCCCAAACTGACCCCTCTGCTCAATTACGCATGTTCTTATTTTCCGGCACATCTTCATGTAGTGGATCCTTCATTGATGCAACCACGTGAAAAGATGGCCCTTGGTCCGCAGTTAGTCTCCCTCCTCATGGATGAACAGACCATTAGGAAATGGTGGTCACCATCCGGACTTTTGTTACGGATGCAATGGATCTACACGGATGAACTTCCTGAACTTGCATTGAAATGGCTTCAAGACTCTGCGGTCACCAAAAACCTCCCCGATGACCAATTGAAATGGGTGAAAAGTTTGAGTTCCAAGTCCGAGCCAGATGCAGATATTCTGGAGCATATTGCAAAATTGACTGCCCGTCTCTGGTTGAAATCAGGTATCAGTGCACAGTCGCTTGCAGATTGTTTCGCCGTCATTCATGGATATATCACCAAGGTATGCACTGGGTAATGCCGCATGAAATCTGATCAAGGTCCGAGGCTAATCATTTATCAGATTGAAAATCGCAAAAACCCCCAGGTCCAAAGGTCAACAAGTGACCCAGAACCCGAAAGCATCGACACCTCCCAAATCCTTGATGCCGCCGAATGGGCTCGACAGAAACTTGGACTAGATAATCTGGGATACTACGAGACCCGCAACCTAGCGTGCACATTGAGAGAGTACAGAAAATGCGCCGAGTCCGTCGAATATTTCAAACTCTCGTGTTCACTGCGAGAGTATAATTGGCTCTCCCAATGGGGACTTGCAAACACCTATGCCTGCCAGAAGGAATTTGCCCTTGCAATTGAGGCTATAGAGGCCGCAAAAAATGTTATAGAGTGCGGCGAGATACGCGAAGATGACTCTGAGTTGATAGGAATGGACCGTGATATGGCCAAGTATAACGAGGAACTGGGTGATATCAACAAATCGTTTGCGATATACGAGGAAATGCTGCGGAAAGACCCGACGGACTATTACGCGGCGGTGGAGATCACAATGCACTTTCGTAAAAACAAGGACTCTGAAGGCCTGCTCAAATTCCTTAATTCGCTGAAGGCCTCGATAGACGATTCAACCGGTCTTGACAGACGAACGCTGATGTTCCACGAGACTTACTCCCATAATGGGTATCATGAGGCGTTGTTCGCTTTGGCGTCCGATAACGAGGCCTTTGACATCATCTCTGAAAGCTATCAAGTAGCCATTTCTGCCGCTAAAGAGCGGCTCGCGGAGGCGGCCAATAAGGGTGACCGCGACGAAGAAATCCTCTATAATTCCTGCCAAGGGTGGCTGACGCATAAGATTGCACACCTTTGCTACTGCAATAGCACCGAGAATGTCGAGCGGAGGGAATTCGCTATTGAACAGTGGGAACGCATCCTACAGATTGGTACAAAGCGCGAAGAGATGTCCCTCTCATGGCTGAAAGAAGCCGTCTGTGGAAAGCTTGCGAACGTGTTTTTCCATGAGGCGATGCGGGATACAAACGCTGCAGCTAGTTATCTGGAGCGGTTGAAGCAGCTGGCCACATTCAAGCCCATTGAAGATGAGCGCCCAAAAACCTATACAACAGAACTTATCGCACGATACTACGCGCTTCAAGGAGACGAAACGAAGGCCAAGGATGCCTTGCGCTTGCACATCAAACGCAACATCGACATTCTCTCCGATGATGATCCGCTGAACGACTGGCAGGGTTATTTGGGCTTAGCGAGACATCTCATGTTCGCCGGCCAGGACGTTGACTGCCTCGCCGCTTGGTGGTTACTTGTTCCTTATAGCCACGCAGAGACCGACCCAGATTCATCAGAAATTGAGACAGCATCTGAGTGCTTTGGGCCCTTGTGGGATGGATGCTATGGCTGTGAGGAGAATGACAAGTACGCAGATGACATGTATGTGTGCAGAGAGTGCGAGGATATCCAGTTCCACGCACACTGTTACCGCAAACTACTAGAAGGGACCCTCAAGTACGAATTCTGCAACAAGGACCACAAAATGCTGCATGTCCCACCATACGATCCCGCCCAGCGCCAGAGAGTTGGTGTGGGTAATGTCCTGGTTGGCGAGGAAATCATCCCGGTTACTGAATGGCTTCAACGACTCAAGGAAAACTGGGGTATCCGCTTATAATCATACGCATGTAAGAATCTTGGTACCGGTAAGCATCCCTCTGTTGATAGCTTTTTGTTTTTCTGCTTTCTTTCTTTGAGCCGTGTCGGAAGAAATTCAATGATCAGTCCAAAAAGAAGTTTTCCGATGTATGATGACGACAGCATGTTGGTTGTTCATGAAAGTCAGTATCAACTGCCGGAATCAATTTGCTTTGATTACTTCCATATCCTCAAGGGTTCTGGTGGTTGGACGATCTACATCAGGTGCGATGGTTGGTTTATATCAGGGTCAGTGGATTGTAGCGCAAAATATATTACCTATTATTAGATCTTTGATTTCAATCAAACAAAAAGAATTGACATCAGCATGAACATCAACATCATACACAACAATCAATATCACGTCCTTCGTATACCGAAAGTTCATCTCGTATTTGATGGGGTGCTGTTCGGCTGTATCCAAATGGGACAATGAATTGGGGCCACCACCTGGGTGATTATTAGGAAACATCCCTCGAAGGTCTTCTCTTCTCTTCGGAAAGAAAAAAAATATCCTATTTTCGAGATTAAGTAATTGGTCTCTATGTCCATGTTGAAGACTACTACTTCCCTGAATAGTTCCATTCGGTCAGATCAAATTGGTGTCAAAACTTCAACATTTCCTTTTTTCTCCACATGCTAACCAGTGGGGTGCACACAGAAGTAGATAGAGTGCTAGCAATTCTTTTAGGTTACATTTCACCTCGTACTTCGTTGGCCCCACGAACACGAGATGCCCAGGGAAGCAGGGGCTCAACCCGAGTCTTGGCTAAAATGTACGAGCTGGATTGTCCTAGAATATTACTATATTGAGGTCTTGTAAGATTTCAGCAGAATGAGCAGCCACCTATCGATCAGTATTGCGGGGCTTAACACTAAGTCCATAAATAGATCCAGGGCTCTATTTGCTTGACGGAGATAAACATCTTCACGATAATGATCCTGTGCCTGGTGTTTTCAAAACATGGTTCATGAACATAGTTGTCTCTGTATTGAGAAACCGAACTATATTAGTCAAGTAGCGTAGCGTAGACTTTATCCTAAAGCAATATCGTTTGCTTTGAACGCACTATCCTAGATGCGTCCGAAAATGAGAATACGAGAATCTTTAGATGATCTATTCTTGTATCGTGCTCCTAACCCTAAACAAAATCATGTTCACTTGGATCGACATGACGACTACAGCACCTACACTTCATTGACGGGGATTATCTACCAATCCTCCGAGTAGTAAGTGAAAATCATCGTATTTGAGCTTGGCAATTGGAATCATGGCACTGTCGATGATGTTGATCTCTCGTGATGGGTTCTATTCTAGCTTCACTCGGCACGACACGAGCATTGGCATTGTTGGAGTTGCATCTGTTACTCCATTGCAGCAGAATCGATGCCACTTAAGAAGCTCTATAAACAACCACTTTTCCTCGCCTCTACACTCCTGACCATCCTCTCAAACACAATCGAGTTTCAATCTCAATCCCAATCTCCACACCAAACATTCAATCCACTTTTACCTTTTCAAGTTGCCATCCAAGCCTTGCAAATCCTCAACCTGAAATCAACTTCCACCAAAATGAAGTTCACCGCTACTACCATCGCTGCCATCGTTGCCGTCCTCCCTATGACCAACGCCTGGATCTTCACCAGCTGCAGCCGGCAGTGGGATGGTGAAAACAACAAGGGCTGTACCAAGGCCGCCTGCAAGACTGGCGACAAGATTGACTGGGAGAACCAATGGTTCTCAGACTGTACCCTTCGTGTCTATAGTGACAGCTCCTGCAAGAAGCAGATTGGAATTGCATCTGATGACTGGAATGATCACAAATTGAGCAAGAGCATGGGCAGCTTCCGTGTTTCGGGTTGCCCCAAGGACTAGGCTGTTCATTTTGGCTGTGAGGGATATGATGGCTGTGGCGGGATGATGGGCAATTTTTGGAGGGGGGAGGAAAGGGGATATGCGTTTGGTTCTATCTCTGCTGCTTGATGTCAAATGAACTGGGTTGATCTTGACCTTCATGGTATCTTTTAGTTAGAAATTGAAATTTGAGGCCTCTTGGAATACGGATCAAGAGATTATAAAAATGATGTCGGTTATATTGACTCACCAAGCCCGTACGGCTGAACAGTCTAGTGCCAATTGGCAAAGGGATATTGCCCCTCAACCCATGCACTGTGGCAAGAGCAGTAACCACATGGTAACCAGTTCACGCTGTTGGATGTAATAACAGCATCAATATATGACCAACCTCCCCGATGGAACCCTTTCAATAGCTCATCTTAACATACTACGCTCAATTAGCCTGGTTGATATTTGTACATATAATAGTACACGTAGTAATATGAAAGTATCCCGTTCATTAAAATTTTTTGTCATCGAAAGGAACGATTAATGACGGCCCATCTCATCGGGGCGGAATTGCTGATCCAAATATCATATTGACAGGAGGTATTATGGAAGGATTGGAGAATCAGAGTGATTGAGTCTGACACCCAGACACACAGGCTGAAGATGCTACCAGTGACGTGCTTCCAAGGGCAATTCAAGCACTTTCATCGGTAACGATATCAGTCTGCTGAGAATCTGTAAACTCTCGTGATTTTCGAAATATCGGGCGAGAATCATTTGCCATGCCTATACTTTTCCACAGCCCATCCTGAATGAACTTGATGACCCCAGCGCCAGATAAGAATTCGTTGATGCTTGGCCTTTGACGCTGAAACATATGCATGTGAAGCTAGCACAGAGAAGTGAGGCCAAGGGAGCGAGCGATGGGATAAATATCCGCTGTCCAAAATTTACGTCGGGACATAATTGATGATCAAGAAGGTTCTATTCATATATAATCTCACATGTCTATTGAGTCTAGATGCCAGTGCCCCTAGATATCAATCGAAAATAGCCATCCTGATAGACAATCTATTTAGTCAACTCCCGGACAGATGTGATGGGCAGTACCTCATCTTTCTCTTTTGAAGTCCACGCCGCATTCTTACCCCACGAACGGGAGAATCTTTCAAACCTCGCTGTAAGTGCACCCATCTTCGGCTCTATATGGTTTGTCCACTGCTGGACAACATACAGCAAGAACGCAAAAAACATAATTAGAATAACCCCGAGTCGAAATGGGCTTGGCGTTGGAATATAAGACTCCGGGTCAGGTGTTCCATCTGCTTTCAAGGCCGGCTCAAAGCCGAATGACATAGGCAGATAGACAAGGTAAACAAGAACAGATCGCATTAGTGGTCCATGGACGAGATATAGCGGGAAGCTGATCGACCCCAACCACAGTAGCATGGGGTGGGAGAGCATTCGTCGCATTAAGGGAGAAAGCATCACTCCAAGGCATATCATCTGCGCCCCAAGACTGGCATAGTAGCGACTGACGTTGGTATCTTTTGGGAAAATGGTTTCGGCAAGCGATGCGAGCTGGGAAGACCATGCGGTCTGGTCGGCGTATTGATCAGGATATGAGCAGATGTAAAGTCCCAGAGTGACGAGGCCGTAGGGAATGATTCTGAAAATGGCGCGAGGCTGGAGGGCTGTCAGGTTATAGAATGATAGTTCCGCTAGGATCATGCCAGCGAAAATGTTCGTGCCAACAGTACCTGTGCAGAATTGTCAGCGTGTTGTATAGTATTGCGATATCTTCGTAAACATACCATCTAGAGTTGCCCAGCTATAGCTGTATAGGACCATTTGCGCACAGAGGCGGAAAACTGGCGTCGTATTTACTAACGCCAGCAGAGTCATGAATACGTAAAGCGAGCCACGGAAAAGGGGCAGCAATGCCCATTGCGGTTGGTCGTAGGCATTTTCTCCCCACATCCAAGTTCCCAATAACTCTCGTATCAGATCCACGACGGCAGCGCTCAAAGATGAGCTTCGCTGGGGGCTTGTCGCTCTCAACCAGTATGCATCTACCCTTCTACCCAATTGGAAGACACCCAACTGACATGCAAGCCAAGCTAAAAATGTCATTAGGGCTGCGGGAAAAACTAATCTCCACTTGCGCCGGAAGGCGCCTGTGGATAGGGCAGCGAGAGCATCGGCCGTGGCTCCTCGCCGGGCTAGCTGGAGCGGTTTTAGGGCATTGACGAATCCCAGTAGCACCAAGAAGATGGCCACCCAGGCTTGGCCCTGTATGACGAGTCTGAAAAATGGTCGCTGGAACAAAATAGACTTTCCAGTTTCCGCGAAAGACGGCGGGATTAGATATGTCGCAAAGGATAAACATGTATGACTCGCGACCACAAAAAGAGCGGCAATGCCACGGAGACCCTACAGAAAAGACGCTAGTGAGTGACAGTTTCATCGCATGCGGGGGACTGGAAATAATACGTACATCTGCCCAACTACTGGGGCGGATGTGAGATGCAGATTGCTTGGTCACCGGGTCGACAGTCATATTGAACAAACGGGTTCATTGCTTGTGGTACTAGTCAATAGTATAATGCAGCAGCTGCAGCTCCCCTGGCACATATACATAATTCCCGTGGGTCAATCATGCCTTGTTCCGGGGATAGCATTTTGAGAAACTCTCAAAATGAATACGAAATACGGAAGCGTCAATGTGAGATCGCATTGGAATAGTTGACAGTTGATATCTGCTATCCGAAGACGGAAGGGTTCGAGCGGGCTAACCACATTCCAAAGATGAATGGAAGTAAAATTAGTGGGCAGTTGGATATTAATTTAAGATATAGAAGATCTTCAATTGGTCTAGAATTCAGGGGCTAAGTACTCCGTCGCCGTCAAATAGGTCCAAAAGTCAACCGCATATGGGGCCACATGTTTCTTTTGATCGAGTTGCACATTCTTTCTGTCTGTTTTTGTTCTTTAGCTCATAGGATAAATAGTGAACATCAGTGCTTCAGCTAGTAGGATCACAGTAATTATTGGGGTCATATATAGAATATAGTGAGACAGTGCGAAATATGCATGTAATATGTGACTATAATAGTCTAGAGTTTCCGATGCATGAATTGTTGATCTATCGATTTTGATACAAAGAGAACAATGCAGATGCTGAAGAATAATTATGAATCTCTAACGGTCTATCCACTCTCTATATGAGGATACTCTCAACCGGATTTAATATATGAAGTAGACAACTTCCAACTTGGAAAGCCCCCTTTGTCCCATATTACGTCACCTGACACTAAACCCGATCCAGGCGTTGTTGATTTTGTTTCAACTGCGCCTTTTCTCTCTTTTCTTTTTCCACAGTCCTCTGGCAGGCTGTCTCCCAAATTTGGTCTCTCACCTTTTGTCCTTCGTTTCTCCAAATTCATTCTCTAACCCTTTGCTCCCATTTGTTGAAAATACGCCAAGCCCGAATATTCCTACGGTTATCGATAGTTCCTTGATAACAAATGTCCAGCGGGAACTGGGTGCGACATCGTGGCCATGGTCACAGAAAACGTAAATCCTCGATATCCGCCTCCCTTGGCTGATTTCGACCTCCCCGGCCGGCGCAGAGTTCCCCACCCACCACGATTGGAGTCGTTGACTGATCCACGCGCCCGAACCGCAAATTCCGCTCCGAGATCCTCACCTCGCTCCCCCCGCTCTCCACTTCGGCAAAGATCGCGTTCACCTCTGCCACGAACTCATCCTCATGAAAACCCGTGGCCACCTACTCCGCCTCACCATGGCTCCTCGCAGGGAACGAGGGGCGAATGGAACACCCCTAGACCTACCGGTCGCCCTCAAATATATGCCACACCACCTGAAGCCAATCCTCCGAACTGGTCCGCGCGAGAGGACTTCGAACGCCCGATGTATCGGAAAGCTGTGCCTACGCGAGGGGGGCTCCGTATATCAATGTCAACATCCAGGTTGCACAATAGGCGCCCGAGGACGCAGGAATCTATGGAGCGTCGTCCACAGGAATTGAGCTCCCAGGGACTCCCATTGTCACGCTACCCAACAAATGGGCCTTCAGATGAAACTCCTCCCCGACCAAGCATCAATTCGTCCGAAACCTGGCGCTCGAGTATCGAGCAAACAAGCGGAACAGAGCGCAGCAGTGTCCTTACCAAGAGCAGCTCGATCACCGATCTTTCACCGGACACCCCCGACGCGCCTTATGGGATGGACAATGGGATGAGTGTTGAAGACGCCATTTCCATGTATCTTGATGGCTTCAGCGACGTGCCTGAAGAGCCCGGCTCGCCGAAATCTTACGCGGGGAGCAGAGCGCCATCAGTAACGCCCCCGCCATCACGCGATTCACACCTAGATGAAGTACACCCACCAGAATTTCCGTCGCTGAGCGACGTTCCTCCGATACCCCAGATGCCAGAATTTACTATGTTGCAAACCACAAGGCCAGATTCATTGTTTTTGCCGAGCCTGACTTATTCCGAACCTACACCTATACCGCCCATTCTCCCAGAATCTCCGCCAGAGCTCACACCCTTGGAGCCAGCAGTACCAGAATATCCACAAGAGACCGACCCGTTAGACCCTGTGATGCCGGACTCTCCGCCCGATCTCACTCCCTCCGCATCGCCGGTACCCGAGGTGCCTGAGGTACCTGACGTGCCTCCTGCACACCAACGACAACCCTCCAAAAAAGTGCTCATTCCTGGACTAGTACCCCCACTACTCTGCTCTGGGAACGGCCCCCGAGACGATTACGGATTTCGCAAAGCTACCCAGTATGTCACCCTGGATGAATACGAGGCCTGGAAACGACCATACTCCCATCATGTGACGCAACGGAGAGCCAAATGGTGTGAATTGCTCAAGGAGAATGGGCTGCCCACATCAGAGCCCACAAAATTCCCGCCGCACTCTTCCAGGGTCAAGCGATTTGTTCGCAAAGGAATTCCTCCCGAGTTCCGAGGCGCGGCTTGGTTCTATTATGCCGGCGGGTATGAGCTTTTGAACAGGAACATTGGCCAGTATGATGAACTTGTTGCGAAGGCCATGAGCTCAGCAAGTAATGACGACAAGGAGCACATCGAGCGCGATCTCCACCGCACATTTCCTGACAACCTTCATTTCAAACCGGAGCCCACCGCCGAGCAAGCAGAACACTCCGGGAGCAGCAATCCGAATCACTCAAATGTCACTACGGAAACGCAGATGATCCAGTCCCTACGTCGGGTTTTGTATGCTTATGCGCTGCATAACCCAAGAGTCGGATACACCCAGTCTCTGAATTTCATCACGGGAATGCTTCTTCTTTTCCTCCCCGAGGAAAAGGCATTTTGGATGTTGCATATCATTGCTGCAGATTATCTGCCTGGAACTCATGAGATCAGTCTGGAGGGTGCCAACATTGACCTCTGGATCCTCATGGTCCTGCTCAGGGACTCCATGCCTGCTATCTATTCCAAGATCGCTGCCATGGGAGGAACCCCGTCCGGACGGGGCAAAATGCCTCCCTTGACAGTGAACTCTCGGCTGCCGGACATCACCCTTGGTTTGACCAACTGGCTTATGTCGGTTTTCATCGGAAGCTTGCCTCTAGAAACCACCCTCCGAGTCTGGGATGTTTTCTTTTACGAGGGCTCCAAGACTTTCTTCCGCGTGTCTTTGGCAATCTTTAAATCATGCGAAAAGGACATCCTCGGAGTGACAGACCCCATGGAAGCATTTCAGATCGTCCAAACGATCCCTAAAAAGCTATTGGATGCCAACACCTTGATGGATGAGTGTTTTGTACGTCGTCACCGCGTCGGGCAAGGTCGTATCGAAGAACTCCGCGCCCAACGCCGGAAAGCTGTCCGCGAAGAGAAGTTGCGACGATCAGTGGCCTTCAGTAAAGGCCAGCTTCATTCTGGGACGGATGATTTCGCCGGTCGATCCCATACACCGATCCCGGGCCTCGAGCATCGGGTGGTTGGTTCCTGGCGTCACTTGAAGCAACATGCATTCCGTTAAGCAAATGGAGCCCCATCCATCTTGGGGCGTCCTTTTCAAACGGCCATCCGTGTCATCTCCCTAATGTCTGTAATCATAATTGTGAATTTGACGGGGTTTAGCGAGGTCCTTTGCCTGCATTATAGGCGTCTTGGATTTGCAAGGCGAAAAGGGGGAGTCGAGTATTTATGATATTTTACATCTGTACATAGAAATTATATACTCCGTACACATATATTTGCCAAGTAAACAACCGACTTGGCAGTTTTCAAATTTGGGTCTTATCCTGTAGGACTGCAATAGTATGGAATATAATATGACAAACCGGGGGCCCTTTTGGTGTATGATCTCCCGTTTCCATTCTTTGCCCCCCTGAAATGACTCTTTTCAACATACTCTATACGTGCAACCAGGAATAATGTCTCCACTACGATGTCACTTGTTTCCCAGTCACCCACTTTGACTCCTCGGTTGAACGTGCACTACTTGGCACCCGGATTTTCCGTGATACCTCCGAAAGCTATCGATGGGTTATGTCAAAATCAACGCAGCCTGCTCTTCTGCCATGGTGTTACTATTGTGAAGATCTCGCCTGAAGTGGTCGTCAAGATGGGCGCTCATATCAACTTCCTCGAAGTCAAAAATATGATCTATATTGTGGAAAAGACACGAATTCCCCGTGCCCAAAGTTTTCGCCTATTATACATACGGCCCTATTGATCGTGATCCGGATGATTATGGAGGCCTTTACGTTGCCTATATCTTTATGGATTTCATTGATGGCGACACACTGCACACGGCGTGGGATACTTCCGACGTCGCTACTAAAACCCGCATCTCAACCTAGCTTACGGGATATATCCAAGAGATGCGTGATCTGGGTAGTGATGGGTACATTGGATCTATTGACCATGGACCTGTTGCTGATCATTGTCTATTGACCTCTGTTGATAAGGGTATACTCTATGTGTACTGTACACATAGCTGTGTCTTGACTAACACTGTCTTAAAAAAGGTCCCTTTCAATCCAAGGAGGATTTTAATACCGCCCTTCTGGAGATTTATCAGAGAGCAGCGCCAAAACATCATACTGGAAGTTGTCCGAGCGGAATGCTTCCTACATCCCACAGTATTGTTTTCGCACATGGTGATCTCCGGCCTCAGAATATCATGGTTAAAAATGGTTATGTGGTGGCGATTATTGACTGGGAGCTTAGTGGCTGGTATCCTGAATACTGGGAATTTGCCAAAACTCTTCTCATTTGGGGTTGTCAGAATGATTGGACGGAGTATGTGGTCCGGATTCTTCAGCCGTATCATGCGCAATATTTCATGCATCAGTTCTTGATGGAGAAGTTGTTGATTTAGTGTGGAGATAACCAAGAGATGGTATAAGCCACATATTAGCAGGTATTTCAGAGTCAGGGAAATTTAAGCACTTGGACCAACATTGTCAGAAATGGATACCTAATTCTAGACATTTGTACCTGGTTTTATAGCTATATTCTTCATAATAGACTGAACATGTACGGCATAATGCAAGCCTAGAAAAGGTGAAGATTACGAGAGAATTTGAAATTGAATCGACTAGCGTTTTTAGTGTCCAGCGATTTGGCGTAGATCGGCGATCCCTATAGGGATCCTCATCGCGGATCCTGTTCATTGGCGAGATTTCCGCCTTGCCGCTTGTTTGGTGTCGTCACCAATCAAGGAAACATTCGTTCCCCTTTTTCCCTTTCTCTCTCTTCACAACAATGAGTGGACAGGCTGCCAGCTATTATAATGAGGGCGTCCCTCAAGGTCAGCCCCAGCCCTATGCATACGACCAGCATGCGAATTATCAACAGCCAAATGTTCAGCCGGCACCATACCCGCAGCCAAATTACCAGCAACCAACCTATCAGGGACCGGGACCTGAGGCCAAACCACCACAGTACCAACAAAATGTCCCAGAGTCCGGATACAGCTTTGACCAGGCGTTCAAGATCGAAAAGCCCAAGTGGAATGATTTGTGGGCGGGTCTCTTGGTGAGCTTCCCCATCTCGCGCTAGAAATCTCCAAAACTGACGGGTTACACAGTTGATCGCCGTCTTCCTCGGATATGCTGCCGTCTCTGGATTGACCATCCACAAGTATGCCACCAACAAAGGCTTCAATGGAGGTGGCATCTACGACTCGGCCAATGATTTCTCCCTCGACACCAACACCCTCGTCCTATTTATCTTCGGCCTCGTCGTCGCCCTGGTTTTCTCTTGGCTCTATTTCCTGGGCGCAAGATATTTCACCAAGACCTTTATCTGGGCAACCGGAATCCTCAACATCGTCTTTGCTCTCGCAACCGGAATCTACTACATCGCGCGCAAGCAATATGGAGGTGGCATCGTGTTCCTTGTCTTCGGTGTCTTTGCAATCATATGTTTCATCAGCTGGATCCCGCGCATCCCCTTCACAGCCTTTATGCTACAGACCACCATGGACGTAGCCCGCGGCTACGGGCACATCTTCCTAGTCAGCGCGCTAGGCGGAATCGCCACAGTCGCTTTCGCAGCTTGGTTTTCCGTCACTCTGGTCTCGATCTACGTCGCCTACGAGCCCGATTCCTCGGGCGGCGTTAACCCCGCCTGTGCGAACGGCGGCTGCAGCAGAGCAAAAGTCATCGGCCTCGTCGTCTACGTCACCTTCGCCATGTACTGGCTCAGTGAGTGGATCAAGAACACTGTCCACACCACCGTCGCAGGTGTCTACGGCTCATGGTATTTCTGGAGCAAGTCCGCGGGCGGCATGCCCAAGGGCTCAACCAGGGGCGCGTTCCGTCGTGCGACTACATACTCCTTTGGCAGTATCAGTCTGGGAAGTTTGATCATCGCGTTCATCAACATGTTGCGCCAGGCTTGCTCCATCGCACAGCGACAGGAGGCTGCGGAGGGTAATATCGTCGGCAGTATCTTCGTTTGGATTTTGGGATGTTTCATCGCGCTGCTCGATTGGCTCGTTACTCTTTTCAACCGCTACGCATTCTGTCACATCGCATTGTACGGAAAGCCTTATATTCCTGCTGCCAAGGATACATGGACTATGATGCGCGACCGTGGAATTGACGCCCTGGTGCAAGACTGCCTGATTGGTCCGGTGTTGACTATGGGCTCGACTTTCGTCGCTTATGTCTGTGCCCTGCTGTCCTATCTCTATCTGCAGTTCACGAACCCCGAGTACAACAGGGATGGGAACTTCACCGCGGTGATCATGGCCTTCGCTTTCCTGATTGGTCTGCAAGTCTGTCAGGTCTTCATGACACCCATTGGCAGTGGTGTCGAGACTATCTTCGTGGCTATGGCTTGGGATCCTCAGGTCATGATCAACGACCATCCGGATATCTACTACAAGCTGGTCCAGCTTTACCCGAAAGTTCAGCAGGCAGTACACGCTTAAGCTTTGCACACGGAGTTGAGGTCCGATTGTATTGGTACGATCTCCACGTCTGGGAGCGGAATGTATATTTGCATTTCTCGCCATGCTTATGAATCTCCAGCACCAATTGGTGCTCGTTAATTAATTGAAGAAAGTACACGATCAATAGCAGTACCACCAATGTTTAATGCATCATCACTATTCAAGTTCAAAACCAGGTCAAATTCATCATTCAGAACATATTCCAAAATTCAAAGCCCAAGTAAACGAATTTAACTCCTGAGGTCCCCATCGACGTTCACAAAGCAACCATAACAGCCATAACAGCCGCAGCTCCAAGCATCACAACACCCCCATTCACTGAAACACCCGCTGCCGCCCCCTGGTAAGGCGAGAAGCTCTTCGCATCGACCCCCGAAGCCCTAGCCGAAGGTGTCGCCGAAGATGTTGCCCCAACGTGTCCAACCACCGACGACGAAGCCACACCACCCAACAGCCCATGCTGTCTCCCAACTGGTGTCGACGACACCATGGAAACCATACTACTGGACGTGGGGACATGAACCGGAATCTGTGAGACGTGCATGGGACTCCCAGTAGCAGTCTTGCAGGTACAGTCCGTGCGTATCTCCGTCACGTAAATGGTGTGTTTAGCACCTCCGTCACGCTTGACGGGCTCCATTGGTTTGCCAGCGTGTCGAAACGCGGGGTTTGCGTCCGCAGCTTTGGTCTCGGTAGATTTAGTTTCGGCAGCCTTGGTCTCGGTCGATATGGTGCCAATGGATTTGGTTCCCGCTATTTTGATCTCGTTGGTATCAGTGCAGAGGGTCGATACTAGGGATAATAAGTTGAGTCCGATGCAGGCCGGGACAGAGGAGGCGCTCATGGATTGTAGGGCGGCTTTATTGGCGCAGAAACATTCTTCGGAGGTTTTGTTCGTGCAGGAGGTGAAGGATGATTTGGCGAGTGTGTTTATGGCTGCGCTCTGGGGGTTGTTAGATTTGCATTTTGGGTGATATGGGGTTTGGTAGGGGGCTTACGGCGCAGCTTAGGTAGTCTGAGGTTGATTGGGCTAAGGCGCCGGCAATCAGGATCGGGGCGATGATGAAGGAACGCATTTGGGATGTTTTGTTTGCTTTCAGAAGTGTTGGGGATCTTGAGGTGTTCAACCAGAATGGAACAGGATTGATATCTAGTACACCAGAATGAAGCTATGGAAAGTCCAACGGCCAGAGTGAGGAAGACGCAGGTTTATGTATAATCGGATTATCGCGTCGGGCATTTCATAGCAAATATTTGATATGACACCATGTCCCTTCACTCCTTATTGGGGGCGTTAACGGGCCCCATCCAGGAATCTGACTGTGGCTGGTTCTCGATATAGGGACGGTGCTTGTCTAGAGATAAGCTTCAGGAATTTTTGATCGGACTCCAATCAGCCACACCCGGGCCTTGTCCTTTGTTGATTAAATTGGAATGAGGGGAGAATGTGCAAATTGCCTTGTTTCCTCCTAGCTTGCTCCCTCGGTCCTTATATTCCGGGGAATGTTGGGTTGAAAAGTTAAGGGGGCGTCTCATTCCTTGCTTTCGTGAAGCTTGCTTTAGCTTAATTGATAATGAGATAGAAATTTACCGTCTTATTGGATGGAAATCCAATTTTGCTCCTTGTAGTCGAGATCTATGCTGGTTAAGGCTATGCCGATTCTTGCCTTTGATACTCAAGGAGTCGAGGTGCGGCCACGTCGAAGTATTCAATTGAGATATCTACTTGTCTATGGGCGGATAGTAGAAAAAGGCGTAAACAGCATTCTTCATGTAAGAGACTCTTCTATATATAAGCTCTGATTTTCAAGTAATCCATGTATTGAAAGTCAAACCTTTCAGCTGTATACAATTGAGGACTTCGGAGGTAATCGTGGATAATAATAAGTACATAAGTAAAAGCAAGCGTGCAGAATGATATGAAAAGGGTACCCACCACTCGTATGTCCACGCATCATAGGGTCCCCAAACAGCGATAGCAGCTCAAAAAAAGGTACATGTTCTGACTGGGGATATTCTATAGCAGTTTCGAAGTCCAATACGGTCACGGCTCCTGTCTGCCTTTGATACAAAAAGTTATGCTTCCCAGCATCAGGTACGTAGATTGACAGAGACCGAAGAGTACAGATAGCCTTCTCACATTCCTCACGGACGTGGGTTCGCTCGCGGTTGCTGAGTTCGTCCTAGAGATAGATAAGTATCTGTCTATCCTTATAGGGGAGGACAAGCGCCCTTCCGTTAGGGAATAAACTCGAGCATATTATATTCCCAGTCAGTATTATATTCGCGAAGAGACTGTAACAACCAGGTCGTAAGTCTAGTAGACGCTTATAAACAGTATATTCGGCATTGGACCTAGATAAATATATATAGTGAGAAAGGGACTAGGATAATAGTAATCGGAAAGGTACTTACGCCCGATCATGTCTGGGACTCCAGCACTTCACGATATACCGTGTTCCCTCGTGTTCAACCTCGAAGAGAGCCTTGTCTGTCTGGCTAGGGGGTGAAATCCTCCGGGACACGTTCAAGATAGAAGGCGCTCCTCCCAGTGGCCGAGAATGATTATCCAAATTTGTCAGATTGCAATATAGCCTGAAGCTTATCAAAGTGAAGTTCATAAAATCAAAGTACTTTAAATTGAAGTATATTAAACAAGAGTAGACTTCTAATATCTTCTAGGTCTTTCTAGAGGGGTTTTCAGTGCGTTTCTCAGGGATTTTTCCTAAATATCCCTGAGATCCCCTCTATAGTCTCAAATACAGACGGTGGAAAAAAGCAAAAAGGTATACTCTATATAATTAACTTGTCTATACGGAGTATATAACTTCTAATAGTACCACTTAGTATCAATCACAAATTCTATAAAGATAAGATCCGATAATCTTTCCTGGGCTAGTTTATCTCCTAATTATATACTCTGTATATTCTTATGGGATATATTATATTTACTTATATTTCAATTTTATATACTGTGTCTACAGAAATAAAAGAGAAGCTGGAACAAGTGTATAGACTCTAAGGAGGCGGCAAGGAAATATACGGTAAGGCAATATCCAATGAGGGTTATGTATCGCTGGTCCCATGGATAGTCGCCCGCAACTGTCATCAAAATCGATACCTGTTAGAGCTATGCACACTCTTGCCTGTGATATTCAAAGAGTCGAAATCCGGCCTTTTCGAAGTATCCAGTTAGGATATCTAGCTATTTATTCGGCTTTGAGTCCTTAGATGAATGTTATGTCGGTACGTAATCTCCACTGTGTCTAGTGTTATACAGACGCAACCTATAACCAACTTGGTCGATGGTTTTTGATCAATGGACATTAGAAGAGGACACAATACAAAGAAACATAGTTTCCGCAGCATTTAGCTAGAAAGGAATTGCTAGAAAAGTCATTTACATCCTATCATTTGACCCCAAAGCCCATGTTTCCATCGCAATGTCGAAATAGCGGTATCTCTCGTGATGACAGTAGTATATGCAAGTCAAAGGGATATTTCATCTGGTCTGATAACGCGAGTCCTTCTTTGCTATCTCAGATTCCTGCTCCGCGTTTCTCTCGACGCCCAAGCTCCTTGAAAGTCCCCCCTTCTCCGAGTTGAAGCTAGAGGCACCATAGAACGCCAAGTGGAGTTTTATAAATGAAGCATATGTCGTACTCCTTATCAGCTCGCATTTATCCGTGGTCCAGTCATCTGATGATGCGCTACCGTAAGTTGATGAATCGGAGAGCCGACTTTGCGAGGGTTTTTTTTTCGGCGAAAATGCCAATAAAAGTTCTCGGGGCCTTGGGTGTGATAGGGTATTTTGATGCGAAAGCCATTGGGAAAGCTTTGGTAAACATGGGTTGAAGGGATAGGTGATATTGAGATCCGTGTCTGTTATTTGGATTTGAGGGATGGCCAGAACATCGAGTTGTTCATCTTCATCGGCTTTGTGGAAGCCAGGAGCAACGGGGACATTTCCGAGTTCCCATTCCTTCGATGTTTGTTGCAGTGGCGTCACGGGTCGGGAGATTTTATTGGCAGTCACCTCGTTGGGCTGTTTTGGGGACTGCATGATGAAAGGCGAGAGATCGAGATGATATACACTTTGAACGGAAGGTCCACTTGCGCAAGAGAGTTTGAAAGCGCAGATCCTCCAGTCAGTGAGGTTCAGCTGAGATCAGGTGGGATGACACAAAAAGCCAAGCAAGAGAGGTTCAACGGAGAGCTGTCTCGGTCACCTCTGGATAGATTGGACAGGAGGAGGCTGATCTGAATATCAGTCGAGGTTGAAAACAGCTGTATGATCACTAGATGATGATGCACTTCTCATATAGGATAGCTGAGTGTGATAGATCGAGGCTCCCTTGTGGCCAGGAAATTAGACAGATAGATATATTCCTACATGACTTCTTCATCGCCGTATCCACCTCCAATAATAGTAAATCCACAGGCTGTTTCTCTTACACTAATAGGTCAGCCAAAGGAGGCTGTTAGTAGCATTGAATACTGAAGCATAACCCCTGCCTGATCAATCAGTCTTGGTGTGATACTGGGCGATCATGTTTGCGAGCATATAATGTCGGGTCGATATTATCGTTTAATTCCGAGGCGAAAATTAATGAGAGTAAGGTTGATCAATTTAATGAGTCATTAACACGCGGATACGACTTAACAAGGATGAAAAGAAACATCACCCCTTATCTCCAAGCTCGTGAAAAGAAACAGTCTCATTCCATAGTTGAGCTTTATCATCGAGGACAAGAAGGTTCGTGTGCAAGTGTTCTTCGTTCAGCTTGGAAAATGGCCGAATCTACACTCAGCTTCGATACGCCCGAGGCGCTCAGCCCTTTTTTACGCCGTACAAATAGTGATCCTCGACCTGTTGTTATGATGACTTGTGGACTGGCTGGTAAGTAAATCATCATCTAGCGGCAAGCTTTGGGGTAATGGCTACTGAGAATCTTTTTCACAGGGTCTGGAAAGTCATCACTTTCTAAATGGATGTTATCCAGTCATCCCTCTTTCAAACGGCTCTCCATTGACTTATACATATACACCAAATATGGGCTTTATGGTCTTGATTACCCACAAGATAAATACAACAAATATCAAAATGAGGCCGAGAGCGCTCTCCGACATGAGTTAGTGCAGCTACTTCGACATGGCTGTGAGGATGTAATCCTGGATTTCTCTTTCGCATTTCAAGAGACTCGAGATCAATGGAAGAGGCTGATAGAAGAGGCTGGGGGCCGGTGGGTGCTTGCGTATCTTGACGTCGGTGCTGATGAATTGCGGCGACGAGTCAGGGCAAGGAATCAGTTGGCCATCAAAGATGGGGACTCAGCTTTTGTTGTGACAAATGAAATTCTAGAGAGCTTCATTGCTGGATTTGAGAGGCCTATCAGGGAGGGTGAAGTTGTATTAAAGTTAGATACACTTTTGTGAAAGAAAGAAAGACCGAGAAGAAATGTCTGATATGTCGGTGGAAAACCCCAATCCTATGTAATGTGAGGCTTATTGAGTGATCTCATAGCGATAATTTAAAGCATCTAGAGCCATAATCCCCTCCATCAAAGCTAGACGCACCTGGTAAGCTCATAGAGCGATCAAGCATTCATTTTTGCCATGTATTCCAGGGTGTGCTCATCTGGGTCCCAAGCAAGAACCCTTGTTTCCATCTGTCGAAGCTTCAAATCGACATATTCTTCCAGTTTTTGCCTTTCTTCCGGTTCCAAAACATCTAGTCTCTCCTTCCAAGCATTGCTAGGATCAAGGCATGTAGTCGTCGGCCCGAAGAATCGCTGGTCAATCTTTTGCCAATATATCGCGTCGAAAGCAAAATTGCCCCTTGCAGCATACATAATCCAAAAGTCTCCGCTTTCCCAGCTCTCTCGCATTGGAATAGAGAGCCTCTGACTCTCAGTCAGTCGACCGGTCCGAATTGCTTCGTCTTCGCAGTTACTCATCGCGCGAAGAAAGACCGGAAGTCGTTTCTCATATTCCATACACCAGTCATCAAGGCCTTTAGACCAGTACTCTGGCTTTTCAAGGAGAAGCCACCAAGGCGGCGCATAAGTAAATTCGACGGGGGCGGTATACGTAAACTCCCAATCTACCACCCCGGTGATCGTTTCGGCTTCATCAACTAGGACATTTTCTGGTCGAAAATCGTCACACCAAAGCGGAAATGGGCCAGTCTCATAGGATACCCATTTCTTCCGTAACTCTAGGTCCCGAATAATTTTTCGGAAAAGAAATCTCCCCACAATTTTACGTCGGCAGTCATTTTCCGAGTCCACAGCGTCATTTCTTTGGTTTATAAGGTGTGAAATGTGTAGCTCTGCAAGAGTTTCAAAATATGAGGACGTTTTCTCGTACGTGGTGGTCGGGGTCGGTAGTTTCGATCGTGGTAACGTCCCTAGTTGCACAATTTCGTTCATGGAATATGACAAAGGTCGATGTCTCACTTTCCACGTAGAGTCATCGTTCTGATCGAGGCTAGGGGACCCTATTTGGTTGAAAGCAAGTGTAGACAGTGAAAGGACCATGTTGGCTAGTTTTCCATAGAGAGCTTCGAGCCTAGCAATGCTAAGATCGGGATTAAGTACCGGTCGCTCTCCTGGCTGGCGGCTCGGAATCTGAAGAAGGTCTCTCATAGTTCCCTTGTGGTTGATGTAGTCCATAATGATGAAAGGACCGGCTTTTGAGGGGCTCTCTGTTCTTTGGCCCCAGTGAGAGATAAAAGGTACTGGGATTGGGATTTTATCTGAAGTTCTGGTTTTGTCCAAGATGAACCGCATGGTAGAGACCTCGTTACGAACTTTTTCTTCGGGAAACATGACAGCACCAGGCAATGGGAACCGGATAACTGCACCGCTATTATCGGTGAATGTCATTAGGAGGCTGGTATTGAAACCGCCTGTCTTGAAGGGGCGAAACTCTTGATGTTGACGAGGCCGATAGTGTTCGCGAAGAAATACCCCGATGTCATTGTAAGCAACTTGCTCATAGAGAGTGTATGGCCAGTCATCATAGATGTCCGTGCTTTTCTCCCAGGCGACATCGTCAAAGTGCATACGTGGTTTCATTGAAAAAGCATCTGAATGGATGAGGAGATAATCAGGGATAGGTGAGGAGTTGCCTGACATTTTGAATGAAATGAAATGTTGACTAGAAAGATAAAGGGGGTAAGGAGCACGGAGTGTTCTTTTTGAACTTAGCGCCCGAGTAGCAGGCTAGTTGATACGTCTCTTTTTTTAGGGGTTGTCGGCTTTAAATACCAACCACTAAAGGACTACTAGTGTACATTCCTAGACAACCGCGCCCATCTCAAAGGAACGCCTACAGATGCTGCCATCAGCGCCATTTACATTGATCTTCCTTTCAAAATCAAGATTTTCACAGACAAACCAAAGATCGGATCTATCAATTCCAGAGTCAAACTGAGATATTCTGACTATTAGATCGCCGTCCTATGCGAGCGCTTGATAGATGAAGCATATGCCGTGATAAGAAGTGGTTCAATCTTGAACCATGTACTTCGAAGACCTGTGCCTGTGTATGATATCGAGGAGTATGTCCGGCTTGTAACAAGAAGCCGTAGCAGCTTCATGCAGCAACAACGGAGACCTAGAAGCTATCATAGTTCACGTACCTTTGGTAGACCCTACCGATTTGATTGGTACTAAAACCCTACGTCAGCTCGTCGAACACCGCCATGCAGGCAGCAAAGTAGATGCGACTTAGCATACAGCATTACGATGGGAGCCATTGAGCAGAGCTTACACGATTCTACCCATCCACAACCTACATCAGTACTGTTCATATAGCACCTAGGATTGTCTGGCATTCCACATAATTTGAGGGTCTGCGAGTCAAAAGATAAAAGATATATAACGATAAGCTGTGATTGATGTTCCCTATTTTAGAGTGTGAAGGAATGAAGAAAGAGGAAGGACAAGAGGATATATATATATCTGCACGTCGATAGGAGCACTACCTGCTTGCTTCCTATTTGTGATTCGTGATCTTTCCAAAGTTTCTCTAATCACTTTGCTATCTAAATATTTCCTCTTATCTTTGTCTAATTATGTTTGCTTGTCATTATGACCCCAATGATCTCAGCAAACAAAAGTTGAACCAAGAAGGCAAAGTTTTGGATGCTGAAATGGAACAAAACATCCATTGAGAATGTAAGGAGAAGTATGGTGGATTATCTGTGCCACTCTACACTTCAATTATCATTGGGGTATAGTCCTTGCCATCGGAATAGTCAGCAATCTATGTGGCCTTGTCATATTCTCTTAGCAGCCTTCCTGGTGGCCCCTTCGGATAATTTCTCTGTCCCCTGAGCTTTGTAGCTAGGAAGGCAGCTTAAAAGGTGGAAAAATCATGAATTGTGCAGGCGACAACTTTCAGTATAACCGTTGGTTAGGGCCAATAATTTTGATCATCGAGATAAGACCCAGAATGATATGCTGGGAACAGTTCGCATAGTTATTTCGTTCCTATAGGCAACAAGACTAATTCTGATCGAGTCCACGATGTTATAAATTGTCCGCCATACAGAGATTCGCAGAGATGTCTAGATGCTCGTGTATGGTAAAATATGAGATGAGATGGCTGAATCCTTGAAGAGACTGGGCTCGAGGCTATGAAATTCAGCACCTCCCACGACTGTGAATCTAGTGATTGAAGGGTTATAGTATCGCATAAGGGGGTTGTGGGTTGCATCGCAGTTGCATAGTACACGAGGTAGGCAGTATTAGGGACTGAGGAGAAGTAGACCACGTCAGCCTGCTGATTGAGAGTGGTATTGGCGTAAAGAACAATGTCGAAAGTGTATACGGGTTGGCTGGCAAGACATGGATCCTTAAATATAAAGTGGGAGGAAGATATGTAGCCGCATGAAGAGCGGGACAAGTTGATTTGAACAGGTGGCTAGCGGTTAATGAGGTATCGTATGGACAGACTCTTACGATAGAAACACGAGCAAGCGACTCACATATGCGGGGCGATCTCCCGGCAGAGCCGCACTTGCCGTTGGCCCATCTTGCCGTTTTGGGTAGGCTCGCTGCCGTACGGGTGCCGCCCTACGATTGTACGGGTGCCGCCCTACCGCCTGATGGGTATATAAACCCATGTTGGACCCCCGAATCTCTTCTTCTCTCTCTCTCCCCAGCTCTCTTTGCCTCATGGCTTAGATCAACCGTAGTACCTGTTCTAATCAGTCTAATCGCTGATTGTCCTGCACCGCAGGCTTCCTCGATTACCCTAATATTTGGACCTCGTGATGGGCCTCTGTGCTTGCACACGCCTGTCACACAGTGTCACTGGGCTCACACTACCCCCGGTCGATGCGAACACTCTTTTCATCATCTATTCGGCTTGTCCGGGTGCTTGGAGAAGAGAGTTGTACATGTTACCCTTCCACCTAGCATCTGTCCAACTTCTATCTGTCGACGAGGGTACTCGATCTTCCCATTTGCTCTCATGATTATAGACTCTTTCCCTTTGTCTTTCCTTTACCACCAACGTCCCTATTCTCGACTTCAGCTTCCTCTGATCCAAAACAAATGCAAGAATATCTGATGGTCCAACCAAGGGACTGATTTACATATCACTCAAGTATCATTACCGCGAAGAACTGTCAAATTGGGTATAACTAAATATCCATACCAAACCCGATCGCTCCCAAATTACCCAATAGAAAAGAAAAATGAAAAGTCATCAACAGACATACAGAACGTGAAAATCTAAACCAAAGTCAGAACTTCTCACTGGTCACACACCGTGTAGACTTCACCAAGAACCAAGCGAGAATCTTGACAATGAGCGTCAATCCCTTCACAATCAGATCCAAGCCAAAGAACAGTATACGCAAGATGGTACGAGTAGCCCCAGGCAACTTCTCCCCTTCTCGCGAAGAACCATTCCCGTATCGACCATACTTCTCCAAATCGAACTCCTCAACCACAATCTGTCGATTCTTACTTTTCTTCGAGTCCCGAATATTCTCCCGAGGCTTGGTAGAAGACCTGTTCCAAAACTTGAAAACACTCTTCTTGCCAGAGGCTTCCTTGGACTTTTTCTGTGCGGATTTAATCTGCGATGCCAAGTTCATGCTATCTGCTGCATCTTCGCGCTCAGCAACCGTTGTAACCAGTTTACCCTGGAACACAGGCATGGAGTAAGATCCGGGATTGTGGGAGGTAGGTGGTCTCGACGATTTGGGCGATCCGAGAATCATATCTGCAAGGATAGGGTTCGTAGCTTCGTCGGAGACGGCGACTGCCAACATTGCAGCAACAAGGGAGTCGATTGCATATAAAGAGGGAATTGTAGCAATAACAGCAGCAGGCGAAATTGACAATGTCTTGGTAGCAAAGTCCAAGGATGCGAGCGGCTCGTCGAAGTCTGTGACAGGGAGTACGGACGTGCGTAGATTAGCAGCTTGCTGGGCGGCTTCCATTGCTGTGGAAGAGACCGGGCCGGTGACAATGATTGTTGGTGGTTGACGGGGAGAGGCGTCGCTCGAGGGTTTGGAGACTGTGATGTGTACCATTCCTGAAGACTCGGATCGTACGGGTGAGAGGGGGATTCCGGCGGCGCCGACAAGAGCGGGCGGATTGTGTCGTGAGAGATAGGGATGTCGTAGTTCGTATAGTCGTTGATGGCGGTTCCAGGATAATCGGCAGGATTCTTGTGCTGCGGCTCGTTTGAGTGCGTCGGTTTCTACTTCGGCTGTCTCGGCCGGAGTGAGGTGGTGTTGCTTGCTGATCTCTTCGGCCTGGTCTATTGCCAACATGGCTGCTAGTCGGGAGAAGAGTAGGGTCACAAGTCCATCGTTGGGATGTTCGCGGCGTATGCGGTCTTCGAGGCTCATCATCATGATTGGTACGTCGTGGGTTGGTCTGGAAGGATCGCATCTGCTCAAGGAGAGTTCGTTGGTTGAGTATGTTTGTAGGGTGTAGAATGGGTTCTGGGAATTTCCAAGAGTAAATGTAGCTGGTCCCGTTCTGTGAGATGTTAGTGTTTGTAAAGATGTGGGAGACATGAGATCTTACTTTGTCATGCGTAGGTTCAATGTTCCCACAAGATCTCGCGTTCGCTGACCATTGGCCGTTTCCCACAGCATCTTCAACTCTTCCATGGACGAGTACGTCACCTCCTCGGACTCCAGAGCACCAGTTGGGAAATTGAGCACACTCGCAGGCACAGTCTTTGGCCCGAGCACATGGTCAATATCAGTATTTGTCGACAGCGTGAGCTTAGGAGGCTTCCGGGTAGACTTGACGGGTCGTGGGAGTTCTGGAAGCTGTGGCTGATATGCCTGCTGATTGAGAGGCAGTTTTGGATCGAACTGAGGGAACATCGATCTCATCGGGACTGAGGACGCCGACGACTGAGATGACTGTGGGGAGGCAGTTGTTGCCGTGGTATGATAGCTGCTACTGCTGCTGTATTGACTACCTTCTGAAGGCTGGGCCTTATGGTTCACTCTCTTGGCTTGACGGTTCTGACTGTGCATGGACTGAGGAGATTTCGAGTCATCCCGAGACACTCCCGCCACAGAGAGCGGAGATTTGGATCTTGAAGCATCTGTTGGTGGAGGTGGAAAGCTCTGGGTGTCTTCGATAATCTGAAGGAGCAAGGATTCTGTCTTGCTAGAATCCTTGATCTCCTCAAGAGGAATTGAAGAGGCTGGCTCCGATATAGCTACTGGCTTTTTCCCGACTTTTCGAAATGGATTGTTAGACTTCTTTACCTCAGGCGATGGAGGTGGAAATAATTGAAATTGACTCATTTTGAATGGAGTATGCTACAAAGACAGAACAGAACGCGAATGCAGGGGGTCTCGACTGAGATATACCCCATTCTCGCGGGATACACCCATGTGCTCGACCAAGCAAAGTGTACATGGCTTGTTGAGATGTGACAACCTTGCTTATACGGTGGGCGCTTAACCGATTAGGGATGTGATTGGCCCCTATCCTGGGATGGGCACATCCATCTGCAGTAGCGGCGCTTCAATGCAGCGTGATGATTGGTGTTGGGACCATGGGGAATCTATATTTATCAGAATCCGGAGATTATATTGGTTGGTTATTTTTGTACTGAAGAAGTCGGAGAGTAAGCTCGTTTGACCCTGTGTTGACCCCAGTATCTGCATATTCGGTCTCTCGGCTCCGGACTTTATTGCAATGGATTTTAATAAATGACATTAATGGCTCACATAAGACATTAAAGTCTGTAGAAGCGCTTAATTGAGGTTGATATATGGTACAGCGTCGAATGTCGTATCCAATATGCCGTCCCATTGCTTAAGAAGCCGTCTTGCTTATGATCCTGTGAGGGAGACTCCAGGTTCCCAGACCGTCGATCTTGAAATGAATGCAGTGATATTTTAAATTCTTATGTTTTTCCATAAACGAGGTAATTTACATGGTAGAGCCCTCCAACTCCTCCAGTCGGTGCATATCCATATCCTTCTCCAACAAAGGAATCACATAAGGGTCGAAAGTCTTCCAGTAAGGGTTGTTCAGGTGATACTCCTGTGACGATTCCTGGACATAACGTTCGACGATGGTAAAGTCCTGCTTGTCGAAGACAGATTGCATCACAAACCAAGAGAGGGTTTCCTTGTCGTTCGAGTAAACATTGGACGCTTCAACAAGCTTAGCCTTGAGTTTGGAGATGGACTCTGCATCCGCCTTGGCGCGGAGGTCTAACACTGTGAGCGTGGGCAATGGCACTGGGGAGGCGATTACATACGGACAACGATTGTATAAACCATGATTGTTGATGTTTAGTGGGGGTAGAAAATAGATTGAAATGGAGGGGCAAAGTGCTCGGACAGTCAAATACTGTGCTTTAATACTCTCTATCGGTGAGAGAAAGAATATGTAAGGTGGGCCAATGTAAATCCCCGAAATTTGTCCCTAGTGATTCCGGCTTGATCTTGCTTATTTGCCCTTGTAATGCTGAGTGTTTCTATCTGAATTCTTATTTACATAATGTACAATTACTCGTTCTTCCCTTGATCTTGACCCAAGGCCTCAGCGTGCACACTGTGGGTCAGACCCTCGGCCATGGTAATCGCACCCTCCATGTTACCCTTGTTATACAAAAATAAGCCTTGAAGGGCGGCAGCGCTGGTGTTGATAGCCCCATCAGGCTTGTTGCCTGATTCATCTTCAATCAAGCCAAGCTCCTGGAGTCGATCTACGAAAAGTTTGCGATAAACCCCGTCGGTATCGATATCTCCATAGAATCGATCCCATAGGCAGCTAACCTGGTAGCGAGTCACTTCGCCGAGGCGGACAGTCATATCCACACGCCCAGGACGGACCAAGGCCTCATCAAGTCGCTCAACGTGGTTGGTAGTAAGGAAGATGATGCGCTCCTCCGCACTAGCAACTCCGTCGAGGGCATTGAGTAGTCCCGAGAAAGTCACATTGGCCCCACGGTACCCATCTGCGTCGCTCTGCTCGCGTCGGTTTGAGAACGCGGCATCCACATCTTCCAAAAGAACCAGCGTTCGGTTGGGGACAATTGTGAGTAGATGGTTTAACCGGTCGTCGGTCAGGCCACGCTCGCTGAGGTTCAAAATGGCAATATCGTAATTCAACTCGCCCGCTAGTGCTTGGATAAAAGAGCTCTTGCCGGTACCCGGAGGCCCGTATAAGAGATAGCCTCGTCGGTATGGAATTCCACGGTCATGATACCATGAAGAAGTCGAAATGAAGTCTTCCACATCTGCCACCACCCGTTCCTTGACTCCCTCGTGGAGTACGACGGACTCCAACGGACGCTTCCGGCGCGGGTTTCCAAATGGTTTCCACTCAGTACCCCAGCTGTTATAGATTGTCGTCTTGCCTTCGTGGCCCTTTGCAGCGTATGCATGAGCTTCGGTAAAGAGGTCCTCGAATATGTGGCGTTGGGAATAAAGGGTAGTCAGGGTGATTGTTTCCCATGGCTTTCCGGTCTGAATGTCGCGGGACTTCGACTCGCGCATACGATTGACAAAGACAAACGCGTTTTTGTATCGGAGAACGTGTTTCCCAGGTCCTGGAATCAACGAAAAGTGTGTGTGGATTGCTCCGTTCGAATGTTCGACCTTCTGCGTTTGGATGGAGAGGTGGCGCATGCCGGGCGTGAGCTTTTGAAGGAATCGGTCCATATAGGTAGAGGTATTCGCCGCAGCCTTGCCTGCATTGAGCTGTGATTGTTGGTAGAGAGTCATCCAGTGTAGAAACCACGGATAGGAATCATCTTTGATGCTGATCTCGACATCCACCAGCATCCGCCGGCGGAGAAGAGCAGCGCCATGCCGAACGCCTTTCTGTGCTAGAGTCAATCCTGCCCCAAGACCTGCAAGGCCAAAGCCCTAGCAAGGAAACGAAATTAGCATATATTTTTTTTCCGAATCAAAGCACTTAATCCCATACCGCTGTGAATAAGGGATTGCTCGTTAGCTGCGACAAGAGACTACCGTCGCCTTTCTGCGCCGACTGGAGCGCCTGTGTTCTCTGCTGCAGAATCAGGTCGCTCGCAGAGGGCGCAGCATTAGGGACCGCATTTGGCTCCATACCAAATCAACAGTGTCGTGAAGATCGCGAATGTCGAGAAGGTCGATAAGGGAAGATATCGGACTTTAAAACGGGCCGAGAATTCGACGTACCCACGGGTGCCACAGGGCAATCCATGGGAGAATAGATGAGTACATCTACCCCTACGTAGGGAGGATTACAACCTTCAAGTTGCAATCTTATAACATACATTTCTGACTTGATATTCAAGTATTCGATATGGAGGCGGATGTAGCAGTCTATCCTTGGGTAGTTTCGGTGTTTGCAGGGGTCGGACGCCCAATGTCGGAGATATCGGGATTATAACACTTTCTCCTTTGTGCATTCCTCTCCCCAGTAAGCATCCGTGTTCGTTGTCCAGTCGAAGGGGTTTTGCTCTATAAAGCCTTGGCCTCCCATGCGACTTCTTCTCCGTTCCCCGCTTACTTGGCGGACACAGTACCGACGCGGTATTCACCCAGCAATTCGCAACATGAGCACCCCACCCACTACTGAAGTGCTCTATGCGCTGACAGTGGCTAAGTTCCCGGCTAGACCTAGCCCAGAAGATTTTTTGAAGAAAAGTCATCATGCACAAAATGGGTTCAGAAACCCGTGGGAGTAAGTGAGGCTCTATGGCTTGCTCGATTCTCGATCTTTTGTCGCGCAAACTAACATCGTATGGTAGATCTTTTCGCGATCTGCAGTCGAGAGATATCATGCAAGCGATGATGTATGTATAATTTTCGAACATTGGAGCAAAAAAAATCTCTAATCTTTGCATGCAGCTCTCGTCGACTAAGCGGTAAAGCGAATGTACCCAATACCACGCCACCAACCGTCACCGTTCGCAAGCCGGAATTTCTTCCAAGCCGAGATACCCCTAAGTTGCGCGCAACATGGCTTGGACATGCATGCTATCATGTGGAGTTCCCCAGTGGTCTCCGAGTACTATTTGACCCAGTGTTCGACGCGCGTTGTGGGCCATGCTGTGGACCGTTTCAACTCGGTCCGAAGCGCTTCACTGAGCCCCCATGTCAGATCAAGGATATCCCTGTCATCGACGCGGTCGTAATTTCCCACAACCACTATGATCATCTGTCTTACCCAACCATCCTGGAGATCGTGAAAAGGCACCCCAATTGCCACTTCTTCGCACCGCTAGGCAACAAGTCCTGGTTCCACAGCTCAGGCATCCAAAATGTAACTGAAATGGACTGGTGGGATGAGCGTGATATTGAATTGTCACCCAAGGAGGGAAAGGGACCGCAGGTTGAACCTGTAGGCGATGCCCCCATCACAGCAGAGATCAAGGCGCGCATCAGTTGCCTACCTTGTCAGCATATTACTGCCCGCTCTGCGTTCGACAAATACAAGACACTCTGGGCTTCCTGGGCCATTGAGTCTGGCGGTAGCAAGGTTTATTTTGCTGGGTATGATATTATCCCCCAACCCCTCCCCGGTGTCAGAATTTTACCTTGCTGACCTTCAATTTAGTGATTCTGGCTACAGATCAGTGGATGAAGTACCAGAAGGGGAGGATGATTGGGATCCTAAGTACAATTTCCCCATTTGTCCTGCTTTCAAGCAGGTTGGTGAGTTCCGAGGACCATTTGATCTTGGCTTGATTCCCATTGGAGCATACGCTCCTCGTCATATCTTCAGCCCGGCACATTCTGACCCCCATGATGCTGTTCACATTTTTAAAGACACCAAGTGCAAAAAGGCCTTGGGTATGCACTGGGGCACTTGGGTACTTACTGAGGAGGATGTGCTTGAGCCTCCCAAGAAACTCAAGGAAGCATTGAAAAAGCACGACCTTGCCGAGACTGGTGTTTTTGATGTGTGTGACATTGGGGAGAGCCGGGAATTTTGAACAAACTCCACTTCGTGTACACTACTTTTCTGGCATGTACTAGAGCGTGCTTATCTCTGATTCTTCTTGTATGTTTTTGCATCCGATCGGAATATTGTCTTTCACGCAACAGCGGAGTCATTCTGTGTCTTTGGTTCATATGGGTTTCGTCAATTGCCCCTTTTCTTTTGTCGTTTGGTGCCGTACATAAAACGCTAACATCTCCGGCCAGGGGCTTCTTAACCATCTCAGTCAGCTTTGAGGATTCACCAAGTTTATATGGAATTCTAGTTATTGATACCAAGTCAGGATGTATATTGGTGTGATTCAGAAAAAGAGAGAGAGATCAACCCAACCGGGGCAGTAGCGTGGGTAGAAACCTACCAGGTATATGCTACTTTGATATCTTGACTAAGAAAAGCATCTCTGATTTCGAGCTCATCGAGGTCAAAACGCGATACTTTTCAATCAATCTTGGTTTGGCCATTCTTTTTGCATCCTAAAGCTGGCGGTTGCGCTGTTCTCAGGCTGTTTTCTGTCCTGCATTGGGATATCTCTCAAAGCTCATTTGAATATGTATAGAAATAATCATCGAACAGAACATATCCCGACTTTTGGCAATGAATTAGAACTTTGTAGAGTTGTCAAAACACAACTACAACATGGATGAATTGGAGATGGTTGCCTGGTTTATCAGGGCTCTACGCTAGCTGTATATGGACTAGTGCGAGGGAGCTCCCACTTCGCCTGGAAATTTGATGGAATGCGGGCGAACAGCGTTGAAGTCGGAACTCTTGAATTGTCATCTTCGTGCAATATTTTTTTCGATATTCGCAAGGGACAGAACATCTTATATCTACTTCCCGCTCAGACAACAATAAAACACCGCCAATATGCAGGCTCCGGTGGTGGTGATGAGTTGGTTACCCCCCATCGAGTTGCTCCCCTTAAGTGCTAACAAATCATCTAGACACCAATTCCGGCGAGCGCCAGGTTGGCCGGAAAGCACAGATGTCTAACATTACCGCGGCAAAGACGTACGCTATGCCTCGATCCTCCGCTGTTCTCCCCTGCTCGACGCTAATTCAATAAACACCAGTGTTGCGGATATCATTCGGTCATGTCTCGGACCCAAGGCGATGTTGAAGATGCTGCTTGACCCTATGGGTGGTATTGTGTTGACCAACGACGGCCACGCTATTCTGCGAGAGATCGAAGTGTCGCACCCGGCGGCCAAGAGCATGATCGAGCTCAGCCGTACTCAGGACGAGGAGGTCGGAGATGGTACCACAACGGTCATCATCCTTGGTATGACAGGACTCATTTCGGAACGCTCTATAGTAAATGCTGATATGCCATAGCCGGCGAAATGCTCGCCCAGGCCATCCCCCAGCTCGAACGCAACATCCACCCCGTCGTTATCATCCAGGCTTTCAAGCGTGCCCTCGCCGATGCCCTTCAGATCGTGGAGGAAGTCTCGACACCCGTCGACATTCATGATGACAAGGCCATGTACAGCCTGATCCAGTCCTCCATCGGAACCAAATTCGTGTCCCGTTGGTCAGAGCTCATGTGCAGCCTCGCTTTGAGAGCTGTGCGAACCGTCTCCTTCGATGTCGGCAGCGGAAAGCATGAAGTCGATATCAAGCGCTACGCTCGTATTGAGAAGGTCCCCGGTGGTCAAATCGAGGACTCTGAGGTCATCGACGGTGTGATGGTCAACAAGGATATCACGCATCCCAAGATGCGTCGCAGAATCGAGAACCCCCGTATCCTTCTTCTCGATTGTCCCCTGGAATACAAGAAGGGCGAGTCCCAAACCAACATTGAGATTTCCAAGGAGGATGACTGGAATCGCATTCTTCAGATTGAGGAGGAGCAGGTCAAGCACATGTGCGAGGCCGTTCTGGCTTTCAAGCCTGACGTTGTTATCACCGAGAAGGGTGTTTCCGGTAAGCAAGCCGTCTGATTACAGTGATTCATTGCATGTTCTAACCACGGAGCTATACTAGATCTTGCACAGCACTTCCTGGTGAAGGCCAACGTTACAGCCCTCCGTCGTGTGCGAAAGACCGACAACAACCGTATTGCCCGTGCAAGTGGTGCTACCATTGTCAACCGTGTTGATGACATCCAGGAGTCCGATATCGGTACCGGGTGCGGACTGTTCGAGATTGAGAAGATTGGTGATGAGTACTTCACATTCATGCGCAAGTGCAAGTCCCCGAAGGCCTGCACGATCCTGCTGCGCGGCCCCTCCAAGGATATCCTTAACGAGGTTGAGCGCAACTTGCAGGATGCTATGTCTGTCGCTCGCAACGTTATCTTCCACCCTCGTCTATCTCCCGGTGGTGGTGCTACCGAGATGGCCGTCTCAGTGAAGCTCAGCCAGCTTGCCCGCTCCGTCGAGGGTGTCCAGCAGTGGCCATACAAGGCTGTTGCCGACGCTATGGAGGTCATTCCCCGCACATTGGCCCAGAACGCCGGTTCCAGCCCTATCCGTGTGCTTACCAGCCTGCGTGCCAAGCACGTTGAGGGTCACCACTCCTGGGGTCTGGATGGTGAGACTGGCAACTTGGTCGATATGAAGGAGTATGGTGTTTGGGAGCCTGAAGCCGTCAAGCTTCAAAGCATCAAGACTGCGGTCGAGGTAAGCCCCCTCATGTGATTCCATGCGCACTACATTTCACTAACATATTCTTCTCTAGTCCGCATGTCTCCTCCTCCGTGTTGACGACATTTGCAGCGGAAAGTCCGCTCAACAGATCGCCGGCGGCGGCGGTGGTGGCGGCGACGAATGATCGATAGATGAAAAAGAAAAATGATACTTGGACTTGAGGTCCGTACATAATGTTACACGATTCGCCTCATGGCTGTCTTCCTTCTGTATGAAATTTCTAGATTCAAAAAAACAAAGAAAAAAAAACCAAATCTTGAGGGGTATATTCGTATCGTACACAGCCAGCATTTGACTGCCTCCACTAGTCCTCATCATGGAAAATCACACCAGGAACTTCCTGCTGGGCCATTTGCACATCCGCAGCGGCCCCATCCTGGCCTTCCATAGTAACCATGGAGCCCGGGGCAGCCGCGCTCTTCACAAGAGCAACATCATTCTGATCACCACCACCCTTCTTTCCACGCGCATTCTTCTTCTTCTCCCTCCTCCTCCGATTCTTCTCTGTCTTCTCCTCATCCTTGCGCCTTGCTTCTTCGCGCTCTTTCTTCCAAGCCTCATCACTCTTCTCATTATCCACCTCAGACTGCATCATCCGCAGTCTTTCATATTCCCGCCTCCGACTGGCCTTGTACACGTGGAATTCGCCAGATCCCGCACCGGCCGATGATCCCTGCACATTGGTGACGATCTCTGGCGGCGCTGAGAGTGACGCTACGGTGCGCGGTTTCAGAGCATTGGGAAGTTGCAGATCTTTGCTTGGGTCTTTGAAGAGTGTCTGGATCTCATTGGCGACTTCGGAATGTGGTGTCACGGCGCGTCGCTTTGTTGGACGCTTGCTGCGGGGATCTGCGCTTGTGGGGATGGATTCTGGGCCTGGTTCGGACATTGTGTGGGTGTTGGATTGAGGGGAGGTGATGCGACCGCGTGAAATCGGTGGGGTTGCGCGAGTGAGAGGAATTGGTGCCTTCTCTTTTGGACTGGTAATTGAATAGGCTTCTTTTTTCTAGTTGGGGGGCGTCCGCTGTGTGTTTGTTGATACACGAATGTAGCGAGAAAGGCAAGTAGTAGGTGACAAGCTTAAGATGTAGACTTGGGCAACCTTCAAGCATTGGGTTAGTCTAACCGCCTTTGGTTAGCGGCATAAGCACATGGCAGATCACCCTTTTCGGAGGGTTTCTCTCATATTGTTAACCTTGGCATACTCGTTCTGGTGCTTTTCAGGGTTTAGTAATGGGGCCGATCTCGAATGCTGCATTATATATCCCAATTAGTCTCCTTAGAAAAGTATGTAGGTGTCAAATTGTTTACATGAAATACTACATCGGTCCAGCTATATGTATATGCTCTTGCCACACCTTGTCAGATTCTGACTGACACTTAGGAAGCCCATTGTTAATAGAATTAACTATAGTATCCTACTTGGTATATACCAAATACAATTACAGGTTGAATACTATGAATACTATAATGCGCAAACTATGAAAAAGGGGCTCTTGAGTCTTGGGGCATATACAACAAGATGCCACTTCCGTCCCGCTATATTCAGACTATTACCAGAGTGTGAGAGCACTTGCAGATGAGATCAGAAGGATGCTCAATTCGCGCAGTTAAAAGGCCAACAGTTGTCCCAAACGGTAACTTGTCTACGGCACTTGGATGAAAATGAAAAGGCGAGAATATCTTTGTTCTTGTAATAGATTTTGATTCGTTTTCCCTGAAGATTCTAAGCCATGAAATTATTATGGTGTTGCAAGTTGTGTCGCCGCGGCGGATACTTTCAGTCGTCCCACAGAAAAATTACAAGCTATATCTACCGCCGGAGCTGCTGGAGATATACAATCTGATATGCAGGGTTACTGAGGCATATCCAAATAAAGTGTTAGTCTTTGATCGCACTCTCTAGCTGCACCAATTTTGAGACCCTTCTCAACAACGTCCATTTCTCGGAGTAGTTCCTTCGCGGATCCGTATTCCTTCAACCAGCACCTCAAAGTAATCGCACTGAGTGCATGTAAGTCTTGTGGGAATTGCTGCACTGCAAACCTCTCTCGAACTTTTTCAAATCACCCATCTTCCCCATCAACAATCTCGGGAAAGACAGGATGACCCATCATGATCAAGTAGATAGTACAACCCAACGCAAAAAGATCTGTTGTGAAATTCGCGTCAAAAGAATCGGCTCGCGGGCAATAAAACCTGGTGAGCTCCCCACTTCCGCCATCGAGTAGCACTGAGCCATCTTTCGATAAATGCTTCCCCTGGAAATCTGACAGCTTAATACGAAAGCTTCCAATCAAGCAGAAGATCTGTGGGCTGGATATCGTAGTGAAGGAACCCCTGAGAATGGACCCATGCAACTGCCTCGGTAGCCTCTCGACACTAGGATAACCGCTGCTGGATCGAAGGGGGTGGGTTGTCTGATTCGAGGAGGTAGTGAGCTAAGGTTCCGTTTACAGCTCGCTCGAGGTAAAGCCCGTCGTCAGAGAAGCCCTTGAGCCCTATGATGCGTTTATGGGGCCCAACAACTTCGAGAAGCTTTCTCTCGATCTTGAGCCGACTCATGTCTCCACCAGGAGCGAGAGGGTATTTCATGACAGTCGATTCATCTATTTCTCCAAAAAATGCACTGCTTTCCGAGGCTATGACCCTCTTCACTTCCGGAGCTACTAGTTTTATATAGTTTAAATTCAAAATTCGGACAATTACTGCATAAGTGTATATAATCTAAGTTCAAACAGAATCCGACTAATGACGAAAACCATGATAAGTACGACCTAATATGAAAACCTTTGGATCAACTGTCTATTCATATATTGGGACATACCGGCTCGTCATCTCATTCACTATACGCACAGTGAGAGAGTCAACAGAAGAACGCAAAGTCAGGAAGGACGTAATGCTCCTAGTTGTATGAGGTCAATTGATTCCGTGCAGTATTGCATGAAATTAACAAACCCCTATGTCGAGAGTTAAGACCTCAAAATCACCATGAGAACCATTCCGATGAGTAGTCTTCGAAACCGTGAGTCTCAAGCATGATTTGAACACTCGACCTCCACGCAACTGGGGTGTTATTGTGAGACTCGAGACCGTGGGACTGTGAATGGCAGAGAAAAGTAAGATATAGTACATAGTAAGGTGGAAGATGGAGAAAGTCGTGGATTTGATCCCCCTTGACACATCCAACATGATCAGAATCAGCCGTCTAGTTCGTCGGGTTCCACATTTGACCGTCCACGGTGGGTCCAGGAGTCCACAGGTCAGATTGGCCAATTACTAAGCGGATTGGTTCATGATCAGGTGATATAGATCACGCTGATTCCAAGCACGTGATGACTGGCATGTGTCCACTTTGCCCGTGATCATAAAGCGGCAAGAGGTCAACACCAAAATGGAAGGGAAAGCTTTGAACCGTCCCATGATTGAACGAAAGAAAACAATCAAAAGGAGCATCTTCCGTTTATACTCGCAACCTATTCAGTTCAATTACATAGTTCAAAGTGATTGAGAAAAAATATGACAAAAAAAAACAATAGTAAATTATGTGGTGACAAAGTCTCCTGATTGGCTAGAAAACACGTCTTGTTCGAAAGGGGTTATGAACATAACAAAGGGTCTTCATTTCTTTGTTCCATTGTGTACTCGGTATTTTCAATTGTTCTTTCAATCATTGGAGAGTACTCATATCTTACTATTGATTGAGAAGAATGGAAGAGAATAAGTCAATACCCACAAGTCACAACCACGTATGAGAATCTAATAGCTGGCCCCTTTAAATACTACACATGTGTAGTATTCTCGCTTCTTTTTACTCTTACAAGAACTTCAATTTTCAAGCTTTCTAAGCGACTTTCGGACTGCGATCACTTTGTGCAAGCAGCTTCTTATGTTCTTTGTTATTCTTGGCTTTGTTCAGTGACCCGCACCTCTCTGTGTGCCGGTACTACCTACCTACTTCACTTCACCATTGTGAACCTCAAGACAAAGTTCCAGTTTTTTCACTACTTGCATTGACTAAATCAGTCAAAATGCCATACCGCTTTGGTGAGTCCCTATCATATCATGTGTCTATGTCTTCCACCTGGTGTTCTCATGGCCAATGGGTGTCCATTGCACCAAGTGAGAATGCCTGAGTACACTTTGGAAAATAAGATATTATGCCCTAATTCACAAACATGTCCTTTGTGTACTCTGGTGTTTTTGGAAAGAAAAATAAAAAATCCAGTTCTCCCCGCGATCAAGGGACCACAATAGCATCCATGACATCACAGCTAACAGGATGATCAGAAATTGCCGCCCAGGGCCGTGCTGTTTGCAAAGCCCCCGACTGTGCCAAAGAGAAGGTCAAGATCGCCAAGGGTGAATTCCGTGTCGGTACCTGGGTTGATGGCCCAGGCTTCCAGAGCTGGTCCTGGCGCCACTGGTGAGTCTAGCCTTGAAGACACATGTCTTTAAAACCATTATTCATGGCTTGTATCTTTGAACACATGATTTCATATTCTGACCTCGCTCAGGGGTTGCTTTACCCCCAAGCAAATTGTGAACGTCAAGAAGGACATTACTGGGGACTCTGATGATCTTGATTTCTCTCGCCTTGATGGCTTCGATGAGCTGAACGACGAGCTCCGAGCCAAGGTTCGCAAGGCCATCGCAGAGGGTCATATCGAAGACGACGAGTGGAAAGGCGTAAGGTCACCTTCTTCAACCAGCAGGTTTTGGACATTCTCCTTGAGAATGGGTCCAACGATAAAGCAACCGACTAATATTTCCTAGGATGTTGAATGCAACCGCCCTGGACATGTCGGCATGCGTATCAAGAATGGCAAGGTCAAGGCCAAGGCCGATGAGGTACGTGTATCTCATTTCCTATTCTTATATCATAGGAGATACTAATTTGACCCGCAGTCTGAGGAAGCTGAGCAGGATTCTCCTGCCAAGAAGCATGGTCTAACCGATTCTGAGAATGTGGACGAGGAGGCCACCAAGAAGAAGAAAACTCGTACCAAGAAAGCAACTGACAATGATCATGCCATCGCTGATGCTGCCATCGTTGAGACTGAGCCCAAGGTGGCCAAGAAGGCTGGTCGTCCCGCCAAGAAAGCTGCTGCTGAGACAGAGGTCGTGGCCGCGCCCAAGAAGCGCCCTGGTCTTCCTCCAAAGAAGGTTTCCGATGGAGAGAGCCCTGATTCCGAGAACAAGGCCAAGATCGAGGTCAAGACCGAGGCCAAGAAGCGTGGCCGTGGTCGCCCCCCAAGAAGGTGTCCGAAGACGAAGGTGCCGATGCTGATACTGAGATGACTACCGAGCCAAAGAAGGCTTCGGATGAAGAGACTCCCGATGTTGAGACCAAGAACAAGGCCGAGCCCAAGAAACGTGGCCGTGGCCGTCCCTCCAAGAAGGTGTCTGAAGACGAAGGTGCGGATGCTGATACTGAGATGCCTGCTGAACCAAAGAAGCCTGCTACTCGTGGAAGCAAGACCGCCGAGGACGAAAGTGCCTCCGCTGACAATGAGCCAAAGGAGCCCACCAAGCGTGTCACTCGTGCCAAGAAGATCCCCACCTCTGAGGCTATTGCTGCCGACACTGAGTCCGACGAACTTGGCCCTGCCCATGAGGAGCAGGCAAAGGACTCAGACGAGACAGCCACTGAGCCCAAGAAGCGCCCAACTCGTGCAACTCGCGCAACCCGTGTAACTCATACCAAGAAGTCTATTACCGGTACCAAGGCTGCCAATGGCGGAAATACCGAAAATGATTTGAAGCCTACCAAGGAAGCCAAGAGCAGCGAATCGGATGCCTCCAAGGATGATCATGCCAATGAATCGACCGAGAAGCCCAAGCGTACCCGTGCTACCAACAAGACCAACGGCGACAACAGCACCTCCGGAACAAAGCCTAAGCAGACTCGCACTCGCAAGCCCGCTGCAATCAAGCCTACCCAGGAACCTAGTGAGGATGTTGCTGAATCCTCCGATGCTATCAAAGGAAAGCCAAAGACCAAGGGTCGCAATCCAGCTGCCGCGAAGGTCACCGAAGATTCCGCTAACCAGGTTGATGAGAAGCCTGCGGAGGCATCAATTGAACAGCCTACCAATGGTACCGTCGTGAAGTCTGAGGATGGTTCTGAGCATGCTTCTTCCGAAGCTGCTGATCCGCCCATCGTCGACGCCGCTGAGAAGGCCGTTGAGGACGTTACCGAGGACCCCATTGAGAACGGTGTTAAGGAGCCCAGCGAGTCTCCTCTGAAGCCAGTCAAGCACGAGAACACTGATGATGACGTCTAAACCCGCACGTCTTGCGTGCCAGTCGTCTCGTATTCGTGGAGAACCGTTCACTATTGTGAATAATGGAATACCACTGCTTGTCTTCTGTGCTTTACGTTGCAACTGATTTCTTTCTGACCCTTATGTTTCTCACTTCGGTCTATGCTACTATTTTCGATGGGCTCACCCTGGAATAGCTTTGCATTCGGTTCAATTCTTCCAATTGTTTTCATCTTTTTTTCACTCCAGGCGTGAGATCGGGTTCCCTTTAGCGATGGTTTGCACAGGTGCACCATGATGTTTTTATGCGTATCTGGGTCGTTTCACTATCAATTAACCTGCGAGTTGACATAACGAATTGAATTTTTTCTAAAATTTTACTTTCAGTTGTACGTCTCAGGGCAAACAGGGGTTTGCACAGTTCAGTGCATATTCGAAGAGAACCAATACGATGATGTGCAAGCTCTAAGTGTGATATTTGTGTCCTCAAATATGGGCCAAGGTGTCCTTCTCGAGATAGCATGCAAGCATTGAGCTTCATATGGCCCTCGAACTACTGGTTATGTGAAAACAGGTATTACTACGAATGATGAAGAACACGTCAACGAAATATGTTGGGTAAGAATACCAGCGTCAATAAACGCTTACTTTCATATTCCACGGTCTGTCCACTTCCACCACACGACGACGGAAGCAAAAGTAGCTAGCCCATTGAAATACAACGTCTTCTATTCTGCGTGTCGGGCAAATGCAAATAAAAGGCAGAATGATGAAGAGTGTAGATAAACGAAATTGAAATGCGAAAAACACAAAACGAAAAAGCAAAAAAGGGAGGGAACCTCATGCGCTCGACATGCTGAGACGGCTCTATGGGAAACACAGCTCTTTGCAGAGTTCCCGCTCAATCACAGTGCATATCACAGGCTTCCCAAACCGCGGCTCTCGAGGAGCGCGCGGGTATTGGCATACAACTCTGGGTTATTGACGTGAGCCAGCGTGCGAAGATTGAGCACTTTGTCTTGGAGCTTCGGGTGGGCCCGCAACAACGACCAGTACTGCTCGCTAGCGTTGTATGTGAGTAAATCCGAGGCCTCGGAAATGAAATGCATTAGCCAAGACTGGAGATAATCGCAGTCAGCCTCATCAAATTCAGTGCGGCCAGCGAAAGCAAGTGAAGCAACCTCGAGGAGAGGTTTGGATTGGTATAGCTCCGGGTAGCAGTTCCAAGCTACTTGCAGCTTGAATGTAATTCGATAAACCAAATCCATGAGGCCGAAGCGGCGGGCTTGGAGGTACACTTTTCCGAGGACCAGAATGGCATTTTCCAAATCGAGGCTGTTGCCCACCCCGTTCAGTTTGAAGTTCTGACCAATTCCCATCTGGTCACCGACCAGGCGGAAGATGGTGCTGCCGTTGGTATTCAGAGCTGGGAATGGAGTGGGATGGGAGAACCCGGAGTTCTTCAGGGTAATTAGTCGAGGGTGGAATTCTCCATCGGTGAGGTATTCGCGAATTTGTAGATATTCGGGCTGTCTTTCGAGAGCCACGGCGCCTAGAAAAACATCCTTGATCTTGAAGGTTTCACTTTGATTCAAAATGACATGCTTTAGAGCCTGGCTGAGGGTCAAATCAAAGACGGAGAAATCTGGACCAGGTTGCTGGGGTGCCACATCTGCTAGACTGGTACTGTATGTTGGAGAATAGGTCAGTAGTTGCGAGTTGATAATCGAGAATCAGAACTCAACAAACCTTGTCTCATTTTCAGCCTTAGGCAACGAGTTTGGGGCCATGGCTGCTGGTGGCGTCATGACCGTCGATGAGGCTGGGAGAGAAGAATTGGGAGACATTAGAGGAGGACGTGGATGGAATTTCGGGGTCGCCTTTGTGCTGGAATTCTCTCTGTCTGGAAAAGGCACCATTTCAGATGCAGGTCCAGGTGGCTTAGCATCTTGGAACACCATTGACTGTCTGAGCTGAATTCCCTGTGAAGCACGTGAATCAGAAAATGATCTGATAGTTGCTGGTGCATTAGATGAGCCGAGTGCAGCATGGGTAGTAGACTCCACGTGATCTGATGGGGTTTCTTGACGTTCATCTTTTTTGACATCTTCTTCTTCTGACTCAGAGTCAGAATGGCTTTCTCCACCAGACAAAAGGTCCTCATGTCCACTTGGTAGGATGAGACGGAGGTCTTTGCCTCGTTTTCCTTTGGTACCTAGTTCCTGGAGAGCCATGTTCTTCCAGAACTCCAGCCCAGGCTCAGTGCGAACGATTTCTAAAAGGTCGTCCCAGATCTTAGCGTCAGGTTCTCTTTGGGCACGACGCAGAACATTGATCGTCTTTTCGTTCAGAACAAAAAGGTCCTGGAGTCCGGCCCATTTGCTTCATATATGTCAGTTCCAATGTTCATTGATCAACATGAACACATCGAGTCAGAGCAAAGTGACATATAGATCATTGATCAGGCAGAAAAGCCAACAGACCCACGTATACATCAAGAAAAACACAACTTTAGAGGTCTTTTTGGGGTATGTAAAAAGAGACTAAACTTACTACATGTTGCGTCCCGGGAGATACATGGAGTACATCCGGTCTTTCAGGTGCGTCACCCAAGCACCCTCAGTGGGCTGTGCGCCAACAGGGCGGCGGTTAACATGCCGACTTGGCCCAAATTTGTCTGGGAGCACAATTCCAATCCACACGTCGGCCTTGTATTGCCGCAAGGAATTCTTGTATCGAACGATTAGGGCTTCGCCAGGCTCCAGGGCGCGGGGTTTGGGTAGATGCCTCAAACCAGTGGTGAGAAACGTTTTCGGAGCCATCTTGGCTGAGCTCTCGTGCATAGTAGTATTCGAGGGTTCAATATTATTCGAAGAGGAGAACGATGGATCTTGGTCACCGGAAGCTGGAAGTCACTGTCAGTGCCGGTGAAAATACTGATTTACTCAACTGGCAGGGTTTCAAGCTACAAAGGAAAGTGACACTGCGAGTGATAGTAACTTGAGTTGTAGCAGGCGATCAATCCGAAGACGATCCTGGGGTCATTGGAGTCAAAACAGAGAGTCTAGTGATAGGAAATCACAATCTCGCGAAGTCCACCTGTTTGTGTACATTTGATAGGCAGTCAAAAGCGATACCACAGAGAGTATGATCAATGAGTTTTGAAAGGTAATTGAGCTTTCGGGCGACGACTCAATGCTTTGCGAGTCTCGTGGGATATAGTTCAGGTATGCTGTGCTGCGACAAGAAATAGCAAGCAATGAGACCTAGAGAACGCACCTAGCGTCATGTTTGCTAGAATACGAGAAATATGGTGCACTGATTGAATATTCACGAAGAGGGAGATAACATCAATTTCCGGGGCTTGTGTGATGCGCTCGTGTAAGCGACGAGTCAAAGTCTCATGTCGTGACAAACAACCGTTTCCTTGACTCCTATCTAATATACAGCAGGTGCAACCTGTCACAATTAAGCAGAAGCCATTCGGTACTAGGGCTTTACATGCGGGTTCTAGGTGTATCCTCTCGCTTTGACGACAAGATCCCTAAGTCCTGGATATCTCCCGTGTTGCCTCAATTCTCCGAGAGTACTGGACTGCAAGTATTTTGGCGTATAACGACCTGTGTCGGGGTCCTAGAAATTACCTATGGGTTTCCAATCGATATAGAGAGTGACACGGTATACCGTAGGGGGCGTTTATTGCATGTATACTTGTCCTTCTTCCCCGCATAATAAGAACACCTTGCATTGCAAAACACATGTATGAGCAATCCGTCAAGGAATATGAAATCCTTTCTCAAGGTACACAGGGCTTTTGAAGGCATTTAGCGGATGAAGTTCTGTATAAAGGGCACATACCAAAGATGATGATACAAAATTTGTGGAGGGCAACTCTTGCAGGAAGCTGAAATATCAAGGTATGCATATATACCAAGTCGCATTCATAAGAAAGAAAGGGCGTCGTTGATTCCAATAGGACAGCTCCGGCGGTTCAAGCCCTAAAATCTATCCACGATTCGGTGTGTGGGTGGACCAATGCTTGGAATACTCCGAAGCTTCAAAAAGGTTCACGATAGGATCAAATAGCACTATGTACGTATTGTTTGTTCTTACGGTTTGCTTTCTTGAGGTGGCCGAGTTTTTTTTCATTTCTATTTTCTCATCACCATATAGTCGCATTGCCCACGAGCATGTTAAGCGAGTAACAAGATATCGCCCGATTGAAGGCAAAGGCATAATCAATGTCGCAAACAAGAGCAACACACTAAGTAGAGTTTATCAAAGACTGGGTCAAAAGAGCTCAATCTCAAGGAGTGTAGAGTTGTTGAACGCAAGTCACGATACGCCGTGGATCCGATTAAAAGCGAATAAGGTCGGTCTTTCGAACCAAAAAAGCGGCCAGCCTCGTAAGAAGCGAAGGTCAAGTTGCCGTTAAAGCAAAAACGCAGACCAAGTCAAGTTCGTTGTCAATGTGCCATTCTAAGGTGAAATATCCCAGGTCTCCCTGTTCACTTTCAAAGGTCAAGTTCGTCGATCCCAGTATAGAGATTTTACAACCACTTAGAAAAACCTCGGCGATCGCTTGATGCTAGTAGACACGAGTGTAAGCACTCAGGGCTCGGTATCGAAACAGCAGTCAGCAGTAAAAGAAGGATACGCAGAGAGCTAGGGCGAGGGAGAAGGAGAAACTGAATCGTACCGCAGCTCCGAAAGATCATCCATGTGGTTGCACATTGCCACGAACAGGTCGAAGAATAACTTGCCTCCTTCCTCCATCTCCATCTGCAAGGTTCCGCTGCTCTTGAAAGTCTTGCGACTGCGGATGATAAGAGCCAGGTAATGAGCGCGCAGTCGGGAATCGGACTCGGGTGTGTTGTCATATGCATATCGAGCGGATCGCAAGATCACGTCGGCTGGAATACCACTCTGAAGACCCTGTTTCCGGAGAGCAAGGCGCTTCAAGTCTTCCAGACCGTACTTCTCAGCAGCACAGTACACCGCCGTGTCTCGGAGGATGAGATCTCCCACTCCCGGGTGAAACATTGTTGGCTCGCTTGACCCACGGCCACCAGTTTGAGTAATATCCTGGGCGTTCTCGAGTGACCAAGAGTTTCTTTGCTTTCCATGCAACAAGCGTGGGAAGTAGTCGCCCTTGTACAAAAACTCGAGGATACACGACAGGACCTCGGGTTCTCTATCCAAGGGTAAGCGTTTGTGTAATTGAAATGGGCAGGATTGTCTCACTCGTCAGGGAGAGTCAGTTGTTTCGCGCCGTCTTCGAGAAACTCCTCCTTCAGGGCAGCACTGAAAAACGGCGACACGGATAGGACATCTTCATGAGCGGCGAAGAGGCGTTGGTCCCGCCCAACAATCAGAGTAATTATAGGGCTGGTAAGCGGACTATAGGAAGACATGATCAGCCCATGAGATCGATACCCATGTTTATAGAGCGTGCAGATGCGCATATATAATAAAATAAGACAAACCTTCCCAATGAGGGACTTTCCGCTTTCTGCTTCATCTTCTCCCTTACAAGCTCGTCGTACTTCTTCTTGGCAACCTTGACGGTTTTACCCGCCCGGTCCTTAGATACGAAAGAGCGCTTGAACATAACCGTGCAAAAGAGGCCTATTGTCGATATATGCCATACAAGAGGGTCAAAACTAACGAGATAAATTTGTGGTTGTCAGAAAGAATGATACGAGTTGGTCGAAAGAAAGACGAATTGACGCTGCTAGTCATGCACCCGAAGCATGTGAGTCCTGGAAGCTCCCCACAGAAATGGTCCCCCCGAGTCTTAGTCAAAAGACGAGGTTTACGCAGTTCCGGGGTTACTTTGCATTCGAGAATCTAAGGTGAATCTCTTTGCAAACAGTTATCGACTCCGGCAGGCGTGAGAGGAAAAGAAGAAAGAAGAAAGAAAAACGCGGAGAGGGGGTTTTAAATGGCGGGGTCAGGTGATATCAAATGTGAAAGTCACCTGTTAATTGAGGCTCAGGTGAAATGGAGTGTGGCTGGTTCTCTGAGAAACCCGGGCACCCGGGCTGTGTACTTCGTACATTGGCGCTAAATTCTCACCTCGTACTGGGTTACGGGAGATATGCGCTAAACCCGAAGAATGCACATGGCATTTTTGCCAATAGCGTCGCCATGGCTTATCGAAATTTTGAAACGTCATGATGGAATGGGATGACGAATGATATACACACATTTCCATGATATCGATCATGTAGAATGACCTATCATCCAATTGAGACAATAACCTATGACAACTAGATACACAATGGACGATCTATTCTCCGCGCCAGCGAAACTTCGATCATTCAAGGTTGCCTTGTCCTCAGAATAAGCGATCCTTGTCAAAGACCGCTCAGTTGTATCCATTTCTGGTACTCAAAGCAGTCCACAACCAGCACCCATCATTGTGATACCGAAGCTGGAGAAGTGGCCAACAGTGACACTGTACATACCATTTCCAGCAGAGCAGGCTAGGTCTCGCTGCCCCTCGCATTTCACGCATGTGAGCTTCAAACCAGAGCTGTAGTATTCCTGTGCATCGGTAAGCTTTTGGACATTGGTAAAAATGGCATTGATGGGATCACTCACGGTTCCATAGTGCTTGAAGTTGAAAAGTCCGCTCACGTACATATTCTGCGTGATGTTGTTAACCACTATAGTAGTACATCTCAACTGCAACCATCACTTACTGGGACACCGTCAGCGATGTTATTTCCGCGGTTCAAAGTGCCAGCCTGTGAGCCAGCAAAGTTGGCCCAGGCTTCATTGCCAATGGGGAAGGCAGCAAGTGCATTGCTAGTGAGTGCCTTGCCAGGGAAGTTCTGCGCAAGTGCAACGTGGGCAATGTAGGTGAGGGCACCACCGAGGGAATGTCCGGTTGCCTCCAAAGTGTAGTCCGGATACTTTGCGATGAGCGACTTCACTTCAGCAATGACCTCGTCGTGCACAGCGGACCAAGGTTTGTTGAGACCCCTCATAATCTTCACGCCAGAAGGGAATGTCACACCTGAGAGCGAGGGTGTGACAAGAGTAGTGTCAATGTCGTTCAAGATATCAGCGACTAGATCAGTTAGCACACTAAGCTAGTACAAGAATGTTTGAGTCTGTCCATACTGGTAGTCGAGCCCCTCATGACGACCGAAATCTTCTTCTTTTCGGTGGAGTATCCAACAAATCCCTACTTACATTAGTGAGTTGTTAAAATTTAGAGTAAGTGCTATTCTCACATTGGTATCGGTCAAGAGGTCATAAATCCTCTTGGTAATAGTGACATCGAAGGCTTTTCCGATGCAACCACTGTATGCAGCAGAAGACAGCTTTGCTGCACGTTGCAAATCAGGGAAAGCAGAGGTAGCTTGAATGAGGATTAGAATTTCCTAATCAAACGGAGATGGGTTGATGAGCTGGCTTACCAGGAGTTGCCCTCGACTCCAACAGAGGTGCAGATAGGGCTTGAGAGATCAAGGAGACTCCCACGAGCAAAGATTGGTAGTTGAACAACATGCTGGATCAATATGCCAAAATTTTGAATAAGGCTTTGGGAATACTCAAAAGGGCTGCTGGAGTGTTGTCTTTGGATGAAAAGAAAGGAAAACTGCTACGGGTAAGCTTGCTCTTTAAATACTTTAGATACCCCTCGAATTGCCCCCATCCGTATTGTTCCCATATTGTGCACTACAAGCCGAGGAGAATAGCAGATGCCGTGCCAGGGGGCTGCCCCGGAGGTGTTATCTCAAATAGGCAAGTCATGGTATAGAGCCAAGCAGTCATCATGCATGGTCGATGTGCAAATACACCGTTGGGGAAACCTCCGTCATAAGACTTCCAGGAGTTTCCAATCTGGTGATAATAGCGCCAGCGAGCTCAAGATACTTCCCACAGTTATTCCAGACTCATTGAACCACAGAGTATATTAGAATATTAAAGATAGAGGGGGTGTGCCGCAAAGCCTTGTTAATTCACCATGAATCAGTCTTTACCATTCAGGCCATGCTATGTTTTGAAACACAGAAATGGAGCTCTAGGGAAAAAATTATATTGAGTGCCCAAGCTTGAACTTGGCAAGCCCAAAAGGTCATCGCCAAGTCCGTCTAATCCGGGGCTACATTGGCTGACGAAATCATTTTTGCGGGGAAATGTGGGGGGGGATCAATGCCGAAAGCGAAAGGGTTCAATAACCTCGGCCTCTCAGCTTCGGTATATATCGAAGCTTGGACCTGATCATCATTCGAATTGACGAAGATCATCGCTAGATTTGACCAAGCACAATGAAGGGCAGTGTAAAATAGATCGGGCTGAACTAGGCTCATCTTGGGCTCCCCACCATACTTTCTCCACAGACGTCCCTTCTCGCACTTGCTGGTTAAGAGCTAGATGTCTACTGCCGCTATATCAGGGATCAGTGGCAATGAGTATAGTCTGAGGTTCCTGTTATCTCATGTCACATTGCTAGAGTTTGGAGGTGAACTTAGTGTGGTTTACAAGTGATTCATATAATGCATAGGCGGGCCATTGGATCCTTTTGGTGAAGGGCTTATTTCCGACGGAGCTTAACCTGGCATTTTTCCGTATAAGAGTGCATGATTTAGCGAAGCCATCGGCAGTGAAGGGTTCGGCAGTTGGAGACCGAGGTGCTTGGCTTTGCGGGGTCTCCGAGTCTAGTCGGGAGGTTCAGGATGTTAAGTACCTAAATTCAAATTTGTTAATCAGAAGCGAAAAGCAAAATCATATTCTAGTTGTAATAATTGACCTGTAAATCCGGTCCTTGTTAGGTTCGCCTTTTTATATAGAGTAGTAGCACCCTAGTCAGCCACCACGTACCCTCCCTTCAATAGATTCCCATCAAAAAACAAGCTCGACTTCCCCGTTCTTCACATCCTCCACCGGTCCTTCAAAGTTGCAGCATGCTATATAGCAAATTATCACGGGGATACGGTGGGATCACCGAACCGAACCCATCGAGAAACCCCCCACATAACTGTCAGAGCAATCAGCATACTCGATATACTAATCCCAGAGGATAACCTCATCAATCATTTTCCACAATGTAAATTGGAATGCGGTGATCATTGTCGGGAAGATAAAAAATAGGCGGTGCATGCTAAGCGGGTAAAGGATTGATGTATAGAAAGTATCAGGACAGAGGCACTATGTTGAGAAAACGCCAAATCACAATATCATTTGTAGTCAGCCAAACGTGGATTGCTAATGGTAAGACTATGACTGTGGAACGAGTGAGGATAGAAAAATGAATAGACTGTCTAGGTTATCAACAAGTGTCAAAAGGTCAATCAATGCTGGTGAAAGCATGAAGGTCAACGGGCAAGATGATATCTACAGTTAACGATTCAACAATCTATCTAGCTCAGATCGGACGATAAAATGGCGGAAGCGAGTCATAAATCGACCAATTTTGTCCTATTATTAGACACAGTGAAAGAAGAGTCCGTATTGAATATCATTGGTTAGCGAACACACTTCAAATTACACGAATTTCTCAATACCCAGGCACTCTTTAGCCTGAAATGATAATTTCTTCCTACCTACGGAGTACAGTGATGTTCCAATTCATTTCTACATTTACACTTACGACTTGATTCTGGGAGAGTCAAGCCGACGGCTGTGAGTCTTGGATAGGACCCCCGCTTTTTGGGCCACTTCCTGGGATGTCCAAGAAATATCCAACACACAACGCAGGATTCAGTCCCTACTGGATGCATCACAAAAGTACTATATACCCTGTTAGATCCCTCGGTCTTGGAGGCAATGTCATTACCCGCCTATTTACAAGATGTCATATCCAAAGGCGAAACGACATACTCCTATCCTCTCTACGTCGAAGCTTCGTCTGATCTGTGATAGAAAGTCATTACCAAGTCTCATACGGGCGAAGAGGCTGAATCTATTCCATACCGAACCACCTTCCTTGTACATCTGACGTGTCTTAACATTGCAGGACAACTCATCCTTGCATTGCCCCGCTCCTCTTAGATCTTTATAAACGGGTGTTGGGAGATTTTGCTCTGTGACATTCTCATTGATTCTCCTTCTTCCATTTTAAAAATAAATACACAATCACTTTGTATCATCTTGCATTATGACAAAAAAGAAATTCAAGGCGCGAAAGTCCGAAACTACCACACCTGTTCCTGTTCTAAAAGCTTCGATGATTGACTATGATCAACCATTTTCATCGTGAGCCATTCCATTAATTTAATATCAATCTTCTTCTGACATTTGAAATGACCCTACGAGTCGCCATTTGTGACACTCGCGATCGGGAACAAGCAGTATCAGCTTCCAAATGGATTCCTTGATGAGTCCCCGCTGCTTCAGCGCGAGGCATTTTCGTTTCCAGATATCATCACATTGCCTGGTGTCCACGAAGAAGCTGGTCATACTTTGGTGCATTTCTTATATTCAGGAAAATACGAGACGATAGCTTCGCCCCTCGATATAAATACCCGTGGCATCGCAACAGAGTTCAGAAAAAGCATCCTTGTTTACCATGCGTCTAGAATATTGGGGCTCCCGAGTCTTGAGTCCCTTGCTAGACACTACATCGAGCGATTTGGTGACGGGCTGTCCCTAAGGGAGGTTTTTTCCTCGGCAAGAGATGTATCTTCAACCCTTCCTGCAGGCGAGACTTGGCTCCCGGGTTACATCAAGAAGCAGTTACTGCGGCTAGAGCTTGGGGAGTCAAATACCAACCTGGTAGAGCTTTATAGTACTCTTGGTCATGATCATCATTTTGATAATCTTGTGATGAAAATGACGGTTGACATACTCTCAGATTGCTTACGGTCTGGGGATCATGACGGTAAGAGCAGCCTACCCGCTTGATCCAAGGATGCAGAATTATGGCTGGCTTATTGAACCAGCAGACTACATTAAGGACATCGGGCTAACAAGATGCGTTCAACAGAAGATCCTATCGGTAAGGAGCCTATCCTCGAAGAGCCTATCGTAGAACCTGCTGCCGAGGAGTATGTTGTTGGAGAGCCTGTCCCCGCAGAAGCTACTCCCGCAGAGCCTTTCGCAGAGCCTGCCCCCGAAGCGCCTATTGAAGAGCCTGTCCCCGCAGAAGCTACTCCCGCAGAGCCCTTCGCAGAGCCTACCGCCGAAGCTCCTCCCGAAGTTCCTCTCGAAGAGCCTGTCCCCGAAGCGCCTATTGGAGAGCCTGTCCCCGCAGAAGCTACTCCCGCAGAGCCTTTCGAAGAGCCTACCGCCGAAGCTACTCCCGCAGAGCCTTTCGAAGAGCCTACCGCCGAAGCTCCTCCCGAAGTTCCTCTCGAAGAGCCTGTCCCCGAAGCGCCTATTGAAGAGCCTGTCCCCGCAGAAGCTACTCCCGCAGAGCCTTTCGAAGAGCCTGTCACCGATTGGAGTCTTCCTGAGGCATCGCCTCCTCATGAAGACTGGCATCTATACAATGCTCCTGCTGCCGAAGATCCATCTGTCATGGAAGCACCTCTTGCTGAACCTTCTACTGAAGCTCAGCCTGACCAGCATCATTTGACTAGGGTTTCAGTTGCGGATCTAGCTTTCTATGCCGGTTGGGATCAATTGACGGCCAAAAATAGAGCTAAAAGGAGAAGAAAGCTTGTGATAAGGGGACTCCCAATCCCAAATGAAGATGGCGTTGTTTCAATCTCCGTGGCTTGAGTAAAAGACCTTGGAGCTTCTTATACCTTGGTACTCGACTCATTTTTAGTCTCGTGGTGTTTCCAGGATTTTCAATAGAATCATGATTGCATAGCTTTTGCTGAGTACTCACGCCGACCTTTTCTTTCTATCAATCCTAAATCATCAGAACAGTGTGATTCATTATATGGCCAATCAATGTCATCATTCCCACGATGGAGTAAACAGTGGCAGCGATCAAGTAAAATGTTTGATAAATACACTCCAGGATCGTTGGGCTTGGTTTACAATGAAAGTTCACGCTTATTTCGCGTATTCCATGACCAAAGAAATGGATATTCTCGTAGGTCGCTATTTTTGAAATCACGAACAGCATATTGCTCATGGCGCTCATGGAGTGGATCATATCCTTGCAAAAATAAATCGTCCCAATATAGTGGCGGCTATAGGAAGGTTTTTATTAGTGCGGACGGAAACCAACCATATATCCACTATACCTACTCTGTACTTACGTACCAATTGTAAGACTGGTATTTGCTTGCTACGTGTTCAAATTGGGTTTGCGCTTCCAAGTCCTGAAAATCAGCCCTACTTACCCCGGCATATCTGTAACATGTACACGTTGGCATACCAAGCCTTGCAATAATATCTAGCGCTTATTTAAATGGTTTGATATATCCATTGATGCTGTGGTCTATAAACCCGACATTGATATTTTTTTTACTTTACCCAACTTGATGGTTCATGTCGTTTTCTGGCTCATATCGAATAGCCAGCAGCACGCGCCTGCTTCAAATCCACCGATGGCCTCAATGAGCAACCAAACATGCTCCAATTGTAGTCTCAATTCATCAAATAAGAAAGAATTAGTTGGATGGGTTTGGGATAACCCCGGCCGCGGTACAATAAGTTTGATTACAACGTGCTTGGCTACGATATTTCTGTGCACCTGGGTCGTGATCCATCCCCGTGTCTACAAGCGCGAATCTTCTGCAAATCTGCATAAGATTGCCCTTTTCCTCAAGACAATATTTGCACCAGAGTTTATTGCAGTGGAAGGACTTCAGGAATGGGCGCAGTGCCGCAGGATGCAAAAAGAATGTGCCGATTTCACAGCAGGCCAATTCAAACTTGTTCATGCTTTCTACATCAGCATGCTTGCACTAAGGTACCAAACACCAAACGGCGATCGGGTCATTTGGCCAAATCAATATACCTGGTTATTACAGGAAGACCTTATCCGGTGGGAAACCCATCCGAATTGGGGTCTATCTCTCGATGATATCTACGACAAGAGCAAATCAGATAACGCTACAAAATTACTGGCTATGATGCAAGTAATTTGGTTCTCGGCACAGTGCATACTACGGATCTCTTATCATCTACCGCTTTCGCAATTGGAGTCTATGACCCTTGGTTATATCCCGTTGTTTATCGTGACATACTTCTTCTGGTGGAGCAAGCCTAAAGATATCAGATCGCCTTCCCTTGTTGTGCTTCCGGAAATGAGCCTGGAGCAATTTCGCTTCTTCGAATCAATGGCTGTCAGTAATAAGTTCGACAACGAGGGAATGAAAGAGCAAACGTCTTATTGGAATATATGGTATCTCACCCCACGGGTATTCGAGAAGGTTGAAGAGGACAGACTCGTGCAGGAGGCTTGTATGAAGCCATTGAAGAGCCCAAATCAAGATCCAATCACCCAACAACCATGCGAAACCACAATCAACGAAAGCGAGATCCGAGATATTGAAGACCAACATGAGTTTCGGAAGGATATCGTCGTGGCCCATTGGGATCCCGACCTGTATAGGTCAAAAATCTGGCCTTTGACGTGTCTGTTCGGAATTTCATTCGGCGCCCTTCACCTTGTATGTTGGAATACCATGTTCCCATCGGTCGTTGAGTTATGGCTCTGGCGTGTATCTGCATTTGTTTCAATCGTGTCGATGCTCATATTTATGCACTTTGAAAAGGTTGTCCTCCGCTGGGACGGTATTTTAACACTTTTTAGTCTCTCATCCCCAGTGTTCTACCTTCTGAGTCGCATTATCATGATGGGAGAAGTATTTGCCGTCCTAAGAGGGGCAGACCCTGGCGTTTACGATACCTATGAGTACTCAGTCTACTGGTTGCCATTCTTATGAGAGATAGATTACATACGAATTCGAAGACTATGCTAGCGACATTGTGTGATTTTCTCGTGAGAAAACCAAAATTTGTTGGTTTCGGCGGTAAGAATCGACTTCGCAATTTTTCCCCCCATTTTTGAGAATCAGATTTACAGCGGGGACATGCCACATCAGGGAGAGATGTACTTTGTAACCGCCGAGTTATCATGTAGGGATGCTTGTGCACACACCTCATCTATCCAATCATCTCGCTACAATAGCCGCTAGGTTACCTACTCCACATGGCTGCTTTCACCCCAGGGCGATGGGACAAAGCAGACAAAGCAAGCATCATTAGCCGCCTAGAACCTATTCAGCCAATATCCGTACGATATATAGGTTTAGCATGGATTTTTTTTCAAGAAGCGAGATATAATGAGGGATATCGGGAAGAATGTAGACATCGAATGGGTTAGCCCGCCCCACTCTCTTAGTGTGCTGCACCAGGTCAACCGTCAGCGTTCAAGATCCTCCTTTCCCTCTATTTTTGTGCGATATTCCCATTCCAATTTTTCTTTGATCCGTCATGACAGCTAGCGAGATAGCTGGTTCTTTCTTTAAATATGCGTCAATACCAGTCGCTGTTGCAGTGGGGTTATATGCGATCCTCCTGGGGTTACTCACCACATCAACATTCCAATCACATGTGGTTTATCTGCACGCGATCCAGATGACATGGTTCAAAGACCTCAATGTCCCCGAAAATTTCGGGTTCCTAAGGAATCAAGTCACTCCGTTCTCCATCAGAACCAGAGACGGTGAACAGCTGTACGCTTGGCATATTCTTCCCGTGGAATTGTATCGCAAGCATCAAATACCTCTCATCGAAGAGCCCGTAGGCTTTGTATCCGATATCACATCTCGACTGGGATTTCAATTACTGCGAGAGGACCCCGATGCTCGTTTGATTCTTCATATGCACGGTGCTGGGGGAACCGTAGCCTCAGGTTACCGGGTCCCAAATTATCGTGCGCTGTCAGCGGGGAATCCAGGGAAAATCCATGTTCTGACATTCGATTACCGGGGATTTGGCAAGAGTACTGGGTCACCATCTGAGACCGGGCTCATCATCGATGCCCTCGCTGTGGTAGACTGGGCAATGAATGTGGCAGGAATCCCTCCATCTCGAATATTGATATTTGGTCAATCGATGGGCACAGCTGTGAGCATTGCTGTATCCAAGCATCTTGCTGTACAAAATCCACCGATAGTTTTCGCAGGCACGGTGCTAGTTGCGCCATTTGTGGACGTCGCAACATTAGTCTCAACTTATCGGATTGCGGGTACCGTGCCAATCTTGTCGCCAGTTGCGAGATTTCCTTTCCTCTTCAAATATCTTCAACGATTCATTCGAGACAAATGGCTGAGCAAGGATTGTATTGCACAATACATTCGGGCGAATGAGATGAATGGAGAGAAATACCGAATAGCAATAATCCATGCCGAGGATGACTTTGACATTCCATGGCACCATTCTCAACTTGTGTTCTGGCATGCGGTGAATGCTTCGATGCCTGTGGGGATCAGTTATGACGACCTTGAACAAAAGAAACTCGACTCGAAAGTAGATATGGGAGCTGCCGGTTCCATGATGGAATGGAAGACGGGAAATGGGGTCATTCGTGAGGAAATTTTGAAGACTGGATTGCACGATGTGATCATGGGGTATCCGGTGGTAACAATGGCAGTGATGCGATTTTTTGAGGCGGCAGATCCATCATTTACCTCCTAATTCCAGCTATTTGTACTTGAACTATCACAGGCATGGGTTTTCTATGGGCAAGCACAAGCATGATATATAGGATGAATAACATTAACTTGTTTTATTTCCCTAGACCACAGTAGCGAATTGCTCGAGTAAATATATATAAACAAGGAACACCACCAGTAAACAAGACATACACACAAACCATGCTGCCAAAGCATATCTCCGAATACAATCTCAGGCGTTAAGAAACGAATGAACATTGAGCTTTTATCTTAATTTAAAAATGTTCGAGGGTATTCGAGCCAAGTCCATAGATAGAGCCTGTGTGGCGGTGCTGATGATGCCGTGGCACATGTGGGGATGCCAAGCCACCGGTGATATCATCACGAGGAACGGAGGGCGCATGTGAGCAAAACAAAAGCTTGGTGTTGGTATGAAACTTGAACCAACTACAACTTCTAATCGAACCATCCCTGACATATCACTTTGTCGCTTGGGAAAGCTGATTTATCATTAAAACCCATAGCGCGCGCGTCCCCTTGCCTTCAGTACGCGCCCGTCTCGTTTCAGCCTACTTGTTTTGTTATCCTCTACACCTTTCAGTGCAAAACGAAAGATTTAAAGCGCACATTTCTATCCTCGATAAGTCAAGTGCCACCAATATGGCCATGCAATATCTCAACCAAATAAAAAACCTACGGCGTTCGTCGCAAATGATTAGCGCGCCCAAGCCTGTCTTGACAGCAGAAGATGAAGCCTACCTACGGGAAGTCACAGGCAAACCAGAACCTGCAGAGCAGAATGAGCAAAACCAACATGGAAGTCCTGTTGGGGCATCTCTACAACCTACAATAAGCGAACAAGCTGAAAACATCCCTCTACCTACCTCGCCTGGGGAGGAGTTGGGGAAGGAGCTTGGTGAAGAGGGTAGGCAAGAACGGAGGAGCTCTCAGCCAACATTGGGAAGGTCAGAGACATCAAAATCTGAAGTCCCGAAGCCATCGCAGAAGAAGAAACGGTGGAGTGCGATGTTTTGGAAGAAAAACACGGAGAAGGTTGGTCATCTATCTAATTGTGTTCATTTTCGGATCCTTGCGTCAGGCGGAGGTATGTACTGACATTAATTTTGCGCAACTAGGACAAAGAGGTCCACGACGCAAACAAATCGGAAATCGACACCGCGACTCCTATCACATCGGATACGTCAACCGACGGGAAAGACGCAGATAAAGATAAAGATGCCGAAGATATGACGGATATTCTAGAGCGATTGAACCTGGCAGCGGATAACAACCGTGTATTTTCGGTCAGCGAAGAGACACAAGAGCTTTTACGGAAGTTCAAGCTCATTTTCAAAGATCTAATCAACGGTGTCCCAACTGCCTATCATGACCTGGAGATGCTGCTCACCAATGGGAATCGCCAGCTACAAGAAACATATACGAAGCTACCTAGTCCTATGCAAAAGTTGATCGAGAAGCTTCCCGAGCGTTGGACCGAGACTTTGGCTCCGGAGATGCTGGCGGTTGCTGCCGACCGTGCAGGCAAGAGCGGTGTCAACATGGAGAATGTGGGCAAGGCAGCTGCAGCTGCAGAGAAGATGGGAGTCAATATGCCAAGTCTCAAGGAGCTTGTGTCGAAGCCAGCTGCTCTGGTAGGAATGCTGCGATCTATCATGGCCTTCCTACGAGCTCGATTCCCGGCTGTTATGGGTATGAATGTGCTCTGGTCTCTGGCATTGTTTAGTAAGTGAATTCAAACCAAGCGCCTGAGTATATTTGCTAACTATGGGGTTCTCTAGTTCTTCTCTTTGTGCTGTGGTACTGCCACAAGCGCGGACGCGAAGTGCGTTTGGAGAATGAGCGTCTTGTCACGGAAGAAGAGATCGCCAAGCTCAATGAAAATACCTCCGAGGGTCTTATTCGCCCTACTGAGACTTTGACGACTACTGCACCACCAGGTGCTTCGTCCGATGAAATACGTGAAGGCGTAAGAAAGGTAGAAGAGGCCCGCGCGGCTCCAGTTGCACTTGCCCCCACCGAAGTGGAGAACGAAAGCCACCAAAGTACCCGGCCAGCGGCAGTTCCTGCTCGGTCGAAATCTCGTTTGTCCATGTTTGGTCGAGCCAAGACAGAGCCTGTGCCTCATACTGTTGCTCCTTATCCTGGCACTTAATCCTTTGTTTTTGTCAGCTTCGTTACTTTCATTTCGATGGACGAGAACATGGTTATCTGACCAAAAACCAAGGAACCTTCGGTCTGACCGAGCATGGAGGGATTGTTAAAAAAACCTCTCGCCTGGAGAATTGGGGCCATGCATCTAAGAGTTGGATTTATGCTATTTTAATCTAATTAATGTTATTCGGCCTTATGGGACACAAACGTCAGATTTCATGTAGTTAACCGCTTTCCTTTTGATAGCTTCTCTTCTGATAGGTGCTTTACTCAGTTGGTCTTGGCGGTCTCCGCTTGTTTCCTTTCCAAATATCCCGCGTTACCTTCTCCTGTTTAGTGCTCACTGTCACGGTGATAACACCAACATACATATCCTTTCAACATCGATTCTATGTGGTCGTGGTTGCGCCTTCTATCATGCAAATAAATATCGCCCCCACCTCGTGATTTCTAGCGTCCATGGGCACACGGCAACTTCCTTGAACATAAATACAACCGTCTCTTTCCTTTCGGAGGGGAACCCATACTAGTTCCATCACTATGTTGCTTGATCTCCCAGAGGAGGCTCTTTGCCTGATTGCGGAAGAGCTAGGTCTCCAGTGTGATCGCTATTCCCTAGTTCTATCATGTCGTCGACTGTACACAATTTTGCTACCAACTCTCTACTCCCGGGTTGTTCTTTGTGATGTCCACAACCATACCATTAGGCAAGTCAGTCAGTTCTTCAATAATATCGCTCGAGAGCCGCGGTTGGCGAACGCCGTGCGAGCTCTTCGCCTGGAGAGTTGGGACACCGAGGACGACATCGAGCACATCGACTGTGAATTTGAATATGACGCGGACCTCATCCACGGCCTTGTCGCTGGAACATGTTGGTCGATGCAGCCTTATGGTCAGCTGCTACGCGGAAATACCGATGCGTGGTTGGCTTTGCTGCTCCCCCAGTTGAAAGGCTTAAGACAAATCAGCATATGCTACCCGTTTGGGTCGGAATACGTTCAGCAGATGTTAGTGAAGGCTGCAAAAGAGGACGTCACAGCATTCGGTCGCCTCGCCGACGCTTTTGCGGAATGGTATGATACGGAAAATTCCATCCATGCAAGCTGCATGGAACCTTTTTTCAAATTCCCGTCGATACGCAGGATTGGAGGATCCTTTATTCTCGACTCTGATCGTGAGGTCGGACAACCCCGCATCACACCCTTCTCGGGAGTCACAGATATTGATCTCGACATGACCAACACTGAGTGTGGATTTGGTGTCTGGATTGAATCTTGCAAGGCTCTCAAGACATTCCGTTTGAATATTGGTGGGTCAATGGTCTCAGATGGACCTGACATTGTATCGGCACCCCTTCGAGAATCTATATCCCTTCACAAGTCAACGCTGGAGGCGTTTTGGCTCTGTGGCGAAACATGTCAGTCATTAGATGACGATGATGGATGGATGGGATCCTTTGCCGATTTCAAAGTGATGAAATATCTACATATCTCTACAACAATGCTCGCCGGGCTTGACGAAGACCTTGAGCCCACCCACGACCTCGTGGAGCTTTTACCGCCGTCCCTTGAGACTTTGTTTCTGTGTCACTGCCACAACGAGCTGCTCGATTGGGTTATTGATCAACTCGAACGTCTGGTAAATTCAAATGCTCTGCCACGCCTTACTTCGCTGGGACTTGAAGGCTGGGGACCTTCAGAGGTGGATGAAAGTTCCTTGGAGACTATGCGCAGACTGGAGGAGTTGGACAAAAGATGTGCCGAAGTTGGATTGTACTTTGCTACTTCTATTGGAAGTCACAGAGCAGTACCGAGTCGTTTTGTATCGCTTTGGCCTTGTGACTAGTTGAATGATGAACGGGGGTGTCTACAACATACGCAAGCTGACGTTGTGAATGATTAGTGGTGCGGGGGTCGGTTAGAATAGTATCCAATCTAGCAGATCACTTCGGCTTCTGATTGAGGATGGTGTGATACGTAGCTGTAGCTGTATGGTCTTACTCTTTTAGTATATACGATGGGGCCAAACAAGGCAAAAAACCAGTTTTGCTTCAAGTGGTATAAATTTAGATATCTTTATCAATAAAATTCTCTACACTGTCCATGGGTTGTCAAATCTTTGATAATATTCCAGCTTACTCAACTCTAGAGTAAATGATGGCTTTGATCTACTGCAACTGTGTCATCAAAATCCAGTCAAAGCCACTATCGCGTAAAGTATACGTGTATGGCAAGGAAGAGGCTGCAAACAGAGAACTTGGGACGAAGTGGCCAGGTGGAGGATTATCCCCATGGTGAATGATCCGCCTCACCTGAAAAGATGTTAGCGCTGGGAAATATTGTTTCCTTGTGAATCTGATTGGGAGGGACTCCGTCCTCCGTCCTCCGTAGAGATTCCCCATCAGCATCGGAGCTGCGGGGCAGAGAGATGATCGTGCATACTTCTGAACATCAGGTGACAGTCCTAGCAATGTAGAGAAAGAATCGGAAAGATCTTCCGTTCAACATTCCGATGATTCTCCGTTATAGAGCCAGAACATATTCCAAGTGCAAGGGCTATGGAGTTCCAAGGTACGGATAAAGATAAGGGATTTCATGCACATTGGGGAGCCTCGGTTTACCGCCACTGATCTTTTTTTAAGCCATTCCCAGTCTTGGGAGGCAAAAATACACCTGCAGGTCCGGCACGGGAAAATTTGCCAAGCGATCGGAATAGAGTAGAGCGCTTTGCCACTCAAAAGCCGGGTCTATGGCTCGAACCAATTAGACCGCGAGTCTGATGGAATTTCGGGTCAAGTCAAGTCCCAATACGAAACAAAATGATTCATCTCAGGATGTGTCATAATAGGGAAAAAAAATACTGCCAGGATGAATCATCATGCATGCCACCTGGGCACGGATCAGCCACTGCACTATGTTCTAGTTCGATGTCCAACCGATCTTCTGCTACTATACCTTGTCAGCAAGTCGACCATTTGAGTCAAGGAGCTTACAATGAAGATTTTGCCGGGGAGAATGACGCCGCGGATGTGTAACGACTCTTTCTCCATTCGGTCCGGAATATATACCTCGAAAAGAAATGAGTCGACAGTAATCTGGATGCCAATTTAAATGTAAATCGCCCAAGTGGACATCAAAAGTCCATGACTTTCCCGTTGCGACTTTTGGCGGTCGCTGATTGGTTCAAAAGAGTCGGTGAGCGGCGCCAACGAATAGGCGGTCGTGTTCTGTAGCCAATCAGAAGTGTCCCCCACTTGGAGGAGAAAAAACGACCCATCCTTCTCTTCTTCTTCCCTTTCCCATAGCATTCTCAACCTGATATAACTTCGGATTTCCCTGAACTTATTGAATCCCTTCAATACAGTAACTCCATACCCAACTACATATCGTCAAGAATTCAGCCAAATGGCCTTCGTTGAGCTGTAAATGCCTCGCTGGGGAGCCTGTCCCTGCCGGCTCCCCAGTCCTGCAGCTCCGATCTTCAATTCTACTTGACGATATTTATTCCTCTTTCGACGCCTCCTGTGAAGGCGTTGGAATTGCCCCCTAGCAAACTCCCAGAAGGAGCACTATAGCGTCCGCAACGGACTGCGGGTGCTTTCGTGGTTACGAGAAAAAAAAAACTTGAGACTCCTCCCCTCCACTCCGCTTCTCCGATTTCCTCCACTCCGTCCCACCTCCCTTCGGCTTATCCCTTAACGTGTCCCTATTTTTGGACCGAACTACGACCGTCCTCTCACCCAAGGAAGACCTACTCCTCTTCCCTTCATCTCATCACCGGATCAACCTAGAACGGACCGGACCATTTGAACCACAAAAAACGAGGACCAAAGAAGTCCAAACCAACAAAAGAACCCCTATCTATTCTTCCTTCTCCATCTTTCAACATGCCACAGAGCTCATACTCATCCAAACGGGCCCCTAAGAGCTCCGCCAAGAACGCTCACCCACGCCCCTCAACCCCCGAGTCCAACATCATGCGGAACCTCGATATGTCACCAAAGGCCAAACAGTCTCGGAAGTCAGCCAATGCTCAGCCATCCGATAGGAAACGGAGAGCTTCATCATCGTCGGTCTCTAGCGTTTCTTCAGTCTCGTCCCTTGGGGAACTGAGCGACGAGGCAGATGATTCAGAAGAAGATGCAGATGACGAGCAAGAACCAGCAGTTCGGGCCCCGTCTTATGGTCGTCGCCGAGACAATAAGGCGGGGCGCCACTCCGCAATCAACAAGAGAAGACGTGTCATCAACGACGACAGTAGTGACAGCAGCGAAGCCAATGACGGCGATGACTCGGATGATAGCTCAGATGATGTCTATGCCGGTGTAGACTACATTACAGATGCCGAGGATGAAGACCAGGACGTTGAGAAGATGGAAGAAATGATGATCGTGGAGTCTGAGAAAACCCACCGCCCTGTGCCCAGCGCTGGATTTGCTGATGATCAGTGGGCTATCAACTCCTTTGACGATCACATGTTCCTACCGGCTGCATCTTTCTTCGACGAAGAGCACCTTTACAGTGCCATGGACACCTTTGGAGAGCCTCAGGTGACCAGTGAAGCCGCTGAGACGCCAGTTGCCCGGCGAGTTCACTTCGAGGAGCGGTCCGATTCGTCCTCTGATAGTGATTCCCACAGTGACGACGATATACCTGGTGACTTCCTACAACAGGACAGCTTGGACCCACAATTGCGTCGTATGATCGAAAACGACAACGAAAATTACCAGAGAAACACTCGCCGGCAATCGGAAGAGATGTTCGGTGACGCCGACTACGGCCATGGAAGCATTTACCATGTTGAGTCCGACGGATCCTCCGAGGGCAGCTTGAGCGGTTACGAAAGTATGATAAATGGTCATTTGTGTTGCGTCTTGATTTTTGCTAACCCCATTGAAAAGGCGACGATGGTGACACCACAGACGAAGATCTCCCCCACCAGCAACCATCACGCACCCTCGATCCCTTCTTCGCCGGGACTCCTCCGACTCCTTGGCCCCTGTGGATGAGAAGAGTGACTGTATCCCCCGCCGCCGTGGGCCTATCATGGGAACTTTCGTAGCAGACCCCCACAAGCCAGTAGCCTTGGTCGACTGCACTGGCAAACATCTCGTCATCATTCCTGCGTATGCCTCTTCTCGCCACGACTGGCTGGACTCCGCCGCCAACAGCATGCCCGGCACCGCCAACACCAGCCCTCGCCAAACTACACTTCACTTGATTGATGAGAGCGACACTGATGCACTCGCCTCGCCTAATCAGCTTGATTTCAGCCCAATGTTGGCTTCGAGTGCCAATCTTATGATGACCGCCCTCGGTAACGATCTCACTCCAGGAGGCCAGGTCATGGGTCCCCCTGAGGCATTCTACCCTTCTCAGGACTTTACCATCGACAGCTCTTTCGAAGAAGACGAAGAAGATGATCCAGAGGCTGCTCTTAATGTCGATGATTTCATTGACTTTGGCAATGGATCCTCCGATGAAGACGAGGATATGGACAAGCAGTTCGATGATGTCCAGATGTCTCCGATGGCCGGTGCCTTTGGGAAGTCCATGGGGACGCCTACCCCAACCCGCAAGTCCGAGTCGCAAAACAACGAAGAGCGCTTCCTCAATCATCTAGACAAGGGTATTGTCACTGCCTTCCGTCGCAACCACAACCGCTACCAGGCGCTCCTCCGCCTTCCTCAGCACCGCGAATTCATGCCGGCCAACTCTCCTGCGCGCCCTGCCAGTGTATTCAGGCACGCCAAGAACAACGACCAGCGAACTCCCACCCGCAAGCGTAAATCGAACAGCGTTGCGGGTGGAGAGGCTGTGCGACGCAAGCTGATGGATGCTCAGCAACGTCGCTCTCAGCACCCCATCACAGCACCTCTATGAGGTCTTATGATTGCACGACTTTTGGATTTCTACCAAGATCATATGATAACCACGGCCAAAATTTCTTCTATTTGTTTCTAGTCACTGGCAGACTTGATTATTGAGGTCCTGTGCCTTTGACCATATCGACCTCGCTTTGAGCACACAGGCTCCTCGCTGTGGTCGTATTTTTACTTGCCACTAACTTGTCGCGACAAGTTTACTCTTCCAATGATTGAGGTTGATCTACCATGCATGTTGAGTTAGCTTGCAAAAGATCGATGTTGGTTCTCAGAGCCCAAAAGCGATCAGTTGATGAGATTTGACCATCTTTCCATACGTTCATTTTCAATTTTTTTTTTCTTTTCATTATCATGTCATATCTACTGACTGACCATTTTTCTCCCTCGTCTGTCACGGGGGTTGGTGATACCTTTGGATTTGTGGAGTTGAAAACTTGCGGATTTGTCTTTTTAACAAGCGATGGCCTAAGTAGCTTTTTACCGTTAACCTTTACCAATATCAAAAACATTCGAAACATTTATTACATTCTCTCAATTCCCAATGCTCTAAAGAAGCTCAGACTTCAAGGTGATGCAAACCCCCACACACCCGGACCCACTTAAACCTTATTTGAGTGATCTTCCAAGGTCCGCAATTGCTTAATTGTCTAGATCCCATTCCATTCCAAGGTTCACCTTCATGTCCTAGGTCGGCTTGAATTCAAGATGAATCTATAACTTGTGCCCTGGACACTGGCGACGCCTTTCTCTCTAATAACTTATTTGGAGCACCCAGCCTGACATGCCAGAGTTTGAAAGCCTGCCCCCATTCATAAATCGCAAATTTCGATCTATGTGGTATCACCGACACTCTCCAGTTCGACCTCGACTACTACCTCGACATCATCAACACCACCGAGCCAATCCTCAACTCTTTCAGCTCGAGCACCAGCCATAGAATCATCAGACTCGTGTTCATCCACCTCCTCGTCCGAGTCTTCCCCAACCACAACCCACGAGTGTTGATATATCCCCTTTTCATTCGCCGGAAATCCATCCAACCGAAGCCAGCAAAATATTCCCCGCGTAGGGTTTTCCGATTTTTGATCTGAGTATAGATCATACTCACAATCCGTCGGTATAGCAGGAAGATCCGCGAAAGTAACCCCTGGTTTTGGGCAGGACAAGCACAGAGACAGACCCCCAGGCAAAGACGAAGATGTAGAAGTCGAAAGCAACGAAGCAAATCGTGCTTCCACCCCTGTATCCTCAATCCTCATCCCATCTCCAAGGTCCCAAGACCAATTCTCATATTCCAATACATGACATCCACAACCTAAATGCTCTCGAAGAAGAATATCCGTATCACACAGCTTGGTACTACCAAACGGCTTCCATGGCCACACAGTGACATATCCATGATTATAACCCCCATCACTGGGCGTCGCGAGAAAAAGCAGTCGACACTCATCTTCGCGCTTTACAGAGGTTGCGTCTTTATCGTAGATACCAGGTGGTTTTGTTATAAACGTGGTTGTAACCCCCATCCACGCCTCGGCTTCAAGTAAAGGCGCCATCAAACCTTGCTCGCTTTGTTTTATGTATATGTTGCTCGTGCCCATGATTGCAGCCCCGAGCCAGAGACCAGCAACGCGTGGGTCGCGTGCTGACAGGCCGTTGAGTAGACGTGGGATGTCGCCTGCTTTCACGATTGGGTTTAATACTGCAAAGGCTGCGTTTGTCCATGCACCGACTAGATTGCAGGGTATTTCTGGGTTGATGAAGATACTTTTCATTGCTGGCATGGTCGTTATCCACATCGTGCTGCTTAGGGTCATGTAGTATGGGAGGAGCTTTTCATGCTCGGAGATTAGAGATGTGATCAATCTGGGGCTTGTCGGGGGTATATGATACTTGGGCCTCTTGGCGGGTTTGGGGATAGGGAGGGTGGGTGGATTACGGAGGAAGGCATCACGCGTGAAGAAGGATGCTGCCAGCGCTGCTGTGCATTGCGCGTAGATGCGGGAGTGGTTGCAGTAGCGGGTGAGGTATTCGAAGGCTTTTTTTGATGATGGAGGGCTATATGCTGAGGGCTGAAGGTGGGTGCCTTGTTTTGCTCGCATTGATATCACTCCGTCTAATGTGACGGACCATGGTGAGACAAATTTGTCGGACTCGTATTCCACGGATATCTCCCATGCTGGTGTTCCAGAGAACACGGCGTTCCACCAAACAATTTCCTCTTCGCTTGCGTCTGGGGGCAAGTCGATCTCTATCACCTCCGATTGAACGGACTCATCAGTCTCTTGATATGTAGATGAGTACTTTGTTGAACAATGGTGTGTCTCAGAGCGATCGAGCAACTCTGCCCATTTTGCAGATAGAATGTATGACCAAGCCAAGAACAAGACGGCGATGTAGTTGCCCTCATCATAACCATTAATACCACGTACACCAGGCCATTCCGACAGAGGGGCGTCCTTAGAGAGCTGGACCTTTCGGGGTTTTGCGACACCTAGGTCAAGTGTCGACGGCATGACCTTCGGTGGGGTAATACATCCTGCGCCAGCTCTGGACGTCCGCCATCTCGACTGTCCCTTTACCTCCAGTTCGCTCCGGTTTTTAACACACGCAAATGATAATACTCTGTCTGGTGAAATCAATCCATCGGCGAGGAATGCAGGCGTGTCTTTGAGAAGGGATTTGAGGTTGATACACTCCAAAGGCAGGCGGCTATCAGTGGTGTTGAAATGAGTTGACCACAGCTGATAGCTTGCGCGTAGGGTGTATTCAAAGGCTTCTTTGCTTGGGCGGAGGGCATCTTCCATGATTGATGTATAGATCCTTGGGGGTTATCACGGAGGAGTGAAGTGGGACTAGATCATGGGGCTTATCTCGAAGCTCGTACTGTTCACCGCTAGTTGAGGTATTAGATGTATTTAGATTGATATTTGTGAGCACTATATATGAACATTGCTTCTATTTTTCAGTTGGATTTGCACACTGCAAGTATGTACATTCCATGATGGGTATATATAATGCTTTTAGCGTGGGAGTTCATTTCATCGAACCTAGCATAGTCAATAGCTTTGTATGTGTACCGCAGTTCCTTTTCTGCGCAGCTAGAGGATAGTCTTTCAAGTAGCTTTATACCTACAGAGCTAGATATTATAATTCAAGGCAAGAGTAATTTGTTTTGAGAGAACGGTTGTACTTTGTCATCTTCCGAAATAAGTAGTCTTAAGTACATAAGTATCAGTCAAAGCAGCCCACGAGACTTCCAATGTCTAGATTTTGACCATAAGTGAAGATGAACGCTGCCGTTTTGACAGCTTATAAGATTTCCCGCCAGTGGTCATTTATATCTCCTCGGTACAACAGTAACCTTTGGTCAGGACTATTGCATACCGTAGGTTTGTACATGTTTAGCACAAAATGCCTCGGAGGAATCACATTCCCCCATTGACAGAGAGCTGACAGAAATAGGATGTCTAAATAAGCCTTGAGATTGGACGAACAGCTGCATGGGCAGGAATTCAATCAAAATGTAACCCAGGCGCAGACTTGCACCACATGAATTAGTTCTGTAGTAAGTAACTCTAAGCCGAATATATTAATGTCAACACGACGAAACTTTACTGGGAATTGATACTGTCTAGACCCCGTTCCAGGGGAGTGGAGCGTAGTATTTCCCAGGCGCTAACAATCCCATTTGTGAGTATATTTAGTTGAGCGTTTCACGTTAATTCGGATTATGCAGACAAAGCCATCGACGCGCCGAGACATGGAATTCTGCATAATTTGAATTTCCAGGAACTCAAAAAGCAATAATAGAAGACCAGTGGGGATGTAGTTGAAAGAAATACGGAATATCGGGAATTCTACGTGTCCAAGCCGGAGTCTCACAATGTTCCTGCGGAGTAATAGAAGGAGTTGATGCTAAAGACATTAGACGGATTTAGACCGGAGATGTCATCCGTTGCAAGGATAGAGTCGAGTGAAACCACTCCAAATAAGAACTTCAAGCTATGTAAACAAACAATTTCTGCTCTACCCCGTAGACAGGTTGGCGCTGGGCTTTTCTAAGTATCCACATCGAAAATCAAAGGTGAACCGGAGCGTTCAGGTACCACTAGCACATTACTCCATCTGCTTTGTTTGAGCTTGGGGATGACCCTTGGGGAAAAAACAAAAGAAAAACGGATTTGTGCACTAAGGGAATATCGCTGGCCCCAAAATACTAGGGTGCTGATTCGTCGACCTCGGCGCTTCGAAGCAAACTTGGAATCTTGGAAGATCTTCGAACAACAATAAGCACAGATGGGTCACATAGAAGGGCGCTAAACCAATGGGCGAGACGCTAAGTTAATTTTTTTCTTTTGAACGGTCGCATCATTGAACTTCCAAGCCTTTGTTTTGAATCTGCAACACCATGTCAGTAGTGTCAAAGGAAATTCCAAGCCCAAAGATTTGAGGGAAAATTCACGTGGACGCGAGTACCCTGACCCTCTGCCGAAGACCTCTCTCCTCTCGACCCTCGGCGTCATGCAAGTTTCCGTGCCGATCAAGCGCCTAATTCTCATACTATTTTTATTCGAACACGCTCATTGGCCGGTGAAATGACGCCCACCGATCTCGCAGTGGCATCCGATGAACTGTCGAAGGGGATTGGATTCCCCCACAGGCGCCCTGGCCAGAATGGCCCCAGTCTGCAAGTCCTGACTGGCTCCCCTCCAGCCTCTTCAGGTCCGTCATGCATGAATCGGCGCCGAACTCTAGATGGGTCGTAAGCTCGCACTCTTTTCAGCCACTACCGTTTCATCTGTACGTTCAGATTCCTGCCGATTGGGGACATGTTCGCTTTTTCTGACGAAATGTCTTACATGGGTTGGCGCCAGGATACTTGGACCAGCAGGAAAATGCTTGCTAGCTGCAGCCGAGCTCTTTGTCTGCAGAAGCTCATGGTATAGCCTGGGGCAATTGTTTAAAGGCGCCAACTCTTCCCAGATTCTGCACTTCTTTCATCCTCGTCATTGTTTGATTTCCTTTTGGCCCTTTTTGGCCATCTTGGTACGTCTCCAGCCAAAGACGCTCGTTCAAGGATACGCATCTCCTTGTCCCACCCTCTTTCGTTTGATATTGGGTCAATTTTGTTGAGGCTTTGTTTCATTGTCGCCTGCCAACAATACTAATAGAAATTGCCTCCTTTGCTGCCTACATCTTTATGATTGTCCATTATATTACATTTTCTATTGAGGTCTGGCTTTCGATATCGCAGCCTATTGAGCCCTGATCCTTATATCAGTTCGCTTTTGTTTCTTTCATACTTCTTCACTCCTTTTTTCCCCCCAATTCTATCTTCCTTTTCGTATCCCACTTTCCCGTCACTCGTTGCCGATATCCTTTCGCAATGAAGGTCAATTCGGCTATTGCGTTTTTCTCTCTTTTGGCCTCTGGCCAGGCCAGCGGAGCGGTAAGCCTCATCTCATATCTTGCATTGCTGCCTATGTATCTGCTAACAATGATTTTAGTACTGGGGTTCCGAAAAATGCTACTCCAGCCCGGGTAGATCGCCTAACAAGTGTAATGACTACCAGCAAAAGGGTTTCAGCTGGACTGACCTTGCTCCTGGCTCATTCTCTGAATATGGTGGCTTCTCCTTCTCTGGGTTCACGTGCGGAAATGGCTTTGGTTCCAGCCTGGGCAAGCGTGGCGTAAGTAATGCATGTCTGATCTTCATAGATACATACTAACCATGTCTACAGACCCAGAAATGCATCTCCGGTACCGTTTCCAAAGGTAGCTCCGGCTCGGAGAGCTCCGCTCCTTCAGCTCCATCGTTCGCCTCCGGTACGGATGAGACCGGCTTTTCTGTGACCAACTTCCACGTTGCTACCGAGAAGGATACCGAACTGCACATTATCTACACTATGCCTGATGGGTCGATCTGCAAGAACACCGCTTCCTGCAATTCGGGTGGTACTGTGGTCAACAACGATCAGTGTGGTGGTGCTAAGTCCGTTCACTTCGAGCTACCTGCCGATAGTGAACATGAGAGCTGCGGTTTTGGCATCTACAGCGTTGGCTTTGACTGTACCCCTGGCTCTACAACCACTGCGCCTGCGCCTGTCATCACTGCTACTGTTGATCCTGTTACCAGAGTTCCATATGAGTCTGCGCCTGCTGGCTCTAGCTCTATTGATGTACCTTCGCTATCTAGCTCGACTTCATCTCTACCTGCTGACTCTAGCTCTGCCGCTGTGCCTTCGCTCTCTACCTCAGAACTAGCGGTGCCTGCTGACTCCAGCTCTTCCGCTATACCTTCGTTCTCTGTCACCGGCTCTTCTGTGGCTGTTGGCTCCAGCTCTACCGCTGAGTCTTCACTCCCTGTGACTGGCTCTTCTGTGGCTGTTGGATCCAGCTCTGTCGTTGTGTCTACATCTTCAGTCCCAGGGTCTTCTGTCGCTTCATTGACCACTCCGCCGACAAGCACAACTGAGTCTGCAGGTTCCAGCTCTCCCGCTGTGCCTACATTTTCTGCATCAGGCTCTTCTGTTGCTCCAGTCACCACCTCGGCGACAAGCACACCTCTTCGGATGACTACATCGACTGTGTTCACAACTAGTTTGATCACTGTCACTAGCTGCGCTCCGACTGTCACGGATTGCCCCGCTGGATCAGGCTCAACCACTGTGATAACTTCCACTATCGCTCTTTCTACCACTGTCTGCCCTGTCACTGAGACTACTCCTGTCGCTACAGACTCGCCTTCTGTGCCTGCTGTACCTAGCCCCAGCGGTGTTCTCCCTGGGAGCTCATCAGCTGGTGTCCCTCCTTCAATTGGTACATCCACATCATCCATTCCAGCGTCCTCTTCTGTTTCCTCTACTACAGGCGGAACGTCCGCTGTAACTGGAACACCCACTGCGTCGACCCCATTGATTCCTTCTGCCTCATCCACTACGGGCGGGCCTTCGACACCAGCAATTACCTCTCCTATTAGGATGACTACCTCGACTGTGTACTCCACCAGCGAGATCACTATCACTAGCTGCGCGCCTGAGGTTGTCAGCTGCCCAGCAGACTCGACCGTTGTAGTTACTTCGACTGTCGCTGTGTCGACGACTGTGTGTCCCGTTACTGAGACTACCCCTGTCGCTACAAACTCACCATCGGTGCCTGCCGTCCCCAGCCCAAGTGGTGTTCTTCCAGGAAGCTCATCGGCCAGTGTTCCTCCTACTAGCGGCACTTCCACATCTTCCATTCCGGCTTCTTCTGATTCCTCCACTACGAGCGAGTCCCCCGCTGGAACTGGTACTCCCACTGCGTCGACCCCGTTGATCCCTCCTGTTTCCTCCACAACGGGCGGGCCTTCATCCCCGGCCATCACCAGTCCTGTTAGGATGACTACTTCAACTGTGTACTCCACCAGCAAGATCACTATCACTAGCTGTGCGCCCGATGTTGTGAGCTGTCCAGCGGACTCAACCGTCGTAGTGACTTCAACTATCGCTGTCTCGACGACCGTGTGCCCCGTTACTGAGACTACAGCTGTCAGTTCGTCTGTGTCTGCTGTCCCCAGCCCAAGTGGTGTTCTTCCTGGAAGCTCGTCAATCGGTGTTCCTTCTGCTAGTAGCACAACCACATCTTCTATTCCGGCTTCTTCCGATTCCTCCACTACGAGCGAGAGCGAGTCCCCCGCTGGAACTGGCACCCCTACTGCCTCGACCCCGTTGATCCCTCCTGTTTCCTCCACAACGGGCGGGCCTTCATCCCCGGCCATCACCAGTCCTGTTAGGATGACTACTTCAACTGTGTACTCCACCAGCAAGATCACTATTACGAGCTGTGCGCCTGAGGTTGTGAGCTGTCCAGCAGATTCGACCACAGTAGTGACCTCGACTATCGCTGTTTCGACTACTGTATGTCCTGTCACGGAGACTACAGCTACTGCCACCGAATCCCTACCAGCAGGCCCGAGCCCAAGTAGCGTGTTGCCCATTAGCTCCCCCGCTGGGTCAACGCCCCCTAGTGACACTACGGCTACATCTACGTCAACCGAGGTGCCTCCTCCCACTGACACTACTGCTGCTTCTACATCGACCGAAGTACCTCCCCCTATTGGCACTTCAGCTGCTTCTACGTCACCTGGATCACCTCCTCCCACTGGAACCCCGGCTGTGTCGTCGCCTGCACCCTCCTCTCCTGCCGGTACTCCTCCGGCCCCTGGAGAGTCCACTACTACTGTCATTACCTATGAGACTGTGACCACTTGTCCAGTGACTAACACTATTACCTCCGGTTCCTCCACTTTCGTGACCACCTCGAGTACCGTTTCAACCGTTACAATGACTACTGTCTCTACGATCTGCACTCGGTGCTCCGCTACTGCTACCATCACTTCCGTTGCTGGTCATAGTACTGTTGCCCCGTCTGATACTGCTACCCCCGTGCCTTCAACCACTGTCGCTTCTAGCACTGGGCCGGCCCCATCTGGGACTTCTGAAGGGGCAAGCCCTGTGACTTCCTCATCTGCAGAGGCTTCTAGTCCCCTCCCCAGCGGTCCCGCAGTCATCAGCTCAATCCCCTCTAGCGTGGGCACTGAGACCACACCTGCGATTCCTCAAGGGTCAACAGCCACGGTTATAACTTATGTAACTGAGACCACTTGTCCTGTGACCGCCACCATCACTTCTGGATCATCAACTTTTGTCACGACATCTAGCACAGTTTCAACTGTTACCTTGACCTCCACTCCCTCCCTTCCCAGCTCTGTCGCTGCTGGAAGCACTCCTGCTCCCTCTGAAACAGGCCCCACCGCCACCGCTACTCCTACGGGTCCTACTATCATCAGTATCTTCCCGTCTAGTGGCGGCGTCACCTCTACACCAACTATCCCCGAGGGTGCCACTACCACGGTTGTGACTTACGTGACCGAGACTACCTGCCCCGTGACCAACACCGTCACTTCGGGTTCTTCCACCTTCGTTACCACATCCAACACTGTTTCCACAGTGACTCTCACCTCCGTCTCAACCATCTGTACTCAGTGCTCCACTACTGTCACTACAACCAGTAACATCCCGGCGGTCCCCAGCGGTGTTTCCCCGATATCGAGCCCAGCTCCCCCTGCCCCCTCAGCTCCCTGCCCCGATACTGTGCCCCAGTGCATCAACACCTGGCTCACCCTCGCCCCCAAGTGCACATCCAACAGCGATGCCTCATGCTTCTGCCCCAACAGTGAATTCACCAGCAAAGTCATCTCCTGCATCCAAGCCTGGGGTGCCTCCAAGGATGAGATCCAATCTGCTCTCTCCTACTTCACAGGTATCTGCGCCACCTGGGTCCCCCAGAACCCTGGCATCGTCACCGCCATCCCCTCAACAATCACACTAATTCCAACAATCGCTCCTCCCGCTCCAACTTCCAGCGGCGCTGGTGCAAGCGTAACCGGCGGTCCTGCCGTGCCTATCACCTCCGCTCCCGCCCTCCCCCACACAACAATCACCTACTCAACCTACACTGTCACTGTCCCACAGGTCAGCTTTATCACAAACACCGGCTCCACCTCTGGCGCCATCCCAACCATCGGTCTGGTCCCGGCTGGTCCCAGCAGCGCTACACCGGCACATACCGGCCATGTCCCACCCCGCGCATCAGCGTCCTGGATAACCTCAAGCGGGTACGCTTATGCCAGTCGAAGCCCCTTGCCCAGTGCATCGCCGGTCTTCAACTCAGCTTCCAGCTTGTCGATTGCATCCAGTCTGGTGCTGGTTTCTCTCGCTGCTTTCTTCAGCTTGATCATGTAAATTTGTTTTCTAGCACACTAGCCTACGGCTAAATCTTTTCTTTATCTCTTCCTACTACAAATATGCACAGTGCGGATTGATTTCGTGTTCTTGCTTGCCTGCTTGTCTTCCTGGCCCTGGGGTGGTTCTTCCTGTTTTTATGGGGATTATTGGCTGGGAATTGACTCGACTCGTTGGTCCTAGAGGGACTTCTTTGTATTTTAGTTATCCACTCCCTAATTGAACGCGATAGACTTCGCTTTTTTGTTAAGAATGTGCTTCTCGGGTCTTAGATTCTATAGTATCATTCTTTCAAATCCTTTAAATGACACCAGGAAGATAACATATAGGTGTAGAGCTGGATGGTATGGTGCAGATCCAGCAAAGAAAGAGGTAGGGAAAATTGGCCAACTATGTAGCTCATAGCCACACGCACCCTCTATCATCAGTCGCCTTTCAGAATCTTTAATCCATCAACTGCATTGGACTCTTCTGCTTCGTCGTCTGTGTTCCAAAACGTCTCGCTTCCGATCTTTGAATCATCCTCACTTGAGTAATTCAAATCTTGATCTGCGTTCATTTCGTTATTGTTTTGTTCTTCTTGTGCAATGCCATATCTCATGCTATCGAGACTCACTACGTATCCGAGCTTGGTCATCACACAGCTGGGCGATCAACAGCTGGGGGCAGAGGCATCCTGAAAGCCATGGACCAGACTCAATTGCTCTCGGTCAATTAGCCCAGATGTGACACAGTCGGACGCCCGAGATAGTAACATTGAGTTGTGACAAGTCGGCTTCGTCAATTTATCATCACAAAATACGCGCAGAAGAACCTTACCCCCAGTGAAGCAACACGAGGATTTGATCCATGGCCACCATGACCTTTGCTTGGAGGCCGTCGAGGAGGCCACGGATCAGATCCTCATATTGCTTGACTTGGTTAAATATTCATCCACCTGTTATTGGCATGGTAGATTGACGAAAACATTCTGTCGCAACTGATGTCACGGACGACTCTTGTCTCGAAGGAATTTCACATCGGGTCAGGAAAAGATATCATCGGAGTGATAGATCATGGATATATGAAAGGGTAAGGAGATGATTAAAGAAAACAAGAGAAGGACCGAGAATGAGGCTTTCATATAAGGAATAGGAACATCAGCAAACAAAAGTACCTAAATATGAGACGTTGATATGCAGACCCCCGTATGTAGAGTCCCGATTTAGAACTACATACATCGAAGACCAGTTAAAAACTAGTCTATACAGTCCTGCTCACTCTCTTTTACAGCAGAAGCTTCACTCCCTTCCCTATATACCGCGAACCCACAATCATACCGCTGAGTGACATGCAACTCCCCGTAAAAATGACCACAGCCATATACTTCGTCAACCCATAATTCTCCAACACAAGGACCCGGGAGATCAAGTTCGCACTAAGCGGGCCAGTCAAGACATTCCCAATCCCCTTCCCGAAACAAAACAAACTGAAAATCATCGACATAGCCGTCGGATCTGCACTAATGGACGTAGACATTCTCGCCCACATAGCAACATACCCAGCACCGAAGAATCCATAAATCAATGCAAAGACAATCAAAGGAGCCAGCGAATGAGCCAGTCCCCACAACGCAAACGAAGCCACAGCAGAGACCACAGTCGAAATAGCAATAAGCACATTAACAGAAACCTTCCTATCTGACAAAACACCGAACGTGAATTGACCCGCCACTTGTGACACACTCATCAAGGCAAGAAGTAAGGCTCCAATCGTACTACTCATCCCCATCGACCGAGCATAGGAAGGTAAATACAATGTAGGAAAGAAATATCCCAGGCCCTGCACAATATTCGAACAAGAGTACACCCAGAACAAAGGTGTTCGAAGAAAACTCCAGTCCGATCGAGCCGCTGTCGTGGCGGTATATCGTGAGACTGGCAGGCGACCTTTCAAAAATGGGATTAATGGGCCGGTCAGTATGAACATCGCAATGGCGACTATTCGTAGCGTCGTTCGATACCCGTATTTGTTTAATAGTTTCTCTACTATGAATGGCATTACTGCGCCCGAGACACCTGATGCGCTGCAGAGGAGTCCGTATGCCATTCCGCGCCGGGTGACCCAGTATTCATTTACCATGTTAAGAATTGGGTAGTAGAATATTAGGAAGCCGAGACCGTAGGCTACGCCTTGGGTTAGAATGAGAGTTTCGAGAGTTGAGGCGAAGGACCCGCTTATCAGTGCGATTATGCAGATTGGCCCTGGTGGGGGAATGTGAGTGTGTGCGCAGAGAGTGGTGGGGAGATTAACGTACAGCCAATCCAGATCATCTGTCGCTGGTACTTTTGGAAGCGTTTGATGAATGGTGCTGTGAAGGGCGCTCCGAGGTAGGAGATTCCTGAGGCCACGGTGCCTACTACGGAGATATATGGGTTACCCGCGAATTCGGGGAGCTCCGAATAATAATTTTGGAAGACTCCGAATGAGAGTGGAAATCCTGGAAGTTGTCAGTCGTTGTAGTGTCTTGACTTCAAGCTGTGCGTACCCCATAGCAGTGCTTCAAAGACAAATGCTGTTCCGAGCAGTTTCCAAGCAGCAGGTCCATGGTCGGTTGGCTCGAGTTGTTGGTTGATGAATTCCACATCTTGTGGTTCGTCGAGTTCAAGTTGAACTGCAATTACTGGCAGTGACCTGCTTTCTGTTGAAGTTTTTGATGCCATAGGGTGTATTGCTAAGAGAGATTAATACCCCACGAAGAGACCTCGGCAAGTACCTGACTCAAGAGCCCCCTAACCCCAAAGAGGAAGGAGAAACGGTTATCAATATATGTACATCTTTACCTAGGGCAGTGGCACTGTGAAGTTCAACATATAAATGATGTATGATAAATTCTTGTGGTTTACAGAGGATAGGTCGAAAACATGGAGAAAGGGAGGAGAGATCTTATATGACTCAAAATGAAGTAGTGGGGAAGCTCAAGGCAGACTATACCACACTGCCTAGAGGAGACCTCGTTCGAAAATCTCTTCATGTGGAAACTATTGCTACCTAATTGATCTAGAAATCTCAATCCAGGCATGAAGGTTGACCGTCTCAAGGTTGTTTGCCCTATTGTCGTTTCCGCACTTTTTCCCTTTGAGTTAAATTAAGTATATTTGGATCCCCAAATATGAAGAAATTTTGGTAAGCCGGATCAATTGCCCCATGCCGGCTTAAAAGATAAAGGCTGTCTGTCACGCAGAAGGAAATTGACCATATTGTCGCACCCGGGCTGCTGGGTGTAATCATGCTTGGTGCAACAATTAGCGATCCAAACCTTCATTGTTTTCAAGCCACTCCATGTAATCCTTAATCCCTTCCTTGATGCTTCGGAAACGCAGCACAGAGCCAGCCCGACGGAGCTTCGATATATCGGCGCAGGTGAAACTCTGGTACCTGCCTTTTAGCTCTGCTGGGAAGGGAACGAATTTGATGTAACCCTCGGGGTTGCCGAAATGCTTAGCGACTTCCATGGCCACGTCATGGAAGCTGCTTGCAATACCAGTGCCAACGTTATAGATACCGCTGACTTCCGGGTGGTCAAGGAACCAACAGTTCAGGCGGGCGACGTCCTCGACGTGGACAAAGTCCCGCTTCTGTTGTCCAGCCTCAACTCCGGCGTATTCACCAAAGAGTTCAATGGCTTTGTATGATTTGCGCTTTTCGTAAAACTGATACACGGTGCTAGGGACCGCATCCCGATGCTGTTCGCCGGGTCCGTAAACGTTGAAAAGCCGCAGTCCGGCGCATTGGGGGGAGCGAGCGTCGGAGTTCTTGATGACATACTCATCAAACAGCAACTTGGAGTATCCATAGACGTTCAGAGGAGCTTCCTGGGCGTTCCCCTCGATGAAGGTAGTTTTGTTTCCATACACGGCAGCGGATGAGGCGTAGATGAAGCGAACACCCTGGTTTTTGCACCACTGGAAGAGCTCCTTGGAGTAGGTGAAGTTAGCGTCCAGCATTTTCTTGCCGTTGGTTTCGGTGATGGACGAGATGGCACCATAGTGGAAGATGACGCGGGGACGATGATGAAAGGTTTTGGTCCGAATCGATTCACGGAAGGCTGCCGCGTCGATGTAATCGGCTACTTTACAGGTGACCAGGTTGCGAAACTTGGATCCATCAGTCATGTCGTCGACCACCACGATGTTGGTCACACCGCGGTTGTTCAACTCCTTGATGATGTTGGAACCGACAAAGCCAGCTCCACCCGTGACCACGATCATTTTGGGAGATTTGATTTGAAGGTGATGAAGAGCAGAAGGGGAGGGTGAAGATCGAGTTGAGAGTGATGGGGGAGACGTTTACCAAAGTGGAAGGAGCGAGGGAAGACACGGCGACATCTTAGGACCAGGCTGTGTCTCATCGGCCTCATCACTTGTCGACTTCACAAACGTGAGGGTATAGATGAGAGTAATCAGAAAGAGATGGAACTGCCTATTTAGCTGTTCTGCTGCGTTTCTAGCAACTTGTGTGTAGTTTCTATCACATAAGTTAACAGGTACTTCAAAGCTCGGATTTGGTACTAGGAACCTGAAAATGAAGATATAGATCCCTATATCACAAATACTTCCCCTAGGGTCGAAGTTAGATCACATCTGACAGTCCGGAATATTCTTGCCGATGCTGCTGGGACTTTTTTCTTTTCTCCATCTGACGAATCCAAACTTGATTGGACACAGGTCCAATTAAAGACTGTCAGCCTCAGCCCATTTGACGAATATGAAATGGAGCTATCGTGTTCAGAAAGTGTTGGAATGTCGGCATGCCTGCCATTTTTAGATAGCCGAGTCTCTTGGCTCGGCTTCAACTCCGATCACCCAACTGTTATTAGCCGCGTTAGCCATCCCCAGTTGATCCTTCTAGACTACAAAATGAGATGGGGCCACAAATGGTAATGATTATGGTTGGATAAGGGGTTATCTACGGAGTAACAACGGCGATTTTGGTTTGAATTAACGCCAGTGCTCACTTATTTCTCCGGTCCTTGCGTTGAAGAAACCCACTGAAGATAGGTATACTCCGGAGAAAGGGATCGCAGTTCTCCGCAGCGATCTGACAGATGCACCAGATACATATGCACTGTACAAACTATTTATGGCTAAATCAATACATTTATTGGATCTTTCAGCTCCTTGCAACCGCATTTGCCCAATAAATAGATCTATGCATATGACAGTCGACATGTTATCTCTCAACCCAGAGATAAGCCTCTAGCCCTAGATTGGCTGACAATGAGTTTATAGCCATTTCTAAGCTAAACCCTACACCAACACGGTATGGAGATTTGTACTTTGGTCAACTCTAAATTGGTTTCGAGCTATTGAAGACTACCGAGGTCTTCACCTTGCGGTCGAGATAAGCTATCCACCAGTAGGCTTCCATTAGGAGAAACCGTTGACAGCCGCGCCGGATATGCTACCTTATATTCATCTTCTCTCCTGCGCATCCTGTAAATGTCATGGCTCAACACAGCTCACTATGGTGGCCCGAGGACCGCATCAAAGCAACCCTCGACACAAAGTATGTCCTCAGTCGTCTGCGACCAGAGAATATCCCACGTCTCTTTGAATTACCAGACTGGGGCGAAGGATTGACCAGTGGAACCTATATGGAATGGATCCTCACTAAAGCCGCCCGTGTATTTATGATCCTCGATGCTATCGGTATCCCCGATCGGATCTTCGCGCTAGTCGATGAATCCTGCGACGACGATGATCTACCTGTCGCTCAACATAGTGTGGATTTACTCCACTTATCCCCGGACGGGGAAGACCTCGCCCTCGAAGCGAGTTTCTTTCATGCTCAATGGCGCTTCCTCGTCCGTGGTATTGCGGAGGGGGACCATGTCGTCTATACAGAGAATGAGGGTGTCCCCGTCGAGGCGGTGCGCACAAACACCAGCGGAATACACGGACGTGGTGATACGGTCGACAGGGTTGTTCTCGCTGGCTCGGTCTGTCGAGTCTACATGCGGACTCAAGTGCAAGTCGGTGGCGCGCCCTATTTCTTCTCGGCGGAGGAGGTTCTCGCTGAGATCCGAAACCTGAAAAGACTGTCCCATGAGCATATTGTCTCTGTCTACGCCTCGTATCTGAAAGACGATAGTGTCTCCGTGTTGTTCACCGGCGCAACCGCAGATCGAAACCTACACAGCTTCCTGACAGACGAACCGGTGTCCTTCAAACGGCTGGACAAAGAGCAACGTCGTCAGATCTTGATCACTTGGCCGCACTGTCTTGCATCAGCAGTCTGCTGGCTGCATGCACGAGGCCACTCCCACGGCGCAATCCGTCCTTCCAACATCTTCATCGATGAAAACTTCCACATCTGCCTCGGTCAGTTCCAAGCACTCGACTCCCTCCTAACTCCACCACATGTCAACGACCTCGAGGCATACAATTACTCTGCACCAGAGCGCTGGACTCGTCCCTCGGCTCCAGTCATCCAAAAGCAACCACAGCCCACGCAAACACTCCAGCCCTCAGGAGGACGTACAAAGCGCAGACAAAGACCAACTCGTCTAGCCCTCTCCCCCTTGAACGAGAACCAACCTCCATCTGCAGACACAAGACCAAACTCGGCATCCTCAAAACGAACAGTCATCCACATCGGCCTACCAAACTCCCCATCCCACTTCTCCCTCTCCTTCTCATCCTCCTCTTCATCCTCGGGGGCCTCCTCAACGGCCTCCTCGATCTACACAGACGCAACAGCAACATCCCCCCAGCCAAAAAAGCACCGCCTAACATCCTTCTGGCCCCTAAGAAAAAACCCACGGCCTCAATCAATAATCTCAACCTCCACATCCTCTTCAGCATCAACAGCACAATCATCCTCAAACCAACAAACCCCTTCCCTCTGCCCACCACAAATCTCCCTCCGCCACTCAAAATCAACCCAATCCCTAACCCCATCCTTCACAACAATCATCCCCTCCCATCCTCCCTCTAAATCCAACCCCACATCCCCAAATGCCCCAGCAGACATATTCTCCCTCGCAGCAACAACCCTCGACATCCTAACAACCCTCCACAAAAGAACCCTCCCCTCCTTCGCCGCCCACCGCAGCGCCCGAAACAGATCTGCCGGTCGCGGCGGCGGAATAGCAGATGCATCCTTTCACCTCGCGCGGAATGTCGTTCAGGTTCAATCGTGGATTGCATTGTTAGAGGGCGATGCGTTGAAACGGTGTCGACGGGAACGACGATCTGATATGGTTTTCTGGGCAGTGCCGAGGATGCTGATTGTCATTCGGGCTATGCTTGAGGTTGAGGCGGGGAAGAGACCGCTTGCTAGGAGGGTGCGGAGGGGGTTTGCAGATGCTGTTGAGAGGGGGGCGTGGGGGGTGGAAGGGGGTTTTACATTGTGGGAAGGGGAAAGGGAAGGAGAGAGGGAAGGATGGGGATGGGGATGGAGATGGGAATGGGAACGGAGATGGGAATGGGAATCATGGGTTGGAAATTATTCGGGAGACGCGGCTTGGGGGGAGTGTTGGGTCTGCGGTTCCCGGGGCTTCTGAGTCCGGGTCTGTTTCGGAATCTGTTTCGGAGTTTGATTTTGGGTTTGGGGATGGTGGGAGTGAAAGTGAGAGTAACGTTGAGGATGGACATTTGTTTGATCTTGATGCTGAGGAAGGGGATGTGTCGGAGTTTGAAGAGCATGACATACGTGTGGACCAGGCCTTGCCTCAGCTGTATCTACCGGAGTTGGATATGAACATTACTGGGGTAGAAGGATTGACGTTGAAATAATGAGGGTGTACGATAATGTCATAGTTCAGTCACTAATAATTCGTTTCTTGTGTACACTTCATGCTTCGTGAAAGACAGACCTGAGATAACATCTGTATGCAAACAGCACGCCGACTCCAATATATCATGCAGTGACTCGGTCGAACTCATCTATCCCAATTTTGTGATGCATATCAATACAATGGCTCAAGCAACCGACAATGGTCGGGAAGAAAAGAACAAATCAAAGCCAGAGGGCAACAACACCCAACAAACCAGACAGCACCAAGGATCCAGCGAGCAGGCGCTCAGTGGCCGGCGAGCCGACGGTCACGGCATGGGCAGCGCCTTCCTTTGTGGCCGATGCAGAGGGAGAGCCGGTTGTCTCGGCCTTGTTGATGTCCTTACCGGTCGTCGTTGTGGAATGAGATCCCTTTGTATAGGTCTGTCCCAAGGTAGGAAGCGGTGAGCTTGGGTCAATTGCCCATCCACCGGAGGTCGAGGCAGGGCACTCGATGCCAGTCAGGCTGGACGCGCTCTTCCGGTAGGCGGAAAGAGCAACGCCGGTCGGGTTCAGAGTAGCCCACTGAGACTTGAGGTTGTTGAAATCAGGTGACACAGGCGTTGGGGTGCCCTTGCGAGTGAAGCCATCCTCGATGGATTTCGCAGTCGCAGTCGCAGCGTCCACAGAGGGACCATAGCTGATCAATCCATAGTCGTTGGTCTCCTCGATCCACTCATAGATGATGGACCCGGACCAAGTATCAGACATGTGCTCACCAAAGATGGCAGCCTGATCCTCAAAAGTACGAGGTGAGGGGGTGTTGCAGCCGGTCTCGGAGAAGAAGATAGGGATGGGGTAATCAGTCGCGTTCTTCTGCAGAATGTTGTATCCGGACTGTTCGTAGCTGGATGAACCACACCACTCGTAGGCATTCAGCGAGTAAAAGTCCAAGCGATCGGCTGCATCCTTGGAACAGGCCATGTAGTTCTGGAGCATGGGTCTCAGATCGGCAATATCGGCCGCCGAGTAACCAACAGGAATCTCGCGATAGCCCTTCTTATCACGGTAGGCCTTGATGTCGCGGGCAGCCGCCAAGACGTAGGGAGCAGCGGCCGAGCCATCGGCCGTGGTGAGTACCTCGTTTCCGACCAAGACACCGGCAGTGTTGTCGAACTTTTGGAACTCATCGAGCACCGCCTTGAAGGCATCAAACTGGGTCTGATTCCAGTGAGGCTCGGTCTGTGATCGTCAGTATATGGGATCCACATGAGGGGAAAGTGGACCAACCTGTTCGATCTGGGTATTGAAAGTGTCCAAATCGACGAACAGGTGGATTCCTAGACAACACATCAATATGCATCTAGACCCTGGGAAATGGAATCAACCATACCAGCATCCGCCAGTGCCGACATACAGCCCTTGTGATCACCATGGGGATCCACGTGGTACACACGGATCGCATTGGTGCCCAGCTCGGACATACGGGCGATATCCCGCTTGCATTGGGCAGTGTCGATGAGCGGGTCACTTGGGGTAAGCTGATAAGCGATGCCTATTCGAGTCAGTCAGGAAAGAAGATACCTAGAGGATTGGATTCTAGGTACCCTTGATGTAGAACTGGGTTCCGTTCTCGTAGAAAAACTTGTTGCCAACAGCCGAAATGGGCGAGATTGCGCCCACAGCGGTAGCTTGTAACCCAGCGAGTAGCAATGGCACCGAAAATGCTAGAGATGAAAACATGATGTGAAAATTAACGAGACTTGAATAGAAACAGGCTGGAAGAGAAGAGAAAAGAAAATAAAAAGCCCAGCTGTTGACACCCGCGATGAAGGGGAAGTGCAAACCAAATTACAAGGGAAAGAGCTGAAACATAAAATGGCTGTTCCTTGATTTGGGACTACAGCAACCAGATCTGCGGTGTTTGGTTTCATTCCTAGGGCATTCCATTGATTTGTTTTTAAAGCTTAGAGGTCTCAGTAATGTTCAAAGTACGAGCTAGAATTTACAAGACATGTTGACATGAGTCTATTGACTGCTGTGTTGCTGTGTTGCTGTGTTGATTGTTGATTGTTGATTGTTTACGGAGTACTCTTCCTGGTGTTGGGGCCCAGCCCTAACCCCTATCACACACATCTCGAGATCCAGAGACATATACTCAAGTAGGTAGAAGATGTGCAGTCTCTACAACAGAAATCAAATTAAACAGGTGAAACTCAACCTATTTTACCTCAGAATCCAAGTTCGCCCCTATACTATAAATATCACCGTATAAAAATACTTGTGAGACATATAAGACAAACCATATCAACCACTTTGGTACGTACTCCATCCATGTACAACATCTACAACATGTGTACTTCGTATGTTGTACTCCGTGTTAACATCTCGGGCATTGTATTCCCTCATGTCAATCACTGCTATTCATGTTATATCCACTCTTACTAGACAGGGGAAAGATAGTCCGTTCAAAACCTGGCACGCAGCAAATTTAAAATTCTCTCTTTGTTCACGAGACCCCTGTTGGGCAGATATCAAGATCAAGACCCCTAATGCACTCGTATCAACGCTAGCAATAACGCTATATCCAAACATTGAATCGTTTTAAAATTGCTGCCACGTTACCCCACTGGGCGGTTTTCGGAGCTCGCCACGGGGGTCTAGAGCGAGGTCATTGCGAGATAAGGAGAGCGATTTTTGCGAGTATTTTGGATTTGTTATAGGGGATGGGAACGTCAAAAGTAGGAGAGAGGTAGTAAGATCATGTCACATCTATAGCTACAACATTGCGTTATGTTACTCGAATCGATCTATAAACGTCTCTTGCCAACACAAAAGTGCAACAGTCCAGACTCTCTCCAATCTCCACTCCTCCACTTCATTCCGACATATCCACCAATGATCATCGCCGTACGCAAAGTGTTCGTCAGCTAGTGGAGCCCTCCATTGGGATCGTCTGGGCTTTCCTTTGGACTTGGCACCCGAAACGGGAGAGTCTGTTGATGACGTTTCCGCAAAGGGGGGAAAATATAATATCTAGCCCGCATCCGGTCCTCGATCTTTTTTCGATGGACTTCAACTCGACCCCTGTACCTGGTTCTTATATCTCGACATGATTCTATAACACCTCCGATCAAATATATACTCATAAAATCATCCACAATGGCATCCCCTTTTCACATCTCCCGACACCAGCAGGTCGAGCTAGAGCGCAATGAAGCCTTTCGAGTAATGCGCGAACAACTTCGCCGCCAAGAATGCGGGATGGAACGACCAAGCTTCTGTGCCGGTCATCGACACTCCTGCACCGCCACCGAGCAAGAAACCTTCCGCCTCCACCGCGACATCATCCACACCCTCCTCGTCCCCCTTTTCCTAATCAACCACCAAGCCGAGCGCATCGCGGCCCGTACCCTCCCAACCCAGAAAGGCGCCGAGCCCGAACGTGCATTCCGCGGAGAAGCCCGCAGTGCTTTCGCCTGGCTGAATTGCATCCTCACAGAAGAACACGACTGGTACCTCACAGCCCGCTGTCCGGCCTGTATCGTCCAGCACGTGTTACACTCCGAGCCAACAATCCGATTCGTCACTGTCGCCTCGCAGCTCGCGGGCGCCCGTTCCGGCTTCCAGTGCTGGCTGAATGCCCTGGAGACGGCAGTCTGTGAAGACCCCTTTTGGGGCGATGCTTTCTGGCCGGATATCGAGGAACGCGCTTCCCGTTTGACGGAAGGGGTGCAGCAGCTCATTCGTCAGTGCTACGAGCTCAGCGTGACACTCGATAACCCGGCTCGGGTGAATCCGTCGCTCACAAAGAACCCCATGTCTGCTTACGGTAATCGTTCCACGTCCTGCACAATCCCCTTGAAGCCTTCGAGTTTCGCGCGGAAACAGGTCCGCCTCACGCGGGAGGAGCAGAGATATCGCTCCTCGTTTCTGTGGAATTGCTCGGATATGACCCAGCCGCTGGCCGGCTGCACTACTGCGACCCAGTCTCGGCGCCGGTCGCTGACTTCGTGAGAGAGATCTGCTGGGCTATGGTGAGACTCTCGCCACATGCATTTTTCTCTCAACCAAGCTGTCGCTCCATACCGGGACTGTTTCCCAGAACCAGCCCGCCACCGATTGGACCCGGGATTCGTGAAAAGTGTCTACGGAACTTGTGAATCTACGTACCCAGACTCCCATCGCGGATTTCGCGCCTGTCAATTCCCTGATCACTTGCGGAACACATGGCCCTCGCGGCTCCACGCGACCGAAACTATATCGGTATGCAAGGGTCGCGGATCAGGAGTCCGCTGTGATGCAATCAGACCCAGAGCCGTGGATGAGAAACACTCCATGGAAGATATTCCCAAGTGGGAATCGGGCTGTATAGCCGAGGATGATGTGATATTTTGGTCATTTTTGACAGTGACTATAGTGATATATATAATTTTAATCATAATCTACTTTCCAGGGTTGCTATCAAGTAATGCGAAAGCACATAATATGAAGTTGACGTGTACTGTTTGATTTGATGGGTTTTTCTAGGGTTATATATATTAACCCTGCAGTAAACTCCACGTAGCATATATATATTCTTAAATCTAATTCGTACGTATACATGGCATGGTCTGCAATTAATCTAATGCCGTGGCAATATACTTTATGTGAGACGGTGGATCAAGCCGGAGATGGCAGGGAAGTGAACCAGATCGAGGCGTACAGTGGAAATTAAAACGGTCCCAACGTTTAGGCTGGATCTGAATATGGGGTTTCAATTCCAAGATTCTCTTCAAATGCGAACTTGCTGCGAACTAGGCACTGAACTTTGAACTGCCGATATATATTATTCCATATTGTGGTAGCCTATACTTCCGCTTGTACGTTTGAAAAACAAGTATATGCCCAACCCTCCCGGAAACGGAGGACTACATATCTGTGAAGTAAGTACTCGGTACTTCGTCTAGGCCCACGCTCCACAGCCAATCGGTGGTACCGGCGACTTGTGAAACCCAAGGCTTAGGCCGCATTGGGAGTGATAACTGTCTAAGGTCCTAGTGCTATGCTTAAGTCTGGTTCGGGTAATGAGGACTTCAAATATATTCATATTTATATTCGACTGTATATCCCATACATTATTTAAATGTTCCAAGTTGCACCCGAAAGTGATCGTCACCCCCCCCGTGGAGCCCAGACGAAAGTCCATCGGTCTAGACTACATATTTTTATACACACGACTATACAATGGACTTTGCATTATTATAGGCTATATAATATTATATTCAGTTCTATCAGATTAATATATATAAAATTCTAATAGTATTATATCCCTTACAGCAAAAGAGGAAAAGGAAAAAAAAAAAAAAAAGAGGTGGAAACCGATGACTCCATGACTTGAAAGGTCTAGACTTGCCTGACCTGAAGAGTCTGGCCCCAGCCCTTGCCCCAGTTAGTACCCAGTACATGGTCTAGTGCCCATTCGCCCATATTATGCTCAAGTACCTAATACCCACTCTTCCCTTCCCGTCAATTTCCATAATTCACGCCCTCTTTTGCTTCTTCTTCTCTCTCTCATCCCTTCTTCCTTCCCCCCCTCCTCCCAAAAATATTCATCTCTTCAAACGTCAAATTTATAGGCCTTTCGAAATTCTTCCCCGCTTGAACCCGGTCATATTGCGGTCATCTTCCCATTCGAATGATTTATCCCGACCATCTTCCGTCCGTTGGATAACTCTGAATGACTTCCTCGTGCAATGGACAGTATTGGCCCGTCAACCCTCCTGACGATCGCACCATGCATGTCCCACCAACAGTGAAACTCGACACAAGAGCACATCTCCCCCAACACTCAGATACACAGGAAACTCTCAACCCGGCTAGGATCCGCCGACGAGCTTCACAAGGATCTCTTCGAGCAAGACCCTCGCCGGTATCTCGCTTTCTGTCAAAGAGTAGCGTTGCAGTAAATTTTCCATCTTGGGATCAACGCGGTGCCTCGCCTCGCTCACCTGGTTCGCCCTATCGTTCGGATTCTCGCACTCGGTCGGTCGACTCTCGTCTTCGTCTTTCAACCACTGTGTCTCGCGGGCCGAGGCCTTTGGCTGCTTCAACGCCTTGGGACTCACACTATCAATCTGAATACCCCGCTACATTACCCCCCACGCCACCAGACGAGGATATCCACGTTGCCTGGAACCCCAAGTCCGAGATGATGATGTTTGATACACACTCCCACCCGGGATCCATGGTCATGATGGACAACCCAAGTGTGGATAATTCCTCTGCCACCGGTGCTTCAGATACACTCAGTAGCCCATCGGATGGGCTCTCTCATAGGTCATCCAGCTCTGGAGGTAGCCCTAGGCCCCAGGATGAAATGGATTGCCAGCAGGATGTGGGCTCATGGCTGGATCATGGCATTAACTTGACTGGTAAGCATTCCACATGGCTTTTCCCAGTGTCAATAACTGACCTTTTTCCAGCATCATCACTTGCCCTCTGCAAGACACGAGGCGAGGCCGTCAAAATCGTTTCTCAAACGCTTCCATATCCCAGAACGTCTGATCAGGCTGCATCAGCATCGAAAACCGACAGTGTTTTCCCCTCCCTTGTCCAGGCCGTCCACAACCACCTGCAACCTGGTCAATCACCCTATATCAATGTCACCCACGCAGTGCCGGAACAATTCAGCCTTTCCAATCTCCCCCACTCTCCTCCCAGCACTCCTCGTTCTCCGGCTGCTAGCGAGGATTACTTCAACGCCACTGTTTTCTCCAGTGCAGCAGTTGTGGGCGCTTATCATGACTTCCGTGGGCCCCTTCAACGGCAAATGTCCCACGCCCCGATGCCCATTGTCCCCCCTCGCAGCGTTCACATCTCGGTCCTCGAGCGCTATCTTCCCCCAACCTCCGCCCAAGAGTATCGTGATTTGTTTTGCCGTACCCGTCCATCTTTTCTCGTTGACCGTTTGAGCGAGCTATCGCCGAATGGTGGCTCCCTCCTCTTCGTGTATCCAACCAAGAAAGGCGCATCAACATTCAAGTCTCAGTACTTGGGACCCATCCTCGACCCTCTGCTCCGTCAACTCGTCGTGGTGAATGAGTTGTCCGCAGACGTAGGCCGCTATCTCGGCAAACTCTCATCCGTCTCTCAAATGGATGACTTTGCCACCATGAAGGCGAACATTGTGGCACTCTGTGAATCATTGAGCGATAACGATTCCTCCTCCCGATTTCACGTGGCCGATGCAGGCCGCGGACAGACCCACCTCGATCGCAGCCTCTGGGCCGAGTGGTTCATCCACCAGGAGAAGGCCCGCATGAAGGAAGTGCTCAGTCTGTACTGGCAAAACGGCCGCCGCTCATCCAAAAGCGCAAGCTCCGGATGCTCCGGCATGATGGGCAACAAGGAAGTCACATCTTCCGGCCTTCTCAGTGAGATCTGCGATGGCATCCGCAAGCGACGCTATTGCGAGGACAATGAGCCTCGCGATGGTGTCGAGCTTGGAGTCTTCGTGATTCGTCGAACGAATTAGATCGTTGCAGCATTGCTAGATCACATTTTCCCTCTCTCCTCGAACCCCCATTTTCATTCTTCTACCCTCTTCCGCAATAGCATATTTTAACAAACGGCCTTCACAAAAGATGACATGGGACCCTTGGAGGTGTCCCCGGTGTTGGATTTCGATTTTCTGGTGCGAAATAACTCTTTCGCGCCCTTGCATGAACTCGTTTGTGGGTTCCATTTTCCACGCGAATATTTTGAATGAACTATGAATACCCCGGTTGTTGTTGGCGATTCGGGTTTTATGATCTTTTTTTTCTGTCTTGATGACGGATATAGATATACACGATTCAGTGGGAATATATCTGCTATTAACTTCATGTTTGCTTCTTTTGTAATCTTGAATATCACTGGTGTAAGCACTTCGTATAAGTAGGGGTCATGCTCATGGTTTCATCAGGCGCCTGTTAGGCATCACTGGGACGTACATATTCCGAGAACGCACCTTACCTGCACTATCGTAGGTAAATGATATGTCGATGCGGAGTAATTAATTTGACTTTTTGTGCTGGATTAAATGTTCGAATTGCTATGATCTATAGCTGTAGTAAAATTTGTGCATGTCGGCCATGCAGAAGTATATAGCTCCAGATGGGTGTAGATTGCAACGAACTACAATAGAAGACGGCACAATCGAATTATCTCGATTCATTCGATTGATCCTTCTACTTCTTCCCATCAGTCTCACTTAATTAGGTCGAGACATTGTTCATCTCTTATTCGCCTTGCCTTGACCTTGTCTTCACCTCTACCTATTCTCGGGGCGGCCAAACATTCTGCCGTCCATATTCGACCGTGACCCACCCCTCCCATCTCATCTTCCTTCGATCACCTACTCGATGCAATCTACCACTCTTTCTCATCCACACTCGCCACATTCAATGTCCTACCAAAACCCTCCGCCCCTCAGCCCCGGCGGCGGGGCTGGTGGTGTACCCTCGAAACGCGATAAGCGACGCACTGCGCTCCAGGAACGGCTCCAGGAACTGACGGGTCAGTTCAGCAATAACCGGGATATCCAGTTTCGTCAGCAGTTGCACGCACTCCAGTGCGATATGACCCCTGATCAACAATGCTGATCCATACGTGACTGGACCGCTCCCGGACTCCGCGGAGAGCATTGCTTCACTGATTGAGGACACTGTTGGAGGCGGCAGCAAGTTTGCAAAAGAGATGGCTGGCCTTGCTGGATCATGGTATTCCAGATTTGTGCAGCAGATTAATGAGATTAAGGAAAAGAGAGATGCAGAATTGGTCACGACGATGGTGAGCTCCCTGATTTTCTGTAAGAAGCTTTGGCTAATCAGTGACTTTTTTTCCTTTACAGAACAACTACAACAACGTTATGGAAAGACAACAGCGAGACCGTGATTTCCGCACTTACTTCGCACAAGAAGAATTCCGCCATTTGTCTTCCACCCTTCGCGAGCGATTGATGCAGAATATCTCGGGCAAGCGCGCCCGTCTGATGCGTGAAAAGGAGCAGCTCGACATCGCCGACACCAATGCTCTGCTCCTCCACCCCAACCAGTTCAGCATCACAAATCCTGCCAGTCCCGGTGGCATTCACAGCAATCGCAAGACTCGGCACACGCGTCACCGCGTTGACCTCGATGAGTTGGGCAATGGGATTATCACAGATTTGAACAAGCGCAAGCGCAAGGCTCCGGAGGACGACACTGGGTCGCCTGCACGGGACACGGGCGATGCTACTCCCGCGAAGCGCAACAAGACCGAGGTCACAAAGGAGCAGGTGGCACCTGCCTACTCGATCCACTCCCTCTTCACCGACAAGGAACTCAACGCACACGCAAACCAGGCACACTTGGCTACCGTTCACTTCTTCTCTACCTCCAGGCGTCCAGACCACGGATCCGGCGCTGTGACAAATGGTAACAATACCGATGCTGAGGATACCCCCGAGGGTACAGGCCATGAAGACAACGGCACCCCGAGCGCAGCCGACATGATGCGCACCGCCAGCCACAACTTCCACGCTACCCGATCCACCCGCACCACCGCCGCGCACAGTGCCTTGAGTGCCCTAGCTGACCTGGCTGATAAACCCGCCACACGCCCGATCCTCCCATACCACGTCCTTTCCAACCACCACGCACGACCAAACGGCAACGCGCCCCCTTTGACATCCCTGATGAATGAGGAAGTTGATGACGACTGCGCTCGTATCAGCCGTCTCGCCGGCAAACCACCTAATTGGATCGACGCGTCTCTTGTCGAACTCGTGGCTGCACCTCTTCCTACTCCCCCAGAGCCGCTCGATGGCCACCCAGCCGATCCCGCAGTCTTCAGTCAACTGCACCCGGATTTCCCCCGCAATGGGTGTTGACTGGACCCCTACCGTCCACCACCCCGGCTTCGAGATGTTCCAGCCTGCAGCGATGGAGCGCGAGCGCAGTCGAAAGCGGACCCGCAATCACTGAGTATGCACATGAAGTTTCGTATGTACGTTTAGATGGGATGGGAGTTTGCCGCAGGTCGCGGTCATGGATTACCCTATGTCAATTGATCATATTAGCTATGTTGTGAGGGATGGACCTCGGAGGTGTTTGGGATTTTGAATTTACTTTTACTTCTACTTTTTCTGTCTATTGTCTTCTTTTCAAACACATGTTCACCCCGACATGTTAGGCGTTGTGCCAACTTTGAACACAAATAGTACCTCGTTTCGGAGGTTCATGCTTGCCCCTAATTCGGGTAGTACAATTCATATGAATACGTTGTCATCTAGCCTTTTTTAATATCAGTAGCTTTTGTAATCTCAATTTGGGCCATCTCTCTCTATATATATTCTAGCGAGTCACCGTGCCGGAATGTCTCGACACCTGCTCAGCACCACACAAGATTAACATCACAGGTCAAGGCCATTCGAGGGAAGTAAATGTGCCGATTAGGACTACTATTTCCCTCGCAGATGCTGAATATCTTGACGACGGGCTCAGAAAATCCCTTCAGGGCCATAATTCCCACTAATCTCCTGGTTAACGGAGTCTACAGTTCTATCTCATCCAACCACCTAGAAAGCTTCGAGACCCAAACTGACCATTGAAAAGGAAAGACGCAGATCTGAACTATTAGTTTCAGGCTTGATTTTGTTCTGGCCTTCTGGGTGATGCTTTTGGGTGTAAATGTTGATGTAGTTATGGATATTAACTTAGGGCTAGCATATCATCATCATGACAAAAACGGAACTCATGACCGACTATTCTATTAGCTGACTGCTAATAGATCTCCAAAATCACAACAAAGACCAACGTCCAAAGCATCAAACAATCTCTCCATCCTCATGCTCCGGCGCGTCCTCGCCATCCACCCTCCCATCTCCAAACTCCCAATGACAACATCAACGCGACCAAAAGCCGAGTCCCCCAAACCTCTCTTCAGCGGTAACATCCCAGCCCTCCAAGCCTATACCGAGGACATCTCAACCCCAACAACACACAGCCGCATCCTCCCAGCCATAAAACACGACCACTGCGAACTTGAATCCCACAGCCACAAAATCCTTTCGTCGACAAACCCAGACCAACAAACCCGCTTCCAAAACCAGTTCGTCTGGGAACTTGCTCGTCACTTAATCGGCGAGGAACTAGTTGTCTACCCAGCCATGATCACCTCTCTTCCAGATGGAAAGGGAGTAGTAGATAAGAACAGACTCGAGCATCGTGGTGTTAAGCACCAGTTGAAAACCTTCCAGGAGCTATCGTCTACAGATCCGAGGTTCGTGCCGACTTTGAAAGGGCTCATGCGTGACTTTGGGATTCATGCCAGACATGAGGAGGATGTGGATTTGGTCAGGCTTGAGGAGTTGCTCTCTAAAGATGATAGCGTTGAGTTAACTAAGTCCCTGGATCGGGTTAAGATGTTTGTGCCATCTAGAGCGCATCCGCTTGCCCCTACAGAGCCATTCTTTGAGACTGCCGTTGGGCTTTTGACGGCGCCGATTGATATGTTGGCGGATTTGTTTCGGAAATGGCCTGATGGGAGGGACAAGGAGAAGAAGTAGATTATAGGTGATTTATGATATCAAGTTAGACATGACAATGTTCAATTCGTAACACCCAAGCTCCCTGATACATGATGTGTGCTAAGTCCATTCAACTGCTAATTAGAACCCTCTAAGCTGATTACAAATTGTCCTCTAATCTTTTCAACACCTCGAAGCCACTCGCGTCACGGTGTCATGCCTCGACTGCCACAACTGTCGATCCCATCGCGCCCAACCGATACCCTGAAGAGCTAGAAGAGACGGAGCGCTGTAAGCGCCGTAGCTTGCCCAATCGAGGCACAGTCTCGATCGGAGGCTGCTGCATCTCATCGTCGCCAGAGGAAGATCGTCGTCGCTTCCACGCCTTACGGAACTGGTGCTGCTCCTCGTCCTGCTGTCTGTGTCGCATAGACAGGAAACTGGAATGGGCTTCCTTTTCCTCGCTAAGAGCCTGGACCTGAATCGACAAATTAGACCATGATTCATTTGCATATTGGAATCAAATTTAGAAATGTGATAAACCTCAACTTGCATGATACAATACAATAGTAAAATACAACAATGCAAAGAAAAGAAGAAAGAAAAACATTCGCCACTTACATAGGTTAACCAAACCTCCTGCTCAGAACTCCACGCCCTTTGACACCTCCCTAGCTGTCTCTGCGCACGCACAAGCTCCCTCTCCTGCTCGTCCGTCCACCGATCCCGACTGCGGATAATACTCGCCCAACTCACAGCACGATCAAGCTGTGCCCGAGTCGGACGCGCCTGGCCAGAAGAGCTTGCTCGGCTCTCGGATCCCGCATCCGGGGTGGTCGGGATTTTTTCCGATGTTGACTTGGTTGGTTTGTAGAGGGCGTCGGTGCTCACCGCTACCTGCACGGGTCCGTGGACGTCATGGTGCATGATTGTTTCATAGTTCTGGGCGTGGGGGATGGAATTTGACAGGATGGGATTCTTTTCATTGAGGATTTCCACGGGGGATTTGCCTTTGAGACTTGTTCGTCGTTTCCAGGGGAGGGATAGGGGTGGAAGGGCCCGGTGGACGATTGTGAATACCGACATGGTTGGGATCGTCACTTAAACTATATGTATGGAAATGGAATAGAAGAGATGATAGAAGACAGGGTTGGTTACTTGGTATCTTGGTTCGTGGCTGGGAATGATCTTATATCGTTACTTACCACGGCCCTTATAAATAAATGCTTTTGCCTCCCAAGTCGTACTTCACGATCCAGACCGATACCCAAGAGACGATAATGCGTGCAGGGACACCTAGCAGGCACTTCGCAGGCACCTCGCACGGAGGTGGGGAATGCGAGGCTCTCCGGCTTCTGCTTGGCTGGCCATGCGAGAAGTATATGATCATGCAGGAGGTGCGGGTTGGCCTGGTTGGTCTAGATGGGGGGAGGGCTGCAGGTTTGGTCTGGACTTCAATGTAGATTGTGTTTGCTTTGGGCTCGGGTTGACAGTTTGAGGCCTTGGTTGCACAGTTCCATTAGGAGACTAAGACTTGGAATGGACGCTGACGTTGACGTTGACGTTGACCCTGACATTGACATTGACATGGCTGGTCTAATGAGCTGGACTGAATTGGTTCAGGATCCAACTGCAATCCATCCCGGATCCGTCAAATAGTCGGGGAAATAAGGAATCCTGATGCAGGAGGCCTCCATACTTGGCTAGGTACATGTTCTAGATGCAATATATACATGGTGTTCGCAGTTTAAGTCAAGGATCCCCTTCCGGGATTTGGTACTTCGGTCACTTGTAAAACCTGGAAGTTATAGTAAACAGTACCTCATTTTCATGTCCGATGAGGCTATAGAGGCCTAAACTAATGACGGGCGTAACTCCCAAAAGAGCCCAAATGCTTCGCACAAGCCTAACCAATAACCGTGAGGGAATCATAACAAGAGCAACAGATTCAAAACAAACCCACGACGCCATGTGCTCAGCAGATATTCAAAAACGTAAACAAGATACAAAGAAGGCTAAAAATTAAAGAGACGTTCATCGCCATGTATCCACCGAAGTACCGCGGTTGGCCTTGGCCCTTCTTTCCTCTCGGATCTGCTCGCCAATGATGATGCTAATGAGTCTTCGGTGCAGATCAGCTTCTGTCCAATCGATCTGCCCGCTGCCACCATATTGGATATCAGCCCGAACAAGTTCCTGGGCAAAGCGATCGATGATGGCAAACTGGATCTCTGTGATGGGCACCCCGTGATGACCATCGGAGGTCCATATCCAATCACCGATGATAACAGCCCGCCCTGGAGAATCGTAATATTCAAAGCGCTCGGGATGTCGCTTGGCAACTCGGTAGATACGACGAAGCGCAGCATAATGCTCGTCGGAGAAGTATCCGAAGAGAGCAAGTGGTCGAGGCCCTGGTGACGCCTCATGTTGGTCCATTGGGTCTGCATCTTCCTTCTCCAAGGGATCTTGCGAGACACTCCGCTCGGAATTCGCCACCTCCTCTTCTTCTATGAGGTCTCGAGAAACACTTCTCTCGTGAATCAGGCCCTCCTCAGCTTCCATTGTAGGAATAGGATCTTGCTCTAACCGAGGCGATTGAGGTGGTGATGACTGTCTCCAATCGTTCGCGGGAATATGATCCTGCTGTATTTGAGGAGACTGGGACGGAGATGGCTGTCTCCAATGGCTTGCGGGTGATTGGCTCACTTGTTTTGAGAGCGGCTCATCCTGGAGGTGTCCGTCAAGCTCCTTCGCAGATTCAATGCTGGCTATTTCCTCTTCATCTTCGAAGTCAGATACTTCCTCCGGAATAGTACTAACACTTGAACTTCGGTCACGGGTGGGGGCTTTCAGCCATTGCGGCGTGAAACTGGTTATTTTACTGAACCAGGATGACCCTGGCCCCTCCCTATTGAGGTGACGAGGCTGTGGGGTGGAGGCAGAGCCCCCGTTGGCAGATTCCGATTGACTGAAAGCGGCATTGGAAACGGCGCTGTCGCCATAGTCTTCTTTTAAAGCTTCTTGAATAGGCAGGCTTCTTTGTACCATTTTGGGAGATTTATTTCCACCGAGGGACGCAATTTGTGGACTGGGGGCCCGTGGATTGGGGACATCTGGGCTGGACTGGGAGAGAGGCTGCAAACGAATACGAGCTGGAGTGCGCGATATCAAGTCCTTCATGACAGATTTATTCATTGGTGAGTGTTGTGTCCCTGATGGGCGGGTGAGTACACTCCGAGGCGTACTCGTTCCATTATAATACCGCGCGCGGTTTGGTGTATCTTCTTCTGCAAGCAAAGCAGACAAATCAACCTTTTGTTCACGGAGTTCACGAACTTTGGATGGCCCAAAGCGCGCTATATAATCATGCTCTGAAGTAGCGTAAGGAGATGAGCTTAGGTAGTCTTGGCCAACCGAACTTGGAGCAAGATTGCCTGAAGAATGTGCAAGCGGCTGCATGTCTGACTGAACACCCTCCTCCGCAGAGTGTTGTGAGACATGACTGTGATCGTTAGCTTCGAGTTGCCAGATGTCATCATAGCCATCGTCCTCGTCTTCCTCAGGCTCGGGCTCGGGTTCAACGTCTTGGGGCGCATACGCCGGTGGGGCTAGTTCTGGGCCAGGTGCAGAATCATTCGGCTCTTCATAAAAACCGTTTCTTGTCTCAGATACAGATCGTTGTTCATACTCAAGTCCGATGTCCCCCTCATCCTCCGGCACATTCTCATCGCTATCAATATAAACGACCGACCGTGAGTTTGCAGCCATCTGAGCCTGGCGGCTGACAGTCTCTCGTTCAAGCTGCCACTTTGCCTCCCGCTGTACCTTTTGGTGGGACATCGGACTTTGCTGCATGGTGTTGTTGAGCTTGGAATGGGACTGTTGGGTGTATTCTTCTTGCTTTTTGATCTCGTATTCGAAGGGCTGATCATGATATTGCTCTTCAGCTTCTTCGTCGTTGAAGTCGTTGTAGTGACGTTCTTCCTGTTCTTCCTGCTCCTTCTGGAGACGTTCCTCCTCGAGACGAGATGCTGCATGGTCTGCTGCTACAGCTGCAGCCTTGTTTTCGTCAGCGAGCATTCTACGCATAGCTAGCTCTTGCCCTAGACCCATAGCAGCTCGGAGTTTTCTCTGCGTTTCGGCGTTGAATGTGCTGAAAACACCCTCCAACCGACGTCTTTTGTGACGAGCATTACTCTTGCCTGACCACTCGTCTTCTTGGGGCCGGAAAGGACCTTGCAGGGCCAAGCTTAGGCGAACAAGTTTGGCTAAACTCGTGAATGTCTTTTTCTTTGGAGCAGTTGTCGGTTTAGTGGGAGATGACGCAGCAGGGAGTTCTGGGTAGACGATCCCATTGACGGAGTTAACAGACTGGTCCTCAGTCGCATGTACAGGGTTCTTTTCCAAAGCATGGGTACCGAGATTATCGTATAACCCGGCATCTAGACCCGTAGCGCCTGGACTTGATAACTTTTGAGCACGTGAATCACCGCGGAGGTCTTCGATCGTCCCAGGAAGTTTGCGTCTTAACCTGTCTCCGACTTCCTTTGGTTTGGGACCACCATTCGTCACAGTGCCAGAACCGAATCCATGCTGCTTGGCTGATGGGAGTGTGTCGAGGGAAATCATGGTGAATCCTTCACTTTCCATGATGGTGTCAAATTCGTCGTACTCCTCTGCAGGATCTTCAACGGGATCAGTTCCGGCATGATGGGTGTCAGTTCTTAGGGGGTGATCCACGTCGACTTGTCGGGTTTGATTCTCTTCATCTGCCAGCGAGGACGTGGGGGTAGGAGTCGGATATGTACGAGATTGGGGGCTAGACGTAATATGAGAAGCTCTCGATGACAATGTTGCTCTCTCACGTGTAGGTGATGGCATTTTAGACGGCGTAGAGTGTATATTTTCATCATCCAAGAAGTGATGCTCAGTAGCTCCGATAACAGGCGTCTCCAGACTCGTTCGACCGTACTCACGGCGAATATTGCCGAGGTCTTCCGTGACAGGCTCTGTTGGGTCGGGAAGCTCTGCAATTGACATATCCGAGTTCCCCCAAGAGTCGTCTTCCGAGTCTGCATCCCCTACGAGATTTAAGGGACTAGCGTGCGCATTACTCCCAGCGAAAGAATCTGTCGGACTGAATTGTTCTTGGCCTAGGCCAGCGTCGCTAGTGAGGGGATCCGTGGGGCTAAGTTGTCGGTGGGCCATGCTAGCTTCACTAGCTATAGTGTCCATCGGGCTGTATTCATATTGAACTAGATCAGCTTCATTGGTCATGGTGTCCATTGGGCTAAATTGTCGAATTTGGCGGGCATCACTATTGGGAATGATATCCATGGGACTAAAGGTGTGGTCGTAGTTTGCCGTCGGTGTTGGTTGGTCATCCAGCAGTTGGAAATCTTGTGGTTTCGGTTTGGGCGTGCTCCGTGGTCTGCCTCTTTTCCACGGTTGGGAGTCACCGACTCGTAGCCCAGGAGTATTTCCCGGCCCAGGGGTATTTCCCGGTCCAGGAGTATGTCCAGCACCCCCGGGAAACGGGGACAAAGCCATGTCTGACTTTCGGGGACGCCCTCGCCGCCTTTGGGGTGTCTTCTCCTTCAACGGGCTCCTCTCATCCTTTAATGGTATCATTGTTGTCATGGTCGAGGGTTTAAATCGTTTGCGCGACGGGCTAGCTTGGTTCTCGTTCTCTTCGTCTTGTGTCGCTTCGAGCGTGAGTCGGATCCGCCACGGGCTAACATTTCCATCCTGAAGCTTCTCCGGAGAGAGCGACCTCTGTCGACCACCATTGAGCTTCATTGTCGGTGACCCAGGGAGTATCACATCGTTGAATTGAATCGAATGCGCGCTTTTTGCGGGACTGAGGCTGACGCGCGGTCGCGGTCGCTTGGCTGGAGTTCGTGATTTCACTATCATAGGAGACATCCAGCTTTGGCGTCCTGTAAATGGTTTTATTGGTGATGAGATCAAGTACTGGGCATCGCCTGGAGGACCTAGGATATCGGGGGAGGAGCTCTGGCTGCGCGACGAGGCCGACATAGCGGACTCATGCGATGTAAGTTCGGGAGGCACGCGTGCCGCCAAAGGGGTGGAAGAGCGCCAAGGAATGCGATTGCAATGCAAAAGCTGCGGTGTTGTAACTATTCACAGACTTTATGATACAGAAATAAGAGAGAAAACGCGGGGCAGCCATAAACAAGTCTCCCGATTCGGTACGAAAGAGACCTCGAGGTGGTTAGGTAAGCAACCCCAAACAAACAGTCGATTGTCGGACTTCTCTTTCTTCCCCCTTTGTATCTTGAAACACACGTGGAGATGTGACAATACTTCCTCGGCTTGCCATCGCCCTACCGTGGGCTCAAGTCTTTACAATTCTTCATCGACGTCGTCCTCACTTGGAGCGTGTTTCAATATCACACCGCAAGCTTCAACGACCAAGTGCATGCACTCCACCAATTCTTGGTTATCCCTAATAGCCTTATTCTTCGGATATCTCAGCAGGCCATCCGCCGCACCTATTGACTCATGAGGCCCGGCAAGATCATCATCTCTGTATCTATATCATCCAATAGCTGGCGAGGACAAGTGTAACGCGTATGTCATATTCGCATGACAAAAGCAAAAGTATTGATGTTTATTGAATCAAGTAAAATACCGTGTACGCGTATACATCGATTTTAATTAGTCCATACCGCGCGCACGATCTGCCTTATCGCACTGTCAAACTTCTCGGGCGAAGGAATATTTTGCATCTTGCTCGGACACCTTTGGGTGATACTGAGGAGTGCCTCTGCAGAATAGCAATGTGCTTGAACAGCGCCTCACGTACGTGTTGGCTATACATGTTGACTGATGAGGTACTGAGATGGCTGACCACAAAGCTGTGGCTGTTGTCGTCATGATCGCGCTTAGAGTTGTGAGACTTCATTTTTCACTGGTGATGTTGGAGACTTGAACGAAGAGCCCAAAGTAACATGACTCTATAGTAGCCTTGTCGACATCAAATGGATTGTAGTTTCAATCCGGGATTGAGTGCATATCTTCTCCCACAGTGAAGGATCTGAAATGCGAGGTTATCAAAAGGACTTTGATGAGACCGTGTGGCAATCCACGGTTTCAGGTCCTTCAGGCCTTGCACTTTGGGGTTCAACACTAAACTTGAGTTTAGTCTGGACTATTTTGTTGGTATACAAGCGACTAGTGAGGACAAAATCATTACGGCGAGCGTGTCAAGTCCATTGAAGTACCAAGTGCGGAAAGACGATGTATTAGCAGTCAACAAATCATCTCTTGTCAAAAGCTGGTCACCTCTTCTTTGAGGCCTTCATAGCTATAAGAGAAGTGAACTTTTATCCCTTGCCTTGTCCCTGGATAAAATTCCAGGGGTACGGAGGATGTCTTGCAACAGTCATACTCGCTGTTGATCACTTTGAGAAAAGAGAGATTTGCAGCACCCTAGCCTGATATAACATGTTCTCGTAATATAAGAGGCTGAAGACCTGACCCTATCGAGCAATCCACAAGTGAGTAGAGGACTCTGTACAGTCACGGGTTACGACGAAATATCTCATTTAGAAACAATATTTTATGTAACTGCCAAATGATACTGTCAATAACTAAGTTGCGAAAATAAAAGAGCGTTACCTATTGTAGAAAAAGCAAAGAACAATAATTAGAGTAATGGAACATGACGGGACAAACTCCAACCCTTGCATTGGGTGACGAGGCAGATAAGATCAACAGTAAACGCAGCTGGACAAAGAATGCTCCAAATTATAAGGGGTTGCAACAGTATCATAGGTAGTGATTACACGTCAGGGTCATGAATAGAATGTAAGGCAAGACTTGTCCTCTATTTCTTATGACCAAACACCACGCCCTCCATCATTAGAGAAGATGACCTGGACTGATACCGGCCTAAAGTCATGTCAGCCACAAATCAGCCTAACCCAAAACTTGATACCAAGGGGGATAGAGATATTTGCACGCCAAATGATGTTGAACACGTGAAAGCGCAGGAAGGCGATCTACAAGAAGGCTCAACCGAAAAGCACGAGCCGTTGTACTGCATCTTATCCGAGACGGAGAAAATTCTTACAATATGTACATGCGCGTTGGTGACCTTCCTGAGTCCCATAGCAGTTAGTATATATTTACCCGCCTTGGGGTCAATGGCGAGAGACATACATGTGTCAACTACCAAAATCAACCTGACGATAACTGCCTACAAGGTCAATTCCCTGTCCACGAGATATTGTACAGTAGCTCACATCAGCAGATCTTCCAAGCTGTGTCTCCTCTGTTGACTGCCAGTTTCTCCGATCTTAATGGTCGTCGACCGGTCATTATAGCTTCTTTGCTCTTTTTCTTTGGGAGTAGCATCGCACTTGCCCTTCAAACCGACTTTGCGGCTCTACTAGTTTTGCGCTGTGTCCAAGGATTTGCTAGCGCCAGCAGTATGGTGGTTTCCGGTGCTTCTATGATTGATCTCGTTACCCGAGGAGAGCGAGGGAAATACATGCTATACTCTTCGCTGGGAACCACTATTGGACCAGCAATTGGGCCAACGCTGGGTGGTATCCTCACACAGTACCTAGGATGGAGAAGTATTTTCTGGTTTCTTGCCATCACCGCAGGGGTGATCATCATCACTATGCTTTTATTCTTGCGTGAGACCTGCCGCGCAATAGTAGGAAACGGTAGTCTTGCTCCTCAGTCATGGAACAAATGCGCACTTCAATTACTCCGGCCGATTACGTATACGCCAGACCACGAAACACGGGTTACATTCAGACGACGCCCAGGGAATGTGCGAACTCTCAAAATGCTCCTGGATCGACATTTGGCTCTCCTTGTCCTCTGCAATTCCACAAGCACTTGCGCATCGTCCGCCATTGTGAATAGTCTGACGACCCTGTTGGCGAAGAACTATAAGCTCACTCCGCTGTATATCGGGTTGTGCTATCTGCCTTTCACATTTGGAGGACTGAGCACCCGCTGGACTGCAGGATTATTAGCCGATCGATTGTTCAGGCGTCAGGCGCGCTCAGTGGGGATAGACGTTCAACCGAACCGGCAGTCTCCAAAGCAACTGCGACGCATACCACTCGAAAGGGCACGCCTAGGTCTTACCTTGCCATTCATTTATCTTTATTGCCTCTGCGTAGTTGCGTACGGCTGGGTGATGGATTACAATGTCCACCTAGCGGGTCCTCTGGTCATCTTGTTTCTTTGCGGGAACGCGAGCGGAGGCGTGAGCAATACCATCAACATGCTCGCTGTGGATTTGAATGCCGATAGGCCTGCTTCAACCCGTGCTGCCATGACTTTAGTGGATCGATTGGTTTCAGCTGGCGCTGTTGCGGCTGTGGCACCTTTGATTGACCTTATTGGCATTGGCTGGGTTGGAGTTGCCCTGGCGGCCCTGATGATAATTGCTACACCAGCCCTATGGACTCTGTATTTTCAGGGGCAAAGTTGGAGAGAGGCGCAGGAATTTGAAGAAGACTGAGGCTGTTTGGCAGTAGAATTGGAGAGTGGTGGCACGTAACATTACAGCTCAATGCGTGCTAATTACAATCACATGCGGGTGACTCAGATAGAAATATCAGAAACGTATGGAAAAGCACGCTTAGTAGATCAGTTCGACCTGGCTCCATCGTATCTAGAATGAAAGTGCTTATATCCAACCAATTCTCATACCATCCCGGCCCAGTCCCATGCTTTTCGGCGGCCACTGGTGGCTTTTGCTTTTGCATCGCAAAAATCCACCTCCCTGGGGAGTTCTCCCTCTATGGAAGTCTGGAAATGACTCTCCACAATCTCTTTCCGCATCACCTTTCCAGAGGCTGATTGCAGGATCCGTTCGCCGTTTCGCAAAATGCGAAGGAGTGTCGGAAGCTTATACTTCTGAAGCTTGTCTTGAAGGTCACCTCGAATGTTGAGAAGACTTGGTGGGACCTTCACATTCGTCAAGCGAACCAGGGCGGCAATTTGCTGGATGCAGTTGAATTCTACTGGGACGACATATGCTTCTGAAATATATGGAAGCTCGGCCAAGCGTGCCTCTACTTCTTGAAGTGGGACCCACAGCCCGTAACACCGTATGACTGGTACAATTTATGTTAGGTGCGTCATGAACTGCGGATTTCAAGGGAATATCTTACCATCAGTTGCCGATCGACCTTCAAGAACATATTGGTCCCCGACTCGACGCCCGACATCGCCAGTTCTGTAGTATCCCTCTCCGTCAAAGGCAGCCCGTGTTGCAACTTCGTTACCAAGATAACTGGGCATTTCGGAATATCAGTTTTGAATTCTGGTCAAAGAACCTGCGTATCACGCACCTTGTAAACATCATCGGGCTTTTGATTAGGATATCTCCATGATCCCCCTCAGACAACCTCACCTGTACACCCTCGCGTGGCTTTCCAATGCACCGCTACAAATGATCAGTCAGTGAAAAGCCGACATTAAAGAGCGACTGACTCACCTCTATAATTGAACCTTGATCCTCCGTAGTCGAGATAACAGCACCCATCTCCGTTGAGCCGTATATATTGATGAGATGACGGCCAAGCAAATCCCGGCAGAGCTCCATGGTCTTGGGCTCAAGGAAATCACCTGTGATAACGGGCTTCTGTAATGACCGAGCTCCCTTCAAGAATTCATTTCGCTTATTGGCTGGCAACACTTCTATTTGCTCGTTGAAGTATCGTATGAAATTTCTCCATGACGATGGTACCATGTTCAAATGAGTCACATCTCCAGTCCTCAATCTTTCCCATATTTGGCACATCTCATCGCCTATAATCTCAGTCCGGACTCCATTTACGGCTCGCCATAGAAGAGGCATGGCAGTTGCACCGCGAACCGCTGGCCGGAAGCACAATGCGATCCCACCACTCGGGAAAGATTCTGGGAGAGTGTACCAAATACTTCGGGGGCGGACAATCCCCTTCGGTGGCCCAGTCGTGCCAGATGTAAATACGAGTACACCAGGACTCTGTGGATCAATTGACTTGTTTTTGTCGATCTTGACATGGGCCCTCGGCGTAGGTAGCTCATTGTACGAGGCAATAGGTATGGTGATCAATGGGCGACTTCCATTTTCCTTCGAAGCAGCGTGCTGTTGGATTGTCGACGCTTGCTCTTCGAATTCCGGGGCGAAGAGGATGCAAGATGCATTCGTGAGTTCTAAAATGTAGATGGCCTCTTCTGGGCTCAGGTTGCTCGCTGTGTCGCAAGTGTCAGTAACGGTCTAGTGTCTGGGAATTTTGAAGCTACTCTTACATATTGGCGAAAAGGCTGCACCACAGCAGAGAACACCAAAGGCTGCCACTACAAACTCGTAGTTTCCGGGCGCCAGAACCAGAATAAATGGTCTTTGCGGAATGATTATGTTGCGAGAGTCAAACATCGACACCGGCAGCGTTTGGACGATGCGACGACGCATGCAGAGGATATCCGTCAGCAACTGCAGACAGCTTGCCTCGGTGCCTTTGATCCAATCATAAAACAAAAGGAAGCGAGGATTGGCCCGAAAAGCATCCAGAATATGATGAAACAGAGGTTCATCGGGCAGACTCTCGACGACGATGGTCATTGTGAGGATTATGTCAAATTGATTTGACCACAATCCCGGCCACAAAAATCAGTAGGATGAATTTATAGAGTCTTACCAACGTGAACTCTGACAATCTGTATTGTAAATAAACTTGTCACCGCCAATATCTTCCTTACATATTAAACCAAAGTCTGGAAGATCTCAAAGCCATGTAGAAGAGCTGCAAGGTAGTACACACAAGTGTAAATTCTATCATACATGCAAGCCGTCAGCCTACGGCGATCTATGTGATGTGCATTTAACATAGTTCATACCTGACGTTCAGGGATCTGCGGGAATATATTGTCGGTGCTTTTCATTGTATCAATACCCACTCCTTTAAACGAGTCTGTTGTTAGATTAATGTAACGTATATGCCCCATACTTACTCTTTGGTGTTGGCTAATCATTCTACCCGTCTAAATCCTAAGTTTGGCCAAGATTTGATCAATATAAATTGTAGGAATGTTAGATTTAAAATCCATTCGCAACTTAAGATTGAATTCGGAAGTTCAGTCATCGTGTCAGGAAATCTATTGAGCTAATGCAGAGTTGAACATGAAGCATTCATGTTTGGTTGCTAATGAGATATTAGACATGTAGGACTGGGCCCGCTCGCCTTTGCCTGAACTCTTCAAGCTTAGACTCCATCAAAGACATGATTTTGGGGATAGCATCTCGATTATCCTCCGCAGGAACCCCCAAGGTTTCTTCCACATACGCCTCAAAGCTCTTGCTGTTAACAACAGGCCCTGTAAAAACCGTGATGCTAATTCCCCACTGGTCCATGAGTTGCTTGGCCCCCCCATGCAGCAACAGGATCACTCGCCGAAACAATAACGGCAGCAATGTGCTTTTTGAACTCGGGCGAGCATAGAACACTTTCTGCATTGTAAGGCCCAAGGAAGCTTGCACCAAACTCCACCACAATAACGTCTGGTTGAATCTGGTTCAAGTGATGCAATGTCCCCAATGCAACTTCAACAATTTCCGATACATCCTCGCCACAGGTACTTGGCAAGCCCGCATCCATGAAACCGGAAACAAGATCCGCGTCAGTCGTCGAGAGCTTTCTCAATTCTTCGAGGTACGCCATTCCAGTCAGCTTTGCACATGCAACCTTCAGGCCTTTTAATTTGAAGTGCTGAATGACTTTTGCCGAAGTAGAAGTCTTGCCAGTGTTCGTGGCCGTGCCCGCCACACAAATTACAGGTGCGATTGTATCCAATTGTTGCACTCGGCGGATAAACTGTGCTTGCTTGATGTTGAGGTACTTGCCGGCAACTTGGGCACTGCCTAAGACGCGCACTGCCAGTTGCTTGCCCCACGCCTTGTCGGAGCCTCTAATCTCTCCGACTACGCCGCTCGCACTGCTCCAGTACAGGATGTCCCCCACTGCCAGTGCTTTTGGGATGTCGCAACTAAACCCATTGAACATTCGGCGTTTACCGAGGACCGCTGGGATGATATCATCCTCTGCCAGATCATCACTTTCTCCGGTGGTGCATTCCATATAGGTTCGTTTCCCCTCTGTGGACAGCACTTGGACTAGAATCACAGCCCCTTCCGCAACCGACGGAATTTTGGGAATGATTTGGACAACATCAGGAAGGTTGCTTCGCCGGAAAAGCGATGGGATTTTGGAGAGGCGAAAATCACCCACTGTCCCACTTATCGTTCTATAATAGGAGATTGAGAGATGTCAGTAGGTAATCTGTGAGCTATTGCCATATGATGCTCGCAAGCCCTATTCGACTAACCTGGTCATCTTGTTTAGAGTCGTTTAGTGTAGTTGAGTGACGTTATTTCGAGATGGGAAATATCGCAAGTCACCTAGGCACTGCCCTAAGAGAAGATACGTTAGTAAGTACATTGTTCGTTTCCCTGTCCATTTTCAGAATGACGTTTTTTTCCATTTTGACGCTGATCGTCGCAGGACGCGTCAAGAGTGATCAAGGGGATTTGAGTTTGAGTTCGTGTACAGTACACCCCTGCATTCTGAAACTATACAGCTGCTGAGTCCGTCCACATCTTGCCTGTCGATCAGGAAAACTCTACAATCAATACAGTTTTCATTGACCTCGAAACAAGCGGTGTATTATCCTATGACCCTGGAATCCCTTTAGGGCTACCTCGTCCCATTTTGATTGATTTATCAAATTGCTCGATAACCATGAAGCAAAGCAACAGTTGCGGCAGCCACCAAAGGTCTATTCTAGCAACATGGATGAGATCTGGGACTTCTAAGGGTCTTTACGTGCTCAGAGATCAACTTCCAAAGTGTCCGAGTGCCTGGGAGCCAATCCTCTTGTCTCTGATGGGCACCGGCAGCCAAACCAATGGTATCGGGGGAGGTACACCAACCACTTCCAAAGTGGCGGTGGTCTCCCGTTCAACGGTTCCAGGGTATGATGTCGATTATACATTCGCCCAGGCGGACTTTGCTGGTGCAAGACTAGACATGTCTGGGACTTGTGGGAATATAGCTGCCGGGGTTGGCCAATTCGCTCTGGATCAAAATCTGGTGGAGGTTCCAAGTGAGGAAGAATGGGTGAGTCTCTCAAAACAAGGAGCAAGCACAACACCTGCTAAGTGACTGAACAGGCCGATATCAGAGTTCTTGTCACTAATACTGGTCAAGCATTGTTGGTGAGCATTCCACTAGGAAACACGAAATGTGATATCAGAATCACATTTTTGGACCCAAATGGCAATATGACCGGAAAACTCTTTCCCAGTGGAGCCAGAAAAGACTATCTTGCCTTTCAGTGCCCCAGCACCGGAACTAAGGTTGCCGTTCGAGCCACCTTAATTGATTGCACAAATCCATTCATCTTGGTGGATTCTGCTTCCATGCCCACACTTTACGCCCTGGAAGGGCCAAAGGCTACACAGTCCGAAGCCCTTATCGAAGCAATCCGCCGTGCAGGTGCAGTTCGGATGGGGCTTGCTAAGGATGTAACAGAAGCTGGGAAACAACGGGGGACTCCGAAAATTGCCGTGATCGCCAACCCGAGCACTTCGAGCCAATCAGTGGATGTTGATGTGACGGCATTCACCGCGGGAGTCTTACATCCTACTTTCCAGGTCACTGGAGCTATTTGCCTGTCAGCCGCTCTAAGCATACCTGGTACAGTAGCATCGGACTTATTACCATCGTCGATTCTCTGCCGGGAAACATTTCATAGCAAGCTTCAATGGCCGCGCATTTGGCGCATCGCGCATCGTGCAGGACAGGTTGATGTTGAGGTCAGCGTGTCGCAAGACACAAAAGGAGAATACTTCGTTGAAAGAGGAAGTATAATGCGAACAGCCCGGAAATTGTTTGAGGGGCGGGCCTTCTACACATTGTGATAAAGGGTCTTATGTCTGAACATTCTTCTTCGTCGGATAGCTTCAACATAAGATGTTTTATCCATAAATACAAAAGGTCCTGGTCGCTAGTCAAGTCCTATAGTAATTCCGTATTATCTACTCTATATACGTACATAACGTATAATCAATAGGACTATTTGACCCAGGGTTTGTCCTAACGTAGTTTATTTAGCTTCCGAGGCGGAAAGATATTGGAGTATCCACTTCCGTCCTTGGCATCGCTTGGCATCGCTTAGTAATTCAATGCGGACACTCGGGCATTTGGATAATACCCGTTGACGAAGCAAGGCAGGGCAATGGTCTTGTCATTCAAAATTATTGTACCTAGAGCTTGCAACTCCTTCGCCCGGTACGGTATGTATGCAATTATTCTGATCTCTTCAAGCGAGGCTATTCAGGTAGCCCAACAAAAGCTAGCCTTACCCTGGAAGAGGCGGTGAATAGTAGATCACTGAGTCTAATGCCGCTACAACTTTTCAGTCTCTATGTTGTATATCTCGACAAACTATGACCTGTAGTAGCCTTTCAAATTAGCTCACGAAAATACGAAGCGCATTTGTTCAATGATTATCGGTCTTCCCGGACTGCCAAATTCAATCTTGAAACTATGTGGATACTGCAAAGATCCTCCAGCGAATGACCGATAGACAGCACATACAGTACAGTAGGCCAGATCGAAACTTTTTTTTTTCTATCATGTGGGAAAACTATATGGGGAAAAATCGCCGATGATTAACAGCGGACCAGCAATTGTGCTGCACAATCGAATGTTTCAGCTATGAGATAGCCCTTTTGTTTGCGCCACAGTAAGATGATGATGAAAAGGGCCTTATCTGCAAGGAGGTGTCGAAGAGAAGGGATTTGGATAGCTTTCATATTCTTACAATGTACTATGAGGTATGCCCAGAGGTTCTGGTAAAGTTGAGTGTAGCGCATTGACCTAACAATGAAACCTACTGGCCGCATAGGGTCGTCAATTTGTACCTGTAATACGAAGTACATACGGTATAGACATCGATGTACATATTACCCCTGTGAGGGAAGCGGGTCTGTAAAATGTTCAGCTCCACGCGATATGTCTGGACGCCTTAGGTGCGCTGTAGGGTTGCTTTTGTTACTAAAAGGACATGCGAGGATTACCGTAATTAATTTCTCTACTGGCTACTGGCGAGCTATGTATTAAGAAATACAAACTAGCTTTCATTATGACCTACCGGAGTCTTTGACAGAACATCTGAGTCCAGCTCCTTTCTGTTTGTAAAAATCTCAAAACATTGGCCTACCGTATAACGAACCTCAAGACGCGTTATGGATGAATTTCGGCCGCTTCAGATCTCTAACCTCATTGGACTCAATGATCTCGATGTTAAGGAATACGAGGCCTTGTATAAGGAGCTCCATTCCCACCCAGAACTTTCCCATCAAGAGTTTACCACTGCCAAAACCATCGCCGAAAGATTGCGCACATTTCCTGATTTAGAGGTCTACGAGAATATCGGCGGCACTGGGGTTGCAGGAGTTCTGCGGAATGGCCCCGGAAAGACAGTCCTCCTGCGCTCCGAATTGGACGCCTTGCCCATTTTTGAGGAAACATATCTTCCATTTGCCAGCAAAAAGACTATGCGTGATGAGTCTGATGGTGTTGTAAAGCCCGTCATGCACGCCTGTGGACATGACATGCACATGGTCTGCCTACTAGCCGCACTTGATACTCTTGTGGCAATCAAACACATCTGGGCAGGCACACTAGTGATTGTGTTCCAGCCTGCTGAGGAACTCGGCGAAGGTGCACAGCGAATGATTGAAGGTGGGTTATATGACCTAGTGCCTATTCCCGATGTTTTGATGGCACAACATGTGGTGGCGAAACCAGTTGGGTGTATTGGAATGCGCCCTGGAGTGATGCTGGCGGGGTCGGACTCGCTCAAGTTGACGTTTCATGGCAGGGGTGGGCATGCGTCCATGCCTGACCGAGCGATTGATCCTGTTGTTATGGTTGCGAGCACGGTCATGCGACTTCAAACCATTGTGAGCAGGCAGATCAGCCCGAGCCAGGAATTTGCCATTGTAACCGTGGGCAGTCTGAACGCTGGACAGGCTGCTAATATCATTCCGCAGAAAGCCGAAATGCAGGTCAATATTAGAACGGCCCATTCGGAGACCCGAAAAAAGGTTCTCGCATCAATTGAGCGCATTGCGAAGGCAGAAAGCAATGCTAGTGGTGCGGAAGAAGAGCCACTGATTGAGACGATTACAAACTTTCCAATCACAGAAAATGATGAAACGACCACCGAGAGACTGCAGGGAACCTTTGGAGCAGTCTTCTCGGATGGATTTGACCCTGAATGGCCCCGGAGCAACGCCAGTGAAGATTTCACAAAGCTTGGTTTAGCTGTTGGAAAGCCTTGCTGCTTTTGGTTCCTTGGATGCATCGATAGTAAGACCTGGGATAAAGCAGAGAAGCACGGAAGAGTCTCACAAGATATTCCGGTCAATCACTCGTCTTCCTTCGCTCCGGCAATTCAACCCACCCTCAAAATTGGCAGAAATGCCATGGTTGCAGGTGCCTTGACCTTCCTGTCGAACAGAAACAATGCATAGCGCCGTAGCGCTTTTCAGTACTATACCACCGTCGTAGCTGGCAGAGGTCCTTTTCCCGGTTTCAAGAAGCAGGGATGTCTGCAAAACGGCCAGAAGTTACCTGATTCGCTCGCTATCTATGATATTTGCTAGGCCTAGGCCCGTGTAGCGATGCTTCCTGCACATATTACTTGTTTCGTAAGGTATCCCTCACTAATGGAAGAGCCATCAACTGATTATATTATCTCTAAGATTTGGCTGCAAGCAATCCTTTCAATAATAGAACCTACGTGTGGTAGAAATTCCCTGGTCATTTGATTTTGGGCCCGAATGAGTATTTTGTGTTCTATACACCACCTTCCACTGCCTTGACTAAATACTTAAGAGAAAAATACAACCTCCACTAATTTGTATAATTTCTACTGATACTGTCGTCGAGCAAATTTAGTATAGTCTCGTCGGGCTTTAGGTAAATAGTTGTATGGTTAATTGGCTGCATTAGACTTCGGCGGAGCATGTTTCCAAAAAGACCAGATAGGCGGTTGGGATTTCTGTTATTGTATTGAATTGAAAATTCAGTCTTACTACGAAGGAGAATAAGGATTCCAGGAGCACCCTGTACATCATACAACGGTCATGTTGTATATTGTATAACACTATATGTATACGACATAATGCAGGATGACGTGTAAAATCTGATATGTCAATTACTAGATCTACTGACCATTGAGCTTCATGTATCTTCAACTTGGCGAATGTACTCCGTGTACCCGACCTGCTCGTGTTTATGTTCAGCTGCAGAGTGCGACCAGTGCATTCCTTGATATGAATACCCTATTACCTAATGCCATGCATCTTTCCCCCGGGAACCCACAGTATATCTCTACGAATATAGGATGCATATGTACCGAGTACGAGAGGTAGGTTGAATCAAATTCCGAGCTTGGGTGAATATGTGGATCAGCTGAGATGTCCATTGAGCTCCATATTATATCAGATAGTAGGTAGATCGCGTTTCGGGCCCCCGATCGGTGTGAAAAATACAGCCTGGTCTACTGTTGCAACCCCGTCGCGATGAGATCATGAGAGAGCCGAGAGTGTCCCATAGATATCCCTTTGTTCGAGGCTTCTCACCGCTGGATTCTTCAATGGCCTTTCATACCCGTACACAATATTCCAGATCATGGCCCGCTCTACTGTACTTTGAATACATTGAAGTATACGATTCGATCTACTATGTACGGAGTAGGCATATACTAATCATGCACCCTCCTTTCGAAACAATGAACTAATGGTATGTTCTGTATATTGTATTCTGAATACACAGCCAGCCATAAGTCATTCAGAAATAGCTGCTATTATTTCCAAAAGGGAAAACAATGTAGGCAGAATTTACTTTGGTCTAAGCGTCGTTGAAATAAAGTAGAGCGTAGTATAAATATGCTTATATCTGCTGGTTCGCTCGAAATCTCGCCATCCATGCGGTTCATTGCGTGATCCAGACGAAATTATGCCACTAGCCGAATTTGTACTCTATATCAAGGGTCGCCTCTCAGAGGAAGGAGAGGTCTTGACTGACAGGGCGGACGCTAAGTTCTGGACCACCCCGAAACGCTGGTCAAATGTAGGAGTGAAAATACCGGGAGCTGTTGTGAGGCCTGCTTGTGAAGATGATGTTGTTCAAGCGGTGAGTCAATACCTTTCCCGATTTCATTCTATCCGGCTTCTCATCATTCACTGGGGTTCAAGGTGAAAGCTGCAGCCATCACATCAACGCCATTTGTTACGGCCACGGGTGGTCATAGCCCCTGGTCTTCAATTGGAGATGATGGTTTTGTTATTGATATGTCAAATTTCAAAGGAATCGATGTAGACCCTTGTTGTGAAACAGTCCAAGTACGGGGAGGTGTCTTGCACAAAGAGTTCCAGGTCAAACTAGCCCAGCATGAACAATGCACAGGTTTGTCTTCTCACTTTCCGCTCTTCTATTCTGTTCGCTTATGATATCCTAGCTATTGGAGATGCAAACACAATTGGCGTAATTCCATTTTTCCTCGGAGGTGGCATCAGCCTGTACTCTGGACAATTCGGCTTCGGTTCTGACAACATCCTGTCTGCTCGTGTTGTTACATCTGATGGCTCCTTACTTGAGGCAAGCGAAACCACAAACCAAGATCTCTTTTGGGCTATTCGTGGCGCTGGACAGTTTTTTGGAGTGGTAACAGAATTGACTATTCGCACCTACCCTCTGTCAACGCTGGGTAGCACATTAGGGGGCCATTGTTTCTGTCAACTCACCTTCCCGATTTCCCAGGCAAGGGAGGTTGCTATGATCATGAAGGAGCTTATGGTCGATCCCGCAACACCTACATCTGGGCATTTAATGATAGTCTCTCGGCCCCCGGACTTTCAGCAAGTGATTGTGATAAATGCACACTACATCGGCAACCCTGATAAAGCGCAATTTGCTTTTCAACAGCTAACCGATCTCAATCCAATTGAAAAAACCACTCGGATGCTTTTGTTCGAAAACCACAGTGATTTTCCACTCGCGAAATCATCACCAGGGGACATCAGGAGCATCAATTTGATAGGCCTCGCCGAATTTACTTCCGGAAAGTTTCTCGCGATGGCTCAATTGCATCAAGATCTTATCAGAGATTATCCGGACGCAAAAGGCACTCAGGTAATCTTCGGATGGCGTGCGCCAGTTTGCCAACTTCCAATCACCGATACTTCGTTTGGAAATGCAGGTCAGCTATTGTGGCTGTGAGTACTTCCCCCATTCATTCAAAGGTGCAATCCCCTGTGTTGCGAGATCTAGACTAAATTTCTATTCTCGCAGGAATGTTCTCCCTTGCTATAGAGAGCAGTCTACCCAGGAGTCGATCTTACAGTTCGTCGCTGCGGGGGCACATGTTGGGCGAATAGGCTCAACAGAGGATAAATTCATATCCTACACAAACTCCAATCGCGTGGACCCTCTCCATTGGCGCTATAAAGGTGCAGAGAGAATTGAAAGACTCAAGCAACTAAAGAAAAGATGGGATCCTACTGGTACTTTCTCGCGGGAGTTCCTCTGAGGATGAAATGATGCGAAACGAGCAATTCTATGTACATAAAGACTGATCAAATTGAAACGGAGGAATAGAAGAGTTATCATCACGAGAAAGCTCTACTAGCACCTTCAGAGAGGGATTAGTACCAGGTATTGGGGTATCTTCCCAACTTCCCGTTACAATAATACGTAAAAACCAAGTCCGACGTAAATCTTTTACAGCTAAGCTGTAGGTACTTCGTTCATACACATTAGAACCCACCGCTGATGTAGAGGCATCCTATTTGGCAATGATCTTCGAAGCCTGCATGTCCCCAATGGGTCGCATAGGTAAGAAAAAGCACCGGGGAACGTCATATTAATACTCTGCGTCTTCCCAAAAAGTAAAGACACCGTCTCATCATTGATTATTCCGTTGACTATTTGAATCAGTCTACCAAGATGGGGTCCATTAGTATGATCTCGAGGATTGACCATATCACAATTCTACTCTCGGAAGAAGAATTCAAGAGCCCACCTTCATGGCTCAGTGATAACTTCACCATAATTGAGGGCGGAAAGCACACCGGCATGTACAGCGCAAAATTTTCAAAGATTGATTCTAATTCTTCAATTTCAGGTCAAGCGAGCCAACTGAAACTCATTGTGTTCGCCGATGGCACATATCTGGAGCTCTTCAACTGGTGGGCACAGCCACCGGAAGGTCACACCTGGGGAACTAAAAGTCCCGGTCTGATTGATTGGAGCATTTCTTCTATGTCAACACAAACCCCGGCCGAGCATTTTCAGGGGGTTAGCCAGCGCTTGAATAAAGACACCGGCGGAGACGGTAACCTCGGCGTGTCATTCCCTGAGCCAACAGGACAGGGTAGGACAACACCAGAGGGATTGAAACTTCACTGGAAAAGAGCCAACCCGGATTTTCATAATGCATCGGAAACTCCGGACGAGAAATTCTTCCCGACGGGCCGCTTGGACTCTCCTTTCGTGTGCTACGATGGGTCTCCTAGGTTGACGAGGCTGAAGTTTGACGATCCGGCTAGAGTCACGCATCCATGTGGTGCAACTGGAGTTGATCAGGTCGAGGTGGTTGTGCCATCTTCCCATGTGAAAAACTATTTGAGGTTGCTCTCTAGCATAATTGGCTCGCCGCCGAGCACAGCTGTGGGCCAGCCAGGCTACATGTTCAGTCTCGGCTTGCCAGTCGAGAACAAAGGTGAATGCAGCATTTGGCTGCATGGGGAAAGGGATGGGAAAGATGAGCGGTGGTTAAGTACCAGGGGAATTGGTCCACTTATGCTTAGGTTGCGGGTCAAAGGCCGAGAGGGACACGGGGAGGAGCTTCTTGGGAAGGACGGCTCAGCAACACACGTCTCGCTTGTGTGGTAAATGTTTTTTATCTACGACTTCCATGACTGCCCAGGAGGTTGTATCGTTTCTATCTTATCTTGAAGCCCACTCCGAGGGACTCAATTCTTAATGCCTGGCCCATCCAAAATTTGTGGGAGATTTCAATGGACACCGTCGGCAGTTCTTTTGTATCTCTCGCTTAGCTCAAAGGGGATTTGGCGTTTGAATAAGATGATAGATCAGACACTTAAGGGGCAGGATAGTATATTCAGTGCGTCACGCATCGCCTTATGTATGTTTCAAGATCTTACTACAGTAACTATTAGCTTGATTGTCAAGAATTGTACCCAAGGTAGATACCAGAATCCGACACAGGCTGGATATTGAAATGGTCCAACGTATTCACGGTGTTCGTTTGGAAGCCAGAATATCTAGATAGCCATATAAGTCAATGGCGCTTCCTTTGCGCGAGGCGGAATGGTTCATACCGGCACGTACTGCTCGCCATGCTTCCGCCAGACGCTCATCTTTCCACTCAAATATCAATCCATCTGGAATCGATGCATCGTGAATACTCCATATAATTCGAGCCGCTCGGTTGTCAGGATAGATTTCAAACCGCATCTTGTAGTAGGAAGGATCTGTGATATCATATCTCCCACTCTTTTTCATTTCATCGTAGCTCATGCTCCATTCAAATTCGTGATCGTGGTAGTGGCGCAGGGGGTAGCGCTGTGAGTCGAGACCTTGGAAGGAAATCATAAGGTCACTTTCTGACTCTGAACTAAGAGTGACTCTGAGCGTGTACTTATACTTTTCATTGTTGTACACGCCGACGTAACGATCAAGGGGTAGTGGCGGTGCTCCTTGAATCCTCTCCTCGGTCAATCTGCTATGCAGTGTGGCAAATCTTTCGAGTGCTCGTGTTCTACCTTGTTCTGCAAGTCTCACATAATCGGTGGGTGTGGCGAAGTCAAAGAGGCTCTCGATCAGCAGTCGCGCGATCCAGTCTGCAGCATCGCTCGTCGCGGTGGTGTTCATGAGGACAACAACGGCCGACTGTGTCTCGGGAAACATAGCAAGGAAGGAAGAGTACCCCGGACCTCCGCCTTGATGATAAATCATTAGCCTAGACTCGCTTCCAGCCCCGAAGACAGGCTGCTTATCCATCTCCCAAAGTCTAGAGTTTCCACCAAGAAGACCAACGACACCAGGAAGCTGGGCTCTTGCCCAGCCAAATCCGTACGACCTTTCTGATAACGATGGATTCTGCATTGCGATATGGTTGCTGAGTATGTACGGTATTTGTTTCAATACTGTGCTGGTGGATGCCTCTGAGTTATGGCTCGCAGCCATTGTTTCCTTGGTCCATATGAGAAGATCACTCACTGTCGAATAAGCTCCGCGTGACGCTTCGAACAATGTATCCGTAAAATCGGGTTGAAGTTTCAATGGATCAACCTCCCCGTTTCCAAGTGAAGCATGCGGTCTAGCGAGATTCTTGCCCTCTTCAAAGGACGGCCGCAAAGTGGTTGAAGTCATACCAAGTGGCCGAAATACTTGGTCTTGTAGATACTCATGAAGTGGCTGTCCAGATATATGCTCAATTATATGCGCAGCAAGAGTGTATCCCCACGGACACATTAGCCAGCTCTCACGGTGCGGAAGCGTGCCAGGGATGCGGTCGAGAGTTTTCAACAGCACTTCCAGAGAAGGCTGTGCGTTGTTGTTTCCACCATCTGCGAGTAAAGTCTCAATTTCTCCATCCAATCCACATCGATGTGCCAGAAGATCGGTTATTGTCGTTCTGTAGGTCCAGTAGACGCCAGCATCATCAATCCCGGGTAGGATTTCTCTCAAGAGAGTTGTCCACTGAAGCTTTTTATCTTCCACAAGTTTCCCAACACCAGCTGCTACCATTGACATGGTGATATGTCCAACTCCATATTGGGTGTTTGCGTCTGGAGGTGTTGTTTTGGACTTGTCGCGATATCCAAAGTTTTCGGTCCATAAAGTTTCTCCGTGCTCAATGACCCCAATAGAAACGCCGGGTACGCCCTCTATCTTGCAAATCTGGTCGATCGAGTCGCTTAGTTGCCGCAGTCGTTCAATGCTCGGTGAGGTTGACCTGCTTAGTATCAGCAAGCGTATCGTTCAAGTTAAAATAAGCCGAAAACACCCATGGTGACCTGATAACCGCGCGAGACGTGCATTTTAAATCTTCTCTTCGGTGTTCTGAGATTGCGAGAAGGGAAGTTTGAAGAGGGATTTTAGGCAGCCGGGTCGTGATGACCCCGCTAGCCTCAAAATACATGCTCACATTGATTATTCCAGTCTTCGTTGAATATCACTGTTGTAGTCCAATTTCCATTTTTTCTCTTTGTCTTTGCGACCGAGATCTTCGACCCGGCCAAAACTAAACTATTATCTGCAAATGCGAGCAACTGAGCTCAGATGGCTATGAGCAAGACCAAAGCCCCATTCGACGAATGAATTTGACGGCAGCGTAATCTGTACGTCTCTGAATAAACAGGACCGATCAATCCGGAGAGTCGCGCATTCTACCAGATGGGTAATATGGCATACCACAGGCAGAGTTCTTGCTGTACCATACATAAGAACTTTTGCATATATCCGTGACTGGTACTAATTTGGCTTGTTTAGCAAGCTTTTTGGTCGAGTCTAGAGGCCAGAAGATTGAGCAAATGATCAATATCGGGCAGTTGATATTGAGTGTGTCTATGGTTTGATAGATCCGACAAGGGTCAATCAAACCATAGGACAAGGTGAACACTCTGAACAATCCGTTTCTAGGCAACTATTCAAGATTTACACTTCTCATCAACTAATTTACCCTATGAATTGTTCAAACGGGCTTGATTTTTATTGTCTTGAGCTTCAGATCATCCGGAAGACTCGATGACGTCAACCATGAAGTATAAGACTACTATTGCTGTCTCGAGATAGATCTCCAGGACAAATCTTCGTATTGCCCTCTAAATTCTCACCATATTTCTTAATATTTTACAGTGGAGACAGTGTACTATGCCAAACTCGTATATTCTAATTAAGGGTGGAACGGTGATCCCCATGATTGCATCGGGAGGGACACCCCTCTACAATTGCGACATTCTAATAGAGAACGATTGGATAAAGGATATGGGTCAAGATCTACCCTTGCCAACTGGAAGCAATGCGTCCATTATTGATGCGAAAAATTCCATTATTACTCCCGGATTCGTCGACGGCCACCATCACATGTGGCAGCATCTTCTGCGCGGTATCACGGCTGATTGGTCTCTCTTTGGTTATGCGTGTCATTTGAGAAGTGTCTATGGGAGTCTGTACACACCAGAAGATGTCTACTTTGCGACATACGCTGCTGCATTGAGTTTGCTTAACAACGGCGTCACCACCGTCTTGGACCACTGTCATGTTATAAACTCGCCGGCACATGCCGATGCAGCCATCAAGGGCTTGAAAGATGCTGAGATTCGAGGCACATTCTGTTATGGATTCTACCAGAACCCCAAAAGCCCCGGAGATTTCGCGAGCACTGCAGCGGACACGTTTGATCCGGCCGCACGAGCCGATGATGCCCTTCGTGTGCGCGACGAATTCTTTCCGAGCAACGATCCCAGTAGGTCGCTTCTTACTTTCGGTATTGCATTAAACGACCCACCCACGCAATCCTCGGAAAAGACAATCGGGGAACTGGATATCGCGAGAAAGCTCAAAGCCAGGCTCACGACTGTACATTCTTCGGTGATATCTCTCAATGGGGACCCTAAGCCGGAAGTCGTCCAGTGTTTTGCTGATGCACAGCTCATGGGACCGGACCTCGTATTCAGTCACGGAGGTTGGATGACCAATAGCGAGCTGGCTGCGGTACAGAGCTCTGGGGCTGGTATTGTCGGGACACCCGACACAGAGTTGCAAATGGGAATGGGATACCCGGTGGTATGGGAAGCTGCCGATCTGGGCTGCCGCTCTTGCCTTGGACTCGATATCACTTCAAATCAAGGCAATGATTTCATGGCGCAGATGAGATTGGCTCTTCAGACGCAACGCGCTCACGACTGTGATTACCGCACGGTCCACAGAAATGTCCGCAGGAAGACGGTGGATGTGTTACGCATGGCAACGCTAGGAGGCGCAGAGGTTGTGGGCATGGACTCACTGATTGGTTCTGTCGTTCCTGGTAAAAAGGCCGACCTGGTGATGTTCCGCTGTGACGACATTGATACGGTGCCCGTTGTCGACCCTATCGCGACAGTGGTCTTCCATGCATCGCCAAAGAACATTGACACTGTTATTGTGGACGGAAGGATTGTCAAGCAGAATGGTCAGCTTGTCGGTATTGATTGGGAGTCCCTACAAGACCAAATTAAAAGCAGATCCCAACGACTGAGGGACCAAGCAAGCAAAGTCGATATGGAGAAGGCTGAATTGCTCTTCCGGTCCATATTCGAGAAGGCCATGGGAGATCAAAGCACATGATGGGTTATCTGGAATTTAGTAAACACAACCAGTTAACTTTCCACTCATCTGAAAAGCCGATGTATATTTGTACCTTTGGCATGGGTATGGCATAGAAAATAGTACCTAGCTCTAAGACTAACAGGGCCTCCCGGGGAATGACAAATGAGTCAAGTAAGAACCAGGATTACAGCTTCGGAATCTTTGCTAGGCCTTCAAGTGCTGTCACTGACTCTCCGGAGTCTATATGCCGCTTATCTACGAAGGTATAGGTAGTGAAACGTAATTCGACGTAGGTATGTTATTCAGGCCATGGTGATCGGCTAAAACTTGTAACCGATCTTCCAAGATTGTGCCATCAAGGACACCTTTTCTTTGAAGGCTTAGCAAGAATATCTGTGCGAAACTGGCATATACATGGTTCATTTTTAACTAATGATGATCTGCCCCGAGTTGAGTATTTGGGCATCTATGCATTTATGCATCTGTAGGTTGCTTTCGACAAATAACATGCATGTGTATGTACCTCACAACTTGAATCTAGGCAATAGAATGATGAAGCTGGAAAGGGCAAGGCAGAACACTCATTCCCAATGATTTTGCCTGCGCCAACCTGCCTGCGCCTCAATCCCATGGTTGTTTCTTATAGATATCCTCTTCTTTCGAGGTTTTCTTTCGATTCTTTCTCATTCAATTCATTAGTTCTGACGTGAGAACCCACTCGATATTCTTTAACCACATACTGATTCGTCCCAGTCTTTGACATGACTATATTTGTGCCTCTCCCCCTCCCCTCAGACCAGCAAATCGATGAATTTGAGGATATCGTTCTAAAGAGAAGTTACCATGTCACCAACCGATCTCTGATTCGCGAGGCCCTCCAAGGCTCTGCTCTATCCAATCCCGCCGGCAAGATCCTCTCCTTGAGCGGGGACGCAATTCTCCGCCACATTCTCGTCGACCAGGGGCGAGACCGTAACAAGTCTCCAGGTAAGTACTCCCTCATAAATTACTGTTTTTCATGTGTGTTAACTACTGTTGCCATCAACAGAGGAGATCCAGAATGTCATCACCATAGTGGCCTCCAATAACAATCTTTGGAACCGGGGCATTGCCATAGGTCTTGACCCCTTCCTCGTGAGGCATCCGGGCCAGCAGGGCATCCCGGTCGGCAAAAATGTCATGGCCAATTCCATGGAAGCCATAATTGGCGCTGTCTACTATGACTCCGATAGGAATCTCGAGGACTGCGAAAGAGTCATGGCTATCCTTGGTCTTTCCTGGCCCGAGTGAGTGATCGTAGTCGTCCCTTCAACGGTACTTCCTTGCCATGAGAGCATTAGGAAGCCTCGATGCGGAGGGAGAGGAGATCCTTTGCAGCGCTGGACCTTTTTCATTCGGCAGTGAAGTGGCCTGTCAAGTGACTTTCATGTCACAGCACTATTAAATGAGTCTTTTCCAGTCTGCAACGGATATCCCTTATCTCTACACCACGGCTTCCCTTTGATTTCATGGTTGGGAGCTATTTTATGAAGGATATATAGCAGGAATAGTGAAACATGGTGGGGGAAGAGCATTGGGGTTTCATGAGATAGTCACTTATCAATGTTGGAAATGAGAGGAAAGTTGTGGCACTGAATCTGTAACATTCTCCATTGTGTAGAAAAATAGGACATGCTTGTTACGTGCAATCCCGATACATAAATCTCAAGATAATAATGACTGGAGAGAGATTCTTAGGACTAGGCCTCCGCAAAGCCCATAAAGCCCAAAGCCCAGCCTAAACAAATGGGCTGGGCTTCGGGCCCGGGGTAAAAGCCTATGGACCTCGGACCCTATACCGCTCTATATTAGGACTATGCAAATTAAAACCGTCAGAACGCATGCCCGTGCATATTTGTCGGTTTTTAATTCTTTCTTTCTTTCTTTCCTCTTTTTTTTTCATCATTGTAACTCTGCCAGCCTATGGAATACTCCGTAGTTCGTTCTCTGGTAGCCAGATAAGCTAACAGATCACCTAGTCTATTTACGACGGTGTATATGCGCCAGGGGTTAATGCCTATTTGATATCAAGATGTCGGAGCATACAGACCGGCATACCGGGGATTTATTAATCCAGCCTGTTCAGTAATTCGAGATTAGTAGTCCGCCTCCCTAAGGTATAAATTGCTAGGAAAACGGATACTGCAATACACAGATTTTAACACCTTCCCCGAACTGAGTGTTGTTTCTCTCATGTCTCTTGTGCTGGCTGAGAAGTTCCGAAATAAGTTGAGATTAGAGGTTAGAAGTTCTGTCTTTTTAGAATGTCCTCCTGTGAAGGAGTTCAAGGACTGGATCAAGCAGTATTGGTAGATGTAAAGACAGGATGAGAACAGATTGCATTGTCGTCAACCACACGAGGAACCTAAATTAAATATGTTGAATCAATCTAGAAATATATAAACTCCAGGCTATCCTAGCCAGTATGTTGCGTCATCAATAGTTTGCTGAAGCCTTTCCCGCATGAGGCTGCCCAAAATTGGCAAAATGTCGGATGGGATCTCGTGGTCTTCCTGAAGGGGCGGTTTAGCCCCCAAATGTCCACTGTACCGCTCTATGAATTGCAAAATTAACTTGGCCATCTTGGATAGCTTTCCTAATATCAGCATAGCAACGGCTTCGTTTTCCGGCGGCTCCTGAGCAGACGCTCCATGATCATGCCAAAGACCTGTCTGAACCAGCACCGGTGGCGGTGGGTTGTTGCGAACGGACTTGGTGAGTGTCATGGCGTGCATATCGATGATGGTCATGCAGATGGCATATACCAACATGCCAAGCTCAGCGCGCTCAGAACAAGGACATATCAAAATGGTGAAGAGGCGGCGAAGTGCGGCGACGATGGTCTGCGCCGTCGAGTTAGCTAGGCGGTAGTCTACCAATGATGAGCTCCTGAGCTGCTCGGTCTGAACTTCCAATTCGCAGAATAGGTCCATGACGACCAATACGCAGTCTTGGCCGACCTTGTGCCTATGAGTTTCAGCCACAGTGCCTGTTGGTTGTTGCGTTTTGAAGGATGGATCATGTTCACTGGGTCTGAGATTGACAATGGAGCTATTGCGGTCCGCATCCACTTGCGACGACAATTTTTTGAACAGAGAAGATGGTCTCTCTCCCTCATCTACAACTTGGGTGGTCCTTATGGCCTTGGTAGAATGCGGCCGTTCTGGTTCCTCGCCGTCTTTTTCTGCCGGTGAGGGCATTTTAGGTCGGTATGGTCGTCCAACTCGTCGTGCAGGGCTGTAGAAACATGCATATCCCGACTTTTCGCACCGTGCACACGACGGTTTTTCTTTCGTACAGCGCACTTTAGAGGAGGAACAATTGTCACAAGAATCCTTGAGCTTTTGAGATTGTGAAGATGTGGGAGGTGGGGCGGCCGTAGTTGATGTTGGCGCTGACTGAGTTTGTGCGGCTTCCATATTTTCTGTTGTATGAAGGATTTTGCAAAGGTAAGCGGCTCCCTGATAGAAGCTGAATGGTCTGTTATCGCAAAGAACTGCGACAAAATACTATGCTGCTCTCGTCCGCACACTGGTAAGAAGGTGATCCAAGAGACGCCGAGAGAGGGTCCTTCGAGGGGTCGTATCGAGACATGTGGGTATCACAGCCGAGCGGGCCGTTTGGCACGGTCCCCATCGGTCATCTCCGGCGACCACTTTCCCCTGATTTTTCACCTACTATCGCTAAACAATAGTCGATTCTTGGTTAGCAGACCTGGGTAGCTCGAGACAGATTTAGCAACAGCTTGAACGATGCAACATAAGCACTGAGATACGCCTTGTAACGAAACCGCCCCGACTGCGTCAACACCGGATAGCAAGTCTTCGCTAGAAAGGACCCCGTAAGAGAGTTGAACTCTTACGACGAATTGATCTTCTTTATGGGTCTCTGCGGAGGATCATACGAAGATCTATAAGTCTCGGAACTGGTCGACGATCAGTACCTTTGAAAAGCTTAGCGTTTAGTCATATCTCACGCAATATACTCCGTAGAACAATACAGCCTCTCTCCAAGATGGGGCCAAATACTAGTCTCCAGGTGGTGCTAGTAGCAGGATTACATAGACTGCGACGACGCCCATTAAACCCTGGCAAGGTGGATACTGCCAAGAATTGGTTATATACATAAAATAGCCTAATAGAGTAATTTTGTGATCATTTTCACGTGAGGGTGGGCGATGGGCGTCAAATTCCAAAAGGCCCACGGGCCGTGGACACTTCCTAGTGCCCATGGACGGGCGATGTCGCAGTCTAGTCCGAAGTGTAGATCTAAGGACTTTATAGTAGCGCGCTATACCACATATTGATAAGATTTCTTAATTCTCAAAAGCCTAGATGGCTAATAATATCCTATCCTCTTACTCCATTGAATTTCTAGACCTTTGAGAGCGAATTAGTGGTATGGTGGGTTGAATTAATTGAGTGCTAATTCATGGACACGTTCTGGGTGAGGTGCGCAGCTCGCTTGTGTGCGTAGCTCGCTCGTGAAATACGTTATTGGTCAGGATTCACTAATGCGGGGGCCTATAGGCTTAGCTCAGTTAAGCTCCGACAGGTCCCCGGCGTTGAACTCCCATCTAAAAACCAGCGACTGCATTAGGGGGGGGTAAGCGAGAATAACCAAGGTATGATCGAGCGCCAATAAAAAAGTGCCCGCGCTGTACTAATGCAACGCGCTATGTCCGAGACGAGTTAGTGCCCACCCGGGCGGAGAATCGTCAATATCCACCCCTTTTGGGATTTTCTCATTGCAGCGGGGTGGACTTGGAGAGGTAGAAGAATGAGGTGCTGTGGAAGGAATGTTACAAAATTAGGTGACCTCCATGTTTGTCCAGGACCTAGCTGGTCCATTGCCCTCTTTCTCCCTTTCTTCTTGCTTCTAGGGTGATCAGTCCAGTTAACTTGTTATTGCGAACTCTTGGCCTTTCACCAATATGTGCAACCTTACCGTTGACGATGAAGATATCTGCATGGACAGATCACCGTGCACATGTGCAATTCGTCAGTGTCGCTCGGAGCACTCTACTAAACATTCGAGTCACACCCACCTAAATAACCAAATTGATGGCCTATTCTGGCATCTAGGTCAAGTTACGCCGCCCACGGATAAGGCTCGCAATTTTAATCGCACCTATTTGGAACAGCCAGGTGCTTTTGATACACACTTCGGCAACGATTCGGGGCCTTTTCCGGCGCTACTTCCCAGCAGTGACGATGATCGGCTTTCAACGATACCCCAATGTACGGGACCTACCGATCCGCTAAACCTACCCGCGAGGTTCCCTGCAAACAACAGCCTATTCGGAGAGCCACCATTCGAGGCTCCTGATGTGCACTTGAACGTTGATCTTAGTTATTCTACTGCACATCTGCATTCTCTCCTTGCAAGCCCGCCCCTCGAGTCTAGTGCAGAATCTGGTCCCAATAGCAGCTCTGATTTTTCCATGGACTATGCCCTTGGTTCTGATAATTCCGATGACCCGACGTTGGATTACTCGACGCTTCCGAATCGTCTGCCCGCCCACAACCATGTCCCCTCTTCGTCTCTCTCTACTCTGCCTTTTGGCTCCGAGAGCTCACTAACTAACCCTGTTACAACGCCACCACCCCCTACAAGGATGATATCTTCTTGTCTCGCTGAAGGCCGCCCTCCTTGCATTATTACTGCGACCCGAAATCTCAGCTTACTCCACATCCGCCAGAACAGTTGCCTTTCTCTTCAAAATCGTCGCAGCAGCTACAGAAGCCAGGCTGCCAGTGGTCCTGAACTAGCACGCATGTCAGGGTCTGTCCTCAAAGACAACAAAGATATTGGCATGTCAGTTTGCCGCATGCTACAATGCGGATGCGCCCTTCGTCCTCAGAATCAGGTTCTGTTAGCACTGCTCTGCTCTCGACTCGCGGTGTGGTATCGAGCGACGATCAGCGCGTGCTTTTCCCGACGCCCTGGTAGCTCCCCTGGCGGCGAAGACCACATTGACGAGCGCAGATCCTCGCCAGAGAAAGTGATATATCAGGCTGTCACTATTGGAGATCACACTGTGGACGATTTCCCTTTGGATTGGGATATCCAGGCTCGAGTGATACTCAAGGAGCTCGGACACCTGCAGCGTCTGGTCAATAACCTTTCAGCTCGTATCAAGCAGACTGGTACGTCACACTCAATTGGGCCAGATGCCAATGCCAATGCCCCCTCTTTTGGATTGCCCGCAGTCGCACATGACCGACTAGTGGCCCACCTGTCGAGGGAGGTCGAAGCGGCTCAGAATGATTTAACTACGGCTTGGCGTGAACACCAGAAATTTCAAATATAAGAACATTTGACAAAAGATATCAGCGACCTTTTACACGAAACATACACACAGATATTGACTCTCGTGTTGTGAAAATGTTCTCGGCATTCCACCAAGCGCCAGAGCCGTGATGCCAGCACATCTCAACTTGTGAATCTCATCCATCTCCGGAAACAGAGCATGAAGCCCAGAATCTGCCAATTCAACAAAATGCCATGAATCCATCAGAACATATCTCCTCCGAAATCAATTCCCTTCATATATCGCTTCCAAACCGGTCATTCATATCATCCCTTCTTGTAAACTCTATAATATCCTCTTTTCGATAAGTAAAGGATCATATCATACCTTTAGCCCTGACTTAATCAGATGTAAGTAGATTCTTGTCCTGAACTTGGTTCATTTGCGATACAGCGTGCCCATCTTTTGTACTCGCTGTAGAGCAATAAATCAGTTCAAAAGAACTACGCTGGGATTTTGTAACCACCAAGGACTTGTTTCTGAAACACGCCGTTCGGGTCGTATCTCTTGCTAGCAGCTCTGAGCCTAGCAATGTTATCCTCACCCCAGCTCTGGAGGACCTTCTGTGAGATGTCGGCGTAATTGAGGTAGATGAAGTCAATCAGATGCCCATGAGACTTTAAAAGTGCGCGTTGCTTGTTCACAATATCCTTGATGACTCGCTGGACTAGCACATCGTCTACTTTATTTGGTAGCCAGCAGTCATGTCGATCATAACGTCGTCTGTCCTTCCAGGCGTCAGGCCGAACATGTTAGTGCCGTTAGTGACGAGATGAAGCTGAACCAAGAACTCGACGAATATGCTGTCCACATTTGCGATTTTGCTCAAAACCTTCTGCCAGATCTTGAAAAGCTCCATGTAGACATTGGGATCTGGGTTATGGAACGAAAAGGTGAGTTGGAAGGCACTAGAGAAGTAGTTAGATTCGTGAAGCATGACATGGTAGGGTGTTCATCATCGTTGCTCACCCTTGCTCGTTAGATGGCATGTTCTGTCCAAACAGCTCCACGACGTTGTCAACGGTGTTGAGCTCCGCCACACCTCCCAAGTTTGGAATATCGGTGAAGGCGTCGTAAACGCGGGTTTCTCAACATCTTTGGTATACTACATGGAATCAGAGAGAAGGAGCTCACCACCTGTATAGACCAGGAAGACTCCGATCATAGCGGCGCTGTCGAAATTTTTTGGCTTCATAAAGTCGCTGAAGGCTTTGGCGTGAGCCCACAACGTGGCGTTTGTATAATTGTACCTCAGGAGGCTGTACCACATCTTGCCCTGAGCAATCGTAGCTACATCAAAGCGTGTGATAATGCCAAAGTTGTTGGAGCCGCCTTTCAAAGCAACCCAAAGGTCGGAGTTAGAGCCTTCGTCGACATAAATGACTTCCCCACTTCCGAGAACAACTTCGTAACCGTAGACATTGTCGCAGCTAAAACCGTGCTCGCGTGAGTGAAAGGTAATTCCACCTGATGACGCATTAGCTATCGTTATTCCAAAGGGCTTTCAATGCGAGTACTGACCTCCACTGGCGAAGCCACCAACTCCGATCCCGGGAATCCGGCCTCCCATAACAGTCAAGTTATATGGCACAAGCTGCTCGTAAGCGTGGTCCCATACAGCGCCACCTCCAATGCGGGCAATTCTGTGATCCTCACTCAAATCTACTTGGTTGATGGCGCGCATGTCGATGGTGATGCTAGAGTCAATGTTTGCCGCGCCAGGCCAGAGGGTGTGTCCACCACCCCTAAAGGCGAAATTGGTCTTGTAATCGTCTGAAGTCACTAACCTGACGAACTGGGATACTTCAGAAGTATTGGTAGGCCTGAAGATACAATCGGGACTCAAGGCGCGCTCCTGGCCGCTATAGTAGGATGATAGGGAGGCATTGTATGATGTTGTACCGGGGTATGAGACGCGCCCTGGAATCTTGGACTCGAGGATCTTGCATGGATCATGTATAGCAGAAGCAGCGGCGAGCCACGTCACTGCGAGGAGGTGCAAAGTAAACCAATGCACGATGATGCTTAGCCAGATGTGCTTGAGGGAATCACTGCCGAATAATCGTCACCGGTTTCCAACAGGCAAAAAGAAAAAAGAAGAGAGAGAACATCAGTGATCTTTTATCTGATCTGGATCGACTGATGAAGATGGTGGCAGACTGGCTCTGGACAATTTGGCAATACACCTGCGGTTGGCACACTAAATATAATATTTTTCTAGATATCCGTAGCAGCGCGGTTTTACCTAACAGCAACAGGGACTCTCGGGGTCCGACCTTTGCCGAATAGCGCAAGAGGGCGCTAACAAGGTTCTCTCTATTCTCGGATTCCGGAATTTGCGGAACTCCACGAAGCTGAATTTTCATTCACGCAGGGGAACCGAAAGTAAGACGAGCTACGACAATGGCTGGCTCCCAGGCACACATAGAGCCTTCAGGCCGCCGCCGCAGTCTTCTTCACTCGAGTGGAAACTCGCTTGTTCCTTTGAGTCTTGTTCTAGTTTCATGTGGGACCATATCTAGCACATAGTACTGTATCTTGTATATGCTAAGAGCGCAGTTTGAAAACAGAAAAATAACAGTGATCCATGGTAGATTAGTCCGAGGCCTCGATGTGAAGTAATGCAAAACGGGCTACAAAAAGTTCCCCTCTCATTGTAGCAAATTGATGAAAACTATTGTTTATGCTTCTTCTTTTCCTTACTATTTGAAACTCACTTTTAGTTCGGCAATATAATCGTAGATACTTTTTTCATTGAGGTCTTCGTGCTAGCACCGTGTGAATGGTTCATGTACTTGCTTAATTAACGCGCACACTTACACAGTCAAGCCTGGGTTGCTGACTTCGCATACGGACCGAATGTTTACTGGGTTCCTGGCAAAGCCTGGCCACCCATGAAGCGTGGGAATCCTTGGTAGCCGAGCCAGAGCTCACCAGTTCCCGGCGGGCCACCGACAATCTCGTTCTTGCGAGCTTTGAGCTCATCAACGTCCCAAGAAGAGAAGACGATCTTGTTTTCAAGGAATTCAGCTTCGGGAGAGACAATCCAGACCAGGAAATCGGCGGGTAGAGAGACTAGGAAAGAGTAATCATTAGTTAATTGAACACAGAGACTGACTAGCCACAAAGAACAAGATCAGTTGATACTCACTTTCGTCAAAGGCAAATGGCAATTTAACCGACTCTGCCAGCTTAGCAGACATAGCTGTTTCGAGGAAACCGGGATGCACATTGTGAAGACGCACTTGCGGGTTCTCGACGGCGAAGGACTGCAGGACCTTGACAGCGGCCATCTTACTACTGACATAGGCGCCCATCCCGGTGAATGGGGGAAAATGATGCCAGCCGTGGTCAGATTGATGAATGTGATTGGTTTGTCCTCATTGGGGCTGACTGTCTTATTTGCCAGGACGACGGCCTGTGCCGTTACCAGCGAACCGACAACGGTAGTCTTGTAGCCGTCCAGGAAAGTAGCCGGGTCGGCCTCCAGAAGTGGAACAACGGGGGCCAGGACGCCGGCACAGTGGATCAGGATGTCGATGCCGCCAAACTCAGCAGCCACCTTGTTCATAGCGTCGCGGACGCTCGAAGCATCGCACAGCTCAGCCTCATAAGTTTGGACCGTCACCTGTGCATGGCTGTCGCGGACAATGGCGGCGGTTTTGCCCAGGGCGTCGGCGCGTCGACCGAGAAGAATGAGGGCTCGGGGGCCCGATGCAGCGAAGGATGAGGCTGTGGCCCGGCCGATACCGCCAGATGCGCCAGTGATCAACACAACCTTGCCCGCAGTGGAGAGACCGGGCTGAGCTGGATTTATGCCAGCATATGTGGCAGTGTGAGTGACCTTGGTGTACGAGGGCACTGGTGGTGCCATTGTCACTATGTGGGTTTCTGTAAGGCGTGAAGGGCTGAGATACTGATAGGAAGCAGTAGATACGCAAGATCGGGAAAACACTAAGAGGAAGAGGTGGAGGCGAGGAGTCGACCTGAATTAAATGTGGCAGGCGGAAGGATTAAATAGTCCTTCATCTGTTCATTCTAGTCATATATTCTATGAACAGTACTATGCTAGTGTTCAGGCGGCAAGCCGGGACGGCTCCAAAGTGGAACCGGTAATCGACGGGGTGGGACTTTCGTTTCCCTCGTGCTTCGGGGCTTTTGCTTAAGTTTGAACTTCAGGTACCGGACTCCGAGGAGACTTGGCCCAGCCATTTCGGGCACATAAAAACTATGAAAAACCCCCCGAAGAGACCAATGATATTGGCGCAACTGCTCTTAGCTCGGCCTGGAAGAATCCTAGCCAATGGGACGCAAGTTCGCATGGAGACCCCCCGCCGTATGGGGCCAACATGAACAAAGAAGAAAGAAGAGGGCGCGCAAATCACTGATCACAAAATATGGCTCATGAACGAACAAATGAAGTCCGTCGGGTGGAATCGGCTTGGATGCGAACCTCTAATAGACGCAATGGTGGCGCGCGGGCTTATAAGATTCCATACACCGATGAAGCTTGAGCATGGGGGCCGTTTTAGCACAACTCATGCTAGTGGATTTCCCGGATCGTCGCCGGGTAAATCATGCACCACTACATTATAATTCGATCGTAAACTGGCGATATCTTGGGTTGCTATAGATCTGGAAATCTTTTGCCGTCTTGCGCTTTTCCAGTCTCCATGTTGACAATAATCTCACGAAATTCGAGGGAATCTTAAAAGAGAAGGAAGAAGAAGGAAAGGAAAAGAAGTCTGGTTTCTGATTTTTCACAGCAAAGGACCCCTTTAGACTGTTTGTTACCTTCCGAAATTGGGCAATTTGCTATTCATTGTCCTGATGGAAACGATTGGATCCCTACGAAGCTGTATCATGCTCGGGATTCACATAACGGAGCTAGTTAGAGACTTGATGCCTGGCCCGATAAAGACCGCTCTTTACACCGCTCTGGAAAATTTATTGTAGACAGTTTGGTCGATGCAAATGAAGGGCGAAAAGTTTGACGTACTCTAACAGCTAGGAGACTGCCATTTAGTATGGCAGGAAGACAATTGAAGACCTGAGACTGCTCGCAAACGCAGAAGGGCAATGTACAAGACTGAGCGCATGACGACGGGAACTGGCCCTCGGCCAAAGAACAGGGTCATGCATGGATACTCAGGAGGTCGAGACATGCTCATCACGCCGTTGAGAAACTCACTGATGAACTGGCAGGTGATGCATCCCACGGTCTACATAAACGCAGAACGCAGGTTTTATCGATGCTCCGAGGTGAGCGCATCACGGTTTCAAGTAATCTACTCTTGTAGCGCATCACCACATCAAAATGAGCCGCAGCGCGCTTGAGGAATACGCTGGGCAATCGAGCTCGCCTATACGATCGGATTGTGCGCTCACTGCTCCATTCAGACGACGACAAGAGTAAAGGTAAGCCCCAGAGGATTCCACCCGGGAATGAGGAGACATATGTGTTTGCATAATGCGAAGAGAAGAGTGGACCCAGAGCGCGAACAGAAATACACTATCCCATATAGGCAAGAACAGTAACATTCCCAATCACCCTCGTTCCCGATCCCTTTCCTCCTTTCTTTCTACACCTTAAACGTCTCCACGAAACTTTCTCTCTTTTCTCCACTCCACTTACCTGGCCCTCTGTTCTGGCCTCTATGAGTATTTACTCTGTCTTTCACTTCACTTGCATGGCATAGGATATTTCTGTCCCGACGAAAGATCACTTCATGCTGGCCTGTAAACAGCAACCTCAAAGTTCAATCGGCCGGTCAATAGTAGCACTTACAAGCTCACGGTCGCGCGCCCTTATGAGAACGGGTGTGTTGCCGGCATGGCGGGCGTATTTTCATTCAAGCTCCTGCTACGGTCTACTATCGGCTTTCGTGCGGCTTGAGCTGTTGCCATAATGCAAGGAAAAGACTGATCGGTTGCGCATGGTCAAGAGGGTCCATGATTATAGAGGCTGCTGCGTAGATTGAAGGTATTTGAAGCGAAGTCGATTCCTGGAGAGAAAGAAAAGAAAGAGGGGACACTACTAACGGAACACTGTCTATCTGTGTAGTCACCTGGGACGGGTCTGATGCTATCACGGCTCAAGATAGGGCGAGGCTGGATTATATAGAAAAGGATGAACAAATCTTTGAGGAAGCGACGTAATCAGCATTCTGGTGGGCCCATAATGTCCCAGTAGATCGTCAATCCATCGATCGACGGCGTCAAAACACAACAAGCAATCATTGGAGCTAAAAATATGATGCTGATCAGTCATAGAAATGATTTCATGCTAGGCTGAGCTAGGAAATCGATCGAGCCACGACACAAGAGATTGTAAAGTTTTGCAGGAAGAAGACTGCGCGATATTACGCCATAGGTTGACATACCTTTCCTTCCTCTTCGCCGCCAATTAAGGGCGACCTGGGATTTCAAGCTTTTCGGCAAATTGGGAAGGTAATAATTCTATGAAATACTTGTTATCCTCATTACCTTTTGGGAGATTGAGAGATGAGAGAAAATTAGATTGATGAACATGAAACTTCTGGTAAATGCTACTGTTATTTCGGGACGGCCACAATAATCGAGTTCCGCATCACAAGACTGTAGGTCTTGATTGCCTTCGCCTTCAAGCCCGCATACCACTGGTCAACAGTTCTCTCCATCGCTCCATGCATGATGTACATCTACATATCAATACAGGTACTCCACCAGTGAATTCGGAAGAGCCAGATCATCGATCAACATTTGGGAGTCTCCCGAAATGGCTGAAATAACCTATTTTCGTCATTTTCGGAAAATGAGTTAGGTCTCAAATTTAGGCACGTATAATAGCCCGAAGCGGCTAGCGCTTGTCTTTGCTTTGATCAGAGTCGCCCGCCATCCTGCCACTATTCTTATCCCTATAGGCTGAAGTGATCTAGGATTAGTGCTTAAGGCTTATAAGAGGGTAAAAAAATATACCTACATAGTTGAATCCCTCGCTAAGAATAGGCTCTGTAGACCCAACGTCGGGTTGAGGTATTTGTAGGCAAAGGGCTTGCGTGATCGTGGTACTATAGTCTTTGATTGAGTTCCCGGGTTTGTGCGGGCGTTGATAGCAAACATGATGGGCACGATCAAGCTTCCCAGCAGAAAAAGAACAGTTAGAATGATTCGATCAAATAATGACTTTTTTCACCATTAAACGAAACCGGTTGGAACACCCCTCAGATTAAAGCAGCGGTACTGTACGCCTCATTTTAATGCCCCTGCGTAAATACCTCAAAATTCCGCTCTCACAACAATTCGATCTCAATGAAAGATACAAGAAATCATTTGAAACAAAGGCTACTGTATTAATATATTGTTCTAAAAGAAATAATGAACATGAAACGAAAACGAAGCTATGACACAAGAACATTGCTAGAGTCGACAGCCATACTCATCAACTGGCCATAACAACGTCACCATCAATTAAAACTAAGGTTGGGGGTGTATAGAGAGGGAGGTGAGAGAAAGAGAGAGAAAAGTGAAAAAGTGATCGAAGGTAGGGTACGCCCTATAAAAATCATGATATATATATATTTCCTAGATACGGGTTCAAATGGGCTTTGGCTTATAGGCTGTGATTTTTGGGCTTACAGAGTACAGGAATGGGCTCATACCACTCTTTACAACCAGTATCTATCTATACACTCGGGAGAGAACCCACTCGGCGTTTGGACTCGAGTTTGGACTCGAGTTCTTGCTTCAGTTGGATGGAGCGCCTGCGTAGTCATACGCAACTAGTCAGACTGCAACAGGTTAATTGAACTTGGATTGAGTGATTGGTTGACAAAAATTGGGAAACCTCCCTCCCCCCAACCCGACCAAGAGATTTTGAAAAGAGGGGTTATGTAGGTATGAGTTGTCCTGCAAGACGGACACGTCAGATCTACAAAGTACAAGGCAGACTGACTTACGTCCCTCTTATCAAAAAGGATACTGTCGGATGCCATAGGCATCCAGGCATACAGATCAAACATGTTTGATATGCCATTATGTTTGGCAGTATAAATAGGATCTCAGTATCCTATTCATACTTGCTTTCTCTTCTTCTCTCTCTCTCAGTCTTGCTTCTAGATAGAGAATATCATCATCTTCTCTGTCATCAGATACCTACCTGGCGTATCCAAGATCATCTTTCACTCTCCGGACAATCACATCCACCCATCCATTCGTACAACCTTCCGGCGTGAGGAATGATTTTACTGCTGAAAGGATCACAAGAACTACAGATTCTATAGCTGTCTCTTTTCACGATGAGTCGCCGCGGAAATTGGCGATCTCGGGGTAATACGAGTAACCGAGGAGGACCCAACAAATTCAGAAAGCACAATCAGTCGGAAACATTATGTATGCACTTCCAACGTGGCACATGCCACTACGGTGAGAGATGTAGATTCTCGCACGATGTGAATAGGGCTTCCGACCTCGCGTCAAACCCGGCGGTATACCATCCCCCAACCCATGATCCAGACGCTCGGAATCAATACTTCGACTGGAAGAGACTTCTTAGAACTGGGCTCTTACTGTCTACATATTTGCGAAGGCGAGATAAAGATATCGCCCAATTCTGGAACGGGGCTCTTGAAATTCTTGAAAGCGACAACAGAGAGAATCATCAATCCCTCGCCAAAGATCTTGTGGACGATAAGTTTCAGGGCCATGGATTTATCCTGGCAACTACAGATGCAGACAATCCAGAGGGAGTACGACCTTTCCCAACTTACAACGAGCCATTTCTCAAAGTCATTACCCATACTTCTCTCTTGAGCTGTCTTTCTGTCGATTCATTTGTTGGCACTCTGTACACATCCTTTGGTGGTACAAATGGAGATCGAGCAATCAGATATCTGAGAAGGGTCTGCCAGGGCCTGATGAGTAAAGGTGATGAGACGAACGGAAATGTATTGGTCATCTCTCTGGACATGATGAAGTTACTGTTGAATACCCTGTACCAACTTTTGTCAAGAGTCCGACACGCTCGATTCCACGATGAAATGCCCGCACTGCTCGACCTAATCCGCAAAGTGGGCTCCCAAATTACCGAAACATGCTCGAAGGCCGACATTGACGGACTTGAGAGCAGAATAGAAGTCATGCAGAGCCTGATCACTAGCGCAAACCGCAGTCTTTTTACCCCCAGGGTGCATGAGGAAAATCTCCATAGTGGATCAGCCCGGTCGTCTTTTCCGTTGGATATGCAAACACCCGGTGGGAGACACGACAACGACCTTGCAGAAATCTCTCAAGTTCAGATCTTTCCTACCCATGGAGAGATCGTCAGCGGCAATTCAGAATATCTACCCTCCACCAACTTCCTTCAGCCGCACTTTCTCCCCGACCCATTGCAAAGATACATTGACTCAACATTCCGACTCCTGCGCCATGATATCTTCGGCTCAGCCAAAGATGTCCTTCGAGATCTGCTGCAGCAGAACGATTTGACACGGGTTTCATATTTCTCAGGTAAAGATAGCGGGGCACATCTCTATCTGGGAGCACAGATTCTCCAAATATTTATCAATGAGAGAAATGACCTCGAAGCGACCGTGTCCTTTGCTACTCCGCCACAAGTCCGCAACAAGACATCCAACGAGCAATGTAGATGGTGGCAAGACTCCAATCGACTGGAGGAAGGAAGCCTAGTGTGTTTCGTGACGTCCGAAGAATCTCATAGGAGGCTTATTTTTCTCGAGGTCACTGTGAAGAATGCTTCCAAGGACCGAGCGCACCAGAACAGGAGTAGTCTTGTGTCTGATAAGTTTCCACCTAGTATCACGGTCAAGCTTGCGGCATGCCTACAACAAGAACTGACCTTACTGGGCCGGCTTTACAGCGGAAAGCTCACCGGTATTCTGGTCGACTTCCATGGCTTGATCCCTGCCACGTTCGCCCCTATCCTGAAAAACCTTCAGCGAATCCAGCGCGAAGGAGACTTGGCATTCCAGAAATGGATCTTGCCAGGCCGTAAGGATGATGAAGATGGTCAAAGCATACCCCCACCAGCATACGCGCGCAAACCAGAATTTGTCTTTCCCCTGACTTCAATCACAACTGTTGGAGCTGAAATGATTACATTGGACCCGAGTACCCCTGAGTCTACTGACCTCTTGAAGCTGCAAGCTCAAACTGGTCTCGACCATGGCCAGTGCCAGGGGCTTATCGCGGCTCTCACGCGAGAGTATGCCCTCATCCAAGGCCCACCGGGCACCGGGAAGTCCTATCTGGGTGTCAAGCTTGTCCAAGTTCTCCTTGAGATCAGGGAAAAAGCAAAGCTAGGGCCAATTCTTGTCATGTGAGTACTGATTTTATACCTTCTTGTATCTTTACTTACAGGAATTGCAGCTGCTATACCAACCATGCCTTGGACCAATTCTTAAAGCATCTTCTTGATGTTGGAATCCAGAAAATCATACGCATTGGTGGCCGCAGTCAGGCCACTGAGCTTGAAGGCAAGAACCTTCGCGTTGTCAGTAAAGACATTGGGAAGACGAGGGTAGAGTCGCAAACTCTCGGCATGTCCTATGAGAGACTTGAGGAGTGCATGAAGGACGCTGGATATGCATTGAAACCTCTACACCAGTCTAAAAAGGCCTGTCTTGGGCCGCGATGGAGCATTTTTTACGCCGAAACTGGCCCGTCATACATGAACAACTGGAGCGACCGGATACGGAAGGATTCACAACTGTCACTGGCGATAAGTTACTCAACTGGCTTGGAACCACATCAATGAAAATCCAGAAAGACCAGAATGAGAGCGGAGTTGACGATGTGCGCTTGGAAGGCCTCACACGCGCTGCGAATGAAAATATTCACAGTCTCTCGATACCTGAACGCCGGATTCTTGCAATGAGCTGGTTCAGACAGTGGCAGGAGATCGAAACCGCTTCACTTTTTGAGGCTCTTGATCACGCTGCAGATCTTCGCGGAGACATCAATGCAGTCCATGAAGAAGTCAACCGTAGAGCCTTGATTCAAGCAGATGTAGTAGGTATCACGACCACATCACTTGCACGCCATATCGAGACACTGCGCCGAGTAGGAACAAAGGTCATTATATGCGAGGAAGCAGCTGAGATAATGGAAGCCCACGTCATCTCAGCCCTCATGCCAGGAGTTGAACACTTCATTCAGATTGGGGATCATCGACAGCTGCGACCACAGATTCAAAATCATTCACTTAGTCTTGAATCATCCACAGGAAAGATGTGGCAGCTAGACAGAAGCCAGTTTGAGAGACGCGCTCTCGGTGAGCCAGGTCTTAAGCCAGCCCCTATTGCACAGCTTAATGTACAGCGGAGAATGAGACCCGAGATCTCGCAACTAATTAGGAATGTCTATCCCAAACTGGAAGATCATCAAAGCGTGACGACTGTACCCAATGTTGTTGGAATGAGGAACAACCTCTTCTGGCTAGATCATCTTTGCGATGAAGACTCGAGAGATGATGGCAGCCGTGTGAAGTCTCATAGCAACCAGTGGGAGGTCGATATGGCTACTGCTCTTGTTCGGCATCTTGTTCGGCAGGGAGAGTACAAGAGCACAGATATTGCCCTCTTGACTCCATATACTGGGCAGTTGCGGAAGCTCAGGACATCGCTTAGCAAAGATTTTGAGATTTGCCTCAGTGAACGAGATCTAGAAACCTTGGCTGCGGATGGGTTTGAGAAGGCTGAAGATGAAAATCCCGAGTCAAATGGTCGCAAAGCACTCGAGAAGAAGACTTTGCTTCAGACGCTCCGACTTGCCACAGTCGATAACTTCCAAGGCGAAGAGGCAAAAGTGATAGTGGTCTCACTAGTTCGCAGCAACTCAAAGCGCAAGGTCGGCTTTCTACGCACCGAAAACCGCATTAATGTGCTCCTCAGCAGGGCTCAGCACGGCATGTATCTCATTGGAAATGCTCAAACATACCAAAATGTGCCAATGTGGGCCGATGTCCACTCTCAGCTCTCCCGTGCTAATGCAGTTGGTATGGAGTTGGCTCTGTGCTGCCCTCGCCATCCAGGTACGCCTATTCTATGCTCTGAGCCTCACGACTTTGAAAGGAAGAGTCCAGAGGGTGGGTGCAGTCTCCCGTGCGACCGTCGACTTGATCCATGTGGCCATCAATGTCAGGCCAAATGCCATTCGGCGGCCATGCACGACGGCTTTGCGTGCGGAAAGCCTTGCCCGCGTATCCGATCAACCTGTCAGCACGAATGCCCTAAGCTTTGTGGTGAAAATTGTGGTCTTTGCTTGACGAAGATTCAAGACGTTGAGCTTCCTTGTGGTCATATCAAGAAGGTCCTCTATTGCCATCAGATGTCGAACCTGGACCTCATCAAGTGCGATGTTCGAGTTGAAAAGACTGTTCCTAAGTGTGGCCATAAAATCCAGGTTGCCTGTCATAAGGATGTCGCGTCCCTGATATTCTGTTGCCCTGAGCCATGCACCGATATTCTCAGCTGTAGTCACAACTGCAGTAACTGCTGTGGAATTTGTCTCCAGAAAGTTGTTGACGGAAGAAGAGTAACCAAGCATCCGAAGTGCAAAAAGATATGTGACCGTCCACACGGTGTTTGCAACCATAGGTGTCCCAAGGAATGCCACGATGGGGAAAGCTGCGGTTCCTGCGAGGCAAAGTGCGAAGTAAGACTCACTATCACCCATTGTTACATCATTGTACAGAAACACTAATCATGCCATAGGTTCGATGCTCGCATTCAGCATGCGACTCAACTTGCGAAAAGGCATGTGCACCATGCATCGAGAAATGCACCTGGTCCTGCCTCCATCAAGGTTCCTGCTCAATGCCTTGTGCGGCACCATGTAATCGACTTCCTTGTGATAAGAGATGCACTAAGAAACTTGAATGCGGCCACCAGTGTCCAAGCCTCTGTGGGGAAGATTGTCCAAATAATCTGTGTCAAAAGTGCGGCAACAAGAGTGATGCTCGTGTTGACTTCATCGAAATGAAAGAATACTGTGAAATCAACCTCGATGAAACTCCAATTATCGTGCTTGGATGCGGTCATTTCTTTACAAGTGAGTCGGTTGATGGATTGGTTGGCCTGGATCAAGTATACACAAGGGATCAAGATGGAAAGTTTGAAGACCTCCGCGATCTCTCTTCTTCTCTCGCCACAGCCATACCCTCGTGCCCTGACTGTAAACAACCCATTCGCCAGTTTGTGACGAAACGTTACAATCGTGCTGTTAATCGTGCTGTTATGGATGAGACTTACAAGCGGTTCCTAGCCAAGGGTCGCAAAGACCTCGCAAATCTCGAATCGCGTCTGAATGATATTGAACACAAGCTCAACTCGAAGGGGGCAGTTGTTAGCCCTGTGGACGCCGCTGGAAAGCTCGAAGCAATTGACAAAGAGGCCTTGAGACTTGGTAGAACCATGCAGGCCGAGAATCAACCGATGAAACGGCTCATGGATGCGATTACCGCCAGCCAGAAACTGGAACAGGACGAAATAGCCTCCCTATCAGCCAGAATGGAGGCAACAAATCTAGCAACCCAGGAACCCGATAGTCAAATCACTCTTGGCGCAAGGCTAATTCAGATGAAATCCCAAGAACTTGCAATTAGCCATCTGTTCAGGGTTGCGGAGTCAAGAAAGAATCCTCTAGAAGTACGGCCAAGTGTCACCAAAGCATCACCAATGTTGACTTCGATGTTGGCAAATTGCCAAGACTTGATAACTCAGGCGCATGAGCGAAGCCTCTACCGCATCGTCATCACGGCAACTATCTCATTGGCAAAAATCGCCCAGCTGGACGCGTGGCATCGCCGCACTCATCCAGCAAAAACAACATCGGGTCTGAATCCCAAAGAAGTCAGCGCCAATTCCGAAAAGCTCGAAAATCGCACTGAAACCATCCGCGATCTCCTCGCCACTGCCTTGAGATTATGTGATGGACTGGGGAACTGCCCCGAGCTCCAAGAACAGGTCCAGGAAATGACCCGTCTCTACGAGGGGCCGCGGTATGAGACAGTGACTTTAGAAGAATTGGAATCAATCAAGACGGCCATGGTCAGTGGGCGAAAGGGTATAGCGACTCACTCTGGGCACTGGTACAATTGCGTGAATGGACATCCGGTGAGTAAAGTTCCTAGTCTCGATCTGTCCATGTCCCAAATCACTTTGATGGGACAGATGAGCTAAATATCAATTTTCTAGTTTGCTATTGGAGAGTGCGGTATGCCGATGGAGCAAGCTAGATGCCCAGAATGTGGAGCACCTATTGGAGGTCAAAACCACAGGGCCGTTGCGGGCGTATCTCGAGCGCGGGAAATGGAGTAGATGGAAACCATATTGTGTTTTGATTTTGGTAGAAAAACACATGTTTACTTTTCTTCCCCTGATACTGCACACGAATCTAGACTCAAAAAATTGACAGTTTATCAAGCTGCCCAGGTATCGGCATGATGGCATGCCTTTTGCAATTTCGAGATGTTTTGTTGCTCGTTCTCCCCGGTCACAATCAAGGCGACATCGTCAACCCAGCTGCTTGATCTCGCCCCTTCAAGCAGCTTGAATCGCACGACGTCATAACAATGATCCACGCAGATTGTAGTAAGTTTTTTTTCCCCGTTCACCTCCCGAGCCCAAACGCCTATTCTTATAGATGCTTTCTATCAGCACCCAACAACCTATTGTTCGATTTTTCCCCAGGCCGTATCACAGGATTGATTGACTTCGACTTTTTGTGCGTTTTCTATCCTTCATACGAGTTCCTTTGCTCCTTTAGTGGGTTTGGCGGCAATTTTGGAGGCTGGCCCGACATTAAGGCCAGTGAAGCAAGGGCCTTGAAAGAAGCTAGGTTATACGGCTTCCCAACCCCTCTCCCCGATATCTAGTAAGGATCCGAGGGGGTTTAATAGAAGGTTGCGAAGGACTAGGAAGAGGCCCTTAAGAATAAGGGTTGTAAGCGCCTATTGATAATCTGAGGGGATGACATTGTCGCTGATGTCGAAGTCAACCGCCCAAAAACGCCCACGACGCATAGGTCCATAGGCGCTTAGTTATTGATTACATAAGGCCCGTGGGTAATCCATGCTCACCCGGCTATGGGCGATGTCGCAGTCTAACCTAGTCCGAAAGGTAGTCGGACCTCATGCCGCTCTTTAGTTGAAATATGCGAATTCGAACAGTCAAAAAGCATGCCCGTACACGATTCTCACTTTTTTTCCCTTCTTTTTTTGTTTTTTTTCGTTGTTGCTCTGCCAGACTACGGAGTACTCCGTAGTTCGTTGTCTGGTAGCTAGATAGGCTAACAGATCACATAGGCTATCTTACCTCGGCTACCATGTGCTCTCGAAAATGCAGCAAAGTTTACTCATGAGTCAGTAGCCTATTCGGCGTCAAAACTGACGTCGAAATTGTTGAGTAGAAATCATTCCCGACGTTGGATTCTAGTCTTTTTGCCATACTTGGGCTTTGGCCCCCGGGGCTTGTGTCCCCGGGGGCCAGATAAGCGGATCAGTTCAGAACCAAATCGGCCAACTTGTCACATACATCTCAATTTCTCATGAATTAACTTAGAGTTTTCAACGATGATATGGGATACTACAGCCAATAATGGGTCTCAGAATAAGGGATCTTAGATAGGTTGTATTTAGGTTAGGGTTGGTGGGACGAGGTTTGGAGAAATCCCACCCTGGACATGTGTGAGACGGATTGCCTGACATTCCCAACGGTTCAACATTTTCCTGCTGGGAGCAACATCAACTGACAATTTGAGATGTTGGTATTAGACATGTAGTGCTTTATGTTAAATAATGTCCTCGGGTTCAGTTAATTGAAAATAATTTTCACCGCGCTTCAATTCCCATACTTTCCTGAGCCCCCGCAAGAGAGTTACGATTCTGAATACATCACCATAATGGCGCAGACCGAGCCAAGTGGTGGAAAAAAGCATATCAGTGAGAAGCCAGTCACACTCGGTAACTGGTATCAGCATGTCAACTGGCTCAACACATCTCTCATCCTGATCGTACCCATCGGTGGCCTCGTCGCTGCATTCTATACACAGCTGAGGCCACTCACTGCTGCGTGGGCAATTTTATACTACTTCTGGACCGGGTTGGGAGTTACCGCTGGGTACCATCGTCTATGGGCGCACAGATCATATGAAGCGTAAGTCTACCACTACCTCGCCCCCTGGCCTACTTCGAGTCAAGCACAGACTGACATCCGATATCTCCAGGCGCCTTCCAATTAGGATATTCCTCGCATGTGTCGGTGGCGGTGCCGTTCAAGGCTCGATTCGGTGGTGGAGTAGTAAGCACAGAGCACACCACCGATGGACCGATACAGTCAAGGACCCATACAGCGTCATGAAGGGTCTCTGGTATTCGCATTTTATGTGGATGGTTCTGAATCAAAACCCGAAAAACCGCGGCAGGACCGATATCTCCGACTTGAACGAGGACCCGGTCGTCGTCTGGCAGCACAAGCACTATGGATCCGTCATCTTGATTTTCGGGGCGTTGTTCCCTATGCTCGTCGCCGGCCTGGGATGGGGTGATTGGAAGGGGGGGTCTTGTATATGCGGGAATTCTTCGATTTTCGTTTGTCCAGCAAGCCACCTTCTGCGTGAATTCTCTCGCCCATTGGTTGGGTGAGCAGGTCAGTTATTGTCCATATCCTATTGTCATGCTCCCGTCCATAACTCTGACATATGGTAGCCATTCGATGATAGGAATTCACCTCGCGACCACGTCATTACTGCGTTGATCACTCTCGGTGAAGGCTATCACAACTTCCATCACGAGGTAAGAATGGTCTTTTTTTCCATTCATCTCTCACCCACTAACCCATGACTAGTTTCCCTCCGACTACCGCAATGCCATTCAATGGTGGCAGTACGATCCCACAAAGTGGTCAATCTGGATCTGGAAACAGCTGGGTCTGGCTTCCAACCTCAAGCAGTTCCGAGCCAACGAAATTGAGAAGGGTCGTGTGCAACAGCTACAGAAGAAGCTCGACCAGAAACGCGCCAAGCTTGATTGGGGTGTTCCTCTGGACCAGCTACCTGTTGTCGACTGGGACGATTTTATTGCAGAGGCTCAGAGTGGTAAAGCTCTAGTTGCCATTGCCGGTGTTGTTCACGATGTCAGCAAATTTATCGCTGAGCACCCTGGTGGCAAAACCCTCATTTCATCAGCCATTGGGAAAGATGCCACTGCCATGTTCAACGGCGGTGTCTACACCCACTCCAACGCTGCCCATAACTTACTTTCCTCGATGCGAGTTGGGGTGATTCGTGGTGGTGGTGAGGTTGAGATTTGGCGTCACCGAAACAACCAAAAGGGTGTCTATGCTTGAGGTTTCGAGACGTACCTAGTTAGATATCAATTTGTCACGTTTCACGGAAATATGGATCTGCATTTCGACCACAATAGCAAAGTTGGAAAATCACGGAGTCTAGCTGCGTGGAACAGATCGTGGCCAATGTTCTTCTTGCGGAGTTCACTGAATGGCAGCAGTGGTAGGTGGGCAACAAGACTTTTGGGGACATTCAAAGGCACACGATGTGGCTCACGACAATTTACTTAACCTGCTGCAGGTTGCTCCGTCACATGCCACACCGTATGGCATTGTGAAAGCATACCGACCGACGGTTATGAATGACGGTAAGCTTTGGGCGATGCGACACGGATTACTTCCCTCGTCACTAGAAAACTCAGTATTTGAGTCTAGATATGAGGCAGTTGAAAGAACACAATCCATACCATTCTTTCTCTTGAAATAATGAGTAGATCGAAACTTGACCGAGATCAAAGAAACATGTCATTGTATATGATTGGGTTTGTCTTGTATGGCAGTGAGGACGAGCCCTGCGGGCCTCTAGAGCCTTGTGGGGGAGAAGTCTACCGGGTCCGGCCCCTGGCGCATCAACCCAACACGTCAGGTGTGGAAGGAATTCCCCTGGGTCCCAGCCTCCTTTCTTGTCCCAACGAGATATACGAGAAAACACACCAATTGCCCCACCCCATCCTGAGACCAGACTCCAAGTTCCTGAAATCTCTTGACCCCAATGGTACGCCATATCAGTACAGGATTGACTGGATGGAGCAGGTTTCTTTTTTCGGGACTCAATTTCCCGTCACTCGTACACTGACGGTGAGCCCCGTTCGGTCGATTGATCCACCCTCATCCCGCCTTCCCGTGGTCCATCGTGCAACCGCCATCGGAATGAAATCGAGTAGTGCAGCAGAATACATCGAGAAGGTTCTCCGAGATCTGGAGATATTAGATGTGAAAGAAGATAGGTCAAGACATTTGGGACATCTTCCTAGCCTACAGCTAGACGGATGGGTGAAGACACGTTCTATGCAACACTAGTCTATATCCTTCTTCGTCCTTTTTTCAATTTGCGCATGGGTGTTCCCGCGGAGTAAGTCGTTGGACCTTGCTAGGTCAAAGAGATATTGATATCGTACGTACACACTATCATCGATCTGCGCGCCAGTTGCGCGGGCAGTAGTACTCCTAACGTGGCCATATTACGCTTTTCCTCACAATGGTACCCAAAATCTACGACCGCCTACCCCTTCTGCTGCATAAGATCGAGGCGATTATCTATTCTCTTACAGTTTCTTCTGTGGAAATAGCTGGAAATTTCTATTGTGAGAAAAAGTCCTTACTGACTGTTTGAGATTAAAATTGGCGTTCTCCAAACAGAATGAAATGGTCTCAAGCGAAAACGAAGAGAGAATAAATAAGGAACACTAGATCCATAGATCACGGGGAGATTCGTATACACAAGGTCGGGTAATCTAGCCTAGGAGGCTAGAGCAGTGGGCGGTCAAGGGGCGGCTGGACGTCCCCATGTATTGAGCCTGAACCTCATATCCAATAAATTGTCCAGTTCAGCTTATTCCGAACCCCTGCTGATCCTTGCGGAACAAATGAGGGACACAGGTATCAGCACGCCGATCCTGAAAGACTTGTCGAAGATAGAAGGGAATCATCATGTGCATCGCGTATCAACATCAGATGTGAAGAACCGAAATTTGGAAGTCATTTTACAGAATGGAGTAGCCGGAGGTGTCGCAGGCTGCGCTGTGAGCCTTACCACCTGAGTAACCAACAGTAGAATGCTGACGCCAGAGAAATGTAGGCCAAAACTATTGTCGCGCCATTGGAAAGGATCAGAATTCTCTTTCAGACCTCCCATTCTCATTTTGTGCAATATTCGACCCGCTGGGATGGTTTAATTAAAGCCGCCGGAGAAATTCGAACGTCATATGGTATACCTGCGCTTTTCAAAGGCCACTCGGCAACCCTAGTTCGTGTATTTCCATATGCGGGTATCAATTTTGTCGCCTATGAACAATTCCGAGCAGCAATTATCCCATGTCCCGAGAAAGAAGCACCGTGGCGACGATTTTTGTGCGGCAGTTTGGCCGGTGCAACCTCTACTTTAGTCACATATCCTCTTGATTTGATCCGAACACGTCTTGCCTTCGAAACAGTGCAAAAAAATCCCTCGTCGTGGCTTAAAATCTCTCAGAAGATTTACTATGAAGGGAGCAGCGGGAGCTTGTTCAATCTCTATCGAGGAATTGCCCCGACTATGCTAGGCATACTTCCGTATGCGGGCACGTCATTCCTCACTCACGATCTACTTAAAGACTGGCTTCGCTCGCCGGCCCTTGCGCCCTATACTCTAGAAGCACAATCTTCTACTCGACTGACCGCAGTTGCGCAGCTCTCCTGTGGCGCTGTGGCCGGCATAGTCGCGCAAACAGTTTCTTACCCTATCGATATCGTTCGACGACGAATGCAAGTCGGAACTGTCGCCGATACCAAGATGGGCATTTTGGAGACAGCCCAACGGATCTTTTTGGAAAGGGGAGTGAGAGGTTTTTATGTTGGGCTGACCATTGGCTATGTGAAAATGGCGCCCATGGTGGCCACGAGTTTCTATGTGTATGATAGGATGAAGCGATTTCTGGGCCTTATCGAGTAGCTTTCTTGTGCTCCTTTTAGCTCCAGTACCTACTTATCATCCGAGTAAATTAACCTAACACTTTCCCGAGTTCAACCTTGGAACTCTTAGGCTCCTTCCAGGGTCGCTCTGTACAAGGAACTAACCCAAATTGGAAAGAGCGACGTGGCTTACTAATTGGCGGCATCGATCGGCAAATCAACAAGTTACTCCACCGGAGTTTTGCCAGTCGCATAGAATCGGTCGAGGTAACAGATGTTCCGTGCCGTCAGTGGCAGAGCGCCTCTTAAGCTTGACTGGACCCGCACCTCTTAAGTTACATCCGAATAGGGGCTCGGATCTTCCTCCATCATCCAACCTTGGTTCAACAGTCCAATGGTTGACCTGCATCTAAATCATAGCCTGCATTCGGATAAATCCTGGTCTCTCTAGAACTTCTACCCCGGTTTCCGACCATTGCCCCCGCCCCCTAGCGTCAAAGCCATGCGGAGGTAGCTTAGCGCAAACTGGGGAATGTTTATTGCGATCCGAACGGAGCTTCTCATAAAATGCCTGCACCCCTCGGGCTCCGTTCATTAGTTTGCCCAACCCGCCTCACCCTCCGTTTTCTCCTCTTCATCTGTATCTTGTTCCTCTCAGTTACAACGCTTCTGGGAATCAAAATGCATCTCAAGTCTTATGTGACAGCCGCCCTGTATGGGCTGCCTGCCCTGGCTAATGCTGCCCCGTCGCCATCTCCCTCACAGGCTGCATCTGTCTCTTCTGCTGCTGACTCGAATTCCGACCACTTCAAGAGCTACACGATCAAGGCAGAGAACATCACTGCCAAGTTGATTCCGTATGGCGCGCGTCTCACCTCCTTGCTAGTTCCAGATCGTGATGGCAATGTCCAAGATGTGGTCGTTGGCTACGATGAGCCTAAAGAATATTTGCATGATAGTCAGACCAATCGCACCTTCTTCGGCGCGGTCGTTGGTCGCTATGCCAACCGTATCAAGAACGGTACCTTCACCATTGACGACAAAGATTATCACGTTCCTGAGAATGAGAATGATGGCGTGGACACCCTCCACGGTGGCTTCACTGGATATGATATGCGCAACTGGACAGTCACTTCCCATACCGAGTCCTCTATCACCTTCACCTTGCTCGATCAAGGCTTCGAGAAGTTCCCAGGAGACATCATCACCCATGCAACTTTCAGCGTGTCCACTGAGAAGACCCAAGCCAACCCCAAAGGTCTTCCTCAGCTGACCTCAAAGCTAGTGGCTCTCTCTCTCACCAAGAAGACCCCCATCATGCTGTCTAACCACATCTACTGGAACCTGAACGCGTTCAAAGAATCCAACGTGCTGAAGGACACCACCTTGCAGCTCCCCCTCTCGCAGCGCTTCATTGGGGGAGACAGCATCTTAATCCCGAACGGCACCATCCACGACGTTGAAAGCGCCTACAAGGGATCCCTGGACTTCACCAGCCCCAAACTCATTGGCAAAGATATCGAGAAGACCACCAATCTCTGCGGTGCCGGCTGCGTCGGCTACGACACATGCTTCCTCATCGACCGACCCTCAACATACGCGTCGAACTCGATGGTCACAGCCCTGAGCGCCTCGTCGAGCTCCACTGGTATCAGCCTCGACGTCGCTACCAACCAGGCCGCGGTTCAGATCTACACCTGCAGCGGGCAGAACGGCTCCATCGCCACAAAGAAGTCGCAGGCGAAGCGCAATAAGGCTGACGGCGGTGACGCCGGTGCCACCCACGTCAACAAGTACGGATGTTTCGTGATCGAGACCGAGGACTGGATCGATGGTATTAACAACCCGGAGTGGGGTCGTGTTCCCTACCAGGTCTTTGGCCCTGATGATGGGCCAGTCGTTAACTGGGCTACCTACCAGTTTGGCACTATCTAGATTACATCATTCTATAGTACAGTGCGCTACCTACTTGCATTACTTGCATCGAATTAATAATCATCTCTGCGTGGACCTCGACACGCAGCGCTTCTCTTGATCTTTCCTCCCTCAATCTGTACATGTAGGAATGAGAGCCACTTGCGGCCATTTCTGTAGCCCATAGAATAAAATACTCGAACCCGATATAATGGAGCATTGGAATCAAGGTATAAATACAAGCTCGCTCGGCGTTCTGCAGGACGACATGAAAGCAAAAGATATAAATCTACAGCTTTGACAAAATACCACACCCATTATCCCCACTCCCCTTCACAATCTCATCCTCCCAATAATTTGGATTGAACGTAATCCGGTTCAGCGGATTCAACCGGTGGGCGCGATTAAATAGGTCCTCATACACACGGCCATCATGTCGTCCCAGCGCACTATAACGAAGTCAGTTACGCTTGATTCTGCGTCAAATTACCTCGACCGAGCTGTCAGTCACTCACCTATCCAATAAATAATCAGGAATCATCCACGAGTCAACAAGTTTCACCGCATGTGGTCGAATACGCGCCATTAGGTCTTGGACTCGACTGGCTAGGGTATCCAGATCGGCTTGGGAGACGGCGTTGGAGCGGAAGACTGGCATTTGGTAAATTTTGTGAGACTTAATGGTAATAGTGAGTCTATTCATGTTGGCTTACATTCGAAGCTTTCGTTCTCCATGCTGTATAATGCGAACAGGCGGTAGCAGTCCCAGAGAACAGCTTTGATTGGTGCTGAGAGGGTTTTGTCATTGGATAGGGCATTGTAGAAGGTCGCGACGATTATTGATTCGGATTGGGCTGGTGTTTTGTCTTAGATTAGTGTAGAATGATAGCTTGTTTCATGATATGACCTACCACGACTTAGTTTATGAAGCTGAATGAGAAGACTGTTCCAATTTTGCTTCTTTATGACTCTTTGTTCATATGCGTCGTATGCCTGTTGAGTATCAGTCTCAGGCTGTTCGTCGACATGCGTTTTATGGTACTTACCATGGCGGTAGCTCTTAGTTCAAAGCTCTTAACAATGTCCAAATCACTGTCCAAACTCTTGTATGTCGCCTTTTTTGATCCTGGAAGACGCTTGTTGCGGATGAATTCTTTGAACTGAGCCTCAGTCTCATCGACGCCGGCAGTATCAGGCGACTTAACCGCAGCGGTCATCTTCTTGATAAGATACGCCGCAACCTGCTGCGTTATCATCCAATTATCACCCTCAACAGTGGGCTTAGAGAGGTAATCATTATTGACCTGGATCAAGCCGCTTCCGCCGCCAAACCCATGGCCACCCATGGCACGTCGGCACGTCTCAATACAATCTGCAGTGAGAATAGTGCAGAGACTCTTCAATCCAGAAGACATACTGTGCATATGAGCCAGAGAATTAAAATTTCCCTTCCCGATATCCTGACGCGCATTTTGGTAGACTTCCTGCATCGCAAGACCCGTGTAGTGAAGTGCAAAGGTCGTGGCAAGGAGAGGAAGGATTCGAATTTGGACAGTCGGATAATCCAAAACAGACATCTCCGGTCCCTTCTTGTCACCGTCTCGATCTTGGAACTGACGTCGCACGCTGCTGTAACGCACTGCAACGGTCACTGCTCGTGCGAGGACGAGTCGGGCGCGGTGGACCATGTTCGCCCGCACATAGGTCAGTGATCCATAGATGAGAGCTGGCTGCGCTGGCTTGGTATAAACTCCGGTGCTTGGATCAACGTTTGAGTATCGTGATAGCATAGCAGAGTGTGGAATTCTGGCGTTTCATTAATGAAATTATTCGTGGGGTATGGATAAGGTACAAACCTGAACTGATTAAACAACATGTACGCATTGTCCATGGTGATATAGCCATATTTTGGACCAATATCTCCAACAACAATCCCATTCAACGGTTGATGGGTCTTCATATCTCGCACCTGCACAATGAATGGATGAGGACCATGCGAAATGTATTTATCTGGCGAATTGGAATCCGGGAGAAGTAATTGTGCAACCACAATAGCGTGGTTAGCTATACGGCCTAAACTGCCATTCCACCATTTGCTCGCTGTAAGGGTTGGGCTATGCAGCACGAACTCCTTCGTTTGGTTATCCCAACGCGCCTCAAGCTCCAAGCCACGGACATTGCTTCCATGTCCCAGTTCTGTCTGTGCATATGCACCAATAATTTTCCAGGACTCTGTTAGAGGAAGCCAGTACGCTTGTTGTTCTTCACTGGCCTGCTCGCGGATGGTCGTGATGAACATCTCCACGTGCAGGAAGTATGGCGACACATCGTCGACCAGGTACTCGGCCATCTGGTATTCGAGGTGGCTCCATTTATGCGTGTCTTTCATTCGGCGTAGCAGCTTTGCGCGCGCAAGTCCTAGCTTGAACCTTTCCGGTCTGGAGAGGTTTTGTTGCTGGTCTTTGGAGAAGAGTGGCTCTTTTTGTATGATGGGCAAGATCCGAGCTTGTCGTTCCAAAAACCCATCCGAGGCCAACAAATGTTGCCCTAGCTCTTCAGTGGCAATGTTGGATTGCTGACGCTCGCGGGCTAGTGTTGTTGGCCCGTCTGGTTGGCCTGGGCGAAGGTTATCCGTGAAATCATGCATTTTGAATCTTCGACTCTTGGATTTCTGTGTCGTATAGTACCGTAGCGTTCGAATTTATTGATGTCTCGAATAGCCCTACCACACTGCCTCGGTACAATTCATAATATCAAATTCACCGAGTCCCGGATGCCGGCACCTCTGCCCCGCAGGGTAAACACAAACCGCGGGGAAGTATCAAGTAGCCGAATAGACAGAATATAGCGATCAACTATTGGCTGGGAAGTATAGAGGAGATGGATGTCGCCGCGATGTGTTTACTCAGATGCAATTGCCGGGATGACCTTGGACGACCGACATACAACTATATCAGCTCAGCAGCCAAGACAACAATCTTCGAACTCAACCAAAATGGGAGACCGCACTCTGTTCATACCTCCCCATGTGGGAGACAACGTTTTGCCAAATCTGCCCTTCTTCCACAGACTATTGCGTTATGCGCAGCGTAAGCCTTCCCCCATCGTGGTTCGGGACTTAGTTGCCGGCATGGAAAAGACATACCATCACCTTATCTCGGATGTGTTGGCCTTTCGCAAGACCTTGGAAAAATCGCTCAGCAAGGAAGCTCGACATGATTTGATTGCAGACAAGGAGGTATACATTGGGTTGCTTGCACCGGGAGGGTATGAATACACCGTCGGTTTTATTGCAATCCTCGCGATCGGTGCAGCAGTCGTGCCTATGGGTAAGTTAAAAATCTAATAGAAAATAGAATGCATAATTAATAAGCAGCAGCTGCCATATTGCCAGCAGAAGAAGCCTCATACTTCTTATCGAAAGCGCAGTGTGTGGCCCTGGTAGCCGGCACAACCAGCGAAAAGACCGCCCAGTCCATAGCGCGCTATATGGAAGAAAGCAAAGGGGTGCATATCCCATGCATATCCCCAATTGCATCTCATCTCCGCCCCACGCTTTTGCCGTCAGATCAAGCGACCATCTCCTCCGGCCCGGTTCCAGATATGAACGCTGCAGCACTGGTAATCTTCACTTCAGGCACGACAGGGCCCCCAAGGGTGCTGTGCAGCGTCGCAGTTATATATCCGGGAACGGAGAGGCGGATGCAGAGTTTTACCAAATCACAGACAAGGACACAGTTCTTCATGTCCTCCCGGTGCATCACGCCTCTGGTGTAGGGTTGACTTTTCTCCCATTCCTCGCAGCTGGCGCATGTATCGAGTTCCGTAGTGGCAGTTTCGATACAGCGTGGACATGGGAGCGCTGGCGACAGGGGGTCTTACCTTTTTCTCTGGAGTTCCCACTATATACATGCGTATGATGCGGTACTATGAAGAAAATATCGCACACCAAACTCCTGAGATACGTGACCAGTATATTTCTGGTGCGCGTCAGATAAGAGCGATGCTGTGTGGTACTTCAGCACTTCCAGGGCCTGTACAGGAGTTCTGGCATCAAATTAGGAACAAGCCAATCCTCACTCGATATGGTGCGACAGAGTTTGGGGCCGTCATCAAGACTGAACTTGATTCTGACGGAACACCGCAGAACAGTGTTGGTCGTGTTGCTGAGGCGGTCTCGCTCAAGCTTACGGATGAGGGCCAGATATTAGTGAAGTGTCCTTACATGTTTTCCAAGTGAGCCAAATGGCCTTTCGCGAGGTGGTGATGTGCTATCCTAACAGCTCTTCTCAACAGGTATCTCTTCGATGAGAAAGCAACGGCGGATGCACACGATTCCGAGGGGTACTTCAAAACGGGAGACATTGCTCGCCGCGAAGGAAAGTATTATTTCATCCTGGGGCGTGCCTCGATCGATATCATTAAGTCAGGTGGTTACAAGATATCCGCATTGGATATCGAACGCGAGATCCTAGGTCTGGACTATGCCTCGGAGGTCATGGTTGTGGGCGTTGAAGACGAGGAGTTTGGTCAACGAGTTGCTGCTACTGTTAGCCTCAAACAAGGTCAAAAGATAACACGTAAGAGCCTCACACTCGCTGAGCTTCGTGAGGACCTGCGGAGTAGAATGGCTGGGTACAAGATGCCGACTATCCTTCGTGTGGTCCAAGGTGAGTTGCCCAAGTCGGGTACAGGAAAGGTGCAGAAGAAGATCTTGGGGCCGCAGTTCTTTCCTCCCAACTATCGAGAGCTGCCTGAGGTGCAAGTCTGGAGCAAAGAGAACACAGCCAAGTTATAAGAGCAGATATCAAATTCAAAGAGTCTCTTGTCAATCTAGCGATATATTTACATATCTCAATATCATTGTCACTATCAAATCTTCACCTTAGCAGGTGCCGAAGTCACCCGACTATGAACATAACTAATCCGCTGAAACTTCTCAATAGCGTCACCCCAAAGCTCCTGACGAAGCAAGGCATATACCCTTTTACGGCATTAGCAGATATAATTTCTGTTCAAGATTTCTTGTGCGGATCAAGACTTACCCCATCTTCGCTTTGGGTGCCCACTTCGCCGCCAATTCCAAGGCAACATTCAGCATCTCCTCTGGCTCCGCAACAACATCCACAATTCCATCCTGCAGTGCTTCAGGTCCAGTCCATCTATGCGCCTCGAGCAACATTTTACGCGCAATCTGCGGGCGCAGTTTTAGACGAGGCAGCGAGCCAATGCCATCAAAGTGCAGACCCAGGTTCACCGGAGGCATAGAGATAAAGCCGCGGCGAGAGTTCATGACTCGATAGTCATGTGCTAGGGCTAGCGGGCAGGCGCCGCCAAAGGTGTGTCCAGTCAAAAGAGCGATGGTTGGGAACGGGAAGTCAAGAATCGTATGGATGAGCTGGATGTTGTTTGTCAGTGTGGTTTCATACCTAACATGCTAGGATCTCTGTTCAGAGCTAGCTTTAGAGCTATTCTCACTGGATAGAACCCATCTGTATTAGCAAACGGGTTGTTGTCTGATTCGTCGAGCTCTAGTCCCTGCATTTTGTTAGTTCTTCTGATATTGCTTTGTTCCAGGGACTTTAATGTACAGTGCACCAGAATTTGGCATCATTGCCCTGCGTGATTACTGCCCCTTCCGAGTCAGATCCCAGGATTCTTTCTACGGTGCGATAGGCCCGGATCATTTCCTGGCAATACGATGAGTTCAACCGGTTCTCCGGCGGTTTCTGCATGGTCAGAACAAACACATTCCCATGTCTTTCGAGGGAGAGATTGTGGAAGGTTGGGATTTCTGTCATTCTGGTAATTGTATGGAGAACAAATTGAATATCAATATGGAACATTCGAGCTCCTTGTGTTCAACAGTCTACTTTGTGTATGTACATTCGTGGATCCCCCGCATTTTCACATCGCCATGTGTATGTTGCCGAAATTCACCGAGTGCCGAAAAATACCTCCAAAAGGACGTTAGCATATATTAGCCTGTTGCCATACTACCTACTCGGATAGAATCGAAAGGTACATGAATCAGAGGTTATACTTGGTACATAGTTAAGAAATTGCTAGGCAATCTCGCCGTTCCATTCCAAATCCTTAAACAGCCAATCTCCCATGCCCTGGTACTGATGGAAGAAATCGCCTGGAATATCTTGCGACATATCTTCCATAATGAGACCTTCATTGGGGTCCAGAATCGTAGTGAGTGGCCTGTAGTCATCCAAAGATAGAGCATCCGGTGCCCGGGACTCGGCCCAATTTCCTAGCTCTGGGATCCCGGCTCCCATAAAGCTATCGGTGTTCCCATCATGGCCCACAGATTGTCCAAGATCCATAAAATATGGCCAAGCCCAGGAGAGATCCGGGCCAAACACTTCAAAGAATGGTCGATGGTCTCTAGAGAGTGTCGGTAACGGCAGCTCGTCTACTGTCGACGTGCTTCGCTGCTTTTCAGCAATGCTCTTCAACGCTCTGAGGCTACCTTTTGCAGATGACCAGCGTTTGGAAAGTTCTTCGAGGGCCAGGTAGATGGATTCCAAGCTCACTGCTGCTTTCTCCCGGTGAGATGGCACGTTGTTGCACGAGAGAAGCCCGATCCCAGCAGCCAAAAGGTGGAATGTGAATACTGGGCTTAGGAATTGGACCTCATCTCGAGCAAGGAAGTCTTCAAATATCCCAGCCATAAAAGACGATGCCAAAAGCACTCCTGGTGATGCAGATTCTCCAGCGTTGGGTCGACACATGATTGCCAAGCAGGTAAAGTATGGGATGTGAAGCTGACGTGCTTCAAAGTTGTATCCAGCCAGTATTTTTTGCGGTGATATTGTATCATCTGAGGTATTCCTACTGCGAAACAAACGCAGTGAGGCGGGAAGATCGCGTGTCCATCGATACAAACGATTCTCGAGGCTCTGTCGGGCCTCGCGTGTGAGGCTCTTGCGTCGACAATACTCCGTGAGATGGCCCAGAATAGAACTGATCTCGACATATGCGATGAACAGAGTGGCGTTTGAGCTTGAATCATGGAAATCCTCCGGACAAGGCGGCGCCACCTCACAGTCCTCCAGATCCACTGCTAGTGGTCGGCCCTGCCCTGCGGAAATACAACAATCTCTTGCCTGTCTGATGTGAGCGTTTTTCTGTGCTGGCAAAGAAATACATTCCTGACTTACATATAAAGTCCACCACAGTCTGCGCCTCAGGGCAGCTTCCCTTTTATTCGTTGGCTCCTTATGCAGTCCAATCTGATGAGCTAACCCGACTCCCACATATCGCCAGAATCCACTGGTATTGGTGGACACATGCTCAGGGCCTTCTGGGTTATACCAATGCAAAATGCACACTGCTGCGACAACAGTTACTGGATTTCTCTCGTATCCAGACCAGAACAAGGCTTTTGCGCGACGATAAAATTGATGCAAAGACGCATACGCAGTCACTGCCGGTGCAGATGTGACTCGGCTGGCAGCGACGAATATAGACTGGAGAAGTAGAATAGACGGCTTCTGGGACCCGCTTTCTTCCAGCCAGCTCCGTTCAATGATTGGCATCCATGGTGAACATCGTTCCATGAATGTGTTAATCAGTCCTTCACGGATAGCTCGTGGTGGGAGGTCAAATGCACCTTGCAGTCTAAGCAGCTGGAGGTCATCTTCAGTTGGTCCATCTGCATCTCCTTCTGGATATGATCGAGCCTGTTCTTCGTTGATTGCCACGTCGTCAAAGTAGCGGGAGCGTGCCATGAAGCTTAAAGTCGAAGCGGATGAGTATGGATTGGAATCTGGTGTAAAAGGTGTATGGTCTCCAGTACCAGCTCTAACTTGACTCGTGTCGCGGTGTTGATTTCGATCTTGCTCACACTCAGAGCTTGTACATGGAGATTTAGCCGAGCCGATAGTACTGAAGTTGTTTGGCTCATCCCAGTTCACGCGCCTCTTTCTAACGGCTTCGGGATCATTGATGCAGCCATCATTACTCTGGGCTCGTTTTCTCTTGCGCTCTCGTCGGCTGTGCGGCAATCAGTATCTTTGACTTCACCGTCAGAGATCAACTTTCTTACAAACAGGGCCACTGATGCCGTTGGCAATTCACACATACGTCGGGATTTTCGTCAAAGATACAGCGAACCTGAAGTGTTCAGTATATCTGTGTTTTCAATTCATTCCACTTCTCGTACCTTCTTTTTATTGCAGGCCACACATGCTGTAGGGGCTCTTAATGGTGGAGGACTAAAATCGTTCATTTTTGCTCTGTTTCATGCATTCGAATGTTCCAAGTAGAAGAGTCGACAATCCGCGGCATCGCATCGGTCACTTCCCCGCGAAAGCCGTATAGCCGAACCGACGGCTTTCCTTTTTGGGATGCTCCATACTCCATAGAGAAAGTAGAAATTGTAGAAAATAGTAAAAAGAAAGGCAATTGGGGAATTGGAAGTCCAATGGGGTATCTATTGTTTTTGGAAAATGTACATAATTTTCATGCCCAGCCTGCGAGCGTCCAACTCGATCGATCACCAGATTTCAAGCCCGACCGACGATCAGGAACAGGATGGTCAATGTCTCGTGTAGCTCCAGCGAGTCCATGCTGTAAGAACTTTTCGCGTTCGATTTCTACCATTCCGCGGATTTTCAGACTAGTTGTCAGGCTTGCACCAGCCCATGGACCAAGAGATTCAACTTCGCGCAAGACTCCTTGAATAGGAATTGGGATATCTTTATTTTGTCGGCGAAGCTTTTGTTCCACGAAATCGATCTCAGGTACTTCCTTCGAGGGGTCGGCTGGTGCCTCGCCGGTGGATGGTGCTTCCTCTTCCTCCTTGGGGGTTTCGGGTTCTGTGGGAGCTTTTGCTGAAAGTCTCAGCTGTTCCAACCGCTGTCTCTGTCGCTCGAGTGCTTTGCCTCGAACTGGACTCCATCCATGACGATCAATCAAGAGTGAGACTTCTTTAAGAACCCGCTCCCGTAATCCAGGAATCCGAGAACCGCCGCCTACAAAAACAATGCGGGACATGCATGTTCCTCGTGCATCGGGGTACAGCGAGAGAAGGGTGTTATAGACAAGCAACGGCAATGATTTTTCTTCGTCATCCAATTCATATTCTGGGACACCTGCTGCCAACAAGACCTTCTCGACAGGTTCGGCGAGACGTGAAAATGGTACGTCCATATATTCTTCCTCGGGGTTTGCAGGCGAGGGAATCGATAATTTTCGGTCGGGTTCATCTGGGTTTTTATCTTCTTCTCCCTGTGGTTTGCACCAGGCAAACCGACTGACGACTTCTTCACAGTACGAGAATCCAACTGAAATCTTACCCGCAGTGTCAACATGCTGGTTCCCGTCGGAAGCCAAGCCAGTAAGAAGCAGCCCCATTTCCTGCATCAAATGCTTCATAGACCGTGTGGTTCTCTTTGTAGTCATCTCTCGGTATTCGTAGATCGCTGTTGCCGTGGTCTCGGCCCAGCCTATGTCAACCACCATAGCTGATCGCAATCCCGCAGCAGTGGCCGACATGGTCGCACTGGACAGAAGGGTGACACTGGGAAAACGCCATCGACTGAAGAGCGTCGACAGCAACGACGACAGCAATGGATGTGGCATGAGGGACGGTAGGACAAGAACCAGGCGAGATGTGCCTGCATCCGTCAACAGGAACTGGTTGTATGTCTCTCGAAACGCGCGCTCGATCTTATCCTCGACCAGGCCTAGATCCACCTCTCGAGAATCTGGCCGCCAAAGTTCGTATATCCGTGTCCACTCTTCCACATCGATGGGTTGCGGTAGCCTTGCAGCACCGGTGCTGCCCTGGATCCATCCTCGATAGTCCCCGACTCTCCTCGAGTCTTCAGGTCCAAATCCAACCACACACATAGGCGTACTGCTTCCTTCAAAGCCTGCGCGGAGCCATCGTGCGCCTATCTCAAATATGATCGCATCGTCTTCGCTTCGAAAGGAGGAGCTTGGTGATGTGCTGCTGGCGAATGAGGGGTTTCCCGAACGTGGCTGAGGTGTATGAGGAGAAACAGGTCGTGCTGTCTGGCTGTTTCGCAGACCAGAATTTGCTGATGCGCGTTTACTGGCACTCATTGAGGGTGTATCACTCGCCATGCTTGATTGAGCTCGGGCGCGTTGCTCTCCTTTCCGGGATCAACAGGAGCCCGCGGGGTTCGTATGGACAAAAATTCAATTCACCAACACACAGGTTGAAGTTTTGACCCCATCTGATCAAATTGAAAGACAAAAAAGGAAAGTGAGCTCTATAAGCTTGCCCAGATTGGGGGTGAAGCTCGTTGTTAGGCAACGGATCTACATCGGGCCGTCTTTATTTACTTGACAACCTCCCGTCTCCGCAAAAACCAATCCATGTACATCTTTAACTCCTCATGGGCGCCTTAATATTTATTTGATTTCCTATCGCTTACAGTCGGTATGGGTATTCCTGGGTGAGTAATATCATTTTCTTCTCACTTTTATTCCGCGAGGATGGAAACATATATATTCGTATGAGCGTTGGGGAGAACGTTGTTTATCCACCGCACGACGAGCAAACAACATATCCTCAGATTTCTCGATGAGAATGCTAACTCCTTGAAGGCTCATCAATGCAATTGGCCCAGGAGAGCGTATCTCTCTGGCAAAGTTGGCAGTAACGCATCTGGAACGAACAGCAAGGCCGATTCGCATTGCAGTTGACATTTCGATCTGGCTCTTTCAAGTCCAAGCAGGTCGGGGCGGAAGAAACCCAGAGTTACGTACACTATTTTACCGATTATTAAAGTTACTTGCATTACCAGTTCACCCGCTTTTCGTCTATGATGGGCGGCAAAAACCTGCTTTCAAGAGAGGTAAAGCAGTCTCATCCCGCAGTTATGGCAGTGCGCCGATTATCAAGCGCTCCAAGGATTTGATCGAACGGTTCAAATTTCCGTGGCACGAGGCACCCGGGGAAGCAGAAGCTGAATGCGCACGGTTACAGCAGGCAGGCATTGTGGACGCTGTCATGAGCAACGATGTCGATGCATTGATGTTCGGATCGTCTTTTACCATTATGAATTTTTCGAAAGAGAGTGGAAGCGGCAGCTCTTCTGCAACTCATGTCACATGTTATGCAATGGGACAGGATGGACATCCCTCAAACATACCGCTTGACCGACCGGGGATGATTCTATTCGCTATGCTCAGTGGAGGGGACTATCTACCATCTGGTGTTCCGAAATGTGGCAGCAAGCTTGCCGCGGAGATTGCCAAAGCTGGATTCGGGGAGGATCTTCTGCAGAAGCTTGCGTCACAAAAAGACGTGGATACAAGGTTGAACGAGTGGAGAGAAAGACTTCAATATGAACTTGAGGAGAACGAGAGTGGCTATTTCACAAGGAAACACCCAGCAGTTCGAATTCCAGCTGCTTTTCCCGATCGAACAATTCTCGAGTACTATGCCCAGCCCAAAGTTTCCAGCGACGAAGAAATGACCTTCCTGAGAAATCGTCTCGCACAGGCGTGGGATAATGATATCGACCCCCTGGCAATTCGGACATTCACTGCAGACAACTTCGAATGGAATTATCGATCGGGGGCAAGGAAATTGATCAGGCTGCTGGCCGAGCCTCTCATCTCGTACAGACTCCGTCTGCAAAGACCAGTTCTAGGCGTGTCGCCTGGTTTTTCATTTGTGCCGGATTGCCCGCCTGGTCTGCAGAAGGTGTATCGATGCCGGTCAAGCTTCGGCACTGATGCAGTCCCAGAGATTCAGCTAGATATGCTGCCGGCAGATGTTGTTGGGCTGGATCTTCTTGCCGAAGAACCAAACCCACCGTCCCCATCCCAAACCAGTGTGCAGGAAGGCGAGGAAGAGGACGACCCAGACGTAGTTGTTGGATCACCACCTCCGACACCATCAAAGCTTCGAGTCACAAAACGGTTTGATCCGTTTTCTCTCGAAAAGATCTGGGTATTCGAAACTGTCGCAAAGATAGGTATTCCTGGAGTCGTTAAAACTTGGGAGAAAGAACAGGCCGAAAAAGCCGCGAAAGCTGAAGAAGCTGCGGCGAAGAAGAAAGCCGGTACTCGACGCACCGGTCCCAAGAAAAAGGGACCTATTGATGCTGGAATGAAACGGGGGAGTATCTTGAAGTACGGGACTCTCACGAAAGAAAAGTCTGACTTGTCCACGACTAAACAAGCGCACTTGTTGGAAGCTGGTACTTCAAGTCAGAATCCTCTTTCCCGGCTTGTCGCCGGCTCTGGGTCTTCTTCGCCAATAATGTTGGATCAGGACGACGACCCTTTCTCCTCTCCGAGCATGTATATTCAGCAGAGATACCCATTGACGATACGCTACGTTTCTCGTGAAGTCAATGGTATCCTTGATTCATTCTCTTCAATGTGTTCTCTGTCTTCCTCTGCAAATATCAAGCGTCACCCCATGTCAGATCAATCCCGCATTAGATCAAGGCGCACAGCTTTGGGGACTGGCCGAGTTGATATCGAAGAATCAGATACACTCGACATGAACACCGGACATTCTCCGTCTCGACCAGCAGGGTGCATGGGGCTCAAAATCAGCTACTCGGTCTCCGACGGTTGTGAATCTGAGACGTTACTGAAGGACTCTCCAGCCAGGACCCTGGAAGCACGGCCTTCTCCACCCAAGAAGACTCTATCCAAGTCAAAGAAGGTCCCCAAGGTACACTATGAGGAAAAGGCCGAGGTTGAACACATCGAAAAAGCTATCGAGTCCCTTTCTCTGTCGTCGAGGATCGACGAGAGCCAAGTTGAAAAAACCGCAGCTCGCCCTTTGCGCCTACCCCCAACAAAGAAGGCACCACAAGCAAAAAAAGCTCGGACTCGTCCCTCCAAGGCCGAAGATGTCGAACCATCCCGAGCTCGCATTCAAACAAGTTCCAAACCCGAACTCGAGCGAGAGCATACATTGCCATTGGGGTTGAGAACATGTGAAACCAATGAGGCCAGCGACGTGAATAGATCTCCCAAGAAGCCCGTAAAGAAGACTACGAGCGCAGGTTCACAACACAAGACCACAGGGCACCTGGAAAATGTTATATTGCACGACGGCTTTTGGTCGATCGACCAATCTCCGCCTAAACAAGATCCATGCGAAGGCTCAACTGCTGATATCCTGAGCACCGCGCCCAGACAAACCCAAAATACCAAGAAGAAAAGAATCCCACGCGTCAGCATTCTTGATCTCGTTGATTAATGTCGTTTATATACCCTCTTCTCGTTTTGGCGGATTGGCGTTTTGCATGGTGTTGATTTCCCCGGTTCTAGCGATGTTCGTTATCTTACGGCGTTAAATGGCCATGCCGCATACCTTCGGTCAAGAGTTTCGCAGACTGATGTCTCATGAATTGCTGGCCATCGTGTACATATGCTGCAGGCATCATTGCAAATGAAAAGACAATGTGCGTATATGAAAATTGTACAAAAGTCATATCCAAGAAGTAATCATGTAGAAGACAACATTCAAAGAGTATCTAGATTGGAGAATAAGAAGAAGTATCGAAATGGTCACGGCTTTAGCCAGTCCCTATCTAAACAAGAACCCATGCAGCGGCCAGAAAGTAGAGAAGCTCAAGAGAAACATGTCCAATGTTAAACATCAGACGCCTATATATAGTATTAGAAAAGACAAGAAGGGAATATTGTGCAAGCGCCGGTCAATCAGGAATGTATAATTTATCCATCTACCATCCATCTACCCAAAGACCTTGAGGAAACCCCACAGGCCAACTCCACTCAACACGGGGATCGTCAGATTATCATCCCAACCCCACATATCAATAAACTCGCTGCCGGCGGCAACAACACCAGAGACAAAGCTCATGACGCCTAGAGCCAGAGGACCAGTGATGACCGCCGAGTCACTAGGCTCCCAGCCCAGAAGGCCACGGACGCAGTTTGGGAGCAAATTCAATTGCCCGGTGAACATGAAGGCATCTTCTGGGTCATTGGGGAAACTGCCAACGTAAGGCACGAACCAGCCCCAGAAAGCAGCGGCAGTGACAACACCCATGAGCCAGGCCGCCATAGTACCAGCCAAGCTCTTTCCGGGACGGAGACGGGGGGTGTAGCGGCCGTACAAACGACCGAATGTCGAGGCGGCGGTGTCACACCAGCTAAGGAGTAGCACGCTCATGACACCGACGTCCTTAGGGAAGAAGCGGAGAGCAACATACGCTCCGAGGAGATACCAGATTACGCCGTTGTAACCGGTGACCTCCGTTTCGCGCATGAGAGCACCCATACACCGAATGTATACTTTGTTGACCTTCTCGAAGCGATGGCGGATCAGGTCCGTGAGTGCAATCGGTACTAGTGCAGTAAAGAGTACGGGTGTAATCTGCAGAGTTTGCACGCCTCGGCCATATAATGACAAAGTCAAAAATCCGATTGACACGTGCAAGACCTTCCGCGGGATCTCATGGCGGTGAATGAAGCTGCGATAGCGTGCGTGGAGGGGGATCAGCCCGAGAGGAGATGGTGATCTGGACAAATCGCGTAGGGCGTCGGGAATGCTTGACGGGGACAAATGAGTGTTCGAAGCAGTACCGTTTGCTGAGCGCGGCGGCGAGGCGGGTATCATGGGGTTTGATCGGCGGTTGCGCCGGGCCGAGGGTGTTGTCGGGGATCTTGATGCTCGGGCAGAGCCAGTAGTTTCGGCTGAATCTTCTGGCTGGCGCTGACGACGCGCTGCAGACCGGGTTAACGGTGCATTATATCCATCGGGGGTCTCGGACGGGTCCGATGCAGAGGGGGTCGGTGATATCACGCGAGGTGTCTCCGGTACGGGGTTCGATGAAGACATTTCGGGGTCCTCAATTTAAAAGGAAGCGACGGGGCTCGGACGACACCGAAAGGTGGTCGCGTACAGATATCTGCGTTTGTCGCAAGCGAATGTGCCACGGAGTTTCAATCTAACAAAGCAATGATAGGTGGGTTGTAAGCACGTGACAGTGATTTATTGTCAATTATGGGCGAATAAGCTGGAGACACAAGACAGGAGCCCGGTGCATGATGCGAACACAGAGCACTTGTTATATTAAAGAGAAAAAAAGAAAGTAAAATGAAGCAATCCTGACTCGAGGGAAATAACAGAGTGCCTCAATTTCCGACCACAGCCGCAGTCACGTGCGCGGTATCTAATCGATAACGGATATTTTTTTTCTTTGCGATGGCGACTCGTGAAGCAATTTGACGACTCGGTGTCTCTTAGAATTAATAAATGCCTCCCAAACCGTCCTCACGAGCGTGGGATGCTCTCACGCCCCCGCTCTCAGAATGGACCCTCGACGCTGTGGCCGCAATGGGCTTCACGCGCATGACTCCGGTCCAGGCTTCGGCCATTCCTCTGTTTATGCAACATAAAGATGTGGTGGTGGAAGCCGTCACTGGAAGTGGAAAGACATTGTCGTTCTTGATTCCAATCGTGGAAAAGCTCCTTCGCCTTGATCAGCCTCTCAAGAAGCATCATGTTGGAGCCATTGTCATTGCTCCTACAAGGTGAGTAACGCGCGAATCTAGGTCGGCGAAGTTCGTTGCTAACATTGATATCTCAGGGAATTGGCCGTGCAAATTCACCAAGTCCTTATCTCACTATTAGAGTTCCACCCAGCGTCGGCCGCAGCCATCAAACCCGCTGAAGAGGGCGCTCCTCGTGCGAAAATCTCTTCGTCGACATTGAGGGTCGTCCCACAACTTCTTCTGGGCGGCGGGACATCTCCTGCAGAGGACCTGAAGTTATTCCTTAAGAATTCTCCAAACGTGTTGGTTTCCACACCTGGAAGATTGTTGGAGCTGCTTTCGTCGCCTCACGTTCACTGCCCTCAAGCATCTTTTGAAATGCTTGTCCTGGACGAAGCCGATAGACTTCTTGATCTTGGGTTTAAGGACGACCTGCAGAAGATTCTGGGCCGATTGCCTAAGCAGCGACGCACAGGATTGTTCAGTGCTAGTATCAGTGAGGCTGTTGATCAGATCGTCCGACTTGGTCTCCGAAATCCCGTCAAAATTGCTGTTAAGGTCAGAGGAGGAGCTGGTGTCGAAGAAAAGCGCACTCCCGCGAGGTATGTCATTCAATCCGTGTTCTAACCTCAAAAAGGCCAACCTGACCGCTAAACAGTCTGCAAATGACCTACCTGACAACACCTCCGCTTCACAAATATGCCATCCTGAAGCACATCCTTTCCACGGTCCAGCCCACACCTCAAAAAACCATTTTCTTCGTATCAACATGCTCTAGTGTCGACTATCTCGCTACAATACTACCCATAATCTTAGGGGACGAGTTCGTCCTGGTCCCACTACACGGGAAACACCAAGCCAACGTCCGCCAAAAGAACTTTAACCGCTTCACTACCTCTACAACTCCTTCCATTCTGCTCACCACCGATGTCGCCGCTCGCGGTCTAGATATCCCCTCCGTCGATCTCGTGGTCCAGATCGATCCACCCTCCGACCCCAAAACTTTCATCCACAGATGCGGTCGTGCCGGTCGTGCCGGCCGCCGAGGCCTCAGCATCGTCCTCATCCACCCCGGCCGCGAGGAAGACTACGTGTCGTTCCTAGAGATCCGCAAAACCCCAGTTGCGCCATACACCTTACCCGAGTTCACCGACGAACAGGCCATGGCTTCGATAGACAAAGTCCGCAAAGCCGTGTTGAAAGACCGCGCGATGCACGACAAGGGCCAGAAGGCATTCGTCAGCTGGCTGCGCAGCTACAGCAAGCACCAAGCAAGCAGTATTTTCCGGGTTGCAGATCTGGACTGGGAAGCTCTCGGTAAGGCATGGGGTCTCCTCAAGCTGCCAAAGATGCCTGAGGCGCGCTCCTTTGAGGGTGATCGGACGTTAGGCATCAAAATTGAATGGTCGGACTACACATACAAGGATAAGCAGCAAGAAAAACGCCGCAAAGAGGCTATAGCGGAGGCTGCTAATGGACAAGGTGCCGAACAGGGTACTAAACGCCGTGCTACAGAGAGTGTGGCTTGGAGTCAGAAGAACGAAGAGCGGGATAAGAAGTTCAAGAAGAAGGAGTTCAATAAGGCGCGGAAGGAGAAGGAGAGATGGGAGAAATTGCCAGAGGATCAGAAGCAGAAAGCTCTTGAAACGGAGCGTATGCTGGCAGAGATTCGTGCTAAGAACGAGCAGCAGCGGTTGTTGAATTTAGCTGCGAAGGCAGAGGAAGCAAAGAGCGGTGGTGAGTTCAAGGGCTTCGACTAGGTCAAAAAATAGCATAGATATTATTTTCGATACCATTTGTGTTTTGTTCTCTGCTACTCCCCTACTTCATCTTTATACAGCACTCTTAATAGGACTCTTCGCGTATTAGGTCTGGAGGTCTTTGAAGGATGATCACCCGGTATGGGGGCCGAGTATAGGCGCCGTGCCAGAACGGGGCTTGGACCTACCTAGTATACTCGAATTCACGGCAATGAAGATTTCAATGGGCAGTCTGACATGGATACGTGGGAGATTGTCCTTTAACCGAATCCTAGGCTGTAGCTGGGAATTAGAAGAGTACGATGGTGAGTTCCATATACAACCACTGCTATGCGCTGCGGAAGCTACGTATGAAGGTCACCGCGGCATTTCAACTAGATCCAGGGATTCATTTTTGCTGCCTTGTCTTCGCCAAAGGCTGATTCTTTGCGCTCGCGAATTCCAACCTCTGGTTGAAGAATAATTGCTTGAGTTTCAGGTGGATTTGCTGTGCTCTGTCTGACCATCATGAGTCAAGCGCAAAAGACGGATTCTACGCGCTGGCGCATGCGAGACGAGGACGGAAAGCATACGTGGCATCACCTTGATGACGACGAGGCCGTTGCCAAATGGTCTCAGACACTAGTTGATAAGTATTACCTAGGGCTTCCGCTGGCATAAGCGGGTGTCTACTCTTGTTCCACATACATGCAGAAAAGACACAAGTTCTATGATTTAGTATAGATGTACCTTCATTCACCATGCGTTTATTACCAATGTCACTGAAATGTTAGCCATTTTCTGCCTAATTCTAGTTTCAAAAAGACCTTAATGAATATAGAGAAGAGAAACACTGCGATATATTCAAAAGGGCAGTGTTGGGACATCCATTCCAACAATCTGATTGGTCTTTGTCAAATACAGGGGTGCAGGTAACATGCTTGGATTCATCTGGGCTCTGCCATGTCACTGTAGACCTCCAAGAATCTTGTGGAAAGATCAACATTGATTTCGCCGTCAAGACCTATTATGACATCTGACTACCGTGTGCAATAGAGACCCTGTCATGCTCTCCTTTCTTCGAAACTGCAGGCGCATACAGAAATCACAAAGAGCCCACCTGTCCATATCTTGTCGAGGTAAAGCAATTAAAGCTAGAAAAAGTCCCATTGACTGACTCTCGAAGGCAGATCAATCGGTCGCGAAGAACTCTTTGCGTATACCAATGGCCGGTTCCTTGTTGACGAAAAGAACCAACTTGACCGACGATATGTGAAATTCGACTTGGACGCGCTTTGCAGTACAGCCGCCGCTGTTGGTGGTCAATTGTCTCAAATCACGGCTATTGAGAAGATGGAAGGTGGGTTTAGCAAAGTTCTTCTAATGCAAAAGGAGAATGGGATGGAACTCATCGCCAAAATTCCCTGTCGCATTGCTGGGCCTGCAGTCTTGACCACAGAATGCGAGGTTGGTGTGTTAGAATTCCGTACGTGGCTCCTGGCAATGCTCTAAGGATTCAACTACTGATGATTAACAAGTCAGGAAACACACAGGTTTTCCTGTGCCCCGGGTACTATCATGGTCCTCAGACAGATCAAATGCCGTGGGAGCTCAGTATATCATCATGGAGAAAGCTTCAGGTGTCCAGCTTTATGAGGTTTGGGGGAAAATGTCAGATTTTGACAAGCTCCAACTCATCAGAAACCTGACAAAGCTGGAGGCGCAGCTGTCGGCTATTCGATTCCCTGCATATGGGGGACTATATCTCCAGAAAGAGACGAACATTCTTAAATCAATACCTCTTGACAAGGATATTGATCCAACAGGTTCTTTCTGCATCGGTCCATCTTGTGACCGCACATACCAAACAGAGGAAATTGGATCTGATGTCCCAAGAGGGTATGATATTGGGCCCTGTGAGTATGGTTTCTCTATGATTTGACATAACTCCGACTAAAACTTGCTTCTAGGGAATACAATATCAGCCTTGGGGATATCCATCGCAAGAAGGGAGTTGTCTCGAATCTCCACTGGGCATCATCCGAGCCATGCACATTTCTACAACGGAAGTGTTGAAGAACAAACCCACCTCCTAGAAACTACAATACGCCTCATGCTGCTTTGGGATACCAATAGCATCCTTTCCCGGTCTTCTCAGCCAACTCTATGGCACACAGATCTACATATGGGAAATATTTACGTCTCACCCGATGAACACTCACGGATAGTATCTTTCATTGATTTACAAGGAGTGCTGGTCTTACCGGCCTTCCTCCAAGCACGGTGGCCAGTGTTCTTGAATCCTGCAAAGGAGGATGAATATGTGAAAGGCCTTATACAACCGAAGCTACCAGACAACTTTAATCAATTAGACGAGGGAGAAAAAAGGGCTGCATCGAGCGAGTGGGAGCAAGATATGCGAGCCAAAGCTTACGAGGTCGCCACGTATCTCGAGAATAGACCGGCATATACAGCCATGATTGTGCCACGAGTTTTCCGAGAATTGTTTATCCGTTGTGGTGAGACCTCCGAGATGGGGGTTCTCCCACTCCGTGAATGTCTTATAGAGATATTCCACAGCTGGTCGGACTTGGGTTTCACTGGGGATTGCCCATTCTCCTTTACAAAAGAAGAGATTGAGACCCACCAGAGTCAATTCGCTGATTATCAAGATTGGCACCAAGTCCAGGCCATTGCTCGGGAATGTCTAGAGACTGATGCGGAAGGCTGGATATCACCACATCGGGATTTCGAGTACATACGAACCGCAAATCAGCAATTGCAGGGTATGTACATTCAGCAAATGGCCGGCAAGAAATCTCCGGAAGAAGCGAAGGCAATTTGGCCTTTCCCAGTGTGAATCTATCTGCCATGGAGGTTGGAAGTAGCAGACAGGTTTGTTTCTTGATTTTGGATATCTAATTTGGATGAGACAACTATCCAACTTCTCATCCTTTCACGTTCTCATAATCCGCCGTAAGGGTTTCCTTAATAATTGCCAAAATAGCCTTAACATCTTCATCGGAAAGTCTGAGCTCCCGCTCTTCAATAACACTATCCATCAACACCACCGCAGTGTAATCTTCCTCTTCGCCCTCTTCACCCTCCCCCTCTCCATCCACTTCCATGGCCTCTCCATTGGTACCTTCCTCTCCAGCTTCCTCAGTAGCAGGGTTACTGCTCAGTCCCACGCCGAGATTCAGAATCATAACGACCTCGGCTTTGGTTAGTCCGTAGGGCTGTAGGCGGATTACTAGGTCCCGAAGAGCGGTATCCATGGGTGTTGTTTCTGTGGAAGGGATTGGTGGCGGTATGGAATCACCATCTGCCTCTGTATTTGCTGGATTTGAAGCTCGCAGTGTGCCGGTCATTGTGGCTTGCGATTGTGATTTCGACTGGGAGGAGGAAGGGCGGGCTGTATAGCGGGGGTATCGTAGGAGATGGGGAGAGAGACGGCTTGCATAGTTGTGGATCTAGGAGAGTTAATATGGTGTTTTTCCTTGTATCGTTGACCTCTTGGTGTCTGGTTTGGAAGCTTGAGGGTCTAATCGGCTCCGCTTCAGGCTGGGGTCTGTGGTGTAGTTGTACTAAACCACAATACCCCTGTATAGCCAACTGGATCATTATAGCATTGCTCACCTCTTTTACCACTGTATTATGGTCTCTAAGATCTGGACTTGGTGCCCAGTTCCCCGAACTTGGCGGTGGTCGGCGGGGTGGATTGGAGGTCAGATAGGCCAGGACCTCGACATTGGTCAGAACGGCGGTTTGAGGGTCAATGATCTAGATAATTCTATTAGCAGTAGTACTCGGCTTTGGATTTAAGAAATCTTACCCTCATTTTGTGTGTTGAATTTGGCAAGATCGACTGGAGCAAATGGATGACTGGGCTGAAGGAAGGAAAATTGTTTGAACTGCCGGCAGAAATCAGGCGGTGTCTTTATCTACCTGCATATCTAGGCCAAATCCGGGAACAAGGTATAGGTAGGTAGGGCAAACCAACAGAGACGAGGCAGAGACGAGGCCTGAGTAAGATTGGTTGAGACTACAATTCGGAAGATACATGTACTCAAGTTTAGGATCAGTACTGAAGTATGAACAGATTATTCCAGCTAAAACTGTACTGCCTTGTTCCTAACGAGCACCCTCTGCGCCAGTGAAAGACCGGAGATCAACCTAAAATGCCCCAAAACATGCGAGCGACAGGAAGATTGCAACAAAAAAATCAAACAGAAATGAAAAAAAGGTGTGATATCATACAGATCCCAGGAAAGCCATCCGGTCACATTGCATAAACTTTTGAAAACATGCGCTTACTCTCCCTTGGACTTCTTCTTCTTCTTCTTCTCATCATCATCCTCGGAACGCTTGCGCTTCTTTCCATCGTCCTTGCTGGCCTTCTTGGCATCCTTCTTGGACTTCTTCAGGTCCTTCTTGCTGATTGAAGTGGGGTTGCCATCTTTATCGAAGGTGATCTCGCCACGCTCGAGCTTCCGCTCGTATCGCTTCACGCTAAGACCAGCCTTAGCAGCCAATGCCTCAATGTCGGTCTTCTTGGACTTGGACTTCTTCTTGGGGGACTCATCCTCGGACTCATCAGAGTCCTCGGCCTCCTCATCAGAGGCATCAGCCATCTCCTCATCCTCAACCTCCTCGACAAGCTTCTTCTGCTTCTTGTCCTTCTTAGCGGCAGCAGGCTCCTCGGAGGCCAGAGCATCGGCATCTGGGTTGTACTTGCGGGCTTCCTTCAGGTCGAACTTCTCGGCAGCACCGCTGGGGGCAATGGCCACACCACGGGGCTTAATGGGCTTTCCTTCCATACCAGCAAGCTTGCGCTCAAGGTTGTAGCGGGCCTCGGTTCCAAGAGCAGCCTTGTCCTCCTCGGTGGCATCGTCGCCCCACTCGGCGAGGGAGTCGACACGGATACCCAGAGAAGCCTTGGCGGCGAGGATACGGGCCATCTTGCCCTTGTTGCGGCCGGTAGCCTGGCCGATCAAAGAAGCGTGGTAGATCAGACCGTACTTAGGAGTATCGTGCTTAGTCTTGAGGGCACGGAAAAGGGCCTTCTCGGCACCGAGAATCTGGATGGTACTGGCGGGGCTCTTGGACAAGCTGGTAAGGCTGCCAGCGTGGGCAATCAGACGGGCACCAACGAGATCACCGACAAGAGCAGTCAGGTTGGGTGCAATGGCATTCATGCGGGAAGTGAGGTAGCTAGCAAGCTGGGCGCGGTATTCGTAGAAGCCAACGACTTGCTCAGCGAGGGCCTGGATGTTCTCCAAATCATCCTGGCTGATCTCGGTACCCATGGAACGATCGGCGGCAGCCTTAACAGCGCCTTCAATCTCCTCGGGAAGGATCTCAGCAAGATCGGAGGACTCCCAGTTGGAGCGCATACCCATCTTCAGGACGAGCTTGGCGTAGGCAATGTTGTCATTGAGGATCTTAGCCAGCTCGGGGAAGTGCCATCCGTACCATTCCTTGACACGCATAGCGTAGGTGTTCAGCTCCTTGTCAAGGTCATCGAGAAGACTGATGGCCTGGACAATCATAGTGTCGATCTTGTCGGGGGAGAACTTGAGCTTGTGACGGGCGAGAGAGTGGGACAGACCAAGGGACATGGTAGACATATCACTGGGGGCAAGGCCGGGAATGAGGGTGGTGAGGTGCTCACGGATGGCACGGAAGATGTCGTTGGTGCTGGAGTCAGCAATCAACTGGATGTCGAGACCGGGAAGCTTGCTGATGGAGTTTCCTATTCACACCAACAGTCAGTATATGCACCGCGAGAGGTTCTCTCAACAAATTGACCTACCGAGCTTGCTATCGGCAACGGCGAGGGACACCTTCTTCTCATCCTTAATTCCGTCAAGAAGCGAGGCCAGGGCGGGGGTGACCTTGCCCTCCATGACGGAGGCAGCCTCCTCCAGAGCTGAGGCAGCGCTGTCGAACTTCTGGAAGCTCTTCAGCTTGAGACTAGAGGGTATGTTAGTGACATTGTCGTCGATAGCAATTTTTTTGCGCCTCTTCAGCGAGTCCGTTGATTCCCACTCAAATTTTTATTCGGCGGAATTGGGAAGACACAATCGACGTACAGGTTGGAAACACCCTCGGCGGTGGAAGCCTCCTCGGCGATATCATCACGCTTGAGGAGCTTCTTGTCCTTGGCCTTCAGCAGGGCATAGCCCGCGCTGGTCTCAGTAAGGATGAAAAGCGTCATGGTGCGCGGCCACGGCGTTTAGGATCGAAAAAATAACAGGAAAGAAATGATCTAATCAAAGCGAACGATGAACCGAACTGAGGGAATGGTGGAAAAAAATAATTAGCGTAGGGCGTCGGCCACCGGTGTCGTTGGAGAATTTGAATCTAAATTTGCACGGAAGAAAAAAAGTTGAAAAGCGGGTGCCACGAGTGGCTTAGCCGTGTGGCTAGGTGCATGACTAAGCCCATGCGTGGTCAGGACGGATGGAGCTACAGCTGTGTCTCTCCAATCATCTTCTCCACATTCACCATGGAGGGCCTATTCTTTAATGTTAACGGCGGGTATGTGGTTTGCTGTCTTTGCTTGGTCTGAAGAGCCCGTTGTTGACTCTCTTAGATATGTCGAGGGCATTGTTCGTGGTTATCGGAACAGCCTGTTGAGCAGCCAGAACTATTCCAACCTCACTCAATGCGAGACAATTGATGGTATGCTCTATTGATCCCTCTGGCACTGTGGTAGGTTCTCTTAATGTATGCTTATTCTGACAATCATATCGAATAGATGTCAAACTCCAGCTTGCTCCCTCATATGGCGATTTCCTTGCCTCTCTCTCCCCCAACCCCTCCACCTCCGATCTGGCCAGCCGAATGACCGATAAACTGGTGTCTGAATTCAAGTACTTGATCGCACAAGCGACAGGCTCATCTGCCAAATTCCTCGAATACATGACATACGGATACATGATCGATAACATTGCTCTGTTGATCACAGGCACTCTACATGAACGAGACACCCGGGAACTTTTGGAGCGATGCCACCCTCTAGGATGGTTTGAGACACTTCCTGTGCTGTGCGTCGCGACAAACATTGAGGAACTGTACAACTCGGTACTGATCGAGACCCCATTGGCCGCCTACTTCAAGGGCAGTCTGAGCCACCAGGACTTGGACGAGCTGAACATTGAGATCGTTCGCAACACCCTCTACAAGAACTACTTGGAGGACTTCTACAACTTCATCAACACCCACCCAGACTTCAGCGGAACACCAACACAGGACGTCATGGCGGAGATTCTGCAATTCGAGGCGGACCGCCGTGCAATCAATATTACTCTCAACTCCTTTGGCACCGAGCTTTCCAAGCTTGAGCGGAGGAAATTGTACCCGGAGTTCGGCAATCTCTACCCAGAAGGAAGTCTCATGCTTTCCCGCGCAGAGGATGTTGAGGGTGTGGCCTTGGCTGTCAGTGCTGTGGCCGATTATAAGACATTCTTTGATGCTGTGGGTCTGAGCCAAGGTGGCGGCGGTCTCGGTGGTATGGGCGGAGGTCCAGCAGATGGGAAGAGCCTAGAGGATCTTTTTTACCAAAAGGAGATGGATATGTCCAAGCTGGTCTTCACCCGTCAATTCACTCCGGCTGTGGTGTACGCCTGGATGAAGTTGAAGGAGCAGGTAAGCCTCGGACAACCACCTATCTAATTTTGAGTTCGAATCTAACATGGCTAGGAAATCCGCAACGTTACCTGGATCTCAGAATGCATTGCTCAGAACCAGAAGGAGAGGATTGGAAACTTCATCTCCGTTTTCTAAGCTCGACTCGGGCACTCTATGATTTTCCCACCTCTTTGTACTTACCCATCTTCTTGGCTGGTATTTTGCGTTGGTTGCCAGCCGCTTTTCATTGTATCGAGTACCCAGTTTGTTCTTTAATGTGAGCGCATCGACCTCTTTTTTCCTTGATCGGGACAATGCAGTCATCTTTGATTTCGGCTGTTTTGCTTTTCTTTTCGTATCGGGCGTTCGGCATGTGCGTGACCTTATGTGACAGAAGTAGATGTATGCAATGGATTTGAGGCCACAGATGTGAGTTTCCCAATCAGTGTGCTTTGTGAGCTGGACTTAGGGTACGCTTAGTTAGGATTCAGGTCGTGCTCACAAAGCATGGAGTCGTTCCAAGCGCCCAACACCGCTATGGTGTTGGTGCGCCTAAGCACACAAATTTATTTTTGGTATTCCCTTACAAACAGCACTTAGGCGCAACATATACCTTCTTATGCTTTGAGATGAGAAGAATATAGGAAGACATATGTTACAAGATAGTTCCCAATTGAGCTAAGCCCAGGGCGGATCGCCTATCATAAGGGCTGCATCGATTGAAGCCCTGTAAGAATGTCAATTTCCAATCTAAGAGTATATGGGGAGATCGGAGCTAAATTGACATGAAATCGGCCGCGTTTTCATCAAACCCGATCTTGATAACTCGCCCCGAGGATGTCCCGAAGGCGAGAATGTTATTTCTTGAATCAATGCAGTTCGAAGATCACGTTCTGTATTGACATACAGACGGAAGCCCGATCAATGCTTCGTCCTGATACAGGATCGCGTTCCCGTTACACTAGATTCCCCAGTTCTGTCCTTCGTTTAGTTCGGCGACTGAGTATGACATTTGTCTCGTAGGCGATCTCACTAGCAGACGACTTGCATCCTGAGTGAATTCCATCCTATCAAATCCTTGTCCCATCTCAATTTCAAACCGGAGATTTCTTGACCGCCAGCGGGATAACCCAGAGCTGAATGCATGTTTCTCCAAGCAGTGCCAATTGGGATGAATCAGGCGAAAATGCAGCAGACCAAAGCCTAACTTCAAACCAAAAGACAGGCCCCGAGGTCTCTGCTGCGAGATCGTATATTCTGAACTGTTTGTCTCAGCCTATAACGAGTAGCCTTCCATCTCGAGAAAATTCGAGAAACTCGCCCCGCTGCTGTTCTTCGGGTACTTCACTCAATTCATGCTCTAACACAGTCGTTTTATCTGTGCTCAAAGCAAACAGGTAGAGCTTTCGATATATTGAGCTGCGGCGGTCTCACCACTCCGTGATATCTTTGGTTCGGTTCTCTTTATCGGGAATGTGAATTTCCCTATGGTTCTGGTACGGATGTCAATTATTTGGCCAGCAAAGCACTCAGTGCGGACGCGACTGAGAATATCCAGCAAATACACTCTTCGTTCGTCGTTGCCACAAACAGTCACTTGAGACCATTGGGGAGAGTTTGCCTCCTGAAGACCTCTCTTTCAAGAAAGCATGAGAATGTCTCTTTTTGATATTTCCGTTTCCCTTGGCTTGCACTTCGTTCTGCTTCGCTTTTATGTTGCTCTTCTGTGTCTTCTGTTTCTCTACTTTTCTCTCTCCTTAAGCTAAATTATCGTATTCGGTGGCTGACTGAGATTGGCGCTCTTAAAGCAAAGTGCCGATATATTGTACATCGTACGTTTATCCCTATCTCTAATACTACAAAGCACAAATTTCTTTTAATGCCTCATAGTTAGGCGAGCTCAATAATATAGGAGAAAGGAGGTAGTAGTACTCTTTTCTATGAACCAACCTCTACTCCTGATTCAAGGAAGTCGTCTAGAGGAGGCGGATATATATATATAGCACGCGAAAAGTACTGTCAGCTAAAGGGGTATATTGCGTGCGAAGCTTTTTAAATACCAAGACCTAAGGTAATGCCAAGGTCTTTCCGAAGCCTTCTTTGCCAACCGTGAACAGAAGGGAAGGCGGCCAGAGTATTGATAAGGTGAGGTAATGTTTTAGGTCGCGGTGGCAGTCACCCTCATCCATCTATTTCCTCCTTCGTTTCCCTCCCCTTCGTCTTCTAACCCATATAACCATTTTAAACCACAATCATGCCCCGAAAAGCCTCATCTTCTTCACAGAAATCCCTGTCTTCGGTGCCTGTATCGTCGTATCCGATGGGTACACATTTGTCTCCAGGATCTTCGAGTTCCTCTTTCGATTCCTCGTCAACATCAGAATTTCCGACCCCTAATGGATCCCCTCTATGCATTGGAAGCAATCATAGTGAAGTCAAAAGATACCCTGGAAGCTTGTCTGGTTAATGGGTCTATTGAGCGAGATATGTGTATAGTGACGGGTAGTGAACTAAGACCTCTCAAGCCTTTACAATCCCCACAACCTCCCCCAAAGAATCCACCACAAAATCCGGCTTCAATTCCTCACAAGCCTCCTGGTCTCCGTAGCCATATCGACACCAGCATACTTTGCTCTTGATATTCCGAGCGAACTGTATATCCGCCACCGTATCGCCCACCACCAGCACTTTCTCCGAGTCAATCTCCGGCAACCCATATCTCTCCCGCAAGACGGGAACTAGAACATCCATAAAGCTAGCCGGATCCGGCTTGCGCTTTGCACCGGGGGTCTTATCGCCGATGATTAAATCTTCGGGTACGTAGCCATCTAGGCCATTTCGCTCCAGGGCCGTTTTCACAGCGGCTACACCCTTGTTGCTCACAATAGCAATGGGGATCCTGTGGGCATTGAGTTCGATCAGGAGATCTTTGGCACCAGGGAAGGCCTTGATGAGCAATTGGCCGTGAGTGGCATAGAGAGAGCGATATTTTTCAATCCATTCGTTCTCAGTGGTCGAAGTGAAGTCGACAGGGGAGGGATGTAGGGCTTTGAAGGTATCGGCTAGACCGGCTCCGCTGGCGATAAGGCGGTAGATTTCGGATCGGGGAGGGCTTTGGGTGGGAAGGAGGGCATCAAAGGTGAGCTTTATGGTTCGGGAGATGGATTCATGTGTGTCGAATAGGGTGCCGTCGAAGTCGAAAATCGTGAGGGCTATCATCTTGATGAGTGTGTAGTTTAGAGTAAAGCGGTTGTTATGAACTGGGATATAACAGTTTGGAGGAGCTAGAGTACTAAATTCACCTACTGAACTACATTAACAACATCCGCGTAATGAATTAGAATACTTGCGGGGATTTCGCAGTAGCCTAGTTACGTGGCTCATGCCGCTAATGTGATGTTACATTGAGATAGTGTAGATACGAACTACCTAGTTATGGGTTTATAATAATAACACTAATAGCTTCTTGAGTGAAGTGATCCCTAATTATATTAGCGGAAGTATCAAACGATCCAACCTTTACTACTATCTCTGTAATTGTAAAGAGAATAATTCAATATCGAAATTTCCCAGTAGAGCCTAGTATATTTACTAGCAATCACATTCTCAAATAGTAAATATAGCTGACCAATCTGAATGGTGTCCCGAGGTCATGGCCCAACTCTGTGATAGCTATGTAAAAAGCCCCCCTATTTGATTCTGTCTCTAGACCTTTTTTGTGATAGATAGTCCTGCAAGTACCGCTCTCGCCGCAATGAAGAAAAATACACTTGCTACCATCATTGCACCGCCAAAGACCTGCAATCCCCAGTAAGTCCCGTTTTGCCGGCTCAGAATTGCACCCGCAATGGGACTTCCCGTAAGCGATGCAATACTGATGCAAGTAAACAAAACACCCTGACGAACACCGATCTTGGTCACGTCGGGCGAGATCTGGCCTAGTAGGGCGGGTACCATGCCTACAAATGCACCTGATGCAAACCCATACAATATGCTGAAGATAACATAGATAGCCGCACTCCCTGGAGCGAGAAGTGTGCCTGGAAGCCAGAGGGCTAGAATAACGATGGCGGATAAGGCGCACATAGAAATCATGACGTTAAACCGGCCTAATTTATCCCCTAGATAGCCTGGTAGGATTCGACCAGGGAGACTATAGAATAGGTTAGTTCAGCCTTAGTTATCTTATTAAGCTAGGATAAATGGTTATACTTACCTCGCGGCATTAAGTATAGTCAATAAGTACCCAGCTAGGTCTAGGTTGATTCCGTCCTCCTGCGCCTCTAGAACGATATAACTGATCGGCACAAACATTGCGAAAAACCCACAGCAAGATGCTAGCATAAGTAAGATAAACGGTACCTCCGAAAACGGACTTGTATAATCAGCCAGCTTCACTGGCCGCGGAACGTTTTTTATTCTCGATCGGACAGTCAGGTTGGCGATAATCAGGAGTGCGAGGATGATAAATCCAGAGATACGTAGAGACCATCCGAATCCAATACGAGGTAAGAGTCGCGATAATAAGATTGGGAAGACGACACCACCTAGTGACGAACCGCTGGAAACGATTCCAAATGCTAAGGCACGTCGTTTCTCAAACCATGTTGCGGTACAGGAGAGTGCGGACGAAAAGACAAAACTTGCACCTAGAGGACTGCAGATCCCCTGTGCTAGCAAAAATTGATAGTACTCCGTCGATATGGAAGTCATCATGATACCGAAGACGTGAAGACATGTCCCAATGATAAGAAGCCACTTTGGGCCATAATTATCGAATAGCTAAAAGAAAATTAGCATATATATACGTCCTAGACTTGGTGGGGTTAGATTCACTCTTCCAATAACCAGTCCAGCCGCAAAGAGTACGAATGGCTCCAAAGATAGAATCCAGGAGATGCTGGACGCCGAATAAGAATGCAATTGATTGTTCTGGTAGTACTCCTGAAAAATGCCAATGGCTGGGGTTCAAGCATATCAGGTCATCGGTCGGCATGAGAAATGCGAGAAATAGGGAGGACTCTCACCATTCACCCAGCCAAAAGCACAGAATAGACAGCACCATGCCCCAAAGACTACTGTCCAAGCGCGAAGTCCTTGATCCAACTGTCCCTGTTCAACTTTATCCTCCTCGTTCCGACAGACAGCCACCGCGGTTTTCGATTCTGTGGCCATGTCTGGAGCAAATCTGGGCTTTGGGGTAACTGCACAAGCAGAAAGGAAAAGGACTCCAAAATATGAAATAAAAACGAGAAAGAAAAAAAGCCCTATCGGAGCTAAGATATTCCTATCAAGTACCGGGGGCGCGCCCATGTGACTCAGATAACATCGAGTGCTAACACGAGGAGAAGAAATAGGAATGGAGGCGACTACAACATAACCACCAATACACACCTTTCTCATTGGATACTTGCGGCCTACTCCATCATCGCCTTCTTAAAGCATTGTACTAGTTTCAACTTCTCTGTTATCTTTATACCAGGGTCGACGGCCGTTTATATGGCCTTTTGATATCTTACAGGTCTTTCAGCGGTACCTCTAGCGGCAGTCCTTTCAGTCGGCCCTTTTAGCCCGTCCTTTTAGCCGGTCCTTTTAGTGAGTCCTTCTAGTAGGCTTGCTTCTTAAATACTTTTCTTAGATATCTCAAAGATAGATTGATCGAGGTCCTAAAAGCCATTCAATATCAAGGCTGGGAGAGCGATAGAGGGGTAAATCTTTAGCAGTTGATCAAAGACCTCGATTTTGACACGCACTACTAGCTTTTAGATATGTATTCAAAGTAGTTATGAGGCATGATATGTATTTAAACTGAATGTGTGATTTATATGGCCGTGATTGGTTTACACGGGGCATGGGACGGGCCGGCGATCCGCTGCGGATCCATCGATATGTTCTACTCCAACTACTCTGGTGTCTCGGGTCGAAGACAACCTATGACGGGGTGTAAATTTGACCCTCCATCATCAAGAGGCAGTCCTACGGGAATCAATCCAAGACCAGAGCCATGTCAAGATGAGGTATACCCTCCACACCTGTTCTTAATGGCTCACGGGGCTCGAGATTGTAATCTCAGTCGATTAGAATCCGTCTAAGAGAAGCATCACGAACACAAAGACCCAATGGCAGTATGGTCCTAGCTTAAGGAAATTTCGAAGGCTCTGTATGAGACTGGATGTCCCAAACAACTCGATCCTCTCAATCTATTGGTCAAAGGTGCTGCATTGGAATGATTGCTGGCATAGATCGCGTGCCGCACCCGAATTCACTAGGGTTGTACATCAATATGCTGACTGGCGCATTTGTTGTCAACGGCCTTCCAATTGCTCGTTATCCACAGGATAGAGCGCAATCAAGCATAAACATTATGTTAGGGAAGTAGTCGGCGATGGTGCCCAGTGATGAACCAAATGCAGCTTACCGATGCAATACATGGTGCATACTGTGTCCCTAAAAATAGATGCATATGCTTCCGATGTATGTATGATGATATTTGAAATTGAATAGAGTTTTTGGGTCGTATGAGCAGAGATCCTCGAGCAACCAATATCTCAGTGGCATGCCTCCTGCGTATACGCCATTCTCGCGGCTCAAATTCAGTCAGTTAAAAGTTCTGACATGGATATTAGACAAAGTGCGCCCTCCCATGATAGTCTACCCATGATATATGGGATCAAGGGGAGTATTGGTTAGTATCTTTCTTCAGGGACCAATATGACGCGACCCGAAATATCACTTTTGCTGGCAGTGACTCCATATGGAGTATTGCTCTCCCAAATCTTTCGGGAAAGAGAGTAGACGACTGCCCTCTTGGGGTGTTTAGGGGACCATGAATCATGTACCCTGAATGCGATATGTGAGCATCAGAATAGAAGAGGAAAGGATGTGAATGCCAGACAGTATCTGGTATCATATGCAAGGGTTGAAAATCGTAATCAATCAAGAACAGACCGACATGCATGGGCTTCAATATTGGAAAGTATTACGTCTCCATGAAGTACATAGCTCAGCCACATTGATAGTCTAGTCCAAGACCGGCGATTACACGCATATCGAAAAAATGGAAATTTTCCAATTTCGATTCAACATTCATTGCTCATATGTGCAAATGGCAAAGGGTGTGGCAGAGGTAGATAGTATGACAGGAAAATTCGAAACAAAAGTAGAAAAGCCAGCCAAAGCCAGATGGGAGCAAACGATAGAAATCACAGAGTACCAGAACGAATCCAGTGTACCAAGTCTACTGCGAGCCTGGATCTATGGCAAGGGGAATTGAGGTTGAGGGTGTCGTAGAGCAAACATGGAAATTTTAGGATATCGCAAGAAAGAAAAAGAAAAAATTTAGACAGCGATCAATCATACTGGAAGAGAACACTGATACTCTCACCATGGTGCACACGGCGGATGGCCTGGGGTACAAGTCAGTATATTATGCGGAATGTATCAAATGTATGAGACTCACCTCGCCGAAGACATGCCCGACTTCTAGGACTTCCAGCTTGGGGCAGCGGCGCAGGTGTTCAACCTGATCCACGCTGTTGGTCACAACGACCTTGTCAAGGGCACTAGCGTTGATGCGCTCGATAGCGTCGCCACTCAAGATACCGTGGGTGACAAGGGCGTATACCTGAGAGGCACCTTCCTTCTTGAGCAGTTTCGCAGCACGAGTGATGGTATTCGAGGTGTCCGCTAGATCATCAATCAAGATGGTTATCCGATCACGGACATCGCCAACCAACATCATGGTGGCGTTCTGGCGGTCAGTGATTTTGGTGGGGCGGCGCTCCTGATGAGATTGTTAGCGAATGACAGGAAAAGTTCGAGCGCCTAGTTAGCCTACCTTGTGGATCAGGGCAAACTCCATCCCCATTTGGTCAGCAATTGCCGTAGCGCGCTTGGCACCTCCGGCATCGGGGCTGACGATGACAGCCTGCTTGTAGTTGGGGATGTTGCGCTGGATGTAGCTCTTCAGGAGAGGTCGGCCGTACAGATTGTCAACCGGGATATCGAAGAATCCCTGGTACTGCGGGTCGTGCAAATCCATGGTGATGATGTGATCAGCACCGGCGCAGGTAAGCAGGTCTGCCACAAGGGTGCCGGCCTGAGCAACCCACTGCTTGTAACCGGGACGCGGCTGGAAAGAGTTGATCTTGGAGGAGGTGCTCGCTGTGTCATCGGTGGTGTTGGTCAAGGACTTGAGGGAATCCGTTGTGTCGCTGCGGGGCAGACCGTTGCCCCGTCGCTTCACGGGGCTACCAGTGCTGTCCTCAATCTGAGCCCTGGCAAGGCCCTTTTGGAGGTTTTCAATTCCATTCATGCCCAGACCCTCAGTTTTTCCACCAGGACCCGGAGTCGGAGGGGTGCTCTCGAATGTGTAGCCATTGGAGTGTTTTCCCCCCACAGATGACTTGACGAGAGGAGCTCCGGCCTTGTCATAAGGAATGTCACTCTGACGAGAGTAAGGGAAAAGAGGGAGAACAGCGGTGACTCGCCGGGCCGAGGCGGTCTTGCAGGCGGAAATGGTGATGAGGAGCTCTAGCAGGTGGTCGTTGACTTTTCCGCCGCCGGATTGAATGATGTAGACATCCTTTTCACGGACAGACTCCTGGATTTCAACACGAGTCTCACCCACAGCGAATTTTGAAAGCAGAACCTCGGCAGGAGGTATGCCGAGAACACCGCAAATGCTCTGAGTCAACTGAGGGTGGGAGTTGCCTCCGATAACGACAAGATTGCGAACCATGGCGTCTATATTTGTGGAAGTATCGGTCGCCAGGGTTGAAATAGGAAGGATCAAGGAGAAGGACGCTCGATCTGAAGGAAATCAGGATCGGAGGGAATGAGTGGAGGGGGAAAATCTGGGGGGCGATCTCGGTGAGCAGTCAAGGGAGTAAAAAATAAAGTGAAAAGAAAGAATATAAGAGTTTTTGAAATTGAAGATAAATGCTACCTCATGGCTGAGCAAAAATCGAGTCTTCGAGGGACAAAAGACATAAAAAAAAAAGCGACGATGTGAGTCCCGCGATGGGAAAAAAAGCCTCTTGGGAGTGGAGCGGACCTGTGGCTGATGCCTCAGGTGGCAAATGGTCCGCATTGGGTAAAGCGCATGTCGTAACGACGCAGGCCCCGCAAAAATCGGCCTCTGCCAATTGCTTCGGGGCAGACAGGAACGCAGTAAATGGTCAGCAGGTTTACTGCTTCCAATTTTCCATTTCCATATACATGACTTTTGCTCAAATCCCCTGTCGCTTTGGAAATCATAAAAAGAAAAAGAGAACCATATTCATGCGTGACTCCTATGCTCCGGTACCCGATATATGTACTAAGAAAAAAAAAACATAAAAGAGCTTGGCATAACTCTCTCCCGCTGAGTGCAGTCTGCTCTGGGAATCCGTTCATTCGCCCGTTCCAACCTCCCTAGAATAAAGTCAGTACTATTGTCCCGATATCCGAAAAGGGACGGTTGAGGCTCACAAGTCAAGCTGAACTCCGTTGCTCACTCCATAATCCTCCAGTGTAAGTTGATCTTTGAAAGGGCGTTCGCCTTGGCGTTTGAGAAGGATTTCGTGGGGTTCACGGCCGATTCGAGCTGCCACTTGAGCCTTGAATAGCTCTATGTAGAATGTTAGTACACTGGTAGAAATCAACAGTAGAAAGAGACATACTAATCGGATCTGAGGCAAGACAGGGGATTGCGGCTTTGGTTCCCAGACGATCATTGACATGGACCACAATCATGGGTTCAGATGATTGCGGAGCAACCGGCTTCTTTTCTTTCTTTTCCTTCTTCGCTTTCTTTTCTTGCTCTTCGCGTGGCGCATTTCGATCATCACGTCGTGGGCCCCGGTCGCGGTCACCATCTCTTGGTCTATCTCCATACCGGTCACCCTCTCGGTCACGTCGTGGTGATCGTGGTCGATCTCGATATCCGCGTTCTAATCTGCGATCATCGCGAGAATCATCGGTGCGGCTTTTGTCCTTCCACCGAAAGCCCCCAGTCGTTTTTCTGGGACGCTCTCTATCGGGGTTTTCTCTCGCGCGGGGAGATCTGCTCCGTGATCGGTCACCCATGACTGTAGATGAAGAAAAGATGAAGTTGCGTGGGTGCCTGACAAGCCCAGATGTAATCCAAACGGAGCAGCTGTGAGGCACGTGATGAGATGCAGCTGCCAGTGGGGTACGCTAGTCCTATATAGGGCTAGCGTGTTGATTCACTAGAGCTCTCCTGTGTCAAGTGCGTTTGGTCTCTCCGCATGTTTGATTTACCTCTTAAATCAACAGGCTGCAATGCAAATTATCACTCAATCCTGAACCTGTGGTTTTTCTATAACTAGCTCATCTCTACCCAAAATGCCAGGGCGACTTGAGATTCAGCGTCCCTCTCCGACAACTGTCTCCTTCACGGTATCGAATGTGCCACAGCGATCGAGCTCCCCCGCCAAAATCCTATTCGGTCTCCAAGTACTGCTGCGTGCGGGTTTGTTCATCTGTGTGATTGTTGCCGGTATTGTGCGCGTCCGGACTATCTTCTTCCAAGAAGATCGGGGGGTGATAAATTGGCCAACCGTGTGGTCGAGCCCGCTCGGATCCAAACTATGTCGCTTGGTAGATTCATACAACCCGCTGACAATTGCTGTGGTTTGTGCCTTTGTCATATACGGTGTTTTCAGAAGAGGTTATGTTGGTAAGCTGGGAAGGAAGAGTTGGCTTTATGAGATATATATGTGCATGGCTGATCGTTCGACAGAGGAATCGCTCTTGGTTATTCGAGGCTTCGGGATCCAGACCTCGACATCGTCTTCAACGTATCTTTCTACTGCCTCGACAAGGTTCATTCCTACCACACAAATTCAAGATATCGTCATTCACGAAGCCTTCAAGGGCTTCGAAGTCCGCTTTTATTTGGCGGTCATTGTCGAAGGCGAGCCTAATGTTCTAGTGGTCTTTCCGGTATGTGATATTCTCAACGTTATGTACTCCAAGCTAATTTTGTGAATAGCATATGTTGCCCAAGCGAGAGATCTTAGAGCAGGTTTGGAGAGGTTCTAGGCGATGTCTCTATGATGCAAAGTCATGATATGTCCACAGCCTCTGCATCAACAAAATCTTGTTGATGCAGAAGCCTATCTTGCTCCAGTTCCGAGGCTCAATGCTTTATCAGCGAGTATATACAACGAGGTTCATTCCAGTGCAGCCCTTGCAGCATCGCCCTTTGCTAGTCTCCGCTGCTTGATGACAAGTCCTTTGGCATTTTGAACCTCCACGGTCTCCATCTTGGACTTCTTATCGACAGGGGTATATTTCCCACCAACAGAAGTGTCGTTTCCGCCATACCAAATCTTGGCACCTCTATTTGATCTCTTGGAATATCCCGCGTTCAGCCATTGCTCGTCGAGGTCTTCCACGTTCTGGTTGCCTTGGCTGGCAGTTAAGTCTAGGAGAGCACCCGCTAGAATCTCATCTATCTTGCGCTTTCTCCAGACAGTCCACATCCGTTCAACGGTGCCCCGCATCCCAAATTTGCTGTCACCCTTGGCACTTCCCTTGCAGTTTGCAGGGTTGTCACCAGCATAGACCCAGTTCAAGGAATCCAGACGGCTGCCAGACTTGATGTCAGGGAAAATACAGTCCCAGAGGACCAAGGGAGCATCGTCAGCCATCGCATAGGTTGGCTTTCGCGGATTCTTAGCAATGTCCAGCAGTTCAGGGACGATGGATGGGGACTCGAGGCCCTGTCCCACTAGGAACAAGATTGCAACCATGTGCCGCACCTGGTGCCACAGGAAGGCAGAACCGTGGAGGTTAAACGAGTAGACCTGAGGGATACTTTGAGAAACCGTATCGGGCGTCACCAAATCCGGTTCAGGCACACAACCCTCTTTGGCCTGGAATCCAGTCTTTCCAACATAGCCCACGGGGTTGACCTTGGGATTGACAGCTTCGATACTAGAGTGATGGATAATGCGTTCAAAATTATCAATCTGCTTGTTGGTGTCTAACTTGCAGAAATTCCGGAAATCATGCGAACCCTCGAAATGCTTAGCTGCCTCGCGCATAGCCTCAATATCGAGCCAGCCCTCGCGGAATTCAGCACGTGGTCCCTTGCCATTCTGTGCGCGGTTCTGGAACCCAATGGACCCGGGAGTGGGAGAGAACGCTGGGTTAGTGAAGAAGTACTTGTACCGACGTTCACGGCAGGAGAAGCGGGCATCGAAACCAGGCGGCGGGTTAGGACACCACGCCAGAACTCTGATGTCTTCCGGAAGCACTCTGTTCAGAATATTGATATAGTTCATCTCATCGGCTACATCATCCCACTCCTTTTCTGTAGATCCCGAGTCAATGCTCATCGCATCCTCGCCCTCAGCGGGGGTCTTGGGCATGGGTCGTTGACTGCGGACCCGCAATCCAATAACCTGCCCGAAAGCGCTCACGCCCTTATCCGTGCGACCTGCTTTAGAGTAATCGCATCCATCCCAGTAAAGATGGTAGGGGCGCATGGGGACGCGCGCCTCTCTTTCGGGCGGCTCAAGATCCGAAGTGGTCTCAGGGGAGATGAGCCGTGTACGCTTCAGTGCCTTCCAAAGAATCTCTTCGACTGTGGGTAGAGGCGTGGTATTGCCATTTGTATGTTCGAGTCCATTGTATTCCTGGCCTAGGTATGCAAACTTGAGCGCAATGAATCGCGTTGAGTATTTGGAGGGGTCAAAAGTGCGATCGGCTTTCGGGGGTTTCTGGACTTTAACAAAGCGCAACGGCGCAGCCACCGGTGTACTGTCGCTGTCTAGAGGAGAGTGTGGTCGTTTCTTAGAAGTATTGAATGATTCAGTAAGAGGTATCGCGGGTTCCTGGACGTCGGCGGTGATGGGCGCAGAAGAGCAGGGTCTCTGCGACGGCTCTTCGGCCGGCACCGTAAACTCAGTCGTCTGAGAGTGAAGCTGGCGCTCTAACTCTGTAATGCGCGCGATCAGGCTAGTGTTACTCCAGGCCGAGTAGTCAGGCTGGTCCTTGTTGGTGATGTCCGCCATGGTTTCGGGTGTGGGAGTGCGAGATTGGCTCAAGTATCGTGTTTGCCTGAAAACTTGTTGGAGGTTGCAAGTCCGTGGAAAGAGTCTCGCAGACGGTTTCCACATACCACGTCAACCGACTGAGGCTGAGATTGTATAGGTGTGGACGTTGAAACGGCGGGGATCGAAATTGAAAAAGTTCCGCGGAGGCGCTGTTTAGTGTATTTTTTGTATTGTATTTTATATAGTGGTGTAATTACAGACACTCTTTGCAAAGCATGCATGTATTCAATGTATATCACTGTACTGGGGGAGGTTAGCTGCAAATAATCCCTCCATATCTTCTCTGAGATAATAATTTGGGTGGTTTAAGACTTTAATAGGTATCAATGACATGATGTTAGGTCTGCAACAACAATATATAAAATTCCACATGTTGGACTCGCCAAGAATTGAGCCTTATCACCCGTCAATTCGCCTCTCTAACGTAAAACGCACCCACTGTTCTCTGAAAACGAGATTGTGATGAAAATACTTGTATAGACTGTCCTCTGGCCTCATTAGAGATAACTCTCTGCAATATACTTATTACTTGACCGGCCGAAGGGTGGTTGATCAATACCTGAACAGTTGCACATAAGTCGAATCAACGGCTCTTCCGGGATGGCTGAGATAGATCCTCACCCAGAAAATGCCAAATCGGTCTCTTTACTTCTACTCGGAGATGCGGGATGTGGGAAATCAACATTTTTAGCGTGAGTACCTAGCCAGCCCACGGAATGGAAGCCAGCTGTCTGCGATCTCCAATCTCCGACGCTATATATATAACGTTGTTTAAGGACATACTAACACGCGCCAGTCGCCTGAAAAGTGGAAGACCATCTTCATCAGGTCCCTCTAATACTGATCAAAATACCCTTGAAGTATTGCGAGATGGCGATCAGCCTTTTATTTATGACATTCGGTTTTCAAAAAGAAATTTACTCTAGAACTCTACGACACATCCAACCCAAACCAGCATTGGACAAACCTTCGACCTGACGTGGTTGTTATGGCCTTTGATATATCTAACCGAGATACGCTCGACGGACTGAAACAGGTTGGTCTCACATATATATTCGCATATGTTCGGAGTAATTGCCAATCCATGCTGATACTCAATGCTCCTGCTTAGTGGCGAAATGACATTACTCGTTACTTCCAATACGGTCATGGCGAACGCCTTCCAGTGATGATGCTAGGTCTGAAAAGGGACCTACGGAGAGAAGGCGAGGGAATCATCTATCCACAGGAGGTGAGTGGTTATGAACTGGAATCTCGAGTCGTGAGCTGGCTAACTGAGTTGCCTAGGCCTATCGTATCGCGCAGGAACTTCGTTGTGATAGATACGCTGAGTGTTCGGCTGTCACAGGCGAGCTGCTCGCAGAGACATTTGAAGATCTCGCTAGATTAGCGGCAATGGCGACGACTGAAAAAGGTGGCCAGAGTGAGGGCCCTTCTTGCGTTATTCTTTGAGTGTTTTGTTGTTGATGTTTTATGTTGCTTGCCATCATACCCAAATATGTATAAATTAGTTGTGTCAATACCCAAGATCTATACTCTCAGGGCCATTTTCGCGCTCTATCTAGGTAATTTGCCTTAATGACCAATTTATAGAGACATTCAAGGCACACGAGAAGAGAAAGCTACGTTATATCCATTGCCTGTTTGTGACCTCTTGTTTCCTTGTTCAACTCAAGTATATATGGTCCTGCGAAATCCCGTGGTTGACATTTTGAATTGTTTGACGTTAGACATCTCTAAATGCGAGCCTAGTTGATAGGGAAACCTTTTGCAAGTGTAGACAGAATACCCGTATACCAGGGGGAACTCCTACATTGTACAGCACTGTATCCTAGCAGGTGGACACATGTGATGACATGATCAAGTTTACAGTCTGAAGGACATACCTACACTACTACAAAACCTACTAGACATGATACCAAGCACAACCTTTTCAGATTACTAGAATACACACAGGGAGAAACCAAGGTAACGATTAAGTCCACCTTGTGAATTGACAGCACAGGGCTTTCCCCCAGAGGCTTCGTAAATAAAAGCAACTGGATATCTTTCCCTCATAAGCGCCAGTCAATGATTGGCATGACAATTCCTCCCCTGTGCAAAAACATGGAAATAAAAAAAATTGCTGGTAAATGAGGCCACTGAGGCAAAAGATTGAAAGGATCCCGGTGAAAGCTCGTTTTCTTCTGCTGTTTTTCAGTTTCTTTTGGTTTTTTGTGAATTGCACACAGAGACTAGGATAGACATGTCAAGGGAATTTGCGGGAGATTGTATTCCATTGTTGTGAATGGAGTAGATGGTGTATAAGAGAAAACAAGAGCATTTCTTCGATTCCTGTGCCTCAGGGGACTTAGAAAATCGTCACAATCATCCCGGATCACCAAACTTTTGATCAAACTTCCCCCCTTTCAACGACTATCCTCGTCAACGCGGAGCAATTTACCACTTAGCCTCACCAGCGGCGGGCTGAGCCTCAGCCCACTCGGTGGTGGCGGGAGCAGAGCTGGCAGCCCAGTCAGCACCCTCAGCATCCCAGCTGGTGGCACCAGCAGTAGCGGTGGCAGCGGAGGCAGCAGCGAAGGCAGTGCCGGGGTGACCAGCACCGGGGGCGGAGGCATCCCAGTTCTCACCAGCGAAGCCGGACTCGACGGCACCAGCACCAATCTCCTCGGCACCGGGAACCTTGGACTCATCAGCAATCTCCTTGTTCTCCTCGGCCTCGGGGTCGCGGTAGAAGTAGAGATCGACAACGGTATCCCACTCAGTCTCGCGGGTAGCGAGGGTACCGCGGAGACGGAGGACCTCACGGGCGAGCATCCACCAGACGAGACCGATGGCGTGACGACCCTTGTTGTTGGTGGGGATGGCAACATCGACGAAGTCGGTGGGGGAGTCAGTGTCGCAAAGGGCAATGACGGGGATGTTGACGTAGGAGGCCTCCTTGATGGCCTGGGCATCGGTGCGAGGATCGGTCACGATGATGAGACGGGGCTCCTTGAAAGAGCGGGTGATGTAGTTGGTGAAGTTACCGGGGGTGAAACGACCGGCAATGGCGGTGGCACCGGTGTGGGAGGCGAACTTCAGGACAGCACGCTGGCCGTAGGGACGAGCGGAGATGACACAGACATCAGCGGGGTTGTCGATGGCGGCGATGATACGGGCGGCCAGGACGATCTTCTCCCTATTGCAGTGAATCAAATACATTAGATACCATACTACAGTCAGAAGTCCTTTTGATTTGGCGCATACCAGGTCTTGCCAATGTTCAGGACATTGACACCATCGGCGCGGAGCTTCCAGAGGTAAGGCTCCATGTGCACCTGAAGGTTCTTGGAACCAAGGTGGCACTGAGCGGCAAGGAGCATCTCAATGTCCTGCGCGGTAGGGTTGAAAACCGGGGGAGCTGGGAAGGGGCCATGTTGGGCGATTGATGGATTGATGGATTGGAGGATCAATCGTCTGGCTCTTGTCGTGGTGATGGAGGAAAAAGATCAAAGCCAAGCCGCAAAATTGTTGCACTCTCGCGATTCGGGAGGATTTCGCTTGCGTGCGCTAGGGCTAGGGCTCCAGGGCTCCAAGGGGGACTGTTATGTAATCATGATCTTGGCACCCGGTTCACGTGACGGCTGATGCCTGGGGCGGTCATTATCCTAACTAGGTTAGCGCAGCCAGACCTCCGGCCGCAAGATTTCCCGACGGAAGGTTGATGGAAAAGAGAAGTTGATTGTTACAATAGAGCCCTCTACTCGCCAGCTACGCCCACCATGCCTCCGCGCATTTCAGTCCAGTCCTCTCTGAAGGCATTGACCGGTAATGCTCGTCAAAACCAGTGATATGGAAATGTGCAATCGCCTGGGTACTAACCAAGACTCTTTAGGATCAACCTACGGATATAGCCCATTGTCCAATTCTATCAACACTTCTGTCAGAGCTGCATCTAGCAAGGCCCAGGTTAGGAGGAAGCATGACCCATTTTTGATGGCTCAGGCACGTCAGCGCAAGGCCGCGAATATCTCCCGCCAGCAAGTCCTTGCGCAGGAACGAGAATCATCACTCGGTGACCCTGTCAAGAGCCAGCCGACCCCATTTATCCTAGAGATGACAGCAATCCAAACAAACTCGCACATCCCGTCCTCTTTGACCGAGGATCTCAACTACTATTTGAAGTCGAATGAGCTGGATTCCGCCCTCAACTTCTCCAAGGATCTGGCTGCACCGCTTAAAAATCCCGATCGCAACACAGCTGACCCTCAACTTGAGAAGGAGGCAATGAACTTGCATAAACAAGAGCATAAGAATGCTCAAGAAGCAATCAACCGGATTGTGAATTTGAACAACGGAAACACCAAGGACCGCGTACGCCTCAACATTACCAAGTGCATCGAAACATTCGGGCGACACTACACAGACTCAATTCTCCCACCAAAGCCTTCAGCTGTGGCCCATAGCTCTGCTCCTGTTCATCCGGAACGCGCGCCGCGTGTTGGACCCGATACTGGCTCTGCGGAGGTTCAAGCGGCGATCCTAACCGTGAAAATCATGAACCTCTCCCGACACCTTGAGAGCGCCAACAAGGACAAACACAACAAGCGTAACTTGCAACTCCTAGTCCACAAGCGCGCGAAGCTGCTGCAATATGTCCGCAAGAAGGAACGCGGAGGTCCCCGGTGGCAGAACCTGATGGGGACATTAGGATTGTCTGATGCTGCGTGGAAGGGAGAGATTGCCCTATGAAGGGTATTGTTTTAATAAGAGGTCTTCTGTATTTCGACACCATTCTCTTCTTTTGTGATAGGCTGGCTTTGAGAAAAGTATCAGCGTGTTGCCTTGTATCATCTATCTAGGAGCTAGCGAGGGGGTACTTGTTGGTCCATGTCTCTATTTCCATGTTTCATCCGCAGAGCATCTGTACAAATAGCATTGTTTCATTTCCGCATCTGCTGCACGTTTACAACAATTTGAAGTAGCGAACTTGCTATCGGAGCACAAGCTCTAGAACTCAGTAAATATCCCCTAGATCGATCTTATATCAGTAGTTTCCAGGTGCTCCGAGATGACAATCTCTTGATTGGGGTATTATCTACAGATACAAGCTTTTAATACATGAAAGCTTTGATTGCTAGATTGCAATGACATATTGCGAGAAAAGCCATAGTTAGGCTATTTTGGGCCCGTTTAAGGGGAGTGGACTACGGAGTACCCGGGAACGGAACATGCGGGGAGAAGTTGGATCTGATATAAGACAGGAGAATAGAAGAGACAGGGCTAATACATTAAGTCCAGAAGTAACCAATTTGTATAGAATGAGACGAATATATTGAAAAGATATGTGATATCATGCATAGCAATTATTAGAACTATAGAACTCTAGGCACAATAGTCTCCCTTACCTCGACAGACACACCGCCCTGAGACAAAACATTCTGCCAGGTCGCGCCTTCCAATTCTGAAAAGTTACATAGTTTGGTCGAAACCTGGCAACGGCTCCTTCCCTTTTGATCTGGTTGTCACGTCCAACCGTATTGTTTATATTTTTTCTGCTCTTGTTCTTCTCTCTTGTCTTTTTTCTTCATCCCCACCATCCACCAAGTTACCATTCAAAGCCATTGCTCTTTGGATTTCTCGTCAGAGTCTCTGTGATCGACTCAGTGAGGTCTCCTTATGTCTTTTTTGGGCGCCTTTGGATACATATGACTAATCTTTTGCATCTCAAAAAGACTGTTCTCACTTTTGGCTTGCACCACCCACCCCCCTCACCTTTCACCAACCGAACCACTCACCTTCCTCCATCTTGCGCGTTTCGCCAAGATGAGACTGCGGTCGAACCACGTTCTTCCGCCGATTACGGAGTACGTCCCACGTCGCCGTCGCCAGACGCGAAGTGCATCCGCACAGGCTGGGCCCGAAGCCGCGAGCGAGACTGTGGCAGATGTTGCGCAAGAGACCGTGCCAGAAACACAGTCTGCTGAAGAGAGACCCGCTCCAAAGCGGAAGCCAGCCAAGAAAGCCGGCCGGAAGAAGGTCAGATCAGAAGCAAGACGTCATAACTGTCCATAACTAACCTGTGCTTCCAGAAGGCTGCACCAAAGGGCAAGAAGCCTGCTGGTCGCATCGCGGAGACTGAAGCTGCCGAAGCGGTCGAGACCCAGGAAAACCCCCTAGCGCTCATTCCATCTGTGGAGCAACCTGACACCCGTACGTTGCCCCCAATTCCTACTAGAGTTCCCGCCCCCAAGCGTATTGTCCGCGGACGAGATATTTCGGCGGTCTTTCGGCATGGCAGTGCTAGCGAACTCCTGAAAACGGATTATCGGGACCCGAATCCCTCGCCCCGACAGACCCCTGTGATGCAATATGCCTGGCCGCCTGGAATAAGTTACAACAAGCTAAAACGAAGAATCCCCTGGTCACTTCCCTGGGCTCCACCACCTCCCCCTCGAGGCTGGCCCCACAGACGCTCTCTTCATATGACTGGTACCCTGGATGAACCCGAGCTGACCCGCACGGAAGAACAATTCTCTAGGAAACGGAACAGACTGTCTGAAGACGACTCTTCGCCATCGAAACGTCACAAGCTTACACTTCAAACCCCACGCGGCTTCGAAAACCGACCCCGTGGCAGCCCTCGCAGGACGTACGCGGATCGCGCCCGGCGACGCGAAGCGGAACGGGATGGAAGAATCGATCGCACCATTTACCGTTTCCCCCAGCTTTTGGCTCAGCAAGGAGAAGATGCGAGGTCTGGCAATTCAGACCTTACGGCATCCCATGTAAGAGAAGAGACCACGCCCCACGGTAATCATGTTGCTCCCTTCTCTTCATTGCCTTCTGCACCCCCACCAAATCAAGTCGAATCCCAAAACCAAACCCCAAACCGACCTGGTTGGCGACAATGGATATTTAGTTCAGTCACTGGTCTTTGGCGACGAGGCAATGCGCCCCAAACTGCAGAGGCCCCACAAGGTAAGTGCCCTTTGTAATAAGATATCTATATACCGTAGCTAACATCAAGATTTTAATGGCAGAACCTCAAAATTCAATGGGAAATCAATCTTCATCTTCCATCGCAACACCCCTATCAGCTCCACCCCCTCCTCCCTTGTGCCACCGAGAAATTTTGAATCTCCCACTCCGCGCCCGCGTATTGCAGCGTCGCGAACCTCACACTCGCGTCTGACAGCTAGCGCACGCGCCCCGCAAGTTGGCAAAAGAAAGAAGTACTCCTATGATTTGGACCCACCTGGGTTTGATCCAGAACTGCTCGCGCGCATGCGTGCTAGGAAGTCGAATCCTGAGGATCTCCAACCTGTGACTGCACCAGAACAAGTTCGTGCGCGCTATGAGAATGAATCGAAGAAGCGCAAGCGATCACCATCACCCGATGTCATTCCACACCCTCCAGGATGTAGTTACGGCTTTGACCCAGATTATTTCATCTACGATGATGATGAAGAGGAGGACCTACCCACAGATACGCAGGAACATCAAGATATCAAGGCCAAACAGGTTACAATCAGCGATGCACCGGAAGAGGAACATGTCTCCAAGCTTGTGCGCTCTGATAATACCCACGTGGAAAAATCACCGGAAGAACATGTTGCTAAGCGTGTGCGCTCTGAAAACACCCACCGGGAAAATGCATCGGAGGAACATGTTTCCAAGCGTGTGTACTCTAGCAACGCCCTCGAAAACGTCAACCAGCAGGTTGCACCAAAGCAAATTTCGATGGAAGAACTGCGCAAGGTCCGCGAACAGGCCGAACAATACAAGCCTAAGACGCCCAGTCGTCTGCGAGCTGCCCACCGCTTCTCGACCAGCTGCACTGAAGTTGTCAAAGATGATGAAGAAGATGCAGATGATGATGAAGCCCGCCGACGAAAGATGAGAAAAACATCACTAGCCAAGGCATGCCCTAGCGGTGACCTCAACAACATTATCTGGCCCGAGACTGAATCATGGGTGGACCGTCTCGACTGGGGCCACTGTGACCTTGACAAATGGCTCACTCGGAGCCCTCAATATGAGAGAGATGCGCTCATTGAGGATTACCACCAATTCTTCGTGTCCAAGCTTGCTGAGCAACGTGCTCGGCACTAAAGAAAAGCATGAAATTACTCGGTGCTTCCCTGGTCCGTGTTGGATGGAGGCTAGGGCCAGGGGACCCCGACCCCCTGGAGGAACCCCTCCCCAAGGAAGGAAAGGAAAGTCGTATCTTTCCTACATGTGTTTGTGTACTTAGCGTGATTACCAAAATGAAGCCCCCCATGTACGATTCATACTTGTCTCTGTATCCAACTTTAGTTCAACCCTGTAAAGGTAAGCAGCCACTCTCGTATGTCTTTTCACAATGCTTCACAGTGTTTCTGTATCCACTCTGTGATGACTTTTTTCCCCGGTTGGGAGCGTTTCTGATGAATGTAGATGTTCATTTCTCCGTCTCACTTGTTCCCTGGACCTCATCAATTCCCGGTCCTAGCTAGACTTGCAAGCAGCTTACCTTGAGCTTATAAAAGTCGTTTCATTCCTGGGCTTGTTCAAAAGGCTGATATACTCCAAAGCCACGTGATTCTAGAATTCCAAGGCCCCTGAGCACGTTGCTTATTGCGCTCTGATGCATCAGGCTACCCAAAATGCGAGTTGGATTCAGTAGCCCTAAACATTGTCGAGCTGCTGCATACATTCCGTCACAGAGAAACACTGCCTGGCCAAATACTTGGAACGATTGGGTCTACATACGATGATGGAGAACCATACGTACAGAGTCTACTTTTGGATATCTCCGAAAATCATGTCTGGAAGTAGGTTTTTGGAGTGGATGGAAATGATAACCCCACCGTATTATGCCCTTTTAAGTATTCAGAGCAAGACAAGGCGAAGTTTGAAGCCGAGTATATCAAGTGGGAAAAGGATGTTGAAAGGAAGACACGAGTACTTGAAGAGATAGGTGTTTCTGTAGGCTGGAACGGTGCAGTGTCTCCAGGTTACAATGAAGTAGTGAGGAGATCGGCTGTGGCAAAGCTGAATTCCCTGACTCGCGAGTCATCGAACCAACAAGAGGGTGACATGGGAAAATGTCTGGCCGTTTCAAAAGGTAAGATGATTGGAAAACAGTAAGAGTGCGGACAGTTACGGAGTGCTATAATGAATGATCTGTTGGAAGAATTGTGTGTATATGTAAAAGCCGAAACAAAGAGAGGAAGGACTACTTCCTACTGATTTCTTTATATGTACGTCTGCCTCACCAGGGGGCTTCTTCCGTGATTCAATCTTTGGTGGTATCATACACGATAATGTACAGATGTTGCTGGTAACTGTCGAAAGTATTCCCAGCTTCGACATAAGAATAATTCGGGATTCTTCTGTGAGCCCGGCCACACCACCATTGTAGCTTATTCAATCAGGCTGGTTAGGTAAGAAGAAGAAAGAAAGATACAGACTGCAAAGCTCAGATAGGACCCGGAGCTTGAGCTTGAAACTCGACGCAGATAACGCTGACCAGGTAGTTCAGTTGGACGGCGGACTGGACGTCTCAACGATCCGATAGTCATCCATCGAGAATGGTGAAGTGAGAAATGAGGAAAACATAGTAACTCAAAGTCCAGCTTTAGTCGAAAATGTCGAACTTCTCTTCATTGCTGGCGACTTTCTCTGCTTTGCCAGCAATGAGACTTCCATATTGGTTGTAAACCGGGTCATCTGGGTCATAAGTCTCCTTGCCCCAGGGTCCGAGGTCATCGTCAAAGAGATCTCTTTCTTGACCATTGCAAACTTCAAAGAGTGTGATCCAGTTCTCCTCATCAGTCCAGACCCCACCTCGACCGCCGCGCACCTCCAACCAGTCTTGCCCACCCAACAGCGCCGACTGTGCCGCGTCAAACCCGTGTGAATCGCGGACATATTTGCGTAGTAGGGCCCGTCCCCATGGGAAAAACCACATATTCTCCCACCAGGTGTTGCGGAGCTTGGAGTCACCGTTGAGATGGGCGAGGACCGGCACCGAGGCGGAGTGGACATTCGTCATTAGCGAGATGTTGTGCCAGGTGCGCTCGTGCGGATTCGGGAGCTTGTCCAGTGTGGCATTCCACACTGGTCTCTGGGTTGATTCTCTTGCGAAGCGGGACTCGGTGAATGGGTTGGGGAGAGTGGCAATGTCTTGTGGTAGGAGGATGCGGTGTTCGCGCGGGACACCGTGTTGCATCTGTAATGCGGACATTTTGGTAACATTACCGAACTTGACCCACTCAACGTCCTTGCGGGACATGACCTGGTTGAAAAAGAGTTGTGACTCGAAGTCGACGCCAATGCCGAATTCGTACCGGTGGCCTGTCTCCAGCCGGATACTCATTCCGGTGATGTTTGCTGCATCTGAGATGCCCACCATGCGGTAGAGTAACTCCTTGAAGTCGTTGGCTGTTCGCCGCCGCTCCAGTTCTCTGATCACCTCTTGTCGTCCGTACATTTGTGTCAGGGCCTGGTAATCGGCAGACTTGTTTGAGCGTAGCTCAACTTGTCGCAAGACCTCATCGTAGATCAGACGCACATCCGCAGCTTGGCCAATTACCGCTCCAGGGTTCAACCACCGAGGTCGGTTCAGAGATCCATCCGGGTAGGCATCAGTCTTCCAGCCATACACATCCGGAGGTAGAGATGATTCGGGGACAGACACACAACCGGGGTCGTCCAGCAACCCGTGGAAGCACATCTTACTCGCACCAAAAAGAACGCGCTGGGTGTATTTCTGCACCATCTCAGGCGCATCGCCAGCGTTTTGGCCCTTAACTTCTGCGAACCCAAACTTTTTCTGGAGCTTTCGGTTGTTCTCCCTTATGATAGCCTGGAACCGCTCCACTAGGACCTTCGGTGGCAATTGGAAGAAGCTGTCTGCGCCATCGACCATCAGCACAAAGTCGCGGTCATGCACGGTCTTGCTGTCTCGCAGGTAATTGCGCACTCGTGTGATCCGGTCCACCATACGCTCGGCCTCGGTCGCTCCTGGGGCATCATGCCCGTAACCGACTAATGTGGGCGGTGGGTATCCAAGGATCATCGCCGATGTGAGTGTTCGGCAGACTCCGCGCGAGCCTTGCGAGGCTGGAAGTAGGACATGGAGGCGCGGGTTGGGCTTGTCTAGATCGTGAGGGAGGGTGTCATTGGCATTAATATCCGTGCGAGGGGGGAGGATGACCTGGGCATCCTCTGGGCGCTCAGGGAAAGGATGGCGAGAGGGAAACTTGGTCCAGAAGTCCGGTTCGATTCGCTGAGTAGAGATTGTTAGCTTGGTTCTCTCATTGGATCAAAAATTCTTACTTTTGAAGAATATTTCAGCATGTAAAAGAAGAAGAACAATGCGATCACTGACAAGCCAATTGTCTTAATCCGGTTTGCCCGTGACCGACGGACGTGCCACACGGGAGTCGATTTGACATCTTGAAAGTGTAGCGCGTCCTCCGACGCCATCATGCAGATATAGAGTCGAAGTAGATACTCTGTAAAGCGATATGGAACATTGTAAGATGTCAAAAGGAGCCGAAAAGGAAGCACACACCAAATGGGAAATACGCAATCATCTTGTGGAGAGAGATCGGCGCAACGTTTCCGGTGCGTCACCTCGTGGACCCCTTGGATGTCACATACCAGCTTGTCTCAGGTTTAATTTGTATTCAATTGCATTGAAAATGTTCTAGACTAGGTCGTACATATGGTTCTTACTTTTACAGGCTAGAATGGCGTTTAGATTTGTTTCATATACTTTCTTACACTACATAACACGTACGCTATGAATGGATATACTATATTCCCTCAAATTCCTCTCCTGTAGGGTACGCGGATGTATATTCCCACTATTACTACTATAGCGAGAAGAAGAATTAGCAAGATATAAAATATAGTAAGAACCGCTTAACATGTGCATGGCTTTACATGTATAATATTTGATGAAACGCACAATACAGGTCCAAGTCTCCATGTAGAGGACCAGCTCAACATCTCAGAACCATATATGTACATAACATTGTATCTCATTCCAGGTAAATCTCCTCTCTCAGGCGCTGCAAATTCCGGAAAAGACCTCCGGCCGGTGCTCCACTGTCGCTATCCCGCCGAGCCTCAGACCTGGACTTGGACTGTCCTCGGTTCTGATCCTGGTCCAAGGCGCGCCGTCGATCTTCCACAATATTCGCCAGGCTATCCACGAACCGATTACGGGCTTTTTCCTCGGCAGATGTATTCCACACAGTCGCCAGCGTACGTAGAGCTTCAACGCGGCGGTTGGCAGCGTCCACTCCGGCGTACCCTCCCCCCTCGCTGTCGAGTAGATCCGTCACTTCTGCACGGAACTTCTTCATAATTTCTTGGCCTTTTTCTTCGCGGTCTTGCCCTTCGGGACCGAGGTCCGGTCCTGAGACGGAGATGAAGGATGATGAGAATGAGATCTCGGATGGCGGCAGTGGCCAGCTCATTGCGTCGCCGAAGGTCTGTACAACGTCTTCTAGGCGTGATCGCACTTGGCTTAGTGTGCGGAGGTTTGTTATGTATTCTGGGTCTGTCGGGGCCGGTGTGTTCTTTTCGTCTGGGCTTGCGGCTGACTCGTCTTCCTTTGGCGCGTCCTCTTCGGCTTCGGTCTTGCGCCTGTCTTCTGGTGAGCGTTCCGGAACGAACTTTGCTATGTCATCGCGGAGAACTTCGGTCAGGGTTTCGGATAACCCAATTGTTTCGCCTCGTAGAACCTCGACTTCGTAGGCTAGTCGTCCACCACTTCTGAGGATTTCGTCGGTGAGTTGGGATAATGTGCTCGATAGACGGAGATTTTGGGCGCTGATTTGGGAGAGGAGGGATTGGACCTGCGTGGACAGCTCTGTCAAGGGCACAGATCCTGGGGCCCGAGAGGCATTAGGTTGTGATGATGCCACAGTCAACGGCGATAGAGTGTCATTGAGGAAGTCGGCTGGATCAAAGTTCGGGTCGGCGAAGTTAGGGGATGCAGGTTGATTTGATGGCTTGGCGCCAGCTCGAACTGACGAGCTATATGTTTGTGATGCCATTTATGTGAAGATCTGACCTATGAGGCTTGTCAATTTGTCTTGAGGTCAATTCATGCTTGAAGAGCGAGCTGGCCTCCGCGGGGAGGATGGATATCTCCACGCCCCACCGCCTTCTGTGTTCCTTATTGGGTATGGTGTATACTATACTACATTGGGTATAGTTCCTGGCCGCTTTGATCTGAGATCTATACAACGTAAACAAAAAAGATCAACGTTGAATTCCACCTCTATCACTTCTTCGTTTACTATATTGAAGCACTATCTGTCTCACTCATTGAGTTAGTAGGTCAGCCTTAATATCCTGGGGACTGGTTGGCTTCTCATGTGCAACACTTTAGATGCGATCCCGGCGACGGCACCGCCTGAAAGTTGCGACGATGATGTAGATTTTGAGCTTGAGAGTAATAGAGAGGTCGAGAGCAAGTTGAAATTGTGCTCACCAAGCTTCTGAGCTATCTTAACTGCAGATGGAGTATTGCAGCAGCTATCATCCTCCCCGCAGCACCAAGTAGTCAATTTCGCAGTACCGTCACAAGAGGTCATCCTGTTGACTCATGTACCCGTACTAGTACTAATCTTGGTCTCATTTTTGATTTCGATTTTCTGGCACATACATACTCTGCACTGGTAGCTTCGTTGGCTCTCAAGCCCACTGGCAGACATTGATCAGTGTCTTCAAGTTATTGATACTAGATGCAATACACAAGTGATTGATAATTCAATTCACACGGAATATGTTGATTCCTCATAGCTGATTATCAAATGTCCACGGATCTACTAGTAATACAGATTCAAATATTGCCTAATCTATTCGAGATCATGAATCATTACTGGAAAGATCCATATCCAGGCTGTCTGTGTGCCACTACATAGAAAGAACTTCCTCCTTCTTCTCGAACCAGATCATTTCCTTGAACATTTCCTCCAACTGCAGACCTAACCTTGTGACTTGAGCATCTTCAATTAAAAACTCAGCTTTTACGATATCATCACTCCCATCGAGCCAATCAGTAAGATGAGCGTCGAATTTTCGGTTATCGGACACATGTTCGAATTTCAAGGTAAACCCCATTGAGCGATCTGTAGCATCGATAAAGAGCGTATTATCTTTGATTTGAACCAGTAAGTTATGATACCCAGGATTCCAGTAGTTGCCAGCGTAAATACTGAGAGGCATTGTCGGTGGCTGCGGAGTATTTCCTTTTGTTTTTTGTTCATTCACTTGGCCCTTCTGGATAACTTGACTTTTCTTCGCTCGGGTTTGCTTTTCCTGCTTTTTTCTCGCCTTCTTTTCCTGGTTCTTACTCATTGGATTTGCATCGTTCGCCTCGGCCTGGGGTTTTAGACCGCGAATTTCAACAGGTCGGGTGGCTTTGCTTTTGCTGTCATGAGGTCTTTCGTCCGTGACTCCATGGAGATTATCAATCAGCTTTTGTACAAGGGTCGTCGCAACGCCATTTGCTCCATCTGAATTTCCCATAATCACAGCACCGAATGAGAAATCAGGGAGAAAGAAGAAGCGACTTCCGAATCCAGAGAATACCCCATTATGGCCGACAACCATATGTCCCTTGTAAAAGTAGATATCCAGGCCAGCAGCATATGCCACCGGGGAAGTGTACCGCTTCCGTCTTCCTGGGTTTGGATTCACAAAAGCTCGCAGGCGAGTGAGCCCTTCATAAACATTCTTATTGATAGGGTCTTCGCGATTGATAAAAGCCTTGACAAATTTGATGAAGTCATTCACGCTCGAAATGATAGATCCCGCGCCTTGGCCTTCTGGGCAGTCTGGATTTTCGAGTCCATGATATGTTGAGTCGGCTCTTTTCCATGTGTAGCCAGTTGCCATGCGGGGTTCAAATCCTTTTGATCGTGCGCTGCTGGGTTGAAGAGTAGTTGATGCCATGTCTAGAGGCTTGAAAAATCGCTCTTCGAGGAATGTACCAAAATCTTGTCCGCTCTTGACTTCCACCAGATGGGTTGCCACTGTATACATCATGTTGCAGTAGATATACCTGGATCGAATGGGAGCAGCGACAGGGAGATTCCTAAGGTTCCTCGTAATGGATCGAGCATTGTCTGGCTTCGCCGCTCGCACACTCATATACGAATTGTCATGGCTGGCACAATATCATTAGTCTGGAACTCAAACATGAAGTTTGAAAGATCTGAGTTCACCTAGACATTCCACTTCTGTGACTTAAGATGTCTTCCACGGTGACTCCATCTGTGTATCCTTCTCCAGACATAACAAAGTCCTCGGGGAGAAGAGTCGACATCACGGCATCGTACTGAATCTCCGGGAACATGTCATTATCGTCGACCAGCAATCCCACCGCCGCAGCAGTAAGTGATTTAGCAGACGATGCAATGTCAAACAGCGTATCTGCTGTGCAAGGTATTTCGGGATCCAGGCTCGCATGTCCATATCCTGCAGAGACAATTTGATCATTGTGTATGATTGCAACCGCCAGTCCCGGGACATGTTGCTGCTTCATCAACTCTGTCACGTCTGACGCAAACCCTGGCGAGTGAAAAAGATCCATCTTGTTGATTTAATGAATAACCGATGCGTGTTATGGAATGCCACTGTAGAGGCCTATTCATGTAGCTCTCAACTTTGGGGCCAGAGGATCAGCCCTTCCACAGGCAGCAAGTCTGTCGATCAGCGGACACCCAGACCTTTTATGCCACTCCACGCCGCAATTTCCACATGTCGGTACAATATGGATGATACATGGATTGTCTCTGCCTTTACCACACATACAGAAGGTGGGAATTTGAGGTTTTGAGATGTAGATAGAAAGAGATTTGATTTCTTTCTCCAGACAGCGAACGGCTTTTGAAACTCTCTGCATAATATTTTGGTAGTAAATATGTATGATATCGATGGTCTGTGAATCGTCTACTTAACCCGTGGTTTCAAATCCGAGAGATAAATAACAAAATAAGCAAGACTAGAAGCTGGAAAGGGTGATTACAATGTATGATCTCTGCAGCTGAGCTGTAGTGACATCTGACGAAGGCCTCGTATCTCCAAACAAGCCCCATCATGCAGTGAGCCTATATATACTGGTACAAGAGTTGATATCACTGCCCACTGATACAAGCATTCAGGTCCTCCACTGGAAACAACATACACCCACTTAAAAAAATAGCGGTCAAGTCACAATTCCAAAGACTCATATCGACCAGACATCATTGCAGGAGCCGAGAGTCAAGCGAGGAAGGGGTATATAATTCTGTTTTTACGAGGCAAAACAAGCAAACTAAGCACTAAGTTCATGTACGAACTTCGGGCCGGCGTTTGTCGCGTGGAGCTCAGAAGGTCCAGTCGTCCTCGTGTACGCCACAATGCTAGATTCTCCCGCCTGCGAGCTACCACCAGCCTCGCTTGGTATTCCGCGTCCTGGCCGTTGGTAGAGCGTGCCCGGCTCAACCTGAGTGCTTCCTCCAAGCTCGCTAATTTCTGGGTGGCTTCCACAAGAAGATGATGTGTCTGGGAGAGGCTTTTGTCCTTTTTGCTGGCGTCGTCGGAAGAACCAGAATAATAGAGCGACGAGTACGATCAGTCCTGCTGCACCGACACCAACGCCAACGCCGATTTTTGCTCCGGTCGATAGTCCGTTTGTCTCTGTTCCTGTGCCTGTGCCTGGAGCTGCAGGGCTTGGGTTTGCTGGCTCTGGGATATCTGGAGCAGCTGGGGCTGAGGGGACTGTTTGGCTGGTCTGTGTTGATGAAGTGGTTGATGAAGTTGATGAATTTACCGTGCTGGATGAGGCATCGGATGTTGATTTTGCCGTGTCGGATGGTCCATCGGAGGATGATGTTCGGGTCTTGCTCTCGGAAGTGGTCGTAGTGGCGGGGACAAATAGGCTCTTGTCTGAAGCTTGCATCTCAACTTGGATTGCTTGCGCCCACATGGTGACTGGACCGGAGACCTGCCTGCTTTCCCCCTGAACCTCGCGGACGGTGACGAGAGTAGATGACGAACTAGGAAAGATGCTTAGACATCCGACGAAAGTTGTTTGCTCGTCCCGTTTTTCTTCATAGTAGCTGAAGTTACTAGAATCTCCAAGTCAATATCTGTGCTGGGAACCAGGATAGGGTGTCTTTTTCTCACGTACGAGAGGCAGCATATGGCAGTTGTGACCGGTTCGTGTACGACTAATTCGGCCGAGGTGTATCCATGTGGACAGTAAGCTGGGCTATAGACGACAGTCGCCCGAACTCTTCCATACTGATTGAACCCGGTAGGGAAACATGCAGGATCGGCATGGTCGTTTTCCGCAACGTTCTGCATCAGGAGGCCATTTGAGACCAAGTTTGCAGACTGGGGTTCATATGTCCATGAGTTCGAGCATGAGGCGGGCGCTGTGAAGATACTTGACATGGGCATTGTCGTGATCGGCCCTATCGTTTGGGCCCTTGCTCCCAATACCGGTATAGTAGACGTCATATCCAAGCTGTATATGCTATGTAGCTCTACAAGATGTTGCGGAAGGGTAGAGTGTATAGCGATCGAAAAAGCGAACTCAACATCTCGCCCCCAATTCGAAAGGGGTTTGCCTTCGCCATTAGGTATACTTTGTAGAGCAAATTCCAAAATCATCTTAGCTCCCCTCGGCACAGGGCCCTTATCCTGATTCTATCGTTTCCTCATCCTCTACAGCTCCTCGCTCAGGACCTCACACTGCCCCAAACCTGACCAAAAATGCCTTTATCTCTCTAACTTTTGAATTTAACCCCGGTGAATCAGTTGAACAACAAGAAAATCATCAATAACTCTCCTAAATCAAAGCGGAGATTGGAAAATCTCCCTACGGAGAATCCCCAAGATCGCCATCGCAATGTCCATTAAGATGCTAGCGTCCCCACGGCACCTTTTGCCCAATTGAATACGAAGATAATATATGCCTTGGCTGGCGCCGAAACTCATCAGGAACACCGTCTACTCAAATCCGGGGTTCGTCACAAAACAAATCACAAAACTATGTTAGTTAGGGGACATGATACATAGTGAAGTACTCCGTATGGACATTTAAAATAGGTACCGCACGAAACTATACGGTTTTCAATATTTTTGAATGAAAGAACAACATCGAGAAAGTATTGGGCCTCCTAAGTGGACTTGACTAATTTAAAACTGTTTCAGATCGCACTGAACCCTTTTGTCACAAGTCATTTCAAGTGGTTGGCAGGTGAGTATTCTCCGTTTCTGTAGTCAATTGATGAGTCGCGACTTAATACAAAGTATTATTGTTGATTGGCCCTGGGTATACGGACTACTCAGTGTCACAGATAGAAGACAAAATTACAGAGCAAACATTGCATTCCATTGTACTAAACAGGTTCAAAGCAGTCAAGACATTATTAAAACAGCCGCAGTAATAGCAGCAAACGAAGGTGGGTATCGTCATAGATCCAATCACGTCCAGCCATACAGAAACAATTAAACATCGGGAGCGCAGACGAATAAACTGTTGAAGAACAGCTTGAGGGTATCCACTTTCCGAAAAAGGCAAGGTAAAATCACAGACTGAAGAGGGGAGGATTATATCTTCATGCAAGCAAATTAACCGATTAAGAGGAGAACGCAGGCGAAGCATCAAGAACACATCTAGATGTCTTCAACAACGCGGGCGTTCACTGCCTGTTGAAGTCCGGTATCGCCCTGAGACATAGTACCGTACTTGCTGGGGCCTTCACCGAAGTTCTCGGCAGAATTAAGCTGCGTCTGCGCGTTCGGACCATTCACTCCTGGCATAAAGATGACCTTGCTGTTGGCAGTCTTGGCCATGGCCTGCATTGCTTCCAGGTAGCGGATCTGCATCGCTGGAGCAGAGGACAGGATATCGGCAGCCTGACGCATCAACTTGGCGGACTCGACCTCGGCGCGCGCGGCAATGACCTTGCTTTCACCAATACGCTTGGACTGTGCTGCCATGGAGAGCGAGTCTTGCAGGTCTTCACTGAAGATTATGTCCTTGATCAACATGGACTCGACCTTCACTCCCCACCCGGCGGCTACCTCCTCGATGATCTCCGAGGTTGACTGGGCGATCTCCTCGCGACGCTCAATCACATCTTGCAGCACACGTGCACCGATCACGTGGCGTAGGGTGGTTTGGGTGCGCTCGACCAGGGCTTGCTTCACGTTCGAGATACCGAAGGCGGTCTTGTGGGGAGAGACCACTTGGTAGTAGATGACGGAGGTCAAGTTGAGGGTGACGTTGTCCTTGGTCATACAGATCTGACGGGGCACCTCAACGATCTGGATCTTGACATCGACGGTGGTGATGTGTTCGCTGAGCGGGTTGATCTTCACCAGACCAGGATCGACCGATCGCTCGAAGCTAGAATCATCATTGTCAGTGGCCGATATACAACATTATGGGCGCAAAAGGAAATCACTTACCGTCCAAATCGCGAGATCAGACCGACTGCACCTTGGTCGACGGGCTTGAAGGGGTTGGGGCAGCAGATACAGCAGGGGATGGCTCCGAAAAACCCGATACATTCACCCAGACTGTGGACTAAATGTGTTGTTAGGATGAGTTACAACGCGTGTTGGAGTTGGCGCAACTCACTTAACCCGGCGTACCAGCCATGGGCATCTGGGTTGTCATCATCATGGTTGATACGGTGGGCGTATTTAGGCTGCAGATCGGTCATACGAAATGGCTGGACATCGACCAGAGGTTGATGTACATCACGACCGACGGCAGGAGCCTTGCTGGTGCTTGCGCCGTTTACAGACATGGTTGGAGTATAAGTTTTGATGTGGATGTTCCAGGTAATATATTTGATTTGGAAGGGATCAAGGGGGAAATCATAAGGTTTTTAAATGTTTGAAAGGTAAGCAGAAAGCTTCCCAGGCCAAGTCTCTCTACTTTCTCGCAGTGGAACCACGAGTCTGTTGAGTGCTCACCTTCACTATGATTGGTCTAGTCATTCTAAGCCTCTGTCTTTCCCAAGGCTGAGCCCCCGGTCGGGCGCTCTCCATGGCCGAGCAGCCGTGATCGTCGTTGGGGGCGCGAACTCATTATAGGGCTGTTCAATCTCGACAATGATATGGATGATGTAAATGAATCCGTCCAAATCTTACGTATAAATATTGCACATTCCGATCAGACATGTCTGGGCGTCGTCATAGCACATATTGCATATTGCATACTGCATGTACACGAGGGGGTTCCTCAAATGTCCGCGGAGCAACATCAAAGTCCAGGGCGCCCAGGGCGCAGTGCCTGGTGGCAATGCCGTGGACCTTATACATCACATGAGCTGTCACCGAAGCCATTCGGAACAGCAAGCGAATTCATAAAGTATTATTTCAAGAGCTCTCACCAATGATCTTTGGTCCCTGTGGAGATCCAGTAGGCAGTGCCTGGGAAACTTTCCGGGGAAGGGCTGTGCTGAGAGGCACAAGCTGATACGTCATCTTTTACTCCGTACTGGTTGTTAAAACATGGTCTTGTAACTAAGTATGGGTTCCTCATACATCAACTAGCATCATTGGTCTAGTGGTAGAATTCGTCGTTGCCATCGACGAGGCCCGTGTTCGATTCACGGATGATGCACATTTATTTTTTGTTTTTATTTTTTCCATCACCGGATGGAACATTTACCATTTATATCCTTTGATCTACTTCAATATATGAACATACGGGATAATCATGGCGGACTTTTGTCGTTTTAGGCAAATCTATTCTATGTCTTGCTAATATTGATCAAGGGAAGAACCATGTTAAACCCATCCCTCAACATATATCTCACGGCGCGAAACGAAATGAGAACGATCAAATTTGAGAGCAATCAATTACAAAAACGACCATGATGATCATAATCAATGACAATTAGTTTACTTATCTATATTGTATCCTGTAGCATAGAGAGCATAGAGAGCATAGAGAGCATAGAAGATATAGAGTCAGGGGATCACCCGCAATAGACCCTTGAAATGTCGCCATACTTCACTCGGACGAGAAAGGATCAACGGACAAGCACCACATCAGATCCAAAATCCCCCGGGGCCCTAAACCCCAATTATGTGAAACCCATGCTGACGCCATCGGCCTCCAACTGCACGCCTTTTTGCGTACGATGCACCGCGGGGTCAATGGAGCTGGACATCTACGTTAAATATACACTACCCCTCCAAAGCTATGGCTTGCAATTCATTCCTCTCCCACCCCAATACACACCATGTCTTCCGAAAAGAAACAACTTATCATCAATGCCTTTGCGATGCAATCGCCGAGTCACCTCAACCCAGGTCTATTCCGCCATCCCACAGACCAAGGGGCAGACTACAAGAATATCAAACACTGGATCAACCTAGCCAAGAAGCTCGAAGATGCCAAATTCCACGCCATCTTTTTCGCAGATGTCCTAGGTGGCTACGATGTATACAGAGGCCCTGCAAACCTCTCTCCAACAATCCCTGCCGGAGCTCAATTCCCAATCAACGACCCCCTCTACAGCATCCCCGCCATGGCAGCAGCCACAGAGTCAATTGGCTTCGGCGTAACAGCCTCAACAACATATGACTCCCCCTATGCCCTAGCAAGACGTTTCTCAACAGTTGATCACCTCAGCAATGGCCGTATCGGCTGGAACATCGTCACCTCGTACCTCGATTCTGCGGCTCGCAACTTCGGTCTCGATACTCAAGTCGAGCATGATGAGCGTTACCGCATCGCCGACGAGTATCTCGATGTCACCTATAAGCTGTGGGAGGCGTCGTGGAGAGACGACGCCGTGACCTGGAAACAGGGAACGGAGAGCAAGACACAGGGCTATGCGGACCCAACGGCGGTTCGTGAAATCAATCACAAGGGGAAGTACTTCCAGGTTCCCGGTCCTCATCTCTGTGAACCGAGTCCCCAGCGCACGCCGTTCATCTTGCAGGCTGGTACCTCGACGGCGGGCAAGGCGTTTGCGGCGAAGCATGCCGAGGCTGTGTTCTTGCATGCGCAGAAGCCTGAGCTTGTTCGTCCGTCTGTCGATAGTATCCGCCAGCAGGCTGCGGATATTGGACGCAATCCACAGGATATCAAGGTTGTGGCGGGTGCGCTGGTGATCGTTGCCGAGACGGACGAGGAAGCCAATGCCAAGTTTGAGGAATTGAAGACCTACGGTGACCGGGAGGGTGCGCTTGCTCTTTTCGGTGGTTGGACTGGATACGATCTGTCGACGTATTCTGATGATCAGGACTTCCGTTTCGTGGAGCTTCCTGCTGTGCGCAGTATGGTTAACCACTGGGCTAGCACAGTGCCTGGCACCGAGGGTCAAAAGTGGGATAAGAAGACTATTGCTGAGTATCTAGTGCTTGGTGGTAATGGTGTTAAGATTATTGGAAGTGTGAAGACGGTGGCGGATGAACTAGAGCGATGGGTGACTGTTGGCGATGTTGACGGGTTCAATCTCAGCTATGCTAGTCTCCCTGATACCTTTGACGATATCATCCGTTTGCTGTTGCCGGAGTTGCAGCGTCGTGGTCTGTTCTGGTCAGATTATGCTGTCAAGGGTGGAACTTTCCGTGAAAACATGTACGCGAAGCAGGGTCAGTCTCGACTCCCTGATGCGCACCCTGGTGCCAAATATTTCTGGAAAGAGGGCCAGGAGGTGCCTCCATATTCATTGGAGGAGTCGAATTAGAATGTAGCATATTTACAAACAAATCGAAAACTTCTCAACCCCTTCTCCTTGTGAATATTCAGGTAATATGACCACTCGCACTCGCTCTGGTACAAGTCCAAAGCTCCATCAGCGTGTGTGGGCGAATAAACGACTTAAATCCCAGGATCAAAGGTTGGTTTGGAAGATAGATCAATAGTATCAAATGTAGTTTGCCAGTTGAAGAGGAAGAGACCGTCAAAACAGACGGTCGCGCTGAAGACGCTAGTCCTTCGGGCTTTATCATCATACCGACTTCAACTCACCACAAAAAGCATCGCCATTCATCTTCTGATGGCAGCCGATACTCGACCAAAATTGCTTGGTGACCTCGTACGATACCATCGTGCATCCCTCAGCAATCCTCTCCAGTGGAGTTCCCGCCACCTTGATCTTGTGGGGTGTCGATTTGAGGATGTCGAAACTACCCCTGCCTGCGCAGAATCTACAAACAACCACAGGAACAATGATGGTCAAAAGCCCTGCCCGGAGCCAGAAGATGCTGAGTCAATTGGGACGAACATATTGGGCCTTGGGGGATTTTGATCTGAACATATGTCGTGGTGCTTGTCCGTTGATCCTTTCTCGTCCGAGTGAAGTATGGCGACATTTCAAGGGTCTATTGCGGGTGGTGATCCCTCGATGAAACAACGTCCGCTTTGCACGCCTCATCGGTGTTGCATGACTCCAGCCATTTGAAAAGCGACAAACATCGTACTCTAGAACGGAAGGGAATCCAAGAATTGGAACAGGAAACCAAGTATATCTGTATTAAAACCATCCTGTCCTTCTACCAAATCAAACATCCCACCATCCCTCCATATGAGACTTCAAATCAATCTCCTCCGGCAGTCTCAGATGAGGCGTCAGTTCCGCATTAGGAGTCAATTCTTTTGAAGTCCACCCATTCCCAAAGTAAGCAAACCGATTCCCACTCTGATTAACATAGGTATACTCCCAATCTTCCCAGCGCGGATCCCGACGAATATAATTTGAATGGGACGCACTACCAGGGAAGAGACCATGGATACGAGACCCTGGCTTGCCACCGTTATACCACGAGCTACAGTTCGCTGACCAAACAGTGCGCGGGTAGAACTGGTCGCAGTACTCAACGAAGTCATCAGTTGCTTGCTTCGCAGGAACAATGGTTTTAATCCCCTGTGTGCGAATCTTGCGCAGCACTTTTGCGATGTATGTCACTTGGTTCTCGATGTTGTTCGGCACTGTCCCGCTGTGTCCTGATGAGTATGGACCGCCGAGCCAGAGGAGGTTAGGGAATCCGGGGGTTGCGAAACCCAGGTATGAGTACGGGAACCCGAATTTGCCGTTGTGTTTCCAGGCTTTCTTGAGGTCGACTCCGTCGGCGATGATGGAGAATGGGGGTGCGTGATCGACGTTGGCGCCTGTTGCGCAGATTGTGATGTCCACTTCTCGCTCCACCCCGTCCTCGGTTACAATGCCTTTCTCGGTAAATCTCTTGATGCGCGTCTGGATATAGTCGACGTTTGGCTTGGCTAGAGCTTCTAGATATCCTGGCCCTGGCGTTGGGCGACGACATGCCGGGGGAAGTCTGGGATGATCTTTTCTGCTAATTCCGGCTTGCCTGCAATACGCTGGAGCATCAGGGCGGTCCATTTCTCACGTAGTTCGTTGTTTTCAGGCGTGTCTTTGAAAATTGCCCCAAAGCGCTGGAAATATCCCTTTTCGACATCCCGTCTGTATTCCAAATACGCCTTTGGATCTTTCCATGTCGCTAGCTGTGAGTCGGAGAACAAATTTGGCTCCAGTCGACGGACTCCCACGTTTCCGCTGCTGAATGAATCTGCAATCCAGGTTGGATTCCGGGCGTAGTGGTCAACGTGGCTAGCAAATGGTTGAATGGATGGTAGGACCTGCAAGCCGGAAGCGCCATTTCCAATAAGAGCAATCCGCTTGCCCTTCAGATCGATACTTGGATCCCAGTTCGACGAATGGAACAGGGATCCCTTGTAGTCGTTGATTCCTTCGTAGTCCGGTAGCTTCCAGGCATTAAAGTGACCGATGGCGTTGATCACCACGTCTAGCTCTTCCTCATAAATCTGTTGCATAGATGTGAGTATAGAGGCTCACGGATATACCAACCATTTCTCACCTTTGAGCCATCTACATGTTCCACAGTGACATTCCATTTCCCTTTCTCGGGCTGCCATTCGGCCTTCTGCACTCTCTGTCCCGCGCGAAGGTATTGGTACACATTGTGTTTCCGTGCCACACCCTGCCAGTATTGTCTAATCTCATCTCCCTGAGCAAATTCTTCTGTCCATTGAGTATTTGGGGAGATGCTGGATTGGTATACATGTGCAGGGATATCGCATCGAACCCCGGGATATGTATTCTCGAACCTGTTGAATCCGAGTTAGTAACTTCCAATGAAGACCGGAGCAAGATGGCGAATGTACCATGTGCCTCCCTAGAGAATGTGGATTAGTTTCTCAACCCACCCATAGAATATTTGGTCATTACATACCACATCGGCATTTTTATCATAAATTCGAAGATCAAGTCCCGGCAATTTCGCAGGGAGTAACACGCCCGCGGTAATCCCTGCCAGACCTGCGCCGATAATCCCAACCTTGATGGGTCGCACTACATCCACTGGGTGCTCCTCTAGTTCAAATCGGATCTTCTCAATCTTTTCTGATAACCCGCTGATATCACTCTCCACCGTTATAGTCGTTGGTCCATTCAAGTCCGAAGGACCCTTAATTGATTCCGAAGTGGGTCCGATCTTCGCCAGCGAGGGAAGAACTACCTCGGGAGATTGCACAAGAGTCATGGCGATGGCTGTGTTGTTTGGTGGCAAGTATACAGCATCACTATGGGACTGTCGCACCAAGGATATCCCGGCATACTTGTAGCGACTTCGCCCTTGCACGTCATGCGCAACGTTTTACACGTCACCTACATATCGCTCCAATCTGCTAGTGCTGGACTTCATTTGGAGAATATGCGGCCGTGCGATATTGGGATTGATTTGGTGTGGCTAACACCATCGCGGTCCGTGATGACGTGCCGGGGTTTATCGTGCCAACACCATCCGCTCCACTCCCCACGCCATTGCGGAGTGTCTTTGGGGTATTTGGGGTATTTTTTGTATGTCGCCATTTGATATCTCGGCCGATTCGAGTTATTCGAGCTATTTGAGAATACGTACATCTCATGTTCTAAGATCATTGAAGTTCTGGTCCAATCTGGAAGGAGAATGAGCGGGTTTAAATGTGTCCACGGGTATACTTCCAAATACAACGGAGGAAAAGCAAACCCTTCATTTCAATGATATTGTAACCATGCTTAGATTAAAAAAGGTCGAGTATGATTGACCTAAAGCTTGTGGAGAAGAACGGGAGGTCGAAAGCCCTAAATTTGACCCTGGAGAGAAAAGCTACTCGAAGCAAATCTAGGCAAGCTCAGCCTCAATGACCATTTCATACTGCTGAGGGTCGGGCCAAAACTTGACGATTCGAAACCCGGCATCGGTCAACAGCTTCGTCCATGTGCCCTGCGTTCGCTCGGCAGCGGACAACAGCGACATCATCTCCACGTCCATTGTAGTCTGGCTGATACTCGCTCCTGTGGGCGGAAGAACGATATCATAGATAAAAAGCCTGGAGTAGCCCTTGATCATTGCGTCCTTGGTGTTCAAAAGTAATTGTTTAGCCTTGTCATCCGGCCAATCGTGAAGAACTGCGTGCATGAAGTATGCACGGCTTCCTGTATCTTGGGTGTTAGGAAACATGCCTGCGTTTTTTTTCCTCTTTCTTTGAACTGAGAATGTGCTTACCTTTTACTGGCTGAGGTAAAAAGAAATCATGAACCATGGTCGTGATTTGCTCATCAACTTGCAGATTCGCAATTACTTCTGGAAGATCTTGCAGGACCAGTGAGCCACCAGGTAGGTCCGGGTGTTTTGCAAGAACATGGGAGATATCGATCCCATTACCTCCACCGATATCAACCACGAAAGGAGAGCCATCGTCTAGTTTGGCACCCTCTAGCAACTTTGTGGTATCGTAGACCTTTGTCCAGGGGGTCTTCCATGCCGTCCAGGCCTCCATGTGTCCATTGAAAGCTTCAAAGTAAGCGGGGCTTTTCTGCAATCGCCCAAAGAAGTTGAGACCGTCGGGGTCACTGTCCGAGTAATTATTTGTATTGACTTCCGTGGGCTCTTGGTAAGATATTTTGGCGAGATAAGTCGGCAGGTTATGGCCAGCAGCAAGGTATTGATTCGTCCTGCAATCTCAACATGTAAGTATAGCATGAGGCCAATGGTGGAGGAACTCCTTACGCTGCTTGAAGCGAGGCGCGGACCTTGGTGCTCTCGTCGCCAATAGCGGTCGAGAACGGTGTTGGTTTGAATCTGTCTTTCGCCGTCTCCTCAACCACGTTGAAAGCAGCCAGCAAGCGGAATAATCGACCTATATGTTCAATGAGCCATGCTGGGTTTAAGTATAGATATTCTGGAGAAAAAGCTTACGGAGCAGATTTGTATCGACACTGGGAGTGGTGAATGCGACCAGTTCGTCGATAGATTTCTCGCCTCCGACATCCGTCCAAGACTTCCAAAGGCCCAGGTCAATGCATGTCTGTAGAGCGGCAAAAACCACGGGCTGTTCGAAACAGAAGCCCCAGGCACGCTCATATGGAGTCTCCACTCTAGCAAGTAGCCGACGTGCTGCAGCGCGTACCTTGAGACGTTCAACTTCGTTGCCGCTGAATATCCCAGGTTGAACAGCGTCGAGGGAGTCAATTATTTTGTTCGTTTCAGACGGCAGTCGATCTGCTGCATGATTTTGGACATGTTCTACTCCTTTGCCACTAAGCCACCGAGGCTTAGCTGTAGCAAGTGCTGGGATGATTCTTGTTAGATATGACATGTTAGATTTCAAATTTTGGCCTGTGCCCCAAAGCAATTGGAAAAGGGACAACTGGGATGATAATAAGATTATATCAATGAGACTGGTGATCTGACCTACAGTCTCAGTGCGACTCAAGCCGAAGTTACACCAGAGGCCATGACATGACCTCGATGAGCATCTCCAGTGAAGGTCAATTCCCAATAGATTTGTTATACTTGTTTAGGACAGCACAAAGCTAACTTGTTTCCGGGCTTCCGTAGGCTCACCAATGCAAGGTCCACACCTATCTCTGTTAGATTTGTAATAGCTTACATTCTCGAGAGGATATTCACTCATGTAACTACATTCAGAAATGATCGCTGTGTGGCGGCCGCACCATCAAGATAATATGGCCGGGAAAACGGGAGTCCCTGCCTTTGTGCTAGAGCCCGTTATCTGTCAAACCCTAAAAGAATCGGACTTTTGTCTGGCCACTGGGTTCTAGAATCAAGGAGTTCTACAATTTCAGGGGTAAATCTTTTCTGATGAGACCATCCATACTCTATCTCCGGGCATTTCCGACTCGACTATCTGGCAAAAGTTTGGAATCCCATTCCCATTCCAATGCCGTTCAGGGATTGAAGACCAAAGTGACCGTACTCCCCAATTTCAGATTTCAGAGTCTTGAAACAGGGCATACGCTGCGCCGTATAGCTAGGGTGATGCAAAGAGACTGGAATTACTTATCGATCCTCACTCCTCAGCCACCCTATCCATGTTCATATCAGACTCATATCAGACTCAAATCCGTACGAACTCCGTGTTGGATAGGTAGCTCACAAGATGACCGTCTTTGTGATGACCTCCTATAATTTCAGGAGTACGGAGTACGGAGTACAGAGTAGTATGTTAGGAAACTGTGGGTCTATGGTGTGAAAAGGTCAAAACTCATACAAGCTACAAGGTACAACGTACAACGTACGTGCACGTTCTTAGTACCTAATTTGGAGCTTGTGGGATCCCTACTCATACTAGTCTAGTATGGGTCCTAACAAAATGATTCGTAATGAAACTTGACAGGGTTCATTATTTAAGTCATGGTGCAATTTTGCAGTGAATCATTGGTAGAAATCACGTCGCCCAGGGGGTAATGCCGAACGTCTGGCGTACCTGTCAACAACAGAAATTGATGTATCAACGTATAGCAGATAGTAACATAAAGATTTAATACTGTTAAACTGGAAGTTCAATCCTGCTATTCAAAGTAATATTGTCACTATCCCTCAATCATCCTTCTATCTTATCCATAAACTGCAAGCCTCTTCAATATGGGTGTATATGGAGGCTTAGGACCCATGACCAATGCAGTTCTCTGGGTGGAGGTTGTTGTATTTGCACTCTTTGTAGGGCTAAGACTTTATACTCGAAAGTACATTCTGAACTCCGTTGGTTTTGATGACTATCTAGTCTTGATCGCACTGGTGAGAAGATGAACCAGAATATTGTCTGATGCGAATTCTAACGGGCTGCAGGCTTTACACATCCTTTACACTGCCTTTGTCACAGTAGCGAGTGTTTACGGCCTGGGGCAACTGTACGCTGACGTCGGTGATCCATTACTATATTTTACGGCTGTCAAGTATGAGTTATTCAGCCAAGTAGCCGGAATCATGGTCATTGGCGTGGGAAAAGCAGCTGTCGGCGTGTTCCTTCTTCGAATTGTGCGGAGCAAAGTTCAGATTTGGTTTATCTGGGCCTGTCTTGCGATCACTGCTTTTATCACGCTTTTCGCCAGCATTACTGTTATAGTGCAGTGCATTCCAGTTGAGAAGTCCTGGAATCCAAATACGCCAGGCCATTGTTGGCTCGACTTTTCCAAGGTTGGCTACACCGTTGGATGTGAGTGTTACGTCTGTTCCAAACTTATACATGAATACTAATCTTTGGATTTCCACAGCATGGTTTGTCGCCGCGGACTTCTCCTTCGCAATTCTCCCATGGTTTATTGTTTGGGATCTCAATATGAAACAGAAGGAAAAGTTCACCGTCGCCTGTGGTCTCAGTCTCGGGATATTGTGAGTCTTGCAATACATCGCTCTCCTTGAAATAATAATCTGACGAGCAGAATCTAGTGCTGGAGTATGTGGCATTATCCGCACCAAAGCCCTGGGAGGACTGAATGCATCTGAGTACATCTGTATGTCCCCTAACCCCCTTTTCATGATGTCAGAGCTGATCCAACTCTAGATGATACTATACCAATGCTCATCTGGTCTGCTACCGAAAGCTGCGTCACGATAATGTGTTCGTCAATCCCCGTCCTCCGTCCTCTCTACATCCGCGTCAAATATGGGAAAGACGGCAAGAGTAGCTCTTCGGACAATACCTCCTACAAACTGCCAATGTATGGCAATGGCCGAAGACAGGGGAGATTTGCCAAATCCGGCCTTGAATCGTCAGTGTACGAGCGAAGTAGTACATACCACACAACTGTCATAAGAAATGGCGCCGAGAACGCTAGCGATGAGAATATTCTTCGAGGTGCAGCAGGTATTGAACGGACGGATGAGATCTCAATTAGCTATGAGCAATTTGGCAAGAAAGGGTAGGGATGGGTCCAAACATGCATTTTCGTTCGTTTCACCTTTTCAGGAGACGATGTAAGAAGATCTTGACCCAGATCGGTGCAATTGTAAGCTCAACTTCATCCTTCGGATGCTTTCCTACTTACAGTCTTTTCTCCAGGAAAATAAGTGGCTTGCATGTGTTGTAAACTTATCGCATGCATGGTTGCTTGAGACTGATTTGTCAACTTGCATTGCCGATTAGTTAACCTGCCAGGCGTATGACTTAAATGATAAACCAGCCCTGGAGGTACCAGACTACAATCTATTTAACTGCCACACAACAAACTTGATTTCCGCTACCATTTATTTCTCCCAGCCCAACTGCATGCGTTTTGGTGCACATTTCAGCACCCAACGCCCAACCTTTACACCCGCTATGTCCTCTGCCCCGCCAACAAGTGGACTTCCACCTAGAACATGGACACGAGACACCAATCGCGAATTCTTCATTTCAACCAAACCAAAGTTACTCTCTGTCAAAGCAGTCAATGCTGCGTTTGATAGAGACTTCGTTTACTGGGCCAAGAAGCCTCTCCCAGAGCAGGTGCTCTGGCAAATGCTTCACGGGTCTTTGAGTTTCGGCGTGTACAGGTGGACCCAGCCCATAGAATCTGTGAATGATTCTACCACGCCGTGTTCTGAGAACACCGAACAGATTGGACTTGCGCGAATGGTCACAGATGGTTGTTCATTTGCTTATCTGTCGGATACCTACGTTCTCCCTGAGTACCAAGGCAACGGGCTCGGGAAATGGCTTGTGGCTTGTGTTGCTGAGGTTTTTTCCAAGGAGAACATGCCGTATCTGCGTCGCATTATGTTGATCACTGATCATGAGCGCATGCAGGAATTTTACAAGAAGATGTTTGGCGTAAAGGTCGTCGGACATGAAGAACGAAAGGACATGGGAAGGGATTTAGTGTTTATGTGTGCAAGACCGAATGCACAGCCATCATTAGATCAAACCAATTGAATTTGAGCTAGGTGCTTGATACTTGACATCTAGGGAATGAAGAGACTTATGGCGCTCTAGTAGCGTATATTCGTCCTTTCACTCTCTACCATGGAAGTTGCAAAGGGGTCGGCAGGTTCTTCCCAAGAACATCTTCTGCGGTGCCAATATCTCTGTGAATAGATTAGCCTGGTTTCTGATAATAGGAAATAAATTATCTTACCCTGGTCCTGCTGGTGCCCAGAATTCGCCAGTTTTGCTAAGATCGAACCCTTCAATGAAAGACGCAAGCGTTTTCGCTGCTTCATCCGGTGTCACGGCTATTTTCCGAGAGAAATCGGGTTAGATCAAACGCATAAGGCATGTAAGACTTGTACACTGGTCACTCACCTCCACCTGCATCCCAGTACTTATCGAATCCAACGCTCTTGGTCATCTCCGTCCGCATAAACCCAGGATGTACCAGACCAACTGCAATCCCCTTCGGCTTCAAGTCCAGACTCAAAAGCTTCCCAACCATATTCAAAGCAGCCTTACTGGCATGGTGGCCAAAGTTACCCCCGCCTTCCTTCTCGTGGCGCAAGGCGATGCTGCCGCTCTCGCTGCTGACGAGGATCACTTTACTCCCCTGATCCAACAACCCAGCTTTGACGAGACTGCGTACTACAAAGACGGGCCCAATCGCAGAGGTTGTATACATTTGGACCTGCTTCTCCCAGTCTGGAGATTCGAATGTTTCAAAGCCGAAGTACCCAGCGCTGATGATGACCGTCGAAAGCTTCGTAGCTGGCAGCTGGGAAATAAGTTTTTGGCCCACATCTGGCTGGGAGATATCAATTTCTGTCAGCCAGGTGACGCCTGGGTTTGGCTCTGGATGGGAGGACCGAGTGGTTGCAAACACATGAGTCGCTGTCTTTGCGGAGTATAATGTCCGCAGAGAAGCACCCAGTCCTCGAGTGGCACCTAAGATGAGAATGTTACTCGTCATTTTATAAGCTGAAGAAGTATGAAGGCATGGGGTCTAGAGAGGTTTTTTATATCTGCATCGCCTGGGCACGCCATTGAGACCGCCATTGAGGGATGACACGATGACGTAATACCTGCCTAGGCCCGCGGGCCTACGGAGTACATGGTAGCTATGTATGTGCTCCGTAGCCATGAAGGCATATCGTGTGGGTTGACTCCGTGCAAGGCTCTACATATCCAATTGATTCTCTCAATTGATTCTGTACAACGTAGCTTATATGCTATATAAACCCTGTTCACTTCTATCACGAATCAGATCAATTTCCCACAGTTCGGGTAGAACTGTTCCCTATTGGACGTTATTCTCGGGAATTTCAGCCAATCCTTCTGTTGGGTTTCGATACGAGAGCCCAGCCTGATGTGTCTCACTGGAGGTATCACCGTACAAGTTGCGCTTGGATGCTACGATACTGGTCGATCTTTCAATCAGAGTGGACTATCGAGAGGCTTAGTCATGTGCTATTTAAGGATGGGATCTACCTCATGGTGGCCCCTTCAGTCAGCCTGTTTTTATCTCCATGAGCTCCTGCAAAGTGCGCCTCTCGTTGGGAGCCAGTCAATTCATGTATCCTAGGACTCAAGAATGACTGGCCTTGGCAAATTCGCCCTTTCCGTTCAAAAAGTCCGGGCTGCGATCCATAACAGAAGAAAGTCAAGTGCTGCCAAGGAGCAGCGTGGATCATCTCTAAAGTGAGAACTTTTGCGAAAATCCGCGCAACTTTCACTGACCTCGCTTCTCTATCAGAAAAGAACATGCAGGTCTTCCACCTTTACCAGATTCATCTCCATGGGACCTCCCCGTTGAGATTCAAATCCGCATATTTGCATACTCCGGCATCACCGACTTCCATCCGCTGAGACTTGTCTGCAAGGCTTTCTACCAACTGCTCACGCGGAATGAACATGAAATTGTTCGGCAGTATCTTCGCCTACGTCGCCACGGTACCCTTCCATCCCCGATCGATGATGACCGCATCTATACTCGAAACCCAGGCGACGATGTGGTGCTATTATCAGACCTATTCCCGCCGTCAAAAAGCGCCAGAGGCGGCCATCTCTATACCTTCAAGTACCTGCATGGGCTGAGACGAAGGCAAATGCTGTCCTCGAGACTCTGCTACTACTTGGCAGATCGGATCCTCGATCGATTCGTCCAGACCGAACCGGCCGTCATGAGGGCCTCCTTTCCCGCAAAGCGAAACGAGCGCAATGCCCTTGTCAAACGTGGCATAGCTAGCATATGGTTTCACCTTGCACCACTCATGTAAGCTCAGCGGGGAAATGCCTCACTTCAGAAAGTCACTGACCTCTTCGCTACTAGGTATTATACACTCTATTTCCTCGAATCATACACATCCGCCCGACGCGAGCATACACACACACTCGTACAGAAATACGAGACAGGCCAGCTGCCTGTACCCCTCCCACTTGAGATACGTCAGCGGATGTACCGCGAGCTGCAAACCCGGATCCTCCAAAGCCCTCCTTTCACCAACACGGCGGCGTTGGTTGCGACTCATCATTGCATGCATTTGCTGGTTTCATATATACGCTTTGCCATGTCTCCAGATGGTCAAGCTGAGATTGATGACTCGTGGATTAGCTCGTTGCTCACCCTCGCGCCGTTTGTGCGGATCGTCGAATTTTTCTCCGCTGAGATCGGGGACGGTGGGAACCAGCGAACACAACGAAAGGAATTTATGTACAACTTTTATAATGACACGGCTAGGTATGAAAAGGATCATATGAACTCAATTGTTTTTGCGCGCGCGTCTGCCCAGAACTTGCATAGTTCGGTGCAAGATATCTGGTTTGCTGCTGCTGAGGCTGAGCTAAGAGCCCGGCGAGCCATACCCCACGACGTAGAGCACGTCTGGATCTGGAATGGTATTCCAATTGTTTTTGGGTGTCCGGATTGTCATCCCACAAGAGGATGGCAGGCATGATACATTGGGTTTTGGTTTGGGAGGCGCCCGGCGTGGATATTCTTATCTTGTATACTGGGAATATACCGGAGTTGGAATGGACATTTTAGCCATTTGCATTTGCATATGCAATTCAATTCATTGTTTTCATTTTCTCCCAAAAGGAATGTGCTGGCAGTTGTAATCGATATGATTTATGGAGTACCTAGGGAATTGATTGTTTGCTTTGTTTGCAACCGGCACGCGTCGCTATGTACATCGCCAAGTATCTTCCTCGACGACGACATGCTTCAATTGTAGCATAAGAACTAGCGGAATTTATTACACACATTGACTTCCATGGAACAAGCAGACTCACGACAGTTGTTCAACACTTCTTGGACCATCCACCGTCTTTCTCCTCTCCATCATGGGAAGGACTGTGAAACCCTCCTAGACAACCAGGTCGCCTTAAAAACATACGCAACGCGTCTACGTGACCATATCACAGGTGATGTTCTTGCTGGTATTCATATAAGCACTGGTGCAGCAGACGACAACGCGCTCTCCAAGACAGGCGCCCTTAAAGATTGTCTATGGCGGCCAATATCTCAATCACTGCGCGACGAAGCGCCAAGCAGATCCCAGAATACGGGATTTCCTGGTATTCTAGTAACGCTAGAATACGAAAACATCGTCTACAAAGCAGCTTTGCTCGCAGACACAGAATCATCCCAAAATGAGCGCACGGGATCCACATCTCTTCCACTCCTTCTAACCAGATTCCCAACTGCGCTCCGGCAAACATTCCTCACATTCCTATCTACCAATTTCGACACTTACTGCTCGCCACTCCGACTGCCGTCAAGTTTTCTCTGTACAGGTCTAGAGACATACGTCGATACTCTGCGCGCTCATCAGTCAAGTATGAGTGACACAGTCGAAAATGTTATCAAAGAGTTACAGCTCACGTTGTCCTTTTCATCATCAATCGCACCAGCGCTGAGATCTCTCAATATTAGCGTTGCACGCGCTTCATTGGCTGGCTTCCTGCACGATCAGCCTGGACAACCGGCACCGAAGCCACGCAGTCTGCAGCATAAACTGCGCAACCCTTTCATCCCCAATCTTACTTCGTACCTAGAGACAAACCTTGCCATGAAGCTGGATCTGGATGGGTCGTCTTCGGACCAGGTTGCGAAGCAGCATGTGCGACTCTCGAAGGTTGCATGTGCTGCTTTCGTTCTGGGCAGTGAAGGGCGTGTGAAACTGGTTGTGGCTGCTGACAGGGATGCTGGGGATGGAGATGAGAGCTCTCGAGCTCGAGGCGACCAACATGCACTTGCTTTGGAGGCAGGGGAATCACTTCTACGGTCGGTGATCCGCAAGGCTGTTGTGGGGGATCATTTGGCTACGTGAATCTTATGAAGTTCTTTGCCAGTGTGAATCTGAGACACGTCACAATATCCATGGAGCTCGGAATGAGCAGTCAGTCTATGGTGCAACCCCATCAGCATGACATACCTGGAACAACAGAGACCATGGCTTTGCTTCAGGGGCTATTCAATCTACTGGACTCGTCACCGATACACGACTGTATAACCAAGTGCAAACTCCTTCAGCTAGACTGCAGTTGCTAGCGCCATGCTTTGACCCAGTCCTCTGTCACTACGGCATTGGGGATACTGGAGTATTGGGGTTCATCGCCAAGATGGCACACCCAGGAGAGCTGATCTCGGTGCATAGAAACGCATAAGGGCTTATTCAGTTCTTGACGATTCAACACTCCTTCTTCAAGAGAGAGAATTGATCATGTGCTCCCGTCATCTTGATAGGTGTTGCTCTATGACGAAAGCGTCAGATAGAGCAACGTTTTATAATTTTTAGAGACCGAATTGCGCAACATTTCTGTACAAATATCCAAACTGTATCCAAACACACATCACCAATATCATAGCAATATATATAGACAGAGACTATATCTCCTCTGTCTGGTTCTCAGATTCCGCCAACCGCAGCGCCTCATCAACACTGGGCACGAAATGTGTCAATCCACCACAATTCTCAACAATACCACTCCGCTCAAACATGCGAAACACCTCCCTATTCGGCACACGGCAAAAGAACACTCTGACGTGTTCCTCCGCGTATGCGTGCACAATCTCCGAGAGAACCTGGGTACCAGACCCATCAATACTTGTAACACCATGAACGTCGAAAATGATATTCTTATTATGCTCCGGGGCGCGCATGCGCGGCAGAGAAGGATGGGCATGGCTGGAGCCGTAAAGTTCCAGACGCCGCAGCCGGTTCTTAAGATCGCCCGTGTTCGCAAATGTGAGGGGCTCGGGGATCTTGACGATCAGAGCACCTTCGACTAGCTCCACATTTTCTGGGTGGAGTTCAGCGTTGTCGAAACGCGCGGCTGTGCCGAGGACCTTGCCCAGGATCTGGATGCGAGGGTGCGTTGCGTGTCGGATGAGGATAATCACCGATAAACCCATTCCCATCGCCATGCCTAGTTCCAGGGAGTAGAAGATTGTTGTTGTGAAGATGAGGAGCATCAAGACAATCTCTGACCAACCTCGCAGGCGAATGAAGAAGAGTAGGTCATGGGGGCATTCTTCGACTAAAGTGAAAGCCACAACAGAGATCATGGAACACAAAACTGCTTTCTATCGGAATTATCATCGTCAGCACTCGTAAAAAGCCCCTGGGTATAGTGTAGGTAGGGTTGAGAGGGACGAACCGGGAGGTAGTAGAGATAAGGCAAAAGCACCATGACACAAGTGAATGTGATGATGCTGAGGAAGACACTGGTCATAGGTGACCGTGCTCCTGTTTGTGAGCTGAGCTTGCTTCGCCCGTATCCGCCAAATGCAGGCAAAGCCGAGAAGCAACCTCCGACGACGTTGGCGACGCCTAGTGCAACCATCTCACGATTGGCACTCATGAACATTCCCTTGATTCCATTAGAATTGCCTTCGCCGAGACCCTTGGCCGCGACTGATGACTCAAAGAAACCAAGTAGCGCGATGATAAACGATTTGCTCAATGCTGTGCGCACGTGTTTCATATGCGCAAACTGGAAAGGCCAATTAAAAGCGAATAGTCCTCCAGAGCCAACCTCTGTAGGTCCAAGAATTTCGAGCCCTTTGCCTTCCCAGTCGAGCTGCCAAGCCAAAACCGCCGACAGGGCAACAACCAGGAAGCGGTCTGGGAAATATATCACTTGAGGGATACGCGGTACGAGCATTTTTTTCAAAGTTCTGCGGACGATAAGTATGATGAACGTAAGCCCGGGGGCGACGATACGCACCTGAACACCATTATAACAGTAAAGCTAACGATCGAAACGATGGCAGTTAGTCCATGGCACTCTCGAGCGTTTCGAATGATGAAGATGAGTTTCTCAACACTGGTGCCATGGCTGACACCGGATTCTTTGGCATGCTCGGCCAAGCCCAATTCAGGGATAAGCTGGTCTACAAAAATCACAAAGCCGATAGCTGTGATGAATCCTCTCAAGAATGGTCGACTGAGCACGTTATCCAAAAACCCTAGGCGGGTCAATCCGGCAATCAGTATCATGCCGCCGGACATGGCAGTAGCCACTCCGACAATAAGAGCAGTTTCTGTAAGGTCGTCCTCGCCCGAGATCCCTTTCATGACACTTGCTTTGACAATAGCACCCGTCAACAGGGAGCCCGCGGCCTCCGGTCCAACTACCAAGAGAGGGCAGCTTCCTAGGATGGCATAGATCATGGGATGTATGACGAAAGAGTAGAGGCCGCTGATGGGTGGTGCATGGGCAAGATTGGAGGCTAGAGAGAGCGCCATTGGGATATAGATGGACGCTACAGTCAATGCAGCCATGAGATCTCCACGCAGGAATGACCAATGGTATTGTTGGATCCAATTGAGAAAGGGAATATAATATGATATGTATCTGTGATTGATTCGTTAGCTACTAGTCGTGAGATAGACTACGAGAGTGCTCGCAGTGTATGAATCAGATACGACCTACTGCTTATTCGTGTCGGTTATTGGAAAAGTGAAGGATGATTTCATCTGTGATGGAGTCTCTGAATCTGGGACCGACTCCGGGTGGTCTACTACACCTCTAGGGCGACCGGCCGCGCCTCCCGCCGCTTCATGTCCATTATATCCACTTGTATCGCCCGACCCTCCAAGGTATGACTGTCTTCCCACGTCTCCTATCTGGGGGGAGAATGTGCCATGACTGCAGTGCCTTTCACCGCACGCAGGACCGGCCTGAAGGTACGATTCCAGAAGCCGAGTTCTTGCGTCTGGTTCACTTGTAACCCCAGTTCCGGTTTGGTTGTCATGTGTCGTATGATTTCCGTGGCTAGAATTTGTCGAAATTCCAAGACCAGTTTGAGGCGATGAACGGAAAGCGTCGACAATGCGGTCTCGTATAGTCCGACGTGCTGGTCCGTCGGACTCCCCAGGGAGTAATGAGCTCGTCTCAGACATGATTTGGACAGATAGTTGAGGAGTTGTTAGGTCAAGAGATTAGACATTAAGTAGGCCGCCATGAATACTGGTCAAAATATTAGGTAAAAGATTGAAAGCGCCTGAGCAATTGGGACAACTCCCAGCCCCAAATTGTTTTGTCGGTTAGGCAAGGGCGCGCTAGACTGATAAGCGGGGAACGCAGGCGTTATCGTTGATTCGATGTAGATCCTCGGAGAATGACTATACAATTAAAGGGAAAAAAAGAACAATCAGAAGAACCTCGGAGAATTCTGTAACTTGTAGAAAGGCCACCATCAAGTATACTGAGGAGCTACAAGAAACATGACCGTCCTGCCGTCCACGGGTTGATTTCTGTTGACGTAATTGATTGATGTGTCAGCCAAGATCGAATCTGTGGACATTGGAAGGCGGTGTGAAAACTGTCACATGACTAATAGTCCCGTGACTGGTCAGGTCAATGTGGGTTTTGAGTCCGCCACAAAGAGATAGATTGTGCCTCATTCACGTCGCCTCTTCCCTCTGCGCTCCTGTTTTCCGGACCATAAGATCACTCATAGTCCATTGGTCGCTCTCTCAACAGTCTCGATTGTGCCATCGAATCCGTCTATTTCGCACCTCAGATTTCCCCGAGAAAAAAAAACAGCACCCCGCCAAGATGTCTTTAACAAACTGTCGGTTTTATGAGGAAAAGTACCCGGAGGTGGACAGCTTCGTCATGGTGAATGTCAAGCAGGTACGGACTATTTGATTCATGAAATAAAAAACTAGAGCGACAGGGACTGATTTTTGTGTGTGTAACGAGCTAGATCGCCGAGATGGGCGCATACGTGAAGCTGCTTGAATACGATAACATCGACGGCATGATCCTCCTCTCAGAACTTTCCCGCAGACGTATCCGCAGTATCCAAAAGCTCATCCGTATTGGGCGCAACGAGGTCGTCATCGTTCTTCGTGTTGACAAGGAGAAAGGCAAGCATATCTTATTCACCTGGTAGAACGCAAGAACTAACATACCAAACTTGAAGGTTACATTGATCTGTCGAAGCGACGTGTGTCTCCGGAGGATGTCATCAAGTGCGAGGAGCGTTACAACAAGAGCAAGGCAGTGCACTCCATCATGCGCCACGTCGCAGAAGCCACCCAGACCCCGCTGGAGACCCTATACGAGAACATCGGGTGGCCTTTGAACCGCAAATACGGCCATGCGCACGACGCCTTCAAGATCTCTATTACGTAGGTTCTTTTCTTTTCGTTTCATCATATGATTGAATTCCCCTAACAGTTGTTTTCCCAGAAACCCCAATGTCTGGGATGAGATCACCTTCCCCAACGATGCCGTCAAGAGTGAGCTGCAGCAATACATCAGCAGCAAACTTACCCCCCACCCTACCAAGGTCCGTGCCGATATCGAGGTTACTTGCTTCGGTTACGATGGAATCGATGCCGTCAAGGATGCCCTCCGTACCGCCGAGGCCGATAACACCCCCGAGAACCAGATCAAGGTCCGACTGGTCGCTCCTCCTCTCTACGTCTTGGCCAGCCAATGTCTCGACAAGACCCTCGGTGTCAAGTTGCTTGAGGAGGCCATTGTGAAGATTGAAGAGCGTATCAAGGCGAAAGGCGGTAACTGCACCGTGAAGATGGCGCCCAAGGCCGTCACTGAGCACGACGATGCGATCTTGCAGGAGCTTATGGAGAAGCGCGAGCGTGAGAACACCCAGGTCAGTGGAGATGAGGACTCAGAAAGTGATGAAGGCGTTCCCGAGTAAGCAACGGGCTACAACTTCGAGTCGAGGGGCATACAGCGGTCATCAGCGCTTGCATTCATAGCTGGAATTACCGCTAGAGGGGAGTTGGTCAAAGATGGATAGAAAAAGCTTGCACATATCGGAAAACAAGGCTCGATGGGCCAGTGTGCTGATGGGCAGGATTGCAGTCAGAACTCGCTCGTTAGCCAAGGCAGTCGCCTGAACTTCGGGTCTGGGGATGACATATTCACGCCTGTGTATGCGCTGGATGCCCATTGCGGTCGAAATCCTCGTTCCCACCGTCCAAAGACGCTGGGTCCGCACAGGGTGCAAGTTCTGATGCACATAATGTTTGCGATGCAACCGAGACGTTCAATGCCAGTCATGCTTTTAAATGCAAATCGTATCCTTGTAGAGGCTACAATATGTACCTACATGTAGATACATCATTTATAGAAATTCTTGAGAGATCGAATGTCCTTGAAATATGGCGGGGAGCTGAAGCTTATCTACCGTCGATCATCATTGGTTGCCCTCTCAAGCTAAGATCGGTGAAAGCCTCTTCCCTCTTTCTTTCTTGTTTTCCTCTCCAGTTTTCATTCGCGACATGGGACATTGGAAGAATCTCTTTACCGCCGATCGTGGCAGGACACGGCACCGTGTTGAGGTGGAACGTCGTCGGCGTACGTCATTTTCTATGCGGCGTGGAACACTGCTAACAAGTCACAGTGCTACCGGCCTATGCTGCTGATGAGACTGACGCCTCTGATACTTCAAAGGAAATTGCAAAGGTTGCTCTTCGGCTGAAATACCAAGTGGAGCAGGTTGTCTCCTGTGAAGTAGAGGAGAATGTGTTGACCGACCCAAACAGCCGTATCATCACGGATGATGTGGTTGCGACTGCTAAGCAGGCTGGTGGAGATGAATATAAAGCATGCGTTGTTTATTGTCTTTTGGTTTGTCTGCGATGGTTCAAGATTCAATCATCCGTCGAGCTTTGGGATTCCGATCTTCATGAAATTCGGGCTGTGGCTTGCGAGGTCATCGCCAAGCGCATGTAATGCCCCTCTAACACTGCGCGTTTTGTGTTATTTATTCACTAACTTGAACAGTATCGAATCCGAGCAGAATCAAGAGTACGTGCTGAAAGACATCTTACTCAAGCGATACTCTATCTTCAGTGAAGGTGTAGAGACTGATCCCGCCAACGTCATTGAACGGGCGGTAGATCTCCATGCCTTGAGGATCATCAGCTGTGCCGCGTATCAGAAATGTATCCAGTACTTGTGGAGAGGTTGGATCTGTCAAGAAGAGGGCAATCCAACTAACTTTGTCGAATACAGCGAGAAGGATAACACCGATTATTGGGTTCATTTCCATCCCGATCGGATGCGGACTCCTCTATATCAGAATGTTTGCCAAATTTTGTTCTCCTTGATTTACCTTGCGATTTATACCGCAGTTATCAATACCGTGAATCCAACCGGTGATCTGGATGTGGCTGAAGCCATACTTTACGGGATGACTCTCGCGTTCATCTGCGACGAGGGGGTCAAGTTTTGGAAGGTTGGATGGAATTACCTCGAATTTTGGAATGCCTTCAACTCGACCCTCTACACTATTTTGGCAGTGTCCCTTGCCTTGCGATTTATTGCCTTGGCACACTCATCGTCTACTCACGACGAACAAAGACAGCTATACAACGAGCTCAGCTACAACTTCCTGGCCTTTGCGGGCCCTATGTTCTGGATACGCATGATGCTATATCTTGACTCGTTCCGCTTCTTCGGTGCTATGTTTGTGGTTCTTCGAGTCATGATGAAGGAGAGCTTGATATTCTTTGCTCTTCTATTTGTCGTTATGGCTGGTTTCTTTCAGGCCTTCATCGGCATGGCCCAAGTGGATCCCGATATTCCTCTCCACCGAAACATCCTCCAGGGCATGGTAAACAGTATCATGCAGAGTCCTGAGTTTGATACATTCCAGGAGTTTGCGTTTCCCTTTGGTATCATCCTCTACTACGTATTCAACTTTATTGTCATGACTGGTAAGTTTGCATCGGACTTGTTTGGAGCGAGGTTAACAACTATCAGTTTTGTTGAATATCCTCATCGCCCTATACAACAGTGCATATGAAGATATCGCTGGAAACGCTACGGATGAGTACATGGCGATCTTCGCGCAGAAAACTATGCAGTTCGTCCGCGCCCCAGATGAAAATGTCTTCATTCCACGTACGTATTCACTTGACTTGGATGTAGTGCTGTGTGACTAATTTGCTCTGGGAACTAGCGTTCAATCTCATCGAGATTCTATTTCTGATAACCCCATTCGAGTGGTGGCTTTCGCGGGAGGCTTACGCCAAGGTAAATGACATTGTAATGGGCGTGATATATTCACCGCTGCTTGTCGTTGCAGCCTGGGTTGAGACCCGTCAGGCGCACAAGATTCGATGGAATCGCCGCCATGGCGAAGAGGACGATGACAGTGCTCAGGAATGGGAACATGTGGCCAAGGAGGTCAATTTTGATCTTGATGATACTTGGAAAGAGCACGTAGCTGAGTCCACGCCGGATATCAAGGTTGATAGTTGTACATACGAAGTCAGAGAGCTGAAGGAGCAGGTTAGAATGTTGACGGAGATGGTGAAGGGATTGACTCAGGAGATTGTGGACAAGAAGGTGGATGGAGCAAGCTAGAAATCCTTATTGAATTGTACAGTAAAGATGCTATGCCCTGAATGTACAGGATATTCTGATACTATTGAAGTTTTCCCAAATTAGATTGTAAAGCTGACTATTCACTTAATGCTTAGCAAGAAACCTATATTTAGAGGCCCCTGAGCAATCACTGTACAGCAACAGACAGACCAAGAATAGAGGCAATTTTCTCCCGTTGACGATCCAGCTGTGAGAGCTTCACTCGATGGGGCTTTCCGATACCCGTCCGCGGAATCTCGTCCACAAAGACCACACCTCCATCTAGGGCTTTATAGCTAGCCAGTTGGCCTTGGATCAGGCTTTCCACTTGATCCGCCGTCGTCTCGGGAGATATACCAGTGCGGACGACATAGGCCCGGGGGACCTCGCTACTGCCATCTGGAAGCATGACCCCTATGACAGCTGCGTCCTTGATACCCGGGTCCTTCAGTAGAATACCTTCAATCTCTGCGGGGGCGACAGAATACCTGAATCAAGCAAGATACATTAGTTTGTCATCGACTGCATCGGATATCCCATGGGTGGAAAGAAGGAAAGGTGAACGCGAGAGGAAAAGAGATGAGCCTAGAGAGTGAGATAACTTACGCTCGAACTTTGATGAGATCTTTTGTCCGTCCGATGACGAAGTAATTTCCGTCTCGCACATGCACCATATCCCCCGTTCGGAACCATCCTTGCTCGTCTTTGTCGTCAGTCCGCCCTTTATATCCCAAGAGCAGCCCCGGCCCACGGATATACAACTCTCCAGGGGAGTCTGCTGTCCCGGCGACATCTTCGCCCGTGTCGGGATCGACAAAACGCAGCTCATATCCAGGTAGCAGAGTCCCCACACTGCCAAATTGTGGTGTTACCCCGTAGCGATTCTGGAACACCACACCAACCTCAGACATACCCCACAAATTTCCTGCTACAGCTTCTGGTGACAGGAGGCTCTGGAATTGCTGCATAGAGTGCCCGTCGATGGGGGCACCGGATATTCCGACATAACGCAGGGAAGATAAGCTCTCGGCTACATGCAAAGAGGTCTTGTTTAGAATATGGACCATGGCAGGGACCATGTACGTCTCCGAGATGGAGTGCTGGCGAATGCTGTCGAGGAAAGTGGAGATCTCGAATCGCGGAAGAACGTAAAGAGGCTCGCCGTACCGGATGGGGAAGATGTTGGTCCAGAAGTCGCCAAAAGAGTGGTACATCGGTAGTGCCATCAGACGGACGACGGGGTATGGCACTTGATAGTGAACGCTCAGATGGTGGGAAATGATCGTGTGGTGGGTTCGGATCGCGGCTTTGGGGAGCCCACTGGTGCCACTGGTCAGGAACATGGCAGCCGGGGTCGTCTTGCTCTGTTCGCTGTCGTTGAACTGAAGCCAGTCGGTCTCCCCGTAGTGGAGCAGATCCTCCAGGCGAATAGACGGGTCGACTATCTGGGGATTGGAATCCTCCGTCTGCTCCGCCTGACCGTGTGCAAATTGGACTATGGTGTCAATGGAGTGCTCATCCACCAGAATGACTTGACTCGGGGAGATTTCCTGCAGGCTGCACACCTCCAAAACCCTGGATAGGGCCCCTGGAGCAGTTATAACTAACCGAGGCTCGGCGAGACGAAGTAGATGGGTCAGTTCATGTTGGGGACTAGCCAGGTCGCAGCCCATATAAACACCTCCGGCACCCACGATGGCGAAGAAAAGAGCAGAATGTATAACCTATGTCAGTGTTAGGGAAATATCACAGTCATGGGAGAGTGTGATTACACTATTTTCCAGCTGCACGAGAACACAATCACCTCGTTCCACACCCCGGGCTCGGAGGCCAGCAATGAGTGATCGAACTAGTCGCCGGAACTGTACGGCATTGAAAGCACGCAAAGGGTTTCGGGCATCGATATAGATCGGGCTAGATAAATCGAAGGTCGGGCCATTAAAAGCGAAGCTGACTAGATCCGTCTCGGGTAGCTCCATATTGATTGTCACTCTGCTATTAAGTGATCAAAATATGCAAAGCCATATCCTGCAGGGTCTTTGCGCTCTTTAAGTACGGAGTACAAATTGGACAAGTTGGAGTACAGCTGAGGTACAAGCTGAAGTACAGGCTGAGATTGTCAGGCCTGCATGATACAAAGCCAAAGTTCCTGTATGATTTTGATCTGCACGAGACAAGTAACATGCAGTAAACTAGTGAAAAGCCACCAACTCGCACTATCGTCACTATCATACAGATCTACCACCCAATACTATTTTCAGGCCCCCACGCTGTCATTGCAGAGCTTTGAAGCAGCTGCATACGCTAAATCACCCACAGATGCGCCACTGAGAATTAAAATCACTCCGATGGCAACAGTCAATTCTCTCGTAAACCATTGGCTGAGCCCAACAGCGATAAGCGAGTCGACTCCGAGCTCTGGAATGAGCGTGTCAGGGGAGAGTGGTGCATCTGCAGTCAAGTTCAGACTGGCCCGCATTTTCTCCATGAGAGGTTTGGCGATTGCCTCTGCCTTCTCCTCCAAGCTTGTTGCCGCAGCCACAAGTTCCTTAGTCGATAGGGTCTCATTTGATGAAGGCATTTGATCATGACTCGCTGTGGCCGTGTAGGAGTAGAATGGCCACAGCTTTGGCACCGGACACATCATACAACCACTCTGCAGGCTCTGGTGTCGAAGACCCGCGATGAACTCAGCGTTGTTAATCGAATCTGAGCGCCCACAGAGGATTGCTTCAGCTAGTAGTTCGTCGACATCCCGCTGGGATATGGCCGCCGGACCATACCAAGAGTCCTTTATCGAGAAGGGATTGTCAATACCGTGGATCTCACCCAGATGTACGAGGCTCGCCGGTCTGCCCTGGGCCCGACGATGGCGGACTATCGAGCTCATTTTCGCAGACATGGCCGTAGTCATTGCCTGATTTGCGTGGCCTAGAGCTCCTGCAATAGATCCAATGAGCACCCAAAAGTCCAGAGTTGGGGTTCTGTGAAGCTCGTCTAGCTGTTGCAATCCCCTCAAAACTGGATGTAGATGGTTTTGGAGTAGTCCCGTAGTGAGCTGGGACAAGGAGCAGTCGGGTAGAGCTGGGGGTTTGATTAGCAATCCTCCCACTACCGGAGGAAACGCATGAGGAATATGTTGATGCAGACTGGTGACGGAAAAATCATCGTTCAGGTTTCTGGCATCGATCAGCTTGCGTATACAGATGAAAAATACTAGGTTGAGTCACTTACATTGTCGAGAGAGCTATGCGCGTTCCCCGTCGAGAAACCTCTTCCAACCACCACGCATCTGGCTCAGAGCTGAAGCTAGCGAGGAGGATCCATTTTGCCCCGTGTGATGCCAGCCAGAGACAAGCAATATGGGCTAATTCACTAGCTAGACCTATGAGTATGTAGGTTTTCTTCTCCGACAGCTGCACCTGAGAGCTGGCCGTTGATATCTGGGCGAGCACCGAAGTCGAAGAGCTCCAATCTACAACGACCTCCTGGCAATCAATGGTGGGGTACTCAGAAACCCTATCAATCGGTAACGAATCCACGGGACTCGGTGAGAGCGCCTCGAGGCTGGTGTACGCCACTAAGCAAGCGGTTAGGAAGGCCGTGGCTATGATCGATGATACATTCCCGTTTATTGGCTTTTTTGATGCAGAGGCAAGGTAGAAATCCTCAACATGCATTCGTGCCGCGTTCTCAGGCAAGATCGATCTCACACGCTCATATACACCCTGTCCACGGCGATGTAGGACAGCCATGACCGACACATCGGAGGGAAGTACTTGAGACAATTGCCGCGCGGTGCTATGCTCATGCAGTAGTAGCATCGGCCTCTCGTTGTCAGGGTTGGTGGTGCTGGTGCTGAATATGATTTTGCCGCCGCGCCGTGTCGGTATTTGACGGAAGATAGACTGGAGGACCCGGTCGGCTTCGTGCACCACAAGCGTCCCGGATTGGGGAACTTGCTCGACCAGGTATCCCGCCAGCAGAGCAGCCGCTGTGGCGCGGAGGAAAAATTGCTCATGCGATTCCAAGACCGTGTCTGGCACTGACCAGGCCCAGCACTCTGGGACAATGACCTGAGATGCAATGTGAGATGACAGAGCGATTGTTCTCTTATTTCTGCTCAGGTCCTGCCCTATGACTACCCACAGGAACGTGTTCTCTGCTACTCGCACAGCGGCAAGACTGGAATGTCGCACTCGTAGAGAAAGAGTTGGTCCATAGCTTGTGTTAACAGGCGGATCAACCATCGAGAGAAGGCGGAACCCTTCAGAGGCTTTGTCAGAGGTCGCAGGAAGAACCTGTACGATTCCCTTGCCCAGGTCCACGTAGTCTGTCACCCTCTGGTGCCTGGCCAGATGGCGCAGCCCAGTAGAATGGTCGTGGTATTGACGAGGAATACGGAACATAGAGCCGTCGTATTCAATTTCAGGCTCAACATTTTCCAGTCCATCTGAATCAGGGCATTCTTGAGCTGTACTGGCTCTAACAAAACGTTCGAGGGCGGTTGCCAGGACTTCCGCTGACGCTCCAGCCGGATCTGTGACATGTAGCAGCTGCAGCTGACAGGATGGCTTTTCAGAGGCCAGGACGCTGCGAAGGAGGCTTTTTGCTAGTTCAGAACTAGGGCGATCGATATTCTCTGATGTCACCCATAGCATACGCTTACAGATTGTGATTAGTCTCCGCAGCTCGCTCAGGCTAGCGTCGGTCAGATCTCGACCATCGGCGAGGCACAAAACAGTCATTTCAGAAAGATCGTCATCCAAAATGAGATCCAGGGACGGTGCACGCAAGACTTGAATGAATTCGCTCTGCACTAATCCAGCAAGTTCTGACATAGGGCAGCGTGCGTCCTCGGCACCATCGCCAAGCAGCAGCAGACCCCCACGGGGCGATGCTCCCGCATTGTTGTTTGGGGCCCGGCAGAGAAGAAGTGAAAAATCCTCGAAGCTTGCAATTTCTCGGGGTGCAATGGGCGATTCCAAGCCACGGAACCCGTTATTAGACAGTAGATCAACCCAGTGCTCCCTGGTGGTAACTTGCTCACTGGTGCAGTAGCCCTTTCCAGTCTCTATGCATATAGCCGGAGGGCCGAATAGAACATTCAAGTATGTAGTGCTGGGATTTGTTCTAACGAGTAGAACCAGGAATCCGCCAGGCTTGAGCAAGCGACGGATACGGGCCACCGCAGCCTCTCGTAGGAATACCGCAGTTGTGATTAGCACCATTTCATAGGATTTCTCCCGGTAGCCCTGCTCAATAGGGTCCTCACTGATATCTAAGGCTTTGTGCGCCACCTCGCTAGATTGATCAAGGTTATCCCGAGCTACCTGTAGGCCAGAAGCGGATAGTGCTGCATAGGTAAATGACCGGTAGGTCCGACCGATCTTCTTCAATTCGGAGTGAACATGACCTCCAAATTTGCCGATCTGAAGAATGTTCATCTGTGGAAAGCGGAAACACGCCTGGCTGACGATAGATACAAGCTCATTTGCTAAGTACGAGACCTGTATATCGTCCTGCAGATATTGATTTTCATCATCGACAGCCGGCCAGGCCTCTATTTGAGAGCCCGATTGACGCAGGACGCGGGGCAGCTGCTGGCCTACCGCAGCGATAGCTTTGAGGCTAGGGTCCTTCATTGACGGACTTACTCGAGCCATGAAGTCCTCGATGTTCTGGTCCAACCATTCGGGTGCGCCTACAAGACCTAGTCCTTGGCAAGAATTCTCAACACATTGGCTTATCCATGCAAGCAGACGAGCACCATCACAATTCAATCCACTTCGCTCCGAGTCAGTCAGTTCATTGCTGGCCTGCTTGAGATACAGTAGCGCAAGCTCCTCTCGAAGAGTGTGTAGCTGTACAGTAGCTGCGGGAAGTTGGCGTGGAGCCTTCTGAAGTGTGGGATCAAGCGGCCCCCATTCGGTCTGTGAAAGGACCTGTGCATTGCTCGGTGCACTCACAGACGGCTGACATACTAGGCAAACACCTTCGAGCTGGACAAACTTTTCCCCGTTCATCGTAAATATGTCGATATCACCACGAATCTGATCTTCATCGACGTGAGTCAAATAGCTTGCTATTGTAATTTCCTTTTTCTGCCAACTAGAAGCACACAACGCGGGATTGACCCAGGTGCTGTCGACAGTTTTGGATAGGAATGGGCCCATCAACAGTGTCTCCTCGGGCCCACCAATTGCAGCAATCATTGTTTGAACAGCAAGCTCCAAAATAGCCGGATGAAGAGTGATAGGCTCGTTAGACTCTCTCGGGGGAACGATAACACTTCCTGCGGCGTGATCACGTCTTTTTTGGAGTCCTGTCAACGCAGAAAAAGGGCCAGTGCAGTGATATTCGACTCGGCGCAGGCTGTCATAGAACTTGGTGATGTCGACGGGTCCCAAGGCCGGAGCTAGCTGGCCTTGTGAAGGAAGGAGACCATGATCTGGATCGCCTGGGTGCATGACCATCTTGGCTGTTGCACACTGTACGAGCTCCCCAGACACAGCGGCCTCGCAGTAGAACACGGCAGATATGACTCCATTATGCGAGTAAATACCACTCACGGTGACAAGCACCTCCGTGCCGATGGGACTGTTCTGGATGGGGAGTTGGGCTTGGACGATTAAATCCTTAATGTTCAGCAAGCGCAATCCCTGGCTTTGTGCCACTATCCTCCCTGCTTCCAGCGCCATCGATATATATCCAGTCTCGGGGAAGACAGGTATTGATCCAGCAAGACGGTCCGCCAACCAAGGTAGCTCCTCTGGTCGCAGGTAGTTTCGCCAACGGAACTCTCCTGCTCCATTCTCTGGGCTGAGAGTACCAAGGAGTGCATTGGGAGGTGTAACACAATGGCTATATTTCAATGACATTCGCGACTGCGCCCAGTATGTCTGAGAGTGATCGAAAGGATACAGCGGTAGCGAGTCTACCAGCGCAGGCGACTGGTCTGGGGCAAAGAGTGAAACATACCCTGGGAGGCGGACGACATTGGGGTCTAGGTGCGCCCAGGACGATCCCAGGGCCATTGCCCATGTATCAAGGCCGGGCTTCCCTCTCTCAGCAAGGGCAATGTAAGGAATTTTTGAGTGGGCTGAGTGCATTTTAGACAGGGTTTGTAGGACAGGCCCTCTCAGTGTTGGGTGTGGCCCGATCTCAATGATGAGATCTGGTGGTCCAGCGTCTCGTACAGCGGCCTCCAGCGCCTGGGAAAATTGTACAGGACGCAGCATGTTCTCGATCCAGTACTCCCCCATCAATTCTTTCTGGTCATATCCAGTCATGACGTTTCCGGGGTAGACGCTAGAATACCAGCGGGCGACAGATGCTTTCAGCACGACAGGATAAGCTTTCATTGCCTCGCGGTAGGGTTCTACGCATGGCTTCATATGGGGGGAGTGATATGCAGTATCCACTCGAAGCATACGAGGAGTGAGACTTAGGCTCTTCAGCAGCCATTCCAACTCGCGCAGGCACTCTGCATCACCTGATAAGGTGACGCCGGAGGGCGAATTAGCGGCGGCAATGCTTACACGTCCAGAATAGGTTTCTAAAGCACAAATCGTCTGTGCCTGCTGCCACGTCAGATTCACAGCCATCATCCGGCCTGTCGGATCGCGTGACTCATCGATGGCCTTTCCCCGAAGGTATGCAATGCGGATCGCATCTGATGCTGTCAACACACCCGCGGCATAGGCTGCGACAACCTCGCCGGAAGAGTGGCCAACAACAACGGTAAACTCGATACCTACCGCCCGAAGGATGTTGACTTGCATGATCTGTAAAGCTGTTCGTAAGGGAAGAGAAAGAAGACCCTCATCCACACGCGAAGAAGATGCTGGTTGTGACAATTCCTTGAGAAGAGAAAACTGTGGACGGAGTTCCAGAGGAAGTTCATTGAGAGCTTCCTCCAGATGACCCATCCATTGTCGAATTTGGGGACTTGCCTCAATTAGATCGAGCCCCATTTGCGGCCACTGGACTCCTTGACCCGTAAAGATCCCCATAACCCGCCTGGGCCGAGTGCTGGATCTAAAGACAATAGAGGAGGGTTTACCAGTGGCCCTTCGACTGAGTTCTGTATCAATCCGGTCTTGTAAGTCCTGCACGGAGTGCGCCGGTAGCGTCAATCGGTGGCGATGAGTGGAACGTCGAACCCACAAGGATAGCGCCAGACCAACAAAACTGACTGCTGTATCTTCCCGAAGGAATCTTGCGTAGGACTCCAGGACAAGTGTCAGTGTCCGCTCAGAGGAAGCAGAGAAGACAAAGGGCAGACTGGAGGGGATATTGTTGGACGGGTTGAGCTCGCGGCGCGTGTAGCTCTCTAGAACCACATGCACATTGGCACCCCCAAAGCCGAAGGAGTTCACTGAGGCTCGGCGAGGACAACCATCTGGAACTTCAGGCCATGGGATGCACTCCGTGGGAACACATAATTGAGCGGCAAACGGTTCTATCTTTGGATTGAGCTGCCGCATCAGGAGATTAGGAGCGATCATCCCATGTTGCAGCGAGAGGGAAGCCTTAATCAATCCCGCCAGTCCAGCAGTGGCCTCTGTATGTCCAATGATGGTCTTTATTGATCCCACATACAGTCGATTGGTCGGATCTGGGACGGATTCAGGCCCAAAGAAGCTTGAGTGGATTGCGGTTGCCTCCTGGGGATCTCCGGCTTGGGTCCCTGTACCGTGGGCCTCGAAGTACTGGCACCGATCTGCGGGCCTGTCTTGAGGGAAAAGGCCCGCGCGTGCATAGGTAGCGAGGATCAATGACTGCTGTGCCTTGGAGTTAGGCATGGTGATCCCCATGGTTCGCCCATCCGAATTTGCTCCGGAGGCGCGGATCACGCATTCGATGGGGTCCCCATCCTTGATTGCATCCTGCAGCCGTTTCAAAACAACCGACGCCACTCCTTCGCCACGTGCATAGCCGTTAGCTTTGCTGTCCCACATGCTACTCCGGCCGGTCGGAGACAGCATTCGTGTTTTAGAGTCTGCGATGTAGGCATTGGGTGACAGCATCAGATTGCTCCCTACTGCCACCGCCAGGGAACAGTCATCGTTCTGCAAAGCCTCGACTCCGAGATGGACAGCGAGTAGACTTGAAGAACATCCAGTATCAACGGTCATTGAAGGACCTTGCCAGTCAAAGTAATAAGAAATGCGGTTGGCCATAATCGACGGTGAGTTGCCCGTGACCATATATGCTGGGAATGCCTGGGGATCCATCGCCTGGATCTGATTGTAATCGTTGCGAAGAGCGCCGCAGAACACTCCGGTCATAGAGCCCTGCAACGCATCCATTCGCAACCCCGCCGCATCAAGCGATTCATACACAGTCTCTAGGAGCAATCGCTGTTGAGGATCCATTGCCACGGCTTCTGTTGGCGAGATATTGAAGAAGGCCGCATCGAAGGCTTTGATATCCTCGTCCAAGAAGTAAGACTCCTGAACGTTTGTTGTGCCATGGTGATCTCCATCTGGATGATAGAATGCGTTGATATTGAACCGGTTGGCCGGAACTTTGCGTGCAATATCACGGGGGGCTTGGAGAAGCTCCCATAATTTCGCAGGCGAGAAAGCACCACCGGGAAAGCGGCATCCTGTGCCAATAATGGCAACAGGCTCTGTTGTTTTCATATTGAACTTGTATTGATGGGAGCGTGAAATTTGAGATCGAGATAACTTGCATTCGGATGTCTTTTAACTATACAGAAACTGTACAATGTATAGATGTGGAAAATACAGTATTGCCTCGCCCACTCCATACCTCGAACTATACCCTCAATATTACAACTATCGAACGAATAAGAAAAATCGACCTATAGATTAATTTCCGGACATGGACGGATCACAAACTAGCTCTCTCTTACTTGCGAAGCATTATCAGCACTCCATACTCCGTACGGCAGCCACAAACTGGCCAGACTCAGCTGCATGCAGGAAAACTATGTCACTGAGGAACATGTCAGGTTATACATGCATCTGTGGGCCTCGTTTCAAGGATTCTCCTTGCAGGAAAGAGTGGAGGAGGAATATTCAGATATCTCGATATATTTTTCCTTCTCTTACTACTCACCTCATGCGTAATAGGAGTAGCTAATATCTGACAGTGATATTGGGACAACATGGACAACATGTCTCTGGATTTCAACTTGGCCTGGATAGTGGCCATTATTTCTTCCCTGGGGCTTTTGGCTTCTCTCTTTGTCTGGCCACTCCCCTTCCAATCAACCCTGACAGTTATCAATGGTGGAAGCACCTGGGATATCTTTCGCACCACGGCGAAGAAGCGATTTCGCTCAGACGCCGCAAGTCTTCTACGGAGCGGCTTTGAGAAGGTGTGTATAAAACAAACTACATAAACTACATCAATTGAGGTACAATGCTAAATCCCCATCGTCATGACAGTCCTCTGCTGCCTTTCGCATTCTCACTGACAATGGGTCATTGCTGGTTTTGTCACCCCGATACGCCCGAGAGGTTCGCAGCGATGACCGACTCAGCTTGGACCATTTCATTGCCTCGGTTCGGCTTGTTCCATGTCCAATGTCTTCTCGATTTTCGTCGCTAACCTTCCTTTCTTTTAGGAGTTTCACCCCGACATCCCAGGTTTCGAGCCGTTCAAATTGATCTTGGATCCAAGAAACCCGATGAACACGATCCTGAAGACCAACCTTACACAAGCACTGAGTAAGCTTTTATTTTCCAACCAGACTGTCATGCAACCAATTCCCTGGCTAATATCATTTATCTGAGTAGCATATATGACAGAGGATTTGGCTGTAGAGGTTACCGACGCATTATCCGCAACCTGGACCGATGACCCTGGTGAGCTCCAAAATCGATGATTGGCGGACTCTCTAGTATGAATGCTAACAGTTTCCTTGCTTGTGGTAAAAGAATGGCACGAGGTCAGCGTAAGTCAGACAGTTCTTAAGCTCGTCGCGCAGATGGCGTCCAAATCCTTTATTGGACAAGAAAAGTGCCGGGATTCCAGATGGCATAACATCATCATCACCTATACGCACAATGTTTACCGAGCAGCACAGGCGCTCCACTTTTGGCCCAGTTTCCTACGTCCCATAGTGGCACGGTTCCTGCCCGCATGCAAAACGCTGCAAGCCCAGATTCTCGAAGCACGAGAGATCCTGGAGCCCTTAGTGGCCCAGAGAAAAGCCGAAAGAGCTATTCGAGCCACTCAGAAGAAGCCTATGCCGTCTCGTGGGGACATCATTGACTGGCTGGAGGATCATTACGGCGACCAGCCTTACGATGCAGTGGCCGCGCAGTTGCTTCTCTCATTCGCTGCTATCCACGGCACCTCCAACCTCTTGGCTCAAGTTCTCATGGATCTCTGCAGTCACCCGGAGCTAACACAAGATATCCGGGCGGAAGCTGTGTCCGTTTTGGGCAAAGAGGGATGGACCAGGGCTGCGTTGTACCAGCTCAAACTGATGGACAGCGCTCTGAAGGAAAGCCAGCGCCTGGCGCCAAACAGATTGTGTGAGTGAATTCCTCTCCATGTCTTGGAGACTCGACGCTAGAAACTAATCCAGCCGTACTTTGACAGTATCCATGGGACGCATTGCGCAGAGCGACATGTCCCTGTCTGATGGTCTCCGTATTCCCCGAGGAACGAGTCTCATGGTGTCTGCCCACAGCATGTGGGACCCGGAGATTTACCCAGATCCCCGGCGATACGACGGCTACCGATTCTACAATCTACGGCAGACATCAGGGCAAGAGGGTCAACACCAATTGGTGTCCTCGACGCCGGATCACATGGGGTTCGGATATGGGAAGCATGCTTGTCCGGGGCGCTTTTTTGCGGCAGCTGAAATCAAAGTAGCCCTGTGCAATATCCTTCTCAATTATGATATCGAACACCGGGGTGAGCAGTCACCGAGTGTCTGGAGCCAAGGCATTCATCTATTTCCAGATCCGACGGCTAGGATCCACATCCGTCGACGCAAAGAGGTTAAGTTGTGACCTCTGTGTATGCATCCAAATTTGATCGAGTGTCACAATACCCTCTGTGACTGAGCAAGATGCCTGGCATGGGAAGCCCACCAAGCATAGCATTCATGGCCACCATTGGGGCCAATCTTTTTGAGATCACGATTGATAGCAACTTAGGAACTATGAATTTTATTTCCGAATTGCACTATAGGATAGACACCGCAATTGAATTTGCTTTTCAAATGTTTCCACAGTACTCCATAATTGGTACCATTCCCCCTGGATTATCCTATAACAAGGTGGGAATGCGCTCTCACAGCCTGCAGCCACTATTCTGTACATGCGCTATACTGTTGTAAATCAAAAGCAACAAAAAACTAAATAATTCATGTGATCTCATATTATGGAGTATGTATACATGAAAATACTTTCCTTTGATACAATGCATCAAAGTGGATGTCGAGCTGAGAATGTGGGTGACCCACCTTTGCATTTAAATGATTTCTACAGAGTACATGATACATGACAATGGAATCCACCCGGAAAAGAAAGGCAGGGAAAAAGTTCTACGGGTGTCGAAGTGATCTGCGACATGCTATTGATATGATTGCATTAGCGCAAGTATGCGAGTTCAGTTGGCAAAAAGCAAAACGACACAAATTTCAATCTCGACTTGATTGGTGCTACAGCAGCTCTTGCTGCATGTGTTGATTGGCCCTCGGACATGAGCTGTACAAAGAAAAAATTGTTTGTTAGGGTTCGTTAAATTCCCTACTGGGATATCACCGCCAACATGGCTGAGACTGGACTCTTTCTAGTCTTGCACGCGGTTTGTGTTTTGACAGTATTCCCACTATGATCAGACTCGAAGATATTTCCATGGGGCCTGTATTGCTGACTGGGGTGCTTCTACTTGTAGTCGGCCTGCATCTCATTCGACCGGGACTACTCGGCTACCAATTTGATGGCTTTCCCAGCGTGAATCCTCGAAAGCCCTGGGAGATTGTCAATGTCTTCGCCCAAAGAAGATTTCAACGGGACGGACCCAAATATCTGCAAGCTGGGTTTGCAAAGGTATGCTTCAGAACTGCACCATACGAATGAAGACTGAAGGGTTCTACAGTCGCCCATCTTTAGCGTGGTCACCGACCTGGGGCCAAAGTTAGTGGTGTCTGGGGCCTTCATCGAGGAATTCAAAGATGAAAAATTGTTGGACCATTGGAGGGCGATGATTGAGGTGAGTACAATATGGGTAGTGTAGAGTAACAGGGGCTTACTTGCCCAAGGACTTCATGGCAGAGGTTCCTGGTTTCGAGTCGATGTTTCTGGGGAATCTTCACAATACGGTTCTTCGTGATGTGATTTCCGTCATCACGCGTGAACTAGGTAATTCCTTTTTTCCGATCACAATCATCTCATCCACCGCTGACTTCTTTTTCTATAGAACAGTTACTGTCTCCCCTCTCGGATGAAGTGTCTGCCGCTTTGGTAGAAACCTGGACAGACTCGTCAGGTGGGTCAACGCATACCTCCCTAGGGGCTTCCCGACAAAATCTCAATTAATCTCAATCTAGACTGGCATGAGGTAGCATTACTCCCTAGCATGCTGAGGTTGATTGCGAAAGTCTCATCTCTCGTTTTCGTGGGCGAACCGCTGTGCCGTAACCCGGTCTGGCTGGAGACAGTGATTAATTTTACCATCATTCGGCACCATGCAATCCTAGCACTCCACAAGTGCCCTGCTGTTCTTCGGCCTGTCCTTCACTGGCTGCTCCCTCCATGCCAGAAGCTCCGGCGGGAAATCGGAACTGCACGAAAACTGATTGATTCTTCTCTGGAAATTTCAAGGAAAAATCCGCAGACTGAAAAGTTTTCCAGCGTTGCGTGGATCGACGCTTTTGCCAGCGGTAAGAAGTATGATGCAGCCATGGTGCAGCTAAGACTGGCAAATGCGTCCATTCACTCCAGTGCCGATCTCTTGGTCAAAGTGCTTATTAACCTATCCGACCAGCCAGGCTTGATTCAGGACCTGCGGGAGGAAATTATTTCCGTTCTCGGGGAGAATGGATGGCGATCCTCAACACTCAACCAATTAAAGCTTGTTGATAGTGTTTTGAAAGAGAGCCAGCGACTACATCCAGTAACGACCGGTATGGGTTAGCTGTCTGTCTATTTTGCATGCCATGCTCACCATTCAACTTAGGGTCATTTTCGCGCTTTACCCGGCAGAACATCAAGTTGCCCAATGGCACCGAGATTCCCACCGGAACACCGGTTATGGTGACCAACGATGTCGCTGGTGATGCCAGTATCTATCCTGATCCCGATGTCTTTGACGGGTATCGGTACTTGAGAATGCGTGAAGGAGCAGACAAGGCTCGAGCACCGTTCACAACGACGGGTCAAAACCACCTTGGGTTTGGGTACGGGAAGTATGCCTGTCCCGGTCGATTCTTTGCCGCAACCGAGATCAAAATAGCGCTCTGCCATATGTTGTTGAAGTATGAATGGAGGCTGGTAAAGGACAAACCGCATAGTGTGATCGCAAGTGGGTTCGCGTCGTTCCGTGACCCACGAGCAAGCATAGAAGTCCGAAGACGTGTGCCGGTGGGGGAGGAGCTCGCAGTATTGACTGGAAAGAAGTGATGGAGATCAAATCACGGAACTTTTTCAAACAAGATTTTTTATTCCCAAACAGAGAAGCAGTGTTAGTTTCGAGCTGGCTTCGAGCTCCATGATTGATGGAGGAAAGTAAGAGGTAACCATGTTCAGAAGTCTTGGTATATGTGAATAAAACAAGGATCGGACTGTGTTGCTGGTATCGCCCAGGACAATTTATTGAGATCAATATGAAGCAGGATAGACTTTATTCCTCACCTGTATATTCCATCTGGCAGTCTTGCAGGGGGAAGCAAAGGGATGAGTGGACGGTATTTCCTCATGTCATAGTTTGACAAGTCGATCTGACTCTTATATCGGCCCACCAGCCGCTGTATTTATTCTCTTGGACATCCATTTGACAAAAATTTATCGACAGCAAATCCTGAGAGCCTCGTATTACCATCCTCGACTCACTCTGACTTTCCAGTTCTTCTTTCATTTCCCACAGCATCTTACAAAGAACGTCACTACCATGGACGGGTGGTCAGACATCTCATCGGCGCCTCCGGAGTACCGCGATGTTGCCTGGATAGCAGATCGGGCTCTATTAGCCCAAGGACTAGGATGGTCAATCAACTATCTGGCTATGATATACCAATCGCACAAAGACCGCACCTACGGTATGGCTATCCTGCCACTATGTTGCAACTTCGCGTGGGAATTTGTCTACACTGTCATCTACCCCTCTCAAAATCCCGCTGAGAGAGCCGTCCTCACAACATGGATGGTCCTAAACCTCTTTCTCATGTACACGGCCATCAAGTTCTCCCCCAATGAATGGCAGCATGCCCCACTCGTCCGAAAGAGTCTTCCTGTGATATTTCCTGTGGCAATCGCGGCATTTACGGCGGGTCATTTGGCATTCGCTGCAACAGTGGGAGTGGCCAAAGCGGCCAACTGGAGCGCCTTTCTGTGCTTTGAGCTTTTGACCGCCGGTGCGGTCTGTCAGCTCATGAGTCGGGGGTCTAGCCGGGGGGCGTCGTACACAATCTGGTATGTTCCTTGTTTCCCTTGTGGACCTTGTCCCCCTGATTACTAATTTGGGTTGTGGCTGGAAGGGCCTCAAGATTTCTGGGCTCGTATATCGGTAGTATCTTTCTGCATGTACGAGAAACCCATTGGCCGCATGAGTTTAACTGGATCAGTCACCCTTTCGTCGCCTGGCATGGTATAATGTGTTTCTCGCTGGATATTGCATATGTGGTTTTACTTTGGTACATCCGTCGACAGGAGCACCGGGGCCAATCGAAGAAAGTTATGTGATGGATCGACAGGAGGGCCACTTATAGTGATGCTATCGTGCTCTGTACTTCACGAGGGGTACAGGTTTGGGTGCTACTAGTTGGCGGTGGGCACAAAATCAAAATGAGGACTTGCAGTGAGAATTAACGTGGAGCTGAACAATGTATATGCAAGGGATGAGAAGTGGATCGGGTCGATCCACCCGTTCCGATCGATAGACAATGCCTTGTTCTTGTGGGTCGTATTGTCTAGAACGCGAAGTATGATAGGTTCCATAAACTGTTCAGCACATAGGGTAGATATGCCCGGAAACCATGTTGTAAAGGTATGATATCACCGAGTACGGAGTAGAGAGGAAGGGCTGGTTGCACGCGTAGGCATACTCAAAGTATTCTGATAAATACCCCGATCTGGCAGCTGCATCGCAAATGAACGTCAGTCCCTTGTTATGTATCAGTTGTAATTTTACTTTCTCTATATGAAACTCAAGATTTTTGTGTGTTTAGTTGCTTGAGTTACCTTTCCATTCCCTTCCGGCCCACCCATTGAGTGCATCATGAGAGTCATCATTGTCGGAGGATCCATCGCTGGTCTTTCTCTCGCCCACTGCTTGGAAAAGGCCAATATTGATTTTGTCCTTTTGGAGAAAAAGAAGGAAATTGCCCCTCAGGAAGGCGCATCAATTGGGATCATGCCCAATGGAGGTCGGATACTGGAACAGGTTGGGTTATACAACCGAATTGAGGAGCTGATTGAGCCTTTGGTGAAGGCGCATGTAACCTACCCCGACGGCTTTCACTTTACAAGTCGGTATCCTGCACTTTTACAGCAGCGGTTAGTCCATATGCAATGTTCACTTTCTGCTCCAGACTAATGTGACAGCTCTTAGGTTTGGCTACCCACTTGCATTCTTGGATCGGCAGAAGCTGCTACAGATCCTGGCGGCTGAACCAATTCAATCTAGCCGAGTGAAGCTAGATCACAAGGTCGAGAGCATAGAGACCTCTGTGGATGGCGTCACAGTGACAACAAGCAACGGACACATCTATCAGGGCGATCTTGTCGTGGGAGCAGATGGAGTGCACAGTCGGGTACGAGCGGAGATGTGGCGATTGGCCAATGCCTCGCATGAGGATATCTTTAGGAGTGAAGACGAGGGTGTGTACATATCCTCTCCTTATTCAGCTCATCCCTACCCTACTGTGGATTATTTCTTTTTTTTAAAGGAAAAAAAGAATTTGCCTATTCTTTGACTTTGGACTGGAAGGCTAATGTTTTTATTGATGTTTAGTGTTTACGATCAATTACGCCTGCATCTTTGGAATCTCGTCGCAAGTCGATCAACTGGACGGCGGCGAGCAAATAACCTGTTACAATGACGGGTGGAGTATTCTTAGTGTAATTGGACAGAATGGGCGGATCTTTTGGTTCCTTTTTATCAAGTTGGAAAAGGAATACGTCTATGATGGATCGCATGAAAGCCTACCTCGCTTCAGCCGCGCAGACGCTCGAGCTCATTGCGAGAGGCTGGCGCAGGAGCCGGTCTGGAAAGAGGTCAAATTCGGCCAGATATGGGCTCGATGCGAGGTATTCCAAATGACACCTTTGGAAGAGGGTCTACTCGGAAAATGGCACTGGAAAAACATTATCTGCATCGGAGACAGCATGCACAAGGTCAGCAGTCCAATATCATTATTGCTTTGCTGAAAATACTGACACACAGACCTATGCAGTTCGCTCCCCACATCGGGCAGGGTGCCAATTGCGCTATCGAGGATGCAGCTCAGCTCAGCAACAGGCTGCACACATGGTTGTACAGCCATCAAAAGGACTATCAGCCAACAACTGATGATCTGTCAAAGGTCCTGGCTAAATTCGTCGAGGATCGCCTCCGCCGGCTAGGGCCGACGGCCATGGCTGCTCGGTCCGCCATGCGTCTTCATGCACGGGAAGGCCTGATAAATCGCATCCGAGGACGCTATCTATTGCCCTACGCTGGTGATAAGCCGGCCGACTGGGCCTCCCGAGGAATTGCGGGTGGCAATATCTTGGATTTTGTAAAGCCACCCGTTCGGTCTGGCCCTGGCTGGATCCAGTTCAGCCAGTCGGGGAAGAGGGCTTCATTTCCTCTAGCAGTGGCAGCTCTGTGCCTGGTGACTATTGCGGCCCAACTACTGTATTCAAGTTCGGTTGCGTAGTGCTAAGTTATCCTATTATGGACCAAGAGAGGCTTTTGCACATTTTTGGGCTATGATATATCATCTGCATGGGACTCCTCAGCAAGAGGCCCTGAAGATAATCCACGCGTTCTGCAAGATTTCAAACAAGTCTATTGTTTCTTACGGAGTACGGAGTACATATCTATTCTTTCAATATTATGATACAAGCTGTCAGAGTGGGGCTACTATGCAAATGCCAATTGCGATGTGTAGCTCTCTCTCCCAGTTACAATATACTTCGTACATCATGTAGTCAATCATATCCATTGATTTGCCATGTGCATGTATTGAGTATATCCCAGCCCATTCATTTATGGTCCTCTTGCCTCAAAAGTGTATGATCACTCTTTGCTTAATCCTTCCAAACCAGACTTAATTTTTGATCAGTCTGTCAAGATGGCTGGCTCTCAGTCTACGGCACAACTGGTTCGAACCCTGATTGATGTCTCCCGATTTGACAAATACAACTGTCTATTTGCTATATTCCCTGGAGGTAATCGAGATTCCTTCAATCTACTACTACGGAGCTGACAATACCATCCAGTCTGGTCTATCTGCCTTGCGGCAGTCGCACGACATGCCGATGGCGACCCCGTTCCCCTGAACTGGGTGTTTGGTCGCGCAGCACTGGCCTTTATGTACACATATATGCTGAGTGGCGCGGGAATGGTATGGAACGACTGGATTGACCGCGACATCGACGCCCAGGTCGCCCGTACCAAGAACCGCCCTCTTGCCTCCGGTCGGCTTTCCACCAGAACCGCCCTGATCTGGATGATGGTCCAGTACGGTGCCTCTGTCTGGCTAATGGACCGCATGTTGAGCGGGCAGAACTTGTATGTGTACCCTCAAGTGAATCAAGGCATTCCTCCTATGGATTGAAAACTGACGAAGCTCATTCGTTCTCTCTAGGTGGACATTTATGCTCCCCCTCACGACGGGTATCCTCTTGTATCCCTTCGGCAAGCGACCGACAAGTCGCAAGCTGGGAATCTACCCGCAGTACATCCTCGGCGCAAGCAGCGCACTCACCATCCTCCCAGCCTGGGCCTCCGTATACGAAGACAGTATATCTTTGCAGGAGCTGGGCATGTCGTGTCTCCCGCTCTGCGTCTTCCTGTTTTTGTGGACCATCTATTTCAACACCGCCTACAGTTACCAGGATATCAAGGATGACTGTAAACTCAACGTGAATTCGTCGTACGTCCTCGCGGGAAGCCGTGTACGCGGAATGCTTCTGTTACAGGCTCTTGCTGTGGTGCTGGTGATCCCATGGATTCTTCATACCAGTGGGTCCGCTTGGCTCTGGTTCTCGTGGCTGGGGGTGTGGACGGCGTCCCTTGGCGAGCAGCTATACCTCTTTGATGTGAAGGACCCGAGTAGTGGTGGCAAGGTTCATCGGCGGAATTTTGCGCTGGGGATTTGGAATGTTTTGGCTTGCTCTGTTGAGCTGCTGCTTGTGTCGGGCTTTCCATGAATGAATCTTTGATTATGATACCGAGTTTGAGGGTTTGGGGTTGGATAAATGGGGTATTGTGTGGTGTTGGTATGGACAGTGGGTGTTGTTCATAAATCTTACTTATATTTGCTTGCCTTCGCTTTCGATAAAAAACAAGTTGTTGCTGTATTTTCTCGATTCATACTCACCAATAGATGCTGAAGGATCTTTATATCTGAGGTTGAAAGCACACATCTATCATTCATTTCTTCCTGGGCGTTACAGTAGGAAAGAAAAGTCAAACATTCGCGTTTCCCGCTCTACTGCCGCACATATGTTACAGATGCATAGATTACTCCTGTGATTGCCCTTCTGTAGCCCAGCAAAATAACGGGTCCGTTGCTACCACGGAATGATCATCACGATTCAGAGTCAAGTGCAAGTCCCACGGCTCGATACCTGCCAGACCATCCTGGCGCTTTGGAAGGATAAAGCACATGCCCCCCAAGACAGGCAAATGGAGCTGGAACTCTCGAGGCTGCGCACCCAAACTCTCTCCAAAATCTAGGTCGAAGATACCGAAGTTTCTGAAGCTGCTCAAGGGAATGGGAACTCCTCGGAATCCAATATCCGCCCAGTTGGTCTGCGAGTGGAGATGGGAAAGAGCGCCTTGGATGTGGTCTTCGTCGACTGCCAGAAGGCTCTGGCGTACACGCACTGCAATCTGCGTGAGCTCCTCCAGGCACTCCTGGCGCAATCCCATCAGAGGATCTGCGCCATCTACGGGGACCTCATTTCTCCCGGGTGAGATTGGCGTGTATGTTAGTAGCACCATGTTTCCCAGATAGTCGTCAAAGGCTGGTGTATGGAAACTGCCGCGCATGTCCACCGCAAGTGACAGCTCGGTAGATTTACCAGCCAATTGTCCCGCTTGTCGAAGTATCATGGCCATCAGAGCGCTCACAATGTCGTTGTTGGACAGGAAGCCGGGACTCGGCCTACCATCGGCCTGGAGAAACGTTTCATCCCTTATCAAGGCATTGCAGGCTTCCTTCAAATACTGGATCTTCGAACCAGGAATCGTCACCCGCCAGGTCACAAGCTCCGGGGCCCTCGTCCGAAGGAATCTCGACCAATTCTCGGCAAGGAGTGCGGCCCAATCCCCGAGGCCGCAATAGTACTGGCTGAAATCCTTACTCAAAGAACCAGAACTGCTTTCTGAGACAAGACGCTCAATCTCCGATCGTAATTGCCGGTCCAGTGGCACACTTGCAGAAGCCGTCGCCGTTGGGTCCCTGCAGCAATCGGCCAGAAGTCCCAAGACTCTCGAAGCGCCTGCGCCATCCATTGCAGAATGGTGAAACGTCATGGCGAGAATGATCCCATCACACATAACATTTGCTTGGAAGCGTAAAATCGGCCTTCGGGGCAACGAAATATTCATGTCGATGGGCAACGGGGTCAGCCGACTGATGATCTCCTGTTCCTCGGCGCCCGTGAGAAGGCATTTTGAACGGAGCTTCTTGATCGACTCTGCTTGGAAATGTTGGGTCTGGAGCATAGGGAACTGGACAAGCGATTCTGGGGCTTCTGGCTCAATCTGCCAAATAGACTTGCTTTGGCCGAAATCTGTCCGGCGAGTCACATCCCCTGCGAGGAAGGGGTGAACCTTCAGCAGCAGCTTGATTCCGTCCTCCAGAACAACAATACTTTCCCCGGGTTGCGTGTTCTGGAAGAACAGTAGAAAGCTGACATTCATTCCGAGGGGATTGTGGTCGAGAGAGGATAGAGGGTATGGAGAGCGATTGCTGGGGTCCCTAATGGTATCGCACACGCCATCTTCACATAGACCATGAAGTATAACATGTGCTTTTGGAAGCTGATATCCCTGATTGACTGGGGAGCATTTTTCTTGGGTGCTCATGATTTGCATGCCTTATCCTATTGAGTTGACCTCGGGAGTTGTTGCGGCTTACTCAGTCACTTGTTTTCAATTGATGATCTCGTTTCGCTTTCTTTGTCTCCTTTTTTTTTTTCTTTAGGGAGTACGATCCGCCGAGATTCTATGAGTCTGTGCATTTTGCTGCATCATTACTTTGTAAGTTTTTCTTTATTCGGATCAGCTGTGTGCATTCTTGATGCAAGCTGCATGCAGCTTCACATCGTGTGTACAGGTCATAATCATCCTCGTGGTTGACTTTTCAGCTGAATGTGAAACCTTGGGAAATTGGAAGTACCTAATGATCAATCACAAGAATCAAGAGAACGGTCCTCAAGTCAGTTAAACTTGTCCTTGTTAGGGGTTTGAAATAATAACCATATTTATGCCAAAGTAACGTGTCAGTACTAGACAAGTACTAAGAGAAGATGTTATTTTGAAATCGTTTGTTAACGTCTTAATCACATCTTACTCTTTCTCGGTGTCTTGATAGCAGCAATACTTCCGTCGTCTGAGTCCAGATGTGGCTATGGGGGTGTTCTCTGACAGGTGACATTTTCAGGCCATGAATATCACAATGAAGCCCAATCATTCTACCAAAAAGCCATGTCTCATTCTTGAGTCAACCCCTCTTTAATCCACAGTCCAGCTCAGCCGAGTGAAATCTGCGTTGGCTTATAAGTTGGAAGCTGAGATTGGCTGGAACTACGCCAACTGGGGCACGATGTAAATTTCAGCCAATGATCATGTGGTATTTCAGTCTCTATTGCAAAAGAAGCAAAATTGGTGCATTGTCTGTGCTCCTTAGGAAGAGTTAAATAAGTGACAGTAGTATCCGAGTCAATGGCTCGTATGCATGGCCACCCCTTGCATCTTTCAGATAGAGAGATATAGAGAAAAAGCACGAGTACATTATGTAAGAATGTACGGAGTAAGTACACAGGGATTACTTGATCCTTATATGACCTCCCTGCGGTTTCTGACTGGGGAATTGCCAGTTATAGCAATGACAGCAATCATGGATTCCGTGGTGATGAACCCGGTGTGGCTCAACATTGCCCATGAGCTAGCACTTTACCTATCTTTTACTGTGCCAACTGCCTTTCTCATTATAAAAACTGAAAGGTCGTCCTTTGTTCGACGAGCCTGGACACCATGCCTTCTCTACATTCTGTACCAATTCTCTGTTCGGGTGCCGTCTCTGACGACGAGCCAATTTCTGAAGGGCGTGGCAGCGGGTCAAGCAACCGTGGGTGCTCTGCAATGTCTCAATCTTCTCTTGATCACGAACCTGGATCAAACTGATCTGCTACGGGCAAACTTGTACAGTCCGTCTGCAGGTCTGCTTGCTCGCCTTTCTCATACATGGGCATTGCTGCTTAACTTCCGCGGAATCGGTACGACCTGGGAGGTCAGGAATGTCCCCCAACATGCAGCTTATCTTCTACCAAATGGCAAGGATCAAACACTGAGCCGCAAGCGTTATGTCTTCCGGGAAATTGCCATCATCATATGGCAGTACCTGCTCCTTGATTTCATTTACGAGTCCACCAAGAACACGCCCCCCGAAGACTTGGCGCGCCTCTTCGGGCCCGGCTTGGAATACAAGTACTTCGACGCAACGTTCGAACAGTGGACGGGGCGCTTTTTTGTGGGGATTTTCTCCTGGCTTGTGCCTTCGCGCGTCTGTCTTAACATTACTTCTCGCATTTACTTCCTCATCTTGGTAGTCCTAGGCATTTCTACCCCAGAATCTTGTCGACCGGGCTTCGGCAGGTTGCGGGATGTGTGCACTATGCGTGGAACATGGGGGTAAGTCGACTTCCTCAACACTTTTGTAAAGCAAGCTAGACGCTCATATTCATTTACTGATCCCATCACAGCAAGTTTTGGCATCAATCCTTCCGTTGGCCACTTACCTCTGTCGGCAATTATATCGCCAGAGATATCCTCGGCCTTCGCCGTCCCTCGCTCTTGGAACGCTATACCAACATCTTCTTCACATTTTTCACATCGGGCGTATTGCACCTTGCCTGTGATGCTATTCTAGACGTTCCGCCGTCTACGTCCGGTGCCATGCAGTTCTTCTGCTCGTTCCCGCTTGCTATCATGATCGAGGACGGGGTTCAGGAAGTTTGGCGAAGAGTGACAGGCCAGAACAAGGATGAGGATCGCGTAATGCCGATCTGGCAGAGGCTCCTCGGGTTTGTTTGGGTGGGTCTCTGGATGTGTGTTACATCCCCATGGTACTTATATCCGGCTGCGCGGAAACAGCCGAAGAATAGCTGGATGGTGCCAGTTAGTGTCGTGGGGGAAATTGGCCTAGGGACTGCGCAAAAGATTCTGCTGGGTTATGGCTTATTCGTGTACTGGATGGTTGGTGGGGAGATCTGAAGTTATGTGTCTGGGTCGCTGATGCTTGTTGAATATTGTTCTGGATGTTTTTTTTTTGCTCGGGATAGATCTTATCAAATAGATACTCGATCTACACCGATCTACCTGTGGATGTAGAGACTCTACCACCATCTATTTACCCATCCGCCATTTTTCTACTAGAACTGACCAAGTTTGAACCAACTTTTCTTTGTAAATTTATATTCTAGTATGTTTTTTAATTCTTTTTAAAAAAATCAAATCATACAGCACGGTGAAACATATATAAAATAACTCAATATATATTTTGAATAGAGGGTAGTTGTCTTTTAAACATTGACGAAATATGTAAATCGCGAATTTAGTATAGGTGCCCATATATATATCACTGACATTCCAACGAGCATTCATATTTCAATGAGTGACTGTTTAGCAGCCAAACATATTTGATCATTCGGAAAGAAATATTTCATTAATCTAGTCTTAATATTCCATTAGCAATTTTCTTAAACATTATTACCATATAAGTATTTTGAGAGAATAGGGTTCGAAGATCAGTTTTGGCGGCAAATTGGCGGGTGGGTAAATTCTTGCTAACCGTTATGGTATGTTGTACGTTGGATGTCAACCATACTTGCTCGATCAGACTCAATTTGATCCGATCTGTATGATGTTACTTATTGTACGTGAAGGAAAAAAAATAACTGCAATAATTATGGATATACTTAACCTATCCGATCAATTACTTGTCCATAGTATCTTTATATGTCAATTAATGTACGCAGTTTTTTTGATGGAGATATATAGGGTTGATGGTGATACATGTTTGACGGGGTGCATATACAACATAGAACCCGAATCTTGCAATACGCCCAAAAAAAGGTCCTATTGTTGTTATTACATTCGCCTACTAAGAATGAACAAAAAGAAATGAGAGCAAAAAAGAAATCTCAGGTTTGGTTTTAGGAATAGCCGAACGCGGGGGTCGAACCCGCAGCCTTAAGATTAAGAGTCTTACGCTCTACCGATTGAGCTAGCCCGGCCGGGCTGTTGAAGGAGACAGCAATATAGCGCTACATAAGCCTAAAACAATCTACGGCTCACAGGGAAATGGCTGACATAATGTTAGCGCGTCGAGCGGCGAATCCTCTGGAACCAAAATTGTAAGGTGGAAGGTGGCTTCATCTACGAATCTAGGCATTTCCTTGATTGGATCCTATCATTGCTTCCCTGCTTCATATGAGTCTTTAACCTTCTGGTTGTTTGACTCTGACCGCGGCCACTAGATTGCCCACCATGTGCGTTACCAGAACCTCCCCCGATTCCTTGCTGCAGCTAACACTATACAGGGCAAAGCTCGTGGACGACCATCAGATCCATACTGCCTCGTTGCATAATCCGATCCCTTGGCAATTGCATACATATGTCTGGCCTTTTCTCATCATCTGGCCCGTGTTCTTCGCCTTCTACCTCTCCCCCGAGCGCTATGATACCTACATTCAGGGACAGGAATGGACCTTCGTGTTCGCGGGGTCCATAGTCACAATTCAGTCGCTCCTTTGGCTGATGACCAAGTGGAACATCGATATCAACACCCTGTTCACTACTGTTCGATCCAAGTCTATCGACACTGCCCGGCTTATCAAAGTGGTTCCCATCACCAACGCCGGGTCTGCCGAGATCTGCAAATTGATTAGAGAAAACACCGGCCCAAAGAAGTCCCTCTCGTTCCTCTTCCAGAAGCGCCGCTTCCTCTTTTACCCCGAGACTCGCACCTTTGCGCCTCTGTCTTACGCTCTTGACGCTGAACCGAAACCTGCCCTTAAGACTTTCCAGCAGAACGAGGGATTCACGTCGAAGGCCGAGATTGACCGCGTTCAAAACCACTATGGCGATAATACTTTCGATATCCCCGTTCCTGGCTTTATTGAGCTCTTCCAGGAGCACGCTGTCGCGCCATTCTTCGTCTTCCAGATTTTCTGTGTTGGGTTGTGGATGCTGGATGAATACTGGTACTACTCGCTCTTCACGCTCTTCATGCTTGTTATGTTCGAGAGCACCGTTGTGTGGCAGCGCCAGAGGACATTGAGCGAGTTCCGTGGAATGAGCATCAAGCCTTATGATGTCTGGGTATACCGTGAACGGAAATGGCAGGAGATCACCAGTGATAAGCTTCTTCCCGGTGATCTCATGTCGGTGAACCGCACCAAGGAGGACAGTGGCGTTGCCTGCGATATTCTCTTGATTGAAGGTAGTGTTATTGTGAACGAGGCTATGCTTTCTGGCGAGAGCACACCTCTTCTGAAAGACTCTGTCCAGCTTCGTCCTGGTGATGACTTGATCGAACCGGATGGATTGGACAAGCTCTCGTTTGTGCATGGTGGCACCAAGGTCCTCCAGGTCACCCATCCTAATCTGACTGGCGACGCTGGGTTGAAGAATCTGGCCAGCAATGTTACCATGCCCCCAGACAATGGTGCTCTGGGTGTGGTGGTTAAGACCGGGTTCGAAACCAGCCAGGGTAGCCTCGTCCGGACCATGATCTACTCGACTGAACGTGTCTCTGCCAACAATGTCGAAGCTCTGTTGTTCATTCTCTTCCTCCTGATTTTCGCCATTGCCGCTTCGTGGTACGTGTGGCAGGAGGGTGTGATCCGGGACCGCAAGCGCTCCAAACTTCTGCTCGACTGTGTCCTCATCATTACCAGTGTTGTTCCTCCTGAATTGCCTATGGAACTGAGCTTGGCAGTTAACACTAGTCTTGCTGCTCTGAGCAAGTATGCAATTTTCTGCACTGAGCCTTTCCGTATTCCCTTTGCTGGTCGTGTTGACATCGCTTGTTTTGACAAAACTGGTACTCTGACCGGAGAAGATCTTGTCGTTGATGGTATTGCTGGACTTACTTTGGGTGAGGCTGGCTCGAAGGTCGAAGCCGATGGTGCTCACACTGAATTGGCCAATTCATCTGCTGCTGGACCCAACACCACTCTCGTTCTCGCCAGTGCCCACGCCTTGGTGAAGCTGGATGAGGGTGATGTTGTCGGTGACCCCATGGAAAAGGCTACTTTGGAATGGCTTGGCTGGACTCTGGGCAAGAAGGACACTCTGTCTTCCAAGGGCAACGCTCCTGTTGTCTCTGGTTGCAGCGTTGAGTCTGTTCAGATTAAGCGAAGATTCCAGTTCTCCTCAGCCCTGAAGCGCCAAAGTACTATCGCGACTGTCACGACCAATGACCGCCAGGCTTCCAAGAAGATCAAGTCTACGTTTGTGGGTGTCAAGGGTGCCCCCGAGACCATCAATACTATGCTGGTCAACACCCCCCCAAACTACGAGGAAACCTACAAGCACTTCACCCGCAACGGTGCTCGTGTGCTTGCTCTTGCCTACAAGTACCTTTCATCTGAGACTGAGCTTTCCCAGAGCCGCGTAAACAACTATGTCCGCGAAGAGATCGAATCCGAACTTATTTTTGCCGGCTTCCTTGTCCTGCAGTGCCCACTTAAGGACGATGCTATCAAATCTGTCCAAATGCTGAATGAAAGCAGCCACCGTGTTGTCATGATCACTGGTGATAACCCGTTGACCGCTGTCCACGTCGCGCGCAAGGTCGAAATTGTTGACCGTGAGGTTCTCATTCTCGATGCCCCTGAACATGATAACTCTGGAACCAAAATTGTGTGGCGTACCATCGACGATCAGCTCAATCTTGAAGTCGACCCCACTAAGCCCCTCGACCCGAAGATTTTGGAAACCAAGGACATCTGTATCACTGGGTATGCTTTGGCAAAGTTCAAGGGCCAGAAGGCTCTCCCTGATTTGCTCCGCCACACCTGGGTTTATGCTCGTGTGTCTCCCAAGCAGAAGGAAGAGATTCTGCTTGGTCTCAAGGATGCTGGGTACACCACTCTGATGTGCGGTGATGGCACCAATGATGTCGGCGCTTTGAAGCAGGCTCACGTCGGCGTCGCGCTTCTGAACGGCTCGCAAGAGGATCTCACCAAGATCGCTGAACACTACCGGAACACCAAGATGAAGGAGCTGTACGAGAAGCAAGTCGGCATGATGCAACGATTCAATCAACCCGCCCCTCCAGTCCCTGTTTTGATCGCTCACCTGTATCCCCCCCGGTCCTACCAATCCCCACTACGAGAAAGCCATGGAGCGGGAGTCACAGCGCAAGGGTGCCGCGATCGCCGCTCCCGGTGGAACCTCCGAAGCTATCCCAACTATCACATCTCCTGGCGCCCAGGCCCTGCAACAATCAAACTTGACCCCCCAGCAGCAGAAAAAGCAGCAGGCACAGGTTGCCGCAGCTGGCCTTGCAGACAAGCTTACATCATCTATGATGGAGCAGGAGTTGGATGACAGCGAGCCCCCCCACTATCAAGTTGGGTGATGCCTCAGTCGCTGCTCCCTTCACCAGCAAGTTGGCCAACGTTATTGCTATCCCGAATATTATCCGCCAGGGTCGCTGTACCCTGGTTGCCACGATTCAGATGTACAAGATCCTTGCTTTGAACTGCCTGATCAGTGCCTACAGTCTGAGTGTCATCTATTTGGATGGTATCAAGTTTGGTGATGGACAAGTCACCATCAGCGGTATGCTTATGAGTGTCTGCTTCCTTTCTATCTCCCGCGCCAAGGTATGTTATAGTTCTCCATGTTGACAAAATGGGTTACTAACATTTTCATGTGTGAAGTCTGTCGAGGGTCTGTCTAAGGAGCGCCCGCAGCCCAATATCTTCAATGTCTACATCATTGGATCTGTTCTCGGACAGTTTGCCATCCACATTGCGACTCTGATCTATCTCTCCAACTATGTCTATAAGCACGAGCCGTACGTTACGAGAACCTTTCTCCCCTATGTACCACTCAATGGCTAACACAAACAATAGGAGAGATTCCGATATTGATCTCGAGGGCGAATTTGAGCCGTCCCTCCTGAACAGTGCCATCTACCTCCTCCAGCTGATTCAGCAAATCTCGACCTTCTCAATCAACTACCAAGGACGCCCCTTCCGCGAGTCGATCCGCGAGAACAAGGGCATGTACTGGGGTCTCATCGCCGCATCAGGTGTTGCATTCTCCTGTGCCACTGAATTCATCCCCGAGCTGAATGAGAAGTTGCGCCTCGTCCCCTTCACCAACGAATTCAAGATGACTCTCACTGTGCTGATGATCCTTGACTACGGTGGCTGCTGGTTGATTGAGAACGTTCTCAAGCACCTGTTTAGTGACTTCCGCCCTAAGGACATTGCTATTCGTCGCCCCGACCAGCTTAAGCGCGAGGCGGAGCGTAAGTTGCAAGAGCAAGTTGACGCCGAGGCTCAGAAGGAGCTGCAAAGAAAGGTCTAGTTTGGTGGTTTGAACTTTTGTATCTATATGCATAGAGAGGAGGTTGTCCGATTTTAGAAATGCTCATGTGGTGCATGACATTTAATACATGTTTTTTTTTTGGCTTTTATTGAAACAATCTTCCCAGTAGAATTTATTTTTTTCTTTCGGAGGACGTGTTTTGTTCTCTGAAGTACTCCGTACTTATCCATCACTTTGGCCAAGTAGTATATCGTGGCCAAATTGCTTGCAAGTCACTATCACTCTGCATCTCTCATCACCATTAGCGCATTTGGCATATCACCAGCTATAATTACATACGGAGTGCTCTGGTAGATGCAACGCTCACCCCATTGGGGGTCTATCATAGTACCAATTGCATGGTCAGATTGCCCGCTTTATGCCATTTGCACCTGAGGTAGGATTGATTCGGAGTGACTGAGCCGATCGCAGCCGAGACGTTAGAGCAATATAAAACTTCACCGTATAAACGTAAAGCCAGTGCAAGCATGAATTGTATAACATCAGATAGACTCAGAAAGAGTCATTCAACCCTATAGGAATGTAACATTTCATAGACCACCAGTTCACTATATCAAACTCAGCCCGATTCCGACACGCCTTGTCGTAGTAACCCATAGAACGGTGTTTAGTTTTATCACAATATATATACTCCCATATAGTGCAGATACCACCCTTGACTACCCAGGATTCTGGTGACCCGATAGTGCCATTATTACAACTAGTGAAGGCGCCGTTGTGAGACCATCTGCAAGAAACACCTGTGTCTGTTGGTTTGTCGCTGAGTCCTTCGTCCGGTCTCAAGCAGTCGTAGTTCTTCTTGTCATCCACATTATGTCCTTGGAGTATGTAGTAGTCGCCCTTGCAGTTCTTCTTGGTGTACATCATCACTGTCCATGGACTGACAGTTGGCGCTTTGCTAGTACCAGTACTTGTTTTTGTTTTTGAAGATTTGGTTGGCTTTGTTGCCGATGTGGTTTTGCTAATGGAAGTAATCTTGGTGGTTTTGGTGGTTGATGTAGCTTTGGGGGCAGACTTGGTTGTACTGGTCGATGTTGTCTTAGTGGATGAGGACACACTGCTAGCCACAAGTTTCTGAATAGCCACAAGCTTCTGAATAGACTTGAGTGCATCTGTAGATGTGGCAGATTTCCCTGAAGTGGCAGTATCTTTCGATGCGGTCCCTTCAGTGGAATGGTTGCCAACGCCATGAGCTGTAGAACTGCAAAAGTCCGGGGTGCTTCCACAAAACCCCCACGAGGAGCACTATTGAACCATTAGTTATCGAGGATCTATATGTCTACAAGCCCTTGACTCACACATTCATTAGCCGCACATGGATTCAAAGACCCTAGGTCAGACCAGTTGTTGGGACGTGATGTTCCAGGTACCCGAGGCCCACAAGCAGCATTTGGAAGCGCAGCTGGCATCAGAGGTTCTCCGGTGCTGAGGCAGATAAAAGTCCCCTGTGGCAAATTTCCGCATCCAAGCCATCCCCAGCTTCGAGTATTGTATCTTTCGATATCAGCCACGGTGATCGAGTGGGCTTGAGCAATCATAGGACAAGTCTCGCCAGCCTGGACGACATATTTGAAACAAATACCATCGCTACCTGCTTGAGGTGCAGACCCTACAGCTGCACCTGATGTTGCTGTCGGATTGACCAAAAGGAGGCTGATGAAAGCAACGAAGTTGCTGAAGCGGAAGCACTCCATCACCTGGAGAGCTGTTTGAGAGCGCAGTTGCCTTTACTCTATTTTCTCTCTTCTTCTCAAGGAGATAAGGTCTACCTTTATCTGTTTCAAGAGGGAAGAATTCAATGACCAAGGAAAGATGCCTGCATGAATGAATGTGACATTGCCAGGGATAGGCGGCGAGCGCTTCGTGAAAGAAATATGATACTATGCCAGGTTTATTAGTGTGATTCTGAACCAAATCATAGTAAGGCGCTGCGTTCGGTGGTTGACACCCTGGTTATTTTCTTTGTCCTCTCGCTGCTCACTGCATGGCCTTCCCAGCTTGTTCTATCAAGGCTTTGTCTAAGCCCTAAAAGTCGGAAGACTCGAGGCTATGAAGGTGGAATACTTTTTAAATGTAAACGCCTCACCCGAGCAAGATACCCATAGCCTAAGGACAGATCCAATAGGTTCTCGAAATTCTAGAAGATCTTTGAATGTGGGAGTAAGAAAGGGACTATTTATTCCATACAGGTACTGAGACTAGAAGGCCGGGCGTAAACAGACAGATCGATTGTCCCCTGACGCGCTCGAAAAATAGCAGAAACCTCATTTCTTCATTTCAGGAAATTTTTAGACACCGAACCACTTCTTTGTAAACGCGTAGGGCCAGATTTGGAAGACTATCTTTGTTAGCACCGTACTTAGTATCTTGGTTGACCGATAGTTTCGACCCCTCTGGTTTTTTTCAACATACAATATGAATGCATCAATGAACGCCGAGTGTAGAGACATCGTGAATGATTGGATCCATGAGCGTTTCGTAGTGCTCCACCTTGGTCCTTGACTTCATAGGCCACGAGATCGTATCGCTTGGTACTTGGGGATGTTTTTGCTTCTGAATCCCAATACTTGATATATTGCGGATTTCACCAATCAACACCTTCAAACTGAGCCAAACAGCTAAGCTTAGTCTCCTTATCAAGCAAGGCAAAAGTACATGAAAAATCTGAATAACTAGTTGACTACTCCGGAGTCACTAGCACAACCACTGACAAATCAGATCAAGAGATTAAGGAAAAAAGTCCATTCATCACCGCCGTTCCCACCCCATATACCAGCCAAGCAGCTACCATGACTGTCCCAGTCGCAACGGAAAAAAATGAGACCTGCGGCGAGACTCCTCCAAAAAGACAGCATCTAACTCTTCCAGGAGTTCGTTGGCATTCCGACAAACACCTGGCATCCAGGACCTTTTCGATACGAAATCTTTTCCTCGGCTATGACTTCACGGATGACTTTGCCCAACTGACCAATATCGCTTGGTATCGAGTATCCATTATCATCGTCCGTTCCCATAATGGTCTCAGGAGGCATTATGCTGGACTCGGTAAAATCGCCGAAGTGGATGGAGAGATCAGAATCAAGCAGAATGTTTCGACAAGCAACATCCGCAACAACGACTGAATGGCCGTGTATGGGCGATAAAGCAAGATCCATGTCTCGGAATCATGATAACTGAAGAGACTTCGAAGGGGCTTTTTGATAAATATGATCGCAGATCTCCGTTTTCCATATACGCGAGTTGTGTGGTTTCGTCCGCAAAACACAGGTATGGCACAACTCCATCGCATTGTTTTAGTTGATCGTAAACTTTTTGCCCCCTTTGGATGACCAGGAAACTGTCAGTCATTTCATCATCCAAGGTATATGAGTACCTCAGGGGCACTTTAACAGTCACATCGCCTTTCAAAACAACACCGGACCGGCCATGCCCAAGTAGCTTTTTTTCTCAGATGGAATTGCCGAAAGGGTTTAAAAATGGTGTTATCATGATTGGACAGAGACAATTATCTGAATGGAGAGCACAATTTGGTTGAATTTCAATGAGAGTCAAGTTATATATGTTTGAGACTAGAATTCCGCATAGACTGCGGTGACTTCCTTCAGATTTACGGATATCTAAGTATCCTTGCCGCAAATTGCAGATGTAGCCCGAGGACACCGTTAGTTACTTGATATCCGCAATCCTCGATTTTGAAGGATATAGTAGATCACCATCCTCTCGAGATTCAAGGATCTCTATCACACAACTCATGTATTCAAGACTGCCTTTCCATCGTAAGGTAAAAATCCAACATGAAAGCAGCCCCATCCAATGATCCCAATGTCAGCCTATATCATAAAATACCAAATTCGAGGCTTGCCGGGCGCCACTGGATAAGAATTGAAAATATCTTGGCACATTGCTGTGAGAGAAGATCGTTGCCCTATTCTTAGAACTAGCAATTAAAAGTCCTTTTCCGGAGTATGGAGTACTAGTCAGAATATTGTAGGTATTTGTTGCACAGTTCAAGTACTCCCGTATACCTGGATTGATCAACTTGACGGCATGAGAGAGACGAGGTCGAAGCTTGCCTCTAAACAACTGATCATGTCGGTTATATAGAGAAAGCTCAACGCGATTCATGCTTACAACTTATGTATCTAAGTTAGCAATCTAGTTGGTTCTTTCAATGCTGGATGAAAGTCCGATAAGGCATCAAGGCATCAAGGCATCGATGCATCAGACCGGACGTGTCTCAATCGAAATCCACCACTGAGGCTGATCGGGGGCTGCGAGTGGATGAATCATAAATTTCTCAACAGATGAAAAAAAAGAAAAGAAAAGATCAATGGATCACTTCTATTAAACTCACATTCCAGGTGGATTTTGTTTTTCAGTATAAATCATTCCTAGGTATTGCCAATAGATACGATGATAGCGTGAAAGAATACTCCGTACGCAGTTATTTGTAACTGGGTACCCTTCGCTTCAGCTGAGTGTTCGACCATCAAACAGAAATGAGCAGTCACAGTATAGGTGCCCTGGGGTACACATACTGTTACTGCAAAGTCCACGAGTTGGGGGGGCATAACCGCTCTCTGAGAGATGTTAAGTATTATACGGTGAGACCCGTGGACATCTCGGTCAACCGGGGACAGAATGTTATAAGGAAAATCAACGCTATTCCCCGAACCCAGTCCCCGAACCCAGACCCCTGGGTATGGACTTTTCTATTTGAATGGTGGCGCTAATATGGAGGACTTGAGCCCCTATATGCATCCAGAGTACACCGGTGTCTGGGTACAAATTTGATGAATCACATAAGATCCCTCGTTTTCATGTACAATATTCGCGGATCATGGCGGGTTCGAACATCTTGGGCAGGATAAAATCAAGCCCCTGACCCAAAAGAGTCCTGGTCACTACACAATCACATTGTCGGAATATATATAAAAAGTTGTTGACCCGAACTGTCGGGTCTTACATCTTCATGCTTGAGCTGTGTCAGCATCTTGTTCTTGACCTTTCATCTACCGCACTGCCAAAATGCCGAGCGGGACTGCAACAGGTGACTTTGGCCCAGCACCCCCTGGGCTAGATCTGGCAGAGAACCAGACAGGCAATTTATTGGGAGCAGTGGTTCCTGTAGCGGTGCTCGCAACCACTGCAGTTGCATTACGGATAGTTGGGCCAATCAAGAAGAAAGATGTCAGAAAATTAGCTGTCGATGACTACTTGATCATCGCCGGCCTTTTATTCTCTTGGGGAACCGCAATATCCTGTTTTATAAGTGAGTCAACCCGGAGCTGTGACATGGTCAATGGGGCATGGCACTTACACCAGACTCTCTAGGCATTCCGTATGGCAACGGCTATCATTTGCAATCCGTAACAAAAGCAGAATTCATTACTATTTGGAAGGTATGGAAAATACCGAGCCATCTGAGATAGACGTTGACAAGATACTTAGATACTCTTTTCCTATGTCATGATTTACGCTACCGCCGTCACCTGCACCAAAGCCTCGATCCTCTGTTTCTACGGCCGCATATTCAGCTTTCGCTGGTCACTAAGCGTCTGTATGTTTCTGGTCGTTGGATACTGGGTTGCCATTATCGTCACGGTTGCAATGGCCTGCCGACCACTGCCATATTTTTGGCTACTCTACACTGATCCAACGGCTACTGGTGTATGCATCGACGTTCCCACGTTCTTTTTTGCCAATGGAATCGGCGCCATGGTGATTGATGTGATAATTCTGTGCATACCGATGCCAACAATCTACAAGTTGCAGATGCAGTTGTCGCAGAAGGTAGCGATCGTGGGTATCTTACTCTTAGGAAGTTTGTATGTGCCTCTTCCCCGAGCATTCCACCAGAACCTTGCTCATGGCTAATCGACATCAGTGTCTGCGTGGCAAGCATTTGCCGGATTATCACGTTTCAGATCAACTCCGAGGGCACCGATACTACGTGGACTATTGCGCCTGTCTTCATTTGGTCGTCTGTGGAACCCTTTGTTGGGATTATCTGCGCATGTCTCCCCACCTTTGGGCCATTCTTCCGTCGGTGGTGGCCCAAAGTTCAGACAGCGCGCTCGTCCAACAGTCATAGTACCGGTGCAAGCACCGAACGTTCATCTGACAAGATGACCTGGCTTCGGAAACATCGAGCAAAAAAGACACCCAAGGACTCATTATTTAGTATCAATGACTTTGGATGTGTAGATGAGGTTCAATTGATGAACGACATAAATGCCACTCGGTCGCTCGGGGACGAGACTACGAGTGATCATCATGATGTGGAGCGAGGTTGTATCACGGTTCAACAAGATGTGGAAGTGACATGGGCCAAGTACAAATCAGGCAAAAAGTCTGACCTAGCCTTCAAATATCACAAAGGCCCCTGAAGAGTCTCATCTTTGCCAATATCTTTCGTTTTCGTTTGGGTCGGCCTAGATTTGCATTTCTCTTTTGTGTACAGGGTGAAAGAAAATAGACGCCACATGATGGCAATTTGGAATTGAAACAATATTCACAGAGTAAATTTCTTGCAATCAAAGGAAGCATATCGAGTACAGTAAAGGGAGTATATCAATTGATAACCTGGCATATCATCTGGTTGAATCTTTTGCCCCCAAAACATACATTGGCATCCCTTTTACTATTTGGTACGCTGTTGAACTTAAGATGTAAACATAAAAGCCGTTGAGAATATGCATGACTTATAAGCAGAATTGCCATCCCCAATTGACAGACCACGGCCAAGTTAATCTAGACGATCCTCCATGGCCTTTCCCGCTGCAAAGCACTTGACACGGGTTGTGCTAATATATAGCTTAAAAATAGCACGAGATGACATTTAGATCATGTCTAGATCACTGAAAGACCAGCTTGAGAGGCTGCATCTTTAGATAGAGCGACTCCAATGATTATCTGAATATGAACGTGCTCACTTTCACTGCAAAAAGCAGCAAGGGGTGAAACCGGAAAGAAGTGACATGACATGTCTACTTCATGCACGATATCATTCATTCTTATATCACCAAGGATACGGAATATGTAGTAAAAGACGACTGAAAATACAATCCAGAGAACTCCAGAGTCAGACATAAAGTCCATTTGACCATGACTATCAATGTCCTACTTCGTTATGTACATGTAAGGGCATACATGCGCCTCTTGTAGAGTTTCAAACTGCCAAGCGTCCAATGTTTTGACCGTCAGACCTGCGTTGCAGTTCACCGCTACTTACATATGACATATAGGGAGTACCTAGGTGGAGATGGGAATGTGAGACGGCGCAGTAGCTATCTTAATCGGGCTATCATTTGTAACCTCACCTTTCTACTTCGCTCACCTAAAACAAAGAACAAGCATCAAATACTAGCAAATAGGGAAGAAAATGTTCATGTCAAAAGATCAGAAATTGTCATCATTGACTGTCACAGAGGTCGATGCCACGAAACACGCAGAAAACGATTCTGTGGGTTTTCCAGAGGATCTCGGTCATCATGTCCAATGGATGCCTGACCTCAACCTATTGACCAACAGAGAAACCACAGATCTCTGTATAAACGAGTACCCCTACTCGACAAACCCGGATGATTTCTTCGCCGACTTGGAGTTCATGTTCATGGCGCGTATTACTGAAACGCTGAGAATATTGTCTGAGCAGCAACTCAAACCTTCGCAGCCACATCTGCAGAAGTATGTGGACTGGATGATTCATCAGCAGCTCCTGCTGGACAAAGACCAGCTTCGATTTGCTTCTGAGCCATTGAAGAGCCGGCTGGTCGATCTTGACTATCTTCAAGACGTCGAAGATCGATTGATGAACCTTAACAAAAGAGGTTACTTCTATGTCACTGTTGCTCGGAATCTATTGAAGTTCCTAGCCGGTGAGATGGAGTCGTCAACCATCTTTGAAGGGAACATGTTGAAAGATTTCTACTCCGAAGAAGTAAGGTCTCCCCTGCGTGATTCAGTGCTGCCGCTTATGACAGAACTAGGTTCATGAATCCCATGCACTCAGACAGTGTGGTAAATACCTTGACCTTCTTTCTCATCTTAACCCAAGAATGAAGATTCTGGAAGCCAGTGCAGAAGTCGGATTCATGGCAGAGGTCATGCTGCGCACGTTGGGAAATACAGAAAACAGCAATCCGAAGTACGCGCAGTGGGACTTTACTGATAAACCAGGAACGTCGTTTGCTGGTGCCCAAGATAGATTTCATCACGAGGCCGAGCGAATGCAATTCAGACATCTGGACATTGAGCAGGACCCTGAGAAACAGGGATTCGAATGTGCCACTTACGATATGGTCGTTTCTTCCATGGTACGTTCATATTTCTTCCTTGCAACTTTTCAACATCTCACTCCAATGCAGGTAGTTTATGCCACGTCGGACATTGAAGCTGTTTTGCGCAATGCCAGAAAGCTTCTAAAGCCGTGAGTAATAGCTAATTCCCAAGATTCCAATCAATCTGACATACAATTCCCAGAGGGGGCAAGCTCATACTATACGAGATGATGGGTCCTAGTGTCCGGTCTACTTTTACGCTTGGCCTCTTTGAGAGATTCTGGATCAGTGGGTTGTTTGTCTCCGGTAAAAGCCAGATGTCATTGCTAAGTTTTACAGGTTCAGTCGCAGATTCGAAACCGGGACCTTGCTTCGACGAGAGACAATGGAATGAACTCCTCGTTCGGGCCGGATTCTCTGGTCTGGATATAATTCTACCAGATTTTGATGCATCCATAGCCCATGAATGCAGCCTGCTGGTTTCAACAGCAGCAGAGGAATCACCAGCGGCCTATCCTGTCCAGGAAATCGAAATTGTCTACGACGTTGCCGAGTCGAGCCAACAGGAACTCGCAAAGTTCCTTGTCGAGTACTGTCAATCAAACAAGCTGGCCCCTGTCCGCTCTTTCTCTATTCAAGAAGCGACGAATCACACGCCTGAAAGCCCATTGCTACGGATCTTCCTTCTCGAGCTTCGCGTTCCCATTCTATCGGACATTCCACCGGAACTGCTCCAAAAACTGCAGGGCCTTCTTTCTTCTGCCTCAACTGTGCTTTGGATCAACCAAAGAGGAGGCATACTTCCTTCTCAGCCCCGACTCAGCCCTGTGAATAGGCTATCTCGCGTACTGATGGAACATTGCAAGCGTAGACTTCACCTACTTTCGCTTGAACTTCGAAGCCGATTAGATACAAAGCAGCGCGATCATATTACAAGACTGATTAGATTTTTACTGTCACCAGCAGCTTCCAATGCAAATTTGGAGCATATTGAGCAGGATGGGGTCCTGAACACTCCTCGTCTGATCGCTTCAGCCCATTGAGCGCGAACATCTCTTTCATGGCCACCTCACCTCAACACAATAGGCTTACCCCTTGCGATACAACTGAGTGATTGATTTACCGGATAGCTCCAGTCTGCATTGCCAGTTTTTGAGATTCTTGTGTTGGCATCGGTGTGACAATTGGTTGTGAAGAGCAAGCTTGTTGAAAATTCATCAAATGGTTTGCCAGTCAGATCATCAGAATTACTATCCAATCTATCAATCTGATCCATATATACCAGAATAGTGTAGTAAATACATCCAACTCGAGTTGTAGTGATTTTATTGAACTCAGACGATTCCCCGACATCGCACCTCCCCCACTATGATCTCATCGATTCTCCATGTTTGAATTGTTTCTTCTCATCTTCTCATATTCATACAACTCAACAATATGACGAACCTTACTCTCCAGTCAAAGCATCGACTACAGTCAGGACATGAGATCCCAGTTCTGGGATATGGAGTCAGTTACCTCGCGAACACATGTACCTCAAGAGCAGAGCTGACACTATACGACTTGACAGGTGTATATGATGTACGTTTAGATCAATGCTCATCATGATTGTCCTAACCATTGCAGCCCCTCATCCGCGACAGAAAAGGCTACACTCGAAGCGCTGAACGTTGGATTCCGTCATGTAAGTCCACCCGGAAAGATTGAAAGACCACACTAAACAAGAGATCTCAGGTCGACTCGGCGATCATGTACCGCAACGAGAAGCCCTGCGGAAAGGCAATTTCGAATTCCGGACTGGATCGATCGCAGATCTTCTTTACGACCAAGATCCCACCGGAAGCAATGGGTTACGAGTCTACCAAGCGAGCTATTAATTCGAGTCTGCGGGAAGCGGCACAGGAATACTTTGACCTGTAAGCCAGAGTCCTTGCGGAATCCTTGCGGAATTGGATACAATCTAACCAGTGGACCTAACAGTATTCTAATTCATGCGCCCTACGGCGGTAAAAAAGCCCGTCTGGGCTCGTGGGATGCACTTGTCGAAGCCCAGAAAGCAGGCCAAGTGAAATCCATCGGTGTATCCAATTACGGTATCCACCACCTCGAAGAACTGGAGGCTTATATCCAGGGCGGTGGAGGTGGCCAGATTGATGTCGGTCAGTATGAGCTGCACCCGTGGCTGGATCATTCAGATATCGTGGAGTGGCTTCAAAAGAGGAATATTATTGTGGAGGCGTATTCGCCTCTTGCGCATGGTAGTCGGCTGACGGAACCTGTGTTGCTGTCTATCGGTAAGAAATACGGGAAGACACCGGCGCAGGTGTTGATTCGGTGGAGTCTACAAATGGTAAGTGGAATCTATCTGGTTAATAGAGTAAAGGGTACAGTAATCAGGATGCTGATGATCTGTCAGGGATTTGTGCCTTTGCCCAAGTCTCGTACACCGAAGCGCATTCGTGAGAATGCCGATGTCTTTGACTTTGAGTTGGCGGCTGAGGATATGAAGCTGCTGGATACAGGAGAGTATTCACCCACGGACTGGGATCCAACTGTTGATGAGGATTGAAGTCGATGGAAGGGAGATGGTAGTAGAGAGGAAGAGGAAGAGGAACCCGGAAGGTTGGATTTGTCACCGTAGAGGGGCTATCCGCGGGGTGAAATTGCGACTTGCAACTTCGCTCCGATTTTCTTCCTCGACACTTAAAGATCTCCCTCTATACCTCTATATCTAAGATCTATACAGCATTCATCTATCCAATTTATTCTTCCATCATGAAGTTGATTCTATCCAGTTCGTAAGTGGTGTCATTCGCATGCGCCTTGATCCATGTCACTCATCTCTCACAGAAATATTATGCAAGCGGGACGTCAATCCGTCATTCGCCAGCCTCTGACACAGAAATCAAACGTTGAGCTAATCAACTCACTTCGATCGAACTTCCTTGCCTCGCAGCAGATCGAAACGTCAACCAACGGCACCACAAAGGGTCAAGGCGTGTCGCATCCGCCCTCATGGACACTACAGACCGAAGATGCCCTCTATATCCCCGCGATTGACTTCTCACAACCCGGCCTGTCAGAGGAACGCGACCAATACGATATCACAGTGAAGCTATTCTACCTACCGGGAATCCCAGTATCAAGGCGCCGCGCACACACCAGAGAGGCAATTGATCTAGTATTGAAGGAACTACACGTCAAATCTATCGATCTACTGATCGTCTCGTTCCCGGGGATCCGGTTCGATGCAGATGATGACAGCGAAGAGGAAGATAATGAGATGAGCAACGGTGAACCGGACGATTTCGACAGCTTGGTGCAGACATGGGAGGTGCTGGAGTCGCTGCACGAGCAGGGCGTGATCGCCCAGCTGGGCGTCGCGGAGTTCGGCAGCGAACGTTTGGCCCGATTTTTGCCGCATACCAAGGTCAAGCCCTCGGTCGATCAGATCAATCTGAAGGATTGCTGTGTCGTTCCTAAACATTTGATTCTCTATGCGAAACAAGAGCAAATTCAACTCCTCACCCATAACGATTGCCATGGTATTCTTCCTGTCGGCACGACGCGAGAACTGCTGGGTCCCGCGGAGAAGAGTGGTGCGGGGATCTTGGCTTCGTCTCCCGAGGCCAACGATGGCATCCAGGGAGACATCGAGCCGCAGTGGGTGGTCAAGTACACGGCAGTCGTCAAGGATCGCGGAGTGGTCGAGAACAAGGGGTATTTCGCGTCGGCTGATGTCGGCTCATGTCTTAAGGACCGGTCATGAATGCTTGTTTTTTTCTTCTTTGCGTCATCAATAAGGATTTCTGTCGTGACAAAGCGTGGCGTTTCTTTTCAGCTTTTAGAATTGATCATAACTGTTGTGGGCGGGTTGTATCCATCTCCAAAATCAAATGAGACTGGGTTAACCAAGCATGCTTCTCTTCCGCCCTCTCAAGCGCACATCCTCAAGTCTCTTCAGCGCAGATTGAGCCCCCTTGTAGCTATCCCGGTAACCCATAATCAGCTCCTCGAACAAAGGCTCCGAACGCGGATGTGTGCTCCCAATCGCCCGCTCCAACACGTATAAATCCACCGCCCGGTCCTCATCCTGATTGCTCTGCGACGCGAGACCGAAATCAATCAACACGACATCCCCCTCCATAGAAGGCGAGCCAGTGCCATCAACAACACCACTTGCATCTTTAAACGGTCGCAGCATGAGGTTACTCGTCGTCAAGTCTCCGTGCACAACACCAGCCTTGTGCAGGATACCAATGGCAGCGCCCATTTTCCTTAGCAACCCACGCACACGCGCCTCTTCGTTTTCGATCTGCGACTGATTCATGGACCCCACGTTCTGCTTCATCCATGCTTCCCACTGCTCGAGAACCACCCGAATCACCGGCCCGTCAATCCACTCCATCATTAGCCAGGCACCGCCCCACCCGCCCTCTTCGCCGCCGTGTCCTTCCCAGTCCAAGGCTAGGACAGCTGGAACGCTCACGCCCTCCCGGATGAGTTTTGCGAGGCATCGTGCTTCTGAGGTGATCCGTTGACGAGTAAGTCGGCGGTCAAGAATTGGATGGCGGTAGGGTTTGGATGGGCGGATCTTGAGCGCGGCGGGGATGGAGGGGTTGAGGGAGATGGTTTTGTAAAGGTGAGCTTCGGCACCTTGGGTGAGGAGGATTGGCGGTGGTGTGGTGTTGTTAAAGGGCGAGGGAAGAGCTGGGGGTTTGTATTCTTCCATTGTGGAGAGAGTTGAAGGATTGCAGAGTTGACGAGGTGAGAAGGTGGAAGGTCGAAAGATCAAAAGGAAGGAAAAAGTTCTGGTGGGGCGGATCTCGGAGTATACCAGTTGAGACGTTAATATATTGACGTACGATATGAACAGATTTATATAGGAAGATGTTATGATGTTAATATATTAAAGCACAGACAAATCAAATAGCTTGAAAATATCAAAGTATCGATCTCATTATGTTGAAGCTTGAGTTCAAAGACCCCTATATGTATATGTTTCAATCTCTCGCCATATCAGCATCCCGTTAACATTAAATCAAATGAGATGAATATCAGGGCACACATTAGCCAACCGACAAGTGCCCTGATACATTCTTTCAAGAATTGACCCCATAAGTTCTAGATCAGTAGATTCTGCCGACCAATGCCTCAAAGTGCGAATCGACAACCTCACCAAAGGAGCCCAATTTGGCGGTATACGCACCTGCCACGTACTAGGATCCCTTGATGCCTCGACCTGATATAACACAGCCCCAAGGATATGTACAGCACAGGCGAAGCTGGCGCGCACCACGTTCCAAATCCATTCGTGTCGGAACTGATACCAGTAGCTTGGGATCAGTATGACGCAGTTATCAATCGCCTTTTGAGCCAGGTCAAACACTTCTACCCAGACTTGATGGTTGTTCTTGATGAAGGTTGGCATCCCCTTGTAGTGCATTGCGAGGTAGAACGCTGGTCGGTAGATCCTCTCCAGTGCCATATGATATCGGCCGCGGAAGAAGAACCTTAGGTCCGGGTTGTCTTGTGTGGACTGGATCCCGGCTACCGAGATCTGATACCTTTGGATGAGTTAGCCAGCTGAGTCGGGAGACTTTTTTCTATGTTCGGGGACTTTTGGGGCGTGTACCATGATGTTACAACATTCTCCGCTGACAAGGTCTTCCTTAAGAGATGGGGGATATCTTTGGTCCAGCCCTTCTCACCTTGACGCCACATGTCGGACACTATTTCATTAGTGGTCCGGCGATTACAGATAGATCCGATGTAGAATCTCCAGCCTCTTTCTTCTTCCGTGCCATCCAGTTCAAAGCCTGGTTTGATGGCAAAATCTTGGTCTTCCTCCATATGGTCATACGAGGAAGGAGATCTGTGAGGAAATTTCGGGAATGGATCTGAGTAACCCATGCTTTCAAGACCACTGTTCCAGAGAGGGAGCTCGCTCTGCATCTCACTGTGAACAACACTTAGTGATCATATGTCAAACCGGGTAAACGGGAAAACCTACTGTTCCGCTTGGATACAGGACCAGTATAGTCTCGACTCCAGGTTATGATAGTTGTCATCAGCGGTCCACCGTTCTCTACAAAGGGACCGCAAACGAACCTCCAATCTACAAGATGCCTGCTGGTAACAGAACCAAGCCTGTAGAGGTCGTATGGCATGTCTGTGATAACTTCCAGCAAGAAGGAAGCACTGGATATCTGTTGGAGAAGTGTGCAAGAAGCCAAATCTCTGCTTTGCGGCGTGGAAATATGTCTCAGCCAAATCGAGGTTGGCGTCTGACATGGGTGGTGCTTGGAGTCCATCGAGATTCGCGGGCATGTCCTCCGCTAGTGGAACGAACTTGGATGATGTGCATGAAGCTAAAGCACACGCTAACAGCTATGCGGGATATGATTTAGTTCATGTGGACCTTCCCAAAAAAAGAAGAAAAAAAAAAAAAAAGAACTGACATACCACTTGACACGAGGGGCCATCCCATCCAAGACCCTGGACGGTGACCTCCTTGGCATAGCGGTCTAGATTCTCGAGATCGACTATCGGGTTCCTTCGGTGGCATAGTAGGAAGTACTTCCTGCAAAGTCTAGGAATCTCATCGACAAAGTTTCCGATCCCCACCTGCCGGGGTGCCTGCATACTACGGGGCTGACTATCCAGTGAGTCGAGTAAGAAAGATCGGATATGCTTTTCGGCTTCGGTGATGACCTTGTTAAAGATAGGCCATCGGAGCATGTTCTCCCCGGAGCTAGCCATGTAAAGGATTCGGGGATCGTGATCGGTTCCCCGATCATCGATACTAGCCGTGCTGCTGCTTGGTGGATTAGTCCCCGACAATGATTCAGCCACTGGACTAGTGCTCTGCACGGCTAACTCAAAGAATCCTTCTTTGAGTGAGCCGAGTGAACGACTCGAGGAGGTGGAGCCCTCGGACGTTTTGATATCCTCTAGCAGACCGGCGATATGATTTAGCCGTTGGAGCACTTCTTGATTCGACGGGTTCACGGGGTCAAACCCGAGTCTAAGAATACAGTGTGTCAATGATTAGTGTCTCTCCCGATGATGATCATATCTTACTGGTTCTGTTGTGGTGAGGTTTCGGGATAGTTGCACTCGACCCCCTGCATGGTGCAGTAGCTACAGGTCGGCCTGGTATTGTCACATCGAGTCTTGCGCAGCCGACAGGTCTGACAGGCTGTCGGGGCTCGGGTCCGAATCTCGCGCTTCCTAGCAACTCTTTGGTTGCCAAACTCCATAGTCATCTCAAGTGTAAACCGGGGGGGTTATTTTTTCGGGGAGGCCGGGGAGATAGTTTGGGGAGATGTAAAAGATTAAGTGCGACCCCACGAATATTCAGTAGCTAGAAAAGCAATATCTCGAGGACCTTTCACTGCCCAGTGGGAAACAAAGAAACATTCAACCTACCAAGTGCTTACAGATGGTGGCGTGGCCGTAAAAGGCAACGGAGAACAAAGAACTGTCGAGGCGATGTGATGGCCAAAGGTTAACACCCATGGCTGCCTCAGGGGTTTCACGATGCTGATTGGAGGAGGATGCGCTCCCTGGTCACTCCGGACATGGGTTTCTCGTTTCTCGCAGGTGATTTGTTGTCCCTGTTGTCTTGTGCTTTTTTTTTTCTTCGAATCAAGAGCTCCCCGAGCCATTCTCTGGCCCTAAAGGGCCCTTGAATCCCGGATTTCTGGGACTTGTCTTTTCGGATCGTTGCAGCTGTTGTATATCGTAGAAGGAAAGGGGGAAATTTGGGAGATCCCCGGAAATATTTAGTATTTCAGCATCTGTAGATCTCTTGGAATTTGAGACATTCCGGCCGTTAGGGGGGGAGGTGGACTTGTGTAAAAATAACAGATTGATTTGAATATAACCTGAGAAGCTTGTCCTTGGAATTTTCTACAGTCGTGTTGGAAATTAGCTTCACGTCTGTACACAACCCAACTTTTGCCTGTTAAGGGGATTGTGATAGGTTTGACTGTGGACGAGTGGGTATACACAGTACAGAAGTACGGAACTTTGGCTATATAGCCCTAACAATCGTGACAATTTACAAGTACGGAAAAGCAAGAAGAGAAATAGAAAAGAAACTATTTGATCATATCGTCCATGAAATTCACCCGCTAGAAGAATTAGTCTCCCTAAGTACATGTACAAGCCTTGTCCAGGCCAAATTTTTAACGCCGAAATTAATGCACAGTGTCACAGAGTCACAGAGCTTCATCGGACCTTTCTCTTAGGTCTCCTGGTCAAAGGCACCTCACAATACTCAGTCCAAGCATCTTCAAAGACCGTCTTTCGTGGACCAATCTGGCCTTGATAGAAGTTCAGTTTGCGCACCACCTCCATAGCACCTGTACCCAATGACACCGTCTTTCCCATGATGATACATTCCGATACACCCTCAATGAGATCGGTGCGACCAAGACCACCAGCATCGAAAAGGTGATCCGCAGTCTTCTCGAATGAAGCAAGCTGAAGCACCGAGTCACGCATCTTAGCCAGACCGAAACGCGTAATACCGAGTACTTCACCCTTGTAAGTCATCACGTCAGCCAGAAGCTGCATATGACGAGGATCAATATCCATGTCCTTCATGACTTCACTGATTTCCACGACAATCGTGCTTCGAGCGGCCTCGATGCCCAGAACTTCTCGTGCCTCCATAATGTTATTGGTTCTGGTGCGGAGACCGTCCACACCCATCGTAGTCATACACTCCCTCAATCCGTAACCTTCCACAAGCAAAGTGTTCGTGGTTGAGGTCTCGTCCGTGCGAATGATAGCTCGGGTGGCACGTGGGTGACCCAGGATTTGGATGTTGGGAAGGATACGCTTCAAATGCTTCAAGCGAAGGAAGGGATCAATGCTGGTGGCGGCAATCTCCGTCTTAGAAAGAGATGCCTTGCTTGCTGGATCAAGATCCATATGGACCTTGATTGAGGCTTGCTTGCACGAGAATTTGAGATCGCCTCCCTTGAAGCGCTTGTTGGTCTTAATCGCTTCAACGATCTGTGGCGTCGTGATCTCCAGCGCCAAATCTTCGATCGTTTTCCAGTTCAGAACAACCTTCAAGTAGGCATCATCGGGGGACCAAACCTCCGTAATGGAGTGAATCACGTCACTAAGGAACGTCTTTTCAATCCGTCCTTTCACAATACGAGCAGCAATGGTGCTTTCTTTGTTGACCAGTTCGCAAGCCACGACGGGAGTACTGATCTCCTTTGAGGCGTTGATAATTTCCTTGATACGAGGTACACCCTGTGTGATACTCATTCCGGCGACACCGGCGAAATGGAAAGTTTTCAGAGTCATTTGTGTTCCAGGCTCACCAATAGACTGGGCGCCGACGGCACCCACAGCATGGCCGGGCTCAACCTGGGCCTTCTTGTATTTCAGCAGACAAGCAGTAATGAAAGCCCTCAATGTGGTATCCGTCAGCTTGCCTGTATGATCCAAGCCCTTACGGCTCCGCTGGTCGGACGGGTCGATATCGCCACCTCGAGAGATCAATTTGTCGGCTCTCTTTTGCACGTATTCTTGAATTGAGTCAAGGAAATCACGAGCACTCTCGAACTGATCGATACCATGATCACTGCGGTCCATGTATCCCAAGTCATTGCCGAGCAAGTCCTTGCGGTTTAGCTTCGCACGTTCCTTTGAAAGCATCTGTTCGCAGACTTCCATCATTTCGTTCGGCAACAAGCTTCGCTCGTCATTGTTGTACGTAGTAGATTCTGAGTGAATGAAAGTTCGGTCGAAGTGGACAGGTTTAGCTTTACCCTCCATATCCACAGGATCCAACTTATCATCACCATACTGGAACTGAACGATGGCAGCAGACGAGTTACGAACCGTGTCATCGTACATCGATGATAAATCTTCGAGGGACTTCATCAGACGACGAGACATGTAACCAGTCTCGGCGGTCTTGACAGCTGTATCGACCAGACCTTCACGTCCAGACATGGCGTGGAAAATGAACTCCGGGGGCTCTAACCCTGAGAAGAAACTGTTGCGAACGAAACCCTTTGATGGAGGCTGTCGTGCATTCTTCGGGAAATGCGGTAGGGTACGATCCTGGAAACCATCCTGTACACGCTGACCACCAATAATTTGTTGGCCGACAAGGGCAACCATCTGGGACACGTTGATACTAGAACCTTTGGATCCAGAAGTGGCCATGATCAGGGGCGAATTGTACTTGCTCAGTTGCCTGATACACTCGTCACCAGCTTGTTGACGGACCTTACTGAGAATACCAGAGATCTGGTTCTCCATGGTCTGCAGTTCGTCACATCCGGGATACTTTTCTAGAGTGCCTGCCTTGTACTTAGCAATGACTTCGTCACACTGCGAGTACGCTGCCTCGACAAGATCGTTTTTCGACTGAACAAGCCCTGCACTAGGGTAGACATCTCCGATACCAATTGAAAAGCCGATGTTGGTGAACCATCGGGCGGACAATTTTGACAGACGGTTCATACCCTCGGCTGCTGCCGGTGGGCCGAAATCTCTTAGCATAATGTAGAAAACATTGTCTTTCTTTCCAGAACCAATCGTAGACTTGTCCATCACACCACACATGACCTCCGAGTTGCGGATGACCAACCAACCATCATTGGGGTCCAAGTCCTTGGGACGACCATCCTTGGGCATCTTGAACTCACGGCATGCGGCATCCAGGTTAACCATAACGGGGTCAGATGAGTTGGGGCGCATAAGGATGTTGAAGACTTGTTTACCAGTCCACATCATCTGGGGCTTCAATACTGATGGTGGTGGGAGATCGAATCTTGTTTCAGGGCCAAGCATATAGAGACAGATCTGCGTGAAGGAGGCACGATCATAGAAGTTGTCTTTGCTGCTCAGCACGTAGGCGGCGCTAATAAAATCCTGGATGGCAGAAATGATAGGCTCTCCGTTTTTGGGTGTGGCCAAGTTGTTCTTAACACCCATTAGCTCCATCGCTTCTGCTCGAGCTTCTTCGGTCTGTGGGACGTGAAGGTTCATCTCATCTCCGTCGAAATCGGCGTTGTAGGGGTTGCAGACACACTCGTTCAATCGGAAAGTTCTATGAGGTCGAATTTTGGCAAAATGAGACAAAATACTGAGCTTGTGGAGGGAAGGCTGCCGATTAAACAGCACAATGTCACCGTCTTCAAGATGACGCTCAACGAGATCACCTTCCTGCAGCTGATCAGCCATCCGTTGAGTATTACTGTACTTCAACATCTGCCTGAATCCGGTTCCTTTCTTGACGATCAAGTTCGCTCCGGGCCATTTGTTACTACCATTGCAAATCCGTTGCTGCAGTTTTTCCTTGTTGTATCTGGTCACTAGTTCGGGATAAGTCATGTTTTTTGCCACCAGCTCCGGAACAGCGACCTCATCAACACGCAAATTTGGATCAGGCGAAATGACAGTTCTTCCAGAGAAATCAACACGCTTTCCTGACAAATTTCCACGGAAACGACCTTGCTTTCCCTTCAACCGTTGGACAAAGCCTCGGATTGGTTTTCCAAGATCGGCCTTGTTAAGTCCAGGCACATCGCTGTTGATGTAGACAGCAATTTGAAGCTGCATGTAGTCCCAGCACTCCATGATTGTCTGCACGGGAGCGCCCTTAAGCAGAGCATTCTTGAGATTGATATTACTCTGCACAATGTCACCCAGCTTGGCAGTCAAGTCATCTTCTGTAGATGCACCATCTTGTCCCACGGAAGGTCGAATACAAACAGGTGGAGCTGGAATGAACTGCCATAGGAACATCTCCGGACGAGCCTCCTTTGGGTTCATGCCAATCAATTCACAGTCAGAATCGGACATTTTCTTGAATAGCTTAAGAACGCGAAGGGGGTTCATGTCATCCTGCGCCTTTTTGAAGTGTTTTTCCACCTCTGGGTTTGCGCCTCTGGCCTCGAGGAAAGAATTATCAAACACATCCTTGCTGATTGGCGTTTGCTTTTTGACGGAAACCGAGACATTGAATGCACGGAATTTGTCGTGGGTAATTTTCAAAGCGCTTGTTCCGGTCTTCTTCACGACACCATTGATGGCGCCGCAGTATGTACATTCACGGGTTTTCCGACACCGCTCATTAATGCGCTTTGCGATCTGCGTCCGGCGTAGGTTATCAAGGCCCGGTCGGCGCATTTCGCGAAGGAAGGTACGGCGCTCCGCCTCGGGAAGCAGAATGTTCGAACATTCTTTGCAAATTTCTTGAAGGATCGAAATGACGCGCTTGAAGTATCCGACGTGGAAAGAGGGTAGAACCAGTCTAACATGACCGAAGTGACCGTTGCAGTCTTTCAGGTTGTTTCCACATGTTGCGCAAGAGTCAGTTTTGTTCGAGATACCCATGCGCTGGTCGAGAGGTCCATTCGCAACAACCGTTCGGGTCTGATCCAAGTCGAAGAACTTTCGGTCAGAGACTTCCACAACTGCTTGGCCGACAATGTCATCGTTGGTTCTGCAAACATAAGTCTTTATTAGCGATCAGGTCTGCGACAAACGCTTGTGACAACCACATGTGAATGAACTACATACAGGACACCAAATTTCAATTCCTTGATAACCTTGGGAACGCTGTCAATAACCTGGGCCTTGCCCAGGTCTACCTGCGCACCCTCTGGAGGCTGCATGGCCGTGGTCAAGTACGGAGCATGGCAGGGTGACTCAAGGCGATGCGATCGGCATAGGCGAACGTCAGCCGCCAGTAACAAGATTTCGGGCCCGTAAACGAATTACCCCTGGTCTTTTGTTGTTAGGTCCAGAATCAAGAGCCACAGATCGAGAGCGAGGCTGTTTAGACACAATGAAGTGAATTGAGAATGAGCAGAGGAAGAAGTCGTATGGCGGGGTTTGACATGAACTTTTTTTCTGCCAGTTAAGCTCTCACCGCCTAGAATGGTTTGCAGGTTGTATAAAACGTCTCCGAGCTCTATACGAAAAGATACCTCATAAGTAATGTTACAATGTATTTGGTTGCTAATTTACACGCTTATTTCGACAAGAATGCTTGGAAAGCTTTGTGCTCGATCACCACATTTCCAACTGCTCGCAACCTTTTGCGGCCTTCTTTCTGCTTCTCAAGCAGCTTTCGTCGCCGACTTACATCACTGGCATGCAATTTTGCCAGAACATCTTTCCGATAAGGCTTGATAGTCTCACGAGCAATGATCTTCTTACCGACAGCAGCCTGAATGACGATCTCAAAAAGCTGTCGGTCAACATGCTCCTTGAACTTGGTTACCCAAATTCTGCCTTGTCGGTTCACCTGGCTCGAGTGCATAATCCGTGTTACAGCATCCACTGGCTCCTTGTTAACCAAGAGTTGTAGCCTGACAATGTTGCCGGCTCGCCACGCAGATTCTTCGTAGTCCAAACTGGCATAGCCTTTGGTGCCACCTTTCAGTTTTCCAAAGAAATCGTCGACCAAATGGGCGAGAGGCAGTTCGTACTTCATGATAACTTGGGTCGATGTGAAGTATTCAATGCTTACTTGCTCACCGCGGTTGGCCTCGCAGAGTTCAATCACCTTTCCCAAATATTCTTCCGGGAATGTCAGAGTGGCCAAAACGTACGGCTCTTGAACCTCGGCAACTTTGAGTCGCACACTGTCATCGTCGGGGAATTTGGCAGGATTGGTGATAATTTCCTCGGTGCCATCTTTCCAAACGATGTTGACTGGAACGGATGGTGGTGTAATGATGATACTGGCGCCGTGCTCCTGTCGTAGCCGGTCTTCAAACACGGAGCAGTGAAGGGTTCCCAAGAAGCCCATACGGAAACCCGCTCCTAACGCCTCGGAAGACTCTTTCTGTACGGTGATGCTTCGATCATTCAGAACCAGTTGGTTGATGCTGTCCTCCAGGTGCTCGAAGAGATCCGCATTCACTGGGTATACAGCCACAAAGACCATTGATTTGGGCTCTTCAAACCCAGGCAAAGGCTCGACAATTTTTTCAAATCCGACTTGTGTGAAAGTATCACCAATCTTAGCCTCCTTACTCCGCTTCATACCTGGATTGAAGTAGATATACCCAACCTGGCCTGCACGGAGAGAACTTTGCGCAGTCTCCGTCGGATACATGATACCGACTTCACCGACAAAATATTTGAGGCCAGTAACGAAGGATATAAGCTGCTGACCTGCACGCACCTCACCATCGAAGACACGGACCAGCAGGATCACACCCTTGTAGGAGTCGTACCAGGAATCCACGAGGAGCATACGAAGTGGTTTGTTGGAATCGCCGATAGGTCTAGCATATAGTCAGTAAAGAAACAACGTTTGAAGAACCCACTGGTTGAACCTACGCAGGGATCTTCTCCACCACCGTTGGTAGCACAGCCGGAACATTCAATCCAGTCTTTGCTGAGACCATCACCGCGTTCTCTGTATCAATCTCGAAGGTGCTTCTTATCTGCTCCAGAGCCCGCTCTGGATCCGATGAGGGGAGATCAACCTTGTTGAGAATGGGAATCAACTCAAGGCCCTGGGCAAAGGCCAAATAGAAATTGGCGACTGTCTGCGCTTGAACGCCCTGACTGGCGTCAACCAAGAGAATTGCTCCGCCGCAACTGGCATAACTTCGCGACACCTCAGCACGGAAGTCCACATGGCCAGGTGTATCGACCAAATGTAACAAATAATCCTCGCCTTTATGGTTGTAGATCATGGTACATGTCTGTGCCTTGACCGTAATTCCTCGTTCTCGCTCGACATCCAGTTTGTCCAAAACTTGCTTGTTCGTTCCCGGTTGGATTGTGCCCGTCAATTCGAGTAACCGGTCGGAAAGCGTGCTCTTGCCGTGGTCAACGTGTGCAACGATGCAGAAATTGCGAAAACGTTCGATTGGGATCGCAGCGATTCTCTTCTCAAGGTCTGCGTCCAGTTTTAGGTGCGTGTTTTTCGGACGTCCGTAGTATATCGTAGTAGTAGAAAACCCCCTTTCGTACTTATACGGAGAAAAGACAGTCGGCGGTCGGAGGCTCGCGGCCTGGCATCTCGGCGCTGCGCTCAGCCATCGGCCTAACTGCAGACATCCTCGCATTAGGAATTCTGCGGTGGCATAGGAGGGGCTGAAAGTATGCAAGCGTCTAATCAAAGTATATCCGGGGCCCAATTAGCGCTTCAGTGTTGGTAAGTGTCGTCGCGATTTGCGGAGAAAAAACGGACGCGCGGGCGGTGACTTTTTATTGCTGCGGTGACCATTCGACATAAACAAAGCTCTACCTTTCCTTCATCTTCAAAAGTCCTCATTCACAGAATCATCATGCCCGAAACCAAGGATAAGTCCAAGGTGCACAAGCTGTCGATCAAAGGTTTATACCCATGGTCTATGTACTCATGTGATGGTGACTGTACAAAGCTTACAAGATAACAGGATCGGCCAAGCTTGTCTCCGAATTCGTGAGTTGCCCTTGGTTGCGTCAATGATGCCTCAATACTAACAGGCTCAGTTTGAATACTCGATTAATTCAATTCTGTAAGTCACTGCTCATACTAAGTCCAAGACACTGGCTGATCGCAATGGGTGTTCAGCTTCCAACGAGGAGTTTATCCTCCCGAGGATTTTACAGCGTAAGTATGCCCTTTCTGCTTTGCCCGCTACAGTACAGCAAGCTAATCGGAAATAGAATTAAAAAATATGGCCTCAATATGCTGGGTTCGTGTATCATGCTCTTGTTAATCGATGTCGACAACCCTAACCTCAACAGTTTCGGCCGATGACCAGGTCAAAGCCTACATCAAAAAGATCATGTCCCAGTTGAAGGAATGGATGCAAGGAGGGAAGATCTCGAAGCTTGTGGTAGTTATCACGAGCAAGGAGACCGGTGAACATGTGGAGAGGTGGCAATTCGACGTATGCGTTCGATTCGACACACTCTTATCCAAGTCTGTGGCTAATTATAAGATGATGGAATAGGTCGAGATCTTCAATAAACCATCCAAAAGCAAGAGTTCACAGAAGGCCGGCGACAAGGAAAACAGTACAACCGGGTAAGTCTATTCGCTGTGAGGTTTGGGGTCGTCCCACTAATCCACTATCTCTTTGTGTCTTGAAGGGATGCAAAACCCTCCGAACCTATTGAGAAGACAGAAAAACAAATCCAGGAAGAGATCCAAGCCATCTTTCGCCAAATTACCGCTTCTGTCACCTTCCTGCCTGTCCTTGATGGCGACTGCACCTTCAACGTGCTTGTCTATGCCGACGCCGATTCAGATGTGCCCGTGGAATGGGGTGACAGTGATGCCAAGGAAATTAAGAACGCAGAAAAGGTTCAACTAAGGAGCTTTAGCACAAACAATCACCGAGTCGGGACTCTGGTCAGCTACCGGTTGGCGGATTAAGCTCTAGGTGGTACATTATGATCAAATATGAAGGATACTATGGATTGGCGTTTCAGGAAAGGATAAAGGACTCCTCCCACTTATCATATTAGAAGTATTGATATTTGTTCTCAATCAAAATCAAGGCCCCTTGGGTGTATCATGTCTGATATAAGACCAAGGCAAGGTCTCTCGCTTCGGGAACCACTTATTGCAATGACGACCCCCATCATAGCGGATGAGATCCAATACCACATTTTCCAATCCCAGATCGGAGAATATATCGTTTCCAGTTTCAGGGGACCAGCCTCGTTTCATCCTTTTTTCTACCAGATCCGAGTTCACTCCGTAAAGGTCTTCTCTCCAAAGCCCAATCCCATTCAAAGCCTCGCCTCGAGTCAAGGTCTCTGGCGGAGTGACTTCGACGGGTGGGTTGATACCTAGCACAGCAACTTTATGCGTGTAGTCTTCTTGTTCCGGGCCCATAGGCACCAGGCCCACAGCTGGAAAGTGACATTGCATGAATCGAGCGCGTTTGAACTCGTGCGTCACAACTGTGACTCTCTGTGGATACACGCCTGTGTATACCCGGAACTTTATTAAAGAGAACAACAAGTTTTGATATGAATCTGTAGCGCTGGTTTCTGCGATGACTCTTGACGCGTCAATTGTGGGAAGAGTGGTAATATCTTGGAAGTAGTCGTTATCTCTAGCCAGATTCTGCTGCGCATGAGCTTTCAGAGTGATTGATCGGTTGTAGGGAATGTGGACGCCTTACAAGGTAAGATTGACCTTCACTGAGGTCAATTCTAGGCTTCTTGGTAGGCCCACTATGCGATGGATTAACCAAAGAGATTGAAAGCGATATGAGACAAATCTCTTACCCAGAAAACACAAGCAAGCCATGGGAGTCCTCTGCTAGAGCTTTCAACCCAGCTTTAACATGATCGATAAATGTGGGTGTTTCTCCCTTTTGGAAGGGCTCAATCAGCCTACTCGGTGCATCAGGTGCTGTCCTCCCTAGAAAGAGCGTATTCTAGTCCTACTAACCAGTCGTTTTCCGAAGCTCCCAGATGTGAATGCCCGGTGTAAATGGCATGGCAGCAGACAACAATGAGATGGTTGCATGTAGCAAAATTGGCGTCTGGGTTGGAGGTCATATTGTTGGACTTTGTCAGATTAAGCTATTGCCTAGACTTGACACAGCACAAGACACACAGATGATGCTAGTAAATGGACGTTGGTGAACAACTTCAGCTTCCAAAGCCCACGTTGTATAAGAGAAGGGCGGTAAAGGATGTTGACTTCCCTCAATTATTTCGATATCCATATTCGCATCCCATCAATGGACGAATTCCGACGCTGATATCCTCAGTCTCTGTTGGATTTCTTGTTATTTTCTCGAGGATGCGTTTTGCCATTTCTGGTTATGTGGTATGGGGTCCCAAGTCGCCCAGGGGTTTTTTGAGAATCGGGACAAGCGGGACAGAGGAGACCTCTATCACTGCTCCCAAGATTACGACTATTCAGAAATGAAAGTGATCATTACATTCAAGATAGTTCTTGGCTTTGAAAAATAAAGATTGCGTAATTGTACATTTTTGTCATCGCCCTCATTCCACGCGCCATACTATTAGCCCCCATGTATGGGACCCCTCGCTAAATGCATCCGCGAAGCGAGAAACAAAGGCAAGGCCTAGAAAAAAAATGAAAACGCCTGAGCCCAACGGGGGTATGCAAAGGATTTCGAGAATCAGAGGACGAATGAATATGTGCTGACCTCCCAGACCATGAAACGCAACCGAGCGATGAACGCCAACCAGAGAATTCTAGTCGCAAAATGCATATCCATGACCCAGTACAAGATGGAGAAGAAACCATGAAGGTATTAATGTATAGGAAAGAAAGATTGTACCAATGTAAAGAACAGCAGTACAAGGGTATCAGTCGAAAAGGAATCATGTGGCGATAAATGTGGCGTATGATTTAGAGAGGATCGTGGCGGAAAGTGCAGTTGTCGCCTTTGCGACACTTGCCCTCTGCCCAGAATCTGCAAGCAACAAGTCCCACTTTGTACTGTTTCAGAAGTCAGCTAATTGTTTTGTCAGAATAATGCCTAACGCGTAGTGCACTTACAGGCTTGGCCTCATTGGCGCCAACTCGGGTCCGTTTCGAGCGGCTCCATGAATCGGAATTAGACTGGTCGTCATAGTAACCGCCCTCGCGGCCTCGCTTGCGCTCTGGGTCTTCATAATCATAGTTTGGCTGTTGGAATGGAAGAGCACCAGCTTGTTGGTTCTGCCCACCGAATTGTGCGAACATGGCGCCGAGGTTGGGTGCCATTGCTGATTGCGATTGCTGAGGTTGAGAGTATGCAGGGGCCGCTTGCATTTGTTTCATGACATTCAAGATTGCGTTGAAATCAAGGCCTTGTGGCTGAGAGGTGGGTACTGGGGGAGGCGGGTGGACCTGTGATTGAGGTTGTTGCTGACGGAACATGTTGATGGTCCTCTCAAGATCTGGCATAACTCCGGGTTGGGTAGCCTGTGGCGGTGCAATTTGCTGCGCCTGTCCAGGTACTCCTTGAATAATCTTGAGCAAATTGGAGATGTCAAATCCACTATCCCCAGGGGTAGATTGCTGCGGTTGCTGAGTTTGCTGGGGGGCGGCAGGTTTGGGGTTCATATAGGAGTAGTAACGTTCCTGGCGGGCCTACAGTGTCTTTGTGAGTATCGACTTTTACTGGCATCAGAAGTGTAACATACCTTGACCATATCGGGCAAGTCTCCAAACGGCAGTACCTCGGTCACGATCTCGTCGGGATCAGGAGTCGGTGGCTCCTTGGGTGTGTCAGGCATGTCGGCAGGAGAAGTGTAGAAGACCATAAGGGTAGTAGATTCCCGGTGCTCCTGGGCCTCTCTCTCGGGACTCGTTGGCAGCTGGGGGCCACCGCGTTTGACGAAACTGCCGTCTTTTGGTTCCTCGAAATTGAAATCGATCACTGTGGTGGTCAGTAAGAATAGAAGGTATATTAAGAGGGATAACCTACTCGAAAGAGCATAATTATCTTGGAATACGGTCTCACGGATACCACCAAGGTCGTCTTCTTCCAGTTCGTCCATATCTTTGTGAAGCTTAAGAACACTACCTTCGCCTTTGACGTCTCCCCGTGAACCTAACGACCCATCGCCGGGACCTAATTCTTCATCGGGATCATGGGTGAATAGTCGAACTTCGGTAAGAGCATCATCCGGCTTCCAGGTCACGCGAAGTTTACGGCGCTCTTCTTTACGTAACCTCTTTGTGCGCTCGGCTTCAGTCTCCGGGGGCTGATCTTCGGCAGGTTTGGGGGTTGGTGCCTGTTTTGGTTTGTTCAAGTCGGCCATAATATCACCAAAGGAGAAAGATGGTTTGGGGGCTGGTGTCTTTTCCTTTTCAGAAGCAGCACTATTCGAAGTGTTAATACGGATGGATCTCGGAAATACTCTCTTGGTCAGTACATACGTTGGCTTTGCTGCAGCTGCGGCGGCAGCCCTATCCGCATTTGTAGTCCCGGGTCTCTTTGACGCTGAGCTTAAAGTGCCAAAGAGACTTGTTGGCTTGGGGGCCACAATATTGGGCTTAGGGCGCAGAGCTGCAGGGCCGGTTGGCTTACTACTTTGTGCTCCCTTGACCTGTCCATTGCCTGTGGACGTGACTTTATTCACATCCTTCAAGCTGTTCGCAACTGCCATTCGTTTTGCGCCAGGTTGCAGATTACTATCCGCCTCACGGGGTCGCTTCACTCCAGGGTCTCCTTTAGACTGGCCTGCTGGAGAGACTCTTGAATTCGTCTCTTCTTTAGCAGGTTTTTCACTCTCCTGCTTACGCTTCGTAGAGGCCGCGGCATTATCTAGGATCTTCTGTGTAAGATCCTTAACCTGCTGGTCACCTTTCTTGAGGAACTTGGGCAGCAGTTTGGAAAGATTGGTCTTCTGCATCATGTCTTCTGTCAAAGATGAGAAACGCGAGAAAAGCTTATTTGATGTTAGTCAACTTATTCAAGACAGCTGAGGACAAAGGTCAACCTTACCATTAGCAAATTAATAGTCAAAGTCCCAGCAAAGTCTGCTGCCTGGAAACGGTCGACCAAGAAGGAATATAGAGCTGCGACAACCATAGGGTGCTCTCCCAGCCTACATGAAATTAACGATCAGTCATTTGAGCTCGATTATGTCAATGTTTCAAGTTTTTTTGCCACACAAAGCTGCAAGTTTGAGCCAATTTCTAGATAGGAATGAATCCATCTCCATGAGGCTCACAGATAGCTTCCTAAGGGCATGTTTGAGACTCAATATGATTGGGACCCTTTTGCTCCATCTGATATTCTTATATGTACCCAGGACACGCATCTATGATCAAGCCTTGCCACTGGTGAATAGAGCGATGGCCCTTTATTCTAGCCCGTGATAGTGCTGTCTTATACAATGCTCCCAGGGTGATTTATAGATGTTCTCAAAGAGCTTCAGGGTTTGTGTGGCCATTAAAGCCAGATAGAAGCGAGGGAAATTATAGGATGCGGAAGGGGGAGGGATACATACTTTTCAACAATATTGGGATGACCCATTTCCAGTGTTGTGGTCGCAATCTTATCCATAGTGCGGCGTTGCGAGATGACCTTTTCCTTGAGTTTGGTTGCTTTCTGGTTGTCGTCTTGGTTTTCAGCTAATTTCATAGCCTGAACTTGTTCCTTCCACGCATCTCTCAATGATTTGACAACGTCTTTGTAGGCTACCAGCGCATTCTTGACTTTCTCGGGACCAGGCCATTTGTTTCTTGGTGACCACACGGCTTGAAGGGTATCATACTGTGCTGCAGCCTCGGGCTCAATCGGGCGGATCAAAGGAATAGGAGACGGCTCATCGGGTACTTCAATCTCAAGATCAGACTCATCCGAACTTTCATCACTTTCCGAGGTAGAGACAGCCCTCGTTTGGCCATGTGCGGGGGTCTTAATTGTTTGTTGATTGTTATAAGCTCCCTTCTTATTTGTAATTACAACTTGCGGTACTGGCAGTCCTGAGAACGTTAGTACTGATCGCAATGCAATGAATTTCAACTTGTCTGAGCAGACCTTTAGGCGGAATCACTGGGTTGCCAGTTGGTGTCATTTGCGACTGGACTGGAAGATCATGCCGATAGTAATTGAACAGCCTGGCCCTTCAGAAAATTAGCTACTGCAATTTCAAACATAGACCAACATGACAACTTACTGTTCACTCCCTTGTTGTTGGAAGTCCGCAGGAATTCCCTGAAGAAAGTTGCTTGCTAACGAAGACTGCGGTTGATTGAATGCCTGCGGGGTGGAATTTAGGAACTGGGGGTTAATAGTGACACTTGGGTCTGCATCAGGGTAATCATTGGTTAAATCAATTGTGTTTTGCTGCCTAGAGTTAGAGCCGCGGTCACCATGAGGGGCATTTAGGGTCAGCTTACGAGCATATCAGTGGAATAGCCTTGAGGTAAAGGGTATGGGGAAATTGACGGCTGGGGTTGTTGCTGTGGCCGTGACTGTATTCTCTGTTGCGCAGGTGCTTCGGGGAAAGTGTCTGGTACCGAAATGTGGGGATGTTGAGGATGGAAGTAATTTTGCTGGTAGGAAAATGATGGAAATGCCGAAGATTCAGAGGCACTCAGGGGACGAGGGTCAAAGGGCATCTGTCCTTGCTGAAAATGAGAATTCTGTGAATGTATTTGATACTGGGGCGAAGCTCCGTATCCCCGTTGTGGTGGCTGTTGCAGAGGATTTGTTTGCTGCCAAGGCTGGTGCACTGATGAGTAGATGCCATGGTTTGGCTCCGGTCGTGGGGCTAGCTCTCTCTGTTGCTGTTGGAAAACAGGATGGTCCCATCCAATACCAAGGGGTGTTTGTTGCGATGCCGAATCGTGCTGCTGTTGAGGTTGGTGTTGGGGTTGACACGGCTGCTGAAGCTGCTGCTCAGGATCGGGGTAGGCGGGATCAAGCGTGCTCCAGTAATCTGAAGGGAGGGAGTTATTCCCATGAGTTAGCCCCTGCATGGGGTTTTGAGCTGATTGCTCCATGGTGAGCCTCAGTTCAAGCTTCTCTAAGCTACTATGAAGCCTCCCGTAATCACGTGCACGCACCTGCCTGAGCAGGGCTAGTGTTTATTTGGTGCTCACCGCCTTCTTTTTTGGAGAGAAGAAAGTGGGTTGGAGATTGGGGGGATAAATAATTTTTCCGGTGGAGACGTGAGATGATTGGTTGTTTATCTCACGACGCGGCAGAACAGGGGCCTGTAGAGCTGCTGGTCTGAAGAATTGATAAGGATTAGACAATTCACATGTTTGATACGCCTAGAATGACTTCAAGAGTTGCAGTATGAGTACTGTCGTACCTTATGCGAGAGAAAACAGAGACTGCTTTTGGCTTTGACTCAGGATTAAAGTTGTATCTGCCTCAGGCATCAACCCTGTTCCCCAGTACTGCGAGTGACGGGGTTGCCTTTGGCCTTGCAGCTTAATGACGAAGGCTCCGCAGTTGCAAATACAACGTAGAAGTATTAAGGTGGCCCAGATATTCAATACCGGTGTCTCTCTCCTTGTGCCCTTGACTTGTTATCTCCTTTTTTTCTCTCTTCTTGGGCTGATCCTGTTGTCCCTGAAGAGCTTTGCGCTCTCCTTTCTCGATCTTATGTTTTGTGCCAAAAGAAAGTCCTTGCGGAATCAGAGAAGGAAAAAAGCTCTCATACGAAGGACCACTCTAGCGTCACAGCCATTCGCTTTACGAAAAAAAAAATGAAGGGATTGGGGAAATGTGTTGAGGGAGGGTTAGGATAGATGACTTGGGTTGAAGAAGAGAGTAAAAGGGACAAAAGCTGCTGGCAAGGCGGTTAACCGATGATACGATGGTATACCATCATTGACTGTAATTGCTGTATTGAAAGCTTTCCATTGGCCTATCACCATGTAAATTACAGCCCTTGTGTTACATGGCAGAACCAAGCTCATGTGATCCCCAGTGTTTGCAGTGTTTGAAGTACTTATGTCAGCGTAGCTCGGCGGGATCCATCCATGCCAGGTGGAGCGATAGCAAGATCCCCGGTGTCAACAGTGCAAGGCACATCTCATCGTCATTTCAAGAGTCGCGCGCATATCTCAGCTATATTCCTGCGCAGCTCCATATGTTGCCAAGTCTGGGTTGAAACCGAGCATATCTCCAATCTCACACAGAGCTGCTAGCTATTGCCATGGCGCAACCTATGTCCCTCCGGGACCGACAGGTCGGTAAGTGACGCAAGCTAGATTCTTGTGACAAATTGACCTTTTACTGACTTATGGCCTCTAGCATCAATTCAAAAGCTATTGAACCTGAATCACGATCCACAACCTGTTGAAGACAATACCATCGATCAGTCCGGTTCCGGCAGTCTTATCTCGCACTCCACTCCGATCTTGAATGAAGATGGTGACCCAATCTGGAAAGTCTTGGTGTTCGATAAAATGGGCCGGGATGTTATTAGCAGTGTCCTAAGGGTCAATGACCTCCGGGCATGGGGCATAACTATTCATCTGTACGGTCGCCGCCTTCTACCCCCGAGCCCCATCGCTAACGACGAGCCAATCCTAGAAACCTTCATTCACAAAGATACCCTATTCCAGATGTCCCAGTTGTATATTTCGTGGAACCAACCCCCGATAATATCCAAGCGATCACTCGCGACCTTTCCCACGGGCTCTACTCCCCAGCCTATGTGAACTTCCTATCCTCCGTCCCACGGCCACTTCTCGAGGATTTCGCTTCTCAGATAGCTACTTCCGGGGCATCTGAGCATATTGCACAAGTTTTCGATCAGTATCTCAACTTTATTGTGGCAGAACCGGACCTCTTCAGCTTAGGGCTTGGAAATGATGCGTACTACAAGATCAACAGCCCGAAGACGACCGATGAAGACCTGGATGGGATTGTTGACGATGTAGTTAGCGGCTTGTTCAGTGTGAGTGTAACAATGGGTAAGTATTGTATCCTACCGTGCATAATCGAACGAAGATTTAACTAGCTGGGCAGGTACTATTCCAATCATACGGTGCCCCAAGGGTGGTGCGGCAGAATTGATAGCAACAAAACTGGATCGGAAACTGCGAGACCACATCCTCAACTCTAAAGACAATCTCTTCTCGGGCAATCAGAGCGCTTTGCCGGGGGTGCCTTCAGCACGGCCTGTACTGATCATCATGGACCGAAATGTTGACTTAGTCCCAATGCTTTCTCACTCATGGACATATCAATCGTTGGTCCAGGATGTCCTTGAAATGCGTTTGAATCGAATCACTTTGGATGCAGGTGCAGGTGATGCGGACTCGAGCAAGGCCTCGAAGAAGTCGTATGACTTGAACAGTACTGACTTCTTCTGGCAACGCAATGCCGGAGCCCCATTCCCCCAAGTGGCTGAGGATATCGATGCTGAGCTTACACGTTACAAGGACGATGCGAATGAGATTACAAAGAAGACGGGGGCGTCCTCAATTGAAGATCTCCAGAATGATACCAGTGCCTCCGCGCAACATCTCAAGGCCGCCATTACTCTGCTCCCTGAGTTGCGGGAACGCAAGGCAGTTCTTGATATGCACATGAACATTGCCACCGCACTGCTCAAGGGTATCAAGGACCGGCAATTGGACAACTTCTTCGAGCTAGAAGAGACCATCACCAAACAATCAAAGTCACAGATCTTGGAGCTAATCAAAGATCCATCTAAAGGAAATGAGCCATTGGATAAGCTGCGCTTGTTCGTGATCTGGTTCCTCAGCACTGAAACTGAGCTCAGCCGCTCGGAAATGACCCAGTTCGAAGAGGCCCTGACCCAAGCTGGTGTGCCCGACATTTCCTCTCTTGCCTACGTCCGCCAAGTGCGCGAGATCACTCGCATGACCATGATGACAACAGCTGCTCCAGAACAACAATCGTCCGATTTATTCCGCGGATTCTCCTCGCTTTCAAACCGTCTGACAGATCGCATTACCTCGGGCGCTTTGGGTGCCAACTTCGACTCGCTCATTTCTGGGGTAAAGAATTTCCTGCCAGCAAACAAGGATCTTACTGTGACCAAGATCACCGAGTCGATCATGGACCCGGCTGCGGCGTCAAGCTCTGCTATTGCAAAGACTGAAAATTACCTCTACTTTGACCCGAGGAGCGCCAACGCACGTGGTGCCATGCCTCCGGCATCCGCATCGCGGAACCCGCAGATGCCTGGTGGAATTGGCAGCGCAGGCCCTGGCACTGGTGCCAGTTTCGGACAGCGCCGTCAAGCTTTCAGTGAGGCTATTGTCTTTACGGTTGGTGGTGGAAGCATGGATGAATATGGCAACTTGCAGGAATGGGTTCGCCGAACAAATGGTCAGACGGGCACCGAGAGCGCGCCAGCTCAACGTGCGACACCGGGACACCGCCGGAGGGTTGTCTATGGAAGCACAGACCTGATGAACGCCACTGAATTCCTGTCAGATTCATTGGCGCCTCTGGGTCGGGACAGCTAAATGTAATTGTGGCTAGATATCGACCTCAACATACAGCCCAACCTGAGTGTCGTAAAACATAGTATAATTGATCGCTCTGATGTGTCCATGGTGTCTAATGGCTGTTCGGGGAGTAATTAAGTTCATTGATTACCTAGGTAGCGTCTCTGGTCCTTGCTCTGGGCATTCAATATCCAATCGCTCCAATTGTTAGGCCTATTCGAGGCACGATCTCGGCCGCGAAGCATATATCGAACCCCACCGAATCAAGTTCTATTCACGGTCTCGATCAAACTGCAATTATTTTAGTATGGCGAAATAAACAGAAATATCTCAAGCTGGGTGAATTTCATGGTATCATTATGGAAATATACAGAAACTCCAGGTTTGTTGGCACTTGTGGGGGTTTCAATGTAATCCTTGGCCAAATCTATGGTCAATATGTCCTTCTATGGGGTAGAAGTATACACCAACATCATCCCGCCTTCAGGGGCAACAGTCTCGAACCGAATGCTCCAGGTAATTTGATCAATCAAAGCCATTTCCAAAAATGTGTGACTTGGAAGTTACATTCTTTTCCTATTCAGTTTCATTGCCTCACTTGGCGAATTCTCCATGGTGGCCCAAGTGATGTCAGGGCAGTATCATCGTCCTGAGATTCAACGCCACGACAGCAATATAAGAATAAGCTGAAGTGATGCTTATAATTGAACAAAAAATCAAGCAAAGAACAAAGACACAAAGGACAAGAATCTTCTCTTGAAGCACATCGTCAAGATGACCAACTACGGAGACACCTGGTCCACGACCTACGATACCTACGACACCACAGGATCAGCCTACAACCCTGCGGGCTCAACCTATAATACCCTGGGTTCAACTTACAGCCCCACGGGCTACGGTACCTATGGTGCGACCGACTATGGCGCAGTGGGCTACGGTTCGAACGCAACCGCGACAACTTACGATACCGACACCGGCCGCGGCACCACAACATATGACCCCCAGACGGGTGCTTACGACCAACATCTTGATTACAGTACCCCTACCGGCCGACGACACCACCGTGAGAGAGTCAATTCGGCCGGCACCTATCGACACCGCGACGTCGACCGCTTTGATGACGGATCCACTCGTGTCCATAAGGAGTACGACAATCCAAACACTGGTACCAGTTACCACCGCGACTATGAGCGCTAAAGGCCCTCGTAGTTTCGACACTTCGCATTGGGTTTGGACCCACGCTTGTACATAAACCGGCATGAGACCACGAACCTAGACGAATCACGAACAAGCGCGAAAAAAAAAACACGAAAAGGGCAAATTTGGATTTTATGGCCACCAAAAAAATATGAAAATCAGAAACCAAAAAAAACAGTCTAATTTGTTGTCTGTTTTAGCGACTGTTTAGCTGTGCGTCTGCTTGGCTTTGTTAGTCTGGTTTCATTGGGGGCGAAGGTATGGCTTCAATTCAAATCAGGCGAAATGCGAAACAAATTGGGCAAAGCTCTTAACTTTTGTTGTTGTAGTTGTAGGATTGTAAGTGTGCTACCGAGGTATACCTACACTCGAGAGGCAAATATAACTGGCATGGTGAACGGGAATATATGATACGGCTGCTCCGTACTCCGTAGTTCCACTTATTATATACCTAAACCAAAGAAATCATAAAAATAGAAAGATTTCGAATGTCAAATGTATGTTGTATATCAAATCTCATAGACGTAACGTGTCTTGGCACAGATGCCTCAGGCGATCCCCGGACAAGGCTGACTCCACATCATTGGCACTTCCCTCCGTTCAACTCCCAACTTTATTCTGTACAGCCAACGAATGTTGTGCTGAAACAGCTTCTTCTTCAGCTTCTCATGCCCCCGTGATCATGTCGCGGAGGACGCTGGGTGGAGGTCGTGTTCTGGGCAATCCGAGCGCTCTCTCATCAGCTCCGTCCCCGCAGCCGAAGCCACGGGTGCTCTCGCCGACCACCAGCAGCGTTTCCCTTAATTCACAGACATCCGCATCCCAGCTCTCGACAGAAACTCAGGATCTCACTTCACGCATTTCAATAGAGAATGGCGATACTTCGATATCTGCCGCCCCGGCTGCTCCGGGGGCCAAGCTCTCCTGTCCGATCTGCAGCGAGGAGATGGTATGGTTATTCCCATTTTCTCTTCGTTTCTTGTCAAATTAGATGATACTGACTCTATTTAGATGACTTTGCTGCAGTTAAATAGGTACCGATTCATCCTTTTCCCTTATCGCCGCCTTAACGTATGATTAACAATTTGACCCAGGCATCTCGACGACATCCATCAGAACTTGGAAGACATCCGACAAGACGAAGTCAAAGACTGGTTCAAGGTCCAAATGGAAAAGGCAAGGAAGTTCCAGCCTCTGGCTGTCCTAAACCAGAAGTTGAAAGGCCTGGATGTGTTCGAATCAAACGAGAACCAGGGCGCGCCTATCCCCAGTCGTCCTTTAGCATCCCACGCAGGCATACCGGAGCCTCCGAGATTACTAGACCCCGAGGACCTCATCACAAAAGAACACTGGCAAACAAGTTGTATATACGATGAGTGCTTAGAACCATCATGTGGGAAGCGATTGAATGCCACCAATGGTTGCGTGAACTGTCGGAGTTGCGGAAAATTGTTTTGCGAAGAACACACGATGTACCAAATGAAGCTCTCGCGGGCGGCACATCATGAACCGGTGCGTGGAATATGGGCTCGAGTATGCGAAACCTGCTACAAGTCAAGAGAGGGATACAATGATAACAATGGTGAGGACATCGGCTTTCAGGTTGTGAAAAAAAGCTAAACAATAACAGGAGCCACCAGAAACCAAATGGAGGCGTTCAAATCAATAAGAAAACAGACTGTCGATAAGGAGTTTTTGGAGGTTTCCCGACTCGAGAAACGATTGACCCGTCTTACTCAGATGTTGGCTAGTCTGCCACCAGCTCAAATACACCCTAGTGCAACCAAACTTTGGTCTCTTGCGTGGCAGAATGATCGACGTAAGGAAATAGAGCAAACGGTTGTCAGCTGGCAGGATGATGCCAGTGTGTCACGATGTCCGTTTTGCCAGCAGGACTTTGCAGGCTATACTTTTCGCAGGCACCACTGCAGAACTTGCGGAAAAGTCGTCTGTGGTGACCCTAGTACTGGGTGCTCTAGCGAGGTCGCACTGAGCATTGCTCCTGGTGAGTCCCGAAGTGATCATCGTGGCTTAGGTCTAGTTTCTAACAGTCTCAGCAGCCACCTCTGAGAAAACCAATGGTGAAAACCTTGTCAACATTGATGTGAGGCTGTGCAAGGAATGTAAAGCGACGCTGTTTGATCGACGCGACTTTAAAGCAGACATGACGCGAAAGCCGCCGGAGATCAGGGCCTATGAGAACCTGATCCAGTTTGAGAGAGGCATCCGCCTTCATCTACCTAGATTCCAAAAATTATTGACAGCATTACAGTATGTTTCTCATTTCCGGCGTTCCATTCCATAGCTGACCGCATTTCCAGGGATCCGAGGCGACCTCCATCATCAGCTCAGATCGCAGATGCATCAAAAGTGCGCAAACGACTCATTGATTCCTTTGCGCAATATGATATTGCAGCTCGACGTATTCGTGATATGCCAACCCAGTCCCCCACACAACAAAAACTACAGAAGGCTATATATCAACAGGCCAGCAACTTCCTTCACCTCCACATGTTACCTCTGAAATCTCTCCCCAAAGTTCTCAAGCATGCAAGCCCGGCGCCAGAGAGAATACCCAGTCGAATACCCAGCCGCACAAGCTCCCCGAGTACTCCGGTCAATGGCTCCACGACAAGCCTACGGCCACCGGAGTCTGCTCTTGCGTCTATCAAGTACAACAGCGTTGCCGCTAGCGGTAGCAATACCAGCCTAGCCAGCGATACAAGCAGTGCCGTCTCAGCTCTGGAGGCAGAAGAGAAGTCTCTTCGAGACCGGCTGATTGTGCTTGAAGAACAGAAGTTCTTTGTGTCCGAGATGATCGCCGATGCTAACCGGCGGCGCAAGTTCGACGAAGTTAGCAGCTTAGCGATGAATGTCGAGGATCTGAGCCGTGAGATCGATCGCGTCAGTGGCATGCTTGCGGGTCTCGATTTTGAAGGTGTTTACACGGGGAAACTACAGCCAAGTTCTTGACTTGGGTTTTAATTGCTGGGATGGAAATACTTGCTTTCGTTTACACACGTTGTATACAAATCTTTCTCGCGTGTTTTGGTTGCCCACTCGTCTACTATTGCTTGCGCCTTTTTTTAAATCTTGATGTTATGGCTGGCGTTTGAGCAATTTGCTTTACGACGATATGTGCATGGCATCGGGCGTTGGTTCCTTGTAGTATAAATACAATCAATGGCTTTGTTATATATATATGTATATATGTATATCTTTCTCTCTCTCTCTCTTAACTATTTACTCTTATCCACACAAGTTTGAAATTGTTTAGATATCCATGACAGAGATCAAATATCTGCACCAGAGAATCCCGCTTGGCCGAAGGGCTTTGTACGCGAACTTTGGTCTTTCTTGCATTTTCAACAATTACACAAAATGACAATGCACAAAATAATCACCATCAAGTCGGACACTTGCACACACCCACGCACAAAAGCAAGTACTCCATTCTCCACAACTGTAGTGAAGGGTCGAAAAACTGCCATTGTCAGCATCGAAGTGGTGCTGATGCAGGATCAAACTAGAGTAGCAGGGAGGGGAAGACGAGAGGTGGTAAAACACAATATGATATGCCTTAGTCGAGAGAGGTAGCACAGGGTGTGATACACGTAGATTCTACGTGCTGAAGGGCGAGCAAGGACGGATGAATGAATATGCCAGTACAGATGACCACAATTGCCATGAAGTCATTTATGTAGTCAACATTGAGGTGACGGAGACAAGGGTACATAGGCTATAAAGGGGCAGATAGAGGTAAAGGTCAAATTGTACCTAACTAACGTTCCACCTGAGTAAGCCTAAAGATAAATCGGTCTCTGAAGATGTTTGACGGGAGTTCCAAAAAAATAAAGAGCATTGTTCTTATTTGGTGGAAAACCACTCGCCCATGAATCAATTCTGACCCATTGCCACACAACTTATTTCTCCATAACATCTTTGAAAGAAATAAAAAGATCAAAAAAGAAATCTCAGGTTTGGTTTTTAGGAATAGCCGAACGCGGGGGTCGAACCCGCAGCCTTAAGATTAAGAGTCTTACGCTCTACCGATTGAGCTAGCCCGGCCGGGCTGTTGAAGAAAGGTGCCGCAAAGTGTTACAGGAAGATAAAATTCAAATTGTGTGCAATAAGACCTGCATGGTGGCGCTCTTGGCGCATAAAGCCTCAAAAGCATATCTGCATTTGGGTTTCGTTTATATACCTAGGTATATTCCAAGGTTATTATATACATATCTTGTAGTTACTAACATTGAATGTAACATACTTCTTCAACGTGTATGTCTGGTAAACCACCTGGGAAGGTGGAATATATTTTGGCACTGGTCTCTCTGTTTTCTTCTCTCTCCACCTCCCCATAACAATCCAGAGCCATCTGGAGGTGACATTGTAGTTCTTTCCTCCCAAGGAATTGAATATCCGAGAAGGATGAGAGGATCATGATGAAAATCCAATTTGATTGGCTTCTCCAGATGCTAAGCCCAAGTGAAAAGGAGATGTTGAGACTAGTGTGCGTCCCAACATAAATCCCGACCAGGAGGACTCTCAACCAGAAAAGCGGCCTAACGAAGAAATATCGGAAGAGGCCTCACACCCCGAGAAAGACGATGACACTGCTGCTATCTAACCAGGAGAGATCGCGAATGCACGCGATCTCATAACGGGGAGGCACCTTAAACCTAGGAACAGTCCGTAGACATGTCGCAGTCTTGCGATGAAGATCCTCACCGGATGGCTTCTCTGGGTTGACCACATCAGCAAGAGTACTCATCGCGGGTCCGATGGTTGTCCCTTTTGAAAACGTGAAACACGTGCAGGATGTGTACAGCGAGTTGTGGCCGTTGGAAAAAGGAGGAGGCCCAAACGCAGTAACCCGCAATGCATGGTTATTACTTCACCTCGAAATGGGCCGGAGAAAGAATATCCCTTGGCGGGGTGCCAGGTCGTTGCCGAGCTCACACCCTATCAAACCCCAATGATTCACTTAGACATTATCTGTGTTCGAGTTGCTACTTTTATAGATGAAATCATGGCTAGGTACCAGGCGAAGCATCTGTTGAGCTTCGCTGTGCAACAAGATACTATTCACGGTGGATGAACAATGAGCGAAGGCTCAAGTTTGTGATCCGCTGCGTCAAAGTCGAAGATCCTAGCCCTGCTAACTTGGTGGTGCGTGCCACACCAATCACATCAGTTATGGCTTCTTCCTCGCTCACCTATTTCCAACTACAATGTATGAGAATGCCGTTGCTAAGCCCAGAACAACCTGGAACAAAGCTACGCCAATCCCGAGGACCATAACCGACATGGAAATTCACCATAAAATAGTCAGAACTGGATACGCTCAACCGAATCCCACCATACCATGGCCCAAAATCACGGAGGCTGATGTGTGGGCCCGAAAATGGCATCTAAGGGCGTCTTCAGCAAGTGTTCTATACTTTCTACCGAGGAAATGATGGTATATTTGCGTATTATCGTCGGAGCATTGGAAGCGAACGGACCAACGAGAAAACAATGTGGATTTGTGTGTATCACAATGCACAACCCTAAGTCTGACAGGGACTTTATGAGGAAGGTATTGAATGTAACATGATTATCACTAAACTGTGGCAAAACAGGGATTTTTTTTCATGGCGTAGGGAGGCTATGTTACGTTTAGTATTGACTTTTATCGGCAGCAGAAAATTGTCCATATGTGTGATTCTCTAGGTGTGTATAATGTGATAGTTTGTTGAGCAAGTATTTTTTAGCCATCTGAGCACATCGATATAACATATTTACGGAAAAGTAGTTTTGTAGAGATTGTATGGGCTGATATTGATGGTTGCCTGCTGTATTAGGTGTCAATGGCCTTGATGTCATGAAATTCTAAGGTGACTCTTGAATGAGAGGATGTGCCGCACCTCGCTAGATACATCTAAATGAAGAATGAAAAAGATGTCAAGAATGTGATCACCGTTATCAATGACGCCTATGCGGTAAGGGAACTGCCGGGCAAACAGGAAACAATATACGGAGTAATATAAGCCAAAGTCGTCAGGCCTCAGATCGGTTCAGCTGTCCGCCCTAACAAGACAGGGGTACAAACTCGGCCTTCCGTCGGCTATACTACTCAACGCGGAGCGTAGCCCTGTGGATCCGGTGTGCTAACGAGGTGAGAAACCCGGGGGCCCGGGAGCGGCGCGGGGCAGTGTCCAATACGATTATGACTCCGTACAATGTAGAGAAAGAAAAATATTAAAGTCTAGATATATTATTCCGTATAGCCCATCGAATTATCCAGCCACTCATGATGACTGATCCTCCGAAACATAAAATGTCTTTTGGACATTCACCCCCTGGAAGAATGTGCCGCCGTTTGTCGGATTGAGATTTTCTTGGCTACTTGTCCGGCTTGTGTCAGATCCATTTGAGGTGTGAATCGTCGTAATCACTGCAGGCTGATCTTCCCGGTCTAGATCTGGCCGCCAATATTGCGGGCCGGACGTGGTGGAGTGCACTCCGTTCACGCTTGAGAGGGGCATGCTACCGCCGGTGTGTTTTGTCTTGCTCCTGCTTCCGCCCATTGAGCTGGGGTCGCGGAACCAGCGAAACAAGGGTCGGAGGGTTACTAGACTTCCTGCGGCAATTCCGAGGCCGGCTTCGACGTTAGACCAGATTGAGATGTTGGCGGTTGCGTCTGTTTGCTTTGGTGTTAGTTGTGGTTTATTGACTGTATCGAGTGTATAAATAAGAATAAAAACTCACATAGAAAGTCTCTGTCCTTGTAGTCATGCAAGAATGGTATGCGAACGATGACTGCTGCGCTTGCACTATATCCTCATAGGTCAGTACCAAGTCCAATTCCAGGGTAAAAGAGGGTATACGTACATGCATCCCATTCCGAGAATGCCTGCCAAGGCAGACTTGGTCCTTAGGTTCATCTGTAAGTTCCACACTAGGGCAATAGGCAAAAGACCCAGGGTCAGATCACAGAGGGTTGCAGTGATACTGTAGACATAGGCTATGGCAATGATATGATCGAGCTCCATGCAGGTGCCAGAAACCTCGGATTCAGGGTCCATTTCAAGGCGAACTTGTTGCCAAAAGAACTCAACCGGTTGACATTGTAGTGTCAACATGAACCAGAAGATAATGCCAACGGTACACGTAACACCAATGACAGCCCACAACACAAATTTATGGGGCTTGGAAACCGTCAACCGGAGAAGGGCGCATGCAATAGAGAGCTTGGCCAGCGCGCAAGTCCAGACATAGCTAGTTTGACCAAGCCACCACCACTTTGAGGATTGTTAGCATGTCATTCTCATCTCGGAAGTGAAGGAAATCGAAGGTCAACATACAAACATCGCAGTTTCCATCGTACCCCTCTCGATGAGCGTGTCGAGCTTTTGTCTGATACCATACAATGAGCCAGTGATACCGCATACAGCGAACAAAATGTTCAACAACTACAAATCGATCAGTACCAATTTTATCCGCATGAAACATCTCATACATACCATTGCGCATACCATTAAGGCATCATCCCAGCCAAAGGCCTTGACAAGTCGAAGCCGCACAAAACATCGCAGACACACGGCAATGAAAGAAATTCCAAGAAAGATAGCAGTAATGATGAAGATTGACTGGCTGCGACCTTCGAGGGGCAACATATTGACCCGAAGAATGGATATATGGTTACCAAGTCATGACCTGTATGGTATCCCCTATAAAGTATACAAGGATGTTCAAAGGAACAACAAGAATAAGAAAGATCAAAGAGAGAGAAAATGTTACAGTAAGAGAAATTCCACTACTGTAGATCAAGCATTACTATCACGAGCATCAGTGGCGAGAACATGCCAAGGGAGGGGGGCTCATGTGTGTTCTCCGTGTTTGATTTCCCGTCTTTTTTGTAAAAAAGAAAATAGGTAAAAGCCATCAACAAGCTCTAATGATCCCGGATCTACGGCCAGTACGTACGCTTGTCAAAATGGGGTTAAATGTCCCCAACAATGGGCTCTATACGGAGTCAAATTAGGGCAAATTTCCAACTTTGGAAAGTTTCACGTGTGGGGGGACGCAAAAAGGAAAAAACAAAAAAAAACCAAAAGCCACATTTGCCATTAACGATAATAGTGTGGAAAGTTCCAAGAGTATTCTGTATAGACGGAAACCTTGTTATATCTCAGCCATGTGGAAGCCGGTTCTGAATACGACCTCGCTTCCATCGGTTTCAGATGCCACCGCTCAAGCCTCGTCTTCGGTACTTTGTCAAACCAGTATATTCGAGGCGCGCACAAGCCCCTTCCATTCATGACTTGAGGTCCAGTCAAATGAGCCGACCCCACTGATTACCGCGAATCAAATCTAACCGGTGGAGTCGATGGCTTGTAAAGATTGAAGTCTGTGTGTACCAACCACGATACTACCGTGATGCTAGTGCCGGAACTATTCTAGAACGGGCAGCAGTGATGGATAATCCGCTTTGAAGTTTCCATGGAAGATTGCAAAGGCTGTCATAAGGGGGTGTCCTCCTGTCTATCCCAAACCCTGTGCCGGCCAATTTTCAGCTTCGGCTAGTGCAGGCGATCAGTGTGCCATTGTCACGGAAAAAAATATTGACAATGGGTGATGACATGGTACCTAAATTTCTAGTTTCATTTCAGATATCGAGATCTAATATAATCGTGTCGAGAGGCTCTTAAGGGGTTGAGATGTGCCCTTCGATCAGCGGAGACATCGGAGGTGCGATCTACATCCGGTTTGGGCACGGGTCGGAAATTACATAATTCTGTGTCGGAGCACGGATGACTCCGTATACGGAGGAAGAATCCCATTGTCTTCCAAGGTTAACCTATACTATTCCACTAAGATAATTTCCCAACATTGTATACTCCCAAAATTAAGTATCATCTCGGTACTATATTCTCAATATAAATGGGGCCCTCGTATTTTGAAGGGTCGGGGTAGATCAAACTCAAACTGGTCCCCCCGTCTTCCGTACATCTGCTGTATGCACAAAGTACGGAGTACGGAGTACTCCGTATGTTGTTCGGGAGTTATCTTACCTTCGGGGAACACCTGGGGCTGAGAGGCTGATCTCTGCCAAGTCTGGGTTCCCGAGGCCTCGGGTGTACCTGCTTTGCACACATGGAAGGTAAGCCCTGAATACGACGGCTGAATAATTTGAACTTCCAGCTTTCAAAGGTTACTGCTTTGCTGTCTTGCCGTGTCCTCATCTTATTCACTCTTATAGACTGATCGATGACCCAGTCATTTCCCTTCCATGTGACATCCGATCTCCAAGGTTGCAGCGTTCGAATGTCTACCTCAAATGCGCCTTCCAAATTCCTTGACCAAAACAGTTGTGAATTCGCTACATAATACAAGCTTGCATGCTTGAAGCCAGATCGAATATTTACATATCAAGTTGCACGCTCATGTTTAATCAAGTAAGGCCACCAGGGCAAACTTCCTACCATTGAGCAGCCTTGGTAGCTTGGAAAGCCTTCAGGATTGCGATCACTTTCTCCAAAGCAGCGACCTCCTTAGCCAGCTCGGCGGCAACCTTGGCCTGATCCTGGCCCAACTTCGCATAGAAATCCTTGCGGTATGGGGTGGCAGACATGGCAGCGCTGAAGATGGGCTTGATGAGGAAGGAGTGATGGGGCTTGAGGGTGTTGCCGTAGGCACCACGGAAGGAGTCGGACAGTTCCGAGGAGGGGTTGTCGATGTTGTGACGGAGGGCTTGGACGGTGAAGTCAAGGCCTCTGTTGGGACGAACAATAATCAGTCAATTGTTCATGCAGATGTGTGAATATGGAAGAAATGCTATTGCAATTGGCCTCTTCCATCACATTTGAGACACGTAAACTCACCGGACCAGCCAGACCAGACCTTCAGTGGCAACGTGCTTGCCGGTCTTCAATTCGTTCAGGACAAGGGCTTGCAGGGTCTCAGACTCCCCAGGAGCTGCCTGCTGACGCTGACGGACTTTCTGAAATGGGGTTTAGAGGGTATTCACCCTGGGGATAGATTGTACTGGACGGACCTTGATGTTGCCGAGCAAGTCATTCTTGACCGGGGTGAAAGCGGCGGAACCGAGGACGTCTAGATGGCCTTGCATTAGTTTGAGGTAGATCTATGCAGGCAAAAAGACGCACCAAAGAGAGTCACCAGAGATTCAGCAGCCTCGAGGAACTCGGTGGTCGAGATGCCGTCCTCCGCACCGATAGGGACATCAGCGAAGGACTTCTTGATGGTATCAAACCATGTTCCGTCAGCGGGGATAGTAGCCATTATTGTAGAAGATTGAAGTAAGGAAATAGATAGTGGGAGAAAGAGAAAATGAGCTTAATGAGCTTAATCAGGAGACCGTTGGATATTGTCAACTTCACCGCTGCTGCCACGCAAGCCAATGGCGGGGCACACGGGATATGGGGAGTGTGCAAACAGTGTAAACAGGACCAACTCGGTGAAGTGTCAATATTTGTTTGCAATGTTTGCAACATTTGCATAGAGCTTGCAGCGACGTCATCAGATCATGTTACATCGAGATTGGCGATGAACTTTATTTGGAGTTCGTTCCTGGGCCATCTGCTTTGCTCTTACATATGCCTGGAGCATGCGCTTTTGGCCTACGAGGGCAGCTCAATAGTACATTGTCATGAGCACTCCATCGGGCCAGACCAATGGGTCGCGACCGGAAATCGACCCACGCTCTTACCATGAACATTATCATGGCTTGCAGACGGGATCATACACAGACCAGCAGCTGGTATGCCTCTGTTTCTTATAGGTTGAATTATAGAAACTGACCTGATATTTCTTAACAGCGTCATGCTTCTGCCCACCATTTGCATATGACCAACCGGCGATTTTTCGTCGGTCCAATTCCAGAAGGCTGGCTGCAAGGTCATCGCAAGTCTTGGTATAAATCTCGACTAAGACTCAGAAATTATACATCGCAGACAGTCTCATTCTCTGCAGACCCGGTTGCGACCCACTACGGCGAACAGGGTGATCGGCTCGGCCCATCGTCACCTGATTTGGATGAGGAGGCCGCCCTGGCACTCACCAACACAGACACAGAGGCGTTCGAGGGACAGGATAATGAGGTGGAAACCGAGACACAAGAAGAAGCTGTAGCAGGGCCTGTGGGGGAACTCCAGACCCTAATACACCCTGAAGCTGAGGCCAGCGGTGACGATCCTCTACCGGAAGAGGACACAGACACTGAGATAAGAGAAGATGGAGGGGTTGATGATGAAGAATACCGCGGGGAGAGTAGCGGGGGGGATAGTGGAGAGGATACAGACAGCACTCCCAAAGCCAGGACAGGTGGGCAAGTCGACACATACGGCAATGATGTTGCTTCGTCTTCGTTTGTCACCGCCAGGGAAGATCCTGCCAGCTCTACAGATACGGGGGAATCAATAGCCACCATAAAAGCGAGCAGATTGGAGCCGCCTGAGCTGCGACCAAAGTCCCGGGGCTCACAAACAGATCTTACTGGTCACTATTCTCCTAACCCTCTGACCCCCAATCAATCTACGGTTCCCAGCGAGGCCGATTCAGCAACACAATTGCTTCGGCGCGATCACAAGGACAAAGGGAAACAGAAAAGCAAAGCATCTGGCGTGTCTCGAGCAACGCTTCAACACCACGATCCACAAGATGAAGATGATGCTGGCGAAGATGCACAAGTCCAACGGCGCCTCACCAGGAAGATGGCAAAATTGAATCTGGATGACAATCTCAGACACAGGAAACACAAGATGCGCTCCAAGATTGCAAAGACCCAAGGCATTATCTCTGCAAATCGACCGCGCCGACGAAAAGTGCAAGATGGAGAGATTGTCAAAGCAGAGAAGATGCTGGTTTGCGTGGAGGAGACTCTGCAGACCTCACTTCCTGCCGATTACACCGAGAATGACAGCCTGCGCATGGAAACAAGGATGGTAGACAGGTGGAGGGAGTTTCTCGTGGTATGCCGCAAAATCTCCGCAGAACACACGCCATTTGCCATTCAAATGTACCGCACCCGTGTGATTCCTGATGTGCAACGACCGAACAGCAAAACGCCTCCTTATTATGAAGTACGGCTCAACTACAAAGATACCCATGTTAACCTCTATTCCCCCTCGATAAGAGCATCGTTATTTGGCGTCCCTGCAAGCGTGGAACCAAAATATTTATACTTCGCCCAAAGTCTGCGGCACACTCTGCTGAATGGTACACTTTCATTCGCCAGGTGCTTGGATGGCGGCGTCCAACCTCACTCCCTATTAATGTCCCCGATCTGGGGGTTTCCCTTGTTTTCAAAAATCCATTCGAACAGCTCGAGGCAGAGCTGAAAACAGACAATCCTGATAGCGAGCACGCTGCAGCAGTCGATAACAAGTTTGCTGCCGCTACCATCATCCAAGGATGCATGGATATGCTTGAAGGTCGTGCTGAGTGGGCCGAGGTCCTGAAAGCTTGGTCCAAAACTGAGAAGATGGGACTTGCTTGGAAGCGATACGATCGACTTGAATGGATTTTTGGAGTCAACGAGGAAAAGATGCATGGGAGCATGGCGATGCAATCATCTCACGAACTTGAGTTACGTCCAAGACATCATTACGCTACTACAATTAGGCATCGGGGTATACAGGAGGAGCCTGCCCCGGTTGAAGGGTTTCTAGTCCGTCTCACATCCCAAAAGGGTGTACATCAGCGGATGAACAGGATGTTCTTCAAACGGTTGTACTTTTTCACCCAAGATCATTATTTGTTCTTCTGTCGGCCAGCCAAGGCATTCCCCCCGCAACCGCCGAAATGCGCTCCCCCAGAAGACGGAAGTATACCAACTGCTCGTGAAATTTTGCACCAAATGCCGCTCTCCTGGGATATCGATCCTTATCCACTTGAAAATGGCGAGATTACATGGCTCTCCAGCGGCAATCAGGAATTCGTGAAACGGCACGATGAAGAGGCCTATGCGCACGTTCAAAGGAATATACACAATATTAGCCAGGCAGATGGATGTATCGACATGTGTCGAGTGCAAGAAGTCCGCCATGTCTATCGTGGCAGCTGCCCTGCCGACCCCAACATTGGGGAAGGACCCTCTGTAGACTTCCACCCCGAACCCAGAGACTCACGACAGGATGATGGAGCAACGCGAGAATTCGATGACGATAGGACGTTTGAAATGGTCCTTGACAATGGCCTTGTCATTCGACTCCAAGCTTATGATGAAGCTACACGGAATGAGTGGATCAAACGACTCGATGCGCTTGTTACTTATTGGCACACTCGCTGCGCAGATGACGCCACGGAACTGCAGGCCGTCCGGAAGCGTAATCTCAAGCTATTGGATATCGACGAAGCTATGGAATCCGTTGTCGGGCAGTTCGCAAAGAAGTGGGAGGTGAAGAAAGCCGAGGCGTCTCCGTACTTGCACAACATGTGCTCGCTGACTGGTTGTCGGACTATCAAGGTAGGTGTTATCGCAGCATAATATCATATACATACAGGCACAACTCACTGAGAACATGAACAGATGTCTGGCCACCTCTATCGCAAGCCCCGTCGCCACACCACTTTTTACCAATGCCATGTCATCCTCACAGCAGGCAAGCTATTGGTTTTCCGAAGCACGTTGCGCAGTCGAACCGGGACTGAGATCCCACACATTCATCAAGAACTTGAAGCGACCATTGAGCTGGAAGACTGCTATATTTATTCTGGTTTGATTACCGAGAACGACTTGCTATATGCCAATCAGACGTTTGACAGCAATAACCCTGGTCTTCATGCTCTTCCACGGGTGTACCTCGATCAGGATGCCTTCACAAGTCGCGACGAGGACACCGCTATCACCTTCGTGGTCTGGCAACCCTTGAGTAAGAGCTACTTCCGAGCTCAAGAGATAGGGGAGCAAGGCAAAGCCAAGCGATCCTTGCGGCATGTGTCTACGCTGGGCAAGCATGGCCGCACCATTGTGTTCAAAGCACGCAGTCGTGTGGAAAAGGACCGTTGGGTGATGAGTATATCCTCGGAAATCGACCGTCTTCAGGAAGAGAAACATGAAGATATACGGCTTGTTTCTCTATGACCACTGATTGCATTGCCTGCGTTGTTTGCATTCTTCAGCCATTTATGTTTGCCCTTCTATGGTATACCACTTTGTTTTCATCTATCTTTTCTTTTCGGGAAAATCCTCCACCCGCACACGACTGCACAGCACTTTGTTTTTTCGCTCAAAATAGTAATACAATGATATCCAAAAGACGCTCCTAATAAATGTGCAAGTCCTAGTCTACAGCGTTATCAGACACAGGACAATCTAACTCTATCAACAAGTACAAAAGCCCAGGATAATCAGCTAATCAGTTCAATATGGGCTGTTCGAGCTTAACAGCATTCTTCAAAACACGATCCCGAACACTCTTCCCATACGAATTCGCAGTTGCATCATCCGTCGACGTAGAATCCTTCTTACCAGATTCCCAATCTGTCCACTTCAGCCAACGCATCCGCGGTCCTAGTACCGCAAATACCTGCCCAGTAATCAAGCTGAGACTGACAGGCCCATACGTATTACTATCCAGCGTCTTCCGCGGATCCTCCGCATCACCCTCCAACCAGACATGATTCCAGGGGACGATCTGCGTCTGTCGCAGACATGGCTCGCGAGTCGTGATCCGATCACCGGGTAAACCAATAACGCGCTTGATAGCAATATGAGACGGGTTTGCAGGGGAGCTTTATGTGGACATGGTGTTAGTATTAGTTGCTGCTGCTGTACTTGAGTCCATAAAAGAAACAAGGTATATGAATATAGAACGTATAGGGAAAAGCCTACCGGAAAGTAACAATCATTCCTCGTTCCAGCTTCCGCTCTTTTTTGAACGGCATTATAGATCCCCACGGCCACATGTTGACCATCACTATGTCGCTCTTTGTTTGCGTTTGCGCATACTCCTCGTTGAGGTATGGTGTCATTGACGGCCCGCGAACCCACATCACTTGCATTACGTGCTCTGGGACGAATAGTGCGATTGGGAGTATGGGTACTGCCCAGCGGAGAGTGCGACATGCTCGTCGGACTGGGTATGGGAGGGCGGAGATGCGTTGGCGGAGGTTTGTAAGGAAATGTGAGATGAGGGCAGGTGTTCGTCTTTGTTTGGAGAGGGATGGGCCCTCGTACAGAATGGGTTCTGGGATTTCAGGCTTTGGCTCTTCGCGGATTTGAACTCGGAACCGTGAGTTGGGGGTCGGAGTTGGTACTCCTCTTGGCCGTTGTGGTTTCGCCATTTTTGGGAGTTGGAAGACCGAGGTCGGAGATTGAAGGGTCGGGGAATTATGGCGGGTTTGACTATGCCGAAGATAGGTTATTCGGCTCCGGTAGGCAAATGTAATTCAGTAACTTTGAGTACTGAGAGGGAGTTGCCCTTGCAATTGGAGTTGAACAAGAGGTCGCAAGCTGGAATGATCAGATGCGATCTGATAGGGTGTTTGCATTGTTTGCATCTACCTTTCATGTTCGCCCGTGAATGAGTGGGCTGACGTCGAGACAATTGTCTTGTTAGAAGTGCAACAAAAAAAGAGAAGCTGCTTACAGACATACATCGAGAAAAATCAGTCCTAGGGAAATCACAGCTCTACCAGCAAGTTCAGATACGAACTGGTCGATGTCTCATCTTCGCCCTTATCTCCTACAGAGAAGGAAACATAATAAGACTTGGAATAGCATTTTTGATCAAGATTCGTTTCTTAGCTAAAACTACATAGGAGGAAGGATTGTGCTTCATTGAGTTCATGAGATGGTGGTCGTGAATCGTGTCGGGGGCATGTCCCACGCATCAGTGAGGCGCGCGCAATATTAGTTTAGCATAGTAATTCAATCGTCGTTGCTCTCAGCCAAGTCCTCTGCGGTGGGAGGAAAATATTGCCTATGATTGTTGTTAGCATATGGTCAAGGAATTTGAGAAATGAGAAAAGCTTACGGAATGAATTTCTCATAAGCGATCACATCCTTGCGCTCAAAGTTGCAGAAGATGACACGCTCCAGCTTTTCGATATTAGGTCCAGTGAGAAATGCCCGCACTTCTTTAATAGCATCTTCGGCAGCTTTCTCACTAGGGTATCCGTATAATCCGGTGCTGATAGCAGCAAAGGCGATGCTCTTCATGCCGTTTTCGACTGCCAGTTCCAGGCTACGTCGGTAGCAGGATCGAAGAAGCGTGACAGGGTCGTGTTCCTTCGTGTAGACTGGGCCAACTGTGTGGATAACACATTTGCAAGGCAGTTCGTAGGCAGAGGTGATCTTCGCGTCGCCAGTCGCGCATCCATCAAGATGATAGCATTCTTCAACTAGCTGAGGGCCTGCAGCTCGGTGAATTGCACCATCCACACCACCACCTCCAAGGAGAGACTCATTAGCAGCGTTCACAATACAGTCGACTTGGAGCTTGGTGATGTCATTGCGAATGAGGGAGATGGTGTTGTTGAGAGACTGAGATGGGGCGAATTTTGAGGACACAGGAAGGAGATGCTTCGCGCGGTACAAGATTGAAACGGTAGGAATATCAGCTAGAGACAGAAGTGAAGACATGATGTGGAAAATTTCAGGTGAGGGTGCGTTGAAGAGGGAACGAGGATTGATCTTATCAACTACAACATATGTATGTGTGTTGCGGCTGGAAGCTCAAGTGGGGATAAGCCAAGCTCTGCGCACGAACCATCTTTGATATGTCACGTGACATGGTTATACCCTGAAGCTTGGGAAAAGGAAAGACTTCACCTGGAGATGAAAGGAAGAGGGTCGATTGGTAGAGAAAGGGGTATTTGTCAATGTAGCCTTATATTTTGAATAAACAGCTCTGATGTGTTGAAGAGACTAGCAATGCATCAAATGACACGGAGTATGTACCCATGAATCCATCTCACGCATAAGCCCAAGCACAGGGGCAAGGAAATGATACCAAGTTCAAAGGCCACTCCTATGAGATTATCCCAAAAAGAACTTCCTCTACTCATACATCAAGGGCGATAGGTCTGATACTGACTCGCAGTTTATGATATGATACTCATCATCTGTCTGTACTTCGTACTCGCACAAAATCATCTGGGATTGAGTTCCGACTACGAGTCATCCCGCTGTAATGTACTCCATACGGCAAGCTGCATTGCATTACCGCCTGCACCCAGCCTAAAGAGATGGGTGTCTGTGCCGCTCAACCCTAGTTATGTTCTAAGGCTCCTATCATTGGCTCTATAGGACCCGAGGCGGAAAAGGTACGGCGAGTACGGAGTACGGGCCCTGTATCTGTGTGCATATAAACTAGTGGCCAGGAGCCAAGCCCGGGATTTGGCATCGAGCACAGAGGGACCACTCGGATCAATGCAAACGAGTTGATTGGTGCAAGATCGCGGTGGCACATGGTTGCCGTTTTCTTAGTGGATCAGCTTGCCACACAATTTTGAGCTCTACGCGGGAAGTTCTTTTTTCTCTTTTTTTTTTTATAAAATATGAGAGATGGAAGTTATATGATCGACTATCACAATATCGTGCAAATCCCGATTCATACTAAAAAAAGGACTGGAGTAGGGAATCACTGGGGAGATGTGATCTCCGGTGCCTTGACTGCGTTAGGATTAAGTGCAGACCCGTCCGGTCAAAGACCCCCCCCCTTTCAAGATTGTATCAACCTTCTCGAAAAAAAAAACCGAGAAAAGATATTCGGGTATCGGGGAAGAAATTAGGGAATCGAGAGTGGATGTTGGCCCACAATCCACCGTGCAGACCCTGTCAGAACCTGTCAGAACCGAGCGGCCGTGGACCACCGTGGACCACCGTGGACCGTTTTCACGTCAGTTTCCCTTTCAACTGGTATGACATGGATCTGCGGGGACCTAGCCCATGTGGTTTTCCTCTTTTTAGCGGTATATTTGACGATTGCCGATCTTTTGGTTCCAAGGCATTTCAGGATGGGCTTTTCCACTAGTTCATCCACTCTTCTCCTTGGAACAAAAATAGGATCATGAAGAGAAAAATGGAATTGGAAGAAATTTGGAATTGGCTAGAGTGATCCAATTCGTCGGGTTTTCCATTGGGATTTTCCGGTCCAAAAAAGTACACATCGGGGTGGATACGTAGATATTTTCAAGAGATCAAAGCGGCCAAGGTTTTAGTACTTTCTGGAAGAGAATCAGAATTTCCCAATGACAAATAACTTGGAATAGAATATCTCAGGAACCTGACAGCTGTCAGATTTTACATCTTGAGATAGTTCAGATGTCAAAACTCTATTCAACCTCATTGGAGGCATCTCATTCGTCCAAAATAGATTAATATGGAAATGGGCTAGGCAATGCATACGTCAAAAAGTCTTGTAATCCAGGCTATAGGGACCCTTGGTGAGTTTGGAAATGGTGTCACTATATGTTTATCTGTGGATTGGGAATGTTCGTTACAAGTACATTCCAATTTACGTGTACATCTTCAAAGACATCTCACCAAATCATTATGAGAGGTGAATATCCGTAAATATCACACATATACGGAACATCCGTACTCCGCACGGAATATCGGATAGCCTATATGCCGAGATTCGGTTCTGTCTTCCCATCCCTGCTAGTACTCTGTGCGACACGGAGAAGGGATACCACGATCATCCATTCCGTCCAATAGAGAACCGTTTGAACCTCGACCGAGATGTGCCCGAACCCGCTTGAGAAAAATCGAGATCGGAAGGATTCGCGATGCATAGGATAGACTACTGCATGTGCAACGTACTTTTCTGTACTTTCCCCCTCTCGAGATGGTCTCCACAGAATACGACGTAGATCAATCCTTTCGAAGCACTAACTAAGCTATTTATGCCGAGCACAGAATGTACATAAAGACACGGCACACATGGAAGATTCACAATGTGCCCCGAGAGATCACCGAGAGCTTTGTTGCGAAGTTGTGCCAATCTCTAGTATCCCAAGTGATACTCCGAGGATATATTCCGTACAAAGTACCTAAAAGGCAGAAGAATGGGCGATCTGCTTAAAATAGATATATTTGATACCCTGCCAACGGACACCACGCTTACAAAGTACCAGGGCCTAGAAACAACACCCCACATCGTAGTCAACCTCGAGACAAATCCAGCGTCTTTTTGCTCAGCTGTCTCGACCCAACAGATTATATGTACCCATTTCGCATGCGTTCGGACGAGGTACGTCTATCTACAATCGCAGACTAATCACCAACAACAGCAAGCATCAAGAACAGGATTCTATAATGTGATATTCCAGAGCCATGGAAAGCATGGAGGGATAGTCACTCTCCACTATACCCACCAGCGGATCTTAATTAATCCAAGCCGTTTTTCTCATTTCCTCGCGTGGCTGAGTATGGAGTAGATGGAGTGCAATCTCCCAAATCTCTCAACCCAATCTCCGTTCTAGTTGACTCGGGATTTGAGATGTTTGGACCGAAGATACATCATACGGGATATCTACACGTACATACTCCGGATGTATCTTCCGTAGAGATCGGCCTGAAGATATTATCTCCTCAATGCTACATGTATACTCTGTGGCAGGCGATCCAGATTCGGGATTTGCGCAGATGCCGAACCTGCAGTATCAGTGGAGTCGCAGAGATTCCTTTTTTTTCCAATGTGGAGCAAATCAAAACGGCCAGCCCACTTATAATCTCGTTAATCTCTCGGAGCTGCTTTTTGGCTTGAGCTAGCCCATGTTAGGCGCTCTCTAGTGGGAAAAGAAAAGAAAAGGGAAATTCCCAGAGAAAGCCGAAATCCCCGCCGATCGAAGCGGTCTACTTGGTGGAGTCTGGGAACGGTCCGGCACCCCGTTTTTATTTGATTTCTCCTTTCCAGTCGGATATATAAGCGAAATGAATGCTCTTCAGGGGTTAGACGTTGCATACTACGACCGGCAGAAAATAAAAAAACACAAATATTCATCCATACAATTCAAATGGGAATCTTCCACGGTCAATCTATTCTATCACACTGAAATTTGAAAGAGCGGAGCCCTCTTACCAATAGTTCTGAGCTAGGATCAAAAGTCATTTCTCAACGGACTATCGTAGATCTGAAACGTTTCGATGAGGAGTTCGGTCCAATCTATAACCCAGTAAGGCCACAGACATCATGCATAAGACATTCCTGTATTCAAATGTCGCTCTTATCCTCTTCAGGCACAATACAGACATCACCCTGGCTAGTTCTAAAACCAAGGCTTGTCAATGTCAGTGCATGTTGCCTCCTCGTTGCACACTTGCCCTGATTTTTTTGAGAAATTTCCCCCACTCTTCGAGACGAGGATCGGACCCTCCTTCTTGTCTGTGTCTTTTGGTCAACCTGCAGCTGTCAACTTACTCCTTTGAGACTAGAGATCGGAAAGATTTCCAGGAGTATCCACTGGGCGAATTAAACAACCTCCTGAACCGCCACACTTCGGAATTTCGGGATACGGGCTGAGTTGGGGTTGGCTGGGTAGATTGCCGGAGATTTGACTGTGTATGGGAAAGAGGGGGGGGAGTTGAACCGTGCTGTATTCGCGTTATAATGTCTCGGAGAGGGAATATGTCTTAGCTTCTTTTCGTTTCCTTAGATAACCTTGGGGATTCGTGGCTGAATCGATGAACCTGCAATCTTAGATTGGCTGCTCCGTACTCCGTACTCCGTAGTCTTGAATTATAGATGCGATAGTTGCGTTATATGATGTACTCCCTACTGATAGCCCCTTTTATGGATGATACTAGTCTGAACAAATTCATCATATGTTGTCTCGGAGAAAAAAAAAAGTGATAGTCAACGGTCGATGCGCACTAAAATTGGGATCGGATCTCAACCTCTTGCCAACTTAAGGAAATAAGTTGCCGCTCATCTTTTTGCGGTTAGATTTCTCTGATCTTCCGTTTATCGGTTCCCCATAAGTGTAAGTCGAGAAAAAATAGCGTGCGAAATTATTCTTGTATTTTCGGTCGGGACTCGTCAGGTTAGGAGAGACAACGGTTTTAACGGTTTGTCGATCCACCTACACTAAGATTATGTCTCCAGTTGTCTCCTGTTATTTTGCGAAAGTCATTTCTCTTCTTCTCAACGATCCTTGCCCTTATCAGTAGTTGTATCGTGAAAAATAAAAATAGCATGAACAAAGAGTTGCCAAGGCCAAGGATCAACATCTTCTCCTGGAGATCGCTTGATGTGGGCGTCAAATTTCCAAGAGAACTCAGCTTATTGGCCATCCGATGTGAAGATTCGGTGAATTGGCGGTCATCGTTCAACACTTTACCCCCTCAAATGGAGCTAGGGGGCGTTGTACACACGTGAATATCTTCAATGCCGAAAGCCACATTTCCTCTTCCCCACCAGGCTCCGGTTCAAATCACGCTGTATTTGAATACCTCCGTAAGCCCATGCTGGATTCTCTCGGTGGGACTGTGCTCCTTAGAAAAAAAAGTCGTTGTCAAGACTAATGGAATCTGCACTCCTAGTTGCCGTAAAAAGGCAACCGAGACTCCATTAAAAACTGGGGGGGGAAGTTTGCCGTATTCAAAACAACCGGGTCAATTGCAGGAATTATACTTCAATCGTGTATGATTCATCATAGCGTACTCCGTACTCCGTACCGCGACCGGGCTAGTGTGACCAGTTGCGATTCTGATAGTTCAGATCGAAAGGCGCTGAGACATCGCGGGGAAGTCCGGTGTGCCCCTGATAAACACCCCAGGCACGCTTGACTTATATCGTATGATGTACTCCGTACTTCGTACAAACGAAGCCCAAAGTCGATGACGGCTTTCAGCCTCCAATCTATTGTGATCAGTCTCGTCGGGGTTCAGGGTGATATTCTTACTTGCGCCTTGTCCCTCTCCCCATTCTTGTGCAGGTGGAGAAATCGTCCAATCGCAGAGAATCATTACTGCATTCATGCTCGGCAGATACAAGTGACCTACCCTGCATACACTAAATCTCCAGTGCGCACGGAATGCATCGGCACAGTGGCTGAAATTCTAAGATCCGTCTGGCGCACTGGGCTCTCGTGGTGCAGCGATATGCAGCGATGTGCAGCGACATGCAGCGACTACTGTGTAGATCGATTCCACGCAGTTGATTTCGGACCCATCAACAAGTCTATTGTGTGAGGATGCACTGATACGCCATCTCATTCTGAGAACAAACACCCGGTCCTAGGATGTGGTCAGTGCAGGTGCTGTGTGAGAATCAAAGATGTATCAGCCTCGGGATTTGCTCTTGCTTATATGCATGGGGAACAAATATCACAAATACCCTTGTAGATTGATGCGGGTATTCCGTACATTGTACAGCCATGGTATTACGGTCAAGCGTCGCAGATCAACCTTGGGATATTCCAAAGATCTGTGGGAGGCGATTGCCTTTCACCGGTTTGGATTGACTTTTTGGGACCGTTGGACCATTTACGATGTATATCGTACATCATTATGGATCCCGGAGTCTGTGCGCTGAGAAGGGTCAAGGAGGCAAAAGGCGAATGGGGCCATTGGGAGATAAAGGGCCATTTCACGATAGTTCCCTTGAAGGAATATGACGTCCAATGTGGGTCCGAAGGCAATAAACTCAACCCAAAAATGGATCCCAACATGAGACTTTGGATGAGCGAATATTAACTCCGTTGTGAAAGTAGAAAAGACCCGAAACTTCCACACGCGCCGACCACTATCGGAGCCGAGCTCGAGTACAGTCCGGGATTTTACGCAGGGCGCCTGGAAAGGCAACCCATCTCTTCTCTCAACCTGATATATTGTACAGAAACACCAGCTCTGTTAGAAGGGTCTCAAAAAGAGATGGAGTGTTCATGCGATCTCTCCAATAAACGTCCCGGATTCGATCTCGATCTAAAGCTTAAGCAACGTGTGTTTGCAATACCCTTGCGATCCGATCATTTTCGGGTAGTCAAGGGGGTAGCGTGTTCCGAGACTGAAGAAATTATTTTCTTTCTCCTTTTTTTTTTTGCTTTTTCTTTTTTGAGACTTCACGATCTTGGCTTGAAACGGCGTGGCTGACATGGATATCAAGGTATCTTAAATATAAAGGAGAATCTATTAGTGCAAATGTAAGAGATAGTATTCCGTAAGTACCTGAAATAATGCAAATGAAAATGTAAATATAAATATAAATCAAATGAAAATGTAAATATAAATATAAATCAAATCAAATAAACAAAAGTAAAAATAAAAATAAAAAAACAAAATAAAGTCAAGTGAACCATGGAAACGTTGTAATCCGGGCACTTTTCAGATCTGACTGTGTCACCTCAGCCACGTCTCTGATTCCCCAGTCGCGATGGAAAGAGCCCTTGTGTCCCTCTCAGAGATCTTGGGTATCGACCTAGGTACTCCTTGTGCATCTGTGTGTTTCGTTGTAATACTTGGGGTTGCATGTCCCCTCGATGTGAGTTATTTGTTACCGTATGTGGTATTTTGCGCACAGGCTACATCTACACAGAGTCTTCCGTTACCTTCCGTCTTGAACTATAGGGTACCTGACATCATGTCCTTCGCTCTTAATAAGCGTGGTCCCCGGGCCCAAGTTAGTTCATCTTATATAGCCCGAGGCTGACATCGTTTACCCACTTTGAATCGGAGATCTCATGTGACACTGAGATACAGATATAAGATTGCGCTCTGAGATTACTCTGCGCTATTTGATTTTGTTAATAGATATAATAATAGATTGATTCCAGAATACTGGAACGTCAGCTAGCACTATCGCTAGCTTCTCTTCTTACTGGACCACTGTGTCGGTATTCAGCCGTCCCTTAGCACGTTGAGGACCGTTTCTCTCGATCGATCCTAGGTTCGGTAGGCTAATTTCCTTTCCCTATTTTTTTCTTTCTTACTATGTAACAAGCCTGAGTAAGGATATCTTGGATAGGTCATTCACATAGAAAAAAAACATCGAAAAAATAATGGCACTACATTGTGTTCAAAGAATTATGGAGTACGGAGCCTAATGGGCAAATATCCAAAAAGAAAAAGAAAAAAAAAGTATTCCCCGTAATTTCGGTAAAAACCCAGTCATGACGATCTGGCAATTTCCCTGTAATTTATCCCCCTGTTCGGATCTCGATCTATTTTTTATTCGATTTCTATTTTCTTTTGTTTTATTAGACCCAAATAATAAATATTAAATCCAATATTAAGTTCCTGTACTCCTCTCTAAGCTTCCCGTTTTCAATCTAAAGCCCGAAATGAAAGTAGCCTCGATCCCCTTTGATTTTCCCCCTCCTTTTATATTTATCTCCATTCCTTCATATTTGGATTAACATTCCCACGCTTTATATCCCTTGCGTGTGCGATCTTGCACTTTTTTTTCTTTTTTTGCTTTTCCTGGAAGATTTTATACTGTTCATTTTTGGAGGGGTTCCTTTTTAGTCTCCTCGATATTCCTAAGGTTCATTGACTTTTTTTCTATTTTTTTTTTTTACTTTGGGGAGCAGAGAAGGAAAAGAGAGAAGGTTACTGGTTCACTCTACGGGTTACTCGGGCTCCATCTGAACGCCACACCTTCGCCCCCCCGGGATCTTTGGGTTGGATCTTGGAATCTGGCTCTTCTATCACATTCGGCACGAACAGGTGGAACGCTTTTCCTCAAAGCGTTCCAAACTTGACTTGTGGTTTATTTTCCTCTTATATCGCCTCTACCGCTCAACGTGATGGGGTCTTTGGAAGCCGCACCTAGGCACAGGTTGGTCTCACGACCTCTCAGTCACCTCCATAATGCTGAACCTTCAAACAGAGACCCTTTACCAGCAATAGGTTTTCTAGGGAAAGACGGATCTGGATACACATCCAGACACCCTTCGAGTGCCACTTCTTCTCCAACTCCTCTGATGAGTCCGAACGCCATGTATGGACAATCGCTACCTTATTCCTACGCGAATGCACCTCCAGGCTACATCTCGTCGCCGGAGGCACGTCGCGCCATCGAAGAAGAGAAAGAAAAACACAACCCAAGACAGTCCCTCCCGTCCATCCACGAGGCCCTCGGTGACAATCCTCTCCCATACCCTGCGTCTACCTCCGCTCCACCACCCCCATCCGCACACCCTGCGCCTTCACATCTCATCGGACGACCGAGCGCAGAAGGTCCAGCAGGTCCACCAAATCCCTTTTCGACTGGACCGACAGGATCCTTGATGCGGGAACCCGGTTTCCCCCATCAAGCTCAGTTACAGGATGCATCGCGCTCCAATCTCGCCTCCATCAACACCGATTCACGCAACCCTTCACTGCACTCCATCAGCACGGGCAAGTCCCCTACGCAAAGCGTCAACACAACCAACACCTCGGTTGGTTCGCAAAATTCAGGGTATGAGTACAGTGCGCCAACCTCCGCCGGTAGTGTGGCTTCGCCCAACGGTTACGGCCATTTCCCTCCCAATTACTCGTTCCAACCTCAGTCTGGCCACTCATATCCTCCCCCCTACGACAATCGCACCTACATGGGCGCACCGCGGGTGGAAGAAGTCAAGGGTGGATTTGTGGGTCGACCAGGTCCTCCCCATAACGACTCTGCCAAACGGCATCTGGATGTCTATGATGTGGAGTCATCTTTGAATGAGGTATGGATCGTCCCTTTTTTTTTCTATTTCTTTTCTTTCCAAATCCCTTGAGATCGTTTCTATTTCTGAACCGTAATGCGCAAAATTGAGATATGGGTTGTCAAATCTCCCGAAATTACATGTGGACTGACATTGTGGAACAGATCGCTGAATTGAGTACGCGAACCCTAGACTTTTCACGGCACTACGCGGCTCGCGCACATCAGACGCAGAGATCTGGCCCATTATTAGGGTCCCTCCCCTCGCTAAATGAAGTGGAGGATATGCTTCACATGCAACGGCGGAACCAAGATGCCCTGATTCGGATACGTACAGCCGTGGTGAACCAAGAACAGGCTCTTGCCGAGCAAATGGCTCAGCGAAAGGCATTCAAGACTGAAGATGACCACATGGCGATGTACCAGGAAGAATTCAAAGGCACCGGCGGGTTTGCAGGCGCAGACCCAAAGAAACGGCGTGGAGTAAGTTCTGGGCTATCATTTTCTTCCCCCTTGACCTGGTCAACAGTGGTTGACACCTTGTCACTCCACATGAATACAGGCTAACCATGTTTTGCAGAAAGCGGCCCCTCCTGGACGTTGCCACAGCTGTAACCGAGCCGAAACACCAGAATGGCGTCGGGGCCCTGATGGGGCCCGGACGTTGTGTAACGCCTGCGGTCTACATTACGCCAAGCTCACTCGCAAGATGGGCGCTCACAAGGCGGCAAGCCTGGGTTCAAATCTGAAGCCCAAGTCGGTTCTTGACTCCGCCTCACCAACCAGTCATTAAGATTTTTTTTTCACGTGGCGTTGAAAAAGGTGGGAAATAGAAGGCAACGGAGTTCATCGGCCATTTTCTTTGGAAATGCTATCTTGCCCGGTTTGGCATCTTTTTTTCTCATCTCTTCCCTTTGTGATCTTTATTTTTCTTTTGTTTGGGATTTTTCCTCGGTGCTCTTATATAATACCCCCCACAACAGCTTCCTACTGGGAGAAAAACGGCTCTAGCATAGATATCCCCCTTTGATGATTCAATAGCCATTGGCCTGGTCTGAAGATTGGTTTCTTTACTTTTCTGATCCCCCTCCCCCCCTTTTACCCGTTTCCCTCGATCTTCTCAATGCCGTTATATGGTTTATACCCTTTTTTTCTTCTTTTATGTTTGAGTATGTCCCTGATATGTGTGTACGATCTCTTAGCGTTACATTTGTGGTTCATTGATGGTTTCTAGTTGATATATGATATTCGATCTTCAGGTCTTTCACCCGTAGCTTCGGCCGTGAGTGCTCGGCACCGTTCTCCAAAATTATATTTACGCCCATATGGCATGATTTCACGGGTTTTCCTGGATTCCAGTTCTAGTTTCTACTGGGCGTTCAGCCACATGCGTTGTGGCGATAAAAAAAACTATGGCATGATTCCTTGGCTTTTTGAGGAAGCCCGATTCGCTATACAATCTAGAGTGTGCGTGCAGACAGGCTAATATAGAGGAAATTAATATTTAATAAAAATTTGTCAATTAATTTAGATGGTTTCAGATCTTTGTATTTCGTATGTTGTATAATGGTTGAACTGATCCCTTCCGTTCCAGATAGAAATTCTCTATAGATAGATATCTATATGACCGTTAAATCGGTCAAAACTACCTGAGATTGAGCCGATTCAACTAGCGGGGTTGGACTGCCATCATTCGCTGCAGGTATTTGTGTTCAGATAATCAGATCCGATCTAAAGGGGATCGGGATCGGGCATGAGATCTCAGAGACTATTTAGATTAATTACAGATTAAATACGTATAATTAGTACATCGTTCAATGCATATAAGCAATCTACTAGGTACTATATGATGTAACAGATCCAATCTAAATACTCTATTTACTTCCTCCGTGCTCCGTACGAAGTACAGACCGCCACATTCCGCTTCGTAAGGAATGTAACGGAGGACTCCGTTGTGGATAAAAGGGCGCGTCTCAAGATTTGTCATTTGAGGTCGATACGAAGTATTGACAGAATCTTCCACATGGGGAATCCATGTTCGGAGGAATCCTATCTGGTCGCTCCGGACTGGAGAGTTTCCATAGTCCGGCTGCATTCACTAGACTCACTTAGGAAGTAGCAATTTACTTACTCGCATTTAAAAGATGAATATTTCGAGGCTTCTTTGTCTTGTATTTACTTTTTTTTTTTTTGCTAGTTTAACGGGTGGGGACTATATCGGAATATTAGTCCAGAATTTTAGAAAAAGGAGCTAGTAGGGTTGGCATCGAATCGATCGAGATTTGAGATCCCAGATCCCACGTTCGTCTATCTCTGTGGGGATCTATTAGTCCTACCCTATACAGACACCCTTTCTCTATTACTAGTGTACTCCGTCTATAGATATGCATTTAGCGATAGATCAGACTTCAAGGCGAAAGGAAAAAAAGCAGAAAAGGCAAAATGCTCCGATCCCAACTTGGAAAGAGCCATAGAATGTGCACCCCTTTTGGGACGTGCTGACTCATCTCATTCGGCCGGGGCCTGGTCTAGGGTGGACACCTGGGGCAGCTTTTGATGTTCCTCTGAACATGGCCTGATGCTTCTTGCCACAGAACGGAATCCAGAATCGACCCAATTTTCCTTGTCCAAGCGAATCTCATGTCTACCATCTTTGAGCACTGTTTAGAATGGTCCCGAGAGCCGACCGAGTCAACCCCGGGAAAGCCGCTCATGTCCAGATCAATTTTATACACCGTTTCGAAAGAGTCTAGGCAGTCTCAGGGCACATCATACGGTGATGAGATAGGTGGCGTCACAAGTCATATGGAATTTATGGATTCGCCGTGAAAATCTCCATATCGTACCAGAGAATCCTGAAGAAAAAAACGAGCTAGCGAACTTTGGCGTATCCATTCCCGGCGTCTGGAAAACACTGCCAAAGTCCACTCGGCATATAAGGGAAAATGTGAAAGAGGGCGCTCCGTATACGGATTACACACGGAGAAGGAATAGCATTATGGAACCATCCCCACAAACTAAAACATGTAACATTCTGGGTGGACATCCTACGATCTCCCTTTTTTGGATACTCCGTACACCGATTTATAGTGTACAACATACATCAGAGGTTTTACCTAGAAAAAAAGTCTCTGGCACAAAGTATTTTTCTGCTGTCTACCTATAAGACTGGGAAGGGAAAAACTCTCCTCGAGATATTCAAGGAGAATAACCGAAAAGCCCCCGGAAAAGACCACCTGAGAGCCCTGCAAGAAAGACATCACAATGCGGCATAAGCGGCCGTCTACTCTTGTACTCCGTAGATGTTGATTGGAAAAAATTACTATGACGCTATTGAGATTCCATGGCCTGTGCTATCTGGCCCATAAGCCTTGGATCGGTGACCGATACAAACTCTATCTAAGATCGAGCACGGAGTACGAAGTAGAGATCGCATTCAATAACTTGCTGCAGTGAACTGCAAACTGTCCGTTGGTGGAGACGGCAAGGACGGCGACGCCGGCGACGGGTTCTCCCTTTTTGTCAGCACTCTGTTTCGAAGAATTGTCGGTGTGTGCCTGTGAATTGGTCCACGCGAGCTAACCTCGTGGTACTCCGTATCTTGTAGATTGTCAGGAGCTAAGGAGACGCAGGTGGTAGATCGGTATTTAAATCGGGTTCTCGGGCCTCCCGCGCCATGCCGAGCTAGGAGGTACATTGGGGGATGGGTGGCCTAAGTGGAGTGTAAGGTTCTTGTTCTTTGGGTGTTCTTCTGTCTTCCCTGCCTTAGCTGGTTGAAGTATATGGTGGCATGGTATTGCTCATGTAATACGGAATAAGGAGTACAGTACAGAGTATACAATATAGACACTCGGACTTGGCCGTAGAAGATGCACTAGGATAACGGACTTGCATTAGTATTCCGAATCTGTACCTCCTATATGCATGTATATATTATTGTATAATTTTTCTGAAATGCAGACATTACATTACCAACTGCAGCGGATCTATCCGAAACGCCCAAGTTTATCACCCTAGATGTGTGTTCTGTAGTACAAAATACCAAGGGTGGAAGAATATCATGATCATCTTCTTCACCCAAATTCAGATATTTGATCTGTAGATTATAGAGCCTAATCGATCCTTAGATCAACCAATCATATTGTGATTGGATGGGGGATCGTGCCGCCCAATTCCTTCGCTTTCGCTTTGTATTTTGATTCCTTACGTGTGAGACTGGATCTAGCGGCCGACTCCACATTGAAATCGAGTTTTGACTGGAGATACCCTTCTTTTTGTGGAAAGTCTATCTGGTTACAACCAATAGAAGACCGTGAGGCCAACGACTGGGAACTATTGATTTCAATGTTGGGGTCTCTTGGATTTCTCGCAATTTTCCATCTGTGTATTTTGTATAGTAATGGCGGTACATGGTATATTACTTGGGTAGACACACAGGGAGGTATTCTGCATGCATGTTTTTCAAATATTCAAGTCTGCACGAGATGGAGCAGCTGCATCTGCCCGAAACCCCAGATTGATCACTCCGTACCCGAGATCTCCCGGGAGATGGCTTGCAGATACACTGTGTATCTTTGAATTTGGATTTGGAGAAAAAGGAGGCAACCACTTTTAAAAACCACTAGTCGTGCATGAAAGTTTCAAATCGTAGAATTTCAGCCCCGCCCAGATCTTGATGATGCAGTCCATAGGTGCAGGAGATCCTTACTCAATGCGAACATCCTGTGATCTGAGATTGGCGCCAAGTGCCATTGTTGAAATTGTGGCGGTGAGCTTTGGAATGTATAAGGCAGAACTAGTACCCCGTCATACCCGTCATGAAAAGGGCTAGGGGCAGGTCTATCGAGTTCTTCGGCATGTGAGATCCTGTGTCAGTGAATTTGATGGGCTCAGGCCACGTCACGCGTCTGAACTCATTTTGAGATGTCCATTCTCTATGCGAGTCTGGTGTGTATCTCACGCGCAGACATTGTCTGCTGTAAACCGGAACCAGTTCATATGTCGGTGTGGTGGAGACGGCATAGTTCATTCAATATGGCTTGGGTTTTCGGTGGGATCCGCGCGATAGGCGCCTGGAGTGGGACAGGTTCATTCCCATGGAGGTGGGATGCGAGAATATCCAATATAGCCGTAGACCCACTGTCAAGAACTACTATCTATGACCGTGTCTCACAATGGATTGATCTTTAGGGGTAAGGGTTATCGTGGGTCCAAAAAGGGTGAAAGTTGAGGACAAAAAGGAGCTATGGAATCTTCCGAAGGTTTCGGGGAGAAAATGAGTATAGTTCTAGAATCAGAGTTGCTCTACAAATCTTCCAATCTTGGCTATATTGAACTCCGTACATATATTGCAATTAAGCTGCGAAATTAAATCCCGATCCCGATCTGCAATTCTAGTGGGCATAGCGGGACATCTATAGATCGCACGTGGCTTTAGCTCGGCTAGAGCTGCAATTCTTGAGATCTTTATTTTCTTTCAACTGGCTGCAGCAATACATATTGTCTTCATTTTGGAGATTAAAAGAAAAGAAGCACTTCGTATTCCGTACATACGGAGTACTCCGTGAATGAATACATTAGTAGTTTCTTGGCGTTCGGCTCTCCACCCGACCCGCGTGGCCTGGAATGGACCCATGGTTCGATGGCTTTTAGCTCGGACCTGGATCTCGGGCCGATTTCCGCCACAGAACCTCATGGATTTACTTAGAAGCGTCCAAGGTTATGTCTATACCATCCAACCATTCACCTTCTACCGCCAAAAAGCTCGCGCAACCGAGTTGATATAGTCGATCCCATCTTTGCGCCATGTATCAGCCTCCATATGACTGGTAGTATCGAGACAGAGATCAACGGGCTTGTTTTTGGAATAAGAATCCCAATATACAGGCGCTTTCACAGCACCCAGGTTTGGATCGAGGTCGTGGATAAAAGATGCCCACATGCTTGTCATCATCGAACTGAGGTCAATGTACGACTGCGGCACTCCGGCAAACGGTTTGCCGTCGTGATATCCTAGTCCGGCAATGTTGTGGAACACAAATGATACTTCCTCGAAATGAGTCACGCCCGAAAGGGGTGGTACATCTGCCGAGCGCACATTGAACCGGTAGCAGTATGCTGGGGTTAATGTCTCGGCCCACGCTTCACACTGTCGCCGGCGATTTGCGTGCATGGAGTAGTCACCTCCGAAGGCTGATGTGCGGCGCCATTGGTAGCCATTTGAAGGCACGCGCTGGTCTCCGAGATATGCTGGAATGCCTTGCGAGGGGTCGTCAGGGTAGAGTTCAAGGATACGCTTGGCTACAGAGGCGGGTGTTTGGAAGTTGAATCCACCGTCTGGGTGGCTTAGCTGCTGAGTTCAACGTAGAAGATTTGTATACATACCTGTCAAGTATTGATACCATTGTTCTGTGGTGTTAATTCCTGTAGGCCCGAATGCTGTTCCTTCGTCTGTGTTACTGCCAGCAATAATTGGAACTTTCACGAATGCATGTTTATTCAGTTGAATGCTACCCCAGTTCTGCATCAAGTCCCCGTCCACAACCGGTGAGAAATTGTATTCAGAGTAGCCGTCTGTGCCATTTAAAACAGTGTTAAGTGTCTCAAATGGTACTTTCCGAAGGCACTGCAATGAGTCCACGACATCTGAGCAGCCTACCTTTGAGACCAATTTGTTGTACTTCAATTGAAAGGCCGTATGGTTTGCCGCTCTTGGGGCTATCGACCCTCCAGACTGCATGATGCCGGCCCGGAACAGCTTGTCGTCTCGTCCGTTGTATGCTGTAAGATGATAACCTACTGACATGGCGCCTGCCGACTCGCCCCATATGGTGACTTTCCGGGGATCGCCGCCAAAGGCGTCGATGTTTTCCTGGACCCATTGAAGCGCCAGCCTCTGATCTCTCAACCCAAGATTGGTATTTCCGCTGCTGGAGACTTGACTAGAGCTTATAAAGCCCCATGCTGATAGTCTATAGTTCAGTGTGACAGCTATGAACGGTTTGCCTTGTATCCTAATTAGACTAGGCTTCCAAGTATCCAAAGAGAGGATGAGATGCCTACCAATTTGATACGACTTTTTCACAATGAAAGACATGTTGTAACGTCCATCGGACCCGGAGCCTGAAGCAAATCCACCGCCATGAATCCACACCCCAACAGGAAGTTTCGAGTCTTTGTTGACCGATGAACTCCGGATCACGTTCAGGGTAAGACATGCTTCTGACTGAGGGTACCAAATCGAGTCGGGCTAATTTTCGCATTGGTGAGGATTACATTGGGACATAATCGAAAGAATTGTACTCACACCATACCCAACACAAATATCCGAATACTGTGTCGCATCGTGTGTATCACTCCAACTCGCATTCAATGACTGCGGCACAGTAAAGCGCAAATTACCCACTGGTTGCTGAGCATAAGGCATACCTAAGAAGAAATCCTGGTTGTAGGTTGAGCTTCGCACTCCAGTATAAGTTCCATTGCGCACTGTCACCGTGGGCGATGATCCTATAGGAACAGCGTGGACTGTCCATAAGAGAAAGCCGGTCGCAAATCCCAACATAATGATATAAATTGACACACTCTTACCCACTCTACTCTCATTGTGTGTTGTTTCGAGTTTCATCTTATAGTGTACAACGGCATCGGAGGTCTGAGGACGTGCGGGGGGGGAGTCCATACAAGGCCCGGATTGCCGAGAATCGGCACTTGATCGTCTCACCGGCTGCTATGTGCTCCATTCAGGAATCATCATAGGCTACGGTGGTATACATTGAGAGAGGCAGAATAATCTCAACCTATTCATTCATCAATATATCCTCGGGATGTTCGGATTTTCTTTCATGGCTTCTCAAAAGTTTGGCGGACAATTGCCTACTTTGGTCGTAGCTATTGATCCATCCGAAGAGTACCCAAGACTTTTCTAGCTTTTGAGGTTAGCCTTGTAGATTCATAGATTTGAAGAATGTGGGCAAAAAGAGATAGTTTAGCAGTTACCACATGCTTCTGATAGTACACAAGCATCAAATTTAGCGAGAAGAGTAGATATTGGAACATTCGTAAGAGGAATCCCCGGACGAAGCACCAAATAAGTCGATGTGTGACATGAAAGCACTTGTCCTTTGTATGACAGCAAGATCGCAGGGTTCCTAAAATCCTGAAATCGAACAAAGTTAGACAAAGTGCAACAGACCGAAACAACAAACCGATGGGCATGTAACGGTAACAGTTGGAACCCGATGAGCAATACACATAAGTAGGTATACATGTACATAGATTTTGTTTGCGCCTTGGAAGCAGAATAGAAGATATAATAAGAACAAACTGCCACTATAAATACAAGATCTGAAGAGTAAATCATCTCATCAGCGATGTGTTGGTCATTATCAACCCGCCCTCGCACCGAGGCAGCAATTCAACTTGAATCCGAGGAAACAGCCGCCATTATCGCAGTCACGCAGGGTTTCCTCGCAGCATTGAGCACCAAGTCGCGTGCCGATTTCGAAAAACACTGTATCCGAGCAGGAGGAATGACACTCTCGCCTCCCTCCCCGACTCCCCTACGCTTCTGTACGATTGGTTCCTTCGTTGAACATGTCGCTGGCCTCAAAGATGACATCGATGAACGTATCTGGGATCTGGAGGTGAAGGTACATGACACAGGAACCCTGAACTTGGCCGCTGTGTGGGCGCCATTCCGGTCGAAGATCAATGGCGTTGTGGATCATGTTGGTGTGGAACTTTTTATTTTACATAAACTCAACGGCGAATGGAAGGTGACTGGGCTGGCAGACTCGTGCCGGTTGCCGACTGAGGAGGAAATGCTGCTGGAATGAGCAATTTTCTTGGAGACACTTGAGGAATGAGAAAATTAAAAATCATCAGATGCTGCGACAAAGAGGGCTGCCTCCAATTGTCATGAATATGTGCAAATAGTTTCAGGTTTCCACCATACATGCTTACACCTTGGATATCTATTTATATATGTGTGTGTGTGTGTGAGTGGGTGTCTCGGGTTTAGGCCTTCTTGCCTCGGAGAAGCTCCCATCCGACTGACCCCTTTTTGCCTTCTTTAACTGTCATCTCCTCAACGGCCTTCACTAGATCGTATGTGATCTCCTCAGACACAACACTGTCTTGCTTGTAGTCAGGATGTTTGGCTACAAACTCACGGATCCAACGAGCCCCAGTCCAAAGAGTTCCATCGGCTCGCTTCCGGATCAAATCAAGATAGCTGGCCAGGAAACACCTAGTCTCGACGTCAACATTGACGCTGTTGAGGTAGGACTCAACAAGCGGGATAAGACCCGGGAATGATCCGTCTGCGCATCCATTCACAATATCATCGATGGTCATAAGGTCAAACTCTGTCTCAACGGGACCAAGAGGGGGCGATGGAGGCGGAGTGTTCACAGCCGATGATGTCGTAGAGGAGAAAGTGCTGCCGTTCGTCGACTGCTGTGCGCTTCTGGGCACCCTGCGAGGGAACGGGTCCTTGCGGAACCAGAACTTCCGATCAAGGACAGCGTTGCGAGCGTGGGCCGTCTCCATATTCTCTGTAGTACGCTGGATCGGGATGTAGAAATTGAGATCGAAGCTGAGGATGGCACGAGTGATGAGGACGATGAAAATGCTGAATGCGGCGTTCTCAAAATCCGTGATTTGGATCTCCATAGACCGGAACTCAACTCTCCAGCCAATATCACTATCCGGTGGCGGCGGCTTGAAGCGCATGTGCTGCCAATTAGTGGACTGTAAATTCTCAAAGTGGTCACTCTTGTTAAGATCTAGTTCCTCGAGATCTTCAGAGAAAATGACCAAGGGATCACGAATAAACAAGTGTGCAAAATGCGTCGCAAGTAGATCATCCATTCCCCCGTCCATGAGGCGTTTCTTAATATCCTCATCAACAACTAAATCAGGATCGAAGTATTCTTTCCGAAGACGAGGATCCTGGGATATGTAAGTCGAATTAGAGGCATATCGCGACTTGGGAATTCTCCACCGGTCGTTTTTGAGAGGCTGCAAGAGATTAGTTCGGTGAGCCAAGGGTATCATTCCGGAAAACTTACAGCTTCGCCAAGTTCCTCAGGTGTCCTGTCATCGACTGCATTGCCAATTTGGTTCCATCGCACATCTGTGTCCACGAGAAAACCTTTATAGATGGGAGTAGCGGCGGTCAGGGCCAGAAGAATGGGACCCAAAGGACTCAGTTGATCATAAAGTCTTCTGCCCTCTGTCATGTTCTTTGCCTGAAAGGTGATCTGCAAGCAACAGCTGCCCATTCCAAATGCCATGGCGTCCATATAAACATGATCGTCCTTGGCTGCGCCGTTGCGGACGTCGTCATCCTCGGGCCAATTATGAAGATCGTAATTAACTGTTGGATCCTTGAATGGCCTGGGCGTATTTGTATCATGGAAAACAGGTACATTCAGTTCGACCTTGCGACCTCTTCGGGATCGAATGTTGGCGGCCAGAGTAGGGAATCGGATATGGGGGTTGGCAATCTCATCGGGAACAAACTGCGAGCGGAGAGCTGGTCCAGACGGAGGATAATATGGCTGGATGTAGTCATCCTTGGTCCCTAGGCGAGGGAAGGTCGTTAGGGTGATGGGGACTTCATTGGGAGCCATGTGTGCTTTCGCAACTTCTCGTCTTGAAGTTTATTAGCATGTTTCAGGTCAAGTCATCTTGCTAAGGGAGCTGACCTCCACTTCATATTGGACTCCACCTTGAGTAGGTCTTTAAACCCGATTCCCCAAGGTTGTCCAGGAGTAGCCTCCAACATGAACCTTCCAAATTCAGGATGAAAATGAGGCGGCTCCTCTCCAGCACTGATTGGTGTCAGATACGCCAGTCCCCGATTGACATCAAATCACACTCACTGGTCCCCAGTTGCGCTGTCCTTGCCGGAATCAGACTTCCACAACGCCTCATCTCTTGCTAGTGATTTCAAGATTTCAGCCTGGGCTAACGATAGCCGTGACTTCTTCGCCGCATCATCAAGAGCTACCACGAGGTATTCAACCTATCATAGAAGAAAGAATGTGAATCAACGATTGCGACCGAGAAACACCATGCGAACCAGAACTACATACCTCGTCACCCCAAAGGAGAGCATCGCGTTCTTTGCCTCGTGCCCTGCGCCAATTGGCAAGTAATTGCTATTCAAGTCAGACACCTTGAGGTTGTTTCCTTGCCGGCCTAGACAAATCGAGGATGAGCGGCATACCTCGATACCCCACTGCCGCACCTGGCCCGCCTTTTTCTTGGCTTCCGGCCATTCCAGCGCTGTTCCAAGTGCTCTGCCATGGCATTAGATGAATTTCGAAGAGCAGGTCAAGTCAAAGCACATACAGAAGTCCCATTGCGTCAAAGATGTAGGTCCCAAGCTCAACACGCAAAATATCCCCAAGTATAGGGTAAAAGAGTCGAGACAATATAGAAAGGCCGAAGAAGAACCGATGATCAAAGAGATGTAGACCTGCGCATAGTCCCTTTTCTAACTGATTCTCTGTACTTCCTGGCAAATCGCAATGAGGGGTCGATTTTTCGGTGGCCGGCCGATTTTCTGGCGGGGGCGGCGATAACGGCGGGAGTTTTATTTCCCTGGGAACTTTGCACTTGGATTATTAATCATGATTTGTCACCTGAAACCTTGAGAGAGTAGTCATTTGTATCACTATTTATATAGAAGATGACTTCATTGAACCGGAGAAGTTGTGAATCTGGAGTGTTTGAATGTGTATAGAAAGGCCTGTGGTGATATGAGACCCTGCACTTGCGTCTTCAAGGATCATCGGGGCGTCTATCATAGGCCCGAGCGTTGTATAAGCACGAATAGGAAAGAAAACAAAGATGCAGATATGTCAAGTCCATTATTAATGAAATTAACTTACATGATGGATATGTTGCACATGCGATGCTAAGCTATAGAGACAATATGTACAACATATAAGATATGGTAAGTCAATGCCTCAATTTGAAAGGATCACGAGTATAGGAGATATCATGAGCATAAGGGGATGTATTGATGTGGTTTCACAATGACTGCGTCAGATGTGTAAAGTAAGTATCACGTTATAATGCAATTTTGTACAAGATGTATGGGTATTCTTCTATGTTGTAGAGAGAAGCTATCTAGGTAGCTCTTGAAGAACTATAACATATACGGTATTTATAGATTTCGGGCTTGTTCAATGTACCTACACCATATGTGTTTTGCTTATCATGTCAATATATACCTTTCAGAATGAGCGTAATATCGTGCATACCACCAATCGGCAGCAATATAGCTGATAAAGCTGACAGCTTTAGGCTTATAAAGCCGCACATGATCATTGGATGCAGGACTACACTTACATGTGCTCGAGCTATCCCAAATGACGAGTTGTCCACGGACACATGTTTGACTCAAGAAGTATGTCGACTTGGATAGCATGCAAGGTACCAATCGAGCCAATGTCAAACAGAGCACCAAATTACGGATGCAAGTGTTGCCCAGGTAGGTGAAGAAGATAAAGTGGCCGATTTTTATGAAAGGTCCCAACGCCAAAAGGCAATCCATAAGCAGTTTCGGTGGATCTATTATTTACATATTCTGCTGCTTCAGCAGCAGTACCGACTGCGCATACTAGCAGTCCCACAATTCAGTTGCTCCGGGCACCGTCCTTGGCGGCACGCAGCTCGTCCATCTTGGCCACACGCTTCTTGAACTCTTCGTACTGGCACTTCTCATATGAGTGGCGTTCATTCTAGAGGAGGAAAAGAGGAAAGTTTTAGCTGGCTAGCTCTGGAAAGCGCTCTGGTCGCATCGGGTTGTGCTGGAACATCAAAACGAAGGATCTCGTACCTCGCACTTCCAGGGAAGGTAGTACTCTGCTTGCCGGCATCGGTTCAACGGAATCAGCAGATGTGCGCATGAATCTCTGTACTGCATGGGAAGACGTGCTTCCGACATTTCCTGGCGGGTTGCTGGAGTCTGGTCAGCCTTCCTGCTAGAGCTTTTAATTGTTGACCAATGGCCTTGGAATCTTACCGGAGGTCTCCGACAGGCCCACGGCGCTTTTAACCGTTTCAATGACAGTCATTTTGTCGAGAATTGAGGGGTGGAAAGGCAAAGAGCGGGGAAACTGAGGCAGGACGGCGTGGTTGGCGATTCCCGCTCAGTTGAGGTTCCTGCTGGCCCGATATTGGTCACATGACATATAGTCACATGACCATTTTCCGAAATGGGACTAGCGCGCACTTTACGCGTCCAGCGCGTATCTGGGATGCCACCCCCAGCTCCGCCGTATCGTGTCTCTACGTTCTCGGTCCGGATTTTCATTGCGTGCAATGCATCAAGTGCTGAAGAATTATTAAAACAATCAACTTGTGGATCATCTAGGGGTGACGTTTCGGCTCTAACGTGGATGTGTGCTATATCGCTTCTCGGGAACCTACTGAATTGCAGCGGTGAACGGCGACTCACATTATGGCGGGGATTGACACCATCTACTCTGCTACTTATAGCAGTGTAAGCATACTTCTAACTTAAAATTTCCATCCCGCGACGCGGTATCATTCTCCGTGTTGAATGCGAGCACAGCTGACGTTCTCACTCTCAGGTCCCCGTTTACGAGTTCAAGCTCGAAAATGACAGTGTGATGAGAAGGCGAGGGGATGACTGGGTCAATGCAACACACATCCTCAAAGCTGCAGGTTTTGATAAGCCTGCACGAACGCGCATCCTCGAACGAGAGGTTCAGAAGGGGGTACACGAGAAAGTCCAGGGAGGCTATGGCAAATATCAGGGTATGTCTTGGGGATCTACCAGATCTAAAAAGGAGTATCAGCTTACTGACGGAAAATTCTTTCAGGAACATGGATCCCACTTCCGGAAGGTCGCCAGCTTGCGGAACGCAACAACATCCTTACAAAGCTAGCCCCGATTTTCGATTATGTTGCTGGAGATCACAGTCCCCCACCAGCGCCAAAGCACACATCAGCTCCATCTAAACCTAGGGCACCGAGGAAATCGGCCGCCGCAAACCGTGCTGCCGCTGCGGCCGCGGCTGCCGCAGCAGCAGCAGCTTCAGAGACTCTGAAAGTCGTTCAACCTCAGCACAGCATGGGTCCCCCAACCATTCCACAAGATCACTATGAAATGAATGCAGGGTTCGACGATAACGAGTCAATTGGACACGCCACAATCGAATCATCATCAATGATTGCAGATGAGGATATGCTTCAAATGTCTCATGGCGGACGGAAGCGGAAGCGTGGAGTGGATGAGGCGACCGCTATGTCCATCAGCGAGCAAGAACACATAATCTACGGTGATCAACTTCTAGACTACTTTATGACAGTGGGGGATGCACCAGAGGCAACACGCATTCCTCCCCCCGAACCCCCTGCTCATTTCCAAGTCGATCGAGCTATCGATGATTCTGGGAACACAGCCCTCCACTGGGCATGTGCGATGGGTGACTTGGGAATCGTACAAGATCTTCTGCACAAAGGAGCTAATGTCAAGGCACTTTCGGAGCATGAAGAGACCCCACTCGTCCGAGCTGTCCTATTTACCAATAATTATGAAAAGAGAACTTTTCCGGCTCTCTTAGATATGCTTCTGGACACTGTCTCTTTCCGAGATTGGTTTGGTGCCACTATATTCCATCACATTGCAGAAAATACTAGAAGCAAGGGAAAGTGGAAGAGCTCACGTTATTATTGCGAAATCCTCCTCGATAAGTTATGCAAGACGTGCTCTCAAGATGAGATACAAATGTTGTTGTCATGTCAGGACCAGAATGGAGATACCGCTGTCTTGGTCGCTGCTCGCAACGGCGCCTTTCGTCTAGTGAACATCCTTCTTGTGCATTGTCACCGCGCTGGCGATCTGGTGAATAACAAAGGGGAAACCGCCAGCAGTATCGCACAACGTTCTCAACATCATGGCCATGACATCCCACCGGCTCCCTCTTCTGTTACCATGGCTAATGAGCATATGGATGCTGAAGTAACCGGTCTTGTGGGCACGGATAGACAGTCCGTTGCTCCAATCCCGGATTCCCCGGCGACATCTGAGCTTCTCTCCAAGATTGGAGCCATCATGGCCGAGGCCAACAAAAAGCTTGCCGTGACCTATGGAAACTCAAAGCTCACCCAACAAGATTCCAATGATGTCGCTAATCCCGAGGCGTTACATGAGCAATTGGAATCCGACCGCCAGAAGATCCAGAAGCAGCTCTCTGCATTGGCGGCTAAGGAGGCCGAACATGAGCGCAGTGACGACCAAGCTGGTCGATATGAAAAATTGCGAGCAAGCTATGAATCCCTTCTTGAGCAAATCCAGCATGCTCGGTTGGCCGAACAGTTTGTCATTACGGAGGTACCCAAACCTACGCCGGCGTCCCTTCAGCAAGATGAATTAATGGCCCGGTATCAACTTGCCCAAGAGCTCTGCTCTGCACAGAAGATACGTCGCAATGCGATCAAGGATTTAGCCCAGCAAACAGCAGATGCGGGTGTGAGCACCAAATTCGATATGCACCGCAAGCTAGTGGCTTTAGCGACCGGACTCAAAGAAGAAGATTTAGACCCTATGGCTGCGGAGTTGGCTGAAACTTTAGAATTTGACCGAATGAACGGCAAGGGCACCACTCCAGAACTAGGGCATCGACGATTGCCATCTCAGAATGAGTCGGCCACTCTCCCTGGACATGGTGTCCCAGTGGATGCTTAAGCACCGTGAGGGCATACATGAACTTGATGTTTGATTATATTTCATGACTCATTGATTTTTTCTTTCCTCTGGCACACTGTCTCAAAGCCAGCAATACCCTGCATCTTCATGTTTTTCTTCGTATCATTGTTTTATCTTCTTCTTTTTCATGCCCTCAAGGCTGATCGACAACTCATCTAGTTGTGATTTTGAGTCCCTTCCTCCATCTGAATGGCATTATGAACTCACAAGCAGACAATGCGGGCACAACCTGTCCAACACTTTCTTTCGTGTGCATCTTTACAGACCATACGAGTGCATGTATCTTGTATATACAACATGGGGAACAATGATTTCATAGGGGGAGATATGAGATATGAAGCCAGGAGGCGCTGAGGTGTACGTTATACATGTATGATTCATTTAGGATGGCAATACGTGTGGTTTATACCACCGTTTGTATGAAATTCTACAGTTGACAATCCAGTTCTTTGTGATTAGAGATCATGATCACCCTACCCCCAGGGTCGTTTGCCATTGTCATGGTTTAGTGGAAGGGTACGATATCGCGTCACATGATTATCATGGGCGATGCATCACAGGAGAAAGCATGTGATGAGAGGTTCTTGTATTTCTACTCCGTACGGAGTACTCCGTAATCCATACCTAGTTAGCAAAGAATCTTTTGTGAATCCTCTGCCTTTGCTCGTATTGTCTAGGTTTTTTGGGACTTTACTGCACTTCAAGTGTTAATTACTTTCTAGAGATTAAAAGCCGCCCAAAATAACTTACACCTTATGGTTTGCGGAACAGCTTCTCATCTCACAGCCCTAGCAAGAGATCGAAGGCTCCGAGGAAGAAAACCCAGCTAGGAAAATTTTGAGATACACGCTAAACTACATAGAGTTCGGCATTCGTCGTCATCCTAGAATACAATGAACAGGGTTGTACAGAGTAATGATGATCATAATAAGATACGATCTCATTACGACCTAGAAGCAAGCATGTCCAGGTTGTTCAGGTAAACCCATTGGCTGGCGCCTGCAGCTTGGCATCAGAGCGAGCGGCTCTAGGGACATTGTCAGGCGTGGAGGGCGGCCACGTCGCGCCGCTAATGGCTAACAGCCAATGGTTTGGCTCTGGATGTGATGGGGATCACTTCAGAGCTGGGTGTGCCCGCTTATTGGTCGATCGGACGAGCCAGTCAGATCTCACCAATGGGTATTCTTCTGTGATGCTGTCAGCTCTGATCAGGCAGTTAGGCACAGAATGGAATAGAGGCCTCAAGTATAAGTCAAGCTGACAAAGCTTGAGTTACCCCAATTTTGCCCAAACATGAGAAACAAAACAAAAGAAGGTGTCAAAGTGAGTCTCTGTTGATATTCCATTGATACATTTCCCTCTCAAAGGAATTGTGCCTGGACAAGGGCGCTAGTACTATTTGGGCCTTATTGTGTTCAATTGTTGCCTCGAGCATCAGGCAACAATCCCCGCCCAGGCCATCCACCATCTCTCTTCTTCTTCTTCTCTCACATCTCAACCCTCCATCTAATCTTCGATTCTTTCTTTTCCTTTTCCCCTCTGCATTCCTTCTTTCTCTGCAGCTCTTCTCGTTTCATGGAAAATATCCTAAAAAGCATTTATCCACTTTGCAAATAGTCCCGATTAGTTCCGCCCCCTGAGGAAAAACCGTTGTGTTTGGCCGAGACCCGAATTCACTGCACTTCTGATCGCCTCGAGGCATAAGTTCATCTCTTCGCCCGGATCCCTGATCTTGTTTTAGCCTCGGCTATTCGCCTAACACTGGGTTGTTTGGTTGCGACCTGTGTTTCAGCCTTGAAGCTCGATTTTCGGCATCGCGTGAACTATTCTCTTTTTCTTTCTACTCGGCTGGGATTTGCAGAGCATCTCCCCCAGACATTTTATTCTTTCTTCGTGGCCTTGCTTCGTGCGTGGCTTCTCAAAAATTTCCTCTTAATTGTTATCTTCTTTTTTCCCATTTCGAGGTGTCTCATCAAATCCTCTCCACCTCCTCGGCTTGCTCAAGACTTATTACACGGGTTCGCGACTTTCAAACTCAGCAAGTCCTTGTACAGCTTGTTTCTTCTGTCAACCACCATATTTATCGCTAGCCACTCGCTCGATTTTTTCCCCCGCATATCTTCACCTGTGATTGGTACGTGTTATTGCCTGCTACCCTATCTGTTGGATCTTACTGACCAGTTTCTGAATACAGAAAACTCAGGTCTCGTATCCACGGTTTCTTTTCCGGTCGTTGAACACCGATCTTGCAGACATATTCCAGCGCCTGTTCTTGCAAAGACACCATAATTTCTTAATCGCCGGAAAGTGAGTTCAGCTTTGTGGTTGACCCCAAACGCTCACATCGAACCCGGACGTCAAAAGACACCATCCGTCTCGCTTTCCTTCTACTGCACATACCTACAACCCACCTCTACCAAACGAATATGAGTATGGACGCTGGCGGTCTTGCTCAAATGTCTCAAATGTCTTACAATTCTTCCTTCAACAATGGCAACTCCCTGGGTGTGCCAGGCTCTGGCTTCGCCTCGCGCGGCAAAGGCTCTCACATAAAGCGTTTGAGTGTGCCCCCCCCAGGTTGCTACCATCGACGAGTCCCAGACATCGGCATCTGTCTCCACCCCGCGTACCAGTCGCTCTCATCTTTTGGCTGGATTGCGCACTGCTCCCAAGTCTGCGACAATTCCATCTGAGCATCAGCAGCGGAGTGGTATGGAAAGTTCACGATTCACTGGGTATCCCAACCGAGGGACGGACCGGGTCCCACAAACTGCCACTGGAACTGGATTCCCACAGCACAATTACACCATGAGTCAAAACGCGAACTCGCACCGCAATAGCTCGCACCACAACCGCATGATGTACACTATGCCAGAGCAGGTACTTGCACCTCCGATGCTTGAAATGGCCGGTGACGATATTCCAATCGATGAGAACATGTACGCGGAATTGATGTCAACCAACCTATTCCTTGCTGCGCAACAGCAACGTCTGCAACAGCAGTTGATCAGTGTCACTGCTGCAGCTCAGCAATTCCAAGGCCTCAACCTTGGAATGTCCCTTCCTCGGCAGCAACAGATGCCTTCGCTCTCCATTCCTGGCATGGGATTTTATCAGCAACAGCTCCAGCAAGGCGTTCAGCCCATTGTGCAACCGGTTCCGGGCCAACCCGGGATGTTCTGCGTCTACAATCCTCTGACTGGCCAACAAAGCTATATCATGGATAACAACTCCCAGGAAGATCACCAGCAACACTTCTATCAAGATAATCAATCCCATATTGGCCAGCAAGTTCCCCAATTCCGTGCGGAGATTTCTCCGCCTGCGGACTCCATGCAATCGCCCATGCAATTCCCGCAGCCAATCTCCCCCCAGTTAGCAGCCCCTCGCCCCCCCATGAGTCGTCTGTGAATGCTCTTCGTCGAGGCCACCGCAAGAACCTTTCGTTTAACCCAACTATCAAGACGAACATCGATACTACAAAGGCCAATGTGGGACCCGGGCCTAGGTCTGCTATCCTGCCCCCGACACCGGCCACTGGAACATTTGGACCCGGTCAAAGTCGTGCTGGTGAGCATCCGATGCGTCAGCCCCGTGGTCCCCCCCTCGCTCGAGGATCTCGTGGCCAAGCCCACCTCTAAGCACGAGGGTAGCAAGAACTTTGCGACCCGCCAGCGACGTCGTGCTGTTCACAACCTTGTCCGTGCAGGGATCGAGCGTCGTGGCGACACACGTAGCTTTGGATACCACAGCAGCGGAGGCACTAATACTCCTGCGAGCGAGAAAGAGTTTACCTTCTCAGATGGCGATGATGCTACCGTGCGCAGCGGGGGCAGTCTCTCCAGCAAGCCCAGTCTTGGCAGCCTGCGAGCAGTTGCTAATGGTGCCATTGGGTCCGAGAGAAGGGAAAAATCTGGCCGTGATCGCAAGTCCCCGGACAGTCCCTTCCACAGTGCCACTCCCACTAGTGAGGACGGTGGCTACTTTTGCTCAAAGTTTGTTGATGCTCGCGGGGACTATGTTCCCTCGCCTAGTGCCAGTGGCACCTCGTCGCCGTCGGTGGCGTCTGTTGTTGCTGGCCAGGGGCCGGCAGCCCAGGCACCAGAACGGCGCAAGATGCCGATGCTGGTGTTGTCCAGCGCTGAGAAACGCAAGACAACCTTCATGTAATGCCGAACATCACGTGCCAGCGACGTATGATTATTTTTTTCATGTTCCTCTTTTTGCTAAACGGGTTGGTTTTTGTCTCTCTTTGCCTGTAGACCTGATCAACAGGTCTCGGCATGGCTGACCCCCTGCCATTCCTTTTCTCACTACCACTATTGCTGGCAAGCCATGCCAAGGTTTATGTTTTCCGTGACGAAAGATCTTGATTGGTCTGAAATGACTTTATTTCTATTTTCTCTTTTTGCTTCTATTCAACTCTATCCATGACGTTTCATTCTTCTGTCGCCTGGCTTCATGACAGCCGAGGCTGGGCAGACCGGCTCTATTATCTCGGATAAGACAGGATGAGCTTGATACTGGAATAGTGGCACCTCCGATGACAGGTTGCCTTATCTTTTCGTCTCTATTTAGCTTCTGATGTACATCTGGTTATGTACAGACAGCTTTTTCCGGTGCATTTTGAGCTCAGATCACCTTGGTGAATACATATCTTGGCAAATGTCTGATCTTGTTTGAAGTATCTATTGTGTATTTGGCTGTGTTGATCATACTCCATGAACGTTTGCAGTATCTAAGTAGCTTTTGGTCGGACAAATCTAACAATGTATTCGGATTATGCGGGTATGCTTCTTAGGCTCTACGTACAATAATCCTAATTTTGTCCTACGATGGCCCACGTGGAACAAGTGGTTACGCTGTCTGTTGATGAGTCCTAGGTAAGCATCGCTGGAAACTTTTTAAGTAGAAGAGGCATCTCTATGCTTGATCTCACCTTTATACTCTTGGTGTCTAAATCTATAAATAGAAAGTAAGAGCGGCATAAACAAGGGTCAACAGGCTATTGGAGGTAAGCATGAGTGCCCCTGCGATTGATATCAATGCGAGCTGGCAGTGTGGATTGCGCTACACCGCATTCAAAGGCCCGTGGCATTCATGCACCATGTATTTCATGCTTGATCTTTATCGTTACAGAGTTGCAGAGCCGGGTTGTATGCTGATGATTATGGAAAGTGGCTTCGGGCTCGGAGTAGCTGCATAACTATCTCGGGTTCTATTTACACTTTTCATCCAAAGGCAAAATAGAGCCTGGTGGTTGGAGAATTCACTACAATTCACTCACATCCCAAACGGCCACTATCGGCGAGCAGAGTAATGAGTTTCCCCAAAACGATGAGTTCAATGAGGCAATTATTAGGAACTAAGAAAATAGGCTGAAGAAGGTGAATGTTAGAAGCTCTTTGATGGCTCTTGCTTCCGATCGTATGTATACCTCAATGTCTACACAATCAATATGGGAATACTAATCTCTTGGGTCGTAGAGGGAAGCCCATCAAACAGTATTCGGCGTGTAGACGGTACCATCGCCAGCATTCGATTCTAATCTTTGCTGGTTGCCTTGCCAGTATTAAACAAACCCTGATACACTAGAGGTTTAAATGCATTTAGGTATATAGTTTTGCCTCTGGAGTACATGAGATCCTGAGGCTTGCGCTGTATATTGAGAACCATGGTACGACCACGGCCTTAAAAAACCTTGTTGCAAACCCTAAGTTGACAAGATTTCTACCCAAGCCAAATAAACATCGGCAATAGATTATCGTCACGTAAAACAAGACACTTGTCATCGGCAAATCATATTTTAGTCGAGGGCTTAAGCTAAGATGTGTAAATGGGATATTCCTTTTAACATGCGAAAGGTTTAATATCACAACGGGTAATTGGAGGAGACAGAATATTTACTCCCAGACCAAGCAGGAATCCTGGAATTCAAACAGCTTGTTCTGTGTCTACCCGAGGATAGAGTAGCCGGACCTCCGTGGCACATGCGTTTCACCTAGACAGTACAATATTTAAGTCAACTTTGTAGTCCAAGCTTAAGTATTGGTCCCTGCGTTCTTGCAGGTCACACCATTGTTGTCGGTAAAGCTGATCGGGGAAGAGGGCCGTGTGACTAAAAGGGAGGGAGAGGGTGGCACGGATGGTTGTGCCATCGCATTGATGAACGAAAGGATCAGATGGAAGTGAAGAAAAACATGATAGTCAAGCCTCTGCAGTCTTAACAGTGTGAAATGTGGATCTAGTCCCGGAAGGGAAATAAATGACATCCTATACCAAGTATAATCTATATGTTATAACGGGCCCCTCGGAAGAGACAATCCGAGTTCCATCTGATATCCTCTCAGCGGTTTTAAGAGTCACCTTACACGGCGTCTAATTGAAAGTACCGTTCGATTGCTACACCCGAGAAACAATCGGGCCCTGATTATTGTCTCCCCCTGATTGCTAACCATGACTAGCACGGATTCAGAACCAGTCAGCAGCCACACCTGTAAGCTTAAACCACTCAAGTTCTCCTGACGTAAGCTTCTTGGGCAGTATATGTTGGTCATAATCATCGCCTAGATAAGCATCTGACATATTTAGGTGGCACAATGACGAGCGAAAAGCTCATGGTGGAAATATTGGTTGATCATGAAGCGGAGTGTTTCAAGCCCACTCAGGAGTGCATGTGTGCCTGTTCAACTCTCCTTTGAACAATTGAAGCGGATCTAGTACTGGGAAAAGCAGACAAAGGGATCGATTTCCCCGGACATTAGTGCAACCTTTTCATCTGTCGTACCTTGTACATTGCCAGGACAGATCAAAAACCTTCAACATCCCCTCTGAGGATAGACACCGAGTCGGGCATCGGGAGTCTTCTGGTTGTCAGCTCACAGTATAAGCACTCATCTGCTTCTCAGTGGACAGTTTAGCTGGGAGGAAAGGAGATTGGCCATCAATATGGGATTCTTTCCGATGGTGTGATGGGTATCTTCCAGGTCCCAAGTATTGATGTGAAATTATAGTATGTAAGTGGATTATAAGGTAGGGTGGAATCTGCATGTAGGTCCTGATTGGTCAAATCAATCAGGAACTAGTGAAAAGCAGGTATCTTGCAGGTATCTTGCATGACGGAGATGTTTCGCCTGTCGGGTGATTTCCCATGATGTCAGAAGAAACACAAGGGATGGCTTGGACTTGTTTGTAATCGCATCTCAGACGTCAATATGGACTAAATCAGAAAAAGAAGGGGAACTTGAGTCAAGACGAGTAGGTAAATCTGCATCAAAAAAGAAAAAGAAAAAGAAAAAAAAAGAGAGTTGCTCCACTGATCTTCTTCAACCTCCGATCATGAAGATCCCTCTTCAGCCTATGTACATATTGATACCCACACACCCCTTTTGACCTGACGCGGCCATCAGATTCTTTTGACTCTGCGGATTTGTGGGACCTCATGGGCCTGTGAAACCCCTGGTCTCTTTGGGTCTCTTTGACAAGGAGCTCAGTCCCCCTGTCTCTATCCCCTTTGGGAGATATTCTGCTCGGCCAACGGTGGAGATTCGGCGAGATTCGACAATATACGATCCAGAACGTTGGCTGTGATGACAATCCAACCCCTTTCAGGATAGTGAGCCGAATCTTGCGCAACTAATGTGCCAATCTCCCGCAGTATACCCGACCAAGGGGGAATGTACCTTATCTATTCATCATTCTGGCTGTCGGTCCCATACCTTGACTCATATTCCACTCTTGCCATTGACCTTGCCAGCTGATTGATCATCGTGGCGAAATGACAAAACCTGTGAGAACCTGGCATGGGGATGGCGCCGCTACGGCTACACGGGGTCATCATGGCCCAAAAGAAATCCTCGCCAATGCAGTCTCATTGGGCCTCTGACTCTTCTTGATATGGTCCGTGTGCTGCCCAGCAAACCGGAAAAGACTTTTTTTTTAATCTTTTGAATGTAGTCCTGTCTCTATCCGAGATGATCTTCGTAAATAGAGGAACTCCTGCATCGCAGACTTCGTGTCCACTGTCTCTTTTATATTGATTTGCCTTGCCTGACTTCTTTTATCCCTCTCCCTTCCTCCGAGGTTGCATATGTTCTTATTTCCCGATACAAAATCCTATGTCTATTTTTGTACCCATGACATAGTTTTCATTCCTGGCGGCACTTCCTCCGATCTGAACCCTTCTCCCCGAGAAGCTCTAGACCTGGTGTGCATTTTCGTGTCAATTCTTTTGTTTTTGCGTTGGTACCAGTGCCTCTTCCTCTTTTCTTATGCTTCTGCGTTGAACGAGGTGAGCTCACTATCTGTTTGGCTGCCGAAGCTCACAAAGTCCCGACGACAAGAGCTCTTCCCCATGGTATCCCACATAGCTGACTGTTGCTGGGTTACAGTTGACCACCTGGGCACATGAACCGCGCTACCCGTGCTTTAATCTAAGAGCTCGGTCACCTAGGGGGTCTGTGGGCTCTACTGAGTAACCAAGAAGTAGATACCAATTTGAGAAGAAGGATTACACCAAAATGGCGGGAGGTTATTTTGACCTTCCGATCTCCCGCAGTGCCTCTGATGAAGGGTCGTCAAGTCTATCAAGGTCGCGTTCCTTCACTCCATCACAGCCCAGTGATAGCTTCCAAGGTCAACTGGTGTCTCAGGCGCGGAGCTTTAGTGAAGCTAGTGCACAGGACAAGCATCGGAATGCAGATAATTTGAAAAGTACGAATCGTATCAAGCTTACGGTCAGCGAATCCGAGTCAAGAGAGCCCACTGGGTCCATGGTCGAATTCCGACTGGATCAAAGGGGCATCAAGCTGCCGCAAAGACCATTACCCACTGCCAACATTCCGGGCTTCCAGGAAAAAGTCTCTTCAGGCTCTCAGCTAGCACCGGAGCTGGAAGATGATCACTCTAGCGCGTCAGTGGAGGTTACAGGCTTGACGATCAACGCCAGAACTACCTCCCCGGGAACTCTAGGGGAATATGAACTTGGTCAATGTACAAATGACCAGGGGCGATCCATCTGCTTTGCACATGAAAGGGCCCACAGGCTCACATCCCTTCTCAATTGCCCTAAAAATTCTCCGAAGCACAGTCCCCAGTGCAGTCTAGGGTCTTCAATTACCTCCCCTCCCGCCGAAGTGGCGTATCAGACTGAAGATGGAGATAAATTTCCT